GGATTGGGTATCCTATTAGCGAAGTTGATTTACGGATATAATCTTTCTTTAGGTTTTCGTTGATATATTCTTTTAGTGTCTAAGACTCTTTCTCGGATAGCTAGTAAATTAGCTTAATAGTAGGTTCTTTACCTTTTATTATATTAATCTCGTGGTTGAATAGGCTGTGCTTTAGTAGTACCTTATTTATTGGTTTTGTAAAAATATCCTCGAAGTCTTAATATTCTTTCGGGATTTATAGTTTCTCGTTAGTAGTATAGATTTACTTTGTTTTGTGCCTAATTATAACGTAGTCTTATAGTTTATTATTTATTATATCTAGTGATTACTCGGTGGTCGTAATAACGCTAATATTGTATATCTATATTTTGTTTTTTTGGTGTTATTCTATAATCTTATCTCTAGGACTCTTTTTAAGTTCTCCTTTGTAGGGATCCTATATATTATGGTATACGTTAATTAGTAAGGTAGCCTTATCTTAGGGCTAAGAGCTTCTTTTAGGTTCTCTTTCGTAGGAACTCTATTAGATATTAGTCTCTCTATAACTTAGTTCTTTTAGTCGTGTTATTAGATTTTTTATAGTCTAGGTTTTGTATACCTCTTTATATAGGTATCTATCGAATTCGATTTTTCTTATCTACTAATTAATTGTCGGATTGTGCTTCCGTAACTAGGGTACTCTAAGAACTATATTATATTCTTTTAGTTTAGTGATATCGAAGTTAATTAATTTAAAATACTTGTGGGTTATTATTGGGATATTTCTGTTTTTATACGTAATTCCTAGTCTAAGGCTTTCTCTATTAAGTCCTTAAATCGGTATCGGTCGTGGCTTTACGTAGCCCTGAATTTATATCTATTACTAGTATTAGGGGTTTATAAAGTTACTTATAGCTCCTGAGTTAAGTATCGCTTTAGTCGCTTAAAAGAGGATACTAATATTAAGCTTTATATATCTTCCTTATATTGTTGCCGCTATCTGTTATCGCCTTTCTAACTGGTTATTAGTATCTTGTTTGTAGATTTTCTGTCTGTTAACCTATATTCTAGTGAACTCTGGTTTCTATTAAGGTTCCTTTATCTAATTTAAGGGTCGCGGCTCGATACTGTAATCGAGCTTGCTTTAGTAGTAGATTAAGTAAGTGTTATCGTAGTATATAAATATTGATATATTTTGGTGGTCTAGGTGTTATATGTGTCTTTTGTATATATACTATGGGTTTGGATAAGGGTATCCGAGTTTTTTATCGAGTTGAGTTATTAGTCGTTAAAAGTCCTTATTGTATATATTAACGTTTTCTATCTATCGGAGTTGCTATATCTTCTTAAGCGAGTCTTTACTTTTTTAGGGGTTTTCTTGAGGCGATTCCGGAGTCTCCTAAGAAGTCTCCTAAGGTTTAGGCGTTACTAGAATTTTGACCGGTGTTTCTAAGATACTATATCCTTAGCTAGAGGATTCTTTTAATAGATCCGGCGAGTTATCGTTCTCTTAGGGACCGTTCTAGGTCTATCCTTGACTCTTAACTATTTCCTAATTAATCTCTAGAAAACCTTTTAACTCTCCTTAGTTAGGTATACCGTTGTTAGCGAATTCCTTATATATAATAAATATATCTTTATATCTTAGGACCGGTATCTACGCGGTATTTAGGTTCGAATTATATCTAGTTATTTTATAGTCTTCGCTAAGGGATTCCTCGTTCTAGTAGTCGTTATTCGTTGTGTAAAGTTGCTAAGTTAGTACTCTAGTAGTATTATAAGCTTCTTTATTCTACGTGGCTCGTAGTTACTATCGCCGATTACTATTATCTAATACTTTCTTATAGTAATCCTTGATCTAGTGGCCTAGCTTACTATAATAGAAGTAAAGATTCTTTCTTTTACGTTCTTTTTATTTTTTAGTCGGAAGTCTTGCTATATTAAGCTTTATAGGTCTTAGTCTATAAGGGTTATTATTATATAATTCTCTTACTGATTACTACTTTTGTCCTTATTTATTATTATAGCGGCGGAATCCTCGTAGGATATATCTAGTGTTGTTCTATCGTGTTTCACGTCGTTATTATCTATATTCGTAAAGCCGGTTATTGAATTTGATCGTTATCTCGATTATCCGGGATAGGTCGGTTAGTTGATTAATTCTTATAAATTTGTTTTTAACTTCTTCCTTAAGTCCTCGTTCGAATAGCTAAATATATATATCGTTATTATAATTAAGATACGAGATAATCTACTAGAATTTAGCGGCGTAAATACTGGCTAAGCTAGTTTATCGGATCTATTTAAGTTATCGCTCTACGGTTCGTTATATATTAATATCCCTAAATATCTATTTAAGTTTTCTTTTAAAGTTGGTATACGATTAGAAAATCGCTTAAATTATATCTTTCTAATCTAGTTACTTTTTCTTGTTAAATTCCTTAATATAGGGCTTGAACTAGTTGAAGGCTTATCCTTGAAGATAGGTTAAAACGTAGATAATCTTGTCCGTTTCTTCTATATAGTTAATAATACGTAACTATATATCTATCTAGGTTAGGAATCCTCGAAGCTTAGATCGAGTTTTATCGAAGAAGTCGGGTTTCGGTAGTTTTATAGATACTACGGGTCTAGTTCTCTCTTAAATAAGTTACTTTTAGAGCTAACTAATTATATCTATAAGTTACGCGTTGGTTAGAGTAGATTAGCTCGCGGAACCACGCGAAAGGTTACTAGTACTATCGTTGCTAGCTATAGTTGTCGAAGTATTAACGTCTCGTATACTATGATTTAAGATAGGCGTTTAAAGTGTTACGTATTAGTTATCTATAGATATTAGCTAGAATCTAAAGGTATACTTCTTCTTAAGATACTAAGATATATGGGTCTTTCTAGTTATACTAGAAGGCTAAGGGTCTTCTAGTATTAACGATATCTAGCCTCGTAACTATATTATTACTTTATTCGTTAGGCCTTATATAGGCTCGGGTCTGTTAAGGTATCGAGGAACGATTAAGGTAAGGAGTGCTTAGTGATAGAAGTACTGAAGGTGTTTTACTATTAAAGGGGTTGTCTTAAGAGGATCATAGTGTAAACGAGACAATCTGAGTTAAACTGGTAACTGAGGTTAATAATATGAGTTAAACGCGAAGAGCTAGATATATGATGAATAAGTGTCTTTATATATCCTTCGCCGAATATTCCATACCCTTATTTGTAGTATACTGTATACGGGTATATAGTAGTCCTACTGATATACTATCCGATATACTATTCCTTGGCAACGGATCGTGGTATATTGCCACGTGACCCATACCCCTGTTATCTTGTATCATTACCGCGGGGTTGGTTGGCTCTGGTTTTCTCCTGTACCCCTGCTGGCGCGAGTGAGGTGGCTTGGTTCGTAACAGGTTCCTAGGTAGCAAAGACGAGTAAGTACAGTTGACTTAAATATCTACACTCACTCGTATATTTGTCGAGGTCATGCCTGTTAACTGGCATGCAGGAACACTTATATCCTTCCTGAGATCATCTTTAACCCATCGCTTGTCTTCAGTCCCTATATTTTCTTGCTGGATTTGCTCTTTGCGGACCGTGCTTTTAAACGAGTTAATAGAGAGGAGTTTTGGTTTTCGCAGAACAGCTCCTTAGTTTGCATATACGGGACGAATGTAACGAGCTTCCATTACTGCTTGATCCCACTTCAGACGACGTAGTTTTTTCGACGGACGGAACGGACATTGCAAGTGTTGAGAGTGGGATTCTACCCAGGCTCATCGCCTTTTCCCTCTTTGTTCTCCAGATAGTTCTGAATAGCTTTATCATCCAGATTCATCCATTCAGCTCTCTTCCTGGCCCAGTAGCTTCGTCTTCCCTTCCCCTGAGCCTCGCTATGACCTCTCTTAGCAAGGGATTGGGATTTCTTATGATATGCCTCCACACTCCTCCCCTAGGTTAAAACCATTGGCACAATCACCGGCTTCCGACAAGTTACACGCCCTTAGATCTTACGATATGGTGCTGGCAAAGCGCTAGATAATAGCGGTATTATCCTTGCTGCATGACTGTATCGTATGCGATTTCGATTCGCTGACTGCTCATTCCCTAGGATCCGTGAGCGACTCTCTTCGCAATCTGATAATGCACCATGCCGATACCCGCACACGTTTAGGCGGGCTTTTCCGCCCAAACGAACGCAAGGTCGCCCGACGAATGAAGCAAAAGAATACCCTGGACGTTGACGTCTTCTGTGTGATGTACCGCCATCACTGGGTTCATTCGAGGTTTTTTCGTCATATGAGCATGATCGGGCCGCAGTGAGGTCTAGATAACCATGCAACAGAGATTAAATAGATACACTCCACGTCATATTTAGCCATGCTGTTCCTGGAAGAGACAAAATCATAATAACTATGAGTGCGCCCAGGAATCTGGTAAAGCCAAAAAAAGAAAGGACAGACTTCAAATAAAAACTACTTAATGGCCAAAACCTTTAAATCATCTCGAAGGAGAACTTCAACGGGAACACAGTAAATTGACAAGAAAAATGAAGTCAAATACAAACCAGAAACAAACCCCTATATACACATACACCCAGCCACACACACCCAGACACGTACTCCTAGGTACCTTCCCGGACTATATAGTCTATAAATATCAGCCAGGGGGCTCATGTTAGTATTGTATTTGAAAATGATGAGAAGCTGAAACGATTCACCAACTGGGACCAACTTACCTAACATGGTTGTGAAAAGCCATGACTCCAGTGACTATATTTACTGTTGAATTGCGTGTAGGTAGACAGTGACCTCAGCGCTCAGAATTTGGTCATTGGCAAGTTGATCAGCGGACTCGACAATCCACGTCTGGCAATTTCTTTGGGTAATCCTCCTCCCAACGGTTCTCGCTGCAATGACCTACACAACTCTTGTTAGATTATTAATTTCCCTCATGAAATAAATGTCGCTTAGAAAATTTTCTTGGGAGTGAGGGGCTGAAAGACAAACAGAATGCGAGGAAATTTAACTTGTAAACTTGCCTTGTCGTCCACGGAATTCATTGTCTTCCCGGGGGGGGTTGACCCTATGAGCGCTGATTTCAAAAGGACCGACCGGCATGTAATCGTCTTTGGGATCTCCCCAGTTGAGCATAGCGTTCTCGTCAAAGAACTGGGCAGATACCCACTGAAGCGGAACTCGCTTTATTGGGGGGTTGGTAGTGTAACGGAAGTCGTAGCTCCGCTTGGCCTGGAACCTGAAGCCATTCCTGACATCTCCAGTGGCGTGTATCAAAACTCCAACTTGCTTGTCATGGCGGGAGCACACCCAGTATGCCCAATGATCCTTGAAAGGGGCCCCGTTGTAGACCAGTAGTTCTACCATCAAAGCATCCGGAGGGGCTACTGAGGGGACCGATGGCGGATTGATATTCACAGCAGGTGCCGGATTGTTCCTAATTGCTGGAGGAGGCGGAGGGGGCGGAGCATGGGCCCTGGGCGTGGTGGAAGGCATGATATATATACGCACCGAATAATAAGAAAAGTTGACCTGGCGACCCTCCTTAGGGCAAAGAAAGCGCAGGGTAGATAGACAGACAAGTATGTGATTAACAAGGAATTGACAAAGTATAAAATGTTAAAGGAGAAATCATCCTTTGCGAGAGAGAGAATCGCCTTTATATCCTTTACAGACGCCGCTAAGTTTCAAGTATAGAAGCAGTAGAAAACTACAAAATGATTATCTTGTCAGGCGCCAACTCATATAACGACCTTCTAAATTCTCCACGATCGGGCGGTTACTGAAAAGAATGAGAAAATGTCTGAAACCATTGGATGTAGCTGAATCTCTAAGACGGCACCTAGCTATTCGGTTGGATGGTTATGATCTTCACTGTGGATCATTCTGATAGACTGGTGATCTCCGCAGGAGGACGCTTACTGATGCAACGTTAGTCTGAAAAGTAGTCCATAATTTTCCCAAGAGTCACGACAGAAGATTATGAGCCAATTGATTTACCGAGGAGTCTACATGAGAAACCAGTTTGGGTCCACTACTACTTGCCAGTATGTACATAGAGTGTCTCATGTAGCGCTGTATCTAAAAACTCTATGGTTGGTTTTATTTGTGGCATTCCGACTATCTACTAATTTAATATCCTGGATCCATTAGGGCGGCAAATACATCCACCTGGGTAGTCAGGAGGTGTGCCCACCTGAACCGTAGACAAAGGTGGTTAGTTTTCATTAGTCATCGACGCACCTGCGACCCCACATCCACTTGGGCAATTCTCAGTGCTGCGTATAGGCGCCCACCGTGTTTCACATTCAACTTCTACCACCGAGAAATCGGGCTTGCTCTACATTTTTTTTTTTTTTTTTTTAAAAAAGTCCATTATCGGGTGTAGTCAGCACCATCGAACTTTCGCCTTTCACCCTTACCCACTCTTTCAATTTCTGGTGCCTCGACCGAGCTCTGAATTCTCGGGATTGGACGCTGGGTGTTGCGCATGATGAACGTCTTCTTTGAGTCCAGTTTCTTCCAAACAAACAAAGGCATTGCGCTGCCTACACCGTCGGAGATCAGGGCGATCAACGAGGCGTCAGGTGATTTTAGGAAAACCTATTTCCACCGAGCGGCACCTGTCAAGATTCCGTCGTTGGGCCTGTTTGTCAAATATGGACGTTGTATATCCATTGTTGAGGCAAAAACGCAAAGAATGTTGCACACAGTCCTTAAAGATAGAGTGCCCGTTCCCGAGGTCTTTGGCTGGGCCGAAGATGGAGGGCAAGCGTTTATCTATATGGCTCTGATCGAAGGTGATATGTTGATGGAAAGGTGGGATGGCCTGAACGAGGGGGAAAAACAAAGCATTTGCCACGAACTGAAATACATGGTTCAGCAGTGGAGAGGTCTTCAGCAGGACGTATCGGACTCTTATATCGGTAAGGATATCTCGATACAAGCGCTCGACTATATCTGACCAGCATCTATATCAGGCAGTTTTGACGACAGTCCACTCCAGGACATTTTCCTTCTTGGTCATCCCGAGTGTGCAGGTCCTTGGAGAGGAGCAGATGCCGTGCGGCAATTTCAAAGTGCTTGTGAAATCGACGCCAGCAGCGATGCCCCTATTCGCTTTACGCACAGTGACCTTCTACCCCCCAACATCCTGCTATCGCCTGGACCGACTCCAAAGGTGGCAGCAATAATTGACTGGGCCCAAGCTGGATGGTATCCTGCCTATTGGGAGTATTGCAAAGCGCGATGGATTAATTTGGCACCAGAGCATTTTGATGGAGCTTTACTAGATGAATGGCGTCGAAAGTATCTACCGCTGTTTCTCGACCCAGTGGATGATGAGACGGAGTATCATCCCTGGGTCTGGTTTGTGTTATCCAAGGGAATTTGAATATTACATTGCTTAGTTTCGGACAAGGTGGTTACCAAGCCAGGAGCCCAGAGTTTGACGAAATACGCTTTAAAAGTGTGTCGACGACTGCATTGGACTTGATACCAGCCATAAGGGAAAGTCATCTCCGTCGTCGACAGGACCACTCGGGCAAACTCTGCCACAACTTCAATATACATGGTCGCCTTCAGTCGGCGGTCGAGAGAGAATTTGTTTTCTGTTGCAACAATCGCGCGCACCTAGTTATAGACTGTCAGCCAGTTTCAATCCATCTCGATACTGAACAAGAAGGATCTCACATCCTAACTTTTGACAATAGTGTCATTACTGAGTCTATGCTCAACCTCTGCCTTGTAGACCAGATGCCACCACTTCCAGAATGTCTCGATTGAGCTTTTATGCTTAGTTCCCGGAGTTTGTTGTCCATTCTTTCCCCGTCGCTGGTCACACCGCCAAGAAAAGAGAGCTTTCAAGAAGCGGACCGTCTCCTCCGTATCAGAAAGCCAGTGAAAGCATTCCACTGGATCGCGCTTTCCCCCCTTTATAGAACCTGGTAGAACAATCAGCCTATCAGTCAGCGTAGAGAGTAGATAGCCTTCACGATCGCCAAAACTGACGCGACAAGACAAAAATATAAGCCGAGATTCGCACCATCCAGGTGCCTAGGCTCCTTCATAGGTCACCTCGCCTTCGTCATCGCTAGCCAGAACGGCCTGGGCGTCGGATGACGCGGCATCTACGGTGGAATGGAAAGGGACAGTGTATGGGGCTAGTGAATCAGGTGCGCAGGGGCGCAGTGGGGGCGAGAGGGAAAGCAGAGCGGGGGAGGGAAAAGAGACGAGAAAGTGCGTCGTTCTGGAGAAGGGACCAACGGTGGGCTTTTATAGATGGGCCGCAACTGGCTAGGGGCGGTAAAAGCGGCCAGGGAGGGCGCTAGGCCCAAAGGGGGAGCAGCGTGAGGGTGCTACACCGCGAGGGAAAGTGGAGGGCGGCCACAGGCAGGCGGTGGTGGACGGCAGGAAAGCGGTGCAATGGGAGCCGGTTCTGGCGCCCCGCTTGCCGTCTTGTAGAATACTAAATTAATAATATTCTAAGTTTTTAATTATTATCTAAAATAAAATAATCTTATTAAACTAATAAACTTAAATATATTTTTAATAATTAATTCTTCTAATTTAAGCTCCTAGTCTAAAATAATATAATATTTTAAAAAAGTAAATTTCTATATATATCTTTATTAAAACTAAGTGTAAAGGGTCTACCAAGATGGTGAGGCATGAGGTTATTCCCAACTAACGGAAGGGGTGAATTAGGCGATATCACATGATCCTGAAGGAAGTCGGAACTCATTACTTGATCCACTCTACAGTGGAATGATCACGATACACAACAGAGACCTAGTCGTTTACATTATCGATGATACGTGGAGTTACGAAGATGTTATATAATAAATTAATACTCTCGCATCAAGCTGGCAAGACAAGATCCAGTCTTGATAGTAATAAAGATATACTGTTTCTCCTACTCCTTCCCCTTGTTTCTTTACCTGATCGATAGGTTTTATACCCTGCCAAGTATATTCTTTACACTAAGGTTTTAATAATTATTTAAAACCCTAGTTCTAATCTATTAAATTTCTATCTTTCTATCTCTATTAAAACTAGGGTTTTAAGGCCTATCTTAAAACCCTAATTTTAATAGAGATATTAGTTCTAATCTATCTAAATATTATACTAATTATTATAATCTATTCTCTATCTAGATATTATCCTAATCCCATTTGATTAGTTCTAGAAAGATTATTAATAAAAATTTCCTATATTTATAAACTCTATCTATAATCTTCTTTTAATCCTAGTTATTAATATTAATATTAAATAATTATTTAATTCTATATATAATATTTACTATTATTAATAAAGGGTATTAAATATATCTATTATATAAGATCTAATAATATTTATATATATTACTAAATTTAAAGTTAAGAAGTAGTTTATATTTATTTAAAAGCTTTAGGAGTAAGATAAGTTAGAAATTATATAGAAAAAAAAGATCTAAAAGATTTATAAAAAAATTAAACTAATTAATAATAATAAAAAAGAGGATACTATAAATCTAATAATTATAATTAATATATTTTAATAATTATAGTAAAAAAAGTTAAAGAGTAATTATAAAAATAATTATAGCCTTTTATAGATTTTTAGTAAGATTCATAATTATCTATAAATATTTAATAATTATAAGCTTTAAAATTAAAATCGAATAATATTTAAAATAATATTCTTTAGAATTATTTTTTAAGAATTATTCTTCTAATTACTATAAAAAATTATTTAACTAAAATAAATATAATATCTAAAAATATAGCTAAGAATAATATAATCTATAAAAGTTATAAAGTTAATAAAATATCTAACTAAATAGGTTAAATAGATTAACCTATTAACCTACAGGATAAATCAAAAAAATCTTGACCCGCCTATAGATCAAGAGGTCTAACCCACGACTAGACATAGACAGACCCGTCCCATGGGTCAAAGATCTTGACCCATGACCCAAACCCACGACCCATGGGTCGGGTCAATAAAATCCTGACCCGCCCATAGGTTAATCTGTGGGTTAACGGGTTAACCTATTTTTGACCTATTTTAGTATAAATTTCTTAATTAGGATAGATAATTTACTTACCTTTTTTAATAATACACTATTGTTAAATACTGTTTTTGTTCTAATATAATTTATAATTATAACTCTTTATAAAAAGAATATTATATAGTAATAATATATTTAGAATATATAATATATTAATTTATTAATTTAATACTTTAAGGTAAGAATTATATTTTATAATAGGTAGATATAGGCAAAAGAAGATATTAGTTAACTATTTCTTATACTAAACCTAAAAATATATATTTAAAGTCTATAGTAGTACTTCTACTTTTTATATAAATAAACTATATATATTAGAAACAATAAAATAGATATAAATCTAATATCTAATATTTCTTTATTAATATATAAGTATATTATAGTCTTATTTATATAAAAGAATTATTTTAAATATTTTTTCTGAATTTATATAAAATAACAATATTAGCTGGTTGGGTTGAAATTTTTTGGGGATAAAAAGAAAAATCTTGGGGTATTACTCTTATCTAATTATTTAGGTTAACGGGTTAGCCTATAGGTTAACCCGTTAACCTATTTCTTACTATCTAATAAACTTTGTATATATTAATAGAGCCTGTTCTAATTAGTTATAAAATTTAGCACTAGGATAGTGCTGAATTCTACCTACTAATAAGAAATAAGTATTAGATCTATATTCCCCTAAATCTATGATGATTTATCTTAGATTATTTTTCTATATCTCGAGTCTCTCGTTATAAAAGGGTTATATAGTCCCCTTTTTACTAGATATAATAAAATATATACCTTTTTATAGTAGTTTTTCTACCTCTATTAAAACCAGGGTTTTAATCTATCTACGCGATTACTTAAAACCCTGGTTTTAATCTACCTACGCGTTTATTTATAGCCCTGGTTCTAATATACCTACGTAAAAAGGTTGGCTGGTTAGGTTGAAATTTTTAGGGGATAAAAATAAAAGTCTTAGAGTATTGCTCTTATTTAATTATTTAGGTCAACGGGTCAACCTATAGATTAACCTATTAATCTATTTCTTACTATCTAATAAGCTTCGTATATATTATAGTAGAGTATCTTCTGATTAGTTATAAAATTTAGCACTAGGATAGTACCAAATCCTACCTATTAATAAGAAATAAGTATTAGACCTATATATTCCCCTGAATCTACGATAATTTACCTTAGATTATTTTTCTATATCTTAAGTCCTTTATTTTAATATGCTATTACTATATCTCTTCTATATCTTAGTTATCTACCTTGTACCCTCTCTCTTTTATTAAGAGTAAGGGGTTTAAGTCATCTATTTTCTATTCTAATCAACTTCTTAATACCCTCTCAGAACTACCAGAAAACCAGTAAACTAAGCAAAGCCTCTCTTTTATTATACTACTAATACTAAAACGATCTAACGATCAGAAAAAGATCTAGGTGATTTTTGATAGTATAAATAAAGCAGAGTTTTTAAACTAGTAGCTTAATACCTAAATTAGTGGTTCTTATAATATTATAAAGAAGATAAACTAGGAGGGTCTACAATAGACTAATATATAATTATATTTTAATCAAGTTATATATTTAGTAATAAAAGAGCTAAAGCTCCTATATAAGCGATATAGTAAGGTTATAGACTATCTAATCTATACTAAGAATAGGATAATAGGTCTCTAACGCTACTAGAATCGGAGTATATACTAAAAAAGCTAAAATACTACTAAATATTTAATAATCTAATATCTTATAGAATATATAGTATATTATATAGCTATTATTTAATTTATAGACTAATCTTTCTTAGGCTAAGAACTCCTCTTGAATAGCCTAGCTAGTTATCTAAGAGCTATAGAAGTAATAGTTAATTACTATAATAACTACCTTATGGCTTCCTTTTTAAACTATCGAGTATCCTAAATTCTAAGCCCTTCTTTAAATAACCTAATTATTATTGTTTATCCCTAGTTTCCCTTCCTATCGAACTATATAGTATCGAATCTAAGGAATAACCTAAGATTAATAGAAAGATTTACTTTAGAAGCTTCTATCTAAGACTAAGCTCTCTATTAATCTTAACTATTAGATATTACTATTTTAATAAATATTTATAGCTATCTCTAGCTATTTTATTAATATAGACTAGAATTATCGAGAGGTTTTATTTAGCTTCGAACCTATTTCTAGTATATACTCTAGGTAGAATCTTAGTATAATCTTTCTCGATATCCTCTAGAAATATTAGATTAAAGACTAAGTACTTATAATAATAACTAATAATATATCAAATAACTCTACCCTTATTTTAAGTATCTAAGATTCTATTTAATTATTAGATATTAACTCTAAGATAATAATTATTTAGGTTCTATATATTATATATATAATTTAGTTAAGTTTAAAGTAACTACTTAATTAGATAAAAGCGAACCCTTAGAACGAGGTAACTAAGACTATTTAGTCTAAGAAATATATTTAATACGCCTATCGAAAAGCATAAAAACAAGATATTACGATAACTCTTATAAAGGTATATATCTATATTCCTTATTTATTAGTTAAAATACTAATCTACTTTATATTTTAGATTAGAAACCTTACGATCTTTATTAATATAAATCCTTAATATCAGGAGTCCTTCCTTAGTCTCTAGCCCGACTACCCTTAATTAGTTCTAATTCAAGATATCTAAACTAGATAGAATTCAACCTTTTTAATACTCCGGCGTACGAAGCAGTTATAACTAATCTTTAATCGATTTTACTTTAAATATAATTATTTTTATCTTAAAATCGATATAGATAAATAACGCTAGATCGATTACCTTCTTAATATTATCTAGCTATTTTTCTAATTTACTATAGTCCTCTTAAAAATAAAGGATATTACTATTTATACTATCTTTACTATCTATAATAAGCTATTTAATTATCTTAAAAGGTTAATTAGATAGCTTAATAAAAAGAAGGTTAGATAGAAGCAATAGATATATTAAGCCCTTAAATTTACTAAAGATAAACTCCGTGAGTATTACTCTATAATAAATAATAAAGAGCTTAGTAATATCTATACGATTAGCACTATCTTAGCCCTTTAGTATAAGATTAAATTTTTTTAAACTAAAGACTAGGACTACCCTTAGATAGATTATAACGCCTAATACTAATAAAATCTTAAAAGTTAGTTTCTAAGCTACTAAGCTAGTAATATTCTAAGCTCTTAATCACTATCTAAAATAAAATAGTTCTATTAAATTAACGAGCTTAATATATTTTTAATAGCTAATTCTTCTACCTTAAACTCCTAGTTTAAGGTAACATAGTATATTAAAAGAGGTAAATTTCTATATATACCTTTATTAAAACTAGGGTTCTAAATAATCGCTTAAAACCCTAGTTCTAATCTATTAAGTTTCTATCTTTCTATCTTTATTAGAACCGGGGTTTTAAGGCCTATCTTAGAACCCTAGTTTTAATAGAGATATCGGTTCTAATCTATCTAAATATTATACTAATTATTATAATCCGTCCTTTATCTAGGTACTATCCTAATCCTACCCTATTAGTTCTAGAAGGATTATTAGTATAAATTTCCTATATTTATAAGCCTCGCCTATAATCTCCTCTCGATCCTAGCTACTAATATTAGTATTAAGTAATTATTTAATTCTATATATAATATTTATTATTATCGATAAAAGGTACTAAATATATCTACTATATAAGATCTAATAATATTTATATACGTTACTAAATTCGAAATCGAGGAGAAGCAGTTTATATTTATTTAAGAGCTTTAGGAGTAGGATAAATTAGAAATTATATAAAAGGAAAAAAAGATCTAAAAGACTTATAAAGAGATTATACTAATTAGTAATAATAAAAAAGAGGATATTATAGATCTAATAATTATAGTCGATATACTTTACTAATCGTAGTAAGAAAAGTTAAAGAGTAATTATAAAGATAATTATAGCCTCCCGCGGATTTCTAGTAAGGTTCGTAAATATCTATAAGTACTTAATAATTATAAGCTTTAAAATTAAAATTAATTAATATTTAAAATAATATTCTCTAGAATTACTTTTTAAGAATTATTCTCCTAATTACTATAAAAAATTATTTAACTAAAATAAATATAATACCTAAAAATATAGCTAAGAATAATATAATTTATAAAAATCATATAGTTAACAAAGTATCTACCTAAATAGGTTAAATAGATTAACCTATTAACCCGCGGGACAGGTCAAAAAAATCTTGACCCGCCCACGGGTCAAGAGGTCTGACCCACGACCCGCCCATAGGCTGACCCACGGGTCGACCCATATGGGTTGTCCGCGGGTCTGTCCAGGTCTACCCACGACCCGCCTATAGGCTGACCCACGGGTCGACCCATATAGGTTGTCCGTGGGTCTGTCCAGGTCTAGTTATAATTATAACTTATATTAGAACGAAAACAGTGTTTAATAATAGTATATTATCCTAATAACTAAGCAGCTTTATAATTAGAATTATATAAAAGTTGGGTCGAATTAGGTTTTATTAGGTTTTATTAGGGCCCTAGTATTGGGTCCGGGTTGGGTTTTGGGTCGAGATCTTCGACCCAAGTTGGGTTATGCGGAAGTCTAGCTAATATCGACATCGCACCAAGCCTCTGAAGCCCAATCAGCTGCTTCGGCAGACCTTCATCAACCAGCTTCGCAGCCTAGAGGCGTTGTAGTGAATATAAATCGATTTAAATACTATATGCTTAGTGGAGTGGCTCGCTCGCTGGTGGATTACGTTAACGCCCATCGATAGGGGTTGACTCAGCCTCGGTTGTTCCTTGGGGGAAATCACCGGCAGCCGAGGCTCGCGAGAGTAGCAGGGGGAGGGGGAGGTCTCTGGCCATAGATCATGGCAGTATTCGTCTGGATTTCTGTTGAGTCTTTTTCTTTTGCGAACGCATACCATCCATTCTTCTTCAGCCATGTCTACGATCAACCCGGCTTTCGAGGACGCCATCCGAGTCACGCCGCAAGGGCCCGGCAAGTATAACGCCCATCTGCGGCCCGAATGGTGCATTGGAACTGGTATGTTCATTTCTTCGCAGCAATTCAAATATCAAGAATCTAATGAGCTAACCGCATTCATATAGTCCCCCATGGCGGATATACCACCGCCGTCTTCTACCGCCTGGCACTCACGCACTTCGCACACGCCCACCCCACACACTACAATAGCCCAGCCACGCCGATCTCCCTGCAGCTCTCATTTCTGCGCCGCACAGCCGCAGGCCCAGCAACTCTGGAGGTCGAAGATGCCAAGTTAGGCGCGCGCACCAGCACCATCCACGTGAAACTCCTCCAGACATCAGAGAAGAAACCCAGCGAGCTGGAAGTGAAAGTGACCGGCTACATCACCGTCAGCCCCGCCAGCGCTGAGGTAGGCATCAGCGCACCGACAGGATGGAGGCCACAGCCCGCCGTGCCGCGCGGGTCTCTCGCCGACGGCGGAGTCGATCTGGCAGCGCTGGCGCGCACCGGACACGACGGCGCATGGACAAAACGCGACCCTCCGTACCCGGAGTTCCGGCGCGCAGCGACCCAGCTGGAACTCTACGGGCTGGGTAAGGGACCTGTGCAGCAGCAGCAGAAGAAGCAGCAGTCGAGAACTATGGCCGTGGACCAGTGGGCGCGGTTTCGGCCCGGCGGCGATGCAAGCGGGCGCTGGACGGACGCTGCGGTCGTGTATCTGCTCGACATGTTCCCCATGGCTCTCGACGGGCTCGATACCATGTCGGCGACGGCGGAGGCTCGGGATCGCGGCACGTCTGTGTCGGACCACAAGGCGAAGTTCTGGTATCCGACTGTCACGCTTAATGTCGATCTCAAGAAGCGGTTGCCTGCTGCTGGGGTTGAGTGGCTGTATTCTCGGGTTGTGACCAAGGCTGTGCGGGATGGCCGTACGGATTTGGATGTTACGGTCCTCGATGAGAAGGGCGAGATTGTTGCCCTCAGTACCCAGGTCGGGTTGGTGGTTAGTGCCAGTCGGAATTTGGGGTCGAGGAAGATGCAGAAGCTGTAGATGTTGGTTTGTTGCTTTCGCGCGATTCAATAGATGTGTCCTTGGGTATATAGAGTTGGGGCACCTGTCTTGGGTACATTGAATAGATGAATATCAGGATCTCGTTCAATATTGTATATGCAGGCTCATGTCTACGCAAGTATGTACAAGCAAAGAATATCTACTAATCTCTATGGCTGTTTCTTTTCGTTCCCCTTATAGACGAGACCCCGGCGTCACAATCCAGAATGCCATAGCATCCGCCTTGACGAGCTTGCGCTTCGTCCACTCCAGATGTCCTCCGGCGCTATCTTCATCTTCCTGAACAGCCTGCGCGCGCACCCAGAATTTCTTCCCAACACGGGCCACCACCCGCGACCGGACCACCAACAGCGCCGGGGTTGTCACGCGCCTCCGATACCGCACGTCGAGCTGCACCGTGAACGTCTGGCCGCGCGGGTTATCGTCAGCGACACTTCCCGCCGATGGTTCGTTTGTATGCGCCGCGACGGCCAGAGACATGGCCTCGTCGATCAAAGTGGCGACGAGCCCGCCATGCAGCGTCGCCGGATGTCCCGACAGCCCCGGGCTGCCGAGATCAAAGATCATCACGATGTCGGGTGGATTGGCGCCGGGTGTGGGTTTGGCCGCCGAGGCGGCATCTTGCTTGGTTGCGGGCAGCCATGTCGGGATTTCGGAGGGCGCGGCTGGGATCTGTTGTCGTTGGAGAGTTAGGCAGTGCGGGATTGTGGATGCTGTGCCGAGAGTCTGCGCAAAGAACCCATCTTCACCTGTGGCGGGCTTGAGACGGCGCGAGTCTGTTGGAATTGGGGTGTATTCGGCAGAGGAAATTAGTGAGTTGGCCCATGGGTGGGTACGGAGGTGGGCGATGGCTGAGGACGGGTCGGCCATTTTTTTTCTTCTTCTCCTTCTTTCTCCTTGCGTCAATTCTTGGTCAGTTTGCACCGATGGACGAAACTGAGTTCGCTGAAGGTATGCAAAGGAATCTTATACAAAACGGCGGTCGTTCCTATCCGGTAACCTCGGCTCCCGAAATTGGGGAGACATCACGTGTTGGATCTTCACGATCGGCAGTAGATAAATTCTGGGGGGTGTAGAACTGCCGGTCGATCCAAGATTGAGCTGGATAGGTTCTGAAGGACGGGATGTAAAAGCTTCAAAGAACTGGATAGGTGCTCCCAGCCGCCCAGGTTTTCAGGCACGTAGTGACACCTGCAAGGGCAGGCAGGAATGTGGGAGGGGAATGCTGGAAATAAACAGTCGGAACCGGGGCATCCAAGCCCAAACAGGCAAATGTCTCAGTGCATAAGCCGGCTGGAGTAGCGCAAAGTCCGTTTCTGGTATTTTGCGTTGTTGGGGCCAATCGTGCCTGCCGTTTTATTTGGTTGTTTCCCTGCTTTTTCTTCTCCTCACTCTCCTTCTCTTTGCCTTCCTCTCTTCTTCTCTCCCTCCCTCTTCCACATATCCCTACCTTGTATCCCCCACGCTATTCTCTGCTATCTCCCATATCCACCATGCTTGCCTCCATTGTGCTTCTCTCCACCTTGGCCGCTACGGCCCTCGGCAACAACTCTTCCTCCACCTACACCTTTCCTGCGGGCTTCAACATTGGCATGGTGAAGTCGGATGAGCTGAGTAGGTCGCCCATCATTCCTGGTTTGAGCGCTGCTAATTACTTCCAGGCTCGTGGTGTACTGGTCAGCGCAATGTCTGCCCCAAGGTCTGCCAGAGCGGCACTAAGCTCAACTCGTGCGACCCCGTATGTTGACCCGTTCTCTGTTCTTCCGATGGCATGGATGATTTTTGTAGACTGACATTTCCATTGCAGACAACCCTGAAGTTTGAGTGTGTCTGTGAGGATGGCTCCAAGCCCGACGTCTCGCCCTACATGCAGAGTGTTCCATTCTATGTCTGCGAGGCCGCCTTCGGCCAGTGCATCAGCGCCCACCCCGACGATGCCGATGGTCAGAGCACCTGCAAGAAGAACTCCCACTGCGGCACCAAGAATGCCAGCGAGTCCGATACCTCGCCTTCGTCTTCGTCTGCCTCGAGCAGCACTTTGGCCTTGGCCACTTCCACCAGCTCCAGCGAGCCCTCCTCGACCTCTTCGGTGGCGGCTGAGAGCCACACCAATGCTGCGGTCAACGGCCTGACCGGATACTCGACCGGTATCCTCGCGACCGCCATGTTCGTGGCCATGCGTCTGGTTCTGTGAAGGAACTGGGGTTTCTAAGTCCTAGTTTCCATATTCCCTATCCTCTTATCTCCATGCGATGAAAAATTTGCTGTTATTTTCCTTTGCCACCGTTTGATTCCCCTCGAAGTGCATGGCGCCTTGTCGTTCCTTGTTTTGGCCTGGGGTTTTTTTGAGTGCATGTCTGCCAACTCTTACCTTAATAATGCCAATGATGAAGCTTGATTCGTGAATAGAATAGTCCTGCGTAGGGGAAGAAAAAGATATGAAGAAGATGAGACATTCATAGCATCGTGGAATTGAGTGTTCGGTGGATGCTCCTTCGCCAAGACTTTTGGCACACACTGAAATTTCGCCAACTTATCGATAGACTCCACCATCAAAGAAACCTGTTCCTCCTTCTCTCCCCTTTCCCACCACCTCACCATGCCCGCCCCGACCACCACCCTCCTCATCGAGGGTTCATTCTCCGAGCTCGCCGAGGAGTTCGCCCAGTATGTCGATGCCCTCCGCAAAGAGGGCAACCTCCAGTCCGAGATCGCCCCGCTCCTCCAACCGCTTCGCCAGCAGGAACAGTCCGAGGGCGAGCCCGACCTCAAGCAGCGGGATGAAGTCCTGAAGAAACTCGTGTCGGCTGCGACCGCATTGAACGGCGCTCCCGAGAAGGGTGAGTGTTTTTGACTATTGCGGTTTAGTAGACAAAGAGATGTTTCTTGAGAGCATCGAAATTGATGCCACCAATTTTTTCCGCTTCGGTCTTGGGCTCCCACTTCGACCGAGAAAAACAATCTGATTCACAAACTCTAGAAATTACCCCCTCCTACAACCTCTTGGTGCACCTCGTCCACCAGACAACCGACCCGGACATGTTCCTCCCGCGCATCTGCACGTACCTGGCCAAGCCCATCACGACCTCGCCCCAGTTCGGCCCGACCCTGGCCATCTCCATTCTCACGACCATCTTCAACACGCTGTCAGCCAATGACTCGAGCCGGTACCATGTTCTGCTGGCCATTGTGGCGGTGATCCGCCAGTCCGGGTCTGGGTATGCCTTTGAAGCGCTGAAGCCACAGCTGTCGACTCAGCTACCGACGTGGCTGACGGCCTGGGAGTTGGATGCCGAGGAGTCGCAGAAACTGCACCTGGCGATTGCGGATGCCGCTACGGCGGCTGGCGATGACGACCTGGCTCAGTCGCACGTGGTGCAGGCTCTGCAGACGATCCCCGCGGGCGAGGCCTCCAAGCCCGCTGCTCGCGACTTGGCAGTGCGGGCACTGGCATCGGCGCTGCGACGCCCCGCCGTCTTCGACTTCACGCCGTTGACCGCCTCGGATGCCGTGCAGGCGCTGCGGTCCAGCGACACCACGCTCTTTGAGCTGCTGGAGATCTTCACTTCGGACACACTCGACGCCTACGAGGCTTTTGTGGCCGCCACCCCGCTCGCATCCATCTCTGGCGGCGTGCTCGCCGAGGCTGCCGACGCCCTGCAGACCAAGATGCGGCTTCTCACCCTCACCTCGCTGGCCGCTGCTACCCCCTCGCGCTCGCTCCCCTACGCTGCCATTGCCTCCTCGCTCCGCGTGCCCGCCTCCGACGTTGAGATGTGGGTCATCGACACCATCCGTGCCGGTCTCGTCGAGGGCAAGCTGTCGCAGCTGCGCTCTGAGTTCCTTGTCCACCGCGCTACCTACCGTGTCTTTGGCGAGAAGCAGTGGGCCGAGGTGCAGGGTCGTCTGATGGTTTGGCGCCGCTCGCTCGAGAGCGTGCTGGGTGTCGTTCGCTCCGAGCGCGAGCGCTTCGTCCGCGAAGGCATCCAGGCCGCCGCAGACCAGGAGGCCGCTGCCGTTGCGGCTGCCCAGGGCAAGACTGGCGACAAGGCCCGCTCGGGTGACCGAAGACGAAACCAACCCTCTCAAGCACGCGAGGTTGAGGCTGTCGGCGAGTAAATTTGAAGGGGTGTTTCTTTTTCTACATTGGACTGCATGAATGGGTGTTTTCTTTCGATGACGTGGAGTGGGAAACCTCCCACCAGAGCACACCAAAAAATTCTGTTAATAGAGGGAGGATGCCTCAGGGGGTCCTCTTTTCTTTTCTCCTTGTTCTTTTTTCTTTGTCTGTCACTGCCTTGGGCCAGTTGTAGGGATGGTTTTTATTTCTTTTCTCTTTTTTTTTATCCTCCCCCCGATGATGTTGGGATTCCCACGAGTCATGTCCTGTCTGTGTTCGTTTTGTGTATCGACGAATTCTCTTTTGTTTTACTTGCAGAAAACCATACTGCCTTAGACAGAGTTGGGCGCAGTAGAAGAACTTCCCTTAAAGAAGTCCAATGGCTACAAGCCAATAGAATAGTATCCACGAATGGATTCACCAAAAATCTACCCATGCAGCTGCATAAAACGAAGTCTACATTCTCTATGATTCATCTAGACAGGAAGTTGTCAGACACAAACTAGATGGTGTTTGCCCATACCCATGGATATCCAGACCAAATCCACCCAGTCTCACCAGCGGTCTATATACACCCACATTTGCCCACAAAGCAGGGCGAGCAGCAACCCTCAGCCCTTAGCGCGGGTCCAGGCCACGAGCCTGGATACCGGACTTGATCTCGGCATAGACATCATCAACCGAGCCAGTAGCCTTAACGGAAACAACCTTGTTCTGGGCCTGGAAAGCATCGACAACAGGCATAGAGGTATCAACGAAAGTACGGAAACGTTTGCGAATGGATTCGGCGTTATCGTCATCGCGGCCACTCGTCTCACCACGTTTCAGCAGACGCGACTCCATAACCTCTTCAGGGCAATCGAGGAACAGGACCAATTCGGACGGGCAGACGGTGTCCTCGAAGAAAACGGCCTGGTCGAGCTTACGCGGGAAGCCGTCGATCAGGAAGCGGGCCTTGGTGCCAGCGGGCGGCGGCGTCGCGGCCAGCGAGTCGGCCATGGCGTTCGACAGCAGCGCCACCGTGATCTCCATCGGCACGATCTTGCCCTCGCGGATGTAGTTGCGGATCAGCTCGCCGTACTGGCTGCCCTCGCGCACTTGCTCGGCGCGGAGGAGGTCACCGGCGGACAGGTGCACGAATCCGTAGTCGCGCTCCAGGTTGGCTGATTGCGTGCCCTTGCCGCTGCCGGGCCCGCCCAGGAAGAAGACCACGGTCACTTCCTGGGTTGAGAAGCGCGGGGATGAGGGGGTTTCTTGGGAGTTGGCCATTGTGGATAGATTTGTTGGTTTTTGTGGAGAGGTGTTGTGTATTGGAGAGAGTTTTGTGTTCGGTGGGGGGACGATTGAGAGATTGGAGGGGCAACACAACCGAACTCAGTCGAGAGCAATGCCGATCACTCTATCTCCCACTAGTTCGAGGGAGGCGATTGCCGGGCACCAGTTCGGGACTTAACGAGCAGAATGTACGATCCCGAGCTAATGCCGATAACCGCGAGGATGGGGAGGATCTTGAATTGCGAGCGGCCGGTTTGGGGCGACGATCGCGAGTTGTAGAGGCGGTGGAATCCCTCGGGGACGACACGCGAAGGAAGGACTCGTGTTCTGGAGAGGACTCCGGACGAAAAGGAGCGGGGGAACATGGAGGAGAAATCAAGAGAGAGAGAGAGAGAGAGAGAGAAAGCGAGAAGATGTGAGGCAAAAAGACAAGTTAAGGGGGAAAGTGCCGAAAGCGGATTTAGGTAGCGATCTACCACGGTTACTTGAAGATACTTGAAGAGAAATATTTGACTGCTTGATTTAATTATTTTATTTGAAAAAATTGATTTTGTAGTATCTATATAAATATTGCTTCGATTCTCGATGTTAGGATACACGCTATATTATCAACATCATAATATCTACACATAGATCTGGTTTAGGTAGCCCTGGGCATGGATTCGGACTATACTGCCTAGGACTATGGCATTCCATAACTTGCAGAGCAAAAAATCCAATATATTTACTATGGATATAAGATGCTGCATATTAAGGCTTTTCTATCTCTCGGTGTTACCTTGGGTATCCCTAGTGAAGTCTATAAATTATTTATATATCTCTTCTATCTTCCTTTCCTATTATTCTTCTATTTCCCTATTATGTCTTTACTACTTTCTCTTTGATTTATCATAACTTATACCTGAATATTAAGACTCATATTTCTAAGTTTCCCCTTTAGTATCTATAGTGAAATGTATGAATACTATTCATACCTCTCTTCTATCTTCCCTGATTATGTGACCAAGTCACCGGCTTTTGCCTCGTGAAGACTGGAAGCCGCAGACGTATTACTGATAGAATCTGTCTATTTCTTAGAATGTTTACGGCTTTGGTTCGAGCTGCTTGTTTGTTTTGTTTCACTATTTACAGTGGATTGGCGTTTGATCTCCCTCGAATGCTGCTTTAGTACTTGGAATCTCCAGTTGGTATAATAGCATTCTGAATTTAAATGATCACAGAGGTAAGTCTAGTTAATTCATGTCATTTCTTATTAACATAGTCTCTGATTAAATAATTCAAAATCTGATTATTGGGTGACTCCAAAGTGCTTCCCGATTAGGAAAGTGTTTGTTCCCTTCTGTTTTTTTTTTAAGATTACCCTTCAACAAACCAAGGACCGTTGGCCTAGTGGTAAAGTCGTTGATATATCAGCCACCAGCCCTGGGGATTGTTCAGCTGGTAAACTACCCCTCCTAATGTAAGTGGTAGTGAGGCCAGCTGAGACCCTCCATCTGCAGATAGCGCTATATCCTTTAACACCTACTGCGGTAGGACCAAGCCAAAGGTTCCTGGTTCAATCCACAGAGTGGATATCTTTTTTTCTTTCTGATTTTGTTCCCCCCTCCTTCCACTATCCCCCTAGTCATCATGATCTTGAACCATAATGCTATTATTTGTCCTATTACTCACTCCTCTTCTTGCCTAATAGGATATTGCTTCAACTTACTCAATAGTCGAATCTATCTAAACGCTTGATGCTCATTACTTTCGATATTATCGTCCAGGCTTCCTGATATACAGGCCATGGCTTACTATGAGTGGGGATATGTGTAATTAATATGTATTTAACGGAATGATTACATGAGGGTATTACTGCCTCGGGTATCTATGTAATTAACGCCTTGGTCACCAGTTTTCCAAGGCTGTTGCGAGCTTCATCAACCTATCGGCGTTCCCTGTCAACTCTCTTCCTTGTTCATGTAATTCTCAGAGATACCCTCCACATCTGGAAATAAATATTGGCTCCTCCCTTTGGGAATGACATCAAAGCCTGTGCATGGTTAGACCTCTCTCGGCTGGGACTTGCCAACCCGATCCACCAAACTGGACCCGGAGCTCCAGGTATAACTTGCGGGACATCCAAATCTTGCAAAATATCTGTTCTGAATGGCTAGAGTGAAGAAAATTCAGCCTGCCAGTCCTGCATCGCTTGCTTGTACCGAGTGCAGGAAACAGCATCTGAAATGCGATGCTAAAACGCCATTCTGCACCCGCTGTCAACAGAACGGTCTCCTCTGTCATTATCTTCCGTCTCGACGAGGTGGACGCAGGATACCTCGACAGGATACTTCATATAGCGGGGGCCGTCTTACGCAGTCAACCCCATCCACACATCTGCTATCAACGTGAGTGCCCGCTGTGTTGAGGGTTCTGCTCAGCTAAATTAATTGCATATAATACAGGTTTACTTCTAACTCGCTTCTAGCGAGCTCTTCTTCCCAGAGCGATGCTTCTGTCGATCGCCCATCGCAGACAGACGCGCATCCTGATCTCAGCATTCCTCCTGACCCGGTTCCATGGCCAGTGATTCTTCCTGGGGATGACTCTCGGCAAGCCCCAGCAGAACCTGTCAGCAAATCATGGTTATCCGATGATCGCTTACCACGCTTGTATTATGAAAACTTCCATGTGGCACATCCTATCCTGGTTCCCAGCGTCCTATATAGCGACCGGAACTACCCTCGGCTTTTGCAGCTAGTGGTGCATTTCGTGGGATCTCACTACATAGCGTCTATATCCAGTCAGCAGTACAAAGACCAGGTTGTTGCTGAGCTGCCCTCCACCCTAGACCGGTCGCCGTGCATGGTTCAGGCTTTGCTGATCTATTCTATTGCACTTTATGCTCGCGGCGAATGGCCTGAAGCCCAGGAGACGCTTTCTCGCGGCATTGATATTGCTTTGGGCCTCGGTATGAACCGGTGGGCATTCGCCTCGTCTGCTCACCCCGAGACCTCTACTGAGGCAGAGAGCATGAGAAGGACCTGGTGGGAGCTGTATATCACAGATATATTCATGGCCGCGCCACGCAAAACTATTACCTCCCGATGCAGCACCGTGCCCCCAGAGGTGGCCTTGCCCTGCGAAGAGTCGGTCTATAGTGGTCGCGGCGAAATGCCCAAGCCACGCATGATCATTGATTTCAAACGGCGGGTGTTCGCGGAAGACGACCCCGTCTTTTCATCTTTCAGCTACCGCATCGAGGCTACAACAATCTTATGTCGAGTCTTGGTGCTCAACCGGCTCCGAGACGGTCACCGCGATCACCTCCAGGCAGTGGAAAACGCGCTGGTGAGCTGGGTCAACCACCTGCCACCGAAGAAGCTAGACATTGTCGACTCGTACGGCAACGTCGACGAGATGATGTTCCAGGCGCATTTGACGATCGCCTATGCTGCGATGCTCCTGCACCTGCCGCGCAGTGATCTCCAGTCGGTGTTGTCGCAACCAGACGACCGCTTCTGGCCGGGGGCGCCGGGTCAGCTCTCATCGACATTTACCCGTCTTGTGCATAGTATTAAGGCCACGGAGGCCTCAAGACGCGTTTCGGACTCTATTTCGGTGTGTCCGAATGTCCCGAAACATACACCCTTCATCATCCCGGCGCTGGCCTTGTGCGGCCTCATCCAGCTCGCCACTTCGACGAGCCACTCGGAAGAGTGTTTCGACCACCACTGCAATCGGATCACCCTGATCCTGGGCTGTCTGAAAAGCACACGGCGGACCTGGGCCATGGCGGAGTCGGCGTACCACTGTCTCCGGTCGTCGGCGGCAGACGTCTTGTCGGACTCGATGGATAAGTGGAACGCCGAGCCGCTGGATCGACTCATCCCTACCGAGCTGGCGCCGGTCGATCCCGATCGGTCCACTCACGGCGAGCAACCTGCTACGTCTGTCATGGACGGCCGCGGCTTTACGCCGCCGGAGTTTGCTCCCGCGTTTATTGATCCGACTTGTTACAATGCCTCTTTTTTCAGCGCCATCCCGGAATTTGATCTCAACTGAGCCACCGAGGCAAGTCTGGTTTTGTTGTGTAGGCTCGGTCATTTTCTTGCAAAAGATGAGAGCAACGCCGAGAATGTTTTATGACTGGCCCATATAGACATGAACGAGGGAAATAGAACAATTGCATAATTGGCCACGAACCCATAGTGGTTGAAACTATTGAGTTTTTGGCGATCGAAGAATGCGAAAATCAGGTCGTGGTTGCAGACCTCCGTGATGCCTCCTATTCCCGGCTTTTGCGGATTTTGGCGTTCGCGGCCTTTGGGGCTCAACTTCTTCCTATGATGTCAAATACTAACAATTAGAGTATATCAAGGGCATGTATAAGCCAGTACCTTCCCTGGATTTGGCTTGAAGAAATCTATACATACCAACCACTTATTGTCTATTCACACTATGGCGAAACACCTCCCCAAGTTCCTCACCACCAAGTCTGCCGTCTTCGCGTTCACTCTCTTTGGTATCGGCACTTACTGTGCGCGATCCTATCTTCTGCCGACCGGACACGCCGAATCCTCTGAGCCCCCAATAGTGTTCTCGGGGTTCGGGCTTACGACTCTGCGCTTGCAAAGCGCCAAATTGGTCAACCACAACACCAAGCGACTTGTCTTCGAGTTTCCTGACCAAAACACCCGCAGTGGGTTGAGTCTTACTTGTATGTGAACCTGTTTAATTTAACCTAGAATATATGTATTTTTAAGGGAAAATTGCTGACTTGTTTAGTGGCACTTCTCACGATCACCCGCCCCGAAGGCCAATGGTTCCCCGTGCTACGGCCATATACTCCCATCAGCAGTCTTGGTGAGATAGCCCTACATTCAGAATCCATTATTGACACTACTAACATATCCCAATCAACAGACCAACAAGGCCACATCGAGCTCATGGTCAAAAAATACCCCAACGGCAAAGCAAGCAGCCACCTCCACTCGCTCGCCCCAGGCGACACCCTCACATTCGCCGCAGCACTCAAGGGATTTCCCTGGACACCGAACAAATTCTCGCAGGTGTACCTCATAGCGGGCGGAGCGGGAATCACACCAATCTACCAGCTCATCCAGGGAATCCTCAACAACCCGAACGACAAGACAAAAGTCCACCTGGTGTTCGGGGTCAATACTGAGCAAGACCTTCTCCTCAGAGACGAGCTGGAGCAGTATAAGACCCGGTTCCCGGATCGCTTCAATTATCTCTACACAGTTAGCCACCCGGCTGAGCAGCAGTCTTCGGCGCTGCGGAAGGGGTATGTGAATGAAGAGCTTTTGCGGGGGGTTGTTGATCGGCCTGGCAAGGATTCCCATGTCTTTGTGTGTGGTCCGCCGGCTATGGAGGAGGCGTTGGTCGGGTCGAAGAGTGCACCCGGGATTTTGGGGCGTTTGGGATTTGAGAAGGAGCAGGTTTATAAGTTTTAGGTGTTTTTTTTTTTTTACTTGGATTGTATGCGGATATCTCATTGCTAACATGTCTATGTACATCAATCCCTTTTCGATGCTGGCTTCTTGACATTTGAAGCAAGTAGATCAAGCAGTTCGTAACTTTGTAACCCCTATTCTATTAACCCAACAGATATTCGAATCGATAGGACAACCTTCATTTCTTCTCACTGGCTGCTCCCCTTGACTAATTCATTGAAAGTAGACAAATGACCCATTCGGTCTGTAAACCCCATATCTTCTCTTATCCGCCACCGTTTGATCCATGGTCGTCACAAGCAAGTCAAATGTGTACTGCGGGACATGTTCCAAGAGTTCATTCTGAAGGACATCCAAAGTTCCATCTTTCCCCGGTCTCAACTCGGTAAGGTGCTCCATCGTCAACCTCACTGCCAAATCTTGCAGGCCTCGATCGGTTTGAGGAGTAGACGTATAATGTCCCGAATCATATCGGGGAAGAAGTCCAAATCGAGCTTCTGGTGTAGCTCTCCCTCGAATTTGCTCTTTGGGGGAGTCTTCAAGCCTTCGATTAGCATCCGATCGGCAAGTGAATACATCGTGATGGGGAAAAACAGAAGATGCCAGCCTTCCGATGTTTCTGTTTCGGGTTGTTTCCCCGGTTGGTTTGCGGTACTTTTGTTTTGTTGCACCTTTTCGTCCTGAATGAAAACATTGCCCTTGGAGCTTTTTGGCATGGGATTTTCAATCACCTTCTCTTTCTCCTTAAACATCGAGGGACCACCTGCCGATTCATCCTTGGGGTCTACCCGGTAATCCAAGGTGTAGAGATATTCCACCACCTGCTGGACCAAAGATGGGTCCTCTTGTAACGTGACTCTGTTGGAGGCAGATTCATGGGAAAATAAAAGAGAGCATTAGCAGGATTCTCCTGACTGTGGATTTCACAACATTTGAAATTCTGGACTTGAACCCCCCAATCACAAGCTTTGGCGAAGAACCCTGACCGAGAACAAACTATGCACTTGTGCACAGTGTAAACTTGGTCTTCGCACACGATAGTGAGGTCGCTATATTTGGAGTCAAGGTGTATCCTGTCGTTTTGTCTTAGACTTTTCTTTTGGTGTGTTGATGTGTAGGTTTTAAAGTGGGCTAGGTACCTTGCAAGAGCCTCCAGGAGCTCATATCCGAGGTTAGTGTTGAATAAAGCCTTTTCAAAGATGTTCTTGTGCCTTGGAAGATGGTTGTTTGATGGATTTCCGCTTAAGAATGATGAGGAAGTATTGAGACATAGAGTTGAAGATGGAAAGATGGGAAGACGAGAAGATGAAGAAGATGATGATGATGATAAAAGCTTGCAAACAACACGCTAATCCCTACTAAAATAAACAATAATAGCTAATCTACCAAGTTCTTTTTGATTGTTGTCTCTTGTCGCTGAATCACTTGTGAGCTCTATTTGCCTTCGGCGCCTATAGGAGTAATTAATAGCACTATATCTGCCACACTATCATAGTATACCTACCAAACTAATCTAATATACTTTTAAAGGCAGGTAGCTATTCCTAGGATATACGAATACTTCTTTTTAACACATCTATATCTTATGTGGTTGTTTATTTGATTTCCAGACTCCGACAGAACCCGACAAAAGCCGACCCATTCCAATCTATGCCCGAAGCCAGTGTCAGTATAAAAGATAGTACATCTACCTAGTGACTGCACCATTAACAAAGTATACTTAACGAAGATATTATATTTATATATTTCTATACCAACCACAGCATCTCCATTCTCCATGCTCAATACTATCGCCCTAGTCCAGGCCGTGGGAATTACATCCTCCCTCTGGGTTTCTGGTAAGTAGCAGAAAAAAAAAAAAAAAAAAAAGATCCTATACACCCAGCTAGTCCAATGATAAAAAGAGAAAATATACTTTCCCAAGTATATCCATTAACAAAAATTAGGATCAATGTTCTCCTGTTCCGCCGGAGCGACCGCCGCCCAAGCAGCCACCGCAACATCCCCAACCCTCGCCGCGCAACAATGGCTAGGAATATGGAAAAGAGGCCACTATACCGGGACCCCGCTAGTCCTGATTTCCGCAGGCTGTTTCACCTGGCTGAAATACTGCACTTCCCACAATATCTATCTCGCGGCGGCGGCTTCGTGTCTGGCGGTTACGCCGTTTACTGTTTGTTTATTGGTACGGCATGAGGGGTTTTTATCTGCTGCTGCCCTGGTGAATGATACTGGGGACAAAGAGAAAGAGTCGATTCGTGCTAGCGAGATTCGGGAGGCGCTGGGTTCTTGGGGTTTTTGTAATATGGTTCGGGCGGTGTTTCCGTTTGTTGCTGGGGTTGTTGGTTTGACTTCTATTTGTACTTGAGAGAGAGAGAGAGAGAGATTTTGTATTTTACCTGCCATGAGACACAAATCTCATATATCCAAGAAGAGCCAGAAAAAGCTAATTTACGCTATAGTCTTGTGAACATCAAGTCTTTTACTGAAGTATATCAGCCCGAGACTTGAAGAAACGTGGATTATTTTTGATCAAATGGTGTTCTTCTGACATTATCGCCAAGACCCTAACTCTGCATAGCATTTCCTTCAATCGCCATGTATTCCACATCGACAAAATAAGCACTGGATTCCACTTCCCCCGAGGACTAGACTCCGCCAGTGACGCAGCCTGGGGCCGAGAATGACCAGGATATCGATCCTGTCAGCCACGAACTCCCAAAGATTCCCCAAATGCATTCTCACATGCTGGTTTCATATAAAGCAATGGTACAAAGTGCACCCATGACTATGGACTGAGTATTTATATCAGCCATGAAGCACAATTCAGGACTCTCTACAAGAAGAATTATAACAACCAAAAGATATCAGAATGAGGGAATGAAATTAGATGGTATGTACATGAGGGAAACCTCGCCAAGCAAAAATATAGATATCTAGAAAAAAGAATGGTAGTATATGCGGTTCCAAGGCAGTCCAACCCAAAAAGATAAGAGAAAAAAAAAAAAAAAAAGCCAAGCCAGAAACACCAGACGGGGGTATGAGAAAGGAAATGCAGGAAATGATCATAGCCCCTTGCATCCCTAAGTCACCCTTTTTGTTTCATCTTGTCCTTTTTTTTGGTTCTTTTCGTTCGGGCCCCACTGTTGATCATTCTGGTCCCCAGATATATCGGGGATGCAGATCGAGAAAAAGAAAAAGAAAAAGAAAAAGGCGCAGAACGCGCTAGTCATGTACAAAACATAGGAAAAAGAAAGACTGGAAATAAAACCGAATCAACTCAAACACGAGAGGATTGTACCTGCATCTGCTCTGTGAGAAGACCCTCGTCTTGGGGGACATGCAAGTAAGAGCGCATACGGCGGCGGCGACACACACGGAACAAGATGACCCCAACGCCACCGACGACGCTAACCGTCACGATGAAACCCAGCAGGCCGAGCACCTTGCGGATGAGCTCGGAAGCCTGGTGGACATCCTGGGCAAGCTTCTTGGCGTCCGAGTACACGCCCGGCTCGCGATGGGGCGCTGCGGGGTCGCCATTGCCCGTGGAAGCCTGCACGTCCTCCATGGTCGAGTAAATAACCGCCGGGTTTTCCGGCGAGGGCCCGTTGTCAGCACCACGGAAGCCCGCAGCTTTCCAGTCCATCGGGGTCTTACTGCGATGCACGTCCGAGGATCCCAGCGACGAGTCGTTGCGATCGATGCCCTCAACGGAGATCCAGTCCATGTAGCCGTTAGCAATGAACAAGGTCTCAAAATCGGTCTTGTTGGTACTCCCAATGAATACGGGGGTGCCCCGGTCCCAGGACCGGGCGTAGAACTTCCATGAGGCCACCTCTGTGGCGCCGTTCCAGCTGACGTGGATGGTCGTGCTCAAGTCGTCCTTGTTGGTGCCGTAGACGGCGGCGACCACAGCCGGCGGCGTTTTGGGGCGGCCGATAAACTCCGACTTGTATGTGCGGTAAGTCGAGAAACGCTCCGAGGCAAAGCGGGCGGTCATCAACACGTCGCCGTTCGGTGCGTGTTCGCTCTGGTAGCCCCATTCGCTCCAGCCGGCGAACAGGTTGTCGTTGGGGAGCACCTGGGCGCTGCCGCGGAGCTTGGTCATCCCTTTATCGGGACGGTTCACGCGCCGGATGACCTTGGCCGTCCCAGGTGTGACGCTGGTGTCAAGCTCAACGACGAGGGCCGACGATATCGGCTCGACCTCGGCACCTTCCCAGCCGCCGTTGTTCAGAATCGAAATGACATGGCGGGTGCCGTCGGACTCGACGAAACTGGCATCATGTTGCTGAGAGAATACAAAGTCCTGGATGAAGCTGCTTTCTTTCCCACCGAGCCGCCAGATGATGTGGCCATCCGCGCCCGAAATCAGATAGATGGTGCTCGTAAACCGCATCGAGATGAGGTAGTCGCCGGCGGCATTCTTGTCGACCGAGTTGATGTGCACGTAGTCGGCGGCGTCTTCAATGGGGTGATTCGGGTCCTCTGGCTTCAGGATCTCCGACTCGTGTGGGGCGATCTTGTCGCGGGAATCCCACTCGGTGATAATCTGACTCGTTGTGGTGTCGAGCTCGACAAATCCGCCTAGGACAACACCGGTTTCCTCTCCGGGCCGCCCAAAATCGGCCAGGTTGATCATCATGCGTCGGTAGGTGCAGGCCAACGCCGTCTTGCCACCGGGCAGGACGGTGAACTCGTGCATGTTGAAGTCGTGAAGGTCATTGACCACTTGCACTTCGTTCTTGATCTGGTATTTGTGATCCATCACTACTCCGTTTCCCTTGTGCGAGTCGTCATGCTTCCACCCGACGATCCATGACAGGTACCAGTCGTCATCGATGTTGTGTACCGGCTTGAAATCGAAAGTATTGCGATTGTCATAAACGGGGGAACCAGCCCAGACGAGTTTCTAGGTTCAATTCCGATCAGTGAGGTGTAAATCGAGATCATGAGGCATCACATACGCCATCGTTGTCGTAGATATACGGGCCGACTTGGAACTGCTGATATTTCTGGGTGGGGGCCTCTGGACCAATGCCCGAGTACGGTGCGACGAACCAATATCCGGGGGCTAGGCGAGTGCGGTCGTGGTGTTCGACATTGAATTTCAAGGCTCGGACACCAGGAAGCTGGAGAATGCAATTAGCATCAATAGCCGAGATCTCGCTCCCCCGCTTCCCTACATACCGTCACAAAGGACATCAAATCATCGTCGAAGGAGTTGGCAACGACATTATGTACCAACGGCAGTAATGACAATGCTTTCCAAAGATACATGGTGCTTGAAAGGAGTGGTTCGGAAGAAAGACCTTCCTGAATGAATTCAATCTGGCAAGTGTCAAGACACTCCGAATAGAACAAAAAAAAAAAAAGATCCGAAGGAAGGGATAAGAAAGAAGATCGCTATGAGACTGACGGAAGCCACGCGAGCATGTAGACCGACCGTTCAGCCCTGTCAAAAAGAGAGAGAGAATGAAGGGATAATAGGAAAAGAGTGTATAAGATGAAGAAGGGGGGAAGAAGAGAGCACACGCGACATTCCAAGATACGCCTAGAAAGCGACAACGTAATTGCCGCGATGGGAGTCCTGACGATCCAGCAGGACATGCTTGGCAGGCCTCGACGGGTGGAGCTGCGTACGAATCCCGTGGGTGGCCTCAGTCGACTCAGGATGTGACTGGATGTGTGGAGTTGGCTAGTTGATGGAGATGAGATTTTGTCTGAATCAAACAGTGTGGTTGGCTCCCCTGGCCTTTCAAGAGGGGACCGGGGGTTGATTTCCGCGCAAAGCCGAGTTTCCATGGGAGGCAAAAAGGGAGAGTTGGTGCTTGGCAATGGATCCTAGTCCTTCTCGCTCGGTTATGATATTGGCTTATTCTATCCCGATCAACCGGGGCGTTTGCGTGGCTCCACCTCAGGGGTAAAGCCTGAAGATGGCCAAGTGGAAATGTCACGAAAAAAAAAGCAGAAGAGACGAAAAGAAAAGAAAAAGAAGAGAAGAGAAGAGACGAGACTTGCGAGCATCAAAGCACCGCTCCACGCTCCACGCTCCACTGGTTACGGGAAGTTAAACGACGCTCGGCAGTCGGCAAAGCCCAAGGCTGGGGAATATGGTGACTAAGAATCGCCTGGTAGGGCAGACCAAACACCACCACGCGCGATGGCGTGCTCCGATTAAGCTTCATTTAAGGTCCACGCTATTTTGTGGGGGTTTTCTGCTCTGTTTCGACTTCACTTTCTATCATTTTTTTTTCGTGTATTCCTTGATGGGTGGTTCGTCGAGTGCAGGCGGCTGGTAGGCGAGAAGCTCCATCACCGCAATGAGTAAAAGACCCTCGGTGGCCAACATGTCCTTCAAATCCAAGGTGGGCCACAGGATTCCCTGACACACCTGCGCGAGATTGATTCGAGACAGACTGGCCGGTCCATCATGCGTGATGGCGTCAATAGCTAGGGCCCATGCAAGGGGATTGTACAGAACCCCGTCGTGAGTATAAAACCCCCCTGCAGGCTGGCCGGCACAGACCGTCTGGAGATGGGCATTGGTGACCCCGACGTTGCGCACATCGCCGAGACGCGCCGACGCGTTGGGACCGGACATGGGCTGGACGATATTGTCGAAGGACGAGTACACTGTCGTTGTCGGGACATATGCCGAGTCGCCGTCGTCAGTACGCAGCGTCTGGATAAACTTGGTGTCCCATCCCTGCTGCCAGAGAGAGGGCGTGCAGACCGCCAAGGCCAGCGCCGGGCAGACCAGGTACCGTTCCACAGTGCCGTGGAAGTCAGGGCTCATCGCTACAAGGTCCTGTACGACCTTCCGGGTTGACGGCCAGTACTTCAGTGCCCACTGCGTGTTCAAGTTGCCCTGCGACCACGCGATCACGGCCACGCTCCGCCCTCCACACAGCGCCGAGAGGTACTGAATCGCATAGGCGACGTATTCCGAGTTGAGCTGCGCATCCGACAGCGCTGCCCGCGGGAGATTCACCCACACCACATCGGCTGCAGTAGTCTTGCCCAGCTTGCTGAAGCTGAAGTAATAAGTGGTGCCTCCGGGAATGCCTGTTCCGGGCACAAGGAGTACCGGTGTTTTCCCGTCGCGACCGTAGGAGAATGAGTCGGGGATGTATATAGCCGACCGGAGCTTGTGCTCCGGGATCGAGTACGGCGCATCACCAGCCACAGAGGGGTAGATGCTCTTGTTGATAACCGGATTTTGATTCTGGAGTGAATTGATCTCGCTATCCAAGTATCCATCCAGCAACGACAGAATATCTTCCGGGATGAGCCCGGCCTTGGTGATGTCTCTGGCTAAATCGACGATGCTCGATGCGTCCCCATTGGACATAATTTGTTCGATCGTAGACAATGCCGAGTGTGCAGATTTCGGGGTTTTATCGGGGTTTTGCTTCAGCTGTGATACGATATCTGCCATCGTCGCCGAAGTGCCCTTTTCTGTGTCGGGGTTGTCGATCGCGTTTGACAAGGAGGTGAAGAGGTTCGGTGCGGTGACAGCAGAACGAGAAGTCACCGGGGATGCGATAACACCGTATGCGAAACTCGCACCAAGGACAAGGCTCGCCCTCATTTTGAAAATGAGAGTAACTGACCAGGAAAATTCGAGGATTCAAGGATCCAAGGGGGTTCAAGGAATCAAGGGGGGTTCAAGGGTAGGGTGTTTCCCCCGTTCAAATACCCCATGCCAAGTGTGCCCAGCACACATTGGCATGAAGCCTCTGAATTTTGTGTCATTTCTTTTCAGAGTTACGTCCTGCAAGCATCTTTCCAAGATTGGCGCTATTGGCTCTGTTACTATAAAGCACTTCACCATTTCGGCCTTGGTAATGCAGATCATATAGATCGGGCCAATCTCATGCCTTCTCCCCGCAAACCCCGCCTCGTGTTTACTTGTTTACCCGTGAGATATCTCGGGAGATGCGATATTGATATTGTATGCGGCCACTGTGTAGCTTAATCTTGTTTATGGATACTGCTTCTCTAACGTGGTAGGGTTATGGGCCACGCGATGTCCATGTTGGTCGACATAAATGACCTGCCTCGAATGAGTCACAGCCACAAAGCCACAACTTCAGGTGGTTTTATCTTGCACAGAAAAAATGCCAAAAAAAAAAGACTTGCCTTTGGAGGATTGGCGACTCCCTCTTCCCGAGCCCCAGCTTCATCCATGACGATCTTCTCTACCTGCGCCAAGCGTCAGCACGGGCCTATCCGTGGATGTTGCGAACACGAGGCCTAAAGAGAAGCATAAAGAGAACATGAAAACAAAAATGAAGTCATAAACAAAATAAGAAAGGACAACTATGATACCTCGCCTTCATGTGAGCCACCCCGATACCTGGTAAAGACGGTGTCCCCCTCGAGGATGGTCTCCCCTTTTTTGTCTTTGACTTTTTCGACTGACATGACAAGTACGAATATCGCCAAGCACACGGGTAGTGGATATTTGATATCTTCGGTGCCCGGTTTGTAGGTAACCTCAGGACAATTTATACCGAATTGTATAGATGATGTGATGCTTGCACCGGGCTGATGTCATGGCCCTAGTGGATATTCTGAATATTCATTATCGTCTTGTCTATTCAGCAAAGTAGGCAACAATGATGTCCCGACTCGGTCATCGAAAGACGTTTATTTTAGGTTTAACCTTGTTTGAGCGCTAAGCTCGACATCGGACTTTCCATGAAGCATAACAAGCCACATTCATTCGAGTCCAATTCCACACTGATCAAGTCTATTTCCGCCGCCCAGCGTTTCGATTCAAGAGAAAATCCTACTGTCCAGGTTAATCTCACCACGAATAAAAATAAGTAGCCTTCAGCAGGCAAGCACTTTACTGCTCACTTACCTAAATTAGGTACTTTTCGTGTTATTATTTCCTCGGGGGCATCAACCGGTACCAAGGAGGCTGTTGAGCTGCGAGATGGCGATGCCCATGCTTACAGTGGCCGCGGGGTCCAGAATGCTGTCTCAAATGTTGAAACTATCATTGCACCGAGTTTGATCGACAATGGGCTTAGAGTGGATACGGATCAGAAACGAATTGACCAGCATTTAAACATATTAGACGGCACGAAGAACAAAGAGAGGCTTTGAGCAGACGCTATTCTAGGTGTGAGTATGGCATGTGCTAGAGCTGGTGCTGCTGAAATAGTAAGTTCTGGCCTCAAGTGCGAACACCATGTCTTTTTAACTTATCTATTTAGGGCGTCCCTCTATACAAGTTCCTACGGGGAGAGGCTGGGACTAAGGAGCCCTTCGTAATGCCCGTTCCCTTCTTCAATGTATCAGATGATGCAATTGTACCAGCCTTTGCTGCAAAAATACCCCATCGACTTACTAGAAGACCCATTTGCGGAGGAAGATTGGAAGAGTTGGGAGGAGTTCAATAAGGACTGTCCTGTTGAGTTCGTCGGGGATGACCTGCTGGTCACAAACACGGAGTATGTGCAAGTGGCGGATGAGAAAAAGGCATGTAATACCATGCTTCTCAAGATCAGTCAGATTGGAACCGTCTCAGGCGCAATCGAAGTGTCAGTTTCGGACTCATGCCACATATATTTTTTAAACGGTCTGCTAACTCTCTCTAGAGCAAATATGGCCCATGGCTTGGGCTGGGGAGTCTTTGTCTCTCACAGATCGGGCGATACGACCTATGACTTTATATCAGATATGGCGGTGGGTTTGAGAACTGGTCATATCAAGTCCGGTGTACCTTGTCGCCGTGAAAGAGTTGCCAAATATAATCGGCTCGTGGACATTGAAGCTGAGTTGCTGGGAAATGGAGAGCAGTGCCTTTATGCCGGGTCCAACTTCCGGACAGCGTTCAATCAATAAGATTGAATGGAGAGTGAGGGTTATTACCTTTTCCATCCTATATTCTTACCCCTGTACAAGGTCCTAGCCAAGATCCTACAGTACCGTTTTTTACTCTTTTCCCTCGGCATCAAGTCGGGACTAAACGCCAAAACAGGAACAAACCCGAAGCACGAAACCCGCCTGACGTGTTTATGGTTGCAATTCCTAATGCAATGCAGCATGCAACGGCCGTCACGGAGTGTTTATCTGGGTGGGGGAGGTGAGTTACATCGTGGAGGAAGATGTTTCAGATTTCCGAGGAAACCCGGTTCATTCGGGTAATACGACCTGGAGAACATAATCTGGGGATTCGAGAGATTGCAGTCTTGGCGTGGGAAATAAAGTAACTAGCAGCTAAATGATGGTTTTTAGTCATATATCTAGTCTAGGTTTTTGATATTCAGGGGGAGAAGAAAATAATAAAAAATAAATATTGTGTAAAAAAAAATTAGAGAATGGTCGAGCCTTCTCCTATAATGGAAAACACCAAACACATCCACTTAGGCACTTGTTAGTTAAGTAGAATGCGATGTTGTTGGATTCCTGAGTCTCGCGTCCAGGAACCTCGTCTGCCTCATCACACTGCAATGGCATCCATGCATCTTGACTTCCCCTTCTTGATTCAAGAGATATAGCAGTTGATATAGCAGAATAGTTTAGATAAAAGAAAAGGCGTATATTATATAAAGATATGAAGTTTATTATGATATTACTGATGATGAATATAGTAGGTGGAAGAGAGGCCTCCTAGCCGCTTAGAGTGGAGGTGTGCCAAAAAAATTCTGTAGGACCGAGCTCTGTATAAGGCTCCCGAGGTCGATCCGTTTCCGATATGCATTCATACATAGGGGCGGTGCGGTTCTGAAATGGGGTGCTTACGGTTCTACGAGGGGCCCCTTCCGATTCTAGAACTACCTTACGCTATCAGACTTTAAACGAAACCATATATAATACTTCAATTATAACTCTTTGCCTATATCCATACATGCAGACTATTAGGCAGTATTTAGGCTATACACCCACCCTCTTAACATTGCTTTTGCCCCCTTCCTCGCTAGCTGTGTGCCCGGCAGGTGTTGGGACAGCCCGAGTAGCAAGGCTGCCAACCGACAGGTATAGATGGGGTGATACGAGACTAAACAACCCTATAACATATATAAATTTGGTTTACTGCTACATACATATTTGTATGTCATACGTAACTCAACGAGGAAAAGGACTGAACTGGCCAAGGGTCGTTCGGATATAGTAAATATATTTTCATATATATATATTTCATCTATCCCCTTTTCGAGGTCACCCTTCTTCCCTATTGCAACAGATTTGTTTTTGTTTCGCTTTTTACAGCTGGAATCAGGTTGTTTCAGCCAAGTGGTCACGTCCAGCTACCCACTGTATTTGGCAGGACCTTAAGGAAGTTTGGTTAGAATCCTTCGGGGCACATATAACACATGAATATATACTGATAGAATCCTTCGGGGCACATATAGTATGAAATGTGCTAGCCGTCCCCTAAAGTTGGACCCACGGCGCATTTGTAGCTGTTGGTCCTCCTTACAGGAGCGTAAATCCCTATAGGAACGTAAATTTTATTTAGTTTTTGATTTCTCTACTATACTAACTATACTAAAATCTATCGATATTATCGAAAATCCGCTTATTAAAGCCTACGAAGTAGCAAAACGCGAGAAAAAAAAAAAAAAAAAAAAAAAAAAAAAAAAAAAAAAAAAAAAAAAAAAAACTAATAATCGCGTTACTAACACGCGAATTTGATATTCCCTATTATCGACTTCGCGTTAGAATTTAAGGCTAACTACCTAAAATAACTAATCTCGTAGTTAAAAAACTTTTAATAATTCGTAAAAGAAAACCCTGATTCGCTATATTCGATAGCTTAATTCGCTATAAGTTTCGCCTATAATTTGTATGATTAAGGACTATACGAACTAGATTTTAAAGCAGAATACTATGGACGACGCGCTATGTATAACGAGAGGAAAATAGAGAGAAATTGATATCAGACGAAAGCTAATTAGCTACTGAAGAACCTCCTCTATTATTTTTAATTCAATTAGCGAAGTTGTGGATTAATTCGATGAAAACGAAATGAAATTTGCGTTCCTATAGGGATTTTACGTTCCTGTGAGAGGACCAACAGCTGCAAATACGCTGTGGGTCCAACATTAAGGGACGGCTAGTAGAATCCCTATGGCATTTACGCTGTGGTTTGGGTCCGATTATAGGGGACGAATATAAAAAGATAGCTGCAAAGGTAATTTTACCTTCTGTTCTTTGATTTTCTTCGACCTTCAAATATCCATTTACGTTGTTTCTGGGCTTTATCATCCAGCCAATCTCATGGCCTCTTATACTATACTTCGATTTGCTTTTGTGATCTTTCTAGCCTTGGTTTCTTTTCTAGGAACTCAAGTACGGGGGCTGGCAATCGAGGCAAGGGCTAAAGAGCCAGCTTTCTTAACCCAGTCTACTGAAGGTTAGATTCTCAGTTCATCCATGGATTGCTTTCTTAAATGGTGACTAATTCTTCTGAGCAGTGCTAGAGAAAAAATACAAAGGTCTCGATAGGGGCAAACTGCTCCCAAAGCCACTTTCAAATATATTCTTTACATACAATGACGATATCTGGTTCGACAACCATTTTGCGTCAACGGCCCGGTATTTGAGGCAATATCCACCGAATTTGAACTGGGATACTATGCTCGATCAAACCATCAATCCATTTTCAGGAGATCATCCTTATTATGGTGCAAGCCGCTTGCCTGGGATTAACAACGACATCATCCTGTCCTCCTATATTGCATTACATGTGTGTATCCCGGACCCTCTCTTCTATAAATTGATTCGAATGACTCACGATTTTCCAAGTCCCCGTTGCAATTGGGAAAAGGGCAGAAAACCTTGTACTGGGATATTGTATGGGAAAATGCCAAAAACAACGCAGTGCTTGTTAGCTTGCTTGACTCTAATTCAAAGCTAGCAATGGAAAAGGATGATGATCTGATACCCCCTCGGAAGGATGACCCACTCTTTGTCTACGCGATAGATGAAAACAAGGGGGATTTGACTTGTGATGTCAAATACATTGTTCATTTGGAGGGAAGTGAAAGCCACCATGGTGGACTGATCCTCTATCGCAAAATTCGTCTTGTGCGAGGTAGAAGGTCTTTGAGGCTTCACTTCATCCACTACACTGCATGGCCGAATAGCAGGGCGATCGGCGTCGAAGACATGACATCACTGATCAAGGCTGTTAACGCAAAGAATGTCGCGGGCAACCCAGTTTTTGTGAATTGTTTGTATGGGCTCGGAAGGACGGGCACATTCATTATATCTCGGGAGATATACAATGTGGCCCAAAAACGAAGACAGGCCGGGAAAGACTGGTTCCAACAACGAGGGGCCAATGGCGCAGATCCAATTGAGGAATATGTACACACTCTGCGGATTTTTCGACATGACATGGTCGACAACGTGCGGCAGTTCAAATTCCTCTACGAATGGGGCAATACTGTCTGGCAAAAAGTTTCTGGCCGAGGGAACAAACAGCGGGATGATGAGGGTTTAGGGTCACAGGAATCCTAATCGACAAACCCTAAGTCCCAGCCATGGGCGTCGGAACGATCCTGGATGCAAGGGTGTGCACTGATGTTGAATATTCGTATTTGAAAAGTGTTTATAGTAACCAAGAACTTTCAGACTCTCAGTAGTATTGTTTTGCAGGACTGGAGAAACTCCGTGGGTAAAAGCTAATTATCGAAAAGTACCATGACCCAGCCAAGGGCAATGACACCATTTTGTTAGTCCCTTCCTCCGTCGCATGGGATTGACTATTCATTGACCGCGATATAGACCATGCCCTCAAGCAAATGAAGTATGTGGACTGCGATTAACAGACGTTTGGTTGATAGTATTTCCCTGATCATTCTGGCAATAGAACGGCTGGGCCCAAGTGGCGGGAGTCTGAACACGATGCTGAGCGTCTTCGACTGGCTCTCGTTATCGGAAATACTGAACTCAACCGATCCATGGACCCTGGCATTCAAACTCAGGTGCTTCGGGGGTAAGAGGACGATCGGACGCGGCAAAAATGCAGTAGGTTTTGGTTCATTCCGTGTCTGGTGATCTTATCCCTGTTGAGAATTCCATCTACTGTATTTTGAATCCCTTACAGTCTATACGGGGTAGAGATTCATGTTCAACCATTTCCACCCCTCACAAAGGAAATATCAAGCAAAACTAGACCTTGGATATCAGAATCACCCCGAGCGAGGGCATGAGAAACGAGAGTGCCCCGGGCAAGTGAAAATTCAGATTTGATATGGTGCATATCTGTTGTTGGAGAGGATCCTCATTCTCAAGATTTAGTTTAGTGCCCGGGTGGGGACGCGACGCGGCAGTAGAGATAGACATGTAGACTGGAAATAGAATATATAAAATAGAGTGACAAAAAGAAAAAGGAAAGGTGGGTTGTGGTCAGTGATTTCCGATGAAGATATAACAGGAAGAAGAGAAAGAAGAGAAAAAGACGAAAAAAGAGAGCAACTTGGCAGAAGATAGATGATCCCCGGTCCCACATGAGTGTAACCGTGCCCAGTTGGGCTACCACCGTTGCAGCCAAGGGGGCCATTGAGTTATGTACATACCAATATCTTCTTTATATACATGGGTGTATCTTATATGCTGATATGCTTATATTCTTATGTTCTATGATCATGGTGATAATCTTAAATCGAGATAAGGATGACAATTTCTATTAGAGTTGAATCAATGACCCTGATACTGTTCCTACTATAGAGTGTACAGCATCAAGTTCTTGCATACATTCAAAGCACAACCATCCGATACACCCGAATATCCCGTCCATCCTACATGGAGTACATGGAACTACCAAGGTCCCTTGACCTTAAGTGAAGGATGCCTAGCATCTATGTAAAGTGCGAAGTAATCCAAGCCTCCAAGGCTAAGTATACCAGATGCGACTCTGTAAGTTACCGTCACAATACCATACCCACTTCGCATTGCGACACCGCAAGGGCTTCTTCTCTCAGTTGCACTTGCCGTGACACTGTCAACCCAGGAATGGGCCAATGTTGATCCATGCTTGACTCTGTTGACTTCTCCTCTCTACTTCTGATGTGGGGATCTCTCGATCTCTCGTGTCTCTCTCACTCCCTTGACTTCTTTTTGCCTCTGCTACACTCCATCCACTTGACACGACTCCACGGGAGTGTCACCTCGACCGGGTCCCGATTCTTATACCTGATATTGCCCCTTTCAATCGTCTCTCTTCTCTCCCTCTCTATGGTTCCCCCGCGCCGCTAGTATCCCTCTCGCACAACTCATGCTGTGTGTCTAAATTCCGCTATCTCACTTCACGCTCCCCCCCCCCCCGACTCGATTCTCCCGACCATGCCGGCCCCGCTAGTCAAGATCTTGCACCGACTCCAGGAACTGTTCCATAACGTGGTGGCCGCCCTCGAGACCATGGTCCTCTTTCCCTCGCTCTTCCGCGGTTTCTCACGCCGCCGCCGAAAGCCGTTCCTCGGCGCCCATTGGCGACGTCGCACCCTGGATGATTTCGCCGACGAGATCGATTCGTTGTTCACGGCGCCGCTGTCCACGCGCAAGATGGTTGATATGTCCGAGAAGATCCGTGCCCAGTTCCACCACTGCCTGCAGTCTAGCCCCGTCTGCATGCTCCCCTCGTACAACCACGCCCTGCCCGCCGGCTCCGAGAAAGGCACGTATCTGGCGCTCGATGTGGGAGGATCGACATTCCGTGCGTCGCTGATTGAATTGAATGGGCGCGAGGAGGGTGTGCGCATTGTACGGACATCGTCGTCCTACATCGATAATGAGATCAAGTTGCTGGAGGGACCCCAATTCTTTGACTGGATGGCCGAGCAGATCGAGAACGTGCTCCAGGAGGTGGGCGCTGATTACGCTCGTGGGGAGGCTTCCCTGGCGATGGGTCTGTCGTGGTCATTCCCCATCGACCAGACGTCCAATAATAGCGGGCTGATCATCCCCATGGGGAAAGGGTTCATGTGCTCGAATGGCGTGGTCGGACAGGACCTGGGCGATTTGATGATCCAGTCTTGTCGCAAGCGCAACCTCAACGTGGAGGTGGCCGCAATTTTAAATGACAGCTCTGCTGCTCTCCTTTCGCGCGCCTATGTCGACCCTAAGACTCGCATGTCCCTCATCCTGGGGACGGGTACCAACATGGCAATTCATTTCCCGGTCCACGATATTGGACAGGCCAAGTTTGGGGTTCGCCCGGAGGGCTGGTTCGACTATGCCAAGCATGTAATCGTCAACAGCGAAATGAGTATGTTTGGCGGCGGCGTGCTCCCCATGACCCGGTGGGATGACATCCTCAACCGCACCCACATGCGCCCTGACTACCAGCCCCTCGAGTACATGATTACCGGTCGATACCTGGGCGAGATTGTGCGCTTGATCATCGTTGAGGCTGTCGAGACCGCGCGCCTCTTTGGTGGCGAGCTCCCGCACTCCATGCGTGAGCCCTATTCCTTGGACACTAGCATCGTCGCCTTCCTCGAGGAAGACTCGACCGCTTCCCTGGCTGGCTCCGCCGCCCTCCTCCAGAAAGAACACACTTTCCCGTCCTACCCCTCCGTGGAAGACCTCCGGTTCCTGCGCCATGTCTGCCACGTCGTGTCTCGCCGCGCCGCTGGGTACATGGCGACAGCCATTCACAGCATGTGGTGTCTGCACAACGAGGTTGAGTCCCCTGGGTCAGCAGCAATTGTCGACCCGCTGGCCAAGGAATCGCCGGAGATTACTGTTGTGGAGAGCAATGACTCATCAAAGAACATGTCCATTGCATGCGACGGTGCCGTCATCAACAAATACCCGGGCTTTCGCGATACCTGCCAGGATTATCTGGACCAGTTGACCGAGCAGACGCACCCTGCCACTGGACCTTCCATCCGCCTCGACCCTGCTCCCGAGAGTGCTATCCTTGGGGCGGCCGTTGCCGTCGCGGTGGCAGTGGCCGAGAAGGCCGGGCATTAGAATCGATGCCATGGTCCCGACACGAATGATGCACGATCCCCGTCTCTGCGCGCATAGACCTCCAGCTCCTCCCTTTCTTTGTGATTTTCTTCATGTTCTATCATCGCATAATCTTCTTCTTTTCTCTCTACTTTTTCCTCTGCATGGGTTACCCTTGGATGGGAGCAGTGGATGAGAGTTCCTCTTCTTTGTCTTTCCATTCCAAACAGCATTTTCATGGTGTTCTGATTCTGGATCTTCTGAGATCCGTTTCGCATGGGGTCTACAATTCTTTTATGGTTGTTCATGGTTGTCTTTTTTCCATTGCCGGTCTGGGCGGAGTCTGGTTTCTGTGCTTTGCGGGCCTCTGGCCATGGTATCTACTTCTTTCTCTCATTTATGACGCCGTTTACGTTTACCTGATTATATCTCATGGGAATTGAATTGACGTTGGGCATTTGTCCAAAGTTACTTGAAGTATCTGTCCGATTGAATTGCAACTCCACGCTGTATGCTTCTCTGATCACGACAGGGAGAGAGGGATTATACCTAGGTCAAGTACCATTCAATTATCAATGCAGCAACAAAACAAAGTCTACGGTCTACCTGGTATAAATGTACGGATTCATTATTGTTCTTCAAGTTCTATTTGCCATCATAAGCTGGGCCACTTGCCCGAGAAGAACAGAGACAAATAGATACATTTCATCCCTCTCCCGCCCAGTTCTCCCAAGTCTGTCATTTAGACAGTCTTTCATTTCACTCCTTGCAAAGATCCTGCAGCAACTCCAGCATCCGGCGCTGCAAGTCCGCCAGCTCATTCCGGGTTACTCCCGAAGCGGCCTGATCAGAGCTCTTCACATCACCACCAGCAGGCGAATCTCGAACAAGGCCCGACCGGAGCACGAAGAAGGGGATGCGCAGCCCGCGCAACTCGGCAATTAGAGCGTCAGCCATCTGTGCAGAGGCCTTGTACACCTTTGCGTCGTAGTTGGTGATTTCGGCCTCGTCTTCTTTTGCAGTCTATAAGGACATTAAGTCAGATATTATAGAGAACAAGGTGAGAGAGAAGGGGAGTATACGTACTGATACCTCTTTCGAGTCAACTGGGGCACCGATGGAGCGTCTAGATAGATGATAGGGTTAGTTAAAGAGCAAAACCTCAGCTTAAGGTATGAGAACAGGCACTGACAGCACTGCATCCAGCTCTTTTTTCTTCTCCCCCGCGCACGCTGTTTCTTCACCAGCGCCTCGCGACTATTCCACCACTGCCGCTCGTGGCTATGCTGGCTTCTGATCAAGCCTCGGATGCGCAGCTGCGTCTCTTCGCTCTGGGCAACAGTGCGCATGACATAGCGCAGCGCAGCGGGCCAGGTTGTGATGGTTGCCGGGTCGACAGTTGGAGTAGCCGGCCGGTTTAGAGCGTTGGATTGTGGCTGGTGCGGGTTATGGGACGCAATTTCTGGGGTCGGCCTGTGGATGGGACCAGCTGTTTCTGGGTGGATGTTTTGGGGTTGGGCGCTTGCTGTGCTTTGGGAACTGCCCGCGGCGAGGCTGGATAGGGTGCGGAGGACGGAGTTAAGGTCGGCGGCGTCGTGGGAATTGTCGGAAGCCATCACAGCGGGCGGTGCTGTATTTTCAGCCAGCTGGCATATTGTGGGGTAGAGAGGAGGGATTGATTCTCGGGATTGAGTCCATGTTTTTGTTTGAAAAGCACCTGGTTGTCTTCGTCGGCAGATGACGGGCGGTCTAGGAGGGACGCATTCTGACGGCAGAAATATTTAGCGGTGAGGTTACTGAACTACTCAGAAGAGAGCAATCTATAAGAGGTAAATTGAAGCTACCCAAAAGTGATAGGGATCCTGTTCAAGTATAAATTTCTGTAGGACATTAGGGCAGTCACAGACTTTGCAAAAGCAGAGTTGCTAGGTATATTATCAGGGGTATATCAGAGACTCAAGGGCCGTAGGCGCAGTCAAAAGGGTAAAGAACTTCCCTTGAAATAGGCAGAAGCCCAAGTGTGTTATCACCCGACCTGCTTTCTCCCACACCCTTGATGCATCCTGCAACCATGGCCTCTGATTTTCTCAAGCCCTTGCCAATATTTTGCAGTCAGTCGCAGTCTCAGCAATCGTCGAGATGTCGACTCACGAGCCTTCTGTCTACCACATCCCTCTCACAAAAGCCATCCACACCACCAGAACCTCGGCATTACCGCATCTTTGCAGATTACAGCACGGATTTTATCTGGCGAGACTTCAATGACCTCAGATTCGGGGAGGGGGACTGTGTGTTAGAAGCAGAGGAAGTACTCTCTTCCTTCCCTCCGTCGGTCTTGCAACTCTATGACGCCTGGGTCGACACATACAACGAGAATTTCCGCGAACGACGTGAGAAGAGCCAAACCTATCGTGCCACTACCTTTGAAAGTGTTTCCGAGGAAGTGGCATGGAATGTCGCTGGGTTTTTGTTGGCGTGGCGCATTGCAATGGCGCCTCAGGTTGGGAGGATCGAGTTCAGCGCCGGTTGTTCCAAGTATTTGATTGAGAGGGAGGAAAAAAGACGAGTGACACTTTGGAATTTCTGCAGGACCAGGTTGATCTTTTGGCTAAAGGAAAGTTTGTGGCATAGGGCGATGAATACTTCCAAGGTCGACTTCTATCCATGGGTACTGCGCATTGCTTATGTTTTCTTGTATCGGGGATCAATACCACCGAGTGATTTGTTGGGTCTGAACCTGGAATTGAATGTATTCAATAGGCCCAAAGCTGAGTGCTGGTAAAATCATTGGCAAAGAAAATCCAGGTGTAGTGTAGAGAGCTTCGCAGGGCGGAAAACGAAGCTGATGGGCTTGTCTTGGCGTATCTCCCCGTGCTGAAAATTTACCATCAACCACCCAACCGCCATCTTCGACACTTCTCCACCAACGCAATCCCCGTTGATTCCGGCTGTGCCTGTACAGGCCGTGTCATCGAGATCTACGAATTCCTATTTTCCTTTCTTTTTCGGCTTGTTTTGTGAACTCCTCGGGGAGTCGCGACCATGTCCCGATCCGCCGCGGACGCAACGCGGTTCACGGCCACCGGGCCCTACGCCAGCTCCAAGTCCGGATCGTCCCCGTACGAGCTCCCCAGCTTCATGCAACCCAAGACCAGCAACAAGAGCCGTCCGGCCAACACGCCACAGCCGGGCCCCGGCGAGCCCGCTGAGACGCCTCGGCAGAAGGTGGAACGGCTGCGGGCGCAGGCGCGGGCTGCTCGGAGGGCGCAGGAGACGTCGGGGTTCGATCGGTTCGTGGATACTAGTCGGAGGTTCGCCAATAAGGCGCACAAGGGTGTGGTGTATTCGTTGATTGTCGCGTCGGGTATGTATCCTGCCCTGCCCCTGCCTGGTGGATGATCAGAAAGAAGAGAAGAAAACAGCTATCCACGCCCCGTCCATCCACACCGTTTCCGGCTGTCGCAGTTATAATGCCGTCAAAAGGTTTTCTGACAATGATGACTTTCTAGGTGTCTGCGGTGTCCTCACCGTCTACTCGATGATCTCGCTCACGCTCTACAACCGCCGCCAGCGCACCCTGTGGATCGAGAAGGAACTCGCCACCCTGAACCAGGCACACGCCGATTATACCAACGGCACGGCAACCCCGGAGCAGCTCGAGTTACTGAAGAAAGAGAAAATTGGCGGCATTGTCAAGCAGAAGCGCGAGGAGGACAAGGCCCAGCGGCCGTGGGCCAAAGCGAAGGCATTCTTGTTCGGGAAACTCAACACGGAGGATAGTGCCGCCGCCGTCACCCAGGTCAATCCTATCACGCCCACTCCTGCGGCAGATGAAGCCGGCTCCTCCCAAACTAGTGTGACGGACGCTGTTCAAGCGAAGCAGGCGATGGATGCCGCGTCGGCCAAGACCGGGGCGTCGGTCCCTGGTCAGTTGGATGTCATGGCCGAGAATGCAGAGCGTGCTGCCAAGGAGAAGTCGCAGAGTTGGACCAGTTGGTTGACTGGACGGTAGAGGGTGATTCTCACGCAAAAGAAGAAAGAAAAAAAATAAGGGGGGGTGGATGGGTTATGTTCTCACTTCCCCCCCTTTTATATGAGACCTCATAGTGAATGGGGTGAGTGACCTATGTCTCTCATTTTCACTATTGGATGGTCCTCTTCTCCTTTCATTGTTTCTTGCATGGCATACCGCGATCTCCCATCTGTGTTCTCGCGGCTTGCCTCCATCGTGCCAGGGGTTTTACGGCGTTGTATCTTGATCTTCTGGGGCTGTGTTTCTACTCGGTGTTGCGATGCTCTGAGAGTCCGATGGGGCTTCCATGTATATTGTGTACAGTACATAGATCTGCTCCAAGTCTTTCATAAGTATTCTGATTCCCAATTGTCGGGTTGCTCGCTACGTACTAGTATCATGCCATGAGTATATAGGCAGGCCAATTTCTACTAAGTACTACTAGATACAACATTATCTAGTAGAGTACTTAGTAGGTAGTCGGTAATATAAAAGAATCGGTTGGTTCCAGCACCAGTCCCCACCACCTCCATACCTCTCCAGCCAATTTCAAGCCAAACACAGGCTTATAGGCTAGAATTTCTTCGGGGAGGAAAAAAACCAAGTCCTTTTTTCCCCCTTGGTCCTTCCCCCCCTAGGCCCACCCACTAACCCGCAAGAGGAGGTCCCGAGCCCCGGGTATGCGCTTTGCCCGAGAAACAGGGGGGAGATGTTTTCCCACCCCAACATTGGTCCATGCATAGTGGAGCACTCACTCACACATTTCCTACAGCGTCGATCCCCCCCAGTGGACGAGGTCGTTCTTTTTTTTTTTTTTTTTTTTTTTCAGGAGAAACTAAGCTCGGAGCTAAGATTAGATTAATTAAGCTCATCCGATTTCCAGACTTTGTTGCTTTTGGCAGATTTGAAGAGTGGGGCTTTCCTAAATGGGAAGTATAAGATTTTCCTGCACATTGTACCACACACCACCACACACCACTGGCTCATTCCATCCATACTCTGCTAACTGAATAACACATGAAATCATTAGAAGAGAAGGAAATAGGGATGAAAAGAGCAAAAGCTGGGAGATAACCCGATTTGGCGATGAGACTCGAAATCTAGGTATCTGTTGAAGATGGCATCACTTTTGCAGTGAAACCGACGTAGGAGGAATAAAAGGGGGCATTAAATAAAGGCAAAAAAAGAAACCTATTACGAGCTATTGACACCGTTGGATTTGGACTGGCGGACGGTACGACGAGCCCGCACACCGTCGGCCAGATCCTCCAGCACCTGGACGGTCATGTCCCAGTTGATGCAGGCGTCGGTGATACTGACACCCTTGAGCAGGGCAGAGGCACCCTCCGGCGGGACCTTCTGGTTGCCCTCGTAGATGTTGGACTCGATCATAACGCCGACGAGGGCGGTCTCGCCCTCGCGCAGCTGGTCCGAGACCTCCTTGGCGACGAGGGGCTGGTTGAGGTGGTTCTTCTTGGAGTTGCCGTGCGAGCAGTCGATCATGAGCACCTCGCGCTGCTTCTTAGCGCATAGGGCCTCGCGCGCCGTGCGAATGCTGTCGCGGTCGTAGTTGGTGCCTTTGCTGCCACCGCGCAGGATCACGAAGCCGTGCTCGTTGCCCGACGTCTTGGTGATGGCCGCCAGGCCCTGCTTGGTCACACCCAGGAAGCGGTGCGGGTGGGCGGCGGCGCCGATGGCGTCGATGGCCACGGTGAGGTTGCCGTCCGTGCCGTTCTTATAACCGATCGGGAAACTCAGGCCCGAGGCTAGCTCGCGGTGCAGCTGCGACTCGGTGGTGCGCGCGCCAATGGCACCCAGCGAGATCAGGTCGGCCAGGTACTGCGGCGAGATGGTGTCGAGCATCTCGCTGGCGATGGGCAGCCCCGTGTTGGTCAGGTCTGTGTAGAGCTTGCGCGACACGCGCAGACCCTTGTTGATGTTGAACGACTCGTCAATGTCCGGGTCGTTGATCAGTCCCTTCCAGCCGACCGTTGTGCGTGGCTTCTCCAGGTACGCCCGCATGATGATCAGCAGGTCCTTGGAAAGCTTGTTCGAGAGTTCCTTGAGACGCCGGGCGTATTCAAGGGCCGTGTCCGGGTCGTGGATCGAGCATGGCCCGACGACGACCAGCAACCGGTCATCGCGCTGCTCGATGATCTCAATTGCTTGGTTCCGACCCGAGCGGACGGTTTCAGTAGCACGAGCGGGCTAGAGAACGCATTATTCGTCAGGGTTTGGGTTCAGGAGCAATTGGCGTGAGGGGGCGAAAAAAAAATGACTCACCGCGGGGATCTCAGTCTGAAGAAACTGCGGCGACAGCAGGGCATCGTAGCCCAGGACTAGAAGCAAAGAAGAAGAAATCAGATGATTGCCAGAAAGAACAGAATAACCTGTAATTTCTTGAGTTGTTCTCTGACTTACCACGAGTGTCCTCGTTGACCTCGGTAGTATTGACGAGAGGCATTGCGCACGATGATCGACCGAGAATTCTAGAATTCGAAGGCGATGAGCACGATCACAGAGCAATCAAGAAGCAGGATCAAGGATCAAGACTCTCGAGAAGAAATAAGAAAGCAGATGACACACCGAAGTGAAGAGACGGGAATTAAATACAAGAGAACAAGAGACCAAGAGGGGAACCCAAAAATTGACCAAAATTGACTATGGGCCAAGTGGGCCCCGTTGACTGGGTCTGAGGGACCTTTTTAAGGGCAGATGATCTGATCCATCAGCCGAAAAATAATATGATTTACATATATAATCAAGAAAATAGAAATTAAATCCCTCGCTCGCCACGTCCTAGTGATGTTTGTGCGCAATACTTGCAGCTCGGTGACACTAGATGCTTCCAAGGAAAAACCTGGCCCAATCACTCGCTAGTTCGTGACAGGGTGCGCCGGTGAGTCAGATCCAGATCTCAATGACTTGAAGTGCTGACGAGGACCGGAAGCTATGGATGTTGTGGACAGTCAAGACACCCGACGTGGTACTTGGGGCTCAGATCGACTCCCTGTCATATACTCCCCAATACTCCCTACCTACAGACTCTACATTGTGATTTAGGTGGATGTGAGATCTCCATCATCTTGGAAAGGATCATGTGAATGACATGAATAAGTCGACATTTTTAATTTTCTAAATAAGCAATGAACCAATAATTCCTCTAATGTATCGAATCACATCAGCCGTAGGGCTTGAAGGTTAGAAGTACCAAGTACCCCCGACTTCCCCGGGGCTCCCGCCCACCGCCAAGTACCCGGGTACTTCAGGCCCAACTGCCACGGCAACTCCCGCAGTCTACACCTCTCTCTCTCCTTGCGTGCCTCATGGTCCATGCACCTTTCCAGCTCCCTCGCTGGTCTCGGGGGTTTGCTTCCAACCCGCGGCCATGTTCGGTTTAAAACGTCTGCGAGATGACCTGGAGCAGGACGGGATCTTCAGCCCCGAAGCCAAGGTAGATCCTATCCACACCGGTGAAGCTCGTCATTCCTGTCGCTAACCTCCCGATCTCCCCCCAGAAAATCTGCTCCCAGGTCGCGCCCGAGTCCTCCGACCTCGACCAGACCCTTCGATTCCGTGCCCCCACACTGACCCCTGTGGACTCCTCCGACGATGAAGACCACCAGGATGCTAGCCATGGAGCTCATAAGACCAGCCCGACCAAACCCGTCCTCGGCCATCGACCCCCCGCACTCCAGCTCAATCCCGCAAACTCTATCGCTACTTCACAGCGATCTATCTTGGCCAATGGGGACGAGCTGTCCCCCTGGATCTCGAGTGGGCGCAGTAGCAACAGCCTTCAGCCTTCGCCGATCCCCCATAACCTGGTCAATCAGTCGCTGAACCTAACCGGGCCAGCATCAGCTGCACCCGCTCAAGACTACTTCCCCAGCGATATCTTGCCTGTCATCCATGCGCCCAACCCTGGGCCTCCGAATGTGATGGAGGGTGTAGCACCCTCCAAGGTGGACCCACACACAGCTACGGTCCGACTTCCTAGCCCCGTCAGTGACGATGACACCATGGCCAACGGCAAGACCCCTCCCAGCGATGCAGAGATGATGTATTTCTCGCCTCATCCATCATCCCCGCCGAGTTTCTCGGGCTGCCCGAATGTGACGGCATGGACTGCCCCTTCGATGATTCCAGAACCCCAGTCGACTCGACCTTGCGCAGGCCCTCTTCAACGGGCTATTCCATCAATGCCAAGAAAGAAGCCAGCCCTTGTCATGGGATATCGGGCAGATTGCGACAAATGCCGGCACAAGGTGCCCGGCCATTACAGCCATATTATCCGTTGATCTGGTGACTGGCAACGGCCCGGATGATGGTCATGCTTTCTTTGCTTTGCTTTTCTATGTACATTACAACTCTGCAACCATCGGCTGTGAGTTCCCGACAGCTCGATGTAGGCCCATCATTCCCGGCGTTTCATTCTTATCAGGGGGGCATATGGTGTTAGGGGATGGCGTTGATTTACTACTGGGCTGGTGCATAGCACATTCTCTTTCTCTCGCAATGCCATGTCACTGTGGTCTATTCTGATCCAAAAACCATTTCCGCCGTGTCTAAAGAAATTTAGGCTGTCCACTACGCAACACGACTCGTCATATAGGAACAGAGTTGACATCGAATGATAATTACATCGCCCATGAACAAATTAAACAGGCAGCTCACACTCAATAACCCCCTCAACCCCATGCCCCGGATCCCAAAACCTCGAAATCACCAACCCACACCTCTTCTCCAACAAATTCCGCCAATCCTCCACCGTGCGCTCTCGCGCACTAAACGCGACCATCAAATACAAATCCAGGTACGTCGCCTCCCAGTCCGCGCCCGTCGCAGGGATAACGTGCTCGTTGATCAGCAGCTTGCTGTACCCCGGGGTCATGGCGCGCTTTACTTGCTCGATGATCTCCACGCAGCGGTCGTCCGGGTAGTCGTGCAGAATCTGGTGCAGGTAGTAGGCGCGAGCGCCATGGATGGGCTGTGGGGTCAGAAAGTCGTACGGCATGGCCTCAATGCGGCTGTCCAGCTGGCTGATCTGGTCTATGGTCCGGGGCAGATCTTGCAGGATCAGGCGTCCGGGCGCGTGCGGGTGTTTGCGGTGGAATTCTTCCAGGTCGTGGCCGTAGCTGCCGCCGATGTCGACCAGCAGGACTGGATCGTTGTTTTTGCTGTTGCCGTTGCGGTTGTTATTGTTGGTGATGGTCTTGGTGGTGTCGAATCCAGTGAGCAGGTTTGCTTCGACCGGGAACACCTCCTCGTCCATCCAGCTTGGTCGTCCCAGTCGGAATCCGCCCATGTGGTCATTGAACTGGCTGGCCAGGGGTTGGTGTGCGTCGAGCCAGTCGAAGAATGGGAGGTCGGTGCGGTGCCCGAACATCTGGGGGTTCCCGTCGATGGCTCGCGGGGCGCGGTATCCGTTGATTTTGAGCCATTTGGGGAAGTGGATCATGGGCTCGATGAGGCTGTATGCACTGCTTGAAGTCAGCATTCCAGTCCCGACATGTACTCTAGAGGGCATGGCAAGTATACTCACTATAAAGAGTAGCCGCTCGCAACCACGGGGATGGTCATTGCCCGGGTGAAGTTCGTGGGCTTGTACTCGTCAGGTCCGGTCTGAGAGATGTAGCCCATGGCTGCAAGATGACGCAGAATCCGTCCTAAGAGACTATAGTCAGCATGGGTCTTGTTTGAACTGTTGACGGGGCACTTACTTAGGAGATCAAGTTCGAATCCAACGGCTGCAGCCAGATGCTCGGTGCTCTTAGGGCTGCCATCATTGGCGGCCAGATGCTTGAAGAGCTCGACATCATTACCCAGGGCAAGGGAAAAGAATGCGGCCGTCTGGTAAAGAAACAGTCAGCATTTCGGTATAGCTATCTGCACCAAATTCATCGCCTTACCTGTCCGCCAACATGCTTCAGCATCGTTTCTCGCGGTGTCTCCAGAGCGCGAACGAGATCGCGAGCTTTTTCCAAAACTGCTAGTCTCTTGTTCCGGTTGTCGCCTGAGAGACCCTCGCCCAAGCTGGAGATATCGGCAATAAGGCCCGGGACCGCGTCGATGTCGCAGGGCTCCGAGGCGATCGAGACATCCTCGCCGGGTTGACCGGACTGCTTAGTTCCATTTGTGACTGGAGCCATTGTTGAGTGCTTAATGGGAGGGGAATAGATATGGCAAAGACGTAGAAGTAGAATTAAGTTGGACGTCCAAGAAAAGAAATAAGCATATTTATACATGGACAGCTCTCATATCCCACTCCCTGAGCTCTTCCCAACCATAAATCAATTCCATGGAACCACAAAAAGATTCCAGTCAATCGCATCAAGTGAAACCTTTATCCAGACATCGCGTTTAACCGGCATAGATACACTGGGGGGTGCTTGGGGTCTCTTCCCAAACCAGGAGATATATCTCCTTCGGGCGTTCCATAGAAACGGTAGCCAATTATTTCTGCGTTCCAGTCCAAGGGGCCGCGTGTAGATTGGTTGTGAGATCCCTCTTGGCGTCGTTTACCCCACCGTCATGGGGCCGCGAAGAACGCGCTATATGTATGAGGTGGGTGTCAATTGTAGGTTGTACTTTGCTGTACTGTGCCCGGGCTTCGAGTCAGGTAGATGTGATCAACCTGCCGTTCATATTGCCCTACACATAAATTGGTTCTTCACAGCGAGTATCATTTGTTACACTTGCTGAATGAGAATGAGGAGAAAAGGGCTGTAGTGTTGCGGGTAGAAATTGGTTCTTGTGGCGGGGTTGACCATGGGGGCCGTTTTCTTGAACCGAGCCGATGTTGGACTTGCTAGAAATTTCAGCAATTGTTGCCCATGGATCATGCTCATCGAATGTAAAATCTAGATCGATGACGATGTGTAGACAAAACTTATATGCTAGAAATATATTGCAGGGGTCGTCCATGTTCTACTTTTCTGCTATTCATTCAAGCCATTACTCGACAATGCGTCTAAGCTCTCTTGATCCTGCTTGACGCCATGGCACTGATCCCTACACTGAGCATCCTTGAAGGGGCGTTGTGGCCAAAGTGTCACCACTTTGGGGATATTAATTGGTATTGGTGAGCAGTATACGCGAGAGAATATAAGATCACCAAAGCCCTACATGACATCTTCCCGAGTCAGTGTCAGATATGCTCTTCGAGATTGTGAATTGACCTGCAATGTATCTAAAAATCTCGTGGTCGGGGTTGAGACGAATGATACCTGATCAAAATGGGATGTGAAGGACGACCTATCGTGATCCGACTCTTAATGTAATCCCGAGGGGTTTGTCTATTCTTCTACTGAACTATTCCAGCTGCCGTTGTTCTTCTGTACGAACAAAATGTCAACATGGGTTCGAAAATCTTGAAAAGAAGATATACATTTTTTTTTCGCGAGGGCAAATATTGGGAAACCACACTCTTTTTCAGCTTTGCAGACGGGGGAGTATGGCTGATCATCTAGGTCACCATCCGGATCGGTCTCCACGCATCATCGATCTCGCTACCATTGCTCGTCCAGCAATGCTCCTTTTTCTCATCTTTTTTGACTGCCCTCTTTGTCTGAAGAAATATTCTAACCATATTCCACCCCACTCCCAAATTGCAGTACCAGCCCAGACCAGGATATGCCTAAACACCGCGGCGAGATCCATAGTGCAACATCACACTATCCCAGCACTTTATTGAGCCACAAGGATTCATCCAGCTTGGCGTAGGTGCCACCGGCAAGTGACGATGCCCCAGACCGTCGTTTCTGATTAGAAGATGATGGTCGAGACCCAATCAGCAGTCGGTATCTACTTCGGCGACAAGAACTGCTACAACATTTCCTATCTGCTCGACTCGGCCTTTGATCGCCATAAAAGCCAGGCTACTGAGCCGTGGCCTGCGTGAAAGCCTTGAGGTTTGTGACCGAGATCAAGCGCGCCTGGGTAAGGAGAGCAGATGCCGGGGAAAACTTGCCTCTGAACCAACTTGTGAGCAAATCGGATTCGGAGTATCTTGTGCGCGGCATCACCGACTGGATTTCTAAATGGAAGAATAATGGCTGGCTGTATTGCAAGCGTCAGCCTGTAGCGAAGGCGCCGCTGTTCAAGTTGATTGAGCTGTATATCGGGAGGCTTGAACGGGGAAAAAAAGTCGTTGTCAAGTTCTGGATGGTGCCCAGGGCCCAGAATAAGGAGGCCAATTGCTTGGCTAAAATGGCGCTGATGAAACATTCCACCAGGCAAAGAACGCTGGGTGACTGAGAGCAACCTTGGAAGTTATAGGTTTGCCGGTATGCAGTACTGAGGATGGAGTGCGATCCGATGCGGCTTCCGATCCGAACGGCCAGCATCCGATTCGGGTTTACGATGAAAATATTCATAGGGAGTGTATTCCAGATATATACGATTTCAAGGACAGGATAAAGAAGAATGACATTGAAGAAATATAAAAAGCAGAGAAAGTGTTGAAGGCTCAACCGGGCGGCAAAGCCCTTAGCCGATCTTCAGTGCCGACGGGTCCAACGGGACTGGTCGACCTCGCGGCTTCCGACCCCGGAATTCTGCCCGGCAATTATAAGAACACTGCGGGCCCTGCTTTATTTCTTGCTACAAGTGCGGGCATTTGCACATTGATTTTGAGATTGGTCTGACTTCGGTGATTTCGGTGACTTCGGTGTACATACTTCGCTCAATTCTCCCCGCAAAACGGCTACCCGCAATCATGGCATCTCCAATTCCCCGCGGCCTGCGCCAGGTGCTGCAGAAATCCCCCAACGACATTGTGATTCTGTCCTCGCTGCGGACACCCGTCACCCGTGCCAAGAAGGGCGGCTTTAAGGACTCGTACCCGGAAGAATTGCTCGCCAACGTGCTGCGCGCGACACTTAAGGCGAACCCGAACTTGGACCCAGCACTGATCGATGATGTCGCTATTGGGTCAGTCCTGCAAGAACTGGGTGGTGCCAAAGCTGGTCGTATGGCCCAGATTCACGCGGGGTTCCCGCACTCGGTGCCCTTCAACACGATCAACCGACAATGCTCGTCGGGCCTGGCGGCCATCACCGCGGTGGCGAACGGGATCCGGGCGGGCGCCATTAATGTCGGCGTGGGTGGTGGCATGGAGTCGATGACACGCAATTATGGATCGCGTGCGATCCCGACAGTGTTGTGGCCAGAGCTGAAGGAGTCGCCGTCGCAGGACGCCCGCGACTGCATCATGCCCATGGGCATCACATCGGAGAATGTCGCGGCGCGGTACGGAGTGTCACGGGAGGACCAGGACGCCTTCGCCGCCGACTCGCACAAGAAGGCCGGTGCCGCCCAGCAGGCCGGCCGCTTCGACTCCGAGATCGTCCCCGTCACCACCAAGTTCCTGGCACCCGAGCACCCCGACGCCTCGCTGCAGGACCTGACCGTCACGCAAGACGACGGCATCCGCCACAACATCTCCGTCGAGAAGATGGCCTCCCTGAAGCCCGCCTTCTCTGCGACCGGGTCCAGCACCGCCGGCAACAGCTCGCAGGTGAGCGACGGTGCCGCCGCCGCCCTGCTGATGCGCCGCTCCACCGCCGAAGAGCTGGGCCTGTCGGGCTCCATCAAGGCCCGCTGGGTTTCCACGGCCGTTGCGGGCTGTGCGCCCGACGAGATGGGCGTGGGCCCGGCCGTCGCCATTCCCAAGCTCCTTGAGACCGTCGACGTCAAGGTCTCCGAGGTCGGCGTGTGGGAAATCAACGAGGCCTTTGCCTCCCAGGCTCTTTACAGCATTCGAAAGCTGGGCATCGACCAGGCCAAGGTCAACCCTAACGGTGGTGCCATCGCTATCGGCCACCCGCTTGGTGCCACTGGTGCTCGCCAGCTTGCTACTCTCTTGCCGGAGATGGAGCGCAGCGGCCAGGACGTGGGTGTGGTCAGCATGTGCATTGGCACTGGTATGGGTATGGCTGGTATGTTTGTGCGAGAGTAAAATCTTTCTTTTTCTTTCTTGTCTTTATGGTTTTGTGTCAAAATACGCTATGATATCAGCGATGCATGTATATACACATTCCGCATACAATGAACAATCTTGTTCCCAACTAGAGAGAGTTATCCATTGTTTATTTGGCAAGATATGCTATTGCCCTCGGTTCCAACTACATTGCCTGGGTTCACACTCTGGACATGAGATGACCCCGAATGTAAGCCATGTTGTGTAGAAACTAATACAAGAACTTCTCGCCCACCAGCTCTTCACTTAGCTTCCACAATCTCTCCGCTTCAAGGCTGCTCGTTGCCCACGGCTTGACCGTATCGCTGAGAGGATCAGCAACGTGCGATTCAATAAGATAGGCACCGTTGTTCGCTAAGCCGAAGCAGAAAGTCAGTCTCGATTCCAGTTTGCTTTCTCTATGGCGGTTTAATCATACCTTTCAGGGCTGGGTCAAATGCGGCATAAACATGAGTCGCAGCACCTTGCTCCAAGGATTTGGGGTTAAAGTCTTTCCAACCTTCCCGGTTACCCAGCAATCTATCGATTGACCCTAGAATATATTGTTAGTCTTTAGTCTACACAATCGTCCACTGTCAGTTTTGGCTTACGAAGCCCCTCCATGTCAACACTCCAATCCACATAGCGGTCAATATTGGTGAAGACCACACCCGGGTGCAGGCTGAATGCGAGAAGGCCGTGTTTGACGTCCAGCTTGGTGGCTAACGAGAGCGCCATCAACATGTTGGCAGTCTTGCTTTGGCCGTAGGCAAACCATTTATTGTAAGTTTTGCCTTCCTGATATATAATTATAATCAGTATTGTAGATTCATGTCACGGGGAATCTCGGTTGCATGTTAGGGCCCATACATCAAAGTTACTGTCGTCGAAGCGGATAGGGCTCAAGCGGTGCGCATCACTGGCTACCATAACCACTCTCGGGGCCTTCGACATGAGGATCTTTGGCATAATCAGATTCGTAAACAGGAATGGCCCCAGATGGTTCGTTGCGAGATGGGACTCGAATCCATCCACCGAGACTCCATATTCCACGGCCATGATGCCCGCATTATTGACCAGCACATCGATAGCGGGAAATTCCGTCCAGCCGTTAACCTGGGCTGCAGCATTACGCACATTTTGAAGGGAGCCCAGGTCCAGTTGCAGGAGACGAATGTCAATACCGTGGGTTTCGGCCGTGATCTCTGCGGCGCATTGTTCCAGTTTTTCTGTGTTACGACCGGCCAGGATAAAACACGATGGCTTGGCTTGGGCAATGGACAGCACGAAGGTGCCACCAAGTGAGCCTGGGGACACGCCTGTCGTCAAGACCACTTTGTCTTTGATGAGAGGACTGAAGTCGGGGACTAGCTCGGCGGCTGTGGAGTTGGTGTTGTATGGGGCTGGCATGGTCACAACAATTAGGGGGTTGAAAGATGTTTTAGCAATTTTAAACAGAGAGACATTATATAGGAAGACACAATATTTAAATCTTTTTCTTTTTTCTACGGTCTGGCTTGTATTCGCATACATACATCTACGCTGTGGGTCTGCTGATCAACTAAAGACTGCGCTTGGTTTCGGGTGCCCCGAATATTTTCGGAGATTCATTCAAACCATTCAAATCATATTACTGGATTGTGTTTGTTACTTGGGTATTTTCACTATAGGAATTCCATGTCCTGTGTTTTACAAATTGTGCAGTTGGGATACAGTATACGGGATATGCGTCTCTCGTCTACGAATTGAGGCAAACCAATTCCCAGTAAGAATACGACGAAATAGATCAGAGGAAATATAAAACACTGCTCACTTAATCCATGTCTTTTCAGTGGTAAATAAGCTATTCTCGAGTCTCGCAAAATCACCGCGAGTCTACAATGCCAAGCAACGTCCACGTGACCACCATCCTCAATTTGCGTCTCCAGACAATTCGTCCCGTCCATTCGAGATCAACTCATTCGCGCCCACCATGCGACCCTCGGTGCTCCGCGGGGCGCTTTATGTCTGCTCTGCCTGCAGACAAGAGGCTACCCCCCAAAGAATTTCCCCGCTCGCCCGTCAATTCCGCCGCTACGCCTCCGACGCTCCGCCGTCGCTGCTCGAGCGGACCCGGCGCAAGCTTTGGGGCACCGACCAGCCGCCTGGTGCGAAGGACCCATACACCGGAGAAAGCCAAATCGCGCAACCGCTACGCTCCGGTGTGCCGGAGGAATCCAAGCCTGAAGCTGACGGTCTTGCTTCCCCCGACGAGGAGGCGCAACCGGATGAGCTGGCTTCGGCCGACACTTATGAACAGGCAACCACCTGGCACGGCTTGGAAACCATTGGCTACCTCGAGGAGACTGAATGGCTCCGAGAAGGTTCTAATGAGAAGGATGAATATGTCCCGTATGTTCGATCCTGTCCTCCACCCAATGTCTTTGCATTGCTGGGCCATTCTCCCCAAGAAAAAAAAAAGAAAAAGAAAAAGAAAAAAAGACTAACGTCATTGTACTTTTCACCACAGATACGCCGCCAATATCAAACATCAAAATCCCACCGACGCTGCTCACCAGGCCGCCGTGGAGCTCTGTCTGCTGCGCATGCTGAAAAAGCAACACCTGACCACCATCTGTGATATCTCCCAGCATCACAGAAAGATCCGGTCAATGATTCGACAATGCCGAGTGGATGGTTCTCCAGGCTGCCAATGGGAAAATGCCCTTCGCTTCCCGGACCAGCGGACCATGGACGTGCTGATATTCGTCTTCATGCAAATCGCCCCCGGAGCTCGGGGTGAGAAATGGCTCAGGAGGATGGGCAGATCGGCTCCATTCATCATGGACAAGAAATCCCCGATCACGGATGGCTTCCGATCTCTCCCGTTGACCGACTTCAACACGAAATTTGCCGTTCGTTTCCCCCCTTTCCCTCCAAAGAATGCATCGCAACTAACAACCACTTGAATAGTTCATGAAGCGGTTCGGCCAGTTGATGGGCTCTCGTATTCCGGACTCGAACATCACATCCTCCAGTACCATCGGCCAGTCCATCAACGCACTTTCTTCGATCCCGTCCGCGGGCAAGCAGAGAACTGCGCGCAAAGTCCGTGAAAAGTTGGGTAAGAACGCGGCTGTGAAGCTGCCCAACGTCAAGATCTACCCCAAGCGCCACACGCGTGCGGACAACGACCGTGACTTTGGTCGCCAGAAGGCCATTGTGGCGGCGCTTTACAACCAAGGCCTGATGCCCCAGAAGGGGCAGGAGAACTTGCTCCCACCCCGAATCAGCTAGACTCAGGTCGTGGGAGGGAAATGGCCGGGTCACATTGCTGAAGAAGCGTGTGAGAGATTTCTTTGAGAATGGGCTTTTCACACTCTGCCACTTTTCGAGACATATTTTGTGTATACTAGAAACCCTTGTCCAATTGCATTTTCTTCTTTTCGTATCGTATTTGATTGTGTATGGAGTCTGTCTTTACAAGGAATATACATTTTCATCCAGATATCGCGTGTATCGTGGCCATCATAGTCGCCAACCACTCAAAAAAACGGTTCACCCATACTCCTAGAACCACAGCAAATCCCAACTCCCTGGAAATAGCGCCTGCAAATCATGGGAAAGGAAAGAAAAAGAAAAGAAAAGACGCCTGCGTTCGAATACACGAATTACCGCCGCGCTGCAGCAGGAATCGTGAACCCTCGAGTCATGAAATCGCCACTCTTCGTGCCGTCCTTCTTCTCCTTAGTAAAGAGACTATCAATGTTCTCGTTGCCTCCCATCATTTTGCGACGCTTCTTCTTATCGCTTTCCTCGCCCAGCACGCGCGCAGTGAGTTTCGCGGTGGCGGTATTCTTGATTCCGTTGTTAGAGGCGGGCGCGGTATTGGGGGTCGGAGTGGAGGTGTTGCTTCGGCTATTGGGCGCGGATGCCTGTTTCGAGGTTGTGGCTAATCCGGCGGTTTCGGTGGCACCGCTAGGAGCAGGGGCATCGACCGGGGCATCTGCGGCGTGCTTCTTCCGTTTCTTGGAGCCGGGGGTTTTCTTCAGCGAGTGGGTGAGGCCTTGCTCTGCGAGTTTGAGCCCGCGCGCAATGAGATGTTGCTTATCGTCTTCTTTGGGTGGTAGAATGGGAATGACGTTTTCTTCTGTGTAGGATTCGTTGCACTAGGAGAGAAGACAGAGTTAGACACATTTAATAGTTTCTGGTTTTTATAGACTATCGGCAATTCTTACCTGGAGACACTTGTCGCCCTTCAACTGTCGAATAGCCTCTTCTGCGAACACATGCCCACATGGGACAAGGTACACGGACTTGACGTTCGGGCCCAGCTGCTTCGCGGTGATTGGACAGATCCAGCCCTCGCGGTGCTCGTGCCGGTGCACAGTCGTGCGCTCCGACGGGTGCTCATCGCGCTCGGTGTCAATCTCGAAATGCAGCTCGACCACATCCCGGAGCGACTTGACTCGCCCGCATAGGATTTCTTCGCAGTCAGGCTTGGAACTAATGCCCTCGCCGTCGTCGCCGGGAATTAGAAACTGGAGCACGGCATCCTTGTTGTAGAGGTTGCCCACGCAGTCAGACACAATTGGACGCGCCAGAACCTTGTGTGAGAGTGGGCAGGTGGTCCAGTGGTGTTCCTGCTGCTCGCGCTGGGCCTCTTTCACTTGCGCGGTGCTCGGAGCGCGGGCCGCCTCGCGGACAAGTTCGCGGCGGGTGGGAATGCTGTAAGAAAGAAGAAGCCGGTCAGTCGGAAATCGTCTCTATCTAGAAGAGCATGAAATCGAGTCGCACTCACCTTCCACCGTCATTACCCATGTTGGCGATATTGGTGCAGGTGAAGGGAGAATCGATCGCCACGAAGGCGGGCAAAAGATAGCGGGCTGACTCAGCCATTAGATGACCATCAACAGCTGGCCAGAAGCTCTCTCCGCACCTCCACACAGCTCGATGCCTCCATCATGAGACTTCCTCAGTCGCTTTTTCTGCTGGCCGTGGCCGGGTCGACGGCCCATGCCAGTGACAAGCCTACACGTCCTCGCGGTGTTGCTCCGGAATGTAAGTACTTGTATCTGGTCCCTGACAGCATCCCCACCCCCTCGGGTTGAGTGTCCACAAGCTGTTGATCGTGCAATCGGGGAGATCTACGTTTAGTTTCCTCGGCCTTGGAATTCAACAATGGACTAATAATGGTTCTGTCTAGTTTCCAAGTTCTACCAGGACTCGGCGGCGTTCACTTGCATCTCGCATCCCGCCATCCAGATCCCGTTCTCTTCTGTCAACGATGATTTCTGCGACTGCCCTGACGGCAGCGACGAGCCTGGCACGTCGGCCTGCTCACATCTCTCGCGCAACTCGCCGCTGACGGTGGCGGACCGACCGGGGAACGATGACTTGGAGCTGACGCTGGCGCTGCCCGGGTTCTACTGTAAGAACAAGGGCCACCGGCCATCGTACATTCCGTTCCAGCGTATCAACGATGGCATCTGCGACTACGAGCAGTGCTGCGACGGCAGTGATGAGTGGGCCCGCGTCGGGGGGACCAAGTGCGAGGACCGCTGTAGGGAGATCGGCAAGCGGTGGCGGAAGGAGGAGGAGCAGCGCCAGAAGTCCATGACGGCGGCCCTGAAACAGAAGAAGGCGCTCCTTGTCGATGCTGGGCGTCAGCAGAAGGAGGTCGAGGACCATATCGTCCGGCTAGAGGCGGAGATCAAGGGTGCCGAGGTCAAGGTGCAGAACCTCGAGGCTGATCTGAAGGCGGCCCAGGAGCAGGAGCGCAAGCTCGTTCGGACGAAGCCGGGTAAGGGCCAGGGCAAGATCCATGCTCTGGCCGGCTTGGCCAAGGGTCGTGTGGACGAGCTGCGCAATGCGTTGGTGGATGTTCGCCGCCAGAGAGACGAAACCCGTGAGCGGGTTAAGGAGCTCGAGGACATCCTGTCCACGTTCAAGACTGAATACAATCCCAACTTCAACGACGAGGGTGTCAAGCGGGCGGTGCGCAGCTGGGAAGATTATGCTGCTCGCGACCTGAGTAGTGGGGATGCGAACAGTGCTGAAGACCACGACCTGGACGAGATTTCCAAGGCTGATAGTGAGAGCTCCGGCGTCCATTGGGAGCACTGGGAGAATGAGGACGATGGCTGCGGTGACTCGAATATTCGTAAGTTGTTTCCTTTTCTTTTTCTTTTTTTGGCACCCATTCAGCTGCTGACCAGTGACCTCAGTCTACAAGCTGGCCGCTTATCTTCCGCCATTTATTGTCAACTTCATCGAAGACAAGGTGATCTTTTGGAGGACATTGTTCGAGGAGCATGGTATTCACCCTAAGCCCAATGAAGATCCTTCCTCAGAATCCAAAGCTGTGACCGAGGCACGCGATGCACTCAAGTCTGCTGAGGACTCCCTCAATGATCTCAAAAACAAGATCCGGGACCACCAGGCCGATCTTGAAACTGACTATGGCACCGCATCTATTTTCCGTGCTCTCAAGGGGCAGTGCATTTCCAAGGACTCGGGCGAGTATACGTACGAGCACTGCTTCCTGGACCAAACGAAGCAGGTTCAGAAGAAGGGCAGCTCGTCCATGAACATGGGCAGGTTCCGCTCCATCGGAACCAAAAGCGTTGAAGAGATCAACGAGGCGGGTGAAGTCATTTCCGTCGATAAGACCACCCTGGAATACACCAACGGTCAGTCCTGCTGGAACGGCCCGAACCGGTCGACTACTGTCATTCTGGAGTGCGGTGAGCAGAACGAGATTCTCAAGACGGCGGAGGATGAAAAGTGCGTGTACTCGATGATCGTGACGACGCCGGCTGTCTGCCCGGGAGGCGAGCAGGCAGGTGATACTGCTCCTCGCGCCAAGGACGAACTGTGATGTGTCGATATTTTGATTATTGCATTTCTAGACGGGCAGTTCCAGTTGTCTTGTCCATAGCATCTATCTAGAGACTCTTCCAGTCAAGTTCAGCACGTTCTCTATCTTATCTACCAGCTATCTGAAAGCATCATAGGAGGATATCTCGTCCTCGGACATAGTTTTCCCTGATACCATCACTTCTCCAAGTGATATAATAGTTTGTCGACTCACGCAAATCAAGTGGGTGATAGTGTTGGTTGTGCATCTACATGATCTTTAGAAATGACTCAAAGCCGTTACTACATCGATGATACTTACCGGTCCGAGGGAGTCGAACCATGGGACGAGACCTCGGAATACGCCCCTACCCCTGGATACTTCCGTAGCCCAACTACAGCCCCTCTATATCTAGTGTACTTGATGATGGACTCGATTCCATAAGCCAATTATAGCTGAATAAGCTTAGACTACTTTAGTTATCTGAGTGGGAAGAGGTGGGGGGTTTATGAAGAGGAACCGCCAAGCTGTATCCACTATATAATAGAATGGCGGGTTACTATCAATAAGAAGATAGTGTTAAAGGACACGGAAGAAGACCTCGTTTTGGCCCTAAGGGCCTACTGGCAGCGGTTCTTACAGGATAAGCAAGACAAGGTCCTTTGTCGAAAGACTTCCCCGAACGGACGGGTAAGAGCTGATGATACTGAGATCGTTGTATCGGTGAACGATCGTATCTAGCGTGACCTGACAAAACGATTCGATTATACTGATATTGATTAGCCGCTTATTGAAAAAAAAGCTAATAATATGGTCAAACCTCTTTCGTCGAGGAAAGCAACTTAGATTATGTATCCTATTTTTACTATATAGAGGATAGCCAACCTCCTATTAGCCGGAAGAGAGAAAAGAGAGAAGAGAGATAAATCTTTAGTTACGACGCGGATGCTTGATAAGCGAGATATATATCTTGATACTAAAGAGAATATTTATAGAGAATAGGCAATTTGGCGCCGCGTTTATAATTTGATAAAATATTCTGTACTATTATACTAGATAGGGCCTTGTTACTAGCTAGACTCGATAGGGAAAAAGCATTATTAGCTTTGGACTCAATATCTTAGGAAGTTGGTTACCTACGTTAAGAAAGGTGGGGTTCTTAAGACGCATAAAGATGTTCTAGAGACGAACCGTGAAGATATATACCTAGAGGAACAATAGAGGTAAGAGAGATATAAACGTAAAGGAGTAGATATTACTAAGACTAGAGTACTATAAGTTACCCTCTAATCAATATTAATATCCTACCTTTGTAGTCTTATTCTTCCGAGTAGGACGTTTTAACTACGAAAACGCCCTACTAACTTAACTATTATAATAGACATAAGTCTATTGAGAATTCCTAGGCCTCGGGATATAGCTATCAAAAAGTATAGTAAGTGGTATATATTAAATATATCTGATAAGGCCCTTAAAGCTGTATTTCGATAAGTTCCTAGCGAAATATTAGCAGATGGCCTTAATCTTGAGCAGATTTATAAGATTAAGACCCTAAAGTCTTAACCTTTATTTTATCCTTTTACGTCAAGCGTATATCTAGCTAACTCGTCCCGTAAGAAGCGGTACGGGTATTCCTCTAGATACCAAGTTCTTCCTAATACCTAAATAAATAAAGTTAGATTCTAACCAATAAAAATATTTATTATAGAGAATTACTTTTCGATATTAATAAACACCTCCCGGAAAGACATAATATTATCATCTCACATATTACTGGTTAGTTTAATAGGAAAGCGTCTAGTCTTCCTATAGTTAATATAGAAGACTTTTATAAATATAGGATTCCGCTTCTCAGTTTCTACTAGATAAAGCTAGAAAAGCGTCAATTTAAATATCTTTCGCTTAATCTTAGTCTGTTACTCCGGATCAAGACTATCAAAGTTGTCCGGATATTTAAGTAGAATACTACCTTAATAGTTAACGAGCGGTGGTAGCTACGCTTAGAGGAAGAGCGGACCAGCCCACGAACTTTGCTAATTAATAATACGTATACTATAAGGTCGAGAGAGTGAGTTTGGGATCAACGTCTATAAGGTAAGGTGTAATCTATAAGAATTTTTCTAGTAGCTAAATATACGCTTACGGATAGTTTTAGGCCTTCGAAATCAATCTCGCCTCACTAGGTAGCTTCGGAACCGCATAGTTTTTAATCCACTCGATTCCGCGTCGTCCCACGTATACGGCATAGTCCTTAGGATTTTAGGATTCAACCCTAGAGACAATTAGACCGACGTTTTATATATAAACAGCACGACATATAGGGGCCCCGTGAGATATCCATAGTCAAACTCGTTGTTCCAGAATTAGCTGGAATTACACCTTCTACTATGTTACTTATAAAGTAAATACTTCCGTAACTAACGGCCAAGACGTAAGTATTCGCGTATAACAATAAATAGGAGAAAGCATATTATACAGATCTCCTTTTAGTGATTCTCAAGGCTGTGAGTAGAGATACTTGCTACCTTGGTCTAAAAGGTGGAAAGATAGGAAAGGCAGACAGACTGACAGGTTCGCGAGGGGCAGGGAGGTTGCATGTGTATAACAGTTTCATATAAATTATAGTATTATAGGTCAACATGGTCATACAAAATACACATTTCTATTTTAGGAAGTACGAGATCTCCGGCTATTCAATATCTAGCTTAGACTGTTTCATATTGGGGTTCGGGAAACAATGTGTCTGTGTACAGAAGGTACGCTGTTTTCGACTCTGACTGTACTCAAAAGCACAAAAGGGTATGGATAAAGCCAGCGTAGTTGCATGTTGAGAGGCACAAAGCACCCTACATGAAGACAAAAAGCACCAAATACACACGGAGGGACATGAAGCCCTAACCCAAGAAATCCCACCCCAGATCCAAAAGACCCCAAGAAACACGGGCTACCAGAACCCTAGCATCCAGCCATCGTGACATTGATCATGAAATCGGTACACATAGTAATTTATGTATAGAGGTTCGGCAGGAAGGAATACTGGAAATCCCTCGACTAGTTGGATAGCGGGATTTCCGGTCTGGTATGGGCGGTTGATGCTCTGGAGGAGGATGGCGGTGGTGGCGTGTGAGCTAGCTTAGTGCTGAAAGAGGGTTAGTTTTCTGTATTGTATATTGCACTCTTTGGAGACGGTGCTTGAGAAACATACAGTGCAGCTCGAGCACGAGCAGGAGTTGCAGTTGCCGGAGCAGCAGTTGCACGAGCAGGGAGACATGGTGATGGAGTGTGAGGTTTGAAAAAAAAAACTTGAAAAGTTGTTTGGTTTGTTGTAGAAAAAGATTCCAGAGGAGCTTGGGATAGAGAAAGAGAAGAAAAGTAGAGGGAAGGGTGGGAGATGAGGCCGACTTTATACTTCTGTATTGCCCACTTTCCCCTCGATGGATTCAACTACGTTCGAAAGAGAGTGAGATTTCCGAATCGGAGTTGCCGTCCAGTCCGTCTCGCCCAGATGGCCAAAGACAATCTCGTGAGTCCCTCCCATCCACCCATAACATCCCACTTGGGTTTCGGCGTTGCGCCCCCTCCACACACATCCTCCACTTTTAGGCTACTTTACCCTCACTCTCTTCCTCCACTTTCCTGTCTCTCACGCGCTACCCGCTACATCGACTGCAAGTTGGGCAACTCTATAACGCTCTCCAATCAAGAATAGACAGATATTATGGGACCCCTTTACACAACCAATCGTACTCGGTTGCCCTCCACCTCCCTCTTCCTCTCCGGGTAAAAAAAGAATGGAGCGGAGAAAGAGGGTTTCCCCTTCCGATCTATTTTCTTGTCCCTGCAGAGTGACATACTTCTTACCTCTACACACTTCATTTGTTGGTGCTCGGACTGGGTAGGTTCATGCGGATGATTTGGAGGCACGCTGGCAGAGAGGGCGTGAAGGCTACAATCGTTGTCCCGGCACTAAGGAAGGCGCCCAGGGTTCGCCTGAGTGTGGGGCTGGGATCCATTGCATGCGTTGTTTAGCTGGCTTTTTTCTTTTCTTTTTCTTTTCTTGTTCTATATTGGGTGGCTCCATATGATGTTGCCGTATGACCATCGTATGACTGCGATCCACTGGAGATTGCGTGGTCTTTGTATACTCCGTAGTTATTGAATATCTCTCTAATTGTAGTTTCTTATAGGTATACCAGGGCTATAGTGGGTAGGCAGCTACATATCGTAAGAGGCCAGACGTCTAGGTCTACGTGGACATCGTCACAGGGCTTGGACCTGAAACTCGGACCTCCATCATGTCACGATGACGGCGTCTCGGGCTGTCGTCTATCTATGGGATAATGTATGCCAGGGAATGCAGATCGCCCGTTCTGTCTGGTTGCACAGGATCCACTGGTTGCTGGTTGGCGCTCGGGACGGGCCTCCATACATACATGTACATAGTACGGACCGTAGTAGACAGAGCCACTGTAACATCAGAGACTCCAAGATGAAAATTCTGGCGCCAGGAGCGGTGCAGGGGCCGGCGTTTCTGGCGCAGCCTATAAGAAGTCGGTACTGGCGCAGATTGGGGACCTTGAAGGAGGGGCGCTACTGGGCCTCATTGGGCAGGTCGTTGGAAGCCTGCATATCCTTTTATCCACTGCTGTGGAGGCCCCGGTGTTTTCTCGCATCCTTCTCTTTTTCGTCTTTTCTTTTGCTCGGGTGTGTGTATTTGGTTTTACCGGAGCAAAGCGAAACGCTTGGATGGGGTTGGAGAAGATATGTATGTTAGGGTTTGATACATATCCTTGGAATGAAGAAAATAGGGAAAACGGCTACGTCCCGGAAAGAAACGATACCTTGGTGAACCATGGGTATAGCAACGGATCTGATAACCCAGGTTCTTTGATAGTGTCTGCAGCCGGCCTCTTCCAGAGCAGAGACCCTAGGTCAGAGCGGCGTTTGGGCCTCCCTCGGCGCCAAAGCACAGACAAATCCTGGTCTGCACCAGAAGAGTATCAAGGCAGAAAGAGAAAGAGAGAAACACAAGTAACAGAGTGGAGTGTCTCATCCTGCATTCATGAATATCATCCATGAATATCTCTCGGAATCCCCCCCTCTCTCTCACTCCACAGCCGCATATCATCTGCGCTTTTTCTCTTGCCCACAGACCCCCTCTACTATGCATCCTGTCTGATTATCATTGGCGTTGACCCGATACGTGGCAGGATCGACTAGTTGTTGAGCGATCCGCTTTTTAGGTTTCGAGTCAGCGTCGCAGAGTGGAAAGTGGAGGTGCCCCCCTCTCATGCATATCATCATATTGTAAATTCTGGCGCTCCGGGCGAAAAGAGAAAGGTTTCATCGGCAATGTACTGCCGCTGAAGCCGAAGGAAATAATAGATCACAGAAGAAAAGGGGGGGGGGGGGGGGGGGGGGGCGTGTGGGTATGGAGGACATGCCGTTTACGGAGACTCTGACGAGATGCGAGATCATCTCGGGGTTGATCCTGTGAATGGATGTTGCGAAGGGCCGGTTCTCGGGATATGGAAATGAGCGATACCACAGTTGTTGCCCGACCACCCAACCTGGGTTGCATTCTGAGGGATTCTGCCGAGGCAGAAGCTCCAGTGTGTGCTGTAATTCAGAGTGTGAGATGACGTGGGTTGTGAGGTGAAGGATGGGAGGTAGAATGTCGAAGGTATACCACGAAGCTTCGGATGTCGATTCCTGATGAGCTTAAACCCGACTGCTGGGCCTTGGTTGCCCACAAGGTACTTGGTAAAAAGGAATAAAAGTGATTCAGCAACCTCATGTCATTCGACTATGGATTTCTTTTCTTTTCTTTTTCTTTTTTCCATTCTCATTCTTCCTGGATAGGACATAGGTACTCCTTTCTCCAGCAAATCATCCTCTCCCAACTCAGCAACCCACTACTTTCTTCGTCTCCCTGCATTTCCTCCGCCGCATCTCGATCAACTGAGCAAGTCTGATCAGAGAGCTACCCCGAGAGCCCTATGAAAGAGCAGACCGGGGGGTGGGTTTATTTCTACACCAGTCAGCCGACAGCACATCGCCAGGGTCCATAGGGGGAGTGTCAACATACAGGGCATTGGCAGGCGCCGGCAGGGCACTGGCAGGAGGCGCCGCAGCTGCAGGTGTGGTCGGGACCTGTGGTGGTCAGCATCGCAATCGAGACTGGGAGACACAAGAACACCCTGCCATGACCCCGCCATGGCGGGATCCAGAGGACCAGAAGGCAGGAATTCACATATAACCAGGAACTAACGTACCCATTGTGATGATGGTTGAAGCTGATGGTTTCAAAAGTGATAAAACGTGGACAGCAAAGTCGTTGGAGGGAAAAGGCAGAAGGCGGGGGGTAGAGAAGGTTATATACTAGGCAGCCCGTGACTTTTTCTCGTTACAAATCACGCATTCCCGCCCCGCCTGAGCACATATCTGCACGTTTTTTCTCTCGTGTCACTGGCTTTTGCCCACAGGATTTTCATCATGGTCTCGATCTCCTGTCTGTGCGGCCTCTCTCAATCGGTCCATTTGGAGCCATCGACTCAACTGCAACTCTGCCATTGTACCAGCTGTCGCGCGGTGACTGGGCTGCTCTGCGCGTCTTATTACCTCATCCAGCATGAGCCTGCCCTCGATAGTCTCGGGGAGTACCAGGCCAACGGGGTGAGCCGCTTTTTCTGTAGGACCTGTGGTGCTCACGTCTTTGCCCGCTCGCCGAGCGGTCGATATCTAGTTGCTTCGGGGGTAGTCACCAAGCCGCCCGCCGTACAGTCAATCCATCATTGGCAAGTTGACGATACCCGTGATGGGGGGTTGAGCACATTTTTCGCTGGAACAAGTTCCTCTGTCCCCGGCTGCAGACTACTTGCCCTCGACAATCCTCACCCTGCCAATGTTGGCTCTCCAGACACTTTCCATGGTCCATCAGATCCCCAGCGTGAACTACTCGCTCGATGTGACTGCGGAGGAATTGAATTCTACATCACCCCGCCGGATGCATCTTCCTCTCAGGCGTCGTCGCCATGGGCAGATTTGCTAGTGCCCTACTACTCTGGATCCTCAGCGAACCCGGGCGACGTCAAATGGTGGTTGAGAGATGGTCAGACCAAGTATCTGGCGGGGACTTGCGCTTGTACTTCCTGTCGCCTCGGCAGCGGGTTTCCGATCCAGACCTGGGCGTTTGTTCCCAAGTGCAATATCAGGAACGCAGACCGGTCGTCACTCACCTTCGATCGCAGGACCATGCAACGATATAATAGCTCCCCGGGGGTATACAGGGAATTTTGTGGCCGCTGTGGCGCTACGGTATGTTGGCATTGCACAGAACGGCCGTCACTAATCGATGTGAGTGTTGGCTTGCTCCGGGCGAGCAGTGCCAGAGCCGAAGACTGGCTGGAGTGGGAAACAGGCCGAGTCAGCTTCGCGGAGATGGCAGTGCAACCGGATCTGATAAAATCCCTCGAGGAGGGCCTGAAGCAGTATTCAACCATATCACAGTAAATTCCAAGATGCCTCGTTTGTTGCTTGTCAAGTACGCCGGTGGTTGCTATTCGCGTAGATGCAAGATTCGGCCACCGCCTTCCCGAAACATAAAGTATGCCGCACCTTCAACTTTTTTTTCTCGCGTCTTGCTGCACACTGCAAGCTCCCTCTTGCTTTGACTCCGTACACGTGGGTGATTGTTGGAGTTCTCAAACATGCCGCCATTTCAATTCCGAGGGAATAGGGATCGTCAGTCGCGCCCCAGGCAGGAGTTTACCTTCCGCTACCCGCGACCGCCCACAGCTGAACGGCCGCTATTGCGAGGCAGGCGAGAAGCTACGCCCGAGCAGCTGGTTGGTGAAACAGCCGGTGATAAGTCTGCGCCAAAGTTTGCCTCACTGGACGCGATGAGTGACAGCGAAGAGGCTGAGATGGAGGTGTCTTCGGATGATTCGGACGATGAATCGCGACCTCGCAAGAAACGTGCCCTCGCCGTTGACGGCCCCAGCGAGCCAGCTGCCGCTCCACCAGCCCCCAAATGGTCCAACCCCGACCCTTACACATCCTTGCCTCCGCCCGATGAAAGTCAGTCCAAGAGGGTGGATGTGGTCAAGTTGATTCGCAAGGCGAGAGTCTCGGACGGCGCGGCCAAGGCAAAACAAGCGGACGCGGTGAAGGACAATGAGGACTTTATCTCGTTTGGCATGGACGATGAGGATGAATCAGACCATGGATCCGTGAGCAACGCCCCGGAATCTGCGCCTAGAGGGCCCAGAGGACTGGAACCCCGGGACCCTGCGATAACGAGCCGAAAGCGGACTCGTGAAGATGAAATCAAGGGATATTCTCGAAAGGCTGGAAAGCCTATGGGCCGGTTCAGACCGGATGGGTCGATTCTCGACCAGTGGCTGCCGCTGTCTAGAGAGACAGCCACGCCGTGGATGAAATACACAACCTATTCCACGAATTTGCAAGCACGGTGAGCGTCACTTCAACTTGCAATGTCTTGCCGCCCGCTGACCTCTGCATCAGATTCGACAATGAGATTCTCAGCTTCTACAACTGGGTCAAGCCCCAGCCGTTTGAGCAGATTGTCCGAGCGGATCTCATCGATCGATTGCAAAGCGCATTCCAGAACCGTTACAGTGGTGTGAGGGTTCGGCCATTCGGCTCATTTGCCTCGGGTTTGTATCTCCCTACCGCGGATATTGACCTAGTCCTCCTGTCCACGGCGTTCATTAGCAAAGGAGTCAAGACATTTGGCGAGAGAAAGGGTCAGATTTATGCCTTCGCAGCTTTTCTCAGGAACTCCAACATCACGGTTCCCAACTCGATTGAAGTCATTGCGGGTGCTCGAGTGCCCATCCTCAAGTTTGTGGATAAATTGACGGGACTACGAGTTGACCTGTCTTTTGACAATGACAGCGGGTTAATCGCCAATGAGACGTTCCAAAAATGGCAGGCTGAGTTTCCTGAGATGCCGGTCATTGTGTCGGTGATCAAACAATTCTTGCTGCTTCGCGGTCTCAACGAAGTTCCGACTGGAGGCCTGGGAGGATTCTCGATCACTTGTCTGGTCACCAGTCTACTCCAGCAATTGCCTCACGGTGACATGAAGCAGAGTCTCGCTATCGCCTTGATGGAATTCTTCAATTTCTACGGCAACTACTTTAAATATGAAAGCGTGGGCATTCGGATGGAGCCTCCTGGGTACTTCAATAAGGTGAGTGAAGAAGACATGATGGGCTGGCGAGCAATCCAGTTAATGGTACCAACCAGGTTTTCTTCGGGAACCGAGACCGTCTCACCATCCGGGACCCCAATAATGCCAGCAATGACATTTCAGGTGGGACAAAGGAGATTGAAATGATCTTGACGGCATTTTCTCGAGCGTACCGCAATTTGAATGATCGGCTAGACTACTTGGTGGACTACAATCAACCTGATCTGGGCTTCTTAGGCACCATTATTGGGGCCAACTATGACGACTACACTGAGCAGCGCTATCAACTGCGTCATGTGTTTGAAACGTCCAGTCGCTTTGCTCGCCATCGGTCACCGCCACCGCCGCCGCCGATGAGTCCTCCTGGGAATGAAGCTGCTCCTCCACCTCTGCCGCCGGGTCCCCCGCCGGGCCCGTCATCGAAGAATTCAAGGTCTTCCACGAAGACCTCGACTAATGGAGCGGGGAGGAAAATGAATGGGCAACAGAAGCAGGGAAACCAGCAACAGGGTGCCACTCAGCGGGGCCCTGCTGCTACTGCTACTCAAGTTTCTGATCAATCCTCTGGAGATGAAGACAGCTCTGGGGGTTCGCACGGGCCCAAGGAGCGAAAAATGACCAAGAATCAAACCAGGCGCACAGATTGTCAGAAGCGTGCTACCCGATTCAAGCAGTTGCGTCCCGATCTGCGTGTTCCGGACCGACTGAGTCTTCGCCAGGCTCGCAGACTGGCTGGGTATGAGACAAACGAGGAGATGGAGCAGGATCTTCAGGCCCGAGAGAATGCGCCTACTGGTGCGGCCTGAAACGCTCTTTTGTCGTGCTACTCCTTTCCGATTCTCGATGCCCGCTACGTTTTTCTTATGTGTCTGTTGTTATGTTCTTACGATACCCATTTCTATGGTTCTATGTTGATATTTATGGGGGAAGAGTGCCTGCGGACGCCGTTGCGGGGGATTTCATCTTTTTTTCTTCTTCTTTTGATATCTTACAACTTGCACAAAGGCTGATATCGGTGTCTTGAGTCTTGACGATGTGAAACAGGTCACTTGGTATTGGGGCATGCGTTCAACTCCCTGATTGATGTGTTCTGACATGAACTTTTTAGGATCCCCGTCTATCTTTCTATAATATCGGCCTGTTCGTTCCGATCTCTCTCCTGTGCTCTCTGGTCTCGTCAAGACTTGTGCGAGATACTCCGCCGAAGAAGAGATTTTTGGAAAGATAACGGCCGACATGTTGGCAGTAGGACCTGATCTGCCCTCGGATCGAGCTCGAGTTGCAACCTGCGGCATGCTGCAGAGCTGTCCCTTCCATGTGCAACGTGGAACCTAGTTGAGTTATCCCCTCTATGGGATTGTCTTAGTGATTAAATGCAAACCGACCAGCAACCGTGGAGGCACATGCGTGCATTCCCCGGCCGTTGGCAATTGATGCTCCTCTCCCCCCTTGGCTTTCCGCCTTTCCGATCCTTCTTTCTCACCAAGGAAGCGCTACACGCGGGTTCTTGGAGAGGACTACGAGGGATTGCGGTTAGATCAGCGTGGGACTTGGGTTGAACAGTTGGATTTTAAGAACAACGGTTCATGTTCGGGTATACATGTCCCAAATATGGGACGGAACGTGGGTATGTTTATGTGTATGAACAAGCCTATGTACATCCCTTGGCATGGAAAGAAAAGACAAAATGCTGCTCCTCATCCTCTTCTTATAACAGGCTCATCTACCCATTTCTATTCGATTTGCTTTTCCGCATCCAATGGAGGCGTGAGCATTGGCTCTCGTCCAGCGGCAGCATCAGACCACGCCTCCGTCTCCCCGCGGCCGTTTTCAACCTCCATTCTCTGCATGGCAGCAACATGCTCCTCAGGCAAGGAATTCACAAAGTCCGCCGGCGGACTCGCCCAGGCATAGTCAATCCACTCAACACCCAGAACATCACGAATCTCCCGCGCCAACTGCAGGATGTGTGCGCGGCGCGTTCGGGACCAGGCGCGGTCGGTGACCAGGCCCTCTGAGGGAGTCAAGATATTCGCAGCGTGGGATGCAGACGACGGCACCGGGCCGGACGCCGCATCGCGGCTCGGGGTGGACGTAGCAGAGGCGGGGGATTGGAGGAGAGAGAGCTCGGAGTCCGAGCCGTCGTCTTCTTCAGAGCAGTTCTCCAGCCCGTCGACGATACTGTGCCACACGCGCAGGGTCTCGTCCAGCTCGGCGACATTGCTCACGCCCATAACACTAACACCCAGCCGGCGCCCGGTGCCGATATTAGCGACGGAAAGGAAGCCCGGGTCGGCATCGGCGGCACGCGCAAGCGGCGGGCCGAGGGCGCCGACTCGTGAGCCAGCACGCAGCCACGACTCCAGCGCGAAGCGGATCGCGACGACCTCGAGCTTCTCGTCGTGGCGGGCGGCGCACTCTGCTGCGCGGTGGATGGCAGCGCGCAGCGAGTCGGGCGCCGGATGGAAGTCGCCCATTGCGCCGATAGGCACGCCGTCGCGCCGCAGCAGACCCATGCCCAGCGGCGAGGCGTTGGGAACGACGTCGACGCCTGCGGCTAGCAGACGCGGCAGGCCGCGCGACCGTAGCAGGGTGTTCTGCAGCGTGAAGTTGGCGTACGACATCACGGCGTCCAGCGGCTCGCCCGTCTCGCGAAGTACCGTCTCTGCTAGCTCGCTTAGTGTTTCGACGGGGTATCCCGAGATACCGACGTAGCGAAGCAGGCCCTCCTCGTCGCGCATTCGTCTCAGCTCACGTACTGCCGCCACCACCTCGTCCGCTGTGACAAATTCCACGTCGTGGCAGTATACCACGTCCACGTAGTCTGTGTGCAGTCGGCGCAGGCTGCGCCCCACGCTTTGCCGGATCCATGCCGGTGAGTAGTCGAAGGACCCGGACCCGATGCGCCCGACCTTGGTGAGCAGCCGGTATGTCGGTCGTGGGTAGTGCGTCTGTACAAACTCGGTGGCCAGCGCCCGCCCCAGTAGTTCCTCTGCAGGCCCGTAGTAGGGCGATGTGTCAAAGGCGCGGATGCCGCGCGTGAGTGCCCGCTGGACTAGCTCTGTTGTTGGTAGAGTGTATGGGTCTGCATTGTATTGCGAGTTGAAGGTCGCCGTGCCCATGATCAGCGGCGGGAGGTCCGCTGATAGCGGGGTGGAGTGGCGCATTATCTGCATGGTCGAGGGTTGGAGGTCGCGGCTCTTCCGACTGCTGTATGCTGGTCCGTTCTGGTCTTAAATATGTTCAATTGGTGATTTTTCGCTCAATTGCCTGGCCTTCACTTCTCAGGGCTGCGAGGTATGGGGTGGGTGGGTGAGTCTGGGGATGTCCGATCGATCGATTTCTTCGGAGGATGTTCCTCGGCTCCGCCCCGAATGGCGCCATAACAGGACCCATTAACCGCCCTGGTCAGGCATCTTCGATTTGCGGTTTCTGCTGTCTTCTCTGCTGGATAGCCATGTGGCACATCCACTGGGCGTTCCTGAAGTTTACCTGAGAGACGTACCACGGCGGTGGCAAAAAGTGCCCATCATTTTCAACAAAGCCATACAGTAGACTTGAGATTGCAAGTACTAAAGACATACGAAAGATCCAGGACATTACACACATATGCAAGTATACAGCTATGGTACAGTACATGCCTTTCCGGGTCGGAGTGGAGAACAGGGACAGAATGGTATACACAACCCCCAAGGGGATCAAGTCAAGATCGAGAGACCAGAGATCGAAGGGTCTCTCGCAAACAAAGCTCCTCTCTGCAAGAACCCAAACGCCATGCTATGCCAAATATCAGAAAAACAGACCGGTAGAGGAGTCGGGCTGCGGTGTCTTTTTCTTTTTCTTTTCTTTTTTTGTTGTTTGAATGTCGAGGAGGTCCGATCGGGAGGTCCGGTGTCGGGGACGAGGCGAGCGCAGACATCGAAAGAAAAAGCCACTCGATGGCGATCAACGATGAATGACTGGGGATATCTTTTTATGGGCTCGTTCACTGGTCCTTGTAGACCTTGGGGTTCCAGCCTTCACGCAGCTCCTTCTCGGTGGCGGCTTTTCGTTCTGCCTCGCGCACCTCCATCTCTATGCGCTCGCGTGCCCGCAGAATCTTGCTTTGGAGATAGAAGCTACCTCCCTTCTGCGGGTCGTTGAGGTCGAACAGTTTCTTGAATCGCTCCATGACCGCCTCGATGTTGGCCTCGCCGCCGGCCGGCGGCTTGACGTTCAGGATCTTGCATGCTTCATCCAGGGTCAGACCGGAGCTGGTGAAGCTGCCGGTTCCATTCTTCGAACCGGCATGTTTGCCCGACGCCTGAGCTTGCTTGTAGGCTTCGGCGAAGGCGCGGCCGAAGACGCGGGCTCCGGTGACGACAACTTGGGTGACGAGGCGATGAGCCTAGATCGGGGGGAGAGTGGAAGTTAGAGCTATGTATGGTAATATGGGTGCAGAAGAAAATATTCGAATGCATCAGGATCTTCTCCAGGTGCTGTGTGACTTACCATAGCGACGGTGGACAGGCAGGAGGTGGACGGGGGAGGATGTGAAGAAGGGGAAAATTTCGCGGATGAGCGCCAAGTCGCACCTCCGAAGTACTTCGGCAGTTGCTTAGGTTCTTGTATATACATGTCTATCGCCTGGCTTGACGGGTATTTGCTGGGAATTTATGTCTGCAAATCTGTAATCATATATATACATATATGTATCTCGGTCTAATAGAGAAAGAATAATTATTATCAGCATGTTCCTCTCCAGATTCACCTGTTCCTAGGCTTTTGCCGAGTCACATGTCTCCCCGCAGATCAACCGAAGGTCGACTATTTAACATGCCTCGCCCTCCCAGGATGTGCGCGCTGGAATCCTCATGACGTCTTCATTGGATGGCCGCTCTCGGTACGTTGGCCTCGACTTTCTGGTCTACTGGAGCTCGCGCATATACTGACTGGTCCCTTGCGACCTAGAAGATCTCCCGTGGATCGATTCCATGGCCCCCCCATCGCAACCGCCAGACCATGGCCAGTCTGACTCGCAGCCACCGACGGTCGCTGCCTTTTCTCCCTCCACCATCACCGGCTCGGCTTTGACCTCGCGCCAACGCTCCAGCATCATCGTGCATCGCAAGTCGCCGCTGCTGGTGGCTACGCCGCCGCCCATCACCCGGGCCCTGGCCTACTCACACCCGTTCCTCCTTCCTCTCAACAAGCTTGCCGGTCTCCTAACATGGACCTCGGGCGACCCCTGGCAGAGCTTCTTGCTCGTGGCCGTCTTCTGGACTGTAGTCCTATATAGTGACGCCATCATCCTCTGGGCCGGACCTATATTGGTCGTAGTCGGGCTCATCCTCGGCATGTATGGCCGCCGCTACTCGCCCTTATCCTCGACGACCTCGACTGGGGAGAAACATGCTAGCAAGGCTACCCCAGAAAACACAACTCGCCACCACAAGAGTCTGGACGAGATCGTCGAGACCCTGCGCACCTTCACCACCCGCTGCAACATCCTTCTCGAACCCTTGGTCGACCTGACCGATTTCCTGTCCACCCAACGCACTGCCACGTCGGCCACCACCCGCCCTGCGCTGACGGCGCTTTTCATCCGTATCCTCTTGATCACTCCCGTCTGGATCGCTTTGACTCTGCCCCCGTTCTATCTACTCACGACGCGCCGGGTTGTCATGTCCGTCGGAACGATCATTCTCACCTATCACTCGCGACCTGCCCGGGTCTCGCGGGTCATTCTGTGGCGCTCACGAGCCATTCGTCGTCTCTGCGCCATTGTGACGGGCCTGTCCGTCGCAGACGGCCCGGTCAATTCACAGAAGACCCAGGCGCAAGGCCTCGGCTTGAATATTGCGACTCGCCGGCGTGGACACTCGGGCGTGCGGTTTACGTTTGTCGTTTACGAGAATCAGCGGCGCTGGCTTGGTATCGGATGGACGTACTCGCTGTTCCCGTCGGAGCGTGGCTCTTGGACCGACGAGCATCTCAACTCCGTTCCTCCCAAAGATTCGTTTGAGCTCCCGGATGTACGAACCGGGAATGCGAAATGGCGCTGGGTAGAGGGGAGTGACTGGCGGGTCGAGGGCGCTGATTCTTCCTACGGCATGACAGATGCAAAAGCGTCAAATAGTGAGGGATGGGTCTATTATGACAACAAGGTTTGTGTTCCTCCTGGCGTATCAAAGTATTTTTTTTTTTCTCCTCACACCAATCCCAGTGGAGCGATGGCCGTCGCGGTCAAGACGGGTGGGACCGGTACACACGACGCCGCAAATGGTACCGCGATGCCGAGCTTGTCGAAGTCCCAGAAGAAGACAACATGAACGGCTCAGAAGAGACCATCTCCAGCCTCACGCAGGCTCTGGAAAGGGAGAAAGCGAAGGACAAGGAGAAGGACAAGAAGAAAGACAAGGACTCCGACACAGACTCCCGCAGCCTCACGCCCTCGACGACTCTCCGAACCCGGCGGCGGCGCTGGTTCGGCGGCGGCAAGGACAAGGACAAAGCAAAAGACCGCGTCAGCAGCGGCAGGTCCTCGGTCGATGTCGGCCGCGCCACGGGGTCGAATGTGGACGTTTCTGCCTCTGGCGACGGCGCAAGCGATGGTGGTGCCGCGAGCGGCCGCACGCCCTCGCGCCCGACCAGCATTCAAGGGTCTCGCCAATCGTCTCAGTATAATGCCCATGAAGATAGTCTGGCTACGAGTGACAGCGCCAGCATGCGCGAGAAGGAAGTCGCTCATGCGCAGGACCACCATGACCGGTGGGCGACGCGCGCTGCTGGCGGCACGGAGCGCGCAGAGAGGGAGTGGGGATTGAGCGATGATGTGAACATGGGGCTGAGTTGACTGTACTCTGGGTGTTCTTTCGGGCCTTGTATCTCTTCTGCCGTTGGCAATTTCCAAATAAATAATATCCGTCGTGAACGTATTCGATGCGATTTTCTATCCTTCTATGCGCATCATCGTGGTACCGTATACATTGGTAAACCATTTGCTGAACTTCTAGAGAAAGTCGGAGTTTATAGTAGGATTGACGAGGGCGAAGCAATCCTTGTCTCTCTTGTTCTTTGGAATGCAATAATTTATACAATACTCGGTTTGCAGAAGTATCATCCCAGATCTATACAAGTACATCCATATCTCATCAGTCATGACACATTCACATCTATGCCAAATTCAGCTCCCACCCCAGCTCATCCAAGACATCCAGCCAATGCACTGCGCCTTGGACAGTACCGGACTCAGCGCCAGCGTGCACTTCGTTCCTCGACCACAAAATTCCCAGCACTTCCTTTGCGCGCCGGACATTCCCGATCCCAAAATTCCTGTGCAACGTATCCAACGAGCGCGCCACAAGATCCCTCTGCGCAGCCGAATCGCTTTCGCAGCCGGCAATGAACAGCGGGAATGTGAGCGCCGAGTATTCGCAGTGGCCGTCCAGATGGAACGATTCCACACGGGCGAGGCAGCGGTGGACGGCGGTGGATTTGGGGGTGGAGATGAGAGATATGTACGTAAATGCAGGATGAACAGTATTTTCGAGAGAAGAATCTACAGTATTGTCGGCGAGACTGTGATTCGGGTACATGCGCTCGAGGATCGAGTGTAAGTAGATAAATGCGGCCTCGCGGAAACACTCGGCGACGAGCTGGAGACGGGTCAGGGTTGCTTTGGTCATTTGGTGTGGGATGGTGTAGCGGGTTGTGGTGTGGGACCAAGTGAGAAGAGATTCGTTACTATAGCAGTTAGTATATTTTCCATGCTATCTTTCCACTAAGGAAATGATGGACCTGAGAACATCAGCGGCTTACATGGATGCAACCAACAACCGTAGAGCGATGCTGTCGTCTACCATTGAAGGCAGCTCTGCAATGCGCGCGCAGAGTTTCAGGATATGCTCGGTATACCCAATATAAATATCCAGTCTGGGGTTGCCGATGTCATTGTCGAAGACAGAGACATCGGGTGAAGCGATGAACTTGCGATTCGAGATTTGGGCCATGTGATAAGCATACACGAAGCTGAGAAGACGTCAGTACCGTATAAAACTTGGGATCTTGGGGACTTGTCTTACAGTCCGCGCAAAAAGTCGCCGGTTTCCCGATCCATTGCACCAAAACCACCACGGGAAACGATCAGGCGCTGCAATGCCTGAAGGTGGACGCCCCACTGCGTGACACTGCCACGCACGATCTCGTATTTACACAGCAAGCCCACGGCTAGCATGGCGTCGTCGGGAAACCAATCCGTACGGCATTCAATCAAGGCAGTTTGCAGCCCCGTAAGCGTGCGGCCATAGTAGCTCGCGGCTGCAGTGTGGGCGTCCAGGCCGTGAGAGCGGTTCGCAAGATGGAGGGCAGAGACCGCGCACACGGCTTTCATGAGGAGAGGCGATACCATTGCTCGAGGAATCAAGAAAGATCGCAGCGGGTTGTCGGCACTCTCGAGATTGGCTAGCAGGCGTGAGCCCTGCTCCATGTGGTATTGCAGATAGTGTGTCTCGTGTTTTGAGAGGTGACTGATAGACCCGCGCAGCCGTGGAACCACCGCCATGGGTTCCTCCGGGTGGATTGCTTGGCAGTATTCAGGTTCATCAGCCACCTTAATTGAACGTGTTCCTATCTCGGCTTCTTTGGAGCTTGGTGAAGGTACGATTGACCACCCCGGCGAAGGCTGAGTCTCTGGCCATATTTCCCCACTGGACAGCGGAGATACCGTCTGAGACAAATGTGTCGCACTGAGCCGTCGCCGCTTCAACTCTCCCGCCGGCTGGAAAACTTGAGCCGAAGGGCTCAGCGGCTCTACCCACATAGACCCGTAGCCCTCACATGTACGGCCTATGTTGATACAATTTTTGCAACTAATCCCATGAGTTAGCATTGGACACAGGAATCACTATTCCAAAAAAAGAAAAGAGAGGAAAAATCGTGACGATAGTTCTACGAGATAGGATTACCCCACGCACATACCTCGGTTTGGCCTTGTCGCAGCCTTTCCGCCGCTTCTTGCAGGTCAAACATCCCGAGCGAGTCCAGGGCGTGCCGGACTGCCGACTTCTGTTTTTCTTGGGGCTCGGCGACGGTGCCCCGATAGAGAACACATCCATCACGGTAGCATTGTGGGAGAAATTCAAGCACAAAATACTCCAAAAGTCGTCGGACCTGATCGACGGCGATTTCTCGATAGCGGGGGACGCCATTCCTAATTGGGAAGGTATTGCCCCGGATAATGTCACGTGGTTTATCAATGGTCTCTTTCCCAATGAGGCAGGCGGTGATGCGATGTACAAGTATCCTTCACTGCTCTATGAGGCAGGTTGGTAGGAGATTCGAATGGAATAGAAGATTTATCGGTATATATTGACCTTGCCAACAACCTCAATTCTTTTTATTATTCCCCCAATTCACGGGTTGACCAACACCGAACATCACTCCACTCAACTTGGTGGTTCGTTTCCGTAAAAGGAAAGTCCATGCGTTTCCCCGATAAGATGGGCTATTTAAATCCCCCCGGCTTTCCTGCTGGTTCTCCAAGCTGTTCATTTTATTCCTTTCTCCTGCATTGATGTCGTCCAGCGCAATACCCTGCTCTCCCTGGTACATACTGATCTAGATATCGACCCGCTGGCAAGCCACTATGGTCCTCCACCCTTTCGATCCCATCACGCCGGGTGAAATCACTCTCGCCGTGCGCATCCTCGAGGCCACATTTCCCGGGGTGCAATTACGCTACAAGCGCATTGATTTGAACGAACCTATCAAGAAAGATGTTCTTCCTTACATTGAAGCGGAACGATTGCGGCGGCCGCTGCCACCACCACCGACCCGCCTGTTATATGTTCTCTTCCACCGCCTCGACAGCGGCGCATTCTACAAGGCCATTTTGAATGCCGATAAGCGGTCTATCATCTACGCGAAGGAACTCCCAAGGGAGGTGCAAGTGAGTATGACGGCTTCCCAGACAATATATATACGCCATGGAGGTTAACTAGCTTGCCGCCAAAAGGGTCCCATCGACACCGATGAAATTATCGCAATTGAAGAACTATGCATGAAGCACCCGGCGGTGCTGGCCGAAATCGAGAAGCTACATTTGCCTGCGGGCGTGACAGTCTGCAATGACCCATGGATGTATGGCACGGACAACGAGAACGAGACGCGGCGGCTCTTCCAGTGCTTCATGTATATTGTCGAGGTCGACCACCCACAGAACAACCACTACTCGGTGCCGTGCAAGTTCTCTCCCGTGTTTGACGGCCTCACCCACGAGTTGATTCGTATGGATTACCTGCCCGGTGGGGGTGATTTCGATGTCACGACCACCCAACCTTGGAAGCCCGTCAAGACAATCCAGTATGCGCACGACCTCCTGGATGAGCCTCTGCGTACCGACCTCAAGCCATATATTGTGCAGCAACCAGAGGGTCCGTCCTATTCGGTGGATGGCCGCTCTGTCTACTGGCAGAAATGGCGTTTCCGCATCGGTTTCAACATTCGGGAGGGTCTGATTCTCTATAATATCACATACGACAATCGCAATGTCTTATACCGTCTTGCCGTCTCTGAAATGACCGTCCCCTATGGAGGTAGGTCGCCAACGCCTATACCCCAAAGACCGTACTAATATCTGGAATCTAGATCCTCGTGCCCCATACCACCGCAAGCAGGCATTTGATGTCGGTGACACTGGCTTTGGTGTTAATGCCAACCAACTGTCTCTCGGGTGTGACTGCTTGGGACACATCAAGTACTTTGACGGCTACCGGAACGACTCCAAGGGTAACCCGGTGTTGTTGAAGAATGTGATTTGCATGCACGAGCAAGACAATGGCCTGCAATATAAGCACACCAATTACCGGTCCGGAGATGCGACGGTCGTCCGCAATCGTCAATTGGCGCTGCAAATGATTTGCACGGTTGCCAACTACGAGTATATCTTTGTCTACCTTTTTGACCAAGCCGGCAACGTGGAGCTGGAAGTCCGCGCCACCGGCATTCTCTCCACGGTTCCATTCGACAACGAAAACGGCAAGACGGTTCCTTGGGGCACCAACGTCGGGCCGGGTGTCATGGCACCCTTCCACCAGCACATGTTCTCGCTGCGAATCGACCCGGCGATTGATGGGTTTAAGAACACAGTGTACTACGAGGACAGCGTCCCCATGCCAGAAGACGAGTCCAACCCTTACCTCGTGGGTTATACCACCGAGTCCACAGTCATGAAGAACGCCAGCTGGGCCAACACCAGCGTTGACCGCCACCGCGTCTTCAAGATCCGCAATGACAGCATCACCAACCCCGTGACATATAAGCCCGTGGCATACAAGCTCCAGACTGCCCCCAGCCAAATGCTTCTGGTCAACCCGAAGGCCATAGGCCATCGCCGTGCCGAGTTCGCCACCAAGCCGATCTGGGTGACCAAGTACCAGGACGACGAGCTATACGCCGCCGGCGAGTTCACCAACCAGAGCCGCCGGGCCGAAGGTGTCGAGACCTGGGTGCAACGCAAGGACAACACCGAGAACGATGACGTGGTCCTCTGGCACAGTAAGCTCTCCTTTGCTAATATTGCTTTTTTTGTTTTTTTATTAACCACTTACTAACTCATTCTCCCAGCCTTTGGTCTCACCCATAACCCCCGCGTCGAAGACTTCCCCGTCATGCCCATGGAGCGCATCAGCGTCATGCTCAAGCCCGACGGATTCTTCACCAAGAACCCGGCCCTCGACGTCCCGCAGTCCTCGCAGGCATTCAACAAATCTACTTTGCATCTCGAGGAGAAGGCCAGCGCTTGCTGTGCCGGTTCCTCGGCTGGGACTGGCAAGGCCAAGTTGTATAAGCGCATTGAGTAAATCTGCGTGCGATGATCTCTTATATTCCCTTAGAGTCTAGATACCATCTTTGGTTAGAGCCATGTGAATATTTCGGTGGTTTGGGCTTGGAAGTTTTCTGTAAATATGAATTGATGAGATTATGCATTGTTCACTTGGGTTTCCCCTGGTATACCTTGACTTTTCTACATTTAGCAAGATTAGGTAGGCTTGCCTTGAACTCCGTCGTGGCCAGTCCAGGCTTATACAAGTCTTTCGAACACGAGTTTTCACTAGAATCTTCAATTGACACATTTCTACCCTATACAACTCGACCACAACTATACGACTAGAATCCGTTCATTTGTTCCTGCAAGGAAGACCACATGAGACAGACCATTTCATTTTTCCTCTCCCACACAAGCGTCATATCCTATGGCTATCTCACGCGAGGTCATTCCTTCCCCCCCTCCCCACAGAAGAGACACCACCAAAGGAAACAGGACCATGGATATAAAATACAAAGGCCCAGGGGCTCCCCTGTTCGCTTCCTCTCTTTCTTCGCCATCTCGACCCCATTTACCACACTCAATCACCTTGCGTCATTTTGCTCATATCATGCATGTCCTAAATACTCTTTTGAGGGCCTTGCGCTGGTGTTTTTGCACCCGATCAAGGGGGTTGTACCCCATAGATCACACTGACTCTTCTTAACTTCTCTTGGGCTTGTGTCGGAAGATCCGGTTCGAAATGCCAAGAAATCAAACAAGCTCATACAATCAAGTCAAAGGAAAAGAAAAGAAAGCCCCGGATAGTGCAGCCAATACTTACAGGTCCTTCTTGACGACGTGGGCGCTGGGCAGAGCACCGGCGCGCTCGATGGCGGCCTGGCGGGCGCCGTTGATGCCGTACTGGGTGCTGATGCCCTCGACACGGTGGGTGGAGTTGATGTTCTTGACGAGGGTGAGCTGCCAGCAGGTGGCACCACCCTGGCGGGAGGTGATGGTCGAAGCAGCAAGGAAGTATTCCCAGATCTAGAGAAAAATTAATATGGATATAGGGAAGAAAGAAAGGGATCAAGATAAACTTACGCGGAACCAGCGCTTGCCGTACTTGGCCTCGACCTTCTCGCGGTTGCCCATCCAGTTACGGTACCAGCGCCAGAGAGTGGCCGAGTAGTGGACACCGATGGTGTCGACGGCCTTGATCTCAAAACCAGCACCCTCCAGGCGGTCCACGACGAAGCCAAGCGGGGTACTGGCGTCGGCACCAGGGAAGATGTACTTGTTCATGAACAAACCCCAGATGAGGTCCTCGTACTGCCAAGACTTACGGAGACCGGCGATCTGCAGGAAGAAGACACCGTCGTCGTCCAGCATGTCATAGACCTGAGACAGGAAAGAGGAGAAGTGGCGGACACCCACGTGCTCAGCCATCTCGAGACAGGTGATCTTCTGGTAGCCGCCGTCGACCCGAGGGGCATCGCGGTAGTCCATACACAAAACGCGGCTCTGCGATTCCTCGATGCCAGCCTTGCGGAGGCCGTTGTTACCCCAAGCGGTCTGGTTACGGCCGAGAGTGATACCGGTAACCTGGGCGCCGTAGTGGACCGAAGCGTACTTGGCGAGCGTGCCCCAGCCGCAGCCCAGATCAAGGATCTTGTCACCGTTCTGGATGCCAATCTTCTCGCAGACCACGGCCAGCTTGTTGTCCTGGAGCTGCTCCAGCGACTCTTCCTTGTTAACATCACCGATGATACCCGAAGTATAGATCATGCGCGGGCCCAGGAACCAGGCGTAGAAGTCGTCGCCGCGGTCGTAGTGGTCACGGACCTGCTCCTCGTCTGGTAGTCAAACCGTCAGTATCGGCAGATCATATATTATCATGGTATAAGCCTTACCCTGAGAACGAGTGTGCATCAGCAGCTCGGGGATGAAGCCAAACAGGAAGTGCTTGAAGAGACCCATGGTAAACTTGAAGTTGGCCCAGTCGTGACGGTACTCGAGGCACTCCAGAGCATCACCCTTGAAGTCAACCTCGCCGTTGAAGTACTTCTCATAGAACACTTCCATGGGAATCTTGCTCTTGCCGCGGTAGGTGGCACGGTCATGCTCGCTGTGGAATTGCAGGTAATGCTCGACCGGGCGGCCGGCATACTTGGCCTTCTCGGTCTTACGCGGGGAAACAGAAGAGGACACGGTCCAGAACGCCATCAGCACGGGGATCGTGGTGAATACGGCAAAGAAGATGGTCGTGTAGAACCCTCCGCCGACCTGGCGGGCCAGGTACCAGGGCACCACGATGAGCAGAAAGATCATCAAGCCATTGGAGAAGCTGTCGCTGCCGGGCGAGTCGGCGGGGACAGGGGCATTCTTGATGGCCGGGTACTACACACGCAATAGCAGGAAATTAGCTTGCAATTCCACTTTGGTTCAACGCTGCAGCTTCACCTACCAGGGTAGTCCGCACACCGCAGTCGAAGGCGGGCTTAGACTGCTGCTCAGCAGCCGGGGTCTGGATGAACTCAAAGTCCTCGGGGGACTCCGCATGAATGGTCGTCATGGCGGCGAGGTGTCAATTGAGAGGGGTGGGAGAGGAAAAGGAGCGAGGTTCAGGGAGCATAAATAATGTGGCAGTTCCGAGGCGGTGAAGTGCGCCATACGTGGGTACCTGCTCCGTGCAGACGTAGCCGACGAAGCTTGTGCCTGCAAGTACCCTGCTGTCCTCTTATGTCTACGTAGTTCTACCAATTGTTTTAAGCGTGGGCTCAACCAGGGAATTCCGGCTGCCTGGCAAATGGCGATTTCATGTGCGGTCTCGCCTGTCTGGCTTGGCCTCCGAGGGATCAACAGAGTGGAGATTCCTGAAACAGTACGATCCGCGGTTTACCAGGCCCTGAACTGTTGGGACACTTGTGCAAATAGTTAAATTGAAGTGTTCATATTCAAAATTTGCCTAGGACACCTAGGCACTGACATATCAACGCCATGAACCCCGTTGGCTTGCCGCCATACACTGTTAAACCATGCCTGCAAACCAGCCCCCCATCCATGCCGAATCCGCCAGACCGAATGAAAGAGAAAGGAAAGTCATAGTAGTAGCACTTCCACACAATGTGTTGCCAGATGATTAGACTGGCTTTCACAGTGTGAGCTGGAAATCCTCTGTTTCCTCATCTTCCCCGAACGTCTGCAGTGGTTCTCCCAGTTCCAGTGGAGCGGCACTTTCAGCCTCATCGAAGCACCCAGCAGCCTTGCAACGGGACCACATGTCCGATCCCAGCGGAGGTGGACCGTAGAGCTGCATGTAAGTCTCGGGAGACAGCGTGGGTTGAGGTCGGGATGACTTCTGCGTCTCTTCCCGCAACGTGCACGACACAGTTCTCCCCTTGGAATATCCAACAGTCGTATTGGCGTTGGCAGCGGCAGCAGTATTGCGCATAGAGGATGGGTTGGTTGGGACTCGGGCCTTCTTCTTGGGCATCAGCAGGGATGATGTCACCCGCGGCTTGGGCGCAGAGGCGGTTCGAGTCGGTGCTGCAGATGGCTTGGGTGCAGCTAGAGCAGATGCGGCCTCACGAGATCGGAGAGTAGGGATATTGCGAGTTGATCGCGTGTGGACCGTAGGTCCCTTAGCACGTGGCTGCGGCTGCGGCTGCAGCGTCGGTGCCTCGACAGACTCGTTGTCACTCTGTTCGTCGAACCCGACGCTGTCCAGCTGTTTCATGATCAATTCATCCACCATTCTGTCACACGTCGCAGAATCCTGCTGGAACTTGCGCTGCTTCTGCGTGAGACCATCGCTGCCGACTTCTTGCCGTCCATACACGCTCTCCAACCCCAGAGCTCGGTTCTTCGGTCGGAACTGAGGGAACGAGGTGTCATATGTAACATCGTCAGGAATATCCGGCAAGTCTAGACTTTGTTAGTCATGGTCTATCTTGGGATCGTCGATTTGAATCCAACGCTGTACCTGTAGGCTTGGGTGGCATGTATTCAATGTCGGGCACTTCCTCCTGAATCGGTTCATTGTGGACCTTTGGCTGAGCCTGCTGCAGTACCGGTGCGGCCTTTTTGATTTTTTGAGCAGTCGATGTCCGGCGGTTGGTCTTCTCTGGCTTGAGCGTTCCCAAGGGGGCAGGCGTTTGGAGACCTTTGGCTTTAGCATTGGTCGTCTTCATGCCCAACGGGGCACGATTCTTCGGCTCTAAAACAACAGTTAGTTTGGATCCTGCCACGAACATCAAATGATCCATCCACTCCCATACCCATCGGAGTCATAAACGCGTCCTTGCCCGGTTTGCCATTGCCTTTGACAGTACGTTTTCCAAACGCCAAAGGGTTGTTCTCATCATTCAGCGGCACTTTAAACGGAGTCTTCCCGGGGGTCTTCGGGGCCAGCTGCTTGAGTCCCTGGTTGAGTGGTTTACCGGCCGCGGCGGTCTGATGCGTGTTTACCAGGTTTTCCTGGTCGCGAAGAGCCAACATGGTGGCGAAGGGGTGGTAAAATTCTCATGCAACGACAATAGAAGTGAATAACGAAGAAATTCGTGATCAGTGGGGATCGAGAGAGGATCGATAAACTTGAAGAAAGTCGACTTGTAGATGGGCGGATATTGTTGTCTGGTTGCCCGTGGAGACGCAGTGACCAGAAGGCGGTGATTGGGCAAGACGCAGAGGGGGGCAGCCATACGGTACACAGTACCTCCCCGGCGGTGGGCTGAGTGCCTGACGGGTTGGTATTGTGTACACTCTGTGTCTCTCCCCTTCTCTCCCAACTCCAGCCCAAGTGCCCTCTCTCTCTTACCTCTTTCTTCCCCCTCCACACCATCGCCCGGTTTCTCGCTGAGCGAAAAACCTCTTCCTTTTACCCCTACATATTGGGCATTTATTTCTTTTTATTTCGATTTCACCATGGATAAGATTAAGGAGGTAAAATCGGACCCCTGCTGGCGGGGTAGCTTTGCAAGCTGTCTCCTAGAACTGCCCACCCACAGCCCCTCCATCATGCATAATGCCTCGCATCACTTCTCAACACACCAAATTCAAACATTTCAAACACAAAAATAAATGCTGACTTGATAATTTCTAGCGCATGAGCGCCCTCCGCGTGGAGGCCGACGATGCCCACGAGAAAGTCGAGGAGCTGAAGGGCAAGACCAAGACGCTGGAGCAGGAGAACTTGTCCAAGGAGCAGGAGATCACATCGCTCAACCACCGCAACCAGCTGCTTGAGGAGGAGGTTGAGAAACTGGAGACCTCTTTGAAGGAGGCCAAGGATGCCGCCAACCAAAGCGCCCAGCATGACACCCAGAACGAGGCTCTCCAACGCCGGGTGCAGCTCCTCGAGGAGGAGGCCGAGGAGAACGACCGCACTCTGCGGGAAACGAACGAGAAGTACGGCCCTCTCCACCGGCTCCGGTCCTCACAAACTAACCTTGCGAACGCAGGCTCCGCCAAACCGACGTCAAGGCCGGCCACTACGAGCGCAAGGTGCAGGCACTCGAGACAGAACGCGACCAGTGGGAGAGCAAGTACGAGGAGATGGCCAAGAAGCACGCCGAGTTGCAAAAGGACCTCCACGACCTCGAGGTGTCCATCAGCAACGTCTAAGCGGAAATGCGGGGGTCGATGTAGGGTGTCGGGAGATGGTGGGATGCTCCAACTATCTGCGTTTTCATATTTTGACCGTTCGTGTTACTTGTTCTTATGCTGGCCAGAGACAGTGTCTCAATAGCAAGACTTCTCACCCATAGCTCATACCTATTCACTACAGGATATGGATTGTCATTTCATAAATACTTAATCATTGAACAGCGGATTGTGTACCGCGTGGTATCGAACATATTGGGGGAATGCTCTCATCCCTCTCGCCGTGCCTTGGCCTTTTTCGATTTCGATAGGCGCTGCTTTGCCAGTGCTAGCTTGCGCTCGCCCTTGCTCTCGTACCGGAAATTTCTCTTCTTCTTCTTGGGTTTGTCCGTTGGTTTTCGGATTTTCTTGGGCGCTTTCGCATCTGACGCTGTCGTAGTGTTGGGTGCCGGATCTTGCTCTTGCTCTTCTTCATCCTCCGAGTATTCTCCCTTCGCAGCCTTGAGAAGACCTTCTCGCGACGGGTCCATTTCTTCCACTGTCACCGTCGTATATTTATCTTCGTCGATATACTCGGCCTCGTAGTCCACCGCCGGTGGCTCGGCAAACCCCTCCCATTCTTGATTCGAGTCGCTCTCGTTCTCCTGGTCGGGATTGGAGTCGCTGCTGTCACTCTCATCTAGCTCCTTCAGGCGCTTGAGCTGGAGTTTGTGCTCTTCCATTGCCCGGTTGAATTCAGCCGTCCGCTCTTCTCGAATCTAAAAATCCGACTATATTAGCCCATGTCGCCAGTCAACAGCTCAAAGGCCACAGACCTTTTGGCGCTCAAGTCTTTTCTCTTCTTTCATTCTTTTCTCGGCCGCCTCCTGTGCATGTTTTGCGCGCTGCTGCTTGCGTTTCCGAAATCCCGTAAGAAAGTCATGGCGGGCATCCGGATCAAAATTCACCTCCTCGACCTTGGCCAACTTGCGTCGTTTTGATTGAAGCCCCATGATGAATGAGCCAAAAATATGAAATTCTTGTATTCACAGGAATTGAAAGAACCCCCGGTGTCTTCAGCGTGGAGGGCGTTTTGTAGCGCAGAAAAAAAAAGTTGGCTAGCAAGCACAGGCGGGTCGGGGGTTGTCGACCGCCTCCGAGGCCAGTCCGACCTCGCGTTGGCAACATCACCATCCACCTTGACCATCTCCACCACACAATGCATCTGAGCAGGTTCTGGCTGCTCGCCCTGGGCGCAGCTGCTGTCGATGCCTTTCGGGATACATCGCCTTTCTTTCTTGCGTCGACCTCGGAGTACGATGGATTGATCCCCAGTGGTCTGCACCTGAGCTAACTACTCCCTCCCTTAGGGTCCTGACCAACTCCGCATACATCAAGGCCGGCACATCTCTACTTGATGACCTCTCGTCTGCCCTCGGATCGTGCCCCTCGGATTACTATGTTGTCGTCCACCAGCCCGGCGTGCACAGCACCGATTTCGCGACTCGCAAGTCGGCACCCCGCCTCGGTGCGAAGGTGCTGGGGAAAGACAAAGCCATCCGGTCAAAGATGACCGTTCATGAGGTCGCTGGCTTGTTGAACACGAAGGATGTCAAGGACCTTTTGGAGAGGAAGTGCAAGACGCACACTACCACTATTGACGCTTCCTGTAAGTCGCCATGCTGATCGATGATGGACCTTGACGGACCCCGTGGATCAAAACTGACTATAACCTGAAGCTGGGTCCTACCCCTCGTACTTTGATGAAGGCCCTCGAATTATCGATGTTGAATTCCCCATGCTCTCGCTGGGCTCAGACCGCGCCCAGCGGCTGTCAGAGAACGGTATGTGCCGTGGAAGCACCGAGATTCCGTCGAGAGCATCACTAATACTTTGTCAGATGGCCTCCTGGCTGATATCGTCGACCGAATTCCTTCCTCTTCGAAGTTTACTATCCTATATGTCACCTCGCCTAGAGAGTTCCCCGAAACCGACTCCGTTGTCTACGATTCTGGGGAGGACTCTTACCAAGATTCTGTTCACATGGACCTGAAGCGGGACTATTCATCGCACTCATACGCCGGCAAACCCAGCTCCTCGTCAAAGTCCCTGTTCCAAGAGTACCAGTACTTTACTCCAGGTTCGTACCCTCTGGCCATCAAAATGCCCCTAATATTCACCCTGACTCCTCGGCAGGTATTTTCATGGGCCTCTTGGCATTCCTGCTGTTTATCGTGATTTCGTACATTGGAGTTAGTGCTTTGAGCAGCCTTCAGGTCCCTTATGCGGCCTTTGAGAGGGACACGTCTGCTGCAGCCCAGAAGAAGCAGCAGTAAAGCAATAGAATCCCTTGCTCGGTGCATAGTGCCATTAAATTTTCTTTTTTTCCATCTCGGGGCTTGGGGCCAGTTCATGTTTAGCTCACTTGTACGATACATCATTTTCTCTTTCTGGTCAAATTGAAGGCATCATGTGACACCTATACAAGACTAGCGTAGTGCCGTTTTGCTCCGCGGTTTTCGCTTATGCCAAACTGTTCCTCTTCCTGTAAACATTCCAGACGCTCGTTGCTTTCTGTTGAGGAGTCAGTCACTCGTTTTTCCCGAAGACCTCAATACGCCTCCATTGGAAAACCCGTTGACTGGAAGATTCGTGACTTGAGGAGTACAGCAGCCAGGCATTCTGACAACTAAGACATATTGCAGCCCTATTTGAAACCAAGGCCAGACGTCAAGAATTGTCGTCGTGGATAGACTGCCTGAAGAGACACCTGCCATACTTGATTTCTCACTATCGTTCACGATCTACGCCCAGCCCGACTGACCCGCACCCCAGTGGAGAAGCGGCCGATCGATTGTTTACAGTCGATTTCACCATGCGACTTCGACCACGGCGGCTTGCCAAAGCCAATCCCTCATTTATATTGTTACTACTGCTGGTCATTGCGATCGCAGCTCGAGTATCTGCGATGCCCGCGGACCATACAACAACGGATCCTACCGACGCCCAGACCACCGACGATCCCGGGACCACGGATAGTGCCCCTAGCGTGACCGAGACCGCTGCTGTGACAACCGACACCAATACTTCCTCGACGTCAGAGTCGGACACCACCAGCACCACCTCCTCTTCCTCTACCAGCGAGACCATGGCTACCACCACCGACTCCGATACCACCACGACGGCTGACAGCAGCACCACCACATCGGACTCTTCGACGACCTCAACATCCTCGTCCACCACTAGTAGTACCCACCCTGTTGTGACGGTACCCCCCATCGCAAATGCGCCATACATGCAAACAACGAACACCCCCGAGGGGACCGTCTTCATCGCCGTGGGCGCCGTCCTCGGGCTGATCGGACTATCTGTGTTAGCCTGGCGAGCCATCATCGCATGGTCCGTCAACCGCTCGGTGCGGCGCGCAGCGATGATCCACTCGTCCGAATCGAAGCGGCTACTGCGCGGCAGCAAGAAGAAGCGATCAACCGTATACGCAGCGGCTCCTACAGCCAGCGTCTCGCTCGACAAACTCGGCGCCGCCACGCGCGCAAACTACAAGCCCCACCGAGTCCCCAGCTCCAATAGCGGCCTCTTCTTCTCGCCCACGGCCGGCGGCGCCGGATCGCCTGCCAGTCTGAACAACGCGGCGGGCAACCGCGGCTCGAGCTATCTGCCTGCTGGCTACTATGCTGCCGCCGGCAGTTCCACCCCCGCCGGCGCTGCCGCGCACTCCACGCCGTACTCACCTACCGCCGGTCTCGCCTCGCCGGGTTACCCGCCCAGCTCCCCGACTCTTCCGCCAATCGGTCCATTGCATGACCCGCCGCTCAATCCGCGCCAGTCGTACGGGGGCGGCTCAACCAGCTCGCTGAATCTGAGCCAAGCGCCGCAGGGTCGTGCCCCGAGTGCATACCTGGAAGATCTATTTGAGAGCCATGCCCCTCCAAATCACCCTAACTCTGGCCTTCGATAATGGTGATTAGGATTTATTGATATGGTGATGCTTTACGAGATGAAGGGACGATACTAGCGATTATTTAGGTGGAGAATCTTGGATTTACATTTTTGGTTTATTTCATTTTGTTTTATCGTATTTTATTTCTTCGTGTCTGATGCTTGTTTAGCAAGCGTTCCATGGAAGTTGCATGGCGTACTGCTGTGGATTCATAAGCGTCTTCTCCTGTTGATATTTAGGTAGTTATTGCACATGGACTCGATAGTTCCCTGTATTGGTTATGGCTTATATATGTCCATATATGTCTATTGCTCATTCTGACTCTTCTATCTATTCCTCCCGAGTAATCGTAAACAGCAATCTTCTCGAGTTCTCATCCTCCACAGCATTCTTCTTCGCCGTGTTAATCCCCACCTCATCAAGAGACCCCTCCACCTTCCACTTCGTCCCCGTTTCCGCTCCGACACGCTCCCACATCTCAACGAGAGTACTCACATCATGGCGAAAACTCGTACTCCCAGGCTTAATAGCCGGAACCTCAGCAGGCTTGACACTCCCACTCTGCCGACCCACAATCACGCCGCCCTTCCTGACAATCCCCGCAATAACCGTAGCAGCTTGGATTTGCTGCGCAAGCGGAAACAGATGAAAGAACGCTGAGCAGTGCACGACATCCGCGCCTGTTGCCACCAGCTCTGTCCAGGGCTCGCCCTGCGCATTGCCCAGGAAGATGTCAGCAACGACAAACCGGCTCGCAAGACTCTGTCGGTCAAGGAACAGCTCGTAGCCGAGCTCCATAAGCGGGCCCTCGATGTCGACGCCGATCAGCTGCGCCGATGAGACCCCGTCCAGCACGAGCTGGCGCAGGTCCTGGCCGAAACAGCAGCCCAGGTCCACATAGACTGCGGAGGGGTTTTGTTTCAGGCGCGAGAGAATGCTCGCGTACAGCGGGTGCGTGAGGAGCGTGAGGTTCAGGAAGCGGTAGTAACCGATGCATGGGTATGGGTTTGAGGCGAAGCCGCGGGCACGCTGTGGGCCTGGTTAGTACAAGGTATGTATGTTATGTATGGGTGGCAGGGGTGGCAGGGGTGGCAGGGGTAAAAGGTATAATCGAAACGTACAATGGCGTTGACATGCTTGACTACATCTCCCGACGGGACTTGGGAGTATTTCTCCAGCAGGTGGCGGATCTGCGGGTTGACCTGCTCGAGATCCGGGTCGTACCACTGCTGGTGCCGCGTGGCGTGGCCGTCGTTGGTGGCAGCCATGATGATATCTCAAAAAAAGTGTCGATCTGGAGATGCCAAGCAAGCCAAGAGAGATTCGCGTCGGAGGGTAGCATGCAGAGAAATGGAGAATTGAATTACTCGTTCAACCCCTCAATGGCAGTCTCGTGGGGGCGATATCCGGCGTTTATGTCGGAAGGATTGCTTCGGATGTGTCTTGTCAAGATTGTTGCTAGCGATATACAAACCCCATAAGCAGGAAATAGTTGAGAATCTACTCGCCCAGTGGCTTACAAGTACCTATAGATCTACTGGGTACCTGGTTGATCGGGATATATGTACCCTACTAAGCGCATCTGATATCCGCTAATACAATAAAGCCCCCAAAGTCTGCCGACGCCACAAATTTCGAGTAAATCGTGGGACTCGAGGATCTCAACCGAAATGGATAATATGTTTCTAAAACATGCAGAAATTCAAAATAGTATCCTATCCAAAGTTGTCGAGATATTTACAATCGAAATCATCGAGTTTACCGGTGAATATAGGGAGTGTAGAGTAGACAGACTTTTGCACGCGTATGTACTTATTTGGAAAACCCGCTTGGCCTGCTCGCTTCCGGTTAGATTAGATTCTTAGGGCGTAAATATGGCGTGACTTGTTCCTGACTCAAAGTAGAGTCCTTGCGACCCTTTTGTGCCCCGATCTGTTGGTAACTATGACGATTCAGGTAATTGTCTCTTTCCATATGGAGATGAAGTAGACTGGTAGATATAACGCGTCAATTCTAGGAGTTGAGGGAGTGTTCAATCTATAGTTCAATCGAGAAAAATGCCCGTCTAGAGCTCGAAAAGAACTTTGGCTCTTTTTCACTTTCTATGACCTAGTAATCCGGACGTACTCCGTAGTCTCTAACAAACGAGGACCACTGCGAATCATGTCGCCCCCAACTTCGCCCGGTGAGAGGCCTGAGATTCTCGTATGCTCATGGAAATAGATCTACATAGCAGTTGACGCAAAACAAAAACCGGTTTAGATGGAGATCTTCTGCTACATTGCAGTGCCCCATCCGGCTCTCTTTGAGCGCTCATGGCCTTATTATTGGCTCTGAGGCTGCCCAGGTGTGCTTTAGGCATTATTCATCCTGATTGCGGAGAATGGGCAGGGCGAGTATACCCATGATTTTTGTCTCAATGAATAAGGGATGCCTGTAGTGTGCCGTCTGGGAAAAGAATATATGAGTCCTCTTGCCCTAATATCAATTTCTAACCCGTTCTCCTTTATAAAAGATATCCGAATTCCTTTAGCATTCCCAGGCTCGAAATGACAAGGCTGGCTTATTTTAGCAGTCTCCTGGCTGTCACCCTCCTCTTGTTTACTGCCTGGGGAGGAGCCAGTCCTCTAAAATCAAGGTGGGACGATTTGCTCAAAACACACAACTATTCATTAAAAAGGACTAATTAATTAATCTGTCTCTATGATAACACAGCTCCCTCTCCAACCCACTTGAGGCTCGAGCATACAGCCAATTTATCAACTTCCCCCGAGACAGCCGTCGAATACGACAACTTAAAGCAGCAGCCGAGGATTTGAGTGTAATGGTCCATAAAATCCTCGATGTCTGGGTCCACCAGACCGATCCGCGCATGTGTGATTCAGTGGACCACCTATATCAAGTTTTATCCAAATACTTTCCTTCGAATGGATGGAACTTTGTGATAAGCATGCTTGACCGGCTTGTCTCGCCCCCTTCACTCAACGAACCAGGCTCTGAACGCCTAAGGGGCATTCGAATCAATGCAGACGACTTTCAGCGCAGATGTGACGGTACTCACTTTGCCTATACGGACCATGGATATGATCAAAAAAGCAGGAGATGGGTTCGGGACTATTCGATGATGCATTTTTGTCCTCTGGGGTTACAATACCCTAACCTGGGCTACCGTGAATGTCCGCAGAGCTCCAGCTCACATCGGCTGGATCGCTATGTCTCGTACAGAATGTTGGTCTTGGGGACTCTGTATGGCCATGAGGCGCTGTGAGTAATTTCTTTTTCTTTTTCTTTTTCTTTTTCTTTTTCTTTCCCTTCCTTTTTCTTTCCCTTCCTTTTTCAGCCCTTGGTCTCTCTTGATTATCTGTAACCAAATCTGACTAGTCTCATCTTTGTTATAGTCATACCCAAGAAATCAGCAAAGACATCAACGTGCCCTATGTCGGAAGCCGTTCTAATATCATGGATATTGTGGAAACCCACCATGGGCAGCCATACCTTCTTATGGGGCCTCAGAGTGCAACGAATTTACGAGATGCTCGAGGGAACGATCGCTACAAAACCCTCATCAATGCACCCAACTATGAATGGTTTATCGCAGTAAGTGCCTCTTCATACAAGACATTACCCTTTTTTTTTTTTTTTTTTTGTGTTTTTTTCTTTCCTGGTCATTCTACAGCTAGTCGAGTGGTAATATACTAACCAGATATTGTTTTAGGAAGCATATTGGTCCATCTATTGCAACTATCAGTTTGGAGATGCTAGAGACGACGAAAGGCATTAGTCGGTCTTACTATAGCGTCAAAACATGGATTTTAAGGGGGGGGGAGGGGGCAAATATAAACAAAAAGCGAGGAAGCATAGCCCAGACTCTTTCCCCTTCTTGCATCTAGTTCACTCGGAGCATCTCCAATGGGACAGGATTGCCTATTTTTGCCAAAGAAGAGTGAGGAATAGCTCTCATCTGCGCTGATATGAAAATCCCAATTGCGATTTGTTGGGTTTTATGGTTCCAAGACAAGGCATTAAAAGAGAAAAGCTTTGCATACCGTGGTTTAAGGGTAAGATATAGTAGGGTTGAGGTCGTGATTCATTGACATGCACAAGATAAAGTAAGCATAAAAGGTAGTAGTGGAGGCTATAGAATTTTGATAGAGGAGTTGTAGATATTGGCGAAGAAGGGTAAATCATCACCCCTAAATATCCAGCTAGCACATTCACCCTGAAGTAACATAGAGATTGGGTAGACAGAGAAGAAGCTAGATGTTTTTTTTTTCACGTCTTGTTATGGAAATCCTTAATTCCTTTCGGCCTAAATTCTAACTTGGTATACTATAGTTGTGTTGTAGTCCGGGCCCCATATAAACGGCAAATCCTTCCGTGGATCCCGGATGTGCATTCTCCAAAAAGGGTTAGAAGATTATTAGTCTGCTGTTATTCTTGTCATTATTACTTGCATGTTTGCACAATTCGTGGAGCCAGGGCGAATTATGCCATTCTCACCTCTCTCTGGCCCTAAAATCCAGTAAAATTCAGTAAGGGGGCCAAAGTTGGAGCTCCACCAAGATGAACAGATACCGTGTTTGTTTACGGTCCTTTCGGCTGACTCGAATGTTAGATTGCGAGACCCAGGCTGGAGACGCTCCCTCTCTATATATATAAGAACGGAAGGGGAAGCTCTGAGTTCGCACGCAACTCGTCCCGATCTCAAGCTCATCCTCCTCCCCCCCCACCTTTGTTGCCCCTCTTCAAGGATCGTCCGGCCCGAGGACTGCCATTTAACAAAGCAGCAAAACGAATCTCCTGTAAAAAGAGAAGAGAAAATGGGCCAGCAAGCATCAGTACCGGCGCCCAACACCTCGATCCAAGTGATCGGAGCCGGTCTACCGCGCACAGGCTCAGCATCATTCAGCCGAGCCCTGGAAACCCTCCTAGAAGGACCGGTGTACCACTGCGGCACGCAGACAACAATGGGGACCCCCGACGAAATCAAGACCTGGATGCAGATCCTCCAGCACTGGCTGCGCGGGCCAAGCGACCGACACACGGTGCTGAAGCTGATGCACCGCAAGCTAGCCGGGTACGCGGCGATTACCGACTCCCCGGGGGCGCAGTTCGTGCCGGAGCTGATGGAGCTGTTCCCGACAGCGAAGGTGATCTGCACGGTCCGCGACCCGGACTCCTGGGACGCCAGCATGAAGCAGGTCCGCGGTAAGACGGAGATGTGGTTTGTGCGCGCGGTGCTGCTGCCGTTGCCGGGCATGCGCCATTTCATCAGCTACGGCATGCTCCTGCGCGACCAGTGGACGGCGCTGTATCGCGAGACGCCGCCGGGGCGCGACTCGTACACGCGCCATGTTGCCTGGCTCAAGGAGATCGTGCCGGCGGACCGTCTGGTCTTTTTTGATGTTCGTGATGGTTGGGAGCCGTTGTGTGCTGCACTTGGCAGGGATGTCCCCGCGGATTGCCCGTTCCCGCGTGTCAATGACTCGGAGGCTATTGATCGCACGGCTAAATATCATGTGCGTCGGGGACTGACTCGCTGGGCTGTGGGTCTGGCGCTTGTTGGCGTCTCGGTGGTTGCTCTTGTGAGGTATTGGTAGCCACTGGCGAGACGAGATGTTCCTCAAAGACACACACAGAGTGAGACGGGGGTTGTCTACTTGGATCAGTAGACTCGCACAGGCTGTACATACTAACTACTCTTTTCACTTCTACACTGTACATAGCGCGAATTTAGAGACATTTACATCTTTTGTTCTTCTACGATACTCGCTTACAAGACACACTTTGGCGATCGCTGGTTTTGAGAATAGAATGAATGTACAACAAATGCATGAAGACAATATCGTACATGAGGCAACCGAGACAAATCGTGGAAACCAGCCCCAGTCGGTAAACGGTATATACAGAATTGAGTCCGGGGACTAAGGACATGCAGATCAACCAGATGTCCTGGAAGACGATATCTCCCAGCACAGCAAGACACCAGGCGCCAAGCAACAATCAACAATGCCTGTCACAAAAGTAGACCACTCCCTCAATACACCACGGAAAGACAGACCCAAGAGATAACCTTGAAGCTGGCACCTGGTCAGGTGTACGAGCTCAAATATTCATGCTATCCAGATAGAACCAGCCAAAACTCACAGAAGGATAGACAAGAGCAAGCCTCGTTTATATCGATGTTCTCAACTGGATGACAGAGACTAGCATAGACGGGTTCAAGGGTTTAATGGTCGTGTCGTTTTGAATTCATCCTCATTCCCGCTCCAAGCGCCCAAAAAGAAGATATGAGATGTGATGGGCGGCTCAGTCCGTGTCGAATTTGTGATTGTAATCGCCGAGTAAAACGTCATCGGGGACAGGGCCGCGGGTATTCCGGACTGTCGCACAGAACATGTCAGCAAACTCATTCTTAACATCGATCAAGACGGGTACAGTGAAAAAACTTACCCCATTCGGCCTCAATCCGGAAAAACACCCACATCCAGCGACGAAATATTTCGAGCATCATCAGCGTGAACAGACCACTTTCGGTTTCGGGAAGCCATCCCAGTCCGGGAAACATGCGCCACAGCCACGTGAAACGAAGCGCGAGGTCCACGGCGATGGCGTAGTGGTACACTCGGTAGGACGAGAAGCAACGATGGCGACGGAGACCATACGGATAGTCCTTGCTGATGCGGTCGGGAGAGAAGAGTGTCAGATCCCAATCCTTGACGACGTCCCACCAGAACGTATACGCGGAGTTGACAAAGGTGAAGAAGAAACTGCAGGAAAGGTTAGCCATGGAAGCCAGAATATACCCGACAGAAAGTCTCACAGAAGACGCCACATTGTCATCTCGCTGTACCCATGGAAGTCCTTGGGAGTGTAGAAACGCAGTTTGGGAGCGAACCAGATCATTGGCAACGCAGTAGCGTACTTGAGGGCGTTGGCCAAGTGCTGGTTTTCCCGGCCGCGTTCTGCGGGCGAAGTCGCCCGCCGCGCACGTATGTATTCAATCAAACATTGGCGGAATCGAATGAGACTGGGGAGCGACACGACGAGAGGAACGATAAACTCCTTTCTGCATTGGCGGTCGGGTTTGGAGGTGGCGGAGATGTCGTAGGTGAAGAACATGCAGAAGCTCACAAAAAGATCTCCCAGAACGCGAGAATAACTGGTCAAAGCATCGGCCAGCAAAATATCGCCGAATTTGCCATCCTGGGTCTCAGCCAGGCCTCCGATGCTGATCCGCCGCAAGGTTTTAAGAAGTCGGATGCGGCCGTTGCGGGAGGCGCGATTATAGGGCCATGCCAAGATGGCGAGAAGGATAACGAAGACCGACAGTGGAATGAAGTCTAGCTGTTCCACTAACTCTCGGGAGCGATGTGTGGCGAGCAAGAAGATGAGATACCACGTTGCAATCGGGACGGAGAAGAAGGCGGCTAGGCGATACGCTGCTATATGATGTGGTCGTTGTGAGGACGTTCGCGCAGGGTATCGAATGAGAGATGGGACATCCTGATAGTCGTGTTAGACCTGGTGAATTTTCAAGACGCGATGGACCGTGGAAGCCGCCACTTACAATGTTGGCTTTTTTCAGAACATGAAGGTTGACGGCGAATCCCCAGAAACCTATTCATTGGCGGAGTTAGCGAGTCATTCCCATCGGATCCAAAGGTGCCGGTGACACCTACCAGCAACTAAGCACACGGCGACCCGGATAGGAAATGGGAAGGTGATCCCAAAGCCATCCAATTGAGGCAGTTGGTCTGGGCCGGGCATTCTCCCATGGGTTGTTTCACCAGGAGTCTTCTGAAGGGTCAAAAGAAGAGCAAGGGCAGAGAAACAACGCAAAACCCCGCGGGGCGTGTAGGCTGGCGCAGAAAAAGAATGACTAGGGGTGAGACTTCTTTTGAGGGGGGGAAAAAGAAAGACTTGTTGTCGGCGCCGCCTTGCTAAGTAAGCATGCAGTAACAATACAAACGGCAATCTCCACACGGTCGAGACAATGGCTTTTAATATCTTGATCGACAGGAGCCCACCCGCCAAAAGGATTGTCTGTTGAAATTGTAGATTTTGAATTGTTCGAAAGAAAAGAAAAGTGCTTATAATTCCACCCCAACAAATCACGGTATCTCTTGAGTCTTCTACATAGAAGTCGGCCATAGCAAAGCCCACGGGAAAGTCACGGAGAAACAGAAAAAAAAGGGGGCAATTTGCCAAGAAAAGCGAAATCCCTAACTGCTTGTAGCCAGAAGGCGTGGAGAATTCAATCTACAGGGACGAGTCAGGTCCAATGAGCGCAAAAGTCCAAAAGGACACACGACCAGGGGCTAATTTAGGATTTCTGGACGCCCGTATGGTATTGTCACGTAAGAAAGTTGAGCTTTTCTATGTGTCACGTGATGGACCCTGATGACTAACATGTTTTCAGATCACCTGACTTTGGCCGAGGTCCGGGAAACCGCCATCTCCGCAGAGGGCGCGAGTTGCGACATGGGCCTGGCTGACAATGTCCTGACACATCCTGGAGCGAACTTGATTCGTCTTACTCTTTTTTTCACTCTCGCTCACACCAACAATTAACATGGCTGACGACGACCCCAATCTATCCCTCCCCACCACAGATACCCTCACACCCACCTCGCACTTCTATCCTTTTGCAAGCTCGCCCGACGTCATCCGCTCCCACGAGAAGGATGTCTTCCTCACCAGCGGCCTGATTCAACAAGCCCAGAACATTGTTCGGTCTCTCCGGGGCGCCCGGTTCGCACACACCCATGCCGATGCGATAAAGCACCTGACGGAGCTGCTCTATTTCTCCCTGACCACGGTCATCGGCAACCGCACCCTGGGCGAGGAGTACTGTGACCTGGTCCAGCTCGAAGATGACTCTCTTCGCCTACCATCTATCACCCGCCGCGTCGGCTACGTCCTCAGCAGCATTCTAGTCCCGTGGACACTACAGCGCATCCTCCCCGCATTGCGGCACCGGCTACGCAACAAACTCGAGCGCAGCATTGCTCGGCAGCAGCTCCGTGCGGCACAGCAAACAAGCCCCCTGCCGCAAAAATCGTCTTCTAAAACCTCGACGTCGGGGTTTCGGTCCTTCTGGACCAAGCTGCGCATCCAGCAGTATCTCCTCGAACACGTCGACTCCATCACATCCCTCTCCCCCATCTACGCCCTCAGCATTGCCACATTCTACTTCACCGGATCTTATTATCATCTCTCCAAGCGGCTTTGGCGGCTGCGCTACGTCTTCACCAAGAAGATTGAAGACAACGAGCAGCGCATCGGGTACGAGGTGCTGGGCGTGCTGCTAGCGCTACAGATCGCCGTGCAAGGGTTCTTGCACGTCCGGAAACTGGGCCACAGCGTAAACGTCTCAGAAGAGGAGAAGAACACTGCCGATTCACCAGGCGAGGCACGCTCAGAGACGGGCGCGCTGCTTGCCTCGATCCAGCACCCGGCCGCCGTCCCCGTCCTCCCAGCCTCTGCGCCTCGCTATGACTTGGAAGAGGATCCTGGCGCCGTCTCGTGGATCCCGGATGGCCAGCAGCGCAAGTGCACGCTGTGCTTGGAGGTTTTCAAGGACCCGAGTGTGACCACCTGCGGCCACGTCTTTTGTTGGGTCTGTGTTCGGGACTGGGTCCGGGAGAAACCCGAATGTCCACTTTGTCGACAGGAGGTTCTTTTGTCCAAAGTCCTTCCCTTGCGCGGGTAGTCACGGTACTTTCCTTGGACATATTTCTGTGGGCCTGCTACTTTCTGCTCGATGTACATACTTAAGTCAATATATACCCCTCTTTTATATCTCTCTGCATCTCAAATGCTGTATTCACTCTACATAAATGGCTTGCCTTACCAAAGAGGGGGAGTCTATCACACGCTAAAAAATGTGTATCCCAAACTGGACAAAAATGAATCAAACACAGGGTGTAGGATATCGAACAAGACAGAACGCCAGCTAAACAGACAATGCTAAATGCGACCCGAGAAATGACAAAATCATGGGTATCGAAATGCCTTTTCGCTGTTCCATTGACGAAATCGGAGAAAACCCAGGATCGAGGCACTCGTGGGATCTGAATCGAGACCTAGGTGGATGACGAAGATGGGCCGTTGGAAGAGTTCACGACATCCAAGCTTGCCTCGGCAGAAACCTTCAAGGGCTCCGTATTGTTGTTCTCGTCGTTTTTAACTTCTTCACCGCGTGACAATAGAATAGGCAGGTTGAGTTCGGCGTGTGCGGGGCGTGGTGGGACAGGGTCCATGGCCAGTCGTTTGAGCTCCATAGCATGGAAGAGAGCGTGGCAGGCGTAGGGGTCGGTGGCGGCGTCTGTATTCAAGAACGGAGGTTAGCATAGGAGCCAGGGAGAAGAAGAAGAAGAAGAAGGAAGTAAGAAGCTCACATTGAATCTGGCGGTAATTCAGAGCGCGAGCCCAATCACCGCACCTCACATCGTCGGTTTTCTCCAGAGGCAGGCCAAAGTGTTCCTCGACTTGTTCGCTGAGATTGACGCTTCGTTTGTTGACGAGCTTCGGGTTGACCAGACCGTGTTTAACCAACTTGTACAGGTGGCTGAGTTCAAAGATGGCGCGGGCTTCGATGCCCAGATACTTGCGGAGACGGGTGGAGTCGGCCTTGATCGAGACGCCGACTTTCATGACATCAGGGGATTCAAGCAGTCGCTTCAGTGACGGGGCGACAAAGTCGTCCTGAGTGCGCGCAGGCTTGAAGAGGGAGATCTGGAAAAGCGCAATGCGCTCCTCATTGGCAACCTGGATCAGCGAGAGGTTGTTCTGGATGCTGTCGAAGCCGGACGCCTGGGCCTTCCATTCCATGTCGAATCCAATGACCTCGCTGTTGAGGAAGCGCTGGGCCACTGCTTCGGTGGTGCGTCGAGACCGGCAGTAGTGCACCGTGAGCTTCTGACCGTCCGGTCTGCGGTGCAAGTGATGGCTCCAGAACTGTGGCGTCGCGGTCTCTTTTGCGCTAGGATCGGTGCCTGCGGATGTGTTTGGCTCTTGTAACGAGGCGTGATCCACCATTTGTTTAGCAGGACATGCATCGGTGGCCAACCTAATTAGAGGGATCTCGGGTTTGACACGGCTACACCCTCTGGGACCGTCATGATCGAGGGTGGCATCGGTGCTGTATGGTCTTTGATGTTGAGGCTTACCCCAAACAGGCTTGGGCTGCCAGAATTTGCTTTGGGGGTTTTCCCCAGGAGCTGGCGAGGCTTTGGCCTTCAGGGCATCAGACTTCGGTGGCGAATCCACGGGGGCCTTCATCTCAGCGCGGGACTTTGGTTGAATAGAGGAAAGGCTATCTTTTGAAGGATCGGTGCTTTTCTGCTGGCGTTTGCTTTTGGTGTTGTGGGCAAGCGTCGAGCGGCTCTGTTCGCGCTTAGGACGAGCAAACCTGGATGATCCACTTCGTGACAACTTCGAAGTTTTCTTGGACACATGACGGTTGCTTCCGGGCTTTTTCCGGCCCTGCTTCGCCGATTCGTGCCTCGCCGAGCCCAAGTCCAAGCTGACCCGGGCTACATGCCGCTTTTGGCCCTCCACCGCAGCAAAAATGATCGACCATTCTTTGACTCCTAGTTCAATAGCTTGTTTAAGGATCCACGAGTCAAAGAATGCCTGACTCATGCGGTTGGCCCATTGCTCGAAACGGGCAGGATCGTGACTCAACAGATTCGGGGCAACAAACAATCCCTGTTGCTCAACTGGGTCTGGCTGACGCATTTTGCGGAGCCGTTCTTTCGATATGAGACGCAGCCAATTGATATGTTCCAGCTCATCCGCCTGCCTGAAAAATTCGTTGCGGTGCGTCAAGAATTTGGCGGTCCAATCCCCGAGTTCATCAGCACGGCGATACTGTCGCTCGACAGGAATGAAAGGCCACAGAGAGCCCAGTTTTCCGTTCAAAGAATCAATCAAGTGCCATACATCGTTCATCAACCGCGAGATAAGAATATGAAGAAACCAGAATGGTGCCAAAACGTCCAATTGAAGAGCATGCAAGTTTGACTCGGGTCGACGGCTCCGCTTTTGTGCTTTCTTATAAACTTCTCGAAGATAGTGTGATGCGGCCCTGGATTGTAGGTCCAATCTTTGTGCCACCCACTTGTTGGACTCATAGCCAAGGGCAATGCACTTGATCGCGTCCGGCCCTGAAGTGAAGCATTTTCGCGCTTGTGCCACCTGTGTGAAGTTTTGCGTCTTCCATATTTGGCACTCGCGTAAAGGATGGTCTAGATATTTTCGAGTGCGCCAGCGCGATCGATGATAGTGCAAGGCGGCCCTCAAATTTTGGCCGTCTTGTGAGAACACATGGTGATACCTACCAAAGAGTCGTTGAATTTCGTGGGGGAAAGGTGCCGTGAAAAGATCAGAGCATTGCGATTTTATGGACGAAATTGTCTTGAGCGCACGCTGAGGGAAGGCCTGTAACTCAGCATACTCTTGCATCATCTTTCCAGTCACATCCAAAACTCGATCAACCTTGTTTCTGGCGGCTTCCCGAGGTCTCAGGTATTCTCGAGCAATCTTTTCTTCGCACCACAGAATTGACAACCGCGAATTCTCAACTTGCCTTGCCAAATCATTTAACCTAAGAACAAAAACTTGGCGACGGTTCGCGTTTATTGCCTTGCGTAAATGCCTGAAGTCTGCTGCCAGTTTGGGGACGTCGGCGAATGCAATCTGACAGAATTCGTGATCAATCAACGTATTTTCTGTGGCAGTCCGCGAAATCTCAGCGTTCAGATCGGAAAATCTTGCATTGATCAATTCGATTCCAAAACTTGGGGTCAAGCTGGTCGCTCGTACGACCTCGCGTTCCAAGCGTGTAGCCTCCATGACAAAAAGGGTAACAAACCCCCTAATTTCAAAAGCCTTGATCAAGCTGAGAACTTGTAAGACCTCGCGGCCTAAACCTGCACCTTCTAACATGAACAGGATACCGCGAGCATCCTCGGTGGACGAACGAAGTGTTTCAAATTGGCTTTCGAACTGGTCAACCACCTCAGAATCCAGGAATTTCGGTTCTGGCCGGGAATCAACAGGTGGCGGTTGCGCTGGGCCAGATGTATCTGATTCAGGCTGCGGCTCTTGCAAATCATGGCCATCCGTCTCAGCCGTGTCTGGCTCATCATAATCGTCGACCGATTTTGCTCGAAGGAGATCTACTAGGTCTTGACGAGGAACAAGAGACCGACCCAATCCTGCACGCGAGTTTCGGGCGCCTCTCCCCAAGGGCTTTCCTGGTGGTGGTAAATCGCCTGGCCCAAACAGCGCGCGGGGGTACTGGAAAAGGCTCGCCTCAGCAGCGGGGAGAGAACGCGGGGAGAGAATCGGTGTTGGTTATAGAAGAAACCGGGCTTGGCTTTTCGGCGAGTACGCTCACCGGCACTAAGTTCATTATAGTTCTGGTCAACATAACAGCACTGAGGCTATAAAACAAAGGTCCAAGTCCACTCACCTCTGCCCAGACAGCCCTCGAGTAATTGACCTTTCACCGATGGGCCTGCCAAGATGACTGCCCCAGGCAACTGAGGACGGGTACCTCAGACCTGCTGAAAGGTTCTCCCATGTTCGCATCTTGCGGAACAAGCATAGTGGAGCACGCAAGAATCGGCTACAGTGGCTCCGTGACTGACTTTAGGTCGCAAAGATTGAGCTGGGAAATGTGTCCCAGACAAGGCCACCACAAGGCAATTCGAGTTCGACACAGAGAAGGCAGCAACAGGAGGGTTCACTATCCACTGTCCACGGGTATCTCGCGAGACAAAGAAAAGCCGACGGCCAGTCTGGGGCACGACGCTAGTCCCAATATGGACTAGTCTTGAAAGGCCGGATTAACCTCCGCTCCGACGACCAACGATCGCAGCTTCCTTTTCTGGACGCTCAACCTGCCTGCTTGTGAATCGCACGGGTCGTTGGGACTTCGAATTGCGCTGGACAGATTGCCCGAGATTTTGCGCGCTGTTGGACATCATGGCCTCCCAGCTTCTTCCTCTTGGTCAGTGCAAGACTTTGCTATCACTGACCGACCCCGCTAACCCTGCCAATAGAGCTAATCGACAAGTGCGTCGGCTCTCGGATATGGGTGATCATGAAGGGCGACAAGGGTGAGCATCATTCATCTGGACAGACAATGCTAGTATACTAAATTTTGTCCAGAGTTCTCCGGAACCTTGCTCGGGTTCGACGACTACGTCAGTAAGTAACCCTTTGGACAGTAGGGATCTGTGGACCGCACAAGATGCTGACGGCGACTTTAGATATGGTTATGGAAGATGTCACTGAGTTGTATGTGCTATGTTTCATTTGATTTGTTCTCAGCCTGTACCATTGTTTTTGGGCAGGTCCCCAGTGACTGGAAAATTCCCGTTCTCGATTTGATTCCCACGTGGGAATATCAGAATATCGTCTTTACTGTGTTCATTTCAAGTCTTTGATTGAACTAACCCGATTCCAGTGACTACACCGGCGCTCAGATCAAGCTCCCCAAGCTCTTGCTGAATGGAAACAACATCTGCATGGTATGATTCTCTCCTGATATGTCAGATCGTTCATTGTTGACCCTTGGAATATAGTTGATTCCCGGTGGAGAAGGACCAGTGGCCAGCTCGTGAGCTCGGGGTTGCAGTTTTCTCTATGACGAACAAAATCTGTGTATTAATGATACCGAATGCAACGACATGAGACTTCCAAGGCTCTGTCGACTGAATGAATGAATCTTTCTTTTGGTGTTTCAACTATGTTTCATTTGTCTGAAGGGTTGGGTCGCACGGTTGGTGCTATCGGGTCTGACTGGTGGTAATGGATGCTAGTATTGAGCGTGGATTCATGGATCAGGAGAAGAGTAGCCATGATCGAATGCTATGGCTCTTAGACTTCCACCTGCCCGTGTGGTTGGCCATACACTTGTCAAAAGCTTCCCCGCTAGCATTTATATTCCAATCTCGTTCCCAGTCTTCTCCAAGCCATGGTTTTCGAAGCTAATTTATATTGAACAGATCCCATCCAAGGCTTTGTCACAGCAGTATCATTCGATCAAGCCTATGATCTGCATGGCCAAGCAGTCTTAATCTTCCGCATCTGCGAAAATGTCCAAAACAAGTCAGCCTAACACTTAAGAACACACGGACCAGCACAAAATAGCAAGGAACTCACCGGCGCCTCAACCCCCTTGACATCCTTCCAGCCATCCGTCTCATAGTACGGAATAGACATGGTATCATCGTGCGGCGGCTTCGTCTTCCAGGTCTGCGTCCCGTACCGAAACGAAACAATCCACTTTTGGTAATTCGACGGCGACTTGCCGTCCCAGGCGCCGTCACCCTCGGACTGCAGGAAATTGACAACAAAGTCTTGTTTCATCGGGGTGCCCTTGGAGTGGACAGTATAGGTGTCTTTCCACAGCTGGCGATGGGGCTGGGCCACGGTATGGAACCGCTTGCCGTCCGGCCCGTACAGATTCACCTGGACCATCAGGTCTTTGACGCCTTTTTCTGCGTCGGGCCCGTCTGTGATCTCATAGACGAGGGCCACGCAGTCGCCGGCATCCTTGCCGTCTCGCGAGAGCTGTGTGGAAGGCGGCGCTATCGCCTTGAGTCTGTCTTCCATTTGAGTCACTAATGGGAGTGTTGGTGGTAGTTTGTTGTCGCTTTTGGGCGTGGGACTGGCGATTGTGCCTGCCAACCACATTGCTGTCGATAGGGCTAGGGAGAGGCGCATGATGAATATAGTTCTGGGTATGGTGAGTTTCAACCTCTGGATCTGGCAACTAGCCAGGAAACGGGATGACTATATACCCAGGGAAATAAAATTCCCTAGGCACTCTAAATGTCCCTCTTTCTTTGTCTAACAATAGCAGCGTCTATTTATGACCAGATGGGGGCTGGTAGGGGGCTCAAACACGTCTCCACCGGGGGCCATTAGACCATGCCTCAAGCCAGTGGATGACTACAGTATACCAACATACACAGATCAATAACACGTGGGTGTCGGGTTAGGGGGCGGCTGGGAAAACGCCATGATAAGTATTGATGCGATCTCAGATATCATACCGCGACCTAGGCTTCAAGCCGAGTGTCGGCCCCACCGATCATGACGGCCCCAGGGAGTGTAGCCGCTCGGAACAGCAATATCTGGGGTTTGTAGGGTCCGGGGGCTCCTATTATATTTATTTCCCGGATGCATGTCCTCGTCGGTTAGCTTTAGTGGTGTCAAGCATAGCTTGGCGTTGCTCGAAGCATATTTATAGATTTCCAAATCGAAAACACAGCTAATGCAGAGTAAAGGAAGGTATAGCCTCGCAGCAGCGACTACCAGACAAGACCCCGAATTCAAACTTGGCATTTTTCTTTTTTTTTTTTTTTTTTTTAAAAAAAAAAAAAAAAGTACCATATTCGACAACAGGGGCCAGGATCTGCGCTTGGAGCGAATAGATCTTCTCAGATATCTCAACACATTAGCCCGCGTCCTATCAGCACCAATTACTACAACTCGCATTTTTTTGGGGGGAGGTAATGGACTTTTTTTGCATGAGAGCCGGAGCTCAGATATACCTCATGATTCCATGTGGGTACTACGCAGGGACAATTTCCACCTCCAATGACAGACCCCCTGAAGCTTCTCGTGTCCCACCAGCTTATCAGCGGCTATATTCGGTGGCCGGGGATTGCCAGTAGCAGTCTATCGCCGGCTATCTCGAGGATACTGCATGCCCATGAGTCTGCAGAATCATCTTGAGAGCGGGACCTGTCCGGACTGAGTTTATGGCTTGGTAGACATTTCACCTTTTGCTTTCTTCTCCGGAAACAAGGCGTTGAGTGTCAAGGGGCACATTTGGACAGATATGAAATCACAATGGAGACACCAGGGTAGAGCTATCCTTTTCAAGAAGCCGATGATAGAGTGTTGTATACATTGAACTATGACTTGCTAGACAGATATGACATTTAGAGAGTATTTTGCAATGCATTGTATCGATGACTAGATAAACCGGGCCGGTACTGGCGGAGTATAACCCGCAGAGTGTGTGGGTTGAAAATCCGAGAATTTCGAGCCAAGGTCATGAACCTAGATCAAGTCAGAGCAACCATATGGAAAATAGCTGCTTCAAACACATCGCTCTCTATTGGCTGAATCTGAAGGATTCGTCGGGTCTCGGGGGCAAGTTGCCCATGTGCATGCATTAGACAATTGGAGAGACTTTTACCCCAGACTCTCTTTTTTCCCCTAGTGTGCCTCCATGGTTATTCCCGGGGAACACATGGCAAAGTCTACGCATCAATTATGAGAAACATATGACATTGTTTTCTTTTTTTGTTATTTACCCCAGAAAATGTAGTGGAAACTGTTACCTAAGAGAAATGACATCCCCCCGCATTTTATAGACGCGCGACAACTCTAACGCGATGTTTATGAGGGATTTCTTGGAGATATCCTGCTGCTTTCTTTTTAGGGGGGCTGGTAGATCCCTGCAAAAGGGGCCGAAATGAATTGCCGCTTCATGGGAAATTGAATATTTCCCATGAATATTGGGAGCCAAGTTATTAGCAGTGTATCTACTGTGATTGTGTGGCCAAGCACACCAAGGAATACAGTTGCACCAATTTATTCCGTCGGTCGGCTTTTTTCTTTTTACTAAGAAAAAAAACACACAGAAATAACTGCGTTGCCTGCCAATCCCACTCGATGTTACCGTGGCTATCGCATAGACAGAGACAGCCAGTCACAGAGAGGTGGCGTTAGTGGCTGGTGGCATTCAAGCAATCGTACGAGGCTTCCATGGTTTGGGCGTATCTCTCTGTGGGTGTGTGATCAGAATCCATGAATTCAGGAATTAATTCAAGCTATGATAAGGAACTCGTGGTTTGGACTCCACTGACACTCCACTGAGTGAATAATGTTATCAGGCCAAGCTCACTTGATAACGATGGGCCCATAGGGCTTCTGCAGAGAACGTCTTACGATCAATTTGTTCCGAGCGAGTCGCTTAAGAGAATTCCTTGGCTCTAGGATAAACAAAGAAAAAAAATGAAAAATGAAAATGAAAATATAAAAAAAAAAGAGGGGGGAAGCTCCCACGGCTGTCGAGGCGCATTCCCAGGTATAAACCGAGGTTCATGGCAGCTTATTCTCCCGTGGCTTGCACTCAAAGTACTAGGTAGGGTACGGCAACGCCGATGGAGAGATTGCCACAATCCATTGAGTAAATAATCAGGAAGCGAGTGATCAAGGGGCCATTACACGCATATCCGCAGGAACGGATCCCCGTCGGCAGAGAGGCCAGGGCTGTCAGAATGTCAGATGCCAGATCTTGGAGTCTAGAAGAATCCTCGATCGGTGAAGGGGAAAGAGAAGAGCGAATATTCCCGAGAGAAACCCACTCCTTCATCTCTCTTATCAGCCCTTGTGATTGGCTTAAAAGGAAGTGCGGAGAGACCGATCCCTGCCGTGTTGAGGGGGCCGAGAAGCTTGGCTTTGGATGGATTATTGACAGAGATATCCCATGGATGTCAAAGAAATAATTCAATTCCATGGCTTTCCTTAGCTATATTCAACCTGTGGTTTTTCAGTCCAGTCTGAGGTATCCATGGACACTAACAAAGGTGAAGGTCTGTGTAGAAAAGAGACAAGATAAGTCCAAGTGAAACATTTGCTTATCTCGGAGAATATGGGGAACTTGGCTATCTCCCACTATTTCTGACTCGGACCCTCCTCAGCCGGTTCTTTCTGCCAAGGGGCCCGGGGATGAGGTCTAAGCGCATCATCTTACTAGGGCTACTATGCCCGGTCTGTGTAGCTCGGAGGCAAAACACAGGATTAAGTGGATGCCATTTAAATAAAACAATAAAAAAATAAAAAGGTAAAATAGGCAAAGTGAATGATTAGCTGGTCCGTCTTAAACCAAGTATTTAAAAACAGCCTTTCCCACCCATACCTTGCACAGTAGATTGATTTCCCTGTCCATCCAGCCTGGTCGGACTGGGGCATCTACAAACCACTTAGATCTCTTCCTCTCACCCCCCTTTCCATCTCCCTCTTCCTCTTCCTCTTCCTCACTCTCTCTCTCTTAAGCCCATCCATCCACTCCAAAAGAAGACTCAGCCTACCATGGAGGAAAAGAAATTTACAGAGTCGCACGCGACTCCGGCCTCGGACACTCCCCCATCTTATGGCGATTCGGAGCCCACTAAGGGAGGCTACGGCCAACGCATCCTCGATAGTTTCAAGCGAGACCCAAATGCCCAGATTACTGGTGGCCATCCTGCTGGTGCCGATGGCTCTGGCTTCGACATTGAAACTGCCGCCCAGAACACCGCCTCGTCTCCGCTGCAGCGTCGCCTGAAGGGTCGTCACCTGCAGATGATTGCGATCGGGGGTTCTATTGGTATGTGAAAAGAAATCAAAGTCTTTCGTGCTTTCTAGAAGTCGCTGACTCTTTCCAGGTACTGGTCTCTTCGTCGGCTCGGGAACCGTTTTGAGTACTGGTGGTCCAGCGTCGGTCGTCATTGCCTATGTCCTGATCGGATGCATGCTGTACTGCACGGTCCATGCCCTGGGTGAGATGGCGGTTCTCTTCCCCGTCGCCGGCTCTTTTGCCCACTACTCGACTCGTTTCATCGATCCTGCCTGGGGTTTCGCCATGGGCTGGAACTATGCCCTGCAGTGGTTGGTTGTCTTACCCTTAGAAATTGTCGCGGCTTCAATCACGGTCGATTATTGGAACGCAGGCGTATCTAATGCCGCCTGGGTGACAATATTCTGGGTCCTCATCGTCTCGATCAACTTGTTCGGCGTCCGGGGTTACGGTGAAGCGGAATTTGTCTTCTCTATCATCAAAGTCATCGCCGTCATTGGTTTCATGTAAGTATCCCGACAGCTCGATCCATTGGACCGTTACTGACTAGGTTGGGCAGCATCCTCGGAATTATCCTCAACTGCGGTGGTGGTCCCCAGGGTGGCTATATTGGTGGGAAGTACTGGCATGAGCCGGGCGCTTTCCACAATGGGTTCAAGGGTCTCTGCAGTGTCTTCGTCAATGCTGCTTTTGCCTTCGCGGGTACTGAGCTGGTTGGTTTGGCCGCGGCTGAGACCGCCAACCCTCGCAAGTCTCTCCCCACTGCAGTGAAGCAGGTCTTCTGGCGTATCGCTCTCTTCTACGTGGTTTGCCTCACCATTGTGGGCCTCCTGGTTCGGTACGACGACCCCAAGCTCCTGAGTGGGAGCTCCAGCGCCGATGCTCACGCCTCGCCGTTCGTCATTGCCATCGAACATGCCGGTATCTCTGGCCTGCCCTCGGTCATGAACGTCGTGATTATGATTGCCGTTTTGTCTGTCGGCAACTCGTCCGTCTATGGCTCATCCCGCACTCTGGCCGCGCTGGCTGAACAGGGCCAGGCGCCCCGGTTCCTTGCCTACATCGACCGCAAGGGTCGGCCTCTGTGGGCCATTTGTATCGCTTCCGTCCTGGGTCTGCTCTGCTACCTTGCTGCCTCGGACAAGCAAACCGACGCCTTTGAGTGGATGATGGCTATCTCTGGTCTTTCGTCTATCTTCACCTGGGGTTCGGTGTGTCTCGCCCATATCCGCTTCCGCCGCGCATGGAAGATCCAGGGCCACAGCCTCAACGAGTTGGCCTTCGTCTCGCAGCCCGGCCTGATCGGCTCGTGGGTTGGGTTCATCTTCAATTGTCTCGTTCTGGTTGCCCAGTTCTGGGTCGGTTTCGCCCCAGTCGGCTACGCCTCGAAGACCCCCCAGGAACTGGTCGAGAATTTCTTTTCTGTTTACCTGGCTGCCCCTGTTGTCATCTTGTTTTACGTCCCGTACAAGTTCTGGTACAAGACCAAGTTTGTGCGCTCACACGAAGTGGATCTGGTCACGGGTCGTCGCGAACTGGACATCCAGCATTTGATTGAGCAGGAGAGGGCCGAGCAGGCAGCATGGCCCGTCTGGAAGAAGGCCTACAAGTTCTTTTGCTAGAGCAAAGGGTGGTTTTTTGCTATTTTGGGGAGGTTGCTGTGCTCTCTCCCCTGATTTGTTATTTTTTATATCCATATCCATCTCTCTCTTGACGATGTCGTTACGAATCCTAGGTTTTGCTGACGAATACCATGATTTTGAATGGGAACTCTGATGAATGTTCAAATGGTCTCATACAAATGGTCTCATACTTGAAAGCCTTGCATGTGGATGTAGCCTCATGGCACAACCTGGGGATGGTATTGACATTACCACGTACCCTCGACCGAGATGCAGAGGTACTTAGGGGATACCTGCATAAGCTCAGTGCTACTGTGGGTATGTATGTGCCTAGAAGTACTTTATTGGAATATATATTCCCAAGTCCTGGTTCTATCACTCCCCCCCCCTTTTTTTTTTTTTTTGATGCCTAGCAGACACAATGGCAAGTCACTATTCCCCAAAGGTATTTTTCAGTCCCAAAAATAGCGCCCAAGTGCGTGGATCTCTCTGTGGAGCCATCTAAGACAACGAAGGCTTCTTTGGGCCCCCGTATGGCGGTAAGCTGGGCGTAACGTGACGAGCCACATCACACTGCGATCTGGAAATTCATCAACATCGGCATCTCTCTCGCAGTCTCGCTTCTCCCCTGTTCCTATTGTTTTCTTTTCTTTGTTGTTCTTGCTTTGCTCAGTTGCGCCAGCCAGTTTCTTCCCTACCTCTCTACGCAATTGCTCTGCCTGGCTTCCGTTCGCTTACTTCCTCCTTCCCCGTCTTTGGCAACCCCGGCGCTTGCCCGCGTGGACTCTCCGGCTTTCGCATTCCTCAACGATCGTCCTCCCCCCCCCCCGGGCTTGCTCTGTCGCCAAGTGGATGTGCTGAGCCATCTGGTGCAAAATCCGGTTGGTAATCCATTTGCTTACGAAGTCTCCGATCAGTACCCCGACTTATCAGGCAGAAGCCTATCTCCGAATCGACAACTCCGGATCCTTTCCCTGACCTGCGCGCCATCGGTCCGACTCCAATTCCTGTCTCGAATTGTTGATTCAGACCTTCTCGATTCACTTTCACAAAAAAACTGGCCATTGTGACTTGCTTTACGTGTATCTGGTTGACCGCGTGAAGCGTATTTTTTGTCGCTTGCCGTCACAATGCCTGGATTCGCGGATTCGTTTTGGACGCCCGACTATGCCACGGGCCTCGGAGTGCTTTACGGAAAGCTGCAGCAGGGTGTGGTGGAGAATCGGCAGATCTTGACTATCGCGTCTATGCGGGCGGATGCAGAAGAGCAATATGGCCTGCGCATGGGAGACATCGCTCCCAGTGTGGATAAGCTCACTGCAGTGGGATTTGGCAAGGATGATGGGGCCAGTGTGCGGAAGGTATGTCGATATTTGCTTGTGTGGTCTATTGGACCGGGGAACTGACGTGTCTGTCTTGATTCTTTTTGCAGGCCTACGAGGGAGTCCGTTCCGAGATGGTCGATTCCGCCCGGAATCACCAGAAAATGGCCAGCAATATCCGTGAGCTTGTTGTGTCGCCTTTCCGACGATGGAGCGAACAGCACGATATTCGGATCCAGGCCTCGCATGACAACCTGCAGGTGCGGATCAAGGAGCATGCGAAACAAGTGGAGTTGGTGAAAAAGCTGCGCAGCCATTATTTCAACAAGTGTCGTGTGGTGGAGGACCTGGAGGAAGAGAACAAGCTGGCTTTCCAAGCTCCCGAGTCGAGCCCCAAGGCCAAGGCGACGCCGAAGATCGTCCTCCCCGTCGAGGAAGAGCCTGAGGAGGAGCCCGTCGAACTGGGTGATCGCGTCTATCCTCCCGAGGAGATAAAGAAGCTTTTGAAACACATGCTGGACAACATTAAGCTGGGTGAGGCGAAGGTGCCCATCATTGGCATGTACCAGAACACGTCAACGGGCGCGGATATAGTGGAGTACATACAAAACCACCTGAGCGGCAATAGCCTTCCTCAAGCAGAGAGGATCGGTCAGGACTTGGTGGACAATGGCTTTCTTCGTTTGATCGGTAACATGGGAAACGTCTTTGCCAACAGCTCCAAGATGAACTACCAATGGCGTTCCAAGGTATTCCAGATCACGGGTATCCCCGAGAAGAAGAAGCCTCTGATGCGTGTTTCCTCGATGGCGTCGAGCGAAGACGGCAGCGAATCACCCATCTCGTCGGTCTCGGAGATGCTGTCTGGCTGGAACCCTCTCAACAACCCCTACCCGAACGAGACTCCTGCTGAGAAGCTCCGGAGAGAGGCCTCGGAGGCTGATGAGCGGTACAAGTCGGCTGTGCGTCGTCTTGATCAGCTCCGATGCCGCCTGGAGGAGGTGATCATTGAAAATCTACGCTTCATGGAGCAGTGCGAGCTGGATCGGCTCAAGGCCATCAAGGCCGTGGTCCTTGATTTCTCTGGCGCGATCAGCAATGTCATCCCCAACCTCCAGAGCACGGTCGACCATATGATGCTGTACCAGGAGACGATTCAGCCTCTGGGTGATTTGAGGTATTTGTTGGAGAATTACCGAACGGGAGGGTTCGTTCCTCGGGTCCAGGCGTACGAGAACTACTATGGCTCCGTTGAAGGTATTTTTTTCGATCATATTTTATTCAGGCTCTTGACGACATGTCATGACTAACAAGCCACAGACCAAAACTTTGGTGTCGACCTCGAAGCTAGAGCCCGCGTCGACCGGAAGCGGGTTCCGATTCTTGTGACAACCATTCTGACCTACCTCGATAACCGTGAGTGGAAAATTAGCCGGCATTTCTAGTGAGATACTAATACTTCTATAGGCTACCCCGAGCTTGAAGGCGACGAAGCACGTCGTGCTATCTGGATTCATGATGTTTCGCTGGCGTCCACGCATCAGCTGCGTAATACGTTGAACAACAGCAAAGTCGATTATCGCGAGGTGCTTCCGAAATACGAAATTCCCGTTATTGCAAGCGTTTTGAAACTGTACCTTCTGGAATTGCCAGGTTCGTTCTCCATCGTGGATTCCCTCAAGATCATCAAGTTAACCCGCCGATAGACTCCCTTGTTTCTTCACAAGTATATGAAATCGTGAAAACGATATACTCCACGACCGCTCATGAGACAACGGAAGAAGGGCGGCTCAAGGTCCTGCAGAGCACGCTTGGACAACTCCGCCTCGTCAACATTGCTACACTTGATGCCATTATGACCCATTTTACCCGCCTGCTTGACCTGACATCGGCCGATGAACAATACATCGCGACGCTGGCACAGAACCTGGCTTCCTGTGTTCTGCGGCCTCGTACGGAGAGTAGCCTGACGATGAATGAGCGCCACAGCTACCGATTGATTCGTGATCTGTTTGCTCACAAGGATGTCATCTTTGGCGAGCTGAAGCGACAATCGAGTGCGCTCGGCATTTCCACCTCCACTAGCCGTCCTCGTGCTATCAGCACTGATGAAAGTAACCGCCGCGCTGCCATGGAAGCCCGCCAACGCGCCATCGTCAATCGCAGCCGGGCCACTAGCCCTGCGGCTCGCACACGGCACCGCCGTGACCGTTCCAGTGGTGCCTCTGAATCTGGCCGGTTCCCGATCAATGTTGCGAGTCCGTCGGAGCGTCGCTCGACCCGAGGGAATAGTTTGGACGTGCCGATGTCGAACAGCAGTGACTCCCCGACTGCCCCTCCTCTCCCGACTGTTAACACCCAGACTGTTGAGCCTGTGACCAACGGCGCGGGCAGTAACTCGCCCGCAGTCATGAGCGCCAGTGTGTCCTCGGGTTCATCGAGCCCCCCTCCTCCCCCAGAGACCGCCTCGGACGGCTCTCCAACGCCGACCCCAACTCCTGCCCCCACGGCCACCGAGTTTGAGAAGCGCAGTTCTGTCCCCCGCTCCGCTGGTGCACGCTACACTCGCAAGCCCGGTCTTGGCAGCCTGTCTAGCTTCCCCACAAGTGCAGCATCGGATGCAGACAGTAAGCGAAGCAGTCTTGCCGAGAGCGAGCCCAAGGGCGTGACTCTGGAGGACAAACCCATGGATGATTAAACGCAGCCGAGAGACTTGTATAGACCAAAATCGGCGTCTTATGACAAGACCCGAAAGCGTGGACGACCATTTCTTTTTTGTTTCCAATTTGGAACTGATTTTCTATTTTTCCATTATTTTTTTGAACTTTGAATTTGTGCTCTCTTTTTGTCCAGACATGCATTTGTATGTATTGTCCTCATACCCTCTGCTAGCCTTGCTGCCCTACCTGCTCTGTGTTGCTTGCAGGTTTGTTATTTCCCCCCTTGATTCCTCGTGTGTTTTTCTCGTGGTGCCTTCTTTTGCCCCTTGTGTTTCTATCTCTTTGGTTTCGTGACCGTGTATGTATACTCTGATCCTTTTGCATATGAATCTTCTATCCCTTATGGGATTTGTCTATTTGTTATCTGTTGTAGATGTTTGGACGAATTGTTAAGTGTCTACTATAAGGTATGCTGAGGTCTCTGAGATGTGATTGGTGGGGATAGTCTCGAGATTTGGAAGTCTAGTATCTCAAGTATGAGGTAGTATTCGATGCTTCCTGTTGTTTGCTTAATGCATCCGAACAACCATGGCATCTCTCATTCTCCGACCCCGAGGAAGGATACGAGGCATGTGGACACGGAATCGATCCATAGCTTGGGTTGGATCCTTCTGGAGAGCCCGGGCCTGTTGATATGTGGGTTGGGGCGTAGAAGAACCGGGTGATAAGCCGGCCGAAGGAGAAGGTTTAGCCTTGACGGGAGTAAGCTGTGGAACTTGATTCCGGGGAGTTGTAAGGCCCTCTCCATTGAGGCATTTGACAAGTATCTGTGCAGCAGAGGCGCGCTCGCCCGGGTCAATTCTCGCCATATCTTGAATAATCTCAACACCTGCAGCGGCGGGCCAAAATGGCCTCGCGCGCGTCCCCTATGGACTTGAACTGCTCGGATCTCTGTCGAAATTCCTCTACATTCATTGTCCATACCATTGTAACATACAGAGACCACACGTCCGCCTTGTGCGTCTGGTCCCCTTCCTGCAACATCTCGAGGGCCATATAAAGCGGGCTGCCGACAGAGGTCGCGGCACTCACGGCGCGATTGCAGAGCCCGAAATCGCCGAGTTGGAACGAATATTGTGCATGTGATAGCGACGTGAAGCGTATGTTTTCTGGCTTCACGTCTCGGTGAATAATCTCGTTCGCTGCGAGAAAGTCTAGCGCCTGGAGCATCCGATGGAAGACGCAGTGGGCGAGGTTGGGGATGGACGAGATCGTCCCACTTGCGACCAATGATCTCCAGGTCCTGTTCTTGAGACCCATAAACATTTCTAGTTCTGGCCCGCTCCAACCCTGTGACGCGATATAATCGATGATATGTGGTTTAAGGCCATTGTATTAGCTCGGCGGCTCGAGATAATGGATGGGGGTTGACACACATGGCTGATCTTGGATAGAGTCTCAACTTCTCGCTTGAGTGCATAATACAGCGACTGCCTCCACGCTTCCTCGTTCAATGCTTTGTCAGGGAGTTGTAATAACTTGACAGCCATTGCCCTGCCCGTGTCGATGTCGATAGCATGGTATCGCAGAAGCAAGCGCTTGGACAACACGAGTATAGCGAAGAACGTGCCTCGAGCAGCGAAGCCTCAAGGGGTCACCAAGAGGATATATAAGCGAGGTAACTAAGGATAAGAGTAGAACACGACCACTATACAACAAGATACTCAGATGCATCAGAGCATTGAATTTAAGCTGTTTGAATAGCCAACCCACTGAATAACTTCATGATTTTTTTTTATTGCTTTTTCTCTATAAGACCAAAACCTCAACAAGTGATCTTGTCAAGTAACAAAAGAGAGGGCCATGGTTGACAAAAGAAAATCGTCAGGGACCTAACCACGGACAGGAAAGCTCTCGACTCCAAAAATGCAAGATAGCAGTGTTATACATGATATGAATGCCCGACACGACTCCAATAAGAATGCAGATTCGCTGTAAAATGCGCGGTCCTTCCAAAGCACCGCGAGGGGAAGAATTAGAGTCCCTCTCCACGAAGGAGCCGTCGCAGAATGCCTTCACCGGGACCGGCAATCTGACTATCGATTTCCTGTTGAGAAACAAAGCACACGAGTCCCTGTTCATCCAGCGCTTTGTGGGGTGTCGAAGGCGCGTTGCCAGATTTCGACGGCGTGCGTCGTATGTCAGAGCCCCCTCCCAAAGTCCCGCCTCGCCCACGACCTTGATACTCGCCGACCAGGCCCATTGTTTCCAAGTTACTCAGGACATCCTTGAACTCGGTAGCAGTCAAGGGGTGCAGGATGTTGTCGTTTCGGCACAATGCACAGTACGTGTCAAAGGCTTGCTTCACAGTGGGTGCTGACGCTCGGGACTTGGACGGCGTGCTGGGGATCTCGAATTCTCGGCGTTTTCGTTCGAGAGCAATCAGAGAGCAGATGGCGGCTTTCTGTTGAAGATTCAACCCCTGGAGTCTTTGAACGGTGCCCTGTCCAAAGGCCGACGAGGTGATTCTTGCTACATGTGCGATGCTGGCCCGTGGAGCTGTGATGACAGTGTATGCCGACATCGAGGTCGGAGGAGCGCCAGTGCCGCCTTTCGCAGACGACGATGACAAGTTTTTGTTCTCTGCCAGGATCGAGGACTTGTCACCATCGGCCAATTGCTTCTCGAGCTTCTGTTGGGTTTCTTGCTCAATGGCATCAATGGTACGTTTGATCAGCTCAAAAGCCTTCCGAAGATCTCCGGTTTGCGAGGCCACCTTTTTCGAGCAAAGTTGGATGGCAACCGGTTGGAGAAAGGGGACAAATTTTGGATCGGCATCAGGCCCAGCCGGGAGCAGTGACCGCAGACGGTTGGTAATGACGTTAGCGATGGATGCAGCATTGTACGGCAGAAATGGGAGGAGGGTAGGCTTGAGATTTTTGGCCTTCAGCTGCGGGAGGGACCGGTCGGTCAAATCCAGCGCGTTTGCGATGCCAATGAGCATGAGGGTGGATTTGCTATGCAATGACCACTCAAAAAGCGATTGCAGTACGCCGGAGTCCCCCATGAGCAGGTGGTCAATTTCATCCAAAGTGACCAGAAACAAATTTTTTGTTTTCTTGGATGGCAGGAACATGGCCTTCAATCGATCCGACTCGCTCTTCTTGAAGACCTCAGAATCCTCATCGAAGTCCTGAACGAGTTTGCTGTAGACATCGCGGGCATTCCGCATGCTCACGCAGTTTACATGCGACACTTTTACCTCCGACAGGTCGAGGTCGCGACACACTTCATCCACCATAGCACTCTTGCCTGTCCCTGGAGGTCCGCTGATGTAGAGGCAGCCGCCCTTCCGGGATTCGAGGCAGTCCCCAATGAAAGTGGTCAGCTTCTGTCGCTCAGTGTCTCGACCGACTAGCCGGCCTGAATTGGCCCCACGAGCAAATAGCTGCCTGGCTTGCGAGTACACAGAGGGTGCAGCCGTTGGGGTAGCACTCTGGCGAGGAGTGGGTGGGAGGTCACTGTGACGAGGGGTTCGTGGAGTCGCCGACTTGGCCCCAACTTGCACTCGATGCCGAGGGGTAACTGGTGAAGGCTGCAATGCATCTCGATATCGTGATTTCTGGGGCGTTTTGAATTCGACTGGTTTGGCGCTCTCCTCTTCAATGTCGTTCGGTTAGCCAAGTTGTCAAATTAGGGCCCCCCAAGATTTCCGCTTACCCGCTACTGGCTTCGAGGAGCGGAAATGAGAGTTGATATTGGTGGGAGACCCACCCTGGTTATCACGAAGTGTGTGCTTGGAAGGCGCCTTGTCCACCAAAGTCTTGTCAACGCCATTCTCTTGATCAGGCGGTTGATCCGCAACTTTTGCATTTGAGCGCAGTCGGCGGGGAGGCTGGGGGGCTTTGTCTTCACGGTGAACTCGGGGTGTGAGGGTGCGGCGCTTGCTGGCTGTCCGCACCGGCAATGCTGGAAATGGAAGTCAGTAAGTCCAGCACATCTTGAAAGGGAAGGAGGGCAGTTACCTTCTGACTCGATGGCACTACGAGTGCGCTTTCCCAACACGGTGGCAGCCATCGTGGTGTGTCACAACAAAGTAGGAGCGATGAAGAAGATGCAGTTGCCTCGGGGAATTCCACACGTTGTGCGCGCAGGTGCCAGGCGCGTCGAGACGCGTCGGACGCGTTATCCCCTAAGCGGTAAGATGTATTTCAGTAGTCTACAGCAACCACTTACGCATTACTTAGTCAGCCGTGCGTCACCGATGATCAGCGCGGATTCTCTGAGTTTTGGAGTGGTGGGACTTTCTCGGTGATGCGTTTGGTCTCTGTTCAATGTGATTGTTCTCTTTCTTTTCGAATTCTTGCTCTCACAGGCCTGTGCGGTTTTGGCCGTGTTGATACCCTCGACGAATCGTTTGCAGCAATTTGCAGCACATTTGCCTCTCCCCCACGGCTTCATTCAGATAGCCGAGCTTGAGACTTCGAAGCTCCCTGTGGGAATCTCAACAGACACCTTTCCTACCATCTATACTCCAACGAATACTTGCTTGTGCAACCTCACTGCACCATGGACAACGATGTGGTGGCTCAATTCACCGAGATCACCGGCTCGACGCCAGAGCTCGCAACACAGTACCTCCAGCTCACCGATTTCAACATCGAACAGGCCATGCAGCTGTACTTTGAGAACGGAGGCGCACCGTTGACTGAGGATCCGCCTCAGCCACCCCGCCACACTGGGTACGAGGACGAGTCTGGGGTAGTACATCTCGACTCGGACGACGAGGCTCCCCCCACTGCTCTGCCTAGATCATCTACAACATCAGGCCTTGGGTCGACCTTTGAGGACGATGCTGCCATGGCTCGCCGCCTCCAGCAGGAAATGTATGGGGGTCCTGATAACGACAACGATGAGGTGCGGGCGCCGATGGCGCGCACGACTGAAACGTTGGTGGGGCCTGAGCCGGATTTCGACGATGACATGCATGCCAATATTCTCGGTCAATTGCGTGCTCGTCAGCGAGGAGGTGAGTCTTGGGTGTTTTGTCGGGACCTTTGTGAAACGAAACCCCACTAACATAGTGCTCAGGTCGGCCAGGAATCTTCAACCAGAGAGACACTGCATCAATATGGCAGGGCGAGGCAGAGGAGTCACGGCGGGAACAACTCGCTACGGCGACGGGCGGCGCATCGGAGACCTCATCGAAATCTAATATGCTCGCCGAGATGTATCGGCCTCCGTTTGAGATTATGTCCCGGTTGCCGTGGGATGTGGCTCGCCAGGAAGGGCGTGATACAGAGAAGTGGCTGTTGGTCAACATTCAAGATTCGTCCGTCTTTGATTGCCAAGTTCTGAATCGTGATCTTTGGAAGGACAAGAGTGTTCAGGAAACGGTCACAGAGCATTTCATTTTCCTACAGTATGCGAAAGACGACCCTCGTGCCTCGGCCTACTTGCAGTACTACTTCCAGGCGAGCGATATCTCCGACAACTACCCGCACATTGCTATTATAGATCCTCGAACCGGCGAGCAAATGAAGGTTTGGTCGGGCCCGCCCGTAATGAAAGCAGCCGATTTCCTCATGCAGCTCCACGAATTCCTTGATCGCTACAGCCTGAACCACAATGTGCGCAACCCTGTTGCCAAGCGGAAATCGGAGAAGAAAGAAAAGACCGTCGACGCGATGACCGAGGAGGAGATGCTGGAAATGGCCATGAGGAACAGCCTCGGCGAAGGAGGCGCATCTGGGCCAAAGTTGGCAGACCCTGACGAGTTGACCCGCAGTACGGATGATGTGAAGGGCAAGGGCCGAGCCATCGAAGAAGATGTCAACATGGGTGGAACGGCTGACGAGACCGAGGAATCCCCGTTCAACTCGATTCCTAGCAACCAGCCACACACAGAGCCTGCTGCGGATCCCGCGACAACCACCCGTATTCAGTTCCGTCACCCGTCTGGTCGGGTCATCCGGCGATTTGCGCTGTCCGACCCTGTCCAACGAATCTACGAATGGCTCAAAGCAGATCCTCCCCTTGAGGACAAAGCTGGTGTGGAATTTGAGCTGAATGCTATGGGTCGCAATTTGATTGACCAGTTGAACACTAGCATCGAGGACGCTGGGCTGAAGAATGGCACGGTGATGATTGGATACCTGGAAGACTGATAGTCTTTTCCTAAAGGGATGCAACTCAGACTCGCATAGGGACCCAGCCTTACCCTACTAATACCAAAACACTTGAATTGAACCTCCATCATAGTATGTTCTTGATCAACAATTCTCCGTTCTCCGGAAGGATTTACATACTTCGTAGCCCCATCAATACACCGCCCCAGATAAGCTTCACCGCCGGGCAGAATGCGCCCCGCGTCGATAAACACACGCAAGGGAAGCGTCTCCTGTCATCTTCCCTAGCTCCCGCGACTCGAGTATATACTGCACAAGTTTTTTGTGAAAGTCCACGATGTTGCATGGTTAATGCTATATTGAGTTGAAGGGCTCTGACCCCTGATTCCGCCGGACCCGCTTTGCTCAGCGCCCCTCGCATCTCAGCCCGCCGTGGGATAAGCCAAGCCACAAACATACTACGGTCTTTGCTGCGCGTACTCTTACCAGGAGGTGAACGAGCATTCAACCCGCCCTTTTGACCTAGTCTCTGTTTTTGCCTTCGGTTCTGATCTTCTTCTCGTCTTAGACTGATCTCTGTCGCTCTGTGCGTGCTTTTATCCTTCCATCAGTCCCGACCTGAACATTCTCCACTTTTATCATTCTCACTGCTTCTTTTGCCTATTTCATTTGCTTCACCTTTCCTCTCCTCCACCTGTGGGATACGTGAGATTGACCGGCGTCGATTCCACAGTGCTACATGAATCTCGCCCTCTTGCTGCGACTCAGATAAGCCAACATGCCTCCTCCAATCGACCCGGAAACCATCTACACCAAACAGACCTGCATTGGTATGTGTGCCTGGAGGACCAGCAATGAAAATACTGACATGGAATGGGGGCACAGGAGGTGGAAGCTTCGGCAAAGTCTACAAAGGGTAAGTGAGATTCTTGAACACAATTCTTGTTTGCTGGTCCTTGTCCTAACTTGAAATGACTTGAAAGTGTGGATCGACGAACCGGAGAATCTGTGGCCATCAAAATCATCGATGTCGAAAACGCTGAGGATGATGTGGACGACATTATCAAGGAGATTGCGATTCTGTCGGAGTTGAAGTCGCTCTATGTGACCAAGTACCATGGCTCCTATTTGAAAGGTTCTTACTTGTGGATCATCATGGAGTTCTGCTCAGGTGGGAGCTGCCAAGGTTTGCTGCGCTCTGGAACGATCAGCGAAGAATACATCGCCATCATCCTGCGAGAACTTCTACGAGGACTGGACTACCTCCATGGCGATCAGAAGCTGCACCGAGATATCAAAGGTAATTGCATTACTACTGGTAAAATGATAGATAGGGGATGTTGATGAACCTACAGCTGCGAACATCCTGTTGAGCGCTAGCGGCCAGGTCAAATTGGCTGACTTCGGAGTCTCGGGACAATTGTCGGCGACCATGACCAAAAAGAACACATTCGTCGGGACTCCGTTTTGGATGGCACCAGAAGTCATTAAGCAATCGGGTTATGACTACAAGGCGGATATCTGGTCTCTGGGCATCTCAGCGATCGAATTGGCATGTGGAGACCCGCCATATGCTGACATCCATCCGATGAAGGTGTTGTTCTTGATTCCCAAGAACCCCCCTCCCACGCTGCAAGGCAATTTCAGCAAGCCTTTCAAGCAATTCGTGGATATGTGCTTGCGCCGAGACCCCAAGGAACGACCGTCGGCCAAGGAGTTGCTGGAGCACCCGTTTATCAAACGCGCCAAAAGAACAACCTACCTGACTGAGTTAATTGAACGCGCAGAGCGTTGGCAAGCTACCCACCACGGCCAAGACGATGACCAGGATGGGTATGAAGAATGGGATGAGGACCAGCCTTCCAACGACAGGTCCGAGGAAGAGGAAGACCTGTGGGACTTTGGTACGGTTCGCCCTGCAGGACGAGCGCCCGCTCCCGCATTGAAGCCGTTGAATGCCTCGGGTACCAATTCTCGAAGCAACGAGACCGACGAATGGGATCTGCGCGATGAAAGCTCCAAGCAAGCTCCAGCTCCCCATCAGCAGGTACCAAATCAGACAATGATTCCAAACCCTGCCCTCAGCAATTCTGCTTCTAAAACCCTTCTCCCGTCATCGGTGCCATCTTCGTCGATGAAACAAACTCCTGCACAGGCCTTGCCTTTTCCTTCACGCAATGCCCCACCTGCAACGACCGCCAAACCACTTCCGGAGAAACCGCCTTCCATGGGACAGAATGAACGATATGCACAAGCAGTGATGGACTATGCGGAAGGGCTTGGGACGGACTCAGCATCTCCTTCGCCGGTCGACACCACAGCCAGCAAGGCTGTTCTATCCAGTGATCCGAAATCCACGAGTTCAAACACTGCCGAACATTCTCCCGCCTCAGGTGGCCCAGTCTCGAGAAAGCCAGCGCCACCGCAGCATATCACCCCCGGCAACAACTCTGCCCAAGTATACCCCCGCCAATTGTCTCACGCAAGTGCCTTCAAGCAGCCAGAGGCATCGTCCCAGGCGAAGCAGCACACTGGGCTCAAGTCCAAGCGCGCCCCAACACCTCATGGAGAGCGCGTCAACCACTACCACCCACCAGCACCTAGTCGGCCCAATCCAAACGATTCGGGAAAGGCTCTTACTGAAAAAGAGCGAACCACCGCCTGCGGCTCCGTCATCCTCCCCGCGCTGCGTGCTGCGATGAACCGACGTGCCCGTCACCTGGCCCGCCTCGAACCAGGCCGGAACCCCAGCCGCGGACGGCCAACCCGTGAAGACGAAATGGAGTGGCAGCGCAGCGTGCGCATTCATCGTGGCATGGAGCAAATCACTGAAGAACTCACCAAGTCCTTTATTAACCTTCACCGCTGGGACATGGAGAACCCCATGGATATGGATGGAGGCGTCAATGCTGTTCTAGATGCCTTCCTCGAAGAGGTTCTGGTGCGAGTTCAGCCTTCTCCTGCGCCCAACTAGAGTTGATTGTGCCAATGCTGGATTGAATGTCCATTGATCGAGTTTCTTGTTGGGATTATGATTTTATGCCGTGACTTTTCTTTCTTTTCTTCTCTCTGTTACTTTGTTGTCTCGGCGTTGAGGTTGTTGGAGTGGTTTTCATTTGCACTTTTCTGTCTGTCATCACGTACATGGTCATGTTATCTTCTTGTGTGATTACCCTTGGGCCCGTGGCTCAATGTGTGTGTAGATCTGACACGCTCTCCAAAAAAAAGGGAAAACAGGAAATGAATGGCTCGAGTCAATGAACAAAGTGTACTAGGATGTCTACGAGTAATTGTGCTGGTCTTGAGTGTTGGTCTACGTGAAGTCTCTAAAATTCGAACCCTTTGGATTGAACTATCGGCTGAGACCTTCATTTGCCTGATGTTCTATATATTCGGACATGAGAATCCTTCGATGAGGAACATTCAATACTGTAAGCTGTTGGGTCTGGAGCATGAGCAGGTGGAACACGAGGTACATTGAAGAAACCAAAGACATCGAGGTACTCGAGTTCATTTGGGACCAGGTTCCGGGCCGGCAGGATAGGCGCGGGTCCCGGCTGATGGCCTTCATTGGTATTGCCGTTACTAACAGGGGATTCCCGTGGTTGGCGCGAGATCAAAAAGTCCAGGTCAAAAGCGCAGCGGCGCATGTCGGCCAGGATCTTGACCGTCGACGGCTTGGAGCGTTCGCCGTCTGTCGCGGCGGACTGCTGGTACTCGCCGTATTCGTCGAGGACGCGCTGTAGGATATTACTGTAGCGTTCGGCAACTTTCCAGTACTGACCCATGCGGGCCAGAGTATCGACAATAAAAATAGGATGTCGGGGCTGACGGTGTGAGCGATGGTGGAGCCGTGGACGAGAAGTAGTCGTGCGGATACCCAGAGGGCGAATGCGAAGGGAGGGCCGAGTTTGTCGAGCATGTTGTGCTCTACGACAAATCGCGTCACTGAGAGGTTATTATCCACAGCCAGGAGGCACCGCTGGCTGGCACTGTATGATGGGGCGAATATTGGTGATCGTGTGGTTGGGTACGCAGCAGAGGAACGGAGACGAATGACGGCTCAGGGATGAGCATAAAGTAGTGAGCATCCCTGGAAACGTATATTGAACTAGAGGGAAACAAAAAAAGCGAGAATACTCACGTTTGGTAGGTAGCATGGAGCTGCACCCAGTCGCTGTGTAAACTGCGGCTGTGCTTCGAACCACTGAAGAGGCGAGACGAGTTCTCGTAGGCGTACTCCGCGGGTAAATTGAGCCCCCACGATATCAGCTCGCTATCAAGCTTCCTGTAGGTAGCCTGCCATTCTTCGACGTCGGAGAACCGGGGCAACCCCGCGTTTCTCCACTGGACGCATCCTTCAGGACGTCATAGCTAGTTGGTTGTGAGAAAATATATAGGACATACACCTTTCATGGAGATTGATGTACAATATCCATTAATGATCTGAGAGGGTGGAATGGTCAGATCTAATCAGGGAAGGGATTGAGATACAGTAACAGCGAGCACTATATATACTTCGTAACAAAAGCAGAGGTTTACAAGCATAGAATGAAACCTCTCGAGACTAACCAAACTACCACATATTTATCTCAGTCAGACTATTATCCCTCGGCATATTCACTGTTGTTGCCACGCTTTAATGTACAACGGTGTTGCGCTGTCGCGTTTGGTCCCGCTCCTCGGGCCAGCAATACCCCGAGGCCTCGGGTGCAGACGAGTTGAAATACGCCGGGCTCCCCGCGATTCTCCAAATCTCTTTTGTCCTCCTTGGTAGTTTCTTCTTCGAGACAATTTTTTATCGCGGACTTGACTTGCACACCAATCCACCATGAGCTCCACATCTAATTTCCCTCGCATCAAGGAGGTGCGCACCTTCATCATCGACGGGGTTGGCTCTGGAGGCGACTACCACAATGTATGTTGGACACCTGTATGTAGCAATAAGTCAGCCCACTGACAGTGTCTGCAGATCAAAGGAGGCCACTGGCTCGTCGACAGCAATATCTCAACTCCTATGACCAAGTGGGCGCAATACCGTGGCTCACGGACGTCGTGGGGAATCAATGTTCTGGGATCGTTCTGCGTTGAGATCGAGGCCACAGATGGAACCAAGGGCTTTGCAACTGGATTTGGCGGTCCTCCGGCATGCTGGCTCGTGCAGCAACACTTTGACCGGTTCCTGGTTGGCGCAGGTATGATCGAGGCATTTACCGCTTTGAATTTAACAGAAGTTCTAATAACTCCATTCGTTCAGATCCCCGTGACACCAACGATTTGTTCGAGAAGATGTACCGAGGCTCCATGTTCTACGGCCGCAAGGGTCTGCCGGTGGCCGTGATCTCGGTCATCGATTTGGCCTTGTGGGATCTCCTGGGCAAGATTCGCAACGAACCGGTGTACAAGCTCATTGGCGGGGCAACTCGGTCAAGACTAGACTTCTACTGCACAGGTCCACAGCCTGCAGCTGCCAAGGCGATGGGGTTCTCTGGCGCGAAAGTGGCATTGCCGCATGGCCCCGATGAGGGGACCGAGGGACTGCTCAAGAATGTCGAATACTTACGTCTGCAGCGAGCCAGCGTCGGACCGGACTTCCCTCTGCGAGTCGACTGCTACATGTCTTTGACAGTGCCGTACACAATTCAACTGGTTAAGCGCTGTGAGGCCTTGGGTCTTGATATTGACTGGTGGGAAGAATGTCTGTCCCCCGACGACTTCGACGGCCACGCACTCCTCAAGCGCGCCCACCCCACGGTCCAGTTCACCACCGGTGAGCACGAATACTCCCGGTATGGCTTCCGCAAACTGGTCGAAGGGCGCAACCTCGACATTCTTCAACCGGATGTCATGTGGGTTGGTGGGATGACTGAGCTGCTCAAGGTCTCTTCCCTTGCTGCTGCTTACGATCTCCCCGTTGTGCCCCATGCTTCAGGTCCTTACTCCTATCACTTCGTGGTCTCCCAGTCCAACAGCCCCTTCCAGGAATACCTGGCCAACTCGCCTGATGGCAAGTCCGTTGAGCCCGTGTTTGGAAACCTGTTCTTGAACGAGCCCATTCCCACCAAAGGTCATCTCGACGTTTCCATTTTGGACAAGCCCGGTTTTGGTCTTGAACTCAACCCGGCTGCACCACTCATTCCGGCTGCAGCCATCCTGACCCCAGCCCCCCAGAGGAGTCTTCGTGCTCCGGAGAACGAGCAGGCAGCAAATGGCTCAGCTGCGTAGGCATTCTGGTTAGGAACGCATATAATTGGTTAATTGGGCCATTCATGGTGCCTTGATTTGGACCGACTGTCTTCATCGAGTCCACGATTTCATGTATATAAAACAAATCCATCTGATTCAATAGACTGAATTGACTGCGGATGACATTCTCAGGATATCCAAAATAGTCAAAGCTGACCTTGGCCCCGCGTTTTGCGCCGTGCAATCTCGCATGGTTTTCTCTCGGTCACAGGCATTTGGTCCTCGGTGTCTGCGATGAGGGGAAGCACTCCACACTCGGGGCAACATCAGCACGAACCCCCCGAAATCTTATCGGCGGGAGAGCGGGACAGCTTTCGCAGAGAAACAATACTGCAACCACTCTTGGAACACACCGTGACGGTATCCTCAATGCCTCTCCCACAGCTGCTTGTTGGCAAAGTCGCTGCCATCACTGGCGGCCTCACAGGCATCGGACGGGTATGTTCGATTCCTTTCTATTGCTTGCTTGTCCTCCGAGGCCATACAATTATCTGACCTCGACTAACCTAGGCCATCGCCCTCGAATACCTCCGCCATGGAGCCAAAGTATCAATTAGCCATCTGGGCGGCTCAAAAGAAGATGACTTGCTGGCGGCATTGCAGAAAGACGTGAACGAGATCGAAGCAGGGGCAGACAAAACACGATTCCTCGCAGTAGCGGGCGACATCTCATTGCCAGATACAGGACGAGAATTTGTAGCAAAGACAGTCGAAAAGTTCGGTCGACTAGACGTGTTTGTGAGCAACGCCGGCGTGTGCCAATTCGCCGAGTTCCTAGAGTGAGTTCCCAACCTACAATTTCCATATTGGACCCCTGGGTTTTGTGTTCTGTCGTTCTGATCTCCCCAAAACCAGACTGGAGCCACCCTTGCTCAATCATACAATCTCCACGAATCTCTCCGGCGCCTTCTATGCTACGCAGGCCGCGGCACGGCAGATGGCCTTGACGCAATCTCCACCGGGTGGTTCCATTATCGGCGTCAGTTCCATCTCTGCTCTCGTTGGAGGCGGGCGGCAGACACACTATACGCCTACCAAAGCCGGTGTACTGAGCCTCATGCAATCGTGCGCGGTGGCATTGGGGAAATATGGCATTCGTTGCAATGCGCTGCTACCCGGGACTATCCGCACACAGTTGAATGATGCCGACATGGCGGACCCCACAAAACGCACATATATGGAGGGCCGAATCCCGCTGGGGAGACTCGGCCAGCCGCCGGACTTGGCTGGGCCCGCGGTGTTTTTGGCGTGTGAGGAGCTGAGTAGCTATGTTGTAAGTGTCTTGTCTTGTTTCACCTCGTTATAACCCTGCCTGTACTGTTGCTGTTGATTCTGATGTGGCTTCTTGAATAGACCGGAGCACAGATTCTGGTTGATGGTGGGCTTTTCGTCAATCTGCAGTGACATATTGTTGGCGTCGAATTACAACCCAGCAATTGATTACATCAATAAACCCAAATCAACTAAAAGTATAAATTACCACCATTAATCCTCTAGATACTAATTCCGTAGGCCTGTATAGCAACTCCTCCCCAGACTCCCTTCCGCTGCTCTTCCGTCAACCCCCTCTTCTCCAAAACACCCTCGACGACTTGTTTCCATCTGATCCATGAAACATCATTTCCTCCACCACCAATATTGCACACAGGCCAATCCGAGCCAAACATCACGCGTTCTGGCCCAAAAGCATCAAAGGCCACATCAGTCCAAGGCTGAAGGCGATCGACCAAACCAGAAATATCTAGATCTGCTTCGGCTGCCAGCGGTGGAAATTCAGAGAAAGCCCCGGACAGCTTCATATAAGTTCGACCATGTGCATGAGCCATCTTCGTGATAAGAAACTTCCATTTGAGATACTCTGGGTGGGTTTGAACAGCGTCGATTGGAAGTCGGAGATTTGGCTTGCATAGATGATCTGGAAAGATAATCAGTCATGGTGGTCAACAAAAGACGGGGGCCCGTCTTACTGATAACAATAGTAACTGCACCAGCATCATCCTTCTCGAACCCCCTATACACCTTTTCCATCATCTCCACTGCTTCTTGCAATTGACCCAATCCACCCTGCCTTGCATCCACTCCGAGATCAAACACCAGCCCTTCTCTCCCCAACCATCGTAGTCCTTCCACGAACCCAGTCTCGAGCATAGTTCCAGCCGCTTTGTCCTGCAATAGATATCGGACCCCACGGACTTTTTGCCAGACTTCTTCTGTTTGTGTTCTCTCTTTGGCTCTCGCCATGTACGCGCGCAGTATCTCCGGTCCACCAGGAACTGGTGCCCACGGGACAATTCCCAGACAGAGATCTCGATCAATCTCAGTATGCCCTTCTTTTGGGAGCGGCTTTCCCATCACAATTCTCGTGAGAAGAGACACTTCATCCAAGGCATGGAACCATCCTGGAGCGTCTGTGGAGGGCTGATCCACCACGGAGGAAATGCGGTCTGTTTCGAGGAATATAAAACCACGCAGATATTCCGAGGTTGACGAGGTTGCCTGACGGTATTCATCTAAGCTGTGCTGCGAGCCCAATGGATTGCTTGGGCCATGCCAGGCCAGACTTGGGAGGTGAGATGCGGGGAAGAGGTGGATGTGCGAGTCCACGATGGCAATGGGCATGGTGTATTTGAGTGCAATCCACTCGGATCAGAGGGATATTTGATAAAATCTTAATCTTTAAGATCTTCAAATCGAGGGTTTGGGTGCGAGGTTGAAGTTCAGCAGTTCCGTCGGTGGTTTTTGACCCGAGGTACAACGACCCCACTACTTTGAGCTGCTCGGCATCAGCGAAACAGTATGGTGGCGTATGAACACCTTGATATATAAAGTTTTTCTCAACCGTGCTCGCCGCTATAATCCTCTGCATATTCGACTGCATTATTTTGTTAATTGGTTGGCTGAAGCCCAAGGTTGCAGGGTTGCAGGTGAAGCTTTGTTAGGGAACACTTTGGCACCGAGTCTTTGTATGGAGGGCGATATTTCTACTTGCTTACCCTCGAATTCTTCGATTATGAAATCCACTCGTCTTGAAAACTGCTCGGTGACATCCATAGATCGAGTCCGTATTTCCCAAAATGGCAACTTGGGGGTGGAGGCAGGTTACATAATCCTGGATGGCGTCTGTTCCACGTTTGTGCCATCGACTTCTTCTTAATTTCTCCCTCGCAGAAGCGCACACTGTCTTCATAAACCAGTCTATGACTGCTCCAATATATTTGAGAAGATCAAATGATGCGAGTTGAAGGCATTGTCCCTCTGAGCAAGCCGAGATGCGACCCACTGGTTCGTGGACATTTTTGATTTAGAGACATGGACTAATCTGTTTCTAATTGTTTTTGAGATCAGGTGCTGCCTGCGCGACATGTCGGCAAAAGTCACGACGATGTGATCGTGCACGCCCCGTCTGTAGGCGTTGTATCAGCAAAGGATTGCACTGTGGTGGGTACCCTGACAAGTTTCGCTTCTGTGGCCTTGCCAGTCGCGGCAAATGGAAGAATCGGGAGGCTCCAACTACAGACCAGGAGCCTTCGTCTACAAGGCCACCACTGTCTTCACAGGAGCAGCCAGCAGACCAGGCAACATCGACATCAAAGCAGCTAGTGCAGCATGGCGGGCAGATCCCTCCAACGGGACGTGATGGCCCTCGAAGCCGATCGACTGACAGCAGACCAAACAATGTCCTTAGTTCACTGCATGATACTCGTGGATCCAGAATCCATCAAGCGGCATTGTCGACCCGGAGTCCAGTGTCAGATGAGAAGGCGAAGATAGACAAATTACTCGTGTCAAAAGAGGCCGAAACACTACTGGCCCATTGTAAGAGAGCCCAGAAATATTTGGCAGACCAGAAACGCAGCTAATATTTTGATATTAAGACGACCAAATCATATGTCCACATCAGATAGCCCAGCGTGCTGACAGCGCCGAAAATCCTTACCGACTATACGTGCTTCCGTTAGCATACGAGCAGATTGGCCTGCTATATGCCGTTCTCGCATTATCAGCATGCCATCTTGGGCACCTCAACTCTGATAGACATCTTTATGAGGCGGTTGCTGTCAACTATCGTGTCAATGCTATCACTGCGCTGGGAGCTGCCATTCGTAAAGGATGCTCGGGGAATTTTGATAAAAGTGAGCGGGATGGCGTCTTTGCCACTATCCAAATCCTGCTCCTTCATGATGTAAGTCTCACTATATCGGGCTGTTGCTTTACTATAATGGGAGCGAAGAAGCTCATTATTGATTTGTTGTATCAGATCTGTGAGACGGGCATCTCGGCGCATGGGGCTCATATTTCGGGGGCAATGTCCATCTGCTCCCAGTTGATGCTGGATCAGCGTTTAACTATGGACCAAGAGCGCACAGTGTTTTTCCTTGGCAATCTTGCATGGTAAGACTTCCCGTTCGACGCAAATAAGCCATCAATCTAAACATCTGTCAAAAAGGCTGGACATTATTCGTGCATTTTCGGGGCCAGAAAAGTTGTGCTTCACAGGGGAGCTTCGCGAACGACTGCTATCGTTGGGCAACTTAAGATTCGAAGCAGTCAATGGTTGCCCAAGAGAGCTAGTCCTCATTATTGGAAAGTTGTTGGAGCAGGCAAAAGCGCATGCTAGTGGCAAACTCGGCGTAAGACAATATGTGGACATGCTCCAACATTCGATACACAGGCTCTACCTCTGGGATAGCTCTCGGTGCATTTACCCCGATGATAACCCTCTTTGGATTTCAGTTGCTGAGGCATTCCGTCATGCCTGTATCCTCCGCGCTCTGCGTCTCCTCGATGTCACGGAGCCTGCCCACGAACCGCGGATTCAGGAGTCTGTGACTGCAATCTTGGATTCCGTGGCCAACGTCCCTGGAGAGAGCCCTCTGATAGAGCTCATGATCCTTCCGCTTTTCATGGCAGGCGCTGACTGCCTCTCGCCACACTCCCGTCATTATATCCTGCTCAGGTTTTCAGAGATTAAGGCCAGATCGGAGATGAGTAACACAGCACCAAGGACGCTGCTCGAGAAGGTATGGCAAGAACGAGAGAAACGACCCAAGCGTGATCAAAGCAACGTTCCTTGGATGTTTTTCGTAAGTCACGTCCCCTGCCCCCCACGGAGATCGGTTTTCTGACACTTTCTAGACATATGACTCCGAGTCTACCCATCAAGATGATTACTTGATCATTTAAGAAACCGCATAGACTCCCATTCCAGGACATAAACATCAAAAATGGCTTCGCAATAACTTTCGAGTCATATTCTTTTCTCTTTTGAGAAAGTAGGTCTGCATTTATGGGCGCCCACTCCCTCGCGTCTCAACATTGTTTCCTGGACTCCCGGTTCCCAAATTCGGATGAGAATCAACCCGATGTTTTCAAGTTCACGGTTCCCGAGATCATATGGAGCATGCCGATCATCAGGATGCATGTAACCCCCCGCCCCCGCCGGAAGGATCTCGCGTTGAGACCCAGTGGGAAATGATTAGTACGCTTTTATTTGTGGACAATTTGCGTGCCGTCGGTGCTTGTTTAATTACATGGGTAACCCGAAAGGAACTATTTAAACCAGGTTGCTCCCTTGGAACATTCAATGGAGAGGTTCCGATGGGCAAAAGTCCAACAGAGAGAACGTATACATGTTTTCTCCCGCTATCATTGTTCAATGAAGCAGGATATTCATTCATTGTATTAGAATGCGTCCCTTCCTAGTCTCCCTTTTATCCACACTTGTGGTCGCTTCCGATGTCATTGATATTCCATCCGACATCCCGAAGCGGGTGCTGAAACCCGATATATACGGCTATTCCATCGAGCCATCGTCTGCAGCTCCATATATCAAAAACAATCTCACCTCAAACTTGATGACAGCCATTGCCAAGATCATCGGAGTACCAGCATCAATTCGAGTTGGGGGAAACATCGCTGACCAGACCCTCTTTGAGGCTGGTTTGAAATCCTCCTCAGTTGCTGTGCCCAATGACACAGTCGTGGATACGTTTCGAATTCGCAAAGATTGGTTTCGAGGCTGGGGAGAGTATTTTCCACTAGAAACCAAATTCATCTATACACTGAACCTGCGCAACGAGAGCGGCTCATGGATGAATGCTATGAAAGAGGCCGAAGCCGCTATCGACGTGCTGGGCGCGTCGCTGTCCCGATTCGAACTGGGAAACGAGATCGACCATTACATCAACAAGGGCTGGCGGAAACCCGGATGGGGTACAAAAGAGTACACCCAGCAATGGCATCGCCTTACGCGCCAGATCCTGTCGTCTGCCTCCTACAAAAATGCTAAACACAAGCCTCACTTCCAAGCGGCGGTGTTTGCCGATCCTCCCTGGGTCCCGGATCAGCATGACGAGGTAGACGACTTTGATATTATCAATGTGACTCGTGCTGGACTGGTTGATCCGAAGATCATCGACTCCTACGCCGTACACCTCTATCCGCAATCGACCTGCGATGCAGCCCGCGAGAGCCGCCTTTCTCTCAATCTGCTATCCAACCATGAGGTGGTCTGGAAAAATCTCTCTCAATTTATTCCCCAAGAGGCTGCAGCCCGCAATGCTGGTAGTCCACTCGTCCTCGGCGAAACTAATTCCGCCTCCTGCAGTGGAAGAAGTGGCATTAGTGACACTTTCGGCGCTGCATTGTGGGCAACCGACTATGTTCTCACCGCAGCCAGCATCGGGATCGAGGAGGTGTATTTCCATCTCGGCCACCAGAGCGAATATTCCGCGATTACGCCTCTACGGTACAAATACGAAGGGGAGCAATTGACTGCCGGGGTTAGGGCCAATTTCTACTCGCATTTGTTCCTCGCCTTTGTCGTTGCTGGCAACAGCGGCCAGTCTCAAAAGATCAGTGCGTTGCCTGCTGCAAACACATCTGACTTCAGCGGGTATGCGGTATTCAGTGGCAGCAAGGAGTCGGACCTCGAGAAGCTTGTGTTCATCGACCTCGCGGTCTGGAATTCAACCAAGGGGCTCCATAATCCCTCAACCCTGTCGTCCACGGACTCAGATGCTGTCTCATCTGGCCATAGACCACAGCGCAATGGTATTGTGGAGTGTGAGATTCTTCGCGCGGAGGCAGTACTCATACAGAAAGCGTGAAATGGCCCCACGCAGGTCATATATATATCGTGCTTCGCGCAGACAAATATCGAAGATTAAGCACAGCTCTGTGCATGAATCCTTGGCAGTGGGGGAGTAAGAGCAGGATGGTCTATGCGCGTATAAATCGTTGTATATGCAGGGATGCAGCAATTCCTTGCAACCTTGTAAGTAAACACTGAATAAACACCGGGATGTAGTTGCAGCTCGTTAGCCGATGGTGGCTTCATTTCAAGTCCCGTGGCAACATTCGAGAAAATACACGAATCTGGATGGAAAGAAAAAGTCAAGAGGTTTTGGACAGGCTGTCTGCAGACTATTTACAAAGTGGATAAATAATTTTTATTGTTTTTATGTATTGCGAGTGGGGGGTTTTATTTTTCTCTTCAGTAAGTCCCATCCATGACGTGATCGAGCAGGATATGTATGAAAATGCTCAAAGAATAAGTCACATCGGTTGCCGAGTCGGGGTGAGGTGATATCATATGGGAAGTTTTTGTCAACGCGAGTGAATCCTGTAGTTTATTTACGCGGACAAGGAATTGTTTTCTTTTCGACTAGCAATCCTGGTGAAGCCCCCTTTTCCGTCTGCAGTGCAGCCCTAACCCGGTAGGGGATAGATGCTCCACCCGCACGCAGGCTTCCAGCATTAAGGAACTAAATTAGTACAACAGGATAGAAAGATACTGCGCCATCGGGCGCGGCTTGGCCCCACCACACAAACAAGATATACAGTAGCCGTGTGGCCCCCGGGGCACAGACACGCGAACCCATATTGGCTGAAATGAGGTGAGCAAAACCCCCACAGTGCACATCCAAGGCCAATTGCGCCCGAGGGCGGCGGATAGGCATGGGGGCGCATTTCGATAATTGGGAATTGTGAGGATAATTTTTAATGCGGGTCGTCATTTATATCGAGCCAGGATCGCTGGATCTTGCATTTATTCTCTCGTCGAGTCCTTTCACACGACGACTCGACCCACCATGTGGCGCACCATGCCAATGTCCCCAGCTAGGTGGAGCTCCCGCGTCTACCTCTGCTTCTTCATTCTGTCTTGGTCTCTGATATCCGAAGCGGCTTATATCGACTCGTCATGCAAGGCGGTGAAATTCGACAAGAATGGGGACATGGGACCGCATGATGTGAGAAATACTATCGACCAGGCTGTGAACCAAGCAGGAGATATGAGCGAAGAGGCGGTGTCCCTCATGGACGATTGGAGGAGAAGCAAAGCAACAAATACTCAGGCAAAAGATTATGAGACACTATGGTTCGACCGCACGAGAACTATTCTCACGTACACTGCGTTCTATGGTCGCGCTTCAACAAGGTCTTCCAAGCTACCGGAAGATAGGCGGTGGAGGGACCTAAGAGGTTTGTGGCTCCCTATAAACATTCCGAGAGAGACGCTTTGCTAACTGGCCTGACTAGGCAACCTCTACTCACTCCGGTCATGGGTGAAAGGGTCCAAAAGGTCCAACCAAGCCTCTGCGATCTACTGCGGTGACGACCACCTCGAGAAAAAGAAGGGCCCGACGGGTAGAACTCAATACTGGGGTGAGTAGTGATCGAGACATTGGTGAAGAGGTTCGGTGTTCTAACAAACCCGATAGACACGGTCATTAAAGAATTCTGGCCGCCTGGTAAGAAGGCATGCCGCGATCGCCCAAGAGCAGAGGGAACCCATAGGACAATCTCAGAGAATGGGAAAAAATACATATTGATCTGCCCGACGATTTTTGCCAGCACTATGCAGCCCACACTAGACAAAGAAAGCCAAACGCGCGACTGGAGCCAGAAGAAATACGGCGACAAGCGTGATCTTGAATCGTGGAGAGTCAACTCTCTCAGCGATGCCCTTCTTTTCGATCTGACAGAGTACCTCCTTGGCTGTAGGTGCCCCCCCCCTCCACTGCCTCTTGTTCTTTTCGGGGGTGTTTCACTAACTCTTCTTGTCAATAGATCAGGTCCAGCCCATTTGCGGCACAGTATCCCGTTTTAAGCTGCCCGACACTGATGAAGCCATGGGTTACGATGGTTGCCGCGCGCTTCTGCGCCAGAATTGGGATAGAGATTCGAATCCAGTGTCCGCCAATCCTGACTCTCTGGTCCTATTTGTTCGAGGTAAGCTGGCTATGGCCCTCGTTATTGTTTTCTGTCTTCTAGGGAATGCTATTAACAAAACATTGTAGCCCTGTGGATGTATAGAAATGATTGGAGCTCAGGCATAGCGAGGAGCGAGAATGATCTCATCGCAGCAACGGTACTGGGCGATTACGACCATGTCCTGAACGATGAAGAGCCTGGTCCGGGCTCAAAGTATCTCACGAGATACCCTGCTCCGAAGATTCCTGGTGTGTCGAAGATTACGAAGGATTATCCGTTTCAGTATAGACCGAGTATCTCTTATTTGGAAGACAAACTTGGAGGATGGGTTTGATGACTTGGTGTTTTGATGTACAACAGCCTTGAGACGTGACGGCAATGACAGCAGTGAATAGAGACAACTTACGATTTTTATTTCTACTAATGTTTACTTCGCCCATGACTGCCGTAAGCCCATCGAGCTTGCATCTGAAAGTCTTTTTGTCTCAAATCTTCCTCTGGAAATACTTGGAGATTTCTCATTTGCTAATTCCTGTCTAGGATACACATGGATTAAAAGTCTTGCAGTTGTTCCAAGAAGGCGACATCAAATTGGTACCCAAGGCATGTATATCACCTCAACCCCTAACTCCAACCTAACCCACCACTAGCATCGTACCCTAGTTCATGCTCGATGATTTAAGATATACCTTCCCAGCTCCGCAAAGTCAATTGTATCCTCGCCCGTAAGCGCCCAATCCGGATTGTTGAATAAAGAGTGATAGGAATTCCCCGAATTCTCCATGGACATGTTCATCGCCGGGAGCTCGGTATTGAGGGAGCCATCCTGGTTCTCTGTCTGTGGAACCCACAGATGGTATATACTATCCCAAAATTCTGTATCCAGGATATCTGGTTGGGTATTTGAGGGTTGTGCTGTCTCGGAGACCTGTCCTCCAGATGTTTCAGGGTTGGCCTGTCTTCTTTCTTGCTGCTCAGTGGCAGATAACAGGCCATCTAGTGTGTTTGAGCCATAAATGCGTGCCGTGGATCTGTTTTGGAATGCCGAAGAAACAAAATGGCCATTCGGCATCTGAGGATAGACCGGCAGATGGGACCACATGTTGTGGATCTCCTTGAGCCTATCCATGGCAAATGGGTTTCCCCGGTCTGAAAGATACTGTAGAGTCTCAAGTGCATCGTTGAGTCCGGGTGAAGGATTGATCTTTTGTCTTTCTTCGCAGGCTGAGTCGAATATTGCGGCGAGGATCATGATAAATGCCGCGGAGAATGTCGCATCGAAATCGAAAAAGCCAAATATTGCTATGTCATAAGAAGACAGGAATGTCAGAGCTCGGGCTAATTGAGAGTTTTGCGAGTTTGGTACCTAATAAGTTCTCCTTTCTAAGTGCAATGACTACCTCCAACAGTCTCCTTGCTGCTTCGGTACAGGTCTGAGAAAGTCTCCCAAGGGGAGAGTTAATGAGATCTGTACTGTCTGGCTTTGTTCCGCTCAGGATTAACCGGGCCACGTGTAGCATTATTGGTCGAATAGTTAACAGAATAGCCTGGTTTGCCATGTCAGCCGCCATCGAGTAATTATAGGCAGAAGATGCACATAGAAAATCCACTATGGAGCATACCTGGTAAAGCATAAGATGGAGATATGCTGACGTGCGGAGGGACAGATTTGGGGTCAGGTTATCCACGTTCTTGGTTAAATCCGATGGTATTTCAACAGAGATTTCGTGCAGAGATTTGACGATGGCTTGGACATTGGGCACGAACGCCTCCTCCGGTTGAAGGTCTCGCCCATAGAGAGCTATGATAATAGCAGTTAGATCAGGGTAGTAATTTCCTAGACACTGGGTTTGTCATACTTGTGATAATCCGGCCTGTCACCCTGGCAATCTGAATATTCACGCGAATCGGTGCGGCAGGTGAGAACCCAAGGGCATTTGCCGGCATGTCCAACTCTATGGCCTCGTCGCTGATACTGGATGGGTTTCCTGTGGCTGCGGCTAAACGTCTGCAGTCAAGTGCATTGGTGAGTTAATAGTCTTGAAAGGCCCAAGAGCAGCGATGGGCTCACCTCTCTTGTATGTAAATCGTCCACCACAGGCGGTTGAGGTGAACTCTCTCCGAGCGTAGAAGATGCTTCATCCGAGAAAAGCGATGGAAGCCGTGTGACACCGCAATGCGCAAAGCTGTACTGATCTAGGGGAGTGTCAGGATCGAGATGACCAAGACAATAGGCTGGGTTGAACGCACATAAATATAAGCCTCTTCTTTGCGACTTGCATTCTGGAGATAGACCGCAATCAACCCAAGAACCTCAACGCCAATCCTTTCATGGGAGTAGAGTTCACTCAGACTGGGAAGAGCCCTGTGAGCATAATCGAATAGCGAGGATCCCGGCATTGGATCACCGTCAAAGTCACCTCCGAAAAGCTTCCCGATTGCAAACACAAGAATCATCTCTAAGTACCAAAGAGCCGATGTCCGCGTAGGATCCGTTCGATCGGCGAAGAATACACCCAGTCGATCCGAGAAATCACGAACGTCGAAATGATGCTGCGTCTGGCCGATAATAAGGTTTACCACGCCCAAAAGCCGATATGCCTCATCCTCACTGGGAAATTGTGGGTATCCGAGGCTCCCATGCTGAGTGGGATGCCAGGAGGCCAGTGATGCTTGACGCCTTTCCGACATACTGGTGTCTGACGGGGGCGGCGTTCTCTCATATGGCGGTGGCCTTGGGTTTTCCAGTAGATCTTGAACTCTCGAGCCGAAAATATGGCTGGAGCTTAGAGATGCATCGGCGGCGATGACTGGAATTCTTAGTTGGTCTCCCCCCAAGAATGAACAGTTCTCGCCATACCTGATTGTGGAGAAGGCTGGGTGCTCTCGCCAACCGGTTGTCTCGGTGATTCTGCAAAGTCACTGTTTTCAGATTGTGGGATAAAGCCTCTACCCGAGAGGATTCTGCTACTTGAACTTCCTTCAACTTGGGATATCCCCGTTGGACTGAATGGATCAGATCGGTGCATGTCAACTGAGATTCTGCGGCCATCCTGGTCACTGGCTTTTGGATGTCAGGATATACTCCAATGCTATAAGAGCAATGCACGACAACCGTACCAGTGTGAGTTTGGGGAGTTGATTTTGCTTTCTCATACTGTGCCAGGCGACCTTCAAGCTCTTCGATGCGTCTAAAGTAGCCCGTTAATGTAGACTCTAACAGGACAATGGCAGAACAAAAGACATACGAGACGAAATAGTCTCTTTTGGGAGCTGCATCTGGGACAGTGCAATTGAACCCTCGCCGGCTACAATAATCACAAGGAGCCGTGCCAGAGCACTTGACCTTTTTCTTGCGACAGGTGAGACACCTAAGAGAGTCAGCACAGTTTCCCATTGATCCTACCCAATTCCATTTGATACTTACGCCGACGGGGTCTTTGGAGGACAATCTTTGTTCGCCAACATCCGTGTCGCGGTGGCGGACCGCCGAGTAGACTGAGGCATGGTGCAGAAGACAGCGGATGAGTAAAGGGCGAAGATAGAATTGGCCCCATATGCCCCCTCTGATAAGAGTGCATTGACAGTCACCAAACGACCCACTTTCCCCGGGTTTGGTTTCGGCGTGGGTCTCCGGTTATCGCCTGTTTGCATTACGTAAAGATGCATCTATGGCTATCGAAGATAATATATCCATGAGATAGTAAGGTTCAGAATTTGATTGAATATACTATGCACAGCCAATGCAATCTTCTTTATGATATCAATTATTATTGGTCGCCTTCCATCGCCTGTCTTGCGTGTAAAGACCCATTGGCGAGAGGCACGAATCCCAGCTTCTTCGCATCGCCCGTTCCCTTACTATCCACACCATCCGATAGTACGGATCCATATCCTCCGCCACCAGGTGTGCAGATGCGCATCCGATCGCCAGCTTGAGCATAGAAAGTGGCCTTGCCACCCACATTAATCACCCGCCCATCTTCACGCCGGAACCAAAGATTCTGACCGCGTGCTGCCGGGTAGCCGCCAGCCATGCCGTATGGTTGAAAAGCGCGACGCTCAGATAGAATACCGACGTGCATGTTAATCAAGAATTCAATCTCACGAATGATGCCATTGCCACCACCGTATTTCCCGCGCCCTCCACTGTTCGGCCGCAGTGCAAACTGCCTCAGTAAAACTGGATAGCGGCGCTCGAGGATCTCGGGGTCGGTGATTCGTGTGTTTGTCATATGGCAGTGCACACCGTCCTCACCCTGCCAGCCCGGCCCTGCGCCACTACCCCCGGCGACAGTCTCGTAGTAACCGAAGCCTGGATCTTCTGGAGTCTGTGGTAGACCGAAGGTAAAATTGGCCATGCAGCCATTGCTGGCGGCGCAGGACTCAAAGGCCTTTAAGATGACATCGACTATTCGCTGTGTGGTCAGTCCATTGCCTGCAGCCACGGCTGCGCCTGCGGATGGGCTGAGGAGGGAACTGTCGGGGATGATGATGTTGATGGGCAGAATGCAGCCTTGGTTTAGTGGAATGTCGGCATTGACGAGACAGCGGAGGGTGTAGATGATGGCCGAGTTGGAGACGGCAAGGGGCGCATTCCAGTTGCCTGAGAATCACCAATCAGTACTTTGGCGCTCTGAAACATTTTCTCTGGAATAATGCGGGTGGACATACCGTGAGCCTGTGGATCGGTCCCACTGAAATCAAAGTCGGCTCTTCCAGTCTCTGGATCAGTAGTGATTCTGAGGTTGAGTCTTGTTCCATCATCCATGAAATCTTCCGCTTCGAATATATTGCGCCCCTTTGCGCGGCAGATTGACTTGAGTGTCTCGGCAACCGCACTGGCAGATGCTCGCTGCACTGCGGCCATGTAGAGCTGTCGACCATTTTAGCTACAGCCAACACAACAGGATGGCATATGATTCTGTTGGTTAACTCACCAGTACTGTTTCAAGAGTGTACTCTTGGATGAGCCTGACAACCAAGGTCGAGCCTTTATTATTTGCCGCCGCCTGCGCCTTGATATCTGTCAAGTTGTCTTGATATGTGCGCGTTCCTTGACAACCTGGATAGCGAGCAGGGTCTTCGAACATGGCCTTCCAGACACGCTCCTCGTGGAACACCCCATTTTCAACAATCTTGAGGCTCTCGATAATTGCCCCTTCTTCCCATAATTCCTTGGAAGTTGCAGGCATGGACCCAGGGACAATCCCGCCGACATCGGCATGGTGTCCTCGCGATGCGGTCCAGAAGATCACATTCTGTCCCTTGTCGTCGAAGATTGGCGTGATGACTGTCAGATCCGGGAGATGCGTTCCTCCCGCAGAGGGTGAATTAGACAGGAAAACATCCCCGTCCTTGATGTCGCCTTTCCAGTGCTCAATCTGCCATTTCACTGAAAAAGCCATGCTCCCTAGCATAGCAGGAACATGCGGTGCAGTTGCCACTAAGCCTCCATCAGCGGAGAAGATAGCGCAGCTGAAGTCCAGTCTCTCTTTGATGTTGGTGCTGACCGATGTCTTTTGCAAGGCCCGTCCCATCTGCTCTGCAATTCCCATAAAACGATTAGCAAAGACGGATAGTTGGATAGGGTCCTGGTTATCCGCAGTCACGGTTGGGGGATTGGTGTTGACATCGATGACGAGCATTGAGGATAATGTAGTGGACGTGCATCCCGGCGAGATGATGATGGTCTGTGTATTGTCGATGACCGCCGCAGGACCAACAATCACATCTCCAGGGAGAAGATTCTTGAGGTGAAACAGTGGTGCGTTGATCATACCACAGTCTTTGAAGAACATCTTGGTTGTCTGCTTGGACGAGGCAGGTCGTCTGACCTTGAATGTGCCCAATTCCCGCAGGCCGACCTTATCCTCTGACGATGCTTTGGCGGTTGTTCGAACTCGAATATCGTCTACCAAAATGTCTCTCCCTGTCGGCGTGAAACCAAATTCTTGGTGATGCTGACGGACAAAGCCTTCTTCAAAATCCAGGGAGTCCTCGGGCTTCTCGATCATGAGTGATGTGTCACTGCCCTCATATCGAAGGTTCAAAAAGAAGCTAGAGCTGGTATATCCACAAGTGGGGTCCATCTGCTGGATCGACTTGACCGTCTTCAAACGGAGCTCTTCGAAAACTGACTGTATGTGAGGCAGGACTTCAGGCGACAGAACCTCGGCGTAGGGAAGTCTCTCTTCTTGGACAGTGTCTGCCAGCGCCATCCCATATGCCGAAAGCACCGAGGAATATTTGTGCACCACCACCCGCTCAATGCGAAGGGCCTGTGCGATATCACAGGCATGCTGGCCACCAGCACCACCAAACGCAGCCAGAATGTGGTCCGACATGTGGTGTCCCTTGGCTTCTGTGAGAGCTCGAATCGGCCTGCACATGGCTTCATTTGCAACGGCAATGAAACCATCGGCAACCTCGTATGTAGACAAGTGCGTACCCTGGTCGCGATTGATTTCCTCTGCTAACTCTGAAATTTTGTCGAACGACGCCTGGAAATCAAGCGGTTGGTCCTGGGTCTCTCCAAAGATTGCCGGGAAGTATTCCGGCATAATTCGACCCAGGACAAGATTGGCGTCGGTGACAGTGGCCGGTCCACCCTTTCGGTAGCAGGCTGGGCCAGGGTGTGATCCTGCACTTTCCGGACCGACGGTCAAGATACCCTTTCGCCATGCCAGAATACTGCCTCCTCCAGCTGCCACGGTGTTGATATCGAGCTGTGGAGCCTGCACAAATACACCCGCGGTCATAGCCTCGAAAACAAGCTCAGGCGACCCGGCGTATCTCGAGACGTCTGTCGACGTCCCACCCATGTCGAACCCAACCACGGGGATAGGCTGCTCGGGCATAAATGTTGTTCTGGCGTAGCCAATGACGCCACCTGCGGGTCCAGAGAGGAGCGCTCTCAAACCAGACAGCCTCGCAGGATGCACCAGTCCTCCGTCGGACTGCATGATTCGCCAGTTCATTGCTTCTAGGGTTTCCTCTTTCACGCCTGCCCTGAATCCCTCGAGGTAAGATTGAATTGCGGGGGTAAGGTACGCGTCTGTAACCGCAGAGTTGGCACGCGGGAGCATTCGAATGGCAGGCGACAGTTCGCTCGAGATCGAGATTTGGGTGAAACCAACTTCTTTTGCCGCCTTTGCAATAGCCTGCTCGTGATGGGGGAAGGTGTACGAGTGAAGCAGGCAGATGGCGATACTGCGGAAGCCTTCATTATAGGACTCTTCCAGAGCCTCTCTAGTGGCTTTCATGTCGAGTCTTTCCACAATTCGTATGCGTTCACCAGATATCCCGTCGACTACATCTCCCGCATTGAACTGGTCCAGGGACTCGCATGTTTGGCCATTCGCAATTGCGTAGTCGGGCAGTGCGTCCCCTCGTTTATAGGCTGATGAGCCGTGCAAAGTGACGCGCTCGGGCACTTCCACAACCTTGCTATAGAGAGGATCTGGTCGCTGGACATTGAGCGCAAACATCTGAGGCCGGGATTGGTTGCCAATTTTCAGCAGGTCCTGTTCTTCTGTTAGCTTGAAGAGCTCGAGGATCCTGAAGATAATTCAACAGTACCCGAAAGCCTCGCGTAATGAATAGAGCTGTTTTGGCACCTTGTCGCTCCAGCAGTGCGTTTGTGGCTACTGTTGTGCCCATTCGTAGAGATTCTAAGTCATCAGTGAATGATTGTCGTGGGGCTGGGAGGATCAAACACCTACCGATTCTACTCAAATCAAGCGGAGTTCCCCGTGGCATGCGCTCGCCGTGGATTTCTTCCAAGATCCGTCTGAGAGCTTCTATTGGGGCATCGTCGTAGTTTTCTGGATCTCTCGAGAGAAGCTTGAAGACCTTTTCGGTTCCATTAGGATAGAAGACCACGACGTCGGTGAAAGTTCCCCCACGGTCTGCAAGTTCCGATGTCAGGGAATTGAATATTGCCCAAGGAAGCTGCGATCTTACCTATGGCGACCTTGACGCCTTCAAGAGGCAGTTCATATTGTATAGAGCCCATATTGCTGTTCTCCCAGAAGTGATTGGCTCTGACGAGAAACTCCCAAGACTTTCACCGATTTGCCGATGTTAACAACTTATATATTAGCATCCAAGAAGCCTTCTGATCGTCTTCCCCGATACACGTCATCTCGTGGGCTGTCGTTTCGGGTTTGAACCGGAGACAATCCCCGATACGCTTTATCTCGGAAGCGGGGAACCGACACGCACGCGGGAGATAACTACATGCGATAGCGGTATCTCGTCTATCGGCCCCATTTCCCCAGAATTCCTTCCTATTGGCGCGGTGCTATGACACAAGGTACTGGGAGGCAGCTATCCCCCAGCTATTTATTTAACTCGACCAGAAGATGATCCTGCCAAAGCCCCATAGACCTGACCTCGAGTATCTATCGTGAACACAGGCACTACATTTTTCAAGTTTGCCCATTCAGTCAGTTTTTTGAGTTGCATCCACATTCGGTGTCAGCAAGATGCGCTTTGGGTTCAACGCCCAGGACCGGTCTTCACCGCGCGAGGTGTTCAACTGGCGGCTGTTCTGGGTCATCATCGTCGCCGCTGGCGGGTCTGTCATTTTCGGCTATGATCTTGCTTTTATCGGTGGTGTCTTCTCTCTGCAGTCCTTTATTCGTCGTTTTGGTCTTGCTTCGCAAAATGCAAGTGCCTTGCAGGCGCATATGGTCAACCTCTGTACGTCCATCCATGGATGTGTCTGAAATTATCACATTCACATGAGCTAATCTAGATCTTCACTCATTCTCAGTCCAGGGGGTGCCTTCTTCGGAGCACCCCTATTCTACTGGTTCAACGAGCGCTTTGGACGCCGGAGGGCTCTTATGCTGGCTGGGAGTGTCTTCAATATCGGTGTCATTGTCCAGATGGTGTGTCAGGGGAATATTCCTGCATTCTACTTTGGCAGATTCCTGAGTGGGCTCGGTGTTGGTGGGACGACTTTCGTGGTCCCCAATTATCTTTCAGAATGTGCCCCGGCAGCTGCCCGGGGTGGCATTGTTGGATGCGTGAGTTGATCCTACCTTCAATGGCATCCCGACTCTGCTGGTTCTAATAATCTCTGCAGTTTGAAATCGGGGTACAAGTGGGTACTATCACAGGGTTTTGGATTAACTATGGAGTGGAAAAACACGTCAGTATCATATTGCCTGATTCATACCCAGTTGAGCTGACTGTCTTCTACAGGTTTCCTCAATTACGGATAAACAATGGTTCATTCCCATTGCGTTCCAGTTTATTCCGGCAACATTGATGATGATCGGTCTGGTCTTTCTGAGAGAAAGCCCTCGATGGTATTTCCAACAAGGACGGCGAGAGGAGGCCATCAGGTCTCTCACCTGGCTCCGGAACCTTCCTGTGGAGCATCCCTATGTAGCCGATGAACTCGCCGACTATGACCGTCAGCTGGAGTCCGAGCTCTCAATTACATCGTCATCGGGAATCCGAGGAATCATCTCAGAGACATTTACCAGGAAAATGGCCCCACGGCTCGTCCACGGCTGCTTGCTCATGATCTTTCAAAATAGCATGGGAATCAACGCTATGAATAACTTTTCCGTCACATTTTTCAAAGTGCTGGGATATCAGGGAGCGGTATGTTTTCTCTCCTGCGTTTCTTGGTCTCTCAATTACTAACATTATCATTGCAGTCTGCAAAGCTCCTCTCGACGGGCATCTACGGCATCGTCAAAGGCGTGTTGGCAACCATCACGTTCTTGTTCCTGGCGGACCGCTTCGGCCGTCGCTCTCTGATTTTCGCCGGCTCCGCTATATGCGCATTCTCGATGTATTATGTGGCTGCATTCTCTGCTATCACAGATTCTTTCCATAGCACCAAGCAACCTGGGGCAGCTGGCAAAGCCGCAGCAGCCTTTATTTACTTCTATGGAGCTGGATACGTGAGTGCCATCAATCTCTGACATTGCAGAGTTCTTCTTTCAGAGTTTGTTTATTTTTGTTTTAAATTAATACTGACTTGAATAGTCCATTGGGTGGAACATGCCCTGGGTCATTGCCGCAGAGATCTTCCCGAATCGCATCCGCGCGTTCTGCATGGTGCTTACCACTTCGTCCCACTGGCTGGGCGAGTTCTACGTGAGCTATGCCGTGACGTACATGTTCGACAGCATTACCTACGGCACATTTATTTTCTTTGGCTCTATGGCCGTTGTGGGTGCCATCTACACTTATCTCTTTGTGCCAGAGACGAGTGGCGTTCCCCTCGAGCATATGGATGTCTTATTTGAGGCTTCTGGGCTTGCACCTCAGCAGATGAAGGAGTACAAGGCTTTCCTTGCGAATCAAACTGACACTCGCAATCTTAAAATTATTGAGATGACTGGGCAAGATGTGGCTGCGACTGAGGATCAGGTGGGTGATAAGAAACAGGAGCATTGCCAGGTTTGAGTCATCGCCTTCTTGCTGTTAGCTTATAAAATGAGCAATATAGCTTTTATACCTGTTATTGTATAGTCAATATGATCTTAATTCTTCAAATATCACTCTGGTAATTGATAAAAAAATCACCTGTCATGAAAGTCTGGCTATATCCAATGTTCAATCCCTATTCATTCTCCGGGTGGACAGAGCTATATCTCTTTTGATCCCTTGACAGTAGGCACTGCACGGACAGCCTCCACGCCACCTCGAGCAATCAACGAGATATCCTGTTGCACAAGCATAAACCTCGCCCTTAGCTCATTAATCGCCCAGTCCTGGATCGCCGGTTTATCATAAATTCCAGCAATACCAAAGATCTTCTCACAGGCACGACACGCCTTGCTCACAGTCTCAACTGCCCTTCTATATGTGTCACTCTCAAATTGAGCCGGCACTCCAAGATCGATAGACAAATCCAGCGACCCGATCAGGATAACATCCACACCATCCACAGCAGCAATTTCCTCCGCGCGTTCAACGGCCGATCGACTCTCGATCATAGCAAATACAGTCGACGAAAATTTATTGCTTTTGCCGATAATCTCCTCTGGGGTTTGCGGCTTCATTTCAAATTGCGGAAGTTGTCCAGTCATCGAGCGACAGCCCCGAGGTGGATATTTACAGATCCGAACAGCTTCTTCAGCATCGGCTGTGGGGTAACATTTAGCAAGACGGAGAACTTCTTTACTTTTGAGCCAGCCTTCTAGCTCTATTTCTTATGGGGTCTTTTCTTACTAACCTGCTGAATGGATATGAGGAAAGATAATTCCCATGGCACCCCCATCCAAGATACGCTGGACGAATCCATTGCCGCATTGATGCGGCACGCGTACGAACGGGGTGATGCCAGCCAGCAGGCCAAAATGACATAGGTTCCTTGTCTCCTCCAGTGAGAGCCAGCCGTGCTCCAGATCAATAAATAGGGAGTCGAAGCCTGCGTTGTGGGCGATCTGGACGACTTGGGTGTTGGCTGAGACTTTTATGCCGAAGGCTTTACAGAGCTTGTTGGATGCTGCGCTGGTTTGGAGTTTGTTGCTGTATAGAGTCATTTTATGAGACGTGGTTTGGATATAGTTTATGCGAGCTTGTGTTTAGGGATTTGTAGCTGGTGGCTGGTTTGGTTCGGATTTCTTTGCGTTCGCTGACTGGAATGGGTAGGTAGTATGTTGTTCTTTTCTCAGAGTGCGAGCTTGTTCTGGTCTGTTTTCTTAATTTCTGGGAGTTTGGAGTCGGTCGTTGATCCCGAAGCAGTTCGGCCGACCCCCCGAGTGAGCGTGATAGATCTCGGGCGACATGACCGGCAACGACCTATCTTCTATCTGTGCGGAGGAGATCTGAAGCTTTATTACAGTTATAAATTCGCATGACACACTCCATTTGCTTGCTTGGTGTTTACTGTTTGGATCAAAGCCTCCCCAAAGGCACAATATAGAGTGATGTTGAAGCCCTCAAGCCGGAGGATTAGCACAAGAATCTTAGAAACAAAGAATAATGAGATGTTCTCGTAATAACTATTTATTTGGTATTTCGAGCCAGAATTACTCTTTTGGCGGTATGCATCGTCCCATACCCTTTGTTAGCTCGCTGCCACATACTTTCCTAAACCCCTGCCACCACCTCCGAGCCAAGGTGCATGATCTCAGCAACCTCCTTGTCAATCAAAGGTCCTGAGTATTCCTTCCTTGCGCGCACAAAGTACCATACAGCACTCAGGATCAGAACCCCGCCAGTGACGACAATACTATAGTTCATTGTCGTGTAGTCAACAGGCGTTGCTGGTGGCCAGACGCTCCAGAAAATGACAAAGAGCATATACACACAGGCATACATGTTATTTATCGTACCCAGGATACCAGGGACACGCCAGGGGCCCCATATCAGTGGTGCCTGCGCAACATCAAGCTCCGGCGGGCGCGAAGTACTCTGTGGATCTCTGTCGCTTTGGGAAGCCTGGACTGGGACGGGGCCGGAGACCTTCTCAGCAGGGGTTTTTTGTGGCATATGGGCAGATGGTATTTCTTCATCGGCGGTGGCGGCGGGGGGATAGTGGGAGCTGCACTCGGAAGACCCTGGATAACCGTCTCATGGGGCAGAATATGGCCCCTGATGCGGTGGTAGAGGAGAAAGGCGCTTGGGAGAAAATAAGAGCTGTAAAACCCGGTGACCGTCAGAGAAATGACGTCGTTGAAGGCCGTCTTCGAGCCGATGTAGATGAGCGTCAGGGCACAGGCAAAGCTGCAGACTACGCAGACAGATACGATGGGCACGCGGGTGCGGCTATTGACTTTCATGAGGAAGCGCGAGAAGGGCACGCCGTGGTCGCGCGCGAACGACCACGTCATACGGGATGCCGTCGCGATGATCCCGACCGAGCAGGCCATCGTCAGCACGATGATGACGGCTGTCATCACGGATGTGCCGGCATGTGACGCCGTGCTGTTATAGAAGATCTGGATGAAGGGGAAGTCGGTGGCCGACTTGAGGACCGTCTTGGGGTCTCCCAGACAGAAAAGCACTGTGAGCATCATCGAGAACCCGAGTGCGCTGTTGATCGACATGCCCGTGATGATGGCGCGTGGGATGTTAAGGGCCGCATTTTCGATTTCCTCCGCCATGTGGACACTGGCGTCGGCGCCCACGAACGTGGCTATGTTTCCGATGAAGCCCACGCAGTACGAAATGCCTTGCGTCGGCCATCCACCTTCATTCAGTGCGGTTTGGAACACCGATGCTGCTGACCCCTTCGGCGACAGTGCGAGTAATGTCGCGGTGATTGCGACAAAGCCTGCGAGATGGATAACCAGCATGGCGATCTCGAATTTCGGCAGATAATTTGGCACCACGACATTGATGAAGATCGCAACAACCACTGCCGCCCACGCTAGCAGCGTATTTTGCCATCGCTCCTGTGCAAAGAGCGGATGGTTTATTATGACCAGGCCTTCGATCATTGACCCGAGGAAGATAGTCTCGGTTGCAATTGTCGCAATCCATGCCAGTGAGGTGAGCCATCCAATAAGATAGCTCGAGACCTTCTTCCATCGTAGGGGTGCCAGCATGTAGACCCAATAATACTGCCCGCCGGCAATGGGCGCCATGGACGCCAGCTCGGCGATGACCGTATACACGGATAGAGTCGAGAGACAGGCAATAATGTACCCGTAGATCGCACCAGCGGGGCCACCATTCTCAAAGGCCTGAGAAAACAAGGTAAGAACGGTTTCCCAGGTAATCAGCTCAGCCATTGCAAATCCAACTATAGAAATGAAGCCAAACCGCCGTTTCAGGACTTGCTTCTTGCCCAGGCGAGCCAGGGCCTGGGTATCGGATGGTTCGGAAAGGTCCACCCTCATGGTGCCTGGCAAGATCGGCCTGATGATGATTGAAGGATCAGACCGGTATACTGGGGTATACAAGCATAGGCAGATACACCACAACCACAGGGGAATACACCAAGCAATGCCCAGGGCTGCAGGGCCGGGGGGTGGGGGGGATTTTAAAAAGACGAAAGTCGCCCGATTTTTCCCCACCCTTCGCTTCGCACCAATGCGGCTAGCGTGGCCGAAAACATCGAAATCGGCGAAATAAACAGAGAATTCAGTTGTATATTCAGGGTAGATAAGTAGCTGCTTTTTGCTTTTTGTAAGAGGTAGCCTCATCCGACCAGTATCAAACACCGGGGTGGAAATCCCCCATCGGGGAAAAGTCATGTCGCTGTCAAACCCTAAGAGGCCTCGGATAGTCTGACCAGCTAATTATGCCCACAACGGGATACGGAGTCCACCGCGTCGGGGATGAATCTTGTGCCGAGGTAGTTCCCTAGCCCTAGCTCTGCCCTTTTTGTCCTTTTTGTCCTTTTTGTCCTTTTTGTCCTTTTTTTTCCTACTTCCCGATCAGCCCTATGGACTATGCACGATATTGAACGGTGAATAAATGGTATTTCTTCGTGGCAGAACAATCAAGGAAACAAAATAAGCGTCTAAATGGGTATCGTCGAGTCCTATCTCATGGCTAAAACAAAATTCATGTAACACCGAAGAGGCTTCAACAGAAGAAAAAAAAAAGGATGAATGCGCCTCTTCAGCCAGTGCCCTTGCCTGGCTTCCGAGCCAAGTCCCGGGTCATAAGCCCGCATTCCTTTATCAACGGGACCAGGCTTTCCAAGTGTACGGACTTGGTCATAAACAAATCCATGCCAGACCCGATGGCTTCACGTTCGGTGTCGCGCAAGCCGACACCGGGCAGGGCAGCGATCTTAACTGGCGCCTTGGATTTCAACTCTTTTTCAAGCTCGCGTATTCGCCTCGATGATTCAAAGCCGTCCATGACTGGCATAGAAATATCTATAAAGGAAAAAGTAAAGTTAAGAGTCAAAGTCTGTACAATATTTCAAGTATTTGCTTACCCATCAAGACCAAAGCAGCCGAGGACGCATTGACATGGAAAAAGTCAGTTGATGACATCGGGATGGTTCTTATATTCGTCGTCTTGGGTGAGGTCCGGCACAATGAATACTCGGTCATATGGTATTTGCGCGGACTGCGGAGGGTTCCTAACAGCCTTGCAGAAGCTTCGGCCGTACGACATGGTGCATACCCCAACCCATATGTCATGGCGGGAAATGTGATCGGTGTCATCTTGGAGGCTCAAAGTTCGAGTAGCTTCGGCAAGGATGTGCTGTTCGTGTTGGCCAAAAAGTGAGATCAACGCTCGTTGTGCACCCAGTCACAAGGTGCCTAACTGGCAAAATGCAGTCAAGACAGGATCCGGCAACGACCGCGCGGCAAATTCGGTTGACTTGGTACTAAGATCGACATGTTGAAGGGTGTGTGCGTTAAAATGGTTTTGCGGGAGGTATCTCGCAACGTATGTATAGTCAGACTTACTGGCAAAGATAAATTGCAGGAGTAGTTGCCGTCGCAGGTCTCAGGCATGTGGTATACTCACTTATAGGATTCTCGTTCCCCAGAGGTACTGAAGCTAACGAGCTGTTGCTGAGCTTCTGGTAAAGGGACTGGGCCTTGACCTGACATTATGCCGGGTTAAAGCGCAGCAGAGTAACTCCCTTTGATATCACCAGGGATCCGCCTCTATGTCCCGATATTATCTAGTGGCGAATTGGCGATAGCATCTGGGTACTCACAGCGAATGATCGATGACATCCATGGATTCTTTACAAAAAGAAGTTCCGAGCCAAAAAAGTATACTTGATCGGCGCTACCAATATATTTTTGATCTTCACTTTGTCGACTTAACGATTGCCTTGGAGATGCTGAACAAAAATACAATCCAACACTGTTATCTTCCCGGCGATCTTTCAATTGTCTTCTGGACAAAAACAGGTATTTTTCTGGTTTTGCCAAGGAACATCTCATGCAAATCAGTGGGTACCTCCGTGCACTAACTGTTCTGCCGGCAGTATCTGGTTCTAATACACGAATGCCGGAGCACGTGGGCGGTATCTTTACAATAAGCAGGCGGTAGGCTATGCGACAGAGTGTCATGGCCTACAAACGAACTCTTAATTCATTAGGGATGGGCTGCTATTCTATTTAACCACTCCCGAGAATTGCTCTCGACCTTTGCAATTCCAGGCATGGTATAAGCGGCAATAGTAATATGCCTTGCTCCTTGAAGTCATACTAGCACAGGCCCGGGGCATTTACTAAAGTCGAGGGAAAAAATAAGTGAATAATCTACTACTATTTATAATTGTTTGAACGACTAAACATCCGCCCGCGAGACGAAAACGAATGGAGTCGCATCGTGACCCAACGCGTCCTATTTAGGCCTCCAGGCCAACATTCTGCCTCACGTCAGCCTTAACTCGGCTCCACCTGAGGGTTTGCTCCAACATCATACTTATAAGCTCTCTGCAATTCCCCAGGCAGCCTTTGATAGAGCGATGGCTTAACCATATCACACACCCAATAGAGGCAAGTCCATTTCAACATGAATTTCATCCCAGACTGGGTTCTCCACTCCATCTACGGACTCCCAGCGCCAACAAATGGAAAGCGACAAGAGCCCATGCAAATCCTGGCTGTCGGGATCTCCAGATCTGCAACCGAGTCTTTACGCGAAGCACTGCATATCCTAGGTGTCAAGCATGTCCACCATGGCTTCGACACCATCCTCCCACCATCCTCCCTCGAGGCAACATACCGTCTCCTCCAGAAAAAGTACAACACGACACCGAACAGCGGCGACACCAAAAAGTTGACAGCTGAGGACTTTGACACCATCCTGGGAAACTGCGTTGGAGCCAGCGACCTCCTAGCCGCAGAGTTCGCACCAGAGCTAATCGCCGCATACCCCAACGCGAAAGTGGTTCTCAATGTCCGCCGCGACCTGGACGGTTGGTATGCCAGTATGCAGCAGACAATGAGATACTTCGATAAGAATCCCGTCGACTGGGATTGGTGCAAGAGCTGGTTCAGTGCGGAGCTGTTCTGGATTCGGCAGACGATGTGCCGGACCATGATGCCGCGGTTCTTTCGTGGCAGCTTTGAATCGAACGGCAAGTGGGTTTACGAACAGCATGTTGCCTTGATCAAGGGGCTGGGATTACCGGAAGATAGACTGCTCGAGTGGTCTGTGGAGGATGGCTGGGAGCCTCTCTGCAGGTTTCTGGGCAAGGACGTGCCATCTGGAGAATTTCCGAATGGGAATCCGCCCAAGGCGTGGGCAGAGCGGATTGCCCGGACAATGGAGGCTCACCACAAACGGGCGATCAAAAATATGCTTGTGTTTGTGGCGTTTTTGGTTGCGATTTCAGCGGCATTCCTCTCACTTTATCTATAGGATAACCAAGGGTGTGGGCTTTATTCTTTGATCTATATCGTACCATTTCAACCGGCAAATCCCAAGGTAACTCAAGCACTTCAGCCAAAGGCCTATGTTTATAATTGGAAAACAGACAGAAAGAACTTGGTATTGTCTAGAAGAATGTGCAATTTGTTTTATATACAATGGGCGATAGGCATCTTGATCTATAAGAAAAACAAAAACAAAAACCACAAGTCTATCTTTCGCCACTTGAAATAAGTGGCATCCAAGTATAAAACGAAACGAAACGATTGACACAAACCCAGTCTTGGTCAGAAAAAGAAATCCATCCACAAAAGCATCTCCCATCTTACTGCGACGCAGCATGGTGGTCCGCAAGGATAGCCTCGGCCACCTTCAGAGACATACCATAGAAGACGGTGGACACGTGAGCCGACACCTGAGTCGGAGGAACAGAGGCATCGATGACACGGAGACCCTGGACGCCATAAACACGGGCGGTAGAGTCCACAACACCACCCATCTCCTTGGGCATCATCGCGCAGGTGCTCACCGCATGATAGTTAGGACGAAAGTTCTTCTGAACGTAGTTCTTCCAGTCCTCAAGGTTGGCATTGTACGGCAGGTTGTCTCCGGGGATGTCCTCTCCGGCATAGTACTGCGACATCTCGCCGGAGTTGGACAGCTGACGGGCAAGTTTCGAAGCAGCAGCCTGGGCCAGCACATCCAGCTCATTCTGGTAGTAGCGCGGGTTGAAGGCGAAGCGCTGGGCATAAGGATCGGCCGAAAGGATGTGGACAAAGCCTCGGGTGAAGGGGATGAGGTCCCAAAGGTCAAAGCTGATCTTGCCCGAGGTGTCCATGAACATTTCTGTGTAGGCCACGTCGTGGTTCAGAAGCCAGTCGCGGTAGTTCTCGTACTGGATCTTGAGCGCGGTGGCGTTGTTGAAGCCTCCGCCCGAGACGGTTTCCTGGGCCCACTGGTCGAGCTTGGTGTTGAGCAACTGCATAGCCTGAGGGGCGTCCCGGCCAAAGGTCTCGTTGAATGTGGCAAAGAATACAGCTTGGCCCTGACCAACACCAGCAGAGTTAATGCGAGACTTGACATTGGTGACAGTCTGGTCCTGGAGATTGAGACCAACGGGCAGTTCAACCAGCTGCTTGATCCTAACGGGATCCAGGACTGACTTCAGACCGATTCCGGACTGCTCCAGAATTTGGGGCGAGATCAGGGCGCCGGCAGCCAGCAGGACCTCATGGCGTGCGTGCACCTCGTACTTGACGTTCCTGTGAGTTCCATATTCAACGCCGGTAGCTTTGGGCCCGGCATCGGTTTGGGTGAACAGGACCTTGCCAACCAGCTGGCCAGTCAAAACAGACAGGTTCTTTCTCTTGTAAGCGGGCAGAAGCCATTCACGCGCAGCATCCGAACGGACCTGGTCCTCGTGCAGTGAGTTGGCAATCATCGAAACACCGTGCGGGTCACCACAGCAAAAGTCCTTCTGGATGGGAACACCCATCGACTTGGCAGTCTTCATGAGCGCCTTGATGATCGGCGTGAAGGGTTCGCCCGTATCGCGAGCGCCGGCGTTGACAGTACCGTTCATGCCGTGACAGGCAGGGTCGAAGAAGTAGCCGGCCTCGACCTGTTTGGAGGTCGGACGACGAGCACGCTCGGCCTCCTTCATGTAGGGCATTAGGTTGTTCCAGTTCCAGTTTTTGTTTCCAAACACCTTTTCCCAGGAGTCGATCTGGACCTTGTGAGGGCGAGTCCAGCTGCCGCCGTTGACAAGGGTCGATCCTCCGAGACCCTTGCCCGAGCGAACGATTTCGGTGCGGTTATGGCTGGCCAGAGTGGTGGTTTCAAAGGCCCAGTCGACTTCGGTACCAAAAATCTCGCCATAGGTGTTGAGGTCTTCGATGATGGGGCCGCTGTTCGACTCGTAATGACCGCTTTCGATGACGAGAACGGTGATATTGGGGTTTTCGGACAGCTTTGCGGCAACAGTCAGGCCAGTCAGACCACCTCCGGCAATGATATAGTCGAAGGTCTTCTTTTCCAACTTGGTGGGGTCGGTGATCAGACTCGACTGGACATCAATCTGCTCGTAGGCCGTGTAGGCATTGGCCATGGAGACCAAAGCTCCAAAGAATAAGGAAAGTTTCATGATCAAAAGAAGTATTTAAAAGGGAGACAAGAAAACAGATAGTGAGAAAGAATGTGAGAAGCCAATGGCTCTTGGCTAGAGGTCTTGAGGTCTGTTGGTCGAAGAAATTCATAGTATTTATATAGTACTATACGCATGCTGTAGAGGAAAAGAGTAGGGGCTCACTCTCGCAAAGCATCCACAACATTTCTCTCTTGGCTTCCCTGAAATCCAATCATGCTTGCTCATCAGCTCACGACAAGAAAGACACAAAGTTTGATTCTGGTGGCCTGATGATGGGCAGTGAGGTTACAACTCGACGTGGAGATCTAGTCTGAACTCTGGCTACGTCCCATCCTATCAGAAACAATCATCTAAACCGGCTGCTATCGAGGACCTTGCATGCTCAGGCTCTTGGCTCACCAGGAGCCTCGACGACTGGAAGACCTGATACTCCCGAGGCTTGGCAGGGCTTGTCTTCCGTCATTGCCCCACGCCTTTCGACTTGCCTGGCTCACCGTTCCCTGTTCCGGTCAGAGAAATAGTCGGTCCGGTAGGATTGATAATATCGGCACGTCTAGCTCCTTCGGCAACCCGTCAATTAAGTTCTGTGGCTAGCCGTGGTAAAAGCGATGCGGATTCTGGCGAGCACCGTGCGTCGGTTGCACTTCGATTTAGCTATCTATCGGATCGCTGTTCGAGACTCTCAAGATTATTCAGACAAAGATCGGTCTCTTCCAGGCACGTTCTGAGTCGAATGGCATCGATGGTTTCCCATTGTGAGTTGTCCGTAGAGACTTTGAGTGAAGCTTCAACACCTCCACTAAACAACGCCACGCATTCAACTCTATCCCAAGAAAAGAAAAAAGCAATTTTTTTTTCAGAATAGCATTACCTTGAATGGTTACTCCCAAATCCAATGCTTGGTAGATTTTAGTGAATCGATTGCGTGGATTCTGCGGGTTTCCACATTGCTAACACCTCTTTCTCTCCAAGTTAGGGTTACTCCTCAGGGGAAAACAATCGAAGACGAGCAAATCAACTCGGGCGCTGTAACTCGTATTTCTGAACGTATCCAAGGTTTGGGCCACGTTGAGAACATTCGAACCAAGTGGAACCTTTATGTTGGCTTTGCCTATCTAACAATGCCGATCCTCTTCACAATATTCGGCCCATCCCTTCTTGGCCCACTCCAACTCCACCAGGGGATCTGCACCACTACTCTTCTCCTGGTCTACCCGCCTACCATTCATAATTCAGCGAGCGCACCCACAGATCGCTGCTCGACTGTAGATGGGAATGCCTCGGCGTCAAATGGTATATACTAAGTACGTATCTACTCCAACGTTGTTTTTCTCACAGACCGATGTATAGTTTGTATAGTTCCGAAATTCGCAACCTCGAATGGATTTCTTTCGCCCGACTCTTGCAGTATGAATGAATCGGTTTTAAAATTAGCCTTCAACCAATCTAATGGACCCTTGATCCTTTAATGTCAGTAGCATACCCGAACCTTAAGGGCCAGGGACTAGGGAAGATCCGACCACGCCACTCGGCCATGTGGTTTCCATATCGTATACTGCATATACGTGGAATAGACAGCAGTTATAACAAAAGCTCAAGCCACCAATGTCTGAGCGGCGATGATACCCACATATCCAGATGGAAATTACTAGGGTACTTTTCGGTCCATAATTTATTTCCCGAAAGTTTTGGCGTGGGTCCAACTATCGATCTTATCTGCCGCGAGCGGCTAACATCAATCACAACAAAAATATTCAGCATCAGAGTTGTGGGTGGATCTTGGTATTACAGGAGTGTGTACTGTCCCGGGGAACGCATGTTAACCGCCACGATCGAGGTACAGGCTCAAACAATTACAGGATCTAATCGACTTTTCACCCTAGCAATTTACTAACTTTGGCAGCTGCACCCTGCGTTGCGGCACAAGGTTTGAAATAGACTACCCAGTCTTTGCGTTGCTTTTATGTCGTTAAGCAACCTGTGTCAAAAGAGTTGTGTGGGCACATTGACATGCTCAAGTGTAATAACAGCAATCTTCTAGACCGCAAATCGTTACCAAGCTTATGCCAAGCTTAAGGCAGGCACATGAACCCTTACTTGAAGAGGTGGTCTGATGTTGATTGATAGTATACCCGACAAGAGTGGGTTACTCCAGTCACTCCAGTCTACTTCCAAAGCCCCGTGTGGGTCCTTGATCCTCTTACTCAAATGCAGCCTATAACCCTATGCAACCCTGATAGATTCACAATGCAAGAACAGTATCAGATGTCTATCTGTTGGCTAGTATGGCTAATATCATCGGGAAGCTTTCGATTGACTTTTTTGGGGCAAAAAAAGCTTTTGGCGATAATTCTGACAGCAGCAATGATCCTCCGCGATGGTGTGAGCAACCCCTGCCGTCCGAGAACCCGTGGCGAAATCCACCTCATTACGAGAGATCAACCCCAGCATCCCCAAGTCCCTCGATCTCCACTCCAGCTTGTACTTCGCCATTTAGATGAATTTGCGTGGGTAAAAGAGGTACGTGTCTTTCCAAAAAGGCTACATGAAACGAGGGGTTTGACATCCCGTGTGGAATAATGTTAAATACCACCCAGAAACCACTAGCCTCCTGTGACAAACCCGAGATTTTCTTGGTACGGGTGGTCCACAACCAATATCGTGCCACGACGGGAGGCTTTCAGCCGGTTATTGGCAACCATGTACGGGAAGTTGATCGAAAACTCACGCAGGAGCCTTTGCTCAGAAAAGGTAAATAGATGCCACAGATGTCATCGTATGCAGGAATGGATGCCATGTGCAAGTGGATATCGAGTCTACTGGTCCAAGGCACTTCTTGGCCTTTTTTGTTTTTTTTGTACTAGATAGATGCTTGAGGCTCTGCCTATATAATTTGCCTACTCGCCTTCCTGCGCCTTGCTCAGTGTCAAGCCATACAGTATTATTTTCTATATCTCTCATTTGCAACTAAAGCCTGGTGAGTTATGTCAAGTTTGCACTTCCCAATCAGGTCTGTCATTCTCAAGTGTTTGCTAACCCTGTATGTTAGATTGCCTCAAAATGGTTGGCTTTAAGCTACCTCTCCTCCTTATCCTGCTGCAGGCAATCTTTGGGTCTGCCTACCGTTGGTTCAACTGGCAGTACGAGGTGACTTGCGAGTCGGACGCGTACGTCACTCCGGAGAGTGAGAATGCCACTGCTTTGTTCCTCAAGCAGCAGTATCCCAAGGGCTCTTTCATCAAGGTTGTTGGAAATGGCCACGGATTCGGCAACCTCACCACCTGCGTCGATACCGCCACCACCAAGACTCCCTCGTACATTGTTTCCCTTACGAACCTGAAGCACCTCAACATCGACAAGAAGAGCATGACAGCCACCTTCGGTGCCGGTTGGGATGTCTTTGATCTCACCAATGAGCTCAAGGCCAACAACCTGTCTTTCAACAACCTCGGTGCTGAGCGTGTTCAGAACTTCGTTGGTGCTACGTCTACTGGTACGCACGGCACTGGCTCTCTGGTGGGCAACATTGCCACCCAGGTCATTGGACTTCGAGTGCTCGACTCCCAGGGTAATCTCCGAATTGTCAATGAGCATACCAACGCCGAAGAACTCAAGGCCTTCCGCATCAGTCTTGGCGCCCTTGGTCTGATCACCGAGATGACCATCAAGGTGCAGCCAACCTACCTCCTGAAGAAGACAACCAAGGTCCTGAACGCCACGAAGGACTATAACAAGATGTACAACGAGATCTCCCAGCTGTACAAAGAACACGACCGCATGACCGTGTGGGGCCCACACTTCGACTGGGACGAAAAGACTCAAGACTGGTCCATTGAGCCCACGTTCTTCGCCTCGTGGTGGGAGCCAACCACCTACACCGGCGTCCACAACTGCACGCTCAACTACTGCGCCAACGGATGCGGCGACTGCATCAAGAACTACATATGCTACGACGAAGTCACAGATGCCATGTCCTGCCCGCCGCAGGGAGTCTGCACGCGCGAATTCTACGCAGAGATCGAGCACTTCTTCCCAGTCGAGCATCTAGCCGAGGCGGCCACCAACTACACGCTGTTCCAGCAGGCCCAGACCCCACGCATGAAGGGACCATACAACGAGCAAATGATATTCCAGCTCCGCACCCTCAAGGGCGACGACTCGTACATGTCTCCTGTCAACACCTACAACCTGGAGCCCAAGAACAGTGGAGTCTTTGCGATCCTTGAGATTGACTGGATCCAGACCTACAACGACTGGAACACGCTCTGGCGCAACCAGGAGCTGGCTTATGAGTTCCTCCCTCACTTCGGTGAGACGTACAATGTTCGCTCGCACTGGAACAAAATGGCCGCGCCGAATGCTACCTACACCTTGGAGCAGTTCCCCAAGTTGCCGCAGTTCCTGGCTATCCAGGAGCGACAGGATCCCAAGTGCCAGTTTGTTAATGACTTCTTGGTTCAGCAGCTTGGTATTACCCGCTGCGCCAAGTATCTTTCCTCGTGAGAGGTCAATTTCGAAGTCGTTTTTACGTCATTGTCAAGAGTATACCTCAAGACATCGACAATAGAGTGTGGGGAGCTAGAGATGGAGTCATCGGGATTGTTGGAGAGTGGTGGGATAGACCAGAGCATCAAGATAGAATAATTCTAGTATGGGATGAGCGGATAAATAGACATTTCTATTTCCGGATGGTGTTACGATCAGTAGAGGCGTATAACTATAGAGCTGTTCACATGGGCAGCACCAGCTCTCAGCCGTATAGTATCCGAGGTGCGGGGGTGACATATCACCTAGGCAACCATTGAAAAGCAGAGAGGGGCTTGCGAGTGATATCTTTCCAAGGATTGTAAACATCAACTATGTGCTATTCCAGAATTTACTTGGGGGCAAGGCTAATAGTGCAATCCGTCGTGGGGTATATGCGGCTCGTGCAAATCCCCCAGAATGAGGACCCTGAGGAATGACAGATCTATATAAACTACTAATCCATCTAGATCTTATTGAAAAAGAAAGGGGGGGGGTTCAAATTTGCAGTTCATGAGATGCCCCCCACATCTATAGATCCAACTCAACCGAGGTCTCTCTCCAACTCCACTTCACACCCCCTCACTGGGGCCACAATGACCCGGAGGCCACGAACAGGGCCCATAAAACAGACATAAAGAATCATAATGCACGCTGTGCGACAAGCAGCTTCCGAGGCATGTCCGACCTTGCATGCGGCGCGAATCGGCCATAAGCTCCAGCCCCGCGATGGGAACTCTCCACCTTCAACCCTTTTCCTTCTCTCTATCACTCGTGAGGATCAAATGGTGCTCTTTTGATGCTGAACACTGCATAAGAGATATTGCAATTGTTTAAATTGACCACATCAAAGTCCGCAATTCTTCATTTGTCCACACAGTTGTCTTCCAACATGACTGCTCCCGATATCCCCCAGAAACAAAAGGCTGTAGTGTTCGACCAGCCTGGGAAGGTCTCTACCAAGGTGGTTGAGATCGATGTGCCTGAGCCTGGGGTTGGCGAGGTCCTGATCAATATGTATGTTCGGTGTCGAGAAACTCGCGCGATAATGACATTTGGGGATAGACTGACGGGCTCTTCTCAGCTCCCATTCGGGTGTGTGTCACTCTGACTTGGGGATCATGACCAACACAGTATGTTTCCACAAGACCCTTTGTCACTCTCTTTTTATAAGTTTCTGACTGTTCCCAGTGGCTTGGACTTCCATATCCGACTCGGCCTGGCCAAGTGGGAGGTCACGAGGGTGTGGGCAAGATAGCCAAACTCGGCCCGGGCACCGAATCCTCGGGCTTGAAAGTCGGAGATCGTGTGGGGGTCAAATGGATTTCTAGTGCCTGTGGAAATTGCCGTGGGTTTCACTTTGGCCTCAAGCAAATGCTTATTCAAGACAGCATAACTGACAATCAACAGAGCCATGCCAGGCGGGATCTGACGGGCTGTGCTTCAAGCAAAAAATCTCAGGCTACTACACACCCGGAACGTTCCAGCAGTACACCCTGGGACCAGCCAACTATGTGACCCCGATCCCCGACGGCCTAGACTCGGAGCAGGCAGCGCCAATGCTCTGCGCCGGCGTGACAGTGTACTCAGCACTGAAGCGCAGCCGGGTGCAGCCGGGCCAGTGGGTAGCGATTTCCGGCGCCGGCGGCGGACTGGGCCATATCGCGGTGCAGCTCGCGAGCAAGGGCATGGGGCTACGGGTAGTGGGAATCGACCACGGCAGCAAGGCCGAACTCGTCAAGGCGTCGGGGGCGGAGCACTTTGTCGATATCACCCAGTTCCCGTCCGATGATCAGGGCAAAGCGCTGGTGAAGCATGTGCACTCGCTGACGGATGGACTGGGTGCGCACGCGGTCATAGTGTGTACGGCTGCGAACGCTGCGTACGCGCAGGCGCCGCCTCTGCTGCGCTTCAACGGGACGCTGGTTTGCGTGGGCATTCCTGAGAATGAGCCCAAGGCTATTGCGACTGCGTTCCCGTCGCATATGATTGCCAAGCACTGGACTATTACGGGCTCGGCTGTTGGGAACCGTACTGAGGCGATTGAAACGCTGAAGTTTGCGGCGAGGGGTATCATCAAGGCTCACTACCGCACAGAGAAGATGGATGCTCTCACCTCGGTCTTCCAGGAGATGGCTGAGGGCAAGCTGCAAGGCCGTGTTGTGCTTGATCTATCGGATTGATTATGTGTAGTATGATTGTATGTATTTAATGACCATGTCAATGCGTTTCTTGGAGGCAGGTAGAGAAATTACGTCTTGGGGCTTAATTCTTTGTTCCCGGCCTTTTTTATTGAAGAATCAGCCTGAAAATATTGAATCTATGCCGGTTGTCGTCAGATGGTAGAATGCTTCGTTTCAGAATTTTCAATCTGCTGCTCAGTATATATATCGGGGAAGACCAAACCCTAACAACACCCCCGGGGGCCAATGCTGAAGTATCTGATACATAGTGCCATTCAAACCAAAGCTAATAATTTTGACAATTAAAAAAAAAAAAAAAAAAAAGGCTGAAGAAGGTCAAAAATGTGAGAGGAAAAAGAAAAAAGTGACCGACGCAGGGGTCGAACCTGCAATCTCTTGATTACCTAATTAGGTTAGGTCGTAGTCAAGCGCCTTTCCATTGGGCCAGCCGGCCAAATTGTTGAAGGTGCCCTACAAATAGTGCATTACCAGGCAAGATGTGACGAGAAGTGCAGTCAATTCATCGCCAGCGAGCTTCAACCCGAGATAAAAACATTCTATCGATTGATACACACACATATGTGTATATCAGGACATATATTCGTGCTAGGTATCTATATACAGCCGATGCAACATGTTATACACAAACTCAATGCAAACAAACTATCCACCCTGTCCCAGCACAACCGAATGCTCCGCCCGAAGCGCGGCAGCATCATTCAACTCAAACCCAAAATTCCACAACTTGCCCACCTCACTGATCTCACTCTTACTCTTGTGGCGGAGCCCGCCGGCGGGGTCATCATTCATGGCCTTGGAGCTCCGTCGCCCGGCATGCTGCATGATACTCGGGGTGACGGCCCAGCGGATCTCGTTGTTGGCATTGGCATACTCCTCGGTGATCACGTCGACGTACCCCAGATGCCGGGCCCGGTAGAGCTCCACGAGATCGGGGACGCGCGCGCGCGGAAAGACGAACGCCTGCGAGCAGCACCCGAATCGCGGCATCTGGTGCACGCCCGTGGGGATGGGCAGCATTGTCACGCGGCCGGCGGCGAAAAACAGTCCGATCATGAGTGGCGTGCAGACTCCTGTCAGGAGCAGGATGGTTTCGTTGGGGAGGTGTGCGTGAAGCTGGGGCCGGTGCTGGCGGAGGCCGAGTCCGACGCAGGCGACGAAGGCGGCTGCGAGGATCGAGTAGGCCAGGTAGATGGGCCAGTCTTGGGCGTTCCAGCCGAGGAATTCTTCTGTATAGAAGAGGCGCAGGTAGAGCCCTGGATGTGGGTATGCTGTTAGCTCTCTGTCGTTTCTTCTGTTTGCTAACGCCGAAAACAAGAGCCACTTACACTTCGACGCCCCAATCTTCTTGGTTTGCTCTTCTGCCGACGCCAGAGCCTGACGCGTGCGATGATACCAGCCATCCTGGGCCACGACATCGTCTTCCAGCATCACCACGTACGGGGCATTGGTAGCCTCGCACGCCTGCAAGAGATACGTATAATCAAAAAGAGCCTTCTCGCGCCCGGAGACGCGCGCCGCATCCGTCTCCAGCGACCGAATATAATCAACATTAACCTTATCCGGCTCATACAGCAGGACGCGGTCCGCGACCTCATGCAGCCACGTCTCATTATACGCCGGGTGTTGCGCGGGATCGGTGTGCGCAATAAAGAGGACGAGATGTATATCCGCGCGCTCGGCCTCGCTCAGGCCCTCAAGCACCGTGCCCACGGTACTTCGAAAATACCGGATGCCATTGCGCGCGATCGAGGCAATCCCCACACAGAGCCCCGGCTGCGGTGACGCCTTCGCGGGCTTGGGCGCGGTGCCATTGTTATTATTCACGGAGTCGATATAGCGATCTGCTTCGTCGAGGCGCACGGCGGAATACGAGGCATCGTAGGCGGTCCAGGGACGAAAGAAGGCCGAGCCGGGGTCGCGGGACGATTGCGTGCGCGTGTAGAGGACGAGCAGGGCGTAGAATAATAAAAAGGAGAGGAACACTCGCAGCGTTTGGGCGCCGGCCCCTGTGTTGCTCGCCCCCAGGATGGGAGGCCGCTTTCCGAGCAGAATCATTGGGGGGCAGAGGCGTGTTCTGCAGACCACGAAACGTTATCGCGGATTGGAAACCGAGACCGCCTTGGATCATCGCGGGCTTGAAGTCTCCGTGCCGATCTTTGCCCATCCCTTAGCCCCCCCCGATGTGCGCTCGGATTTCCGCGTTCGGATGTTAGCCGATGACATGGGCCCCACTTGATCGATCAGGTCTATAGAGCTGGGAGGAGATTGTGTGTGTTCTGATAGTTTCTATCATTATTTTGTGATCTGAAGAAGTTTCTCAGTTTATATTGCAGAATGTTGATCCTGCCAACATTGCATAACCCTATGCTCTGCCTATGTAAAGAATGTTTCGATCCCAACCTATTTCCTGCTGCAGTTGTGTCGCAAACATGCGAGCAACCGTTTAGCCAAAACATTCAATGACTTGGTATCTGTAGCATTGTTTCTACAAATATTCAAGGGTCAAGTAGCTTAGTTGACATTAAATTAACATTGCTCATCCATGGATGCACTTTGGCTTCGTCGTTACCAAATTGGGCACACAACCCTAACTCAATCTGGCCGGCTACTTCATGATTACACTTACTTGAACAGCAACTGTCCTCGAAGACGCCAATTTCTGTTTATTCCAAAATATCTTCGAACAGCCTCCAAGAAAAACAAAGTCGAATCCAACAACACACCACAGACAAAAACACCGAGACCCAGCAAAATGACCATGCGACAGGAAAAGCATCGCGCCCCAGTGATCCTCCGATCCTCCGAAGACTGGCCCAAATGGAGCAGCCGCATCCAAAGCATCGCGGAGCTCCACGCCGTCTGGCAATACTGCAACCCCAGCACCAGAAAGAAAGACCTACCCGTCGACGAAGAGCCCATCAAACCAACCGTGAAATCCGTGCGACCCTCCGCAACAGGGCTCATCGATCTCTCCACCGACGACTTCACCGTGCTGGCCTCACTAGTCTCGGCCTACAAAGCCACGCTAGCCGCACAGCGCAGCACGCAGTGGGCACTGCAGTCAATGCAAGATCTCATCCGTGACTCCGTCGCATGCGAACACCAGCACTACATCGCCGACGCCGGATCCGCGTGGGAGCAGATGGTTGCGTTGGCAGCGGCATTTCAGCCGCCGTCACTGCAGCAGCTGCAGGACGACTGGGACCATCTGCACGTGGTGGGGAGCGTGTCGTCGATCCAGACGTATTTGGGGCTGTGGCAGGCGCTGTTTGCGAAGTGTCGCCGGCTTGATCTTGTTAATACCAGCCAGGCTGAGGCGCTGTTTGAGTCATTGGCCGTGTGGCAGGATCCGGATTCGCAGTAAATGCCGTTGCTTTCTCAGCCGTGGATTGATCGGGAGGTTGCTAAGGCTGCTGCCGTGAAGGACGGGGTTGGTTGGTAGACTGGCTCATGGGAGGTACAGTGTGATGACGGTGATACTTGATGAGGAAGTGGGTTCTTAGGCTGTTTCTGTTACTTTGCAGTGTTTCTGAATTATTTGATGCTTTCATTGCTGTGTGCTTTTGCTATTGGCTGCTTTAGTAATTTCTTATCGGATATTTAATTCTGTAGTCCCAGATATCGAAGGTCCAAGGAATAGATCTCTCAAGTATGGGACACATATGGCAGGTGCTTCCTTTCTACCTAGTTTAAAGTATCCAGAAAAGAACTCGGCGGGAAATCAGATAGACGCATTAAATAGAAACCTACCAAAGCACTATACTAACAGACCTAAGACATCTGCTATAATCTCCGAGTATACCCCGTAAGGACCCACCGGATAGCCAAATGACAGTTTAACCATTTTCTATACTTCATGCTCCAGCCTATTCAATATACCAACCACCATCCAGCACCACCAAGCCAACCCTAATATAGATATCTATAGCACCCATTATCAAGATAACAAAGCATCACTAAAATACAAGCACATGCAACCCAAACTCCAAGTGGGCCCACTCACATCCCCGAAACAGATCCCCCAAACCCACGGTTCGGCCCCCTCGAATCGGGTTAATGCATCCATGCCGAGCGGCCGAGTGACACGACCGGCGTGCAACGCAAACCATAAACCATGGATGCGGTGACCCAAAACCAGAGTGTCGGGTTTGGGAATGACGACAAGTCCGAATTTTGTTGTATGCGTGGGTGGCATGAGGCTCGGCATGAGGGTTTTGGGTTGTGGATGTTTTCTGGTACGATTATACGGGATTGGGAATGGGGGTGCTAGGATCTGACATCATTTTTGGAGTTTCTTTTGTCCGAGGCGACTACGTGGGTATGGAGCCTTGGAAGCAGGGGAGTAGAATGCGTATTATACTAGGGGCTATATTTTTACGGTATATTGGCAGAGTAAGTGAGTTGAATCACATGCGCTGGAATGTATATTCCGATGTATATACGTAGCTACCCAAGTAGCTATACCAAAACAATTGCTTTCGAAAAGGAATGACAAACAAAATGGCAAGACTGATCAAGATGAGGTCGCTGATGGGGGAAAGCAGTAGATGCAGGGGGTATTGCAAGGAATGAACACGATGGCCGCCCAGAATGAGCATAGCAAAGAGTAAGAAAGAAATTGAGAATGAAGAAAGAAAACAAATCATCGACTTCGTTTCGAATTCCCCCCGTTGTTCCCCGCCGCCGGGCGTTTCTGGCCTCCAGCGCCAGCCGCCTCAGCCGCACGAACTAACGCGCCCAGCCGCAGCAGATAGGGCTTGGGTGCACGGTTCACCTCGATCCTGCGCAAGATGTCGCGCAGCTTCTCGGCGAACTGGCGCAGATCCGCCGGCGGCAGAGCCTCCAGCGCATCGAGGACAAAGAAGCCGCTGTCCGGGTCGGTGTCCGGGTCGGCGGCGCCAATCAGCAGATAAAAGACGTTGCGCTGGTCCTCGTCCTCGCCGTGGAAGGAGACCCGGCCCCAGCGGTTGCCATCGAGCGGGTCCTTGTTACGCGCGGCGACGGCTTCCAGAATCGAAACCAGTGCTTTGGCGGCGCCCTCGGAGCCGTGCGGGGCACGCGCGGCGATGTTGGCTCGAATGTGCGTCACGGACCGGCCCAGCTGCGCGACTACCTCGCGCACCTCGACTGCGCCGCCGCCGGGACTCGCCGCGGCGTCGGCCGGCCGCTCGCCTGTCGCGCAGTACCGATCAAAGTCGGCCAGCAGCCGGCGCGACTGCTCCTGGACTTTGTCGAAATAGATAGCGGCACACGCCCCTGCGGGCATCGCCTTGCACAGGCTGCTGAAGACGCCGTCGTCGTGCACCCCCAGCCGGAACATAGTCGCCTCGAAGTCGCCCTGCACGACGCACTGCTCGGCGGTGCGGGTCTGCGTGGTGGTTTCGGCCAGATCCCCGCGGAAATCCTCCGGCAGCGTCACGGGGCTGAACGCCGACAGAATATCCCGGACCTTTTCTGCGCGTGTCATGCCCGCACCGCGCCCATCACCTTCCGCCCGCAGGTACTGCCAGTCCAGTCGGTCTGCCACAGCCTCGAGCTGGCCGTCCAGGAGGCCCTCGATGGGCGGGAGGACGCGCGCGCGGCCGTCGCGGGCCAACACCACCTCCGTCGGTGGGGGCTTCGCCAGGAAGCAGCCATGCAGCTGGTCGAGGAGCCACTGCGCAAAAAGAAAGAACGTCACAATGCGTTAGCAATGATCCTTGAAGCAGAACCCACAAACTCCCTTCGTCAATTGACGGGCTCGGCTTACGAAGATGTGCTGGCACGCCTCCCCCGGCCGGCTCTGGAAGGTCGAGCAGGTACAGCTCAACGAGTCCCGGCCGACGTGCACGCGGGGCCGATCCAGCAACTGGAAGTCATACCCAGAGCGCACAGCACGGCAGTTGACCACGTCAAATTGCCCCGTCAACCCTACCAGAGCCTTGGCCTCGGACTCGGAGTCTAGATGGGTCAGGTCATAGGTAATGCCGGAGCGAGTGCGGATGGTCGAAGCGTTAGTAGATTCGTCATCGCTGTCTTCGTCGTCGCTGTCATCCGCGTCTTGATCGTCGTCTCCTTCCTCCCCCTCTTCCTCATTCTCATCCTCCTCGCTGGAGCTCTCGGCCAGAGAGCTGTCGTCCCCGTCGTCTCCGCGGCCACTCTCGTCGGGAGGATCCCGCCCCGCGCGGGCCGCTCTGGCGTGCTGGGCCCGCGTGTCTGGCATGTTTTGCCCAATGGACAGCCGGTGGAATTGCTTGGTCGGGGCAGACATGGCCGAGCCAGCCTAAAGGGGGAAGAAGGAAAGAAAGAGAAGAAAAGAAAGGCAAAGAGAGAGATAGAGAACACAGTTATAGAGAAACAGGGAAGAGAGAAGTGTATTTTCGCCTGGAAGCCTCAGGAGTTCCGACCCATGGACAGGAGCGGGTACTCTGAACCGTGGAATGACACTCCCGCTTTAAATAATTTTTCATGAGGCTTCCCTCCAGAATTTGCTGGGTGCTGTGCCATGCTGTGCCATCTGGCGAAAGAGAGAGAGAAAGACGGTTCAGGGCCTCTGGGGAACTGTGCCAGTTAGTTTCCCGAGCTCAACCAAAAAAAAAAAAATTCAAATCAAGGCGCATCAAAGCACACCTCAGGGCTTGACTCGCGCAGAACACAGAAAATAATAATAATAATAATAATATAATAAATCATAATCCCAATTCCCCAACGGCGCTTAAAAGCAGAAGAGACAACCTCTCGAGGAACATCCATGGATCTTGAGAGCGCCGTTTAATTATCCATGACATCGATCAGGATCATCGTGCACAGACGTCCACTAATGGGACTATGCGCAAATGAAAGATCTGGGGTTTGGTTGGTTCCTTCTAGGGGGGAAAAAGAAAAGAAGGACAGAAAGAAGAGATGACGGGGTCTGTTCCTGGCCCCAATACAGCCGGTGGGCTGCCGCAGATCAGCCATTCTCACTCCAAGAGGAGGGAAGCTAGTTCCGCTAGCGTCAGATAATGGGTCGTGTCCACCAGAAAATCAATTAAAAAAATGGGGGGAGGAGAGGGGCTTGATCCTTGGAGAGGGATGCTTATACTTCGCCAAAGGTGATGGCCTCAGTGCATGGCCTCTCCCATGCATAGAGGTAGACGCTGTTGGCGAAGGGCAGACATGACGCAAGAAAAGGGGAGCGATGAACGGCCGCAGTGGAGATAGAGAGAGAGTCTTGGCTAGATATGCTGATCAGACAAATAAAATAAAATGCAAATAATAAGGAAAGTTGCGATCGACGTAGACTGGGGCCCTCTTTTTTTTTCTTCCGAAAGCTTTTAGCAACACGTCAATGGCCCTGTCGCTTGGCTCGGCTGATTCCGTTGGCCGCGATGGATTGATGCAATTCCACGAATTCCACTTGGGGGGAAATTCTCGCAAGGCTAAGAGACGTCGTGATCCATGGACAAGAGATAGGGGTTCTGCGCCGTTGGGAGGGAGAAAGGGGGCTCTGAATTGCCGTGCCACCGTCGAAGACACGCGACTGTACCCAGTTATCCGTGTGGAAGAAGGCACAGGGGACCCCCGGTGGACCGATCCTCGAACCATCGAGCACGGCCGAAAGGGCGCAGACGGAGATTGTCACTTGACGTGTAAGGGCCGCGGAAAAAAAAAAAAAAGGCGCATACACTGTCCATGCACAGTAAATGGCATAGACGCCGCAGCATCCTTTTTGGTCTGCAAAGACCCCATGAGGCAGAAGGGGCTTCACTTGCATAGTGCCCCAGGGACAATTGGCGGTGGCTCACCGAGGAGCAGTCGAAGCAGCACGGACCGGAGGCCGGGCACGGCACTGTGCATTCAGGACATCAGGGAGATCAAGGATCAATGAAGCCGCAGTCAATGCGAGTCCCAGGTCATCCCGGGGAGTTTGCGGCACAGGGTCCGAAGTGTATAGTTTTAGTGCATCCCAGTGAGTCACTGCCCTGCTGAAAGTAAAAACACAGGCAAAAGGCGACGCTAGGAAGCTGCAAACTGCTGCGCAACATTTGCATGATCGACGCGGCGGCGTCTAATCAGCCCAGAGGGCTTGGTCATCGCCAATCGCCATGTTCGGGCGCCTAAAATGAGCTGTGCGATTGTCTGTTCTCGGTTCTTTTTTTCTTTTTCTCTGCTCGCGTTCAATCATTTCATATGTCTTGGCCCCTCATGTATATCTCATGGCGCGGTCACATTTGGGGCGAAGTTGATCTCTCTCTCTCTTTTCTTTGTTTTGTTTTTTCTTCGAGAGGGAGGGGGCACGACTGTCAGATCACCCTCGGGATCAGCCGAGTTGGTTATTATACTCTCAGGCTTGGGTAGCCGCCGTGATTTCAAGGGCAGTTCGATAGTCAAAACTGGCCCCGATGTTTTCTTTCTTTCTCCCCCCCTCTCCCCCCCCTTTTGCACAAGATCCTCTAGGGGAAGAGTGGAAAACTAAACAAGCAGCAGGTTGTCTCAAGGGTGACGTTGGGAAAAAGACTCCGATATGGCGCGTGTACTGCTAATTGGTCTCTGCGCCAGCGCATACTCCAGCGAGCACGGTTCAGGCTCTGCTCAGTGGGATAGACATGGGGGAAAAATTCACTGACAATGACAAAAGTACCTTATTTCATTTAATCTACTAAAAACCATGCACGCTCAAGAGCCATGGGGTATCGAGAGAAGACAAGAAACCCAGAGAACAAAAGAAAACAAGAACAATCGCCGAATTGCAAGAGATAAACCCCAAATGGGATACCAGGGTATATCGTAGATGCAAGGGAAATCGTGGCGTCATGAATTTGCTAATCCAAGCACTCTCAATCGCACCCATCGGTCTGGGACCAACATAACTATGACTTATTCCGGGCCGCGTTGCGCTTTTTCGCATCCTCCAAGGCCTTTCGCAGCCTCTCCTGATGTTCGTCTTCCTCGCTCGACTTGTTTTCCACCGGAGCAGGAGCCGGAGTGGTTTGAGGGCGAGGGCCCGGCGAGACACTCGCTGGCAAACTCGCTGGCGCTCGTGCTGGTGCTAGTGCTGGTGCTGGTGCTGGGGTCTCTGTCGGGGGTGGTCGTGCCGCGGCCGGAGGCGCCTCTTTGAGAGATTTCAAAAGACGTTGGATCGTCTCTTCGACCTCCATGGGCCCCTTTTGAATGCTGTCGAGCTTCGAGGCCAACTCAGTCTGGATCTTGGAGTCTTCTTTGGTCTTTTCAGCCTCCAACCGCGGGAGCACATCGGATTCCGAATCGGCATATTGGGCCTCGGCGGCAGAAACGCTGTAGTCGGCATCGTTGAGGGCCATGTCGGCGACCCCAGAACTTCGAAGTATGGCCTCGGAGTCGGCGCGAAGCGACGCGGCAAATGTCGCCGCGGACTTGAGGATCTGTTCAATTTCAGAATCCGGGAGGCCGCAAGTGTGGAGGGCCGTGGGGTCTAGCCGCGCTACTTTCGAGCCAAGCTCGTCCAGGAGGCTTTGATTCATACCTAGCCCGTGCAAGATTGCATCATCGAACGAATCCATCAGCCGGTTGGCTCGATCGTCGCGGTCCTTGGCCGCCTCCAAGATATTCCGCTTCTCCATCTGGTCAAAATCCCCGTCCAACTTGCGGAGACTGGCCATATCCCCCATAAACACCAGCGGTCGCCTCTCGGCCTTTTTCCGCCGCCGTTCACAATCCAGTGCAATTTCCAATCGTTTCTGGAACCGAATCTCCAGCTTGCTGTGGATCTCGTTGACCATCTTCATCGTCCGGGATGGGCTACATTGCTCGGTCAGCGAGCTCTTCTTGCCTTTCTGTTCCCGGTCTAACTGCCCGAGAGCCGCGTCGTACGACTTCCGTAGCGCAGAGATCTCGGTTTTCAGACGTTCGTCCAAGGGGTTGAAGACCTGCGTAATGAAGTCTTCCACCTCCTGCCGTTCTTCACCCAGCTGCGCACGAGCTTCGGTTTGGCGAAATTCTTCCTCCAGGGTGTTGATGTCCGCATATCCGATCTCCTTTTCATTGAAGAGATTGTCGATTTGCGCTTCAGACTCTTCCTGGCGCACAGTGCGATCCTCTTCCAGCTTCTGTCGACGGGGATGCGCAGCTGCCTCCCAATTGTCGATCGTCGTTTGGATGTAGGAGAAATCATCATGGAATTTTTCGAAACCTTCTCGTGTCGTGATATGCCAAGAACCTTCGGGTTTTTGATCCATCGGCGTCCACACAAGGGTGCGCAGGCCTTCAACTGGATTGTTGGGTCGATTTTGCCGGAGGGATTCGGGCAATGGGGGCAATGCGGGCAGCGGGTTGTTTCGGCGGTCCGTATTCACATAGGCAAGACTCCTACGACGAATCACACCCATGAAGGTCTCGTCACGCTCCGACGGAGCCAGACTCGTCGCAGTGTTGGACCTCGATCGAGGGGCGGAGGTAGGTGCATTTGCCATGACTCTTCCGCTTACGGCAGAGGCTTGTCGAAGATCAGAATAGGCCTGGTAGGCGGGACGATCAAATGTGAGATCGTCCGAGCCTCGTTGAGGGCCCTCGGTGTACTGAAACGGCGTGTAGATGGGCCGAGGAGGGTTCGTAGCGAGAGGTTCCCGGGTTTGCTTGTGTATTGGATCCATCGACAAGCGCAGCGAGGAAGTTCTCGGAGGACGAGGTGCGGGACCTGCTTCTGAAGACAGCGGAAACAGCTTTGGCAGAGATGATGAGGCCCTCCGGGCCCGCTTGGCTTGGACAGGTCGTCCTCCCGAGCTGTATTCACTGCCTAGGTCGTCGGTATCATCGAGATCTTCGGTCGAGGAAGCGATCTCTGATTCCACCGGTATCAATCCCGATTCAGCCGGTGACTTGGGCTCAGCAGGCTTGGGAGACGAATGCTGAGGGGAGGGCAGAGGGGCCTGTGCAATTGTACGGGTCTCTTGGGGTTCGTGCTCGATATTATACAGAATTTCACGAAGCTTTGTTTCTTTGGCTGTGAAAGCCGTGAAAATCTTGTATCGCTCTTCGTCGGAGTCAGCTACTGCTTCCTTGCGCAGCATAGCGACGTAGCGCGTGAGCGAGGATTTGAACCACGGTTCCAAATCCGCGTAAGGGTCTTCGTTCTTGGGCAAAGTGACACTCCCTTGCCTATCTGTAGGGGAAGCAATTGCATTTGATTCCACTCGGGCATGGCCTGCCGTGATAACATTGGTCTGCGCGGACTCCGAGCTCTCCTTTGGGCTATTTTGATTGACTGGAGAGAGGCTTTCTGTAAGAGACGCCGAGGCCTCTGGATTGGAATTGGCCCGCTTATTTGGGGGTGACAAGGGCCGAACCCAGGCGTCAATGACATTGTCGATACTCTCTGAATGAGAGTCCATCGAATGGTCCGAATCAGTAGTATTCACCCGAATCGGTGGAGCTGGCGATTGCCTCCCCTGTGTCGTAGCAGGGCTGACAGGGGAGGTTGGGTCGCCTCGTTCCCAGGTATCAGCTCTCGAAACGATACTGTGAGCAGTATTTGTTCGGTCCCGAGTAGGAGGCGCAGACGATTCGGCGCTGAGGGATGTATTTGGCACGCCAGTCGAATAACCCGGGGGTGTTTGGGCCGCCTCCGGGATTGGAGACGGGGAGCGATGTGGTGAAAACACATTCTCATCGTCGATGTCTCCGGGGGTCGGCCCCAAGTGCTCCCAATCAGATGGAGTGCCCGGACCTAATGCCGACGAACTAGTGGGAGCCCCGCCGATACGACCTGCAGCAGAAGGGGGGAACCCGTACAAAGCTGCCAATGCAGCCGGCGCTGAGCCTTGCGAGAGCAGCGGGGGTCGGGCTGCTTGGCTGCCTGGCTGGGCGTCATTTTGGGGATGCTCAGGGATTTTTGGAGGCGGCGGTGGAACCGACTCTGCGGGGTGCCGTGTATAAGGGGGAGGAGGGGCTGTTGAGATATAGGGCGGATCAAGCTCTGACGCCGACTGAAACCCATGGAACGGTGCCGACGGGAAGTTGGCGACCGGCGATTGCGACTGCGACTGCGACTGCGCATGGGCAAACGGGGGTTCGTTGGCACCGGCAGGCCGAGGCTGCACAAGAAATTAGCTTGGAGTTTTCTTTGTTTGGTGATGGATTTTATCCTTACGGGTACAGGTGGTGGGGTCTGCGACTGATGTTGATTATATCGCACACCCCATGTCCTGGTGTCCACCCCCGCTCCCGTCACCGGTGAGACACCGGGGCTGGCTGACGGGGTCGATATCGGACCATAGGTAGCCGGGGTGTAGGTAGCACTTGAAGCCGGGGGTGGATTTGGAGGAGGCGGAGGAAGTTGCGATACGGGCTGCCTTGGAGGGCGTGGAGGGAGTCGCCATTCAGGTTGACCGGGCTGGTTCGAGCCGTACATGATCGGGCATAGCAAGACTTCGGCGGGCAACGAGATGAAACAGGTCCATGGATCAGGGGAGAGAGAACGACTACTAAGGGTCTTTGGGGAAAAAAGTCATCAAAGGAGAAAGAAAGAAAGAAAGAAAGAAAGAAGGAGATGCAAAGCAAAGCAAAGCAAAAGAGGAGCCAAGGCGTATCGCGTGGTTGGGGGCACGTTTCGCCTTACTCCCCCACTGTGACAGCCTTGGCACGGCCAACCCCCTGAAAATGCTGATATATTGCTGATCTTGCTGATCTTGTTGAAAAGCACTCAGATACGGTCCAGAATGCTAATAATATCGTCAACAGAGTCGAGTCTTGGCGAACGGTTGGGAGATCCACCTCGAGGCGCAGTGGAAGGCTGAAGCGTCTTCGCGAGTCATGACTCTCTTTGAAACTTCACTTTCCAGAGAATCGCGGTTCTTTGTTGAGTGTGACCATCCATGGATCTGTTGTTGAGTCCTGGCAAAGACCCAAAAATAACCTCCATGGATATATGTCTTTGATACTTGTTTCTTTGAAGCAGAATGCCCCCAGCACCAAATGCCTGTTATATCCTTGCGGCTGAACCGAGTCTCTTTCTACCGCAATGCACTTTTCTATACTCCCTTACGATCCCCAGACTCTTTCTTCCAATCCAATCGACGGCATCGCTGGTCCATGATTTTCTAAAATGGATGGTTATTGGACCTCCACACCACGAGGGGGCTTTCACCGTCCAATTCAATCGATCATCCGACCACCGGCATTCACCCAAAGGCCGGAAACCTTTGAAGACATCGAGTACGGCCCGTTTGTCTCCAAGACGGAGACAAAGGTGGCGTATGACTTGTGGTCGTTGCCCGACAAAGAACTAGGCACCGAGTGGCAGCAACAAGATGAGCGGCCGTATACACTGCCGAAACACGCCGAATGGGAAGCACATGTACTGGCAGAAAATGTCTAGTGCCCATGGGCGGTGCCAACAAGTCTGCGCTAGACATGTACACACTCGCAGTGCGGATGAGCCCGTAAAACCCCACGTACTGGTTGAGCCGGGCCTATGCTCATAACCAGCGCGGGCACTTTGAGCTGGCCATTGGGGACGCCTATCGTGCACGGCTTCTTTGCGACGTCCTCGGGGACGGTTTCGAAAACTCTCGGCAGCCGGACTTGTATGCACAAGCTTGGCATGCCGTCGAGCAGCATCTGACCGCGGTGCCCCAAGACGATAGTCGCAAGGCGAAGATCAATCGCTTGCTGAGGTTACGCGGCCTCAATGAATTCACCTACATCCTGTTAAGGGCACTCGAGCATATCATCATTCTTAGTCTCGCCGCTCTCAACTCCTGGGACGACTTTCAAGCCCACTTTGAATCCATCATCAAGATGACTCTCAGGGGCGAACGTGATTTTCAAGTCCTCAGAGCGCGGAGAGAGGTCACCATGCCTGTGTAGGAGCGCTGGGAGAAAGACAAAGACAATGGCCGGCTTTTCTTCCACGAGAGACGACAGGGATGGGTTGGGGCCTGGCGTAGATATCCATACGATGCTGACGACTTTGATCGCACCGATGTGGACATTCTGAAGAAGATCAATCTCAGCCTCTTCGACCCCGATCCCGCTGGTTCAACCCCCTGGGCGAAAGTCTGTGAAGTGAAACCCGGCGATGGCCGAAGCGAGCTGGGGTTCTTTGCTACGGTTAATATCGCAAAGGGAGATTTAATCCATTACGAAGAGCCTGTAATCCGGGGTCATCTTCACCGTCTCCGGATGCAAAAGGACCAGCATCTCACCACTACAAACGAGGAATGGTGTGATAACTGCAAGCGACGCATCGGTTCAAATACCTTCGACGCCTACAAGGCAAACAAGGATGCCATCAAGGCCGGGGCAGACCCGAAAGCTTGTAGGTAGTCTTTTCGTGGAAACGCGCGGGGCGAACAGCAGCGGAGTGATCTTTTGCAACTCTTACCAGCTTGACGCGGCGAATACCTCAGCGCAACCATGTCTGAAGATTGCACGCGATGTGTACCACTTTGATAGCTGCTGGGGGGACTGGGCCTGGCTACACGACGCCATGCAGCCCTGTTTCTATAATTGGATGGATAGGGAGCACATTTCACATACCAACGAACACCACGGGACTTTTCTGAGCCTGCTGCTGCGGAACGTGCTGGAGATCACCCTCCGCCGCCGCAAGAAAGACCCGGGTCTTCTGGCGCACGAGATCAGCAAGCTTCTACTTCTCGACGACGATACACCGGGGATCTCTTCGAGGGCGCGGGGACATAAGTGGTTCCCGTTTACCATGGCGGCCAACATCCAGGTGCCCTTTGACACCTGGCCCATCTCGGCGTGGACATCTTCCGCGACCTCTCATTTGACACGTGGGTGATTCAGATTGTGCTCCGGAAGTTGCTGGCCAACGTCGTGCCGTGGGAGGAGTCTCGACGGGGAGTGGTGCCGGACATGCAACCCGCCGACAAATACAAGAATATTGTCCATCCCGACGAGCAAAACCAACGGATTCTCGCGAATCACTCTTTTGAGGATTTCGACCCCACGTTCAAAAACCTGTATCTCTTCCCGGGACTCAGCATGTTCAACCACTCCTGCCTGAATGTGCGCAACGCGGAATGGGGCTATGATGACGACGTCCCTAACCGCGTGGTTAAATGGGCATTGAAGAACATCGCAGCTGGCGAGGAGACCCGTGTCTCATACCAGCATGGAGACTTCAAGTCTGATAACCGAGGGATGTGGCTGCTTGGTTCGTCTTGTAACTGTCCTCAATGCGATGACAACCTTCCACGTCCAAGCACGCCGCCTGCAGACCAAGACCCTCGGCCGGCTCCCACACAGGGTGCCAATGCGAGCGCAAAACGCCGAAAGCTCAGCGACACTGAATGGGCTGATGTTCAAGGGGACCGGGTTTTGATTCATCTTGAGACAGGCTCGATTCATCAAGAGATAGACCCCCAATATCCGATAGATGGGAGGAGGCGCATTTTCGGGGAAGATCAGATATTAGAGGAGCAGCCGCTAGGAGTGTCAGGGCCTTTGTTTAGTAGTGACGAAGAGTGAAATGCTTGTAGGGTTTGTTTTGGTTGCTTTACGTTGGCTGACTTGTATTTACTCTGCTGTGCTTTGCTGTGCTTTGCCTTACTTTACTCTTCTTTGTTTATTTCGTTTTAACCTATTTGAGCTTATTGGAATTTCTATTCTCATTGCGCGATTTCTTCTCGATTCATCCAACAACCAAGTGCCGGGTGCTTCAGGCGTTCCAAGGTTAGGGTTGAACATGAATCGTGTCCGGAGTTAAGCTCACCGTCCAAAATCCGTCAGCAGGCGGATTTAAGCAAAAAAAAAAAGACAAAACAAAAAGCGGTTTCAATTCCATCGATTAATAATCTTCATGGAAATTCAATGTCACCTAGCTAATAATGTGCATGGTATGTCACAGATACCCCGCAGGACGAAGCTATATAAAGCCGTCGCATCGCGCCGTTGAATTTTTGGCCGTAACACTGAACTTCTACTTTCTCTCAATTTGTCCACCCCAATCAACAAGCACGCAAAGAAAATGCAAGCTGCTCCAGCTCCCAAGTCTCTCCTCGGCCGCTATCGGCTGCTGGCCCCGACGGCTGGCATCAAGGTGAGCCCGCTGTGTTTGGGAACGATGAACTTTGGGACAGGCTGGTGAGTTTTCTAGCACAACCAAATACACCTTTCTTCAGGTGTATTTGGGACTAAACCAGTCCTCTTGTACTGACAACTGACCAGGCAAGGAAGAATGGGCGAATGCGACAAGGAGACCTCGTTCAAGATCCTGGACACGTACTATGAGAACGGAGGCAACTTCATCGACACGTGCGTGGCTTCATTCAATTTTATCTTTTTGCTACTTGATCACCATCGCTGATTTTCTTTTCCTGTTTGCAGTGCTAACAACTACCACCTCGGCGAATCTGAGATCTGGCTGGGTGAGTGGCTGCAAGCGCGCGGGGTGCGCGATCAGATCGTCCTGGCCACCAAGTATACCTCGGGTTTCCGCTTGCACGCCCCCTCGGAGCTCCAGCCCAACTTTGTGGGTAACAATGCGAAGAGCCTGAAGTTGTCAGTAGAGGCTAGTTTGAAGAATCTCCAGACGGATTACATCGACTTGGTATGATATCACATTATCCCGGACTCCAGCTAATGCCCAAAAGCTGATGCCTATACCACAGCTGTACGTCCACTGGTGGGATTTCAGCACCCCCATCGAAGAGGTAATGACCTCGCTCAACCATCTGGTGACTGCGGGCAAGGTGCTGTACCTCGGAATCAGCGACACGCCGGCGTGGGTGGTGAGCCGAGCGAACCAGTGTACGTGATTTCCGTCGAGTATATACACATACCCTTGTCAGGACCCTGTCTTTTGCATGCTAATTCACACTCTAAAAAAGACGCCCGCGACCACGGCCTCCGCCCTTTCTCCGTCTACCAGGGCCAATGGAATGCCGCCAAGCGCGACCTGGAGCGCGAAATCATCCCCATGTGCCATGCCGAAGGAATGGGCCTGTGCCCATGGGGCTCCCTCGGCAGCGGCACCTTCAAAACAACCGCCCAGCGCAACGAGATCGCCAAGTCCGGCAACCCGGGCCGGCAGCTGGCGCCCAGCGAGACTGACGTGGCCGTGTCCAAGGTGCTGGATGGCATTGCGGCGCGGCACCAAACGGCGCTGACGAGTGTGGCCATGGCATACGTGATGCGCAAGGCCCCTTATGTTGTCCCGATTGTCGGTGGCCGCAAGGTCGAGCACCTGCTGGGCAATATCGAGGCTCTGGGTCTGGAGCTCTCCGATGCCGATGTCGCGGAGATCGAGTCGGCCTATCCATTTGATCTGGGATTCCCGCACACTTTCCTGTTCCGTGGCGAGAACAAGGAGTCGCACCCTGGTAACTCGACTTTCTTGAATATGGCGGCCAAGTTTGACTACCTGGATCTGCCCCGGGCATTGGCCCCGAAGAAGCTGGATGCGTGAGGTAGATTAAGCAATCGTGATGTCGATGCCAATGCATAGAATCTCGTCTCTCTTTATTTACCTTATTTTCTTCTATCTTATTTTGTATACAAACCATGAGAAGATCGGGTATACCTCGGCCCAATAATCACAAAGCCCACACGCGAGGTGGGGCTGAGATCATCTGCTGAAGTCAATCTTCCGGCTGTCAAATCGTGCCCCAGTCAAAGACACGCGTCCTCGCAGCCAGAGCCTCCCTTGTTGCTGCACAGGGACTGTCAGTAACCCATTTGTTCACGTCTACCGCTAAAGGATGATTGTATGATTCTACCCGATCTCGCGAGGCGAAACTGGTGAGATCGCAGGCGAGCCCAAGATGGGCACAGACTTTGTCTTCATCAACGTCAAAAAGCCCAAGGATGCACTCCATCTCGCCAAGGAGCCGGAGATCCGGGCCCACGTCACTCGCCATCAATGGAAGCAAAGCGAAGCCCGCGCTTCGGCCCTGCGCAAGCCTAAGCTCGAGCTAGCGCCGGTATTCGACGATCGGAGCCACAAATCTGCAGCGGCAGATTTCACGCGAGAGTCTCAGTACCGCGAGCCTGTTGAGAGTCTGCTTGAAATTCTCGCTGCTATCCCGCCGCAGCTGGGTGGACTGCGGGTTGATTCTTTCCAGTCGTACCCGATCCCGTTTAGATCGTGTATTCCCTTGCTGGTGGACCATTGTACGTTGCAACACCATAATAAAAAAAACCATCCATCAAAATTTGGAAATTTACTCTAACTGATCGCCAGACCTGGTCAGCATGGCCGTGGATATCCCCGAGCTCGACCAGCCGGGCAACCGCGGCCTCCTGCGAACATCGTGGTTCCCACTCGTGATGACCGAGCCGTCTCTGTTCCTAGTGATTTTATTGCTCGCGGCATCGCACTACGCTTCGTTGCAGAGCGATCCACATGAGATGAAGCTCAACCTGTTGGGTCTGCGATGCGAAGCGGTGCAGGCGATCAACAGCGCCCTGGAAGTCCAGCAATCGCAATACGTCAACGATGCATTGGTCGGCGCGATCGCGAAAATGGCGAGCTACGAGGCAATGTTTGGGAGCATGGACGCTTACAATGTGCATATGAACGGCCTCTTGCGCGCTGTTTCTCTCCGTGGTGGGCTGTCGTCGCTTGGGCTGGGTGGGTTGCTTCGACGGATTGTGGTATGGATTGATCGCAATTCGGCCTTTTTACATGGATCGGCGTTGCATTTCCCTGGTGCTTCTTTTGTGCCGGGGCAGCCGTTGCCGGATCCCAACCCGGGGCATTTTCTCGGTAGTTCATGAAGTTAGAGGCGTTGAGAGTTGGTTTCACATCATCAGTACATAGAATCATCGGATTATTGTTGTTATTATTGTTGACTGCACTTGTGCGAGGGAGTATGTGGATCCAGTTTATCAGACATTACAACATACTTTGCAACATGCCTCGATTGCCGGCAACGCTGAAAGATGGGATCTATGTGGGGACGAGCAACGCGATCGGTATCGTCACGCAGGCCAAGAAGTTCCCTGCATTGCACGTCAAGCTTTTAATTCGAGCTCAATGAACGAATCCCCGGGAGTCCTGATGTCATGATGCACCGTAGCTGAACGCACCTCCGAAAGAGGATATCCCAGATCCACCGCCAGTTGCCAATCACGCCGGGCACGCAACATCCAAGTGGAGCGATCCGGCCCCCCTCTTACCCGTTCAGGATATCACATACTAAAACCCGAGCGTCTGGCGATGATTCGAAGAGCACCAGCTTCGGAGAAAACGGACAGAGGGACATCAGGCAGCCCGAGGACCGCGCAGACATGCGCTGGTCTGCAAATTATAAGAAGACGGTCAATCTCCTCTAACCCCCTCGTCCCAAATTTCTTATTTCTCTGGTATATTCACACACAGTGACTCCCGTCCACCATCCCATCTACACCCCCCCCAAAAAAAGAAAAACGAACCAGAAAATCCACAATGGCTCTCTCTGGCAAAGTCGCCCTCGTCACCGGCGGCGCCAAAACCTCGGCGCCTTGACCGCGCTCGAGCTCGCCGGCGTCGGCGCCAACCTCGCGCTGCACTACCGCTCCGCCAGTAGCAAGGGCGAGGCGACCAAGCTCGAAGCCGAGCTCAAGAAGAAGTACCCGGCCGTCAAGGTCGCCTTCTACCAGGGCGACCTGACCTCGGCGGCGGCGGTGACCAAGCTGTTCCAGGACGTCAAGAAGGACTTTGGGCAGGTGGATATCGTGGTCAACACCGTGGGCAAGGTGCTTAAGAAGCCGATTACGGAGATTAGCGAGGCGGAGTATGATGAGATGTTTGCGTATGTTCTTCCTTTTGTTCTACTCTTCACTACATCCATGGATATACTCTGGAGTATATGTACATGCAAAGCATATACATTCGATCTGTATCTATTCTTGGGTTATGCGAAAATACTAACAAAGCACAGCGTCAACTCCAAAGCAGCCTTCTTCATCCTCAAGGAGGCCGCCGCCCACATCTCCGACGGCGGAAAGATCGTCACCATCGTTACCGCGCTGCTGGGCGCTTTTACGGGTTTCTACACCTCGTACGCGGGCAGCAAGGCTCCCGTCGAGCACTTCACTCGGTATCCCCCCCCCCCCCCCCCCACTGCCAGTTTCTGATGGGATCTATGCCATATATAGACTGAACGCTGACATAAAACAACAGCGGAGTCTGCAAAGAACTGCAAGGCCGCGGCGTCAGCGTCAACAACGTCGCCCCGGGTCCCATGGACACGCGTAAGTACTCTTATTCTTCTTATTAGCAGGCGCCCCGAAAATACCCAAATCAAGAATATGACAAGGCTAACATACTATTCGCTCTAATTATGCAGCTTTCTTCTATCCCCAGGAATCCCCCGAAGCCGTCGAGTTCCACAAGTCCAACGGCATGGGCAACCGCCTCACCAAGATCGAGGACATCGCGCCCATCATCCGCTTCCTGTGCACCGAGGGCGCGTGGATTACGGGACAGACTATCTTTGGTAATGGTGGATACACCACGCGCTAAACCAGCGCAATGAGTTTCGTTGGTAGTGGGTAGCTGGGGCTTTTATATCGTGAACCCAATAATCTTTTAAGGACCCAGCCGGAGGGTACATCCATGGATATAAGTTGGGAAAGATGGGAGTTCAATGAATATGATGAATGTGATGAGATTAAAATGAGGTTTTCCGCGATTTTGGGGCTATAAAGTACATTTAAATAAAAAAAAAAAGAGAAAGCATGACAGACAATAATAACCTGAATCCCATTTACAGTACAACACTTATAGAACACAAGAGGGGATCGGAATATGCTCTCCCTCGATTTCCAGAGTAGACAACAGAGGAAAAGAAAAGAGAATCAAGGTATCCAGGACGATCTTCAGTTCGTGGCAGTTTGCACATTCTGAACGCGACGACCCAGTTTTTCCAGCTCGCCGATAATTCCACCACCAGACAGACTCCACTTATCGCTCACCCAATGGTCATCGATAACCTGGCGCACCAAGCCGCTCTGAGCAAAATACTCCATGTAGCCACGGGTCTCGTCGCGGGTCAGACCACCAAGGGTCTGCACCTCGAGCGGGCCCTCCTTGGCAGACGAAGTTTCAGCAGGCTTGAACAGGTCCATGACGCGGGGGTCGACGCCGCTGAAGGCGAACGGTTGCGGGTACTCAGGTGAGGACGGGCTGATGCCAGCCTGGCGGGCGGCCAGCTGCTCCAGGCCGAGATTGAGGCCGTAGACGGAGGGGTTGTTGGAGGTGGAGGTGGCGTACAGGAGGAGACCGCCGTTCTTCAATGGGGACTGGCCCGGCTGGAGCAGCGAGAGGAAGTGCTTCACGAAGATGAGGTTATGCGAGTGGACCAAGGAGAAATCTGCCGTGCGGTACGCGCTGTCGGTCATCCAGTGCGCGAGTCCATCCACGGTCACGAGCATCGGGGGGCGCGGCTGGAAGTTCTTCTCCATGCCGGGGGCTGCAGCCGTAGCGGTGAGCTCGGTCCACAGTGCCTGGAAAACGGGCCAGGCAATGGCGGGATCCTGGAACCCAAGGCTGGCAAGTTCCTCCAGTGTCGACGAAGGCTTGAGTGCCGTCAAGGCGGGATGTTGCTGGGAGACCTGGAGATTAGACAGCACCTCCCGGTTGGCCTCGACGGTGCGGGCCAGCAAAGCTGAAGTGGCAGCGGGCTGGGTATACTGCGTCGGATTGGTGCCTTCGATGGGAGCGTAGCCAGAGACGCCGGCCACGAGTTCGTGGGCTGTACAGGTTCCAAAGTTAGCAAGCATTTCGTACGGTAGTAACGCATAGAAAAACAGATCATGCTCAACATACCGTCAGGGACCGCAATAACAACCCATTTCTTGAGGAACGCCATAGTCATGGCCTGCAGCAAATGCACTGTCTTGCCAGTACCCTTGGCGCCCGAGATAATCTTCTTGACCACCTGGCCCTTCTGCGCGCCCTCTCCGTCGGCAGAGATCTTCTCAAACAAGCGGCCCATTTCAATCGTGTCATGACGCATGATGGTCCCAGGCCGACGGAATATCGACCAGCCCTGCTTAGGCTTAAACGCCTGCACGGCCCGCAATTGATCCAATAAGGGCACAGGCAGCCCGAGAACCGTCCCGCGGAGACGGCCATCGATCATAGTCCCTGGAGACAGATCCTGCATGCCTTTGACCTCGAGGGCATTGGGGTTGCTGAGCACGATGCGCTTCCGCAAAGCCTTGCGTTCACCGGCGGCCGGGGGGCGCACTGGATTCTCGACGGGCTTCTTATTCTTCCTTCGCACCTGATGTCCCTGTCTGTGCTTGGCAGTGGTCAAGCTGGGCCCCTTTTTCTTTGCCGGCTGGGCCAATTGAATCGCGGTCGAGTGGAAGGGGGCGCTCGTTATCCGGGGTGCGGCCGACGGCGGAGGGAGCGCTCGCGGTGTTGGCCGCAGCCGCGAAAGGCAGCTCCAGCACCACGAGGAAACCATTGGGGCTTGTCGGGAACACTGGCACTTCGTGCCAGTGTGGGACAATCACGGGGTACGGGGTGGGTTGGAAGAGGGTGTGGATGGGGATGGAGAGCAAGAAGAAGCATCTTTCATAATAATTTGACAAGAAAGTCCTGGTGGCTCCATCCGGCATGGCGGTGTGGCCGCTTTAGCCGACCGGCAGAATATGCAAAAGCGGCTCTGCAAATTATCGCAACTTTTTTTTTTTGCCGACTCGCGGTTACCTCTGCTACAACTTTAACATATCCCACCATATCATTTTTTTTTGCTACACCATAATTTGTCGCAATGACAGAAGTCGAAATGGCAAACGATGCCGGAGCAGCATCGGGCTCCAAACAGGAAAGACTGTATGCCGCCCACTCCTCTTAAGCTGAAAAAAGAAAGATACAATGCACCAGAACTGAAACAAGAACTAACAAATCAATTCCTAGTCCCATCACCGTCTCCAAGCCAACCCCATACACCTTCGACCTCGGCTACCTGATGGTTAACGACCCAAATCCACTCGAGCTCCCACAAGGCGAGCCGCTGAACAGCTCACTGAAAGCGACAGCCCGCGACGGCGCGCAGAGCCTGCTCAACCAACTGCTGACAACATGCGAGATCAAGTCGTCCGTGCAAGATGGCGTGCTCCTCAGCCTACCAGCACCAGCGACCATGCTGCCGCGGCACAAGCCGCTGCCGACGCCGAAGCCGCCCACGAAGTGGGAGCTGTTTGCACGCAAGAAGGGGATCGGCAAATACAACACCAAGCCCGGGGCGGCGTTGGCGGACAAGGAGCGGCGCAAGAAGCTGGTTTATGACGAGGCATCCGGTGAGTGGGTGCCGCGCTGGGGGTACAAGGGGAAGAACAAGGCGGAGGATGATCAGTGGCTTGTGGAGGTCCCCGAGAAGGACTGGAAGAAGGAGGAGGATGCTGCTGCTAAGGGGAGCTCGATTCGGGGCATGTCGAGGACTGAGAGGAAGGACCGCATTAAGAGGAATGAGCGGAAGATGCGGTCTAATGACCGCCGGGCTAAGAAGGGAGGTGCTTGAGATGGATGATGATGATGATTATCTCTCGCCGCCTGTTTCTTTTCCCAGTCTCTTGATCTTTTTTTCCCTACCATCCTTGATTTTGGCGTTGGGTTAGGAGTCATGGTCTTGTCTACTCTTTTTCTACGATGGGCACCTTGTTTTTTTCACGCCAAAAGCACTTAGATCGCATCTACCAGCCACCAGCTGTACCAAACATTCATCGAACCAAAAAAATGCCATCCCATCTCCAGTATTGTACAATCCTTGCAATAAGAACGCCCAGCACAAACACAAACACAAGAAGACGATAACTAGACACGCAAAAGGAACAAGTTCATCGCAGAGGGGAATCTCGGAATGCCGCAACATCAAAGCATGTGGTCGAGCCATGAAATGTGTCGAGCTGCCAAAGAGAGAAAACCAGACATAAAACAAACAGAGCACGAAACCGCTAACCATTCACCAAGGCCAGTGTAAGTACGAGAAGAGAGGAAGAGACGAAGCAAGATATACAAATGGAAGAGGAATTCGGAACGTGAGAGCCGATACCGGAGACGCCAGGATATGCATTTTGATAATGCGGGTTCAAGGCCAGGTGAGGGTTTTCGAGGTCGATGAAAAAAGAGATTTCGATGGACATTGAGGGAAAGTGATTGTCACGCTGAAAGTAAAAGAGAGGGGGTGTAGGAGAGGATAGAAGGAAAACACCAAGTGCTGCTTGTCGAGTCTCTTCTGACCCTGCAGACTTGCACAGCCAGAGGGTAAAAAATCGGTCCAGCCGCTAGCCACGAGATCATTGCTTTTCTCGAGTGGTACCCAGGCATGTATAAGATGTGCGCGACTCTCTGGAAACGTCCAAAACAAGCATGTCGAAAGGAAACTCCCCTATATTTTGATAGGAGAGAGGGGCGGTCCGAGTTCCGGAAGCTGAGAGACGCTCCGAGTGTGCGATGTCTCGATCTTCTTCGGCTTGGCCTTGCGGCTGCGAGAGGTTTCTGGACGAGGAGGTTCCTCGGCCTGATCGTTGCTGCTGGCAGATGAGACAGCTCTCTCATGAGCGTTGGAAGCTTGAGCCGTCTCGGCCTTGATCCTGGCAGCTTCTTTCTCCTCCGCCGCCTTTCTTTCCTGCTCGTCCATCTCCTTTTCTTTCTGGAGGAACTCCTTTTCGGTCCAGCATCCCTGCCAGCAGTTCTTCCAGTCGCAGACCAAAAACTGGAAGCAGAACGCGTCAATCTTCATGCAGGGCTGGAAACAGATGCACAGATTGCGGTAATCCATTTTATTTTGGTCCACATAGGAGTGGAGGAGATTGAGGTGACAGGTGATGGCAAAGAGCAGGTAGTAGTTGTAGGGCGGGAGTTTGGAGAGCTCGTCTTTGAGCAGTTGTGGGGCAGTCGTGGCACCTTCGCATTTCGTGGCAATCATGTTTTGCGTTGCTTTGGGGAAGAGCTCGTCGGGCAGTTCACGGAGCCAGGCTTTGAACAGGGACCCGATGGTGTTGATATCGTAGAGGTCGGGCACGTCGAAGAGACTGATGTCCAGCTCCGTGTCAAATCGCCGTTGCCAATACTTCACTTCTCTGCCGCTACCGGGTACTCGATATAGTCCCTCTTCCTCGCAGCCCTTGAAATTGAGATAGCTGGAACAAGTCAGCGCTAAGCCATATGGCCAAGAGGAAAGGGACATGACCTACTCGATGGAACGGTACGGCAAGGCGGGCATCCAGAATTCGGTTTTGTCCCGGCAATCTTCCAGCTTTTTGCAATACGAGTCTTCCTCGCCTGCTGGATCAACGGAAGGTTAATCACCGAGCACACGTAGGAGTCATCGTTGATCAACTCTCGCTCGTTGGTGCTGCCACTGCGAGTGATTTTGCCGAAGAATCCCTTGCCTGCCTTGCCGATGCGGTCTGCGGCGCCGCTCGAGGATTGTTTGATATTGCTGAACAGAGCCGCTGATGCGCCAGAGACCTGGCTCAGAGAGCCCGATGGAACGATGGAGCCCCCATGACTTCTCTCTTTTCTCAGGGAAACAGTGTCTGCTTGTCGGTCGGGGGTGGGGGTAAGCCCTCCTCGAGTGGGATGCTCTGGGCGCAAAGTGGCAGATTGCGGCGGGTTTTGTGTCTCTCCTTGGTTGAACTCCTCTAGCTTTGCCAGGCCGGTTGACGGGCGTCGACCAGCTGCCCTGTTTCCAGAAGACTCGTCAACTCGGATTGAACGAGATCGTGTCAAGAGGTTCGCAAAGCGCGGTTTGCTTCTTTTGAGCTGGGCCGCAGAGTCCGGTTCTGTGCTGGGTTTCTTGTGACCTGATTGCTGCGAAATTTTGTGTCCAGAACACCCTTCTTCTATAGTGCAAATAAATTGGTTAGATACGGTGCTGAAGAAACACATCCCCGTAGGCGCGAACTTACTTTTCTCGTTCTCATCTGCACGAGCAATGGTGCCGGGCAGATCGGGTGACGAGTCGTAGAGTTTCGAGGCCATCTGGGCCTTGCGATCCCTCGAGCTTCCTCGACTCTTTGGGTGATCCGTCGAATTTTCGGAGCTATCTGACCGATGGGGCTTATGGGATGACTTGGGTGTCTTCAGATTGCCAAAGAAGGATTTCGACGCATCACGCGAGTGTTTCGACTCTTTAGGCGACGGGAAGTGCTGGGGAATGGCCGTGAGACCAGGTGTAGGAGGCTCCGCGGTGGTGCCAGGAGATGGGGGTAACGTCGGGCTATTGACCTTGCTGCTCGAGTCTTGAGTGACGGGACGAATGGTCGCGCCCTTGAAAAGCGGGGAGCTCGACGAGGATTTGGGGGAACGCGGGGTCAGGGGACTTAGGCCGTCGGAACTGTGAGCATTCGGCGTGAGAGGAGACGACAGCTTCCCGTTGTTGGACTCCGACTTGAATGAGCTGAGATCCAAGTTGGGCACAGTCGAGTGTCGAGCCGGCATGTTGGGCAGTGGGGAGGGCTCAGTCCAAATTTTGTTCGGCGAGGACCTGGTTGAGACGTGGTGGCCTCGGGGTCCCGTGTGAATTCCCTGACCGGAGGGAAATGCTTGTTCTGTTGTACGAGGGCGCTGGTCAGATATGGGATCGAACGAGGCAGCCAGGGGTATCGTTGAGAGGAATGTACCTGGGTCACAGTCGACCACTTGCGATCTGACAGTTATGCCGTTGGAAGCACGCGATCAGTCTGATCGTGAGATCGAGAGAGGCAATGTGGCCTCGCGGCGTGGTATCGGAGAGAGGAAAGCGGTTGTCGCGCAGTGTTTCAGTGTTTTTAGATGAAAGAGGTTATCGAGAAAATAGAATCTGAAGGGAGGTTATACGGTCAGCCCCCGTTACTCAAGCGAAAGGCACACGCCAAAGACCCAAAAAAAGACCAGAGGTGAAACCGCATGGTACAATGACATATGCAGGGGGGGCGCCACCGGAGCCAAAAATGCCAGACGCTTCTTTGTCGCCAAACAAGGCGACAAGATGAAGAGACAATAGGGGAGGGAGGGGGTGTTTCGCGGCCGAGCCCGAGTACTCACCAGAGGCTCTGTCATGTTAAGGTGCAAATGCCACCTTGATATTGCCTTGGTTGATTTCCACTCGAGTATTTGTCAAGGATGCAGTCGCTTGCCCCCTCTTCGGCGTGTTGATGATCGGCAGGGCGGGATGGGAGGTTGGGAGGGTCGCGGATTCCCAGGCGGCTCGCCACACACAAGACTGGGAGAGTTGAGGGAGTTTGAAGGAGATCGGAGAGACAGTCAGGGCGCACTACGAGGAAGGGCCGAGAGAGAAGATTGAAGGGTGAAGAGAGAATGGGGGGAGCGTTGCACTTCACAAAAGTTCCCCTTATCGATTTAGCGCGACACTAGCGCTAGCAGAGCCACTAAGTACGCAAGTCGAATGCAGGTCAAGGTCAGTCGAGGAGAATCGAAAAAAAAAACAGTCGAAATGATTAATGAATTGAAAGAAAGAAAGAAAGTCATGAAAGGAACAGAACAGAAAGTACACAAAACGCATTCCACATAATGCAAGGTCAACGATTCACCAATTCTGGGAGACGAAACGCGGTGGGGACAGACAATACGCGCCTTGATTTGATTACGGCGATATCTGATTCCCCTGGACAGAGAGACGTCAGCGTCCCAGTGTGGACCAAAAAAAAAGGTGACGATGGGGGCGCATCATCCGTGGAAAGCTGCCTCGGTGGCCATGAGCTCATGCCCCTCTAATCTAATATTCTACCTACTATGTATATCTAGGTCCCTGTCAGATCCCTGGGGCCATGTGTCTTATAGATAATCTATTTATTTATATCTATGCCTATATATAAATATCAATACAAGATTATTATATAGATATTTTTATATCAAATCATATATTCAATCAAATATCCCCATAGGGCCATGGTGATTTTGTATTAGCCCCCCATCAAGCTCCACCGCGCCATGGGTCTGGCAGCTGGAGCCACGGGAATGATGTGCTGGCCTGACGCTGCATTGGCCGATCGTCCAACGGTGGAGAGAAAAGGACAGGCTCTCACAAATCCGCTGCCACAAGTACCTGGCGAGTCCGCGGTTCAATGCCGAAGGAGAGGGCTGTACCACACACCCCGGCATAGAAGGATTGTGTAAATTTATGTAAAGCTGGCAATAAAATCATATCAACTCCGTGTCCATGGAATGATTCAGGGGGGCCACAGTTGCTTGGATCCCGGACTGCCCGTCAGCCCAAATGGGTATGGAATGACTAGAGAGCCCACTTTTCTTTTTGATCCCCTGAATGATTATTTCTTCTTTTAGCCTCAGTTTCACAGTATCTCCGGGAGCTTTCCCCCCTCCCCCCCCCCCAACTCGACCATGGCTCAAATGTTCGACCTCTCCTGGTGGACCTCATCTGATTTTAGAAAGGCATTTGGCCAGCATTGCCTCCATTGGGGTGCGGTGTACGGTGTACACAGTGCGCATGAGACACTCCGAATCCTCCGGACACTAGTCCACTAGCACAGCGCGGTCGCACTTAGTTTGTACTCCAGGGTATAAAGTAAGAGTGCCATAGCCCGAGATCCTGATTAGCGAAAGTCTCTCACCAGCGATAGAAACCTCGAAATGACAAAGACGCAGAGGGTCGTTGGATCCTCGCATAGACACGCACATCATCGCGCCCGGTGGGAAGGATCCCGGCGTTATTGTGTCCGCAAATCCTGTGGGTTTCCAGGTGGACCGGGGAGAAAGTATCCAGAAACACCGTGATTTGATCGGATTTGGTGTCTGGGATGTGTGCCAAGGGTCAACACCGCCCCTATCCGCACGTTGAATTTGCTGGGTGCCTGATGATCCCAGGGGGGTTCCATCCAATCTGAAACATGGCGTGGATAATGTGAAACTAGCGCCACGCAGTGCAATCGGAATTGGGGTTGTCACTGGAGCAGATTGCCAGGACGAGGAATGACCGAGGAATTTTGGCGCACACTTGCAGGGTTGTGTCGAGGGCACCGATGTCACGTGCTTCCAACACAGATGTGGGCCACGTGACCAACCATTCTCTTCAAATTGGCCCAAAAAGACAACCCTCGTAACTCCATCAGCCACAATTGGTCCCTGGTCTGGTCCGGCCCGGTGGCAAAAATACTGTTGACTTCAAGCATGACAGCATGAGACTTGACCACAGCACCCATTGCGTGGCTTTTCTGTGATCTGCATACTCTGTGCTCTCCCAAGCTTTCTGGGGAACTCGGACTGACTAACCCACGCCCCTCCTAAAATTGCGTTGCCTTGGTTCAAATTGAGCCACTTGATCACTCTCACCAAACAATGTCGTTGGTATCTGGCCCAGGTAGGGCGGGAGGTAGTCCATCGGACCAGGAATTACATACCTTGAAGCATGTGGCTTACATCCAGAACCTGGACACTGTGCGTGCGCCTTCTCGTGATGTTCTATCTAGGAAATGGGCGGCGATGGTTGACGGTCACAATAGAGGAAGGATGAGCTGGAATATTGGCTGACCGAGCACCTGCGACTCAACGGGGTCTACTGGGGCTTGACAGCGCTCTATATTCTTGGTCACCCGGATGCCTTGCCGCGGGCTGAGACTATTGAATTTGTCCTCTCCTGCCAACATGACAATGGCGGGTTTGGTGCGGCTCCCGGCCATGATGCCCATATGCTCTACACCGTGTCTGCCGTGCAGGTCCTCGTCACCGTCGATGCGGTGGACGAGCTGGACAAGCGCGGTCGAGGAGGCAAGCAGAAAGTCGGGTCCTGTATGGCACCCCTTGCGATGTGATTCTCTTGTGCCGCCATACTAAACAAATTTAGTCATTGCCAGCCTGCAGGACCGGGAAACCGGCTGCTTCATGGGAGATGAATGGGGTGAGTCAGATACTCGCTTCCTCTATGGTGCTCTCAATGCCCTGTCGCTCCTGGGTCTCATGGACCTCGTCGACGTGCCCAAGGCCGTCGAGTACATCCAAAGCTGTGAAAATTTTGACGGGGCCTATGGCATTCGCCCGGGAACTGAATCTCACTCGGGCCAGGTGTTCACCTGCGTCGCAGCTTTGGCCATCGCCGGGCGCTTGGACTTGGTGAACAAAGATCGATTGGGGGCCTGGCTCAGTGAACGTCAACTCGAGGACGGTGGCTTGAACGGTCGTCCCGAGAAACTGGTAGATGCATGCTACACTTGGTGGGTTGGATCCAGTCTCGCCATGATCGATCGGCTTCATTGGATCGACGGCAGGAAGCTTGCCGCCTTTGTGTTGCAGTGCCAGGTAAGTTTAGGGTTATTGTCAGTATTGTGGTGCTCCGACTAAGCCGGCGCAGGATCCGGAAGCTGGGGGCTTTGCAGATCGACCGGGAAACATGGTAGATGTTTATCACACACATTTCAGCCTTGCTGGATTGAGTCTGTTAAAGCTCGATGGGCTGGATGAAATAGATCCTGTCTAGTGAGTCCCTATGGCCTCTTTCCTTCCGAACTGCCCTGCTAACCCACCATCAGTTGTATGCCTAAATCAATCACAACCCGATGTTTAACTCGGTAATTCTGTGTTCATCTCCATTCAACTTCTCTCTTCCCACCCTCCTGCCATCTAATAACCCATGATGCCCCTTCTCCATGGATCATGGGATACAAGGCAGGAGGAGAATGATGTCCACTTTGACTTATTCCGCTTCATACCATCCCACAATGGCCTCAACCCACGGCCGTTAAGACATCGTGGCACATACCTAATTCCTGACTGTAGCAAGATATACAAATCAGAATACGATGGTTATGAATCCCGTGACCCGTGCCTTCCCAGCTGTAGCGATACCCTCCTTCCTCAGGCAGGAGCTCGTTGGTCCCTCCCGCTCCCTCAAGGACGCCTTTCTCCTTCTCCTTCTCCCAGCTTCATTTCCTTTACCCTCGTCGCTCCTTCAGCGCGCCATGTCAACTTGAGAAACTCGCTATCTTGGTCTCTTTTGCACTTTGGTTTTCTTTTTTTGCCCGTCACTTCCCTGTACGCCACCTGGGTTGGTTCCTTCGGTTGCAACTTCGGTTGCAGCTTTGGATCGATGGATACCGATGCCCTCCAATGCATCATTTGCCCCGGGCAGCCTGATTTCAGTGATGTTTCTCACTTGTTGACCCATGTCGCATCCAAGGCTCATTTGTCCCACTACTTCAAACTTCAAGTTCGCAGCCACCAGGAGCTTCAGGCTCTAGAACTGCTCGATGAGTATGACCACTGGTACAAGGTCAATAACCTGGCACAGATGCTGTCCGATCGCATGACCGCCAAGGATGCTCGCAAGAAGAAGGCTCAGGGAAAGACGAGCAATGCCCATGTACCGCCTGCCAGGAAGCAAACGCACAGGACACAACCGGTGGAGCCCAGCCCTCGCCCAACTGGCTCAATCCTCGATTTCCTGGATCCCCGCCTGGCGGGTTCTTCCAAAGACGTGAAGAATGACCCCGAGACCGCGGACGTCTCGTTCCTCTCACCATACAGTACCCTGGCTACTGCTGCGGCGACCGATGCCCATGTGACTCCTCGTGTGAATGCAGCTATGTGCCCAAAACAGCCATCGAACAACTCGAAATCGAATACATGGCCGCAAGTGGCATATGGCTCTGGTACGACTCTTCCTGTGACTCCGAAGCGGCCACAAAGCGGAAGAATTGGTGAGATACCTTTTGACGAGGACAGCCCTGATCCCTTTGTCGACCGTGGTGGCCGTTCGAGGACCTTAGATGATGCCGAGGTTGACAAGGCCCGCGCCGAAGAGATGGCACGGCTCAAGGGAGTTCTTTGGCCTGGCATGGATGTTTTCGATTCTGCCACGCAGCAGATGCGACGCAAGCGCAACCAGAGAAAAGATAGCAGTGTTTTGAAGAGGATGGAAGCAACTTCTCTGCTGGTGGAGCCCACAGAACTTGTGTTCTCTCCCACGGGCATTTTGCGAAAGCAGCGTGTCATCTCGGGCAATGTTGAAGATGACAGCCCCTTGAAAGGAGAAACTCCTATTCCCAAGCGGCGTCCAGTTCGTCCCAAGCGTGGCATTCTGCGTCAAGGTGATCCCAATGTGCTTCGTGCTCAAGACAGAAAACGGACCAGAAGAGCTGGTCACCAGGGCTTTGACCGGGAAGCGGACGAGTCAGACGAGGAGACTCCTGGCTCCCCCCGTCCCTTCCGTCGTTTGGCGGGTCTCAACCCTTCGTATGCCGGCGATGATGGTGAATTTGGCCTCTCTGCTCAGGCGTTTGGAACACGACCTCGCAGCGCCTTTACCATCTTCGCTGATGAGGATCGAGACAAAACGAACTTCAAAGATCAGCGTCTGGACACCAAACTGCAGCTCGGCACGCTGACCCCCGCTCGGCTGTTTTTGGATCGCAAGTCGGATATTTCTGGCAATCACGGATCTCATACTGACCATGCCTCCCTTGGCAAGGAAAACATCGAACCCATTTTGAACCCCCAGGGCCGAATTGACAACCCTTGGCATTCTCCATTTTCCAAGCGCCGTGACTCTGTTGACACTGGATACATGCCCCGCTACTTTTCCAATGAGCCTTCAAGCGTGGGATTTGGGGCTGGCGATGACCATGAAAAAGGCGCATATCGATCGAACCCTCTGCTCGCTCCCTCCTCGAAGCTGGCGTTTTACGACAACAGTGGCTGGCCCACAATGTCGTACGCCGCTTCCTCCGAGGAAACTATCTCTGAAGATGATCAGCATGATTTCAGCCGGCTCTACCTGGACAGCAGTGCTGACTAGATCATCGAGACCTGCCCAGGTGATACGGGCGATTTCAGATTGTTACTTTTTAGTTCGGAGTGGAGTCTATACATATTGATTGTTGAGGCGTATGTGGCACTGGCAGCGGTCCCATCCTTCGCTTGCAGCTTTGATGACCGGGCATCTACTAATATCCCATGATTGTTATCTGCCACTGATGGTCAGGCGTGGGGGGTGGTTCAGTGTGGGTTCGGGACAGTGGGCGCTATACTTTAGCAGGATAGTTCTTTAATGAGTATTCTATATCACCCAAGTACTGCTTAGGCGTGATCGAGCCTCTTTTACTGGCCGGTGGAGTTGAACGCAAAATTTGAGGATTTCCCCTGGTTTGCATAGAGGCAGGGGCCCCGGGTAGACAAAATGCTGAGTCAGCCACTTAACGCCTCAGCGCGTTTCCTACGCGTCGAGTTGCCTTCGCATGGTTATCGCTGGACCTATTGGACATTCTTGGGATTTAATGTTTGCATGCCGATTCTTCCTATTTTCTAGATCTTTCTCTGTCGCGATTGCCCCAGCGTTCATTCCCGATACTGTGCCTCGGCGCCTGACAGTGGGAACACTGACAAGCCAGCGCCGTCGGCCACCATGGCGCCCCATTCCTCCCAGTCGTCCACCGAGCCATCTCCGTCTTTGAAGCGGAAGCAGGCCAGTATTTCGAGCTTCTTCTCCCAGAAAACTCCAGCCTCGCAACGTACCACGTCCAATCACCCTGAACCCGCCCAAGAGAAGGGGCCCAAGAAACGGCCCGCATCGCCAGACGAACCGAGCCACAAACCAGCAAAAGAAGATCCTATACTCGAGGAGGATGAAGATGAAAATGATGATGAGATTGTGACACCGGCCCCGAAACGCGCCAGGACCAACGGCGCCACCACAGACGAGCTGAGCCAAATCTCCACCAGTGTGCATTTCGAGCAGCCTTCACAGCCCAGCAGCAGCCAGCTTACGGATTTGTTCAAGTTTCAAAGCTCTCCTGCGGTTGCTCCAGAATCTACAGAAGACCAACCGGAGCAGCCCCAGCGGGGCAAAGAAAAAGAGAAACTACACCAGAAGTTTGTCCGTAAGCTCGGTGGAGCGGACTGCTTGATTGGGATCGGAAGGAGTGTGGCCAACGATGCTGCCGGGGATCAGGAGGAGGCCGCGGAAGAAGAAGAAGACGACGAGCCGGCCCCACCACCAACCAAAGGAAAAGGAGCCGCGAACAAGGGCGGGGCCAAGCTCACTCCGTTGGAGAGGCAGGTCATTGAGATCAAGCGCAAGCATATGAATACCGTGTTGGCAATTCAAGTCGGGTACAAGTTTCGGTTTTTCGGCGAGGATGCGCGCACCGCGGCGAAAGAGCTGAATATCGTCTGCATACCGGGCAAGTTCCGATTTGACGAACGTGAGTTCATCTTCAATCCTGAAAATTGGCAACAAGAACTAAATCAAGCCGGGCTTTCACAGATCCGTCCGAGACACACCTCGGCCGCTTTGCTTCTGCTAGCATTCCTGTACCCCGGTTACATGTCCATGTCAAGCGCCTCGTTACCGCGGGCCACAAGGTCGGGGTAGTGCGGCAGATCGAGACGGCTGCGCTCAAGGCTGCGGGCGATAATCGCAATGCGCCCTTTGTTCGCAAGCTGACAAACCTGTACACGAAGGGGACCTATATCGACGACATGGAGGGGCTTGAAGGCCCAGCTCCGGCCGCGGGCGGTGCGTCGCCGGCTACGGGGTACATGCTCTGCATTACAGAAACCAATGCCAAGGGCTGGAACACTGACGAGCGAGTTCATGTGGGGATTGTTGCTGTCCAGCCAGCCACGGGAGATGTGATCTACGACGACTTTGAGGATGGATTTATGCGCAGTGAGATCGAAACAAGACTGTTGCATATCGCGCCCTGTGAGATCTTGATTGTCGGTGACATGTCGCGGGCCAGCGAGAAGCTTGTTCAGCATCTTTCAGGAAGCAAAACCAACGTCTTTGGGGATTCGGTCCGGGTTGAACGGGCCTCAAAACCGAAAACCGCCGCCGCCGAGGCGCACAGCCACGTTTCGAGCTTCTATGCCGGCAAGATGAAAGCTTCCAATGCGGAGGAAGATGCGCAGGCTGCCAAGCTGCTCCAGAATGTGCTGGGCCTGCCAGAGCACGTTACCATCTGTTTGTCTTCCATGATTCACCACATGACAGAGTATGGCCTGGAGCATGTTTTCGACTTGACGAAATACTTCCAGCCATTCTCGGCTCGCTCACACATGCTTCTCAACGGTAACACGCTGGTTAGCCTGGAGATCTACCATAACCAAACCGATTACTCTGCAAAGGGTAGTCTGTTTTGGACGCTGGACCGGACGCAGACACGGTTCGGGCAGCGGCTGTTGCGGCGCTGGGTGGGTCGGCCTTTGCTCGACAAGGCACGGCTAGAAGAAAGAACCAATGCCGTAGAAGAGCTTACCAACCCTGCACGGACGGTCTCTGTGGAAAGGGTGAAGGGATTGCTGGGCAAGATTAAGAGCGATCTGGAGAAGAGCTTGATTCGGATTTATTATGGGAAGGTATATAATCAAATTTTTGTGGTGGTTATTATTGGTGCTAACTTAGTCTACAAAGTGCACACGGCCTGAGCTCCTCACCGTTCTGCAGACCATGCGAATGATCGCAATGGAGTTTTCGGATGTCAAGTCCCCCTCCGACACGGGCTTTGAATCACCACTGGTCAGCGAGGCTATCGCCGCTCTCCCAACCATTCAGGCAGATGTCATTCGGTTCTTGGACAAGATCAACCTCCACGCCGCGCGGAGTGATGACAAGTATGCCTTTTTCCGCGAAGAAGAAGAGACCGATGAGATTAGCGAACACAAGCTGGGAATAGGCAGCATTGAACATGAGATACAAGAGCACCGCAATGAAATCGCAGAACGTCTCGCGAAGAAGAATGCGGAGTACAAGACCATCTCCGGGATTGAGTACTTGATCGAGATTGAGAACAGCTCGGCACACATCCGACGTGTCCCAGCATCGTGGGTTAAAGTTAGCGGAACCAAGAAGTTCTCGCGGTTCCATACGCCGGAGGTAATCCAACTAACCCGGCAACGGGACCAGCACAAGGAAGCCCTTGCAGCAGCTTGTGACAAAGCCTTTGCATCTCTCTTGGCTGAGATCGCGACGCAATACCAGTCTTTCCGGGATTGCGTCCAGTCCCTTGCAACGCTGGACTGTCTTCTCTCTCTTGCAACCATCGCCCAGCAACCCGGGTACATCAAACCGGAGTTCACAGAGGATGCAGGCCTGCACGTCGAGCAGGGCCGCCACCCGATGGTCGAGCGACTCCTGCCAGACACATACGTACCCAACGACACAGACCTCCAGCACGACGCCACACGCGCCCTCCTCATCACAGGCCCGAACATGGGCGGTAAATCTAGCTACGTACGACAGGTAGCACTGATTGCAATCATGGGCCAAATTGGATCCTACGTACCCGCGGCATCCGCACGATTGGGCTTGCTAGACGCAGTCTTCACCCGCATGGGCGCCTTCGACAACATGCTAGCAGGCGAATCGACCTTCATGGTCGAGCTCTCCGAAACCGCCGACATCCTCAAGCAAGCCACGCCGCGATCGCTGGTGATCCTCGACGAGCTGGGCCGCGGCACCTCGACGCACGACGGCGTCGCCATCGCCCAGGCCGTGCTGGACCATATGGTTCGATCTATCCGCTCGCTCACCTTGTTCATCACCCACTACCAGCACCTGTCCCGCATGGTGCATTCTTTCCCCGACCACGCCTTGCGCAACATGCACATGCGCTTCACCGAGTCTGGTGAGACGGACGGCAACGAGGAGATCACTTTCTTATATGAGGTTGCTGAGGGCGTCGCGCACCGCAGCTACGGGCTGAATGTCGCCCGTCTGGCTAACTTGCCGTCCTCGGTGCTGGATCTCGCGCGCCAGAAGAGTGCTGAGCTGGAGGAGTCGATTCGTCGGAAGCGTCTGGCTGCGCTGGTGGGTGCTGTTGGTCGCGTTCTTGACGAGTCCAAAGAATTTTCTGTGGAGGCTTCGAGAGGTGCTAGTGAGGGGGGTCTTCTTGATCGGCTTGTTGCTAGTGCTGAGCAGTTGTAGTGAGTGCATATTTCTTACCTGCTGTATGTGGGCAGGCTGTACAATTCTTTTGTCATAATACTCATGTGGTCTTTGATAGATCATCTTATTCATCTTACATTCATCCCACTGTATATTTCTTGTCTGTTCCGTCCATAGCTATCCAAGCTGGTTCAATTTTGGATAGTCGAGGTTGTCATCTCAAGATGGTCGAGAAAGGGCTTGGTGTGTCACGTGGTATATATATATATACATATATCCAAAATGCAATTCATGGATAACACCGATGCGCTCATTCGAGAATGGAGCTATTCGAACTAGACCAATCTTGTTTGCTTCTGTGGGAGAGGACAGAATCGCCGGCAATCACTGTATACTTGGACAGATGGGGATTGAGATATATCGATGCCATATTACCTCGAGTCCGCTCGAGCAGCGAGGTATTGTCTCCCGCAGTCCAAGATTTCCTCAGTTTAATATGTACTACAATGCCGAATCTACAGCTGCCATTAATGCCTTCGACAGCAGAACCGGAAGTTTCAAATTTTTTTTCTTGGATTCCCATTGTTCATTTTGTCGATCAGGCCTGGATCAGCTCGGTGTCCAACCTCTCTTTTCTTCTCTAGTTATTGTTTTCTTGCCCCTGCGAGCAGCAACAAAAGGAGGAAAATAAAAAGAGACCCAAAAAGAGAAGAAAAAAAAATAAGGCACATCACAACCTCATTTGTCGCATTGAGCCCATGCAAGCACGCCCGAGTAGAGGGGAGAAAAATAGGGACGTGTGTATGTAGTAAAACACCGGGACCAAACCAGACCAGACCTTTTCCCAGACAAACTATAGCCCCTCGCGCAACCTCAATTCGTTTCTCATATGACAAAAAAACAAAGATAAAAAGAACAAATGCCTTTTTGTTTTTTTTATTGGTCGGTTGATGCTTTGTTTTGCTCTCTCTTCCCCTCTTCTCTCCCGTTCGACGGTACTTTTTTCTCGATCAGACTTTGTCCAAGACTTTTGCGGGGAAAGTCAAAAGTCATATCCACCCAGAATCATTGCCTCCATTTGATTGTCGAAACACGCGTGGACACGGGCCTCGAGGCTCAAGATATGGAGAACAATCATGGGCGGCGCGGCGGTCGAGGTTTAGATGGGGTTGAAGAAGGGGGGAGGTCAAGGGTAACGGCAGGAAAGGGAAACGCGGGGAACACGAAATTGGCCGAAGAACGATCAAGAAGAAAAGAAAAGCCGGACGTGAGGGATATGCGAGAGACGAAGAGAGACGAAACAAGACATGACGCGAGTGAAATGTCGTTTGGGGCGATTTTTAACGGAGACGGCGGGCCTCACGTTCGGACTCGAGCAGACACAGGATGTCGTCAACCTTGACTGTTGGTTGCGAGAATGAATCAGCGTTGTGGTTCGCGGGGTGAATTGTGGTTATTTTCCAAGTTCCAAAAAATTCATTCCCAGCATTTTTGACCATGAATTTCCTCCATCTTTCATGTTCCACCAAGCTTCCAAAAATTCAAAAGAAATCGAAATCGCATACCTGGGCCCTTGACGTTGCGGATGATGCTGCGCGAGGTGTCGTCCATGAACTCGACGCGGACCTGGGTGACACCACCACGGGATCCTAGAAAGCAACAAAAATCATATATTAGCATTCGCTGCCTTTGAAAATGCCTGTTTCCCATCATAAGACATGTTCCGGCGGTCGATCTGGGGTGCAATGGACACCCCGCGGTGTCTTGTCGAATTGTGGACTTGAGGCACATCGATTCAAGGAAATCACGTACCGGTGCGGCCGAGGACACGGGTCACCTTGACGAGCTTAACGGGCTGCTTGCTGGAATCCATCTTGGAGAGGAGGAGAGGGCGTTGAGCTCGAGGGTGCAGGGAGTTTGGGTGGACTGGAGGAAGAGACGGAGGTGAAGATGATTTTGCCGTGTGTGGGTTCGGCCAAATTACGCGAGGGCTCAGGGTTGTCGACACCTGAGCCGTCGGGCAGCAGATGAGTCAGCAGATCATCACTGACACCTGGGGAACAAGGCATCAACAATTTTTTGCGAATACTGCAATGCGATAACTCAATTGCTTACTAGAGTGCAAGAAATAATTATAGTAAATCTGGTGTAAACCGAAATGGCTGCTATCTTATTGCTCACCACGTGGGTGAGTTCTTGCATCTCCTTTGTTCTTTGGTACTTGCTGGTACCTTGGCCCGCCTGTTGGTCCCGCCGTCATCACTAGTACACCGCAGTAGACTGCCCCTCCAAATTTCTGTTACAAGTGCCCCGCGACTCCGTCACTGGTTTCTCTCCCCAGTCTTGTTGCCCTTCGCATCTCAATTGCTCCCTGGGACACTGCGGGTTTCTTGATTGCAATTGAATTGATTTCAGCGCCGCTCAGTCCGGACGACCGCTCCCGCAAATTCCATTTTCGCAAGTCCCCGCATCGCGTTCTATCGCCATGGATCTCGTCAACCAGTGAGTCAATCCCTTTAAGAAAGCTATAGGGGAGTTTCTGAAGTCCAATTACCACCAGCCTCGAAGGACGCCTCCTTTTCGCCGTCCCCAAGAGCAAGTCTCCCGCCCTACTACCGTGACTCATACCCATTGAAGCACAAAAGAAACCTGCGGTTTATAGCAAAGAAACACCCAATACTGACGGCGCAATCCCTCTCTATAGAAGGAAGGCTCCAACAAGCAACCCTCGACCTCCTGTCCGGCTGCGACGTCCAGTTCCGACGCGAAACACGCCTCGATATCGCGCTGGTCAAGAACCTGCCTATCGCGCTCATCTTCCTGCCAGCGGCTGACATCCCAACCTTTGTGGGCGAAGGCCGTGTCGACATTGGTATTACTGGCCGCGACCAGGTCGCCGAACATGACGCCACGCTGCCGCGCGGCGAGGTTTCTGGTGTCGAAGAGATCCTCGACCTTGGGTTCGGCGGCTGCAAGCTGCAGGTGCAGGTTCCCGAGAAGGGCGACATTTCTGAGTCGAAGCAGCTGATTGGCCGCAACGTGGTGACTAGCTTCACTGCGCTGTCTGAGGCGTTCTTCGGCAAGCTTGAGGGCGTTGGTGCGGACCAGAAACCCAGCACGAAGCTCAAGTATGTTGGTGGCAGTGTCGAGGCCGCGTGCGCTCTGGGCGTTGCGGATGGCATTGTGGACCTTGTCGGTATGTACACTGTTTCTGGTTGAGCGTGTGTATTTTTGGTTTTGACATTCTATTCTTCTTAGAATCCGGCGAGACCATGAAGGCCGCCGGCCTGAAAGCCATCGACACCGTCGTCGAAAGCACTGCCGTGCTGGTCAAATCGCGCAACTCGCGCAGCGACCTCCTGAACCTGCTCACCTCGCGCATCCGCGGTGTCATCACCGCCCAAAGGTTCGTCCTGTGCCAATACAACATCCCGCGCGCCGAGCTCTCGACCGCATCGAAGATCACCCCGGGAAAGCGCGCGCCCACCATCACCGCACTGGAGGAGGAGAACTGGGTGGCGGTGAGCTCGATGGTGGAGAAGAAGCGGATTGCCACGGTGATGGACGAGCTGAGCAAGGTTGGCGCGACGGATATCTTGGTTCTGAACATTGCCAACTCGCGAACGGACTGAATGATTTAATGGGATTTGGAATTTTGTTTGGTTTTTTTTTTTTCTCTCTGCATTTTCTTTTCTCGGCTTCTTTTGGTGGTGCCTCGTATCTCACATCTATATATATACCGTTTTGATCGTTTGCCTGGGGTTCTTCATTTTCGGGGATGTACTTTATCCCTCTTATTGTATCGATAAAATTGATTGGAAACATAGAAGCAAGACAGCATGGCCTGTCAAATGTAGATTGCGAATACTTCCACAGCAATAAACCAGTTGGGGTTGATTTGATAGTGAGAAGAAGTGTGAAAATACTTAACGGACTCGAGAAAGTACTCAGCCTTAACAGATATGAAGGTTTGTACTTTGTAAAGCTGGCTTCAGCAGCCATGCCAAGAAGATGTATATAGATTGCTCTGTACAAAATCTGCTCTATCTCTGCTTTTATCAATACGAAATACACCAACGCAGGGAATATAGTACAAAGGACAAGACCAGGCAGCATCAACACCCACCAACCCAACCGATGCAAAAGACACGAACGAAAAGTCATGACACATGATGGTGGTATCATCCAAAAAAAAAGAAATCATCATATAAGCCAAGCATATGCAAAAAAGAAGGTTCACAACTGAACCTGACTCCCCAATCCCACACCCTCTTTGCGGCCACGGACCACCGCCCTCAGACACTGGCCAACACCCTCGAGATCACCCAGCAAGCCCACATGGCCGCGGTCACTCTTGACCAGCCCGTCCTTGATAATCCGATACCCCGGCGGGAGCATCGCAGCCGAGGCCAGACACACGCCATCGCCCGCCGCAAAGGCCAGGTCGTCATAGGCATCCTGTTGCTTGATGGCCTCGCGCGAGGCGACGCGGGCGCCGTAGACGGTGGGCACGGTTTTACCGTACAGCACGGCGGCGGGTGGGTAGCGGTCTTCGGCTTGGTGGGACGGGCGGAACGCCAGGTTGGACTTGAAGCGCTTGGTTTCTGTGAGGGTGCGCTGCAGATACTCGATGGCGGCGGGTCGCGGGATCGTTGTCGTCGTGGAAATCTTGTTGGTTGCGGCGAGGCCACCCCGCGGGTTCGCGGTTGGGCCGACCAGCCCGTCGACCGGTGGCACGAGGCCGGGCCCGACCTTTTCGGAGCTGATGGCGCTGATAGTGTTGTGGTGTGGCGGGTTACGGGCGCAGAGCTCTTCGTCATCTGTTGTGGCGAGCCCGGTGTCGGAGGTCTGGTGCAGGTCTTGGAAGCTCAGGTCGTCTGCCTGGGGTGGTAGTGAGAGCCGCTTTCCGATCAATGGGATGTCCTTGAGGCCTTTTCCCATCGTGGCGGGTGGTAGGGCTGGGGCGATGCAAGGGGAGAGGCGGTACTCGTCCCAGGTACGTCCATCGAAGAAGTCAACGCGATACTCCTCTTTAGACTGCTTGTCGATGAAACAGTGGCCATCCTCGGGGAGGAGGGCAAAGCTGGTGCGGAAGCTGAAGTTCACTTGCGCCGTCAGCACGCGCGAACTAAGCAGGACTTCATCTCCGTTGCGCAGTGGGCCGAGGATGTTGACGCAGTGTTGGGGTACGCCCGCATACACGACACCAGCAAAAAGATCTGGCCGCTGATTTACCGCATGCCGGGTGATGAGACCGCCTAGGCTATGGGCAATGACAGTGGCACCGCGCCGATGTGCCAGAGCGCCGTCGGCTGGTATCTGGTTACATGGCAAGCCCTCGAGGAAGGCAATGAGCTTGCGAGACAGCAGCTCCGGGCTCAGCCGCCAGTCATACCCGTAATCCCAAACACGCAGGTCTCCGCGCACAGCATTGTCGCACTTGCGGAGCCGCTTCATCAGTCGCCGACACACATCCACGGGGCCGACATGGGAGAGCACGCCCGACGGGATGATGCTCTCCTCCATGCGTTCCTCATCCTCGGGCGTCAATCCAACCTCCAAATCCACCTTCCGAAGATTCAGTCCAACCTTCATGGGTACCCACAGCTGGCGCTGCGGTGGCTTTGCAGACCGCAATATAGAGCCGCGATAACCCCCCAGAACCACAACATCGCCTGTCAAGTCCGACATGGCTTCTTCCAGAATCGGATGCGTTGAGTTCGGATTGTTTCGCGGCGGCAGAGGCAGCGTTGCCGCCCGATGAGACGATGGACCGTTGACATTAGTAGTAGTAGTAGCAGCTGATGTAGTGCTTCCATGCTCCTGCAAGAATGGGAGGGAGGGCCAATCGGTGCGAATGTCCTGTAGATGTAGTGAAGGCATGCTGAGTAGCCGGCTACTTGAATCTTGTAGACTATCCTTGATCGCCTTGAACCGGCTGTTGACCTGCGAGTGTACATTCTCATACAACGGGCGCTGCTCTAGGGACGATGCCGTGGACGAGGCACGCAGATAAAGCGATTGATCCGATGACGACCTGCGCAGAGACGGGGGTCGACCTGGCATTACAGCGCTTGGTCGTCGTGCATAAGAATGTTTGGCAGCGGAGGTCCTATCTACGGACCGCAGTTCGGAAATAGGGTGAGCATCGTCCCCTTCTTCATCATCGTGGCTTATCTCCTTGGGAGCTCGCGTTGACTGTTGCCGATCTAACGATGAGGTCCTTGCCTGAAGACCTGGGTTCTGCTTTCCGAGGTTAGCCACCGTCTGACTGCGGGCCCGGTTCTGCGCATTCCCGGATCGGAACGACAGCGACGGCCGTTTCGTCAGCGATCCCAGGTCGGGGAGGAATTTCTTCAGTTCGCCCGACCAAGCGCGCGGCCGGCGTGGCAGAGAGTTCTTGAGGAGAGACCGTGTGAAGCTCGATCGCTGGCTGACCGAAACGGCATCTTTGATGTCGGGCGGCGTGCTCGGGCGCTTCTCGACGGATGAGGTACGGCGTTCCGGGCGCACAGGCGGGTAGGTGGTAGACGCCTTCCGCGCCGTTGCGCCCGGCAGCTGGCCCTCCTCATCCCCAGGCTTTTTCTCGGATTCCTTCTCCACTGACTCGGGCTCGGCGGTGATGTGGGACAAAAACAAGCCATCTTCGTCGACGACATCCGGCACAGCGGTAAAATAGCTGCCATTGCTCTCGAGGACTCGGTTTTTCTCTTCGGCCGGGGTCGCGCGAGCCTTCATGCGGCTCTGTTCGCGGCCAATGCTCACGCCGACGACATCGCTGGCGTCGTCCTCGTCCGCCAGCTCGGTCGCGGGCGGGAGCGGGTCGTCGCTGTCGGAGCTGGAGAAGGACGAGTAGTGCGAAGGGGACTCGGAGGCGACGGCATTGGAGGACGAGGCGGACGAATACGACGTCTGCTGCTTCTGTTGGGACGATAGCGTCGAGGAACCCGCCCGCGCCCGCGCCCGCGGCGCCAGACCCCGACGACCAGGTTGGTCGGCGGAGCTGGAAGCCATTGTGAGTTGTACCTGGGGCGAATAATCAAAGATAACCTCAGACTTCGTCAGGACATGGGGGTGGAACAATGTGCGACTGTGCCCCAGAAACTTGGCTCATGCACCTATGATGCAATGCGGCGGGACGTACAGAGCTTCGAGAGGTCTGGGGGGGGCGATTTAGACCACGTGGAATGTATATATATACCTTGCAAGATACTCGAATATAGGCTGAACAAGAAAGCAAGAAGTCAAGGTATGAAGAATTAGGGACAAGTGACAAGTAATTTTGGGGGGATTTTTTTTTCCCATCAGTTTTTGGCCAGAAATTCCAGGACTTCCCGGCCACTCTTAACCCGCAAACAGCGGGTTCCACCGCACAGCCTCTTCGGCCCCAAAGATCGCGATGGTCAACATGTGAGATCGTCGACCAGGCTTCAAGTTTTCTGTTTTCCTATGTCGAACATGATCGGCGCACATCGTGTGGTTGAGCCCGGGAGATCGCCCTGGTTTCCAAAATTGATTGATAGTGGATTCAAGCAGGCTGTGTGATGAAGTGTTACTTCGCCCTGGAAGTACATATACGATGTCATTATTCACATATTACATCAATCACATCAATTGGGCAAATTTCCACTCTGCTTTTCACTAGACAGGGGGCCTTGGTGTTGGTGATCTGCGACCCTGATAAGTGGTGCCTAAGGCATTCATATAGTTATCCAGACCTCGGGCAAAATATAAACCGAGCTACGGTAGATCATGACCCGAAGTGGTATTCAATGTCAGAATGTCTTGTAGATTCTATATTCTGCTTCTAGCTGTTTGATCTCGTGCGCTTTGGACCAGCCATTTTCACAGCCAGTCACAGCAGAGGTCTAGGTGTAGGGGGGACCTGGGATATCTATTTGATTGTAGAGACCCAAACGTCCCTTTCCAACAGGCTTGAAAACGGGGCGACCACCTTCGAAACATCTGTAACCAAGTGCTGTGTACACAGATCCTTGTTGTGCACTCAAGTCCACTATTCCCCTAGTCTCTTGTGCACCCATCTCCCCTCTCTCCTCTGCCCCCAGCCAGAGTACACCTGGAGGCAGTTCTCACTTTCAGTTGGGACAAGAGCATCTTATCGCCTTGTTTGAACTTCGTGCCTCGCCTTAGGGGGGTGCAGTACTCTTCCAAGGTTGGAACCTTGGAATAGTTACCCCGAAGCGGCTTTGTCATCAGCCATCCATCCATCCATGGATGGATGGATGGATGGATGACTTCAACATCCGCCCAGCCTCCATTTCATCTCTTTTTCCTTTTCAACAAGACGGCAGTGCTGCCATCATGTCGACTCCTCGCAACGAGATCTTCAATCCCGTCGTCCCTGGTTTGCCTTCTAAGGGCGCGGTGGTGCGTCTCTGCAGGAAAAGGGGCCGCGAGTCCAGTACCGTCACCTATTCCACTCGTGGAAATACCTTCTCGATCAAAGATAGACACACTAGTATGGAGGAAGCCCACGCACAGGTCTTTTTCCATCGGGAGATTCAGAAAAGAACCAACTCCCCCATCCGGATTCCTGAGGTCTACCGCGCTTTTCAAGAGGATGGCATAACCTACATCGTCATGGAGCATATTAACATCGACTTCGAAAGAACTGCTTCAGATGAACAGAGAGCACAAGCCATTTCTGAGTTGATTAGTATCCCACCACCCCCAGGGGTCTTTGGGAGCTTGAGTGGTGGGCCTTGGAGACATTATTTCTTCCGAGACGCCGAGCCACCAGTTTTGTTTTCTTCTGCTGCCGAAATCGAAGGCTATCTTAATAGAGTATGTGCTCTATACTTCAATCTAAGGATATTGGTCCGGCTAACACATATTTAGTGCCTAGCATGGTTTAACACCGTCACGAAGAGACAAGATAGAGTGGATTTCAGCAGTGAACCGCTTCTATGCTACTATGCAAATATACACCCAAGCAACTTTCCTGTCGACAAGCATGGTCAGCTCTGGGTAGTTGACTTTGATCAAGCCGGGGTTCTCCCTTCAAGCTTCATGGATTATGCAATCGTGGCATATCCTAGAAACCGTCTGCCAATCCCTATTAGGAAGACGATCCCTCTACCGGAGACATCAAACCTGGGAGCCCTATTGCGGGTCGGCTATGTGACCAGAAATATTACGAATGACTGGCGTATGCCCGCTGCTTTCTTTCTCTATTCTCTTGCTTACACTGTGTATAGATATTCCCCCAAAGGTATCAACAGAGGCTGATACCGAGTCCCCGTCAACCAGCTGATACATTGCACACTTGTGAATGCACTATTACGGCCATTGAACAAGCGACCTCATCGGTTGTCTAAAGTATGTGGTTGATGAGAGAGCGGACGACTCAGTTAGATGGGAATACTGGCTGGCGATCATTGAATACTCGCACTCCGAGCCAGTGCCAGAAGTTTTTGCAATAGTCAATTGAGATCTTTAGGATTGTTTAGCTATTAAAGAGGTAGAAGGTAGGAGAAAGTACAAAAGAGCTTTGAAATCTAGGCTGACTATGGGTGGCCTGCCTAATGAGGCCTCCTTCCTAATTAAGTAATTGTTTGCTATGGCTCCCTTATGTTTTTGAAAAACTCCCTCCAGTCACGAATCAGGGACTAGTAGCCTAGCGGAAATGGTGCACCACCATCCCCCAAAGGGGGAACCTGTACACCAAGTTCACGCAGGCCGAGGGTCCCTGGTTCAAACCCAAGAGGGGGGCGGTTTAGAGGCACTGAGCTTCATAGGGGCCCCTCCCCTTTTTGTTTTTCGTATCTTTATCTTATTTTATTTTAATTCTATTTTTCTCTCCTCCCTGCCTTTTTCTTTTTACGAGTATATTCAACATCACTGTCAGTTTGTATCCGTAGCTGTTGACAAGGAAGAGCTACACAACTATATCTATCAACTTGATAACCCCAGATTTAAGTGATCTCGCTAAGTATCAGCAGTGTATAGTAAATCTCTCTGAAATAATGTACAGCATCAAAGCTACCTTCATCACCGTGCTCCCTCAAATCTCATCTGACATCCGAGGCGGGTTCCTCGATGGCATTTGTACTTTGTCATACCGGTTCTAGTAGTGCCCGATCCCACAAGTCATACGAGATCAACGCCAAGGACGACTAAAACACTATAGCGATGGCCGCCAGGGTACGAGTCATTGTCACAGAAAGGATTGCGCCCGAGCACGGGCGCCGTTAAAGCAAGGCTGCTTAAACTACTATTGCCCGGTAGACTTTTGGGAGGAAGATTGGGGAAGCTGTCAATATCCCCGGAATATTCAAAGCCCCATATTCTCCATATGGAGTCTCATTTTCAACCTCCATTTTCTTCTCTCAATATTTCTTTCTTTGCATACATTGGATTATCAGCATCATGGCCATTCTGCGCTATTTTGACTGGTCGTCTTGATGGGCCGTTATTGGTCAGGGCATTGCTTTTGAAAAGGATTTCCCATCTACGCACGAAGTTGTTGGTTTTCGGACTGTCTCAAAAGTGAGTTTACTCCCCTTTCGTTTTTACCTCTTTGCTCTGGGGTTGTTCACTGATTGTTGGTTTTGTGGGATCTAGGAACTAGCCGATATATACGACAATCATGGCCTGACATATCAGTCTGGCTATGGCGTAGGCCAACTTGGCCAAGGAGTATATCTCACGCCCGGAGTGGGCCAATATCAGATTCGTGACGACCCGCCTTGGTTTGTGAACTCCCTCCACATAAATTCTTTTTTATGGGTAAGGATGGAGCTGGCTGACATCTTGTGGGAATCAAAGGTACTGTGCCGTTGCAGCCAATTCCGCCAAATTCTAAGATATTGCCGAAGTTTGGGTTCAGGGACGATGGAACACCGGCGGCTGTGATGGGCGACGTGGAGATGGCAACGTGGATCTGTGGTCGACGGGGATCAGGAACAAAGATGAGTTTATAGAGAAATATTTCTCTTCATTGGATGTGGATGGGAACACGAAGAACAGTGTTCGCATGCCATGGACCCTCTTGCCGTACGAGGGTGATGACAATGTCATCCAATTCGTTCTCACCCCTGCTATGGTGAATGATAACGAGGGCGGGTTGGATATGAAGCGGAGATTCGGTACTGTAGATTAGCATCGTTGGACCAAAATCTATGGAAAAGCGAGGATTGATGAGCTGGGTTACGCTTTGTGTTGGGGTATAGTTACATCTCCTGGGGAGAACTTCTGATGCCGGTGTTTTTAGGGCTGGGCCCATCTTTCTGTATCTGGACATTATAAAAGCCTGTGGTCTAGTTGGTCTATATTGATTTCCTACCAATGGACCTATTGATTCTGAATCCTAGTGGATGTTTTTTTTACAATCGTAAAAGGTGTTCAAAATGCATCAAGTTAACAGCATATCAAATTATCCCCAAGTCCACAGATGCTATCATAATATCACACGTTCCTCGTAATCCTACTCGTACAACAATCTTATTACCGACCCGATGAAAACTGCCCCGTCTGTATCTCCTGCTCACCCTTACGCGCAATCTCCTGGTTGCGCTCCGCGCCCTCGTTAGACCCAAATGCCCGATCCACTGCAGCATTCAGCGCCCCACGCAGCGATTCACCCGCGCCCTACAATAATCAGCACCATCCTGGCCATTTTGCTTTACATATTGGCAAAAGAAGTCTACCACTTACGTGGATCCCAGCCGCAGCACCCTTTGCTCCGCGCCCAACATCCTCGCTCGCCTGAGAGGCCCGCGACCCGAGCCCCGAGACTTTGTCACCCTTTGTTTCGCCTTGTGCCTGGTCCTCCATCTTCGCTCGCTGTGCCGTGCTCGGCGCATGCTGGATGCGATCATCCTGCCTCGCGGTGAGGTCATAGCTGTTTGATGGCGAGGCTGGTTCGTGGTGGTGGTGATGTGGCCCGCCTGCGGACGAGGTCGAGTATCCTGCACCTGTTGCAGAGTTGTACCCCGTCGATGTGGGATCGTACTGCGCTCGCGTATCTTGCACCCCGGTGGGTGCGCCGGGTGCCCCGGTTGAGGAGCCGTGGGCGATGCCGACGCCGGTGGTGTCGGTTGGTTTGGGGTAGTTGCTCATTGTAATGGATATTATTTTGATAAGGAAGTACGTGGTATTATTGTTGGTTATTGTTGGAATTGAATATACTTAAAAAAGTGTAGACATATTCCCGACTATATATACTTCCACTCTCGATGGCAAGCTACGGATGACGTCAGGCTGAACACATAGCTTATACTCCAGATTTTAGTGATGGCCAATGAGCTTGCGCCTTAAAATTGCTATCTAGCCTCGATTATCTCATCGATGCTATGTACTTTGTTGCTACTGAGCATGCCTTCGTGAGTTGGGAACGGAGTTTTAACAGTATAACCGGCCCATCATTCGATAGCTGGGAGTGTATTTCACAAAAGATGGAGTTATTTAAAAAGAAAGAAATACATCGAAGTTTCATAATTGGGGATAAGTGTATAAGCTCGATATACATCCAAGTCGTTGTGCCGAGGTCCAACCTGTCGCCCAGGAGCAATTTTCCTAATTGGGGGCGTCTCCGATCCCTCCAACTTGCAGGACTCTCAGCCTTTTCTCGGTTGCTTCGGCTGTCTTCCTTTTCTTTTCTTCTTTTCTTTTTCAAACACTCTCTGTTGTTTTGTGCATAGGCTTATTAACATTCACCATGTCTAACAAACAAATCATCTACAACACCCCGCCGACGTCGTCCATCGACCCGTCGCTGAGCTCGGGCACCTTTCGACTCCACACTGTGCCGCGGCCCGAGCAGGTCCCCGCCGACAAAGTCCTGGTGCGCGTGCATTATCTCTCACTGGACCCGGCGATGCGACAATGGCTAACAGCCAAGCGATCATATATTGCGCCCGTTGAGCGCGGCGCCGTCATGCGCGGACAGAGCATCGCACAGGTCGTCGCAGTGGGCAGCGATCTAAGCTCGCAATACCAGCTTGGCGACTGGGTGGTGGCATACTCGGGTTGGCAGGAGTATGCGGTGGTGGGCGCGCGCGAAGCCGAGAAAGTGGCCGTGCCGCCGGGCGGCCGCCCCACCGACGCGATGTCGGTGCTCGGCGTGACGGGGCTGACGGCGTACTTTGGGATGCTGGAGGTTGGACAGCCGCGGCCCGGCGATACCGTGGTGGTGTCTGGTGCGGCGGGCGCCACGGGCATGGTGGCGGGCCAGATCGCGCGCATCCAGGGCGCCAAGCGTGTGGTTGGTCTAGCGGGGAGTAAAGATAAGTGCGAGTTCCTGGTGCGCGAACTGGGTTTCGACGCCGCGGTCAACTACAAGGAGCCGGACTGGCGCAAGCAGCTTAAGGAAGCTACGCCCGAGTACATTGATGTCTTCTTTGACAATGTTGGCGGCGAGATCCTCGATGCTTGTCTGGCCCGCGCCGCCCGTGACGCACGCTTTGCTATCTGTGGCGCCATCAGCCAGTATAATGCCGCGAAGCCCCAGGGCCCTGCTAGTTTTATGTTTGTGATTGTGAGTCTGCCACAGCATTGTCGCCTTTATGGGTATTCGTAGCTAATGATCCGCCGCAGTCGCAACGAGTTACCATGAAAGGCTTCATCGTCTTCGACTACGCTAAGAAGTACCCGGCCGCACTGAAGGAGCTGGCCTCCTGGTTGGCGCAGGGCAAGATCAAGCGCAAGGAGCATATTGTGCCGGGTGGTTTGGAAGCGGCACCGCAAGCCCTTGTCGATCTTTATCAAGGTGCCAACACGGGCAAAATGATGGTCGAGGTGGCTCCAGTGGGTGAGGCGCAGACGAAAGCCAAGCTGTAAAGAAAACTACATATATTCCGGGAGTTCTACTGGCTTTATATATCCATGGACCAGGCTAAGGCCCAATGCTATCTGTGACGACCATCTGTAGCAATTGGGTGCCGCCTTGTGTGTTTACAGCATATCGATATGAGGCAAGACCAACCCCAAAATCAAAGAAGCTGAAGATGATCCCTTCAGAGCTATTCAACCTGAAAGGTTTATACACTTAAGACTAAGCTATTCGATCATATTGCTCAGGAAGAGCATCGAATCAGTCCCCTTTCTCTCCCGCTTCACAAACCACGACACTCTTGATCCACTCCGAGCACAGCATATCGGCTGCTGTAATACGTTTCTGGGGGTTGGGATGTAGCATCGCATAGATGGCGTTACGCCGTCTCTAAGCAGCGATTTTAGTAAAAAGCTGGAAAATAGACAGGGGGCACAATAAACACATACTCTTCCGAGTGCCTCAATAAGCGGATACCCATCCTCTCCACCCCGGCAGCGGAGATACTCTAGATACCGTCCGTCTTCATGGTACGGCTGGGCACTACGCCAAAGGAGACGGCCCGTGATGAGGGCCATGTATATTGTGCCAGTGGCCCAAACGTCCGCAGGACGAGGATCATTGTCTTTTTCCTTGTCATCATTTCCATGCTCTAAGTCGCAATGAGAGGTAGAATGAGGTTGGCGGTGGAACCATTCTGGTGGACGGTACGAGAGGCTCAGGCCGGGATATGACGCAGTCGATGGGCTTTTGGTCGGTACGGAGTTGCGAGGTGATGTGGACTGCGGATGGGGGGATGGAAGGAAAGAAGACCACGGCAACGAGAGAGGCCATGGACCCAAGGAGGGTGGCTTTGGCTGTTGAAGACGGGACATATGTTCATCTGCCTCAGACGATACGACACACTTCTCCCAGAGTCGCCGGATGTGTCCGTCTCCAAACCCAGCGAGTTTGACCGCACCGTGAGCGGTGATCAGAACGGACTCCAGGCGAATATCGCGGTGTGCAGTATCATGTTCATGCAAGAAATCGAGAGCCCGCAGGATCTGTGTGACCAGACAGTCGGCTTCAACGGTTGGAAGCGGACCGGTGCGAGTGAGCAGAGCGCGTAGATCGCCACCGGCACAGTAGGGCATGACCACACAGAGCTCTGAACGTTCATTGTAGAGGAGATCGAGGATTGGGAGAATATTGGGGTGGTATGGATGTGCTTCGGCCAAGGAGTGAGAGGATATTGTATGGGCGGTTGACGTGGGAGCCGAGTTGAGGATAGAATGCCGGTATACCTTGATTGCGAGCAGTTGCCGTGACTTCGAACCCGAGAGGGGAGCTTTGTGCTCGTGGAGACGGATTGTGCTGTCGTTCCCATAGTGAATAATTTCACGGCAACGGCCATATTTGTCTGTGAAGGAGAATTCCAGCTCGAATAGCTGTGTCTGGCTGCTGGATGCTATTGCGGATGTCTCCGATCGCATCAAGGGTTGGCGATCCGTCGAGACGGACGCCAAGCTAGGTGAATCTTCATGTTTAAAGATGGACCTGCGGCGCTTCAGGAGGCTATGGGATGTGCTCAGCTCTTCGAAAAGTGAGCCTGTTTGGCATAGATGGTGATGGTGATCCGCAACTTGGTCAAGGTGGTGCACAGCAACGGCTGTCCAGTTATTCGGGGGCTGTGCGGTCTTCATGGACATCTAAATGGAAGGAGAAATACTTTCAATAGACAAGAACAGATTTTGGCAGCAGCCGAGCAGTGTATTTTGGCGTCAGGCCATCGAGTCTTCTTTTATAGATCTGGCCACTTGCGGTGAGTCCCCCTCATTGTTTTGGGCACTTCTTTTCCCAGTTTCGAGAACGGGGAAAGGGAAAAGGGAGTACAGTGGCATAGTAACATGTCGAATACTTGCATCACTATCTCCACTCAGCCGTGGTTGATTGTGACTAAAACAAATATCCTCCCGGCGGTTCTGGGGCCATTTGGACCTGCCGCCATTGGGTGCGGCAAACCGCTCACGATGATCCTTTTTCCCCCTAATCGAATGACCTGGTGACTGAGCGATTTCCTGGTAGTCTGATCGAAACTATTCTAAATCTCACGCAGAGCAGAATTTTCAACCCCGGTGTGTTGGGGTGGGAGATGTCAGAGGCTCGTCGCCTGCAAAAAACCGATCTGTGGCGAGGAAAAATCCCGCACGGCAACCATCGAATTGTCGGCTCACACCACACACACACTTTTGGTGTGGCTGTGACAGAAACAGCGGAAGATGCGCCATTTTCGCTGTTATTTTCTGCTCTGGCGGTTGGTTTTCCAAAGAACTCATCGGCGTGAACCACGGGATGAGCTCGACGAAGTTAGGGCTGGATCGAAAGCAGACCGGGTTATGTATTGTCAGATGTCAGCCACCTCACATTATGATTGGCCCAAAGAGCTTTGGGAAGAGCTTTGAGAATGAAATATTACCGTATGGATGATACTATATGGAGTCTTGCCTTGACTTGCTTCCAGCTGTGGCAGCTATCATGAATGAGCTATTTCTTTGCGGGCATCGGGTACCTGTCCTTAGTATGGCAGACCGTCAGTTCTTCAGGTACTCCAGGTACCTCTGGAGATAATGTAATCTGACCTCGATCCTTCTCTTCTCCTTTCCATCCTCCACTCCATCCGCACGGACTGTCGCACCAGAGGCTCCCTGGCCCCTCGCTAGAGCTGTCGCGTGGCTCTCGTGCATCGGAGCATTTTTGCTAATATTACCCTTCTCCCATTCTCCCGGGGCGACGTCTCGCCTTCCCAACCATCTCGAGGCATCAGTCAGTGTCAGCTCGATCTGGTCTAGTTGACAGCTGCCTTCAGACCTACTTAAGGCCGTGTCGCGCACATACCATTTGCCCCCTGCACTGCTTTCTCTGAATATCTATTTTCTCCTCTCTCCTCTTGCCGTACCAATAGTGGGTGTCGAGCTGTCCCCCCTCATCATCGTCTTTCATCAACGCCACACTCTATTCAGACAGTTTTCACCATGGACCCCCAAGAGACTCACAGCAAGTCCGAGCTCGATGTCGAGTCTGCCAGTGATCAGGCCAAAGATGATTCTGATAGGACTGGACGCAGCATGCGGATCACATTCGAGGAATCCCAATCTGCAGATGGAACGCGGTCAATCTACCAGCCTGCGCAGCTTGGACGCACTCGGTCCGTGAGTCGTGATACAATCCACAGCACCCACAGCAGCATCCAAAATGCCGCAGGCACCGCGGGGTTTCCTATTGAATTCCGAACCCTCTCGATTCAAATCTCCGAGTCCCAGAATGCGACAAAGCAAGTGGATGTGGAGGAGCATAAGGAGAAGCAGACTCACCAGGACTACTTTGAGAGTCTGGATTTTCATACTCTCTCACAAGAGAAGCTGTGCCAGGAATTCAACGTCGATCAGCGTACTGGGCTCAGTGCCTCTTCTGCCGCCAAGCGCCTTCAGCGTGACGGCAAGAACGTCATTGCCCACCACCGGGAGAACTACCTCAGGAAGATCTTGTTCTATGTCTTTGGTGGCTTTTGCTCGGTGCTCTGGGTTGGTGTTGTTATCTTCTTTATATGCTGGCAACCTCTGAGCAACCCGCCCTCACCTACCAATCTTGCCATGGCCATCCTGATCATCATCGTCATCACACTGCAGGCGAGCTTCTCGGCATTTCAGGACTGGTCGACAAAGCGTGTCATGAACTCGATTTTGAACCTTCTCCCTGCAGAAGCTATGGTGCTGCGCGACGAAAAAATGATTCGCCTCCCTACCACCGAGTTGGTTGCTGGCGATATTGTCCACATTGGCATTGGAAACAAAGTCCCCGCAGACATGCGCATTCTGCAGAGCTCCGGAGATGTTCGCTTCGATCGTGCAATCTTGACTGGCGAGTCGGAAGAGATTGATGGCGCTATTGACTCCACAGACACCAACTTTCTCGAGACGCGCAACATCGCCCTGATGGGAACCTGTGTGACAAATGGAAACGCGATTGGTGTCGTTGTACTCACTGGCGCCCGGTCTGTTATGGGTCGCATCGCAAAAATGACGTCCGGGGTCAAGCAGAAGCCAACCTTGATCCAGCGTGAGATCACCCGCTTCGTCACAATTATCGTCTGCTTGACGGTCACCCTGGCCTTGTTGATACTTTTCACCTGGCTGGGATGGCTTCGCAGGGACCATCCTACGTACATGAGTGTGGTGGCCATGCTAAACAATGTCATGGGCTGCGTGGTGGCTTTTATCCCCGAGGGTGTACCTGTTGGCGTGGCCCTGACCCTTATGATGGTCGCCCGGCGCATGAAGCAGACCAACATCTTGCCAAAGGGACTGGCAACCGTGGAGACTCTGGGCTGCGTGAACGTGATCTGCTCCGACAAGACCGGAACTCTGACCCAAAACCGCATGTTTGTCAAGTCACTTGGCATGGTGGATTGGGAGTACAGTGTCGAGGACCTGGCTCCGGGTGAGTTCGGCACATTTGACGTCCCGGATGGCCTTGCAACTTTGCTACGTGCGTCGGCCCTCTGCAATGACGCCAGTTTTGACACGACGACCTTGAGCTTGCCCGTTCATGAGCGGGTTGTCAACGGAAATGCCACAGATGCGGCAGTGTTGCGGCTTGCGGACAGCGTGGGCTCAGCGGCACCAAAGGTTCTCGCTCCATATGAACGGGTGCACCAGATCCCGTTCAATTCCAAAAATAAGTGGATGCTTACCATGCACCGAGACCCTGCTGTATCTAAGGAATACCTGGTCTATGTCAAGGGAGCGCCAGATGTGCTCTTGTGTCGTTGCACTTCCTACTGGTCTTCCATACACAATGGCGTCCGCCCACTGGATGAAGATGCCCGTCAGAAATTCTCAGACTTTCAAGCGAAGCTGTCACGTCGAGCAGAGCGAGTAATTGTCCTCTGCCAGCGGCACTATGTGCCGCGTAATGAGCCCGGATCCAACGGGTTCAGCGACGAGATCATGAGTTCAGCGGTACAAAATTTGACCGTCATGGGAATATTCGGCATCATTGATCCACCACGAACGGAGACAGCCCAGACGGTGGCGGCTTGCCGGCGTGCAGGAATTCGGTTCTTCATGGTGACTGGCGACTTTGGGTTGACTGCGGCGGCCATCGCCCGCGCTATCGGGATCTACGATGGGGCAGTTGAGCCAGACAAAATCGATGATCTTCGAGATACTATCGATGTTGCAGCAGAAGTCAAGATGCCACGCTCGCGACATAGTCTGCTTCTCGAGGGGCCTAGCCTCTCGTCATTGACGGAAAAGGACTGGGACACGGTCTGTGGATATGACGAGATCGTCTTCGCCCGCACGAGTCCCGAGCAGAAACTGCGGATCGTGACAGAGCTCCAGGCACGCCGCAAGGTAGTTGCCGTAACAGGCGATGGCGTCAACGACGCACCGGCGCTCCGAGCAGCAGACGTGGGCGTTGCTGTCGGTTCCGGCAGTGATGTGGCCATCGAAGCAGCCGACCTCGTCCTTCTCGACCGGTTCGACTCGATCGTCGAAGCCATCCGTCTGGGGCGGCTGGTCTTCCAGAATCTGCAGAAAGTCATCGCATACCTGCTGCCAGCAGGTAGTTGGTCCGAGATCTGGCCAGTGCTGATGAACGTCTTCTTCGGGGTGCCGGCGCCGCTCAGCTCGTTCCTCATGATCATCATCTGCGTGTTCACAGATCTCTTCCTGTCTCTGTCTCTGATCATGGAGAAAGAAGAATTCGACCTCCTCAGCCTCCCGCCACGCCGTCCAGCCGCCGACCACCTCATCAACCTCCGCATCTACGGCCAGTCCTATCTCTTCGTCGGCGTCATGGAAGCCTTCAGCGCCCATGCCATGTTCTTCTTGTACATGTACCGGCACGCCGGTATTCCCTTCCACGATCTCGTGTTTGCCTTTGAGCGCTACACCAGCGGCTTCCACGGCTACTCGCAGGACCAGCTGACCCATTTCAACAACGTCGGTCAGTGCGTCTATTTCGTCACCCTGGTGATCATGCAGTGGGGCAATATTCTGTCCGTCCGCAGCAAGCGCATGTCTCTCCTCCAGGCTGATCCCATCCGCCCAGCCCGTCGCAATCCCTGGCTCCCTCTGGCTATGTTGATATCCCTCATCATTGCGATCTTTGTGACCGAGGTTCCAGGCATCCAGTCTCTCTTTGGTACCGCCTCCGTGCCCATTGAGTTCTGGTTGATTCCTCTCGGTCTGGCGCTAGGCATCCTGGCTATGGATGAGCTGCGCAAGGTGCTGGTGCGCCTGTTTCCCAATGGTCCGGTGGCGTGGGCTGCTTGGTAAGAGAAGAGATGAAATGAAACGAACGGAGAGAGATGGCGTCAGTTGATGATTTCTTTTTCTTTTTCTTTTACATTAAAAGTGGTTTCAGAACTATTCGGGGTAGGAGTCTGCCTATCATAGACGGAGATTAACTGCTCGAATTATCTCATGTCTATACTTAAAAAAGTAGAGTACAGACTAGATGAACGATAGCAAACATACTCCAGATTGAACACCCAATATCAAAGAGGAACGGCCTTGATCTGCTGAATACCACTAATGAGTATCGATGGCCCAAAAGAGAAAGAAAAAGTACAATGCATCAGGTGGGGGCGTGAGTAGATAAGTAGCTAAAAATACAGGTAGAAGAAGGAGTAAGGAAAAGAGAAAAGAGAAAAGGAAGAGAAAATAAGAGACAACGAGAAGCACGGAGAAAAAAAGCAGCTGTTGATGAATGCAGTAGGTTGGCTACATGAAACACACACACACACACACACACATCCATAGCCGCGGAGAAGGAACCCAGGAATCAGCGAACGAAGAACAAGGGAAACCAAAAAAAGGTATATGGGAATAGACAATAGACACTAAGGCCAGTCATATCGGTTCAAAGGCCCATGAATGTGGGTCATTTATGGCATGCGCATCCTTGCTCTTTTCACCTGAGTAGCCAAGAAACCACAAGATGAACTTGGAGGTCGCAGTAGACAATCACTTGGGTATTGTATCCAGTCGAGGACGCGCAATGGTGGAATGAAAGAAACGAAAACGCCAAGTCAAACCCCGTAACAAAAAAAAAAGCAAAAAGGCTACTGCCGCACTTTCCCAGCTTCTCTGACCGCATCCATAAACCCATCCTCGTTACCAGCAGCAGTGAGAACCCAGTAATCAGCGACACCGGGATTCATTATTTGTCCGCCGCCAAAGCCCGCCGCAGCGGGAGCACTGTGGCGGTCTTTGGGCTTCTGGTTGTTGGCCCCGACATGGCGGGGTCCCCAGCCGAGGATGTTGCGCACGGTAATCCGAGACTGGTCATCCAGCTGGTGGAAGGAAAACAACTGCGCTTGAAGACAACTGAGAATAGCCACGGCAGAGCGAATCATGATGCGATCGCCCTCGAAAACCCAGCAGTCCCAAACACGGGAGATGCGGTCGAGGTCGAGGCCGTTGGTGAGAAGGGTGCGGAAAATGGGCTCCCAGATTTCCTCCTCGGAGAGACGCAGCGTTTCGCGCAGGTGAGTTGCTAGGCGCGGGTACTTGTAACGCAACGTGTCGGAAGCCAGTCCGTAGGTACGCGCCATGGCGCCACGGTCCCATGTGAGGAAGGCGACTGGGAGAGGCCGGTTGAGAACGTTGGCCATGGCCAGGAAGGCAGAGGCGGGGGTCGGTAATTGGAGGACAAGAAGAGCAGCAATGGTCTGTCCGGGAAAGCTCGTTAGTATATTGCTCCAACTCAGGCCGATCTCAAACACTTACGTGAAGGCCATGGATGTACCCCACGTCGCTGCGGTACATGCAATACGCCTGCAGGACATTGATGAGGGTTTCTCGCAACGGCCCGCTCTCTGAGAAGAGATTCAGGTCCGGGAAGGCCTTCGGCACGTCTGCTTGGATTGCATCAAAGCATTCCAGCAGTCGCTTGTTCTTCTCGTTCGGATCCGCCTCTTTCTTATTCTGCAAATCCCTGGCTCGTTGTAACGCTTTGGTGAATGTTTCCTCGCTCAACTCTAGTTCGTTGCCAATAGCGCGTCGCCATATGGCGGCACGGTTACGTGGAGGAACTCCGCGCCACCAGAGCTCTCGAGTGCGAGGCTCGCGCAGAGCACGTTCCCACTGAGGGCAGACATATTGATCCCAAAGACTCTGGAGCGTCTCTCGGGTGGTATCCTTCTCACATTGGGCAGACGCAGCACGAGCAGCTTTGCGTTTTTCTGAAATAGTCATTAGACAACCTTCGAGCGGGAAAGCAAGCCACTCTACTCACCGGTTTCCTGCGATTGCGCCATCATTTGCTTATATTCCTTCAAATGTTTCTTTTCTTCCTTCTGGTCCTTGGGCGGGAGCCAGCTGGGACGCGTCCTCGTCAACACTTTTTCCTTCTCCTTGCTTATCGGCAACGGGTCGATCATTATGTTCGACTTTTGGACCGGGGGCAGCTCAATGGTGGCCTGAGACCCTGCATGGGAATCCGAGCTCGACTTTCGCGGCTCTGCGCCATTTTGCACTGATTCCTCATGCTTACGGCCACTCTCATCCGCGTGATGTTCAAGAGCCTCGGTAATGATCTTTGCTTCCTCTGACAGATCCGACATGTAACTGTTGTAGGAGTACGCGCGAGGGTTGCGGGGCGAGATTTGCCCCCGTTCAGGGCCCGCGGAACTCGAACGCTGCATGGGCCGTTTCATGCGTGCTTCCCTTGACGCAGATGGTGACCGTCGGACGGTTGAGTCTGACACGGTATGGGAAAATGGGAGTGGGCGCGGGGGCCCCGGACTGCGGCCGTTGGGACTGGGGTTGCGAGATTGAGGGCGATCGTGCGCAGGGCGTGGAGAGATGGGTATATTCCAGAGACTCGCATCGTCCGGTAGTTCATCATCGGAATCATGATATTCCTCCTCCAGATCTTTGAGGGACTTGCGATTGGGTTGCCAGGTTTGTTTTGCTGTGGGGGTTCGCGCAGAGAGCGGCGACAGTGCCAAGCTGGAGCTCGAAGCCGAGCGACTGGACGGACGCAAAGGTGAGATTGACCGTGACCGATGAGGCTGAGACGGCGTCAAGTTGGGCGAATGGCCGCCACCGATCGAGTCCCTCCTACCGCTGGCTCTGGCGGTAAGGGAGCCTGCGGACTGGGGGGTGCTGATAGCTCCATTGATCTGGTTGCGGCTCGGAGGAAGAGGGCTTCGTTTGCGAGGCTTCGGGGTAGCAGTCAAGTCGCGTGTCGTGGCGGCCGGGCTCTTGCTAACCATTCTGGCCGTGGGCGACCGCGCCATCACGCCAGCCCCAGGCCGGCCATACGGAGCCGTGGCCGGGTCCACTTGCGAAAATTCGGCATCATCCTCCAAGCCGATATCCTCGAAATTTGAAATGTCCGTGAAAATGCTGTCGGGGCCGTCTAATTGTGACGAGGAGTGGAAGGAGGAGGATTTGGAGGACTTGGACCCCGACAATTCGGGCGGGGAATTGGGCGTCTGGCAGACGGTGGTCATGATCTCGTGGAGATATTCAGGAACTTTGTCTTTCCGCTCGCCGAATTGTCAATAAACAAGGCGCGAGGGTTAAAAAAAAAAATAAATAATCAACGGCCTGGTTGGAAGGGGTCGAGATCGCGCGGCAGATCGGACGGGGGGGGGGGCGAGAGATGGGGTGGCGGCCCCAGATCGAAAAGGCCAGGAGGCACGAAAACAAGAACAATCGATCAACGTAAAGAGAAACAAAATGCAAGCTCAGCCGCGGCCTGATGATATCCAGATCAGGTGTTGTGCAAAAAGATCAGGAGGGCCGGGATTATAGGGTGAGTATTGGGGGCCGTCAAGGGGGTGAATGAGGGGGTTCGAAGGAGGGAATAAACGAAGGCAGAAGAACAAAACAAAAAAAAATAAAAGCCACGAGAGAAGCCGATTCACGAAAACAAAAAACAAAAAGAGAGACGATGGGACTGAACACGAGAGGAGAAGGAGTGAAAGAGGCGTGAAGGTTGAAAATGAGCGTTGGATGATGCTTGCGGAGCCTCAGGCTGCACTCGGTCTGGCCGAGAACAGGGGTGTACCTGGAGGGACTTGGGCCACTGGTATCGGGTGGGTAATACAGCAGGTACCTCTGGGTACAGTACACTCGACATTCTGGCCCCAGGCTTTTTCCAAGTCGGTATTCGAGGAGTGGAACCTGCACTGCCGGTATAGTAACGATAGTAAAACAATAATAGGAACGGGTGGAATTGAGTATTCGACTCCAGACCCTGGGACACGCGACCTTATGTCTGGGATCCGAAATTTGGTTTCCAGTATCCGTATCTGCTTCGGATTATGCTTACTGCAGTAGGCTACCTGTAGACTCTTGCAAGAGATCTTGCAAGATCACTTCCCAACGTGGTGCCCCTTGACCGGCGCGATCGGAGCAGGTTAGCCGACATCTGATTTGTAGATTTGACCTGGCATAAATCTCTACTGGTCGCGAGCAACACTCCAAACATCATATCATACGCTGCTATGTTTATTGATGGGAAAATACTGTGCTGAAATGTGGACATCTCAACGGTGGTTTTTTCCAGAGATCAAAAATCGTTGATGTGGGTACTGGTGCGATCGACAGGGACGTAGAGACTTGGCTTCGCCTTGAGAGCATTTTAGGAGGACACCAAGCCAGATCTCACTCTTTTTTATTCTCTTTCTTTTCTTTGCTGTGTGGTATCTATTCCGATCTTAGCCCCTGAACCACTGGATACATCTGCCAGTCGGGTGCTCGTCCACTCCTGGAGGATCCGCGGTCGGACGAGGCGTGGTACGGTCTGCACGCGTGGCAGTTCTCATTGGGCGATTCCGGACGGACTACACGCGATCAAAATACCCGCGACTCGCGGTGACCCCCAAATGTGGTGGCGCATTTTTGGGAGGGTTTTGGAATTTCCATGAGATTAAACAGAGACCATCTACAGAGTGTGACGAGATAGCCCTAAAAGCGCCAACCTTCAAACGCCAGGTTACCCCTCTTGATAACCCCCGTCATACGGAGGGCCTCTGTATCCGACGTCGGGCGAGCCTCTTTCCCCAGCGAGTCGAGCCAGCGCAGGACCGCCGCATACCGCGTTTGCTTGCGACGCAGCACAAACCGAAAAGCCGCAGAGGCCAGATACTGGAGATGCGATCGCTGCACAAAGCACGAGAAGGAAGACGGGGGGCCCGCCGCGCGCCGCGCCTGGATCTGGCCCGAGGTTTGCAGGATGAGATCGTAGATCGTGCGGATGACGATACGCGGGCCCGGGTGCGCTCGACCGCGCAGCGATTTCATATAGCGGTACATCTTCATGGCGCAGGTGACGAGGCTGGTGTAGATATTGGTCAGCACCACAGCGCGCGAGTTGTGCACGTCGTCGAGGTACATTGGGTGTAGTTGGAGTCGGAATGAGGCAAGGACTTTGCGGTGAAAGGTGCAGCCGGGAAGACGGGTGGCTTCGACGGTCAGGGAATCGGAGAGAATGGCTGCTGCTGAGTCGCCGCCTTCCAGGACGCGGTCTCGGTCGCGGTGGATCTCGAGAGAGTGTGTGTCAATGAGATTTCCGCAGTACGGGAAGAGAGACGTGCCCTCCAGCCGGGGGATGTGCATTCCGTCGATGGCTGCGGTGAAATTGACCAGGCTCTTGGCCGAATTGACGACCACGCCGTAGGATGGCTGGCCCGGAACCATCACCTGCAGAAACCGCATTGCGAGGCCCGCGTCAGGCGTGATGAGCAAGAAGTCGTCAATGAGCCGCATGAGTAGGGCATCTTCGGGCCGCAGAAAGCCAAGGACCTCCCGTTCCAGCTCCGCGTAGAAGAAGTTACACAGCAAACTACTCAACACCGAACCCTGTGGGATGCCGCTACGCTGGCGAAAGTACTTGTTGCCCATCTTGACGAGATTGTTGCGGACATGCTCATCCAAAAGATTTAGCAGGGCATCGGCATCATGCGTCTTCTGAGTGATTGTATCGATAAAGACGGTGTTCGCCTTCCTTCGATGACCGTCATTTGCGAGAAGGTCTGATAGGGGCTGAGGTTTTTCGCAGGCGCGGCGCGGCCTGTAAATTTCCGCATTGGCTTCGCGCGTCGCACGTCGGACATGGGTGGCTCGATCTCCACGTGTTTGGTGATCTGGTAGACTTCCTCTGAAACCAGCTGCTGAACGAGATGGAGGAGTCTCTTTTGCGGGATGGTATCGAAACAAGCCTGGATGTCGAGCTTGACAAAGAAGAGCGGTGGACGCTTTGACTCCCCAGAGTCGACTGCGGGCAACCGTGGGAACAGTTGTTCCTTGAAATCTTTGAGTCGAGAATGCATATCGCTGACGGAATGCATAGACGAGCCCAACTTTGCCGGAGCTCGCTGTCGCTCGTAATTAAGCATGTTGTGGATGGGGGTAATGTTCGAATTGATGCTTGGGGCGAGAAAGGAGCGTTTTTTCCCACCCCAGACGGTTTCCTTCATGATCCGTTTCCGCAAGTTCAAGATTGGTCGGAGACCAGTAGACTTGGGGAGTAAACGGAGGGATCCAAAACCGAGTGAGCGTCGTGCCAGCATGCGCTGCGCTTGTTTTGGTTCGATTTCTTCAAACATAGTCGTTTGCAAGTCCGCCCAAGGCTGCCCTGTCAACCGACGCCACACATCGTGGCGGAAGTAGAAAAGACGGTTTCGATGGGTTTGGGACTCAGTCACATAGAAATTAGCCCGGACAAGAGGGATCAGGATTGCATCGAAGACATAATAGATGAATTCGTAGAGCAATTCAGTGCGTTTCTGGAAATCAGAGAGGGAGATTTTGTGTTTTGTGGCATGGTTTTGGGTCAAAGGAGGCTCCAACCAAGGAATGCCGGTGATCTAAGAGCAAAAATCAGCATATCTGGTCAAGTAGTCCCGGTTAGAATCAAACAAACCTTCAAGCCTTTGCATACTTCATGCAGATTCAGACTTTCAAATCGACGCATCTTGATGAAGGAGTCCACGTTTCTCAGAACAGTCTTGAGATTCGAGAGGCCATCTAGGCCCACCCCGAAGAATTGACGAGGAATCAATCTCTGAAAAACTGCGCGACAAAAAGCCGAGACAGAGGAAGTAGGCGTTGCATGGTCAGTCAGACTAAATTTGGGTTTTGGGACCGTCGGTCGAGCCTTGACCTGGTCTTGTTGAGGAGCGTCAACAGCGATATGCCGATGCGATAGCGAATTACGGCATGGTGATTGTGTTAACTCGTCGGTTGATGACGGATTCTTTGTCCGTATTTGTGTCACCATGGGTTGCTCCATGGATGATTGGGGATCCCTGTTCTCGACACCCTTGTTGGGTGAAGCCGATGGGCCAAGTTTCCAGGGCCCCATTGGCTGCGACAGTAAGCTAGCCATCCACACCGACCACGGTAGGAATACTCACCTCAATAGGGCAATAATATCTCAGCAGCTCCCTGTATGAACATCGTTCGTTTTGCTTCCGCAGCTTTTGGACGAGCTCGACCGCTTTGCCCCGAAGTCGCTTGGGTAACTTGACATGTCTTGTCTCGTTACCGGCATCTACAGGCTCATCCTGGGGCCGAGAATATCGCAAGCGTTTTGGATCCTCAATTCGTGCTATTTCATCTTCACGGAAATTGTAGATCTTGAACTGGTCGCCATTCTCACGGTCATCCGAGGCCAAAGTAAACGCATTCTGCAGGCCGAACTGCCGAGGGAAGATGTACTTCATCACATGTGCTGTCTGCGCCGTTGAATCCAGCGAGCTACAGCGGTTGAGAACATCTGCCTCATCATCAGTTTCGAGGTTTGAGATAAAAACCACAGTCAATCAAATACATACGGGCCTGGCCGAGTCCAATTGATGCTTTTCCTTTGGCATCACTCGATCGACTGTAGAGCATGCGCCGGCGGAGGAAGAGGATACTATTTGGCCTCCGTAGGTTCTGTTTCTGGTCCCTTTCCTGATGGTTCTTTTCTTTGGAAGAGTTTGGTTTGGCAGAGGCTTTCCTCTCCGTTTGCGAAGAAATATTATTGCTTACTGGTTCAAGGGTTGACAAGGGCAGCCCTATAGGAGCAAAGTGAACAATATGAGTATAAGCACCCATATTTATTCTTAGTTGGATCAAAGTAGAACATACCGCTGAGTTGATAGTAGATGCCTTTGCGAGCATTCACTGAAACAAAGATGCCACAATCCAAGAGAAGGCGGATCATGACCTCCTCCCCATTGCTGCCAAGCAACCCCAGAATATCCACCCATGGGGCACTTTTGAGGGTGCGGACATTCTGGTTTGGAAACTGAATCGCAAGACCCGGGATGCTGCTCTCCGGGGCATTCTGTCCCATGGCAGGGCGTTGGAACCCATGGGTCAGCAGGTGCTGGGGCTTGTAGGAGCCCTGGTGATTGAAGAGTTTCCAAATCACGAAATCGACTACCTGCACACAAAAATGGTCAATGCATAATAAGCACAGACAAACTGTCATCATATCATACCTCCGATTGTGGACAGGCCGGCCCCGTGTCCGTGCTGATGAGAATCGACCGTGATTGGGACTGGGCGAAAGCCAAGTAATCCTGCTGTCGTTGGGAATTAACCGTCGGGGAGGAATCTTTCCGAATGCCCACCCGAGTGGAATCCAGTAGATCCGCCAGGATTTGGGGTTCGGCAGGACAGCCGGGCTCGGCTCGGGATGATCCCAGGGATGCGATGCGCCGCCGACGAGACTTGGAGGTGACTGGAAGCTGCTGGAGGAGATACTGTCGCAGAGATACCACGTCACGGTAGTATTGGCAGAGAACAGGATGGGTTGATTTGGGGGCAATTGGGGCCCGGGGCGCTCTGAAACGACCGGGGGACGCAGTGATACTCTGCGAGGGCTTGGGCCCGTCCTTGGCCGGTCGCTTGCGCTTTTTGGCCATGATGGAGGTTCACAGGGAGTTCATCGGGAGATGAAATGAGGGTTTATATGAACAAAGCCTGTTCTTCCAATGTTTCAAGGACTGTGTCAAGGGAATGCTGGGGATGAGGGCGGGACGTGTCAAGACTGCCGTTCCAGCACCGCCCCAGGGCTATCAACCCAGTACATCATGAGATACTTCAATCCATATGATCTTCCTGGATGATTGTCTGTTCCTTCTTTTCCCACGTCCATGAACCTGAAGCTCCATCCAGAAAATAAAAGAAAACACAAAAGATCACTCCCTAACCATGGTTCATGCCTGGTCTAGAAGGCCACGGGAATTGCGTCTCCACTGCGTCAGCCTTGGGCTTTTCCTACTTTTCCTCGTTCCTGTCAGGGGGATTTCGCGTGGCCCCAACTTCCAACCCTCTAGGAAGGGGTCGAATCCACTTGTCTCACAGTCTACTATTTTATTTTTATCCTGAAATCATATAATCCTATAAGATGATGATCAGTTGAAGGGCAGGCTTTCGACCAGTTCCACGGCATCGACTTCCTTTGTCGTTTTTTCTGACTTTTTCTTTTTCGACTTTTTAACTCTTCAACTCTTCAGCTCCTCGACTCGTCATTTTTTTTTTCATCTTCTTCTCCATCACAGATCTGCTTCAATATATGCAGATCGACATTGCAGTTCAGCCGACATACGGTGTGTGCTCGGAGAGAGGATCGAGCTAACAAACCGGCCCACCCAGCATCGGTGCCAAACCCCCCCTCTCTCGAACCGTCATCGCCTATCAGCGACCGCTGCTGCGTAGACGCCGAACAAACGTCACAGCCGCTAGTCATTTCCTCGACTCTCTTATTCGTTCCCTCTTCCTGCTTCTGCCCGGAAGACACCAGGGCACTTCCAAACAGCTCATCGGTCGATCACCCCCATCGTTCCTTCAACGCCTCTCTGGAAACCACCATCACCACACCACATCCACATCCCTGCTCTCCCCTCGTCCCTCTCTCGCTCCCTCTCTGGACTGGCTGCCCACCCCAGTCTGTGTTCTGCATTGTGCGGGTTGTCTCGAGAAATATGATGCTGGACCGGGGGTGCTCCCGGGATTGCTTTGTAGCCTGAAATCGATTCACCCGAGACGTTCCCGTTGGGCCCAGCCCGACCAGCTCATCAATCTAACCCAGATCCGAAAAAAAAAAAAAACCAAATCCCCGCTACCAGTCCACGTCGGCTGTCGGCCTGAAGCATGCCAAAAAATGTCGGGCAGTGTCCAGGGTTCTGATATCCGGGACCGCGATCCAGCCCCATTTGGGCGACAGTCATCGGCACCCACTCCCTCCTATGATTCCCACTCCACGCCCTCTGCACCTCCTTTGAATGCCACGTCCTTTCCTTCACGATCAGGCATCGATCCACAGACTCGGTCCGTTTCCACAAATCATCTTTCTTTGCGCGGGCGAGAATCCCCCGATCCCGGCGACTATTATCGCCAGCGTGGGTTTGGGACCGCCGATGTGAGGCATTCTGGTGAAGGCGATGGGACAATGGGCATGGATGCCACTGGCTACCCGAAAATGAAAGATCGAGTGTCCCCGCTGCCAGCAGATATGTCTGGCAGTCGGCGTCCAGCCCCTCGTTCCACGGATTCGCCCGCACTCGGAGATCTGTCTGGGTCTTCTTTCCCTAGGTCCCGGCAAACCTCTTTCAAAGACCTTGTCAAGCGATTTGACAATCCCTCCGATCCAGTTCTTCCCTTGCCTTCTCGGTCAGCATCCCGAGCCGCAAGTCCTGCCGGCAGCGTTGACGGTGCAGAGCGACCCCGTGTTCTTTCCCGGCGACGCAACGGGCGTGATTCTTCACCATCGTCACCCGAGACGGAAAGGCTAGTCCCTGCGCTTTTGAGCTCGACTGCTCCGCCGCCTCTTTTTCAGCGAATACCAGATTCACAACCTCGCCGCCCGCTGTTTGGGGAACTGTTGTCGGTTAACACAGAAGTAAACAATTCAGGGCACGAGTTCTCATCGCCCCTTCGCCGCCGAGGGTCCGAGGGAAGCATTCCAAGCCCGAACTCGACATTCGATCAGGCCAACCCATCATCGGCCCGATCTCCGTTGACGCCGACGGCCTGGTACCTCGGACATACGGCCTCTTTAGAGGCAGTTCAATCAGGAACACAAAATACCCACCGCAGGATCCACAGTGACGCGGAGGACGGTTCCTCTTATAAAACCTCCCTTGCAGAACCTTGGAATTCCCAAATGGCCGTACCGGCGCCCTTGCAGACCAAGGGCGATGGGTCCCCCGGCACGAATTCCAGATCCCGCATTCCAGTCTCTGCGTACCGCCGCACTACTGCTTCCGGCGCCGAGAGCCCCTCCAACCCGACCTTCAGTAGTCGATCTGCCGCTTTATCGCCCAAAGGCCATGCCAGTCGTCTTCCCAAACCGTCCCCCAAACCGTCTCCCGTTTCGTCTCCGAAGGATAGCCCACCCCACCACATGACGGACGATGCCCCGATAACGGTGCGTGCCAGGCGGGAGTCGGCCAATGGCCGTACCGGCAATCCTGTTTCCGAACGAAGTCGGCTCCTTCAGGCCTACATTGCTGCGCCGCCGCCCAAGAAGTCACCTCCCCTGCGCAGCTCACGACCCCGACAATCTGTTTCACATGGCACCCCAACATCGCCGCGCTCGAAAGTGGGAGACCGAATATCGTCTTTTCAGAAACAAGACGACCGCAAGATCGAGGCACGCAGTCCTCGTGAACGCCGAATCCCCGAATTGGGCAATGTAGATTTCGAGACCCGCCGGCGACTCATCCAGCAAGCATTCAACCGGACCGTTCAGGAGAATGAGAGAAAGGAGGAAGAAGCAGCAGAGCTTCGGCGTCGGGCCCGACGAGACGAGGAGGGCGAAGACACTCAACCTCCCGCAGATGACCGATCCAGCACTCCCAGCACGCCGGTAACTAGACCCCCGGTACCTGAAAAGATGGCGATTCCGGCGAGAGAGCTGGTCAGCATCACCAGTCCTCTGGAGAAGGAGCTTCCTGCTCTTCCCCAGCTTCACCTCAACACTTCTCTCCCTGTGTCGACAAAAGATACGCCACACACCGCAATGGACTCCCCGACGCTAGGAATACCATCCGCGGGAAGTCAACAGCAGCCAGGTGTGCCAGTTGGAACATCTTCCGCCACTGATGCCGTGCCCAGTTCGGCCGTCACCGCACAGTCTAATGACACCCACGTCACGACATTTGACCCGGAGCCGCAGTCCGGATTACTTCAACGAAACCCTAGCACATCTAATCGAACCTTACTGAGCCATATAATGCAAATACGTGGATCCAGCCCCGAAAGCTCCTCATGCGACGAACCAGACTGCAGTCTTTCGGAAAACGATGACAAGGAATCTGTTCAAATTATGCTGCGCGAGACAACCTATTTCGATTCTTCTAGCAGCACTGACACTCAAGAACCTCATCCGGCCCAAATACCACAGGTTCACGTCGCCGATCCCGTTCAAAACAGATGGAGCATGAGTTCATGGTCTTCCTCGTTACGCAACCAACATTCCACTTTCGATGATCGGTGTGAAGAGAGCAGCGATGAAATTATCCTACAAAAGTCACTGGCAGAGCCAGAAACGGAGCCGGCGATTCAATCTTGCTCGGCTGCTTCAACGAGACCACCCTCTGTGGTAGATGATGAGGCATCTTCAACCCCACTTCAGGATTATGGTGTGACGGGACCCGACACTCTCGAGGTACCCGAGCAGTCAGAAAGAAACTCATTTTCGACTCCTCCAAGCTTGGCCAGACAGGGCAGATGGGATTCGAGGCGTGTTACTCAGCTTTATCTTGAAGAGCTAACTCGGGGAGGCAGAGGTCATAGCCTCCCTTTCCCAGCAGTTCGTGTCTCGCCTGAGCCTTCGGTCGACACCGGTTCCCGTACAGATGGACGGACTGATAGTCTGACGGACGACCCTGTTGTCGTTCCTCGATTCCAAGATTTTCCGGTCACGGATCGCCTCTCCCACACTGCGAGCTTGGTCGGGCGAGACGATTGGGAACATGCTTCTCCGTCCATCATGGACTGGATGCAAATTGCAGCTGACGATGATGCTGCCAGTCCGGCTGCCGATAAGACTGGCCGTGCCCCGGACGGTGTGCCCACGCCACGCCTCATGACCTCTGCGGCCGATTTAAACACATCTTACCAGCCGGACACCGGCCTCGGGTTATCTATCAACATTCAAGACCCGCGTGAGCTACCAACGATCCCTCCATCACAGTCGCCCTCGCAGTTCAGGATTGACGATAAAACGCCCACGGGAGACGTCCCCCCTCACAACGGCATTCTTTCTGCATTGGGAGGTGCGACTCATAGCACGGGTAGTAGTGAAGACTCATCTTTCCGACGCCTTGAACCCAGCCAGTCTCCTCAAGCCGCAGACTCATCCGCCACATCCTTGGCTCCGTCTACTGAGCAGCTGGCGCGCATGCAATCGAAGAAGTCGCCTTCTCCAGAACAGCGTCGTCTCAAGAAACGACGTCACATCATCAAGGAGCTCGTTGATACCGAGTACTCGTTTGGTCGCGACATGAAAGTTGTCGACGACATTTACAAAGGCACTTCAAGTTCTTGTCTCGATCTCTCGGCGGACGATGTCAAAATTCTCTTTGCCAATTCAGACCTAGTTGTGCAGTTTTCCATGGCGTTTCAGGATGCTCTCAAACAGGCCGCTAGAAGCATCTACGTGATGCCCAAGTCCCAGCGATGGAACAGCAAGCGCAGTACTCGCAACAACCGGCCCCGCTCCTCTGGTGCTGATGAACAGTCTCCCGGGGATGTGGGAAAGTCGGATTTAGAAAAAGATCGGTTGACCTCGATCGGTCTGGCATTCATGAACCACATGGCCCAGATGGAGAAGGTCTATACCGATTACTTGAGGAACCACGATGCTGCCAACAAGAAGCTCCAAGTCCTGCAACGCAACCCGAAGGTTGCTATCTGGCTGAAAGAATGTCGGGAATGGGCAGCAGATCTGACGAGTGCCTGGGATTTGGACTCGTTGCTGGTCAAACCCGTGCAGCGAATTCTGAAGTATCCGCTTCTTCTCTCTGAGCTGCTCGAGTCCACGCCAAATGACCATCCGGACCGCTTGGCTCTATCTAATGCTCTTCAAGAAGTCACGAACATTTCTATTCGTATCAATGAAATGAAGAAACGAGTAGACCTTGTCGGGCAGGTTGTTGGTCGAAAGCGCAAGGAGTCCGATGTGCGCACGGGTTTGTCGAAGGCCTTCGGTCGTCGCACAGAGAAATTGCGGCAGCAGGTTGGCCTCTCAGATATGTTTGAGGACAAGATCTATGACGCATTGTCACAAAAGTTCGGCGACGGGTATTTCCAGTTGCAGGTGGTCATGCGTGACGTTGAGATGTATACGCAGGAGACGCAGGCCTCCATTGACCGATTGAACGAGTTTGTTGCCGCCATTGAAGGAGTCATCGATGTGACCCAGTCCAACTATTCCGAGTTGGAGAGTAAGTGGCGCCGATTCAAGATGACGATCCGCGAGATCCTCACAGCAGCCCTACCGGAACATGTGAGTAGAGTCCCACCAAGATTGCTCCTACAAGAGTTCTTACTGATATCTCCCCCCTAGCTTGATGTGGTTCGCCAAAGTGTCATCAATCCCATGGTTAACTTGCTCAAGCTTCACGAGGGTCCACAACGCGTGATGAAGAAACGCGACAAGCGCCTCCTGGACTATGCGCGTTATAAAGCCGTCAAGGACCGCGGCGACAAACCTGACAAGAAAACCACCGAACAGGGCGAGCAGTTCATGGCTTTGAATGAAGCTCTCAAGGACGAATTGCCCAGATTCTATGGGCTGACGGCCAAGCTGATGGAAGCGTGTCTCAAGAATTTCGTTGAAGTTCAAACAACGTGGTACGGCGTGCTCCAGAAAAAGATCGGGACTCATGTGGAAACTTTCCCCAATGATCTCCAGAAGGTGATCAGCGACTGGAACAGCGACTACGCGTTCTCCGATGCACAGGTACTTTCTTTGGGTGTCTGTAACGGAGCCTTGCTGGCCGACACGGTCAACCTGGTCAATTTCAACACGCCCTCTACTGGGACGAATGTGAATTCTCCCCGCCGTCCGTCTACCGTGAACAGCTCCAATGCACGTCCGGGGTCCATGGTGGATGAGTCGCCCAAGAATTCTCATGATTTCAGTGTCGGGAGCCAGCCCTTCCAGTCCCCCCAGGTAGATGGCCAGTCAACTCAAGACCGCCGTCGGGCTGAGTCTTCGTACTCGGGTCATGCTCCTCCTGATACCCCGGAACTGCCCCGGAGCCAGTTATTACAGCAAGTCACCAACACGTCCAGTTCAACTTCCCAGGCCACAAAGCCAGCGGACGAAGCGCCTTTCCCAAGATTACCGCACTTGAGCTTGGACACACCTTTTCTGGCGGACCTGATCGCCGGTTCGTCTAGTGATACGAACCCGCCCGCCTCCCCAGCTGGCCGGTACTCGGGCTTCTTCTCCTCTGCCATGCCTATGCCGGACACGCCCACCACCGAGTCCGACGCTGCTCCCACCGACAGCAGACCGGCCAAAGCCCCAAATGTGTTGTTCTTGGCCGCCAGCATCTACGAGTTCAATATCGACCGTGCCAGACGTGAAGCTGGATACCCCTACCTGACCTATGTGGCGGGCGAGATCTTCGATGTCATTGGGGAGAAGGGCGAGCTGTGGCTTGCCCGCAACCAGGACGATTCCACCAGCCAGGTCGGATGGATCTGGAATAAGCATTTTGCCAAATTGTCGTCCTGAAATCCATGATGCTGGCTCTTGATCCGATATTTTGCTTCTATCTCTTTGCGTTTAGCCTCTGCTTATCCAGTTGCTGCCAGTTGTTGCTTCTTTTTTTTTTTTCTGTTTCCCGCTCCCGGACATGTGTGATATCTTCGACTGGGAGCTCTGGGATGTACGTTTAGATACCCCTTTTATTTATGACTGTGCTATTATGTGGTTCCATGGATATTTATGTAGAATCTCAGGTAATTACGAGTTTTAAGCCACAATCAGGCATCATCCAATATTGAAACTATTCAACCCATAACGGGACCGTGCACGTGACCGTGCCCAACGGTTTGCAGGGATTCAGTGCCGACGGGCATTTGTCGTCCGCCATCTGCCTCGATTTCTTGATCGCTCTGCTGATCCAGTGTTGTTCTCCCTCGAAGCCGCAGAGAACAGCCTCGGTCGGTCTGACCGCGGGTGATCTCCATTAACCCCTGCAGCATCCACCCGATCGACAGACCTCCGGTATCGCCGTGATCAACCCGTCCTTCGGGCTCAATTGAAGGTCTGTGGATGCCCACAGAGTGGCGACTAGCCTCTCCTATATACACACGCTGTGCGATCCCGCCACCCCCAAGACGACCGGTTTCCCTTCGCCGCTTTGCCGTCCAATCCGGAGCGCCATCCGACCGGTCCCACCGGCCACTGCAGACCTGGGGTTTTTGCAAAACGCCTCGGGTGATTGCCGCGACTCGACGCCGACTGCTCGCCACACTCACTCTCTACATATATTATCTTGCGCGGCCTCGGCTTCGAGATTTGTATGCTTGCCGAGTGCGGTCGCCTTGGAATCTGTGATAAGCGAACGGTCTGCTGCGCGTCCCGCCCCAGTGACGCAGAGGCCCGAGTTCCACGAGGACTTCTTTCCCGCAGGCTTCTTGGGAATCTTGAGCCAAAAGTTTTCTTGTCAAGATGCTGGACGGCGGCCTGAACAAGTTGCGCAAGGTGCGAGGGCGGTTTGGCGATACGGTGGGTTTTTTGGCGCAGCCGTCTTCTCTTTCGCAACGCAAGCAGGGGCTAACTGGCGCAGTTGAACCCAGATGATGCCTTTCTCAGCTGTGAGTACCCGAAATTTGGGTTTACGAGCTCGCCAATCTTGAGATGACATACTTACTGGTAGCTCGTTCGCGGTTATAGATTATGATGTTCGGTGTATGGGACATTTCTCCCCCGATTATGCCCTTTGGTGGTGGCTGATGTAATTGCAGTAACGAGAGAGGATATGCAAACTCTCAAGAACGACTGGCTCACAGACAATGTGGGTTTCGATCGTGGGAACATCTTTCTGAATAGACACCTGAGCTAATATGTCACAGATCATCTCATTCTGGGAGGAGTAAGTTCTGCCTCTCAAATCGGCCAGGAAGCACGAAATCAAAGCATGGGAACTGATCCGGATTACATCAGATACCTTGAACACGAAGTTCTCTCCCAATTCAAGTCCTCGAATATCATCCTCCTGCGCCCTAGCATGTCTTTTATGCTCCTCCAAACTCCAGACCCTCGCACTCTCCGCGATGCACTTCCAGACTTCAGTCGAGCAACTCACGTCTTTCTTCCCATCAATGACTGTCGCAACGTCACCCAAGCCGAGGGCGGCACTCACTGGTCACTGCTGCTGATCTCCATTGTGGACCGCATTGCCTTCCACTATGACTCGCTCTACCAGGGAAATGTCTGGGAGGCCGATACGCTCACGCGCAAGTTCGGGTTTCTTCTCAACCAGCCCATCCGGTTCTTGCATCTCAACGACTCACCTCATCAAGCCGGTGGCAGCGACTGTGGCGTGTTTGTGTGTCTGAACATGCGGCATCTGCTTTTGAAGCGGCTATTGATGGCGAGCGCGCAAGAGAAGGTCAGTATGAGTCTGGGCGGACGCAAGATCGACGCCCATGCGGGACGGAAAGAGATCGCCAAGATCATTGAAGGGTTCCGTAAAGAAGGCGAGCGCCGGCGATCGTACGTGATGCTCTTTTCTTTTTTTGTCCCGATTCCACTTTTACGTCCGATCCTTTCCTTATTGGAGGGTGATCATTGGAAATCTGCATGCTAATACCATTGACTTAGGGCAAGCTTGAGCCCCATGGGGAAGAAATCCAGGAGTCCCCCACGAGTTGATTGAGATCTTCTACGCTGTCCTCAAAGACGAATGAGTTCATTTTTGTCTCTGTTTACAAATCGGATTAGGGTTGGGTGGGATTGATTGATTCATACTGATGACTTGATGCTTATATTTTTATGTCGCCCGCCCTGCACTTCTAATGTCCATGCAAGGAATAATGACCAGGACAAAGGCATTGGGTTTATGTACTTACAGCGTTGCATCGATTCTTTTTCGAGTCTTTCTAACACTGAGTGCCGCCATTTTCTTTGCCCGATTCCACAATACACTTGAAGCCGTCTATTCAAAGATTGTGCCTCTATACATCCACATTGTTATGATACTCATGGTAATTGAAGATCATGGAGCATGCAATGTCTAACGGCTTAAAAAAAGAGAATATATACCAGTTTTTTCTCGTTTCTCTCTTGCGATGCCAATAGCGGTGGTCTGCCATATCAAAGCAGTCCTCCTAGAGCCAGCCCTAACTCGAAGCGCGGATGCAGCCAGCTTGGGTTGGCCGCGTAGAGAGGGAGATAGCCGTGACTTCCCTTTCTCTTTTGAGAAAACAATGAGGTCAGAAGGTCAAGTGCTTCCGGGTCGTTCTTTCCTATTCTGTCGGTTGCTATGTTGATGTGGTGGTTACCGTGGGGGATTGTGTATACAAACCCTCACTTTCTGTTTCCCTTCCTCTCTCTTCTTTCTCTCCTCCACCTTATGGTTTTTTGATGCGAGCTCTTAGCTATTTTGCTTCCAGCGTTTTTCAATCTCCATTGGTTCCCTGCGTGTCTCTTCGAGATGATTTCCCCTTGCCTCCCTCCCTCCGCTCTAGCAGTGGCTCGCCGCTGTGTCACCACCTACTTCGACTCGACGCGCCTTTCACGGTTCAGTCCCCACAAGAAGGTTCGCTCGCCGGTTCCTCTTGTCCGCCCCCGTGCTCGGCCACCGCGTCGCTCTTCTCGCCTGCCCGTCTCCGCAGGCTCTTTGGACAGAGCTGTCGTCCGCTCCTTCGCGGATCTTCGGAAAGGATCACGCCTTCCCGTCCGCAAGCAGGTGAGTACTCCATCTCCCCGGTCTAACTTCGGCCAGTCAAGATTGTCCTCGAAGATACCCTCACGCAAGAGGGGCCAGCAGTCTCCGACCGTTTCTCCATGCTTGCGTGTTTCTTCGAGACGCAGCCGCCGAAAGAAGACCTCGATTACCTCGTCGTCGCCCGCAGCCTCCCCGCCAATCTCGCCGATCGATGGTGTCGCTCACCGACGCCGCCGACCTCTGCCGATTCTGCCGCCGCCTAAGCCGAAGCCAAGCTGCCTCCGGGTCGCCTCTAGCCAAGCCGACAGCCGAGTGAAGAAGCAGGTCTTTTTTTCGGACCGGACCCAGGTTCAGGTTGTCTCGCGTTGGATCGACAAGGAGAAGCACACCTTTGTGCCGCCTCACATCGCTCAAATGCGGGCCCTCAAGCTCGCCGCCCGTCAAAAGGAACTGGAAAGCTCTCGCCAAGAACCAGAACCTCAGACTTGTCAACAGACCGAGCCTTGCCGGAAGATCGAGCCTCGCCGACAACCTGAGACTTGCCGACGCATCGAAGTTTCCGTGGATGAGGTGCCCATTGTAGGTAACGACGGTGCGCGTCTGATTGTTCTTTTGTCTGTTCTGCTTGCGATTGCTTTTTGCTTTGTTAGCTTGTTTTGCTGGTTTGTTTCGTTGTTTTTCTGAGCTTGTTTTGCTTTGCGGTTTGCTTTTCGTTTTTGCTTTTTTTGCTTTTTTGCTTTTTTGTGCTTTGCTTTTTGCCCTTCGCCTCTTTTTTGCCGTTGCCCTTTCTGCTGGTTGCTTTTTCTGTCTTTTTTGTCTTTTTTGTCTTGTTTCTTTTGGTTTCTTGCTTTACGTGTGGTCTCTGTGCAGAGTCCACTCTGCTGCTTATCGGGTCACAGGTTTCTAGGTCTCGCAGGTCACATTGGTGGTGTACCGGTTGAATGATGGGGGTAAGTCCCCAGGCATCCCTTTTCTAGTCTGGTTTCGCTAATGATCATTTATCGTAACTGCCAGTGGTTGGCGGGAATCATCACCCGTATTATTCTTCTCATGCTTCTTGAGAAAAGCAGGTATGGGCCCCATGCACGTTGGCTTACCATGTTTTTAGTTTAGGGTCTTTTCTGTCTAGGTCCGTCGAATGTCCGTCCGTCGATACCCGAGCATCATGTGCTGAATGCCCCCCAGAGGCTGTTGTGGAGGATGGTGGCTTGCTCTCTTTTTGAGCAAATGTAAGTGACCAAACTTCTGTTTCCTTGGTATGTGCTGATGCCCTGGTGGACAGGATTCCGGTTTCGCAATAGGAACCCCCCGGAGGCTGTCGTGGAGGATGGTGGCGGGCCTTGTTTTCAAACAGAGGTAAGCCAACAAAAATTTTCGCTCCCTTGATCTCTGCTGATGTTCTCACGCAGGATTTTGTTTTCGCGACAAAGCCCCCCGGAGGCTGGTTCAATGGTGGCTCGCCTGGCTGGCGACTGGGGTGAGTAGCCATTCATTTTTGATGTCAGCCCGAGCTAACAATTCTCTGCTTCCAGGGTTTACGAAAAACCCCTCTTTTTTTCATCTCATCATGTCTTTCGCAATGCAGTGCGAGGGGCATGGAGAAGTGCAGCTCAATTAAGGTATTGGTCTGTGCGTCCGGGTTTTGAAGGTCGCAGCAATTGCTTGGCGAGAACGTTCATATTGCTATCCTCAGGGGGGTCTTCGGGTGATGCGATCGGAAGGTTGTGTTCAAATTTTATTTGATTTGATTTTCAAACAGGCGGCTGCCTGTTCGAGGGAGAGATGCTGATGTTTACTGTGTATATTGAAGCAGTGTCATAGATTGTTGATCACTTGCCGAAACACTTCCATTCAACCGAAATTCATGGTATGAAGTGATGACGCCCTGAATACATGTTCCCTGAATACATGTTCGACAGAGAAAATAATATAATTCTGTACGTTTCTCCAATAATTGTGTGACGAAATGAATCTCGCGGGTTTCTTTCGCATCCGAGTCGTAGCCCTAGCCCGCAATCCCTCTAAATGACCAATTACCAATCATAACAATGACGAACACCCTTCTGGTTATATTTAAAAATAAACAAATTGATAAAAAAAAAGATATTTGACAATCAGATAATTTTATACCTGCGCCTTCTCCCCAGTAAAACCCCCAACCATGTCCTGGGCTTCCGAGCAAGCGCGATAGGAATATATCCGATTTGCCATTGCAGGAAATTAGGAGCAGGTCCATTACAAATCAGATCCATCAATGACACTAAATAACTGTTGATGTTAAGCTGATATTAAAATTCTGCCTATACATAGACAACCTCGATGCGGCTGACTGGCTGGCTAGCGCTAGCACACGTATTTAAATTGATCTTCAGCTGATTGTGTCTGTGTGTTTGTGACTATTGATTTGTGGTCTGTGTTTAGGGCCATTATTGGTACGATGGGGAATTTCTCTTGACTTCGTCGTGATATATCTATATATTTTGGATGCCACTTAACGTATTCTTAGGCTGAAAACAGTGGTTGACTGTCGATTTTATTTTTCCATGTATGCTTGATTAAATGCTAATGTCAATCAGCCTGTGCAAGTATAAATACAAAGGACGAGTAAACACACTCCAATGATACCCACAGTACTTATGTGCTATGAGATAGGTAGGGTGTCTGCAGTATATCCTCCGCCTAGTTAATTAACGCTTTATCTCGAGCCTAACTCTATCTGGGATTTCTGTAAACGAAAGTAATCAAGACTATAGCAGCAGCTTCTGTAGTCACTCTCTACCGCTTCGTTCAGGTAGTGGGTGTGTATTGTCGACTTCGTGTTATATTCAAGGCTAGTACTATCATACGCTAATAGATAAACAGCGTACTTTATATGAATAGGTTCGCCGATCCCCAACAGAATTCTATCAAGAGTTCACTCGTATATGAGATATCTCTCTTCGAAGGTTTTACCAGTTACAAGCAGAAGAAAATAAGTATTCTTTCACAATCACTGCTATTGTACGAGGGAAGCAAGGGATGAAGTCCATGGATGATCGGATCCACTCATAGGGCTGACTGGGGCGCATTCCAGACCCCAAAAAGTACTGTTTTCAAGGAAAGGCTGAACTGGACAATGGGCTATTGTAAGAGAAATTAGGGTTGGCTAATTACTGCCCCACTTCTTATTACTTTGCCCAGCACCTTTTTTTATTATTATTTTTTTTACAAGGAAAGAAACCGAGTCCTTTTACTGGTTACTTATTCAGCTGTCTCGGTACGCAGTGTCAACGTCTCACTAAATTTACCAACAAGCAACGCCATGTCTTCATTGTACTCTGCAACGATACGAAGTATCTAGCAGATACGAGCTAGAGGCCTAGCATCGAAATCTACCGTCTGTAGAAAGTACGGGTGAAAAGGCAATAGACCCCGAGAGAAAAGAAAAGAACAGGAGAAATAAGCTCAGACTACTCCTAAAAGTAGAAGACCAGGATACCCACAAACTTGCAATGCAAAAACACAACGCCCGCAAGCACCCATCCATGTCGAAACAACGCGGGGACAGTACGAGGAAAAAGAAGAAAAAAACAGAGAAATCCGCAAACAGAAACTCAGAGAGATGTGTATGTATGAGGTGCAGAGAGGGAAATAGCTGCAAACGAAAACCCGACGAGCTCGGCCAGCTGACAACAAAATCTATACAAGTCATGACGTGTAAATGCACGGAATTCGAGTGTTAGAGAGGTGTGTAGCGGAATGGGTATGTGACGCCGGAAAGAAAAAACAAATCAAACAGATTACACGGTCGAGTGTGGTTCGAGAGAGGCGAACGCTCAGCGTGTCAGCGGGCAACGCGCAGATCACAAAAAGGATTATGACAGAAAGACAACTCAAATGCCAGGAGGATCAGGGCGGAGTGGGGGTCTGCCCGACCTCTAGAGGGTCACGACGTTTGTCAGGGGAACGCATGTACATGGCATCGGAATAAGAATCCATCGCGGGAGGGTTCAGGGCCCGGGGAACTATCGTATGCTGTGGTTGCTGCTGTGAAAGGACCTCGCGGGCATAAAACTCCACGAGCATCGTCCCATAGGCCTCGAGCTCCTCGACGGGAATCGCGAGTCGAAAGTCGTTTAATAAGAGAAATTGAAGTTCCAGGTGATTCAGTTCAACAAGCGGAAGACCGCCAACCTGTGCCCCCGAACAGGGTCAGCTTATGGCGAGTCAAAGAAGCACGGGCATGACATACCTTTGCGTATCGGGAGTTGGTGTAGAAGACATCGGAGAAGAATTTACTGGCGCAAGTCACGCCCGCGATGACCAGCCGGTGGATATTAAAACTATCAACGACAAAGAAATGGGAAAGGCTCTCGTCTTCCGTCTGGGGGTGCAAGGCCGGCGAGATGGACGAATTTGGACTCTTTGGGTCCTGTGCAGTCATGCCTGCCGAGAGTGGAGGTGTAACGATTATAGGATTCTGCGCCTGTCGGCCTGCCGACGTTTCAAACGAATTTGTGGAAAAAGTGGAGTCGAGTTGGTGGGCGGACGCGGAGTCCCAGCCATGTTGCACGCGGCCGACTTGACGCCGATTAACCAGCTCAGTCATACGGTCAAAGTAGACCAACAAGCTCAGGAAGACTTCGTAGGTCGTGGGGCAGTACTTGTGAATCCGAGTAAGATAGCTAAGAATGGTGATGCTGGGGACATTCTTGCCATGGAACGCAAGCACGCTCGTGGCCTGGGGAGTGAGGTTGGTCGTGCCGTCGGGAGGCGGGATGTGGCGATGGACGGATTCGTGGTGCATGTCGTTCGTGGTGGTTATTTTGGTGAGGATCCCCGCAACCATCTCGATGATCTCTGTGACTGGCATGGAGCTGATCTCAAACTGTCGCTGCGACCCTCCCGTAACAGGTGGGTGCCGGGGCGCCAGCACATCTTCATTGGCCAGGCTCTGGATGTGGGATAAGCTACGGACTCGAATGCGACTGGGGGAGCTGGCTTCGGAGCCCCCCAACGAGTGCATCGACCGAAATGTTGGTTGCAGTCGCGGCGAGGCTGGCGACGACTGGCTGTACCCATGTGGCTCGGAGTTCATCGGCTCCGCCATCGTGGGGTTGCCACTCCGGGAATGTTGGGAATAGAACTGGTCGTGAGACTGGACATGGCTCGGATGCGAGGTCATAGAGGAAGCGGAGGTCTGAGAAGGGGTTTGAGACTGAATGTAGGCCGGGATATCATTCGAATGCGCCGGCAGTCGAGCAGAGCCTACAGTGGAAGTCGACGGCGGGGCGGCGGTGGAGATGGGGGTGGTGTTGGAAGAGGTCGGTCGGGGTGATTGCGACGGGGGGCGCGAAGAAGGGCGATACACTGGCTCGGAGGGGATGATGGCGCCTCCCAACATTTCGCTGTCGATAGGATCCGACGGCACGTGGTGGAGGACGGATCCCATGTCAAGCCGAGGATTTTCGCTTTAGTCTGTTTTTTTGGGCGGAAATCAGTCTGGGGGCGGGTCAGCAAGGCGGTCGCAACACGCGGCATTGGATGAAACGACATGTTTTAGGCGCCATAGAAAAATAATGGGGGGGGGCAATCAAGGCAACGAAAGAGGGGTTGGATACTTCACTCGATGACGAAGGACCACCTGCTCAAGCAGAGGGCTAGAACACACGGGTCAGGGCCCCGGAATCCAGAGGGACGATCAGCGACCGCCGATCGAAGCCATTGCACAGTTTGGAAGAAGGAAGTTGAAGCCCGGGGGAAAAAGAGAGAAAGAGATAGAGAGTTGGAGAGGAAGAGGGAAGAGAGAGGTTGGAAGTGGCAGGAGTTGGTTCCACGGTGAGGTCAGTGGGTATGAACCGGGAGATGAAACGATGGGGCTCAGAAGCTCTCCCGTTGCGATTGCCCCCCCTCAAACACGGCCTTTGATATAAAAGACGGTGTACGTGTTGTATATATCGGACGAATGACAGCTCGATCTGCGAGCCCGTGGGAAGTCTGGGGATTTGCTGAGGAAGATGGGGGAAATGCCCAAACATCTATGAATTATGACATAGTAGAGGCTCAAGCAGACTCCCTAAATGCCACTATAAATACTTGGAGACTATGCTAGATCTGATCCTTGTCTCTTGCATTGCTACATGCACCAAATCAAGTCCTCGAGTCTGCATCTTCGACTATCTGTCCGATGATGCAATCGCCCAAGTACATATCTATGGATCCGAGGTTGGATATCCCACGCCTTAATGCCTCATATTTACCCCAGTGCATCTTCTATCATGGAACCCATTTTCATTCAGTGACCTCGATATTAGTACACTCATTAATTCGTCACCCCGGGCCCCGTGTAGCCGTTGTCCGGCAGGTACAGGTGCCGCACAGCGCCCTGCTTGGTCAGGACCACCAGGCGAATGACACCACCCGAGCTGCCATCCCACTTGATCGCCTCTTGCAATGCACTCCGCACAAAGTTGATGCCTTCCTCCTCTGTCATCTGCTCCTTCCAGTGTGCATCGGTGTACCCGTAGATGTAGGTCGAGCCCGACCCTCCGATGGCGAACGCCTGCTTGTGTAGGGATCCTCCCAACGGTATCGAGTATACTTGGCCGCCGTGTCGTGGGTCATATCCCGCGATGATAATACCCGCACTGGAAGTCATCAGTAAGAAATTTCTGGGAGAGATATCAGAAACAACACCAACCTCAGCATGTTCTTGTTCTCGTAGCACAGCTCCTGGAAGAGCGATGCAGCCACCTGGGTAGTGGGGGCTTCGTTGTTGACAACCCCGTACATGTTCAGGTGGTAAGAGACAATGTCTGCCACAGCCTGAGTGTCGGCTGCAGAGCCCGACCGGCAGCACCAGATGGTGTCATGCACCTGTGTCAATTTGTCGGTGACTCGGTTGGCAATGTAGGCTCCGGTGGTTGTTCGACTGTCGGCGCCGAGAATCACGCCGTCCTTGAAGTTGATCGCCATGCTGTGGTTGGTTAATATGGTGTTTCTGAGATCGGATACCTAGAGCTCAGGTTTACTCACATCGAGGTTCCCAGGCTGAATAGCAGTACGTCAGCATTCGTTCGGAAGCTCCAGTTGGTTGCGAGAACAGAAGGGGAAACAAAATCATGTAAACAGGGGGGAAACTGACTTGACTTCTCCTGTCTTCAAATGGCCCATGTCAACATGGATGCCATCTGGTCGATACGAGTTAGCTCGTCCCGGGCTGATTGATGATCATAGCTTCACCAACCTTCACCAAGCATTCCTGATGTGCCGTGGCCAATCATTGTGTCAGAGATCAACAGCCGTTCACCTAGATGTCAACACCAGAAGATTGAATTAAGAAAAGTGGAAGAAGGGGGGGGAAGACAAAGCGGTGATGCGATCATGAGGGAAGGCAGAAGCTCCAGTGACGAGGGCGCGCTAGAGCTCGGGCGGTGAGCAGCCCATCTCCACAGCCCCCTGAAACTTGCCTATCGCTTGAATCTGGGCTTATCTCGTCTGCTCCATACTTGAGTCCTCGAGGTGGGATATTGTCACCGCCAATTATTGCAAACCCTTGGGCTCGAAGTGGAAAGTTGAGATCTTGTACCTTGGGGACACCATGTCCGAATCTCCTCCGCCTCCTCCCTCGTGGAGCATCGGCAATATGGCCAACAGCGCCATACAATTCATGCGACTCCCCGTTCTGGCATCATCGGGGCTGGCTGTGGTTGCCAGCGGCCTTCTCTATTTCAAGCAAAAGTACGTTGCTGGTAATCAATACGAGGGAAATCTGGCATGGCTAACCAAATCCGCAGTGAGCTGATTTATCCCCGGAACGTCCCTGTCGATGCCCGTACGAATGTCCCAAGCCCGAAAGATTTCGGCATTACCGACTTTGAAGACCTGCAGATCCCCACTCCGGACGGGGAGTCGTTGCATGCTTTTTTCCTCCGACCACGGCAGAGTCGCTACAACCTCGATTTGACCGTGTTGATGTTTCACGGAAATGCCGGCAATATCGGCCACCGCGTGCCCATCGCCAAGGCTCTCCAAGACACTCTGCGGTGCAATGTGCTGCTGCTGGAATACCGTGGTTACGGCCTGTCGACCGGGGTTCCGGACGAGACGGGCCTAAAGATCGACGCGCAGACCGGCCTGGACTATATCCGGCAGCGCCCCGAGACCAAAGATACTACCGTTGTTGTCTATGGACAGAGCCTAGGTGGCGCGGTGGCTATCAACTTGGTTGCCGCAAACCAGGACTCAGGTGATATCGGCGGATTGATCTTGGAAAACACTTTCTTGAGTATTCGGAAATTGATTCCCTCGTGAGTTCTGCCAGGAATATTCGCTTAGCTTGGATACCAAACTGATCTCTGAAACCAGGGTCTTTCCTCCTGCGCGATATGTGGCGCGTCTCTGCCACCAATACTGGGCTAGTGAGGACGTTTTGCCTAGGGTCACCGAGGTGCCTATTCTCTTCCTGAGCGGACTAAAAGACGAGCTTGTCCCGTGAGTTAGCTTTCCCGAGGAGTCTGTTCTTGATCCGATACTAACATACAATAGACCGTCAAACATGACCCAGTTGTTTGCAATCTGCCAGTCAGACCGCAAGGTGTGGCGCGCCCTGCCGAACGGAGGCCACAACGACTCCGTTGCTGAACCCGGCTACTTCGAACATATCATTTCCTTCGTCACAGAAGAAGTCCTGGGCGATAAAAAGTAACCTGGGAGGCGCTCTTCAGCAATTCGATGCAATTGCAGCTTGACTATTGGTCATTGTTGCATTTCCTGGCATGATGCCAGACAACTATTTCTATGATACCCCATCACCAACCGGTTTTAAAACAAAAAGGTGTGGTTTATGTCCTTCTCGGAGTTCGGCGCACTAGTCTTTTCGTTATGTGGTACCTTTCGAGCCCCCGACCCGACACTTGATGGGATTGATGCTTTTTTTCCATGACGCCCATGTCAGAAAGAAGCACGCAGTCTCACCCCTTTTCGCCTCCCCGAAAATTCAATCTTCTACTGGAGTCTTATTTGTGGCACTTTGCAAGGTACATCATCGATTCATGGGGGACTGGGCGTTGGGTAGTTAATTGGGGGGCAGGTTCCAAGGTTTCGTTGCTTGCATGGATCGGGTGTGGTTATTTCGGGCGAGGACGAGGGCATTCCAGTTTGTTCTTTTGCTCTTTATTTCTTCCCCCCTTCGTACCTGGTTTTTTTTTTTTTTTTTTTTTTTTGTCTTTTGTCTTCTCTCTTTCTCTGTTTCTTTTTTCAACGTAGATGCCAGCAGCAGCCTCTCGCCTACTGTCTTGTTTCCAAAAGCCCACTGAACGTTTTTGTCAATAATGAGTGGAGCCTGAAGATATCATCAATTCTATCCTAATCCAAAGTCTGGTAAAATGCTTCAGCCATCCAATCTATGCCAGACATGACTTGGGTCATGCTAATGTACAACCACAGGTATATAACCAAGCCCCGGGCTCAGAGACAGACTCCCAAATGATCCAAGAGGAAAAAAACAAGATCGGGCAAAGAGAGAGAGATATGTTACAGATCATGAGATGGACGTGAGAAGAAGACAGAGGGAGACAAGACGAGAAAAAGCGACAAAAGAGGAGGTGGGATATAAAAACCTCTACTGAATTCTCTCCGTCTCCTCCATCAACTCCTCAACCTTAAAGTTCTGAACATCTCCCCGAGTAAACATGCGCAGCAACTCGCCCTTGCGACCATTGGCCTGGCCTTCAAAGTCATAAAACCGCTGCACACAGCTAACAAGCCAGGTCGCTTGGGAGGTGGAAACACCCGCGTTGGGAACGACCTGGCCGTGCATGAGGACGAGGCCCTTGTCAGCGGCCAAGTCGAGGTGGTGCGTGACAGTAGTGTGCGGTTGGGCGTAAGCACCATGGATCTTGTACGCGCCGAGGTTAGTGAAGATGACAGTGGAGGTGTGGGAGTTGGCGGGCTGCGCGGAGCCCTCAGCGGGAGGGTGGAACGCCCACTGCAGGAAGTGGATTTCCGCAGCTGTGGCCTGGGCCTCGCTACCGTCAGCGTTTTGTTGAGCTTGTTCATTTTGCTGTTCTTCTGGGCTCTGTGCGCGCGGCAGAGGCAGGATGAATTGCGGGTTGTGGCGGGCGGCCTCGGCGATGCGGTGGTATGTCTCGACAGGGATGACGGCGCAGATCGAGTGTGAGTTGTTGGCATGTCGAAGTCGCCAGAGTGCTTCGATCTCCTTGGGTGGGAGATCGCGGATCTTCTCAACGTCTACGAACGAGTTCAGTGGCTTGATGCCGCTGGAGCTGCCGGAGGTTGCAGCGCGCGCGGCCTGTGCGGTGGGCGATTGGCTCGGCGGAGGCGGTGCCTGGAAGGGGTTTTGTGTTCCGGGAACAGCGTTGCCGGGTGTAGGAGTGTCAGGCTCCGGGCTGATGACGGTGGAGGCTTTGTGGCGGAGGTCCTGGATCTTGTCGCTGTAGGCTTCTTTTAGGGACTCGATCGACTCGTGTCCCTCTCTGGATTGAAATAAACGTTAGAAATCAAGAAAAAAAAAATTATAGAAGTTCTCTCTGAAAGGAAACCTACTGCTTGGCCTTCTGGTCCAGCTTGGCCCGGTACTTGTCTAGGACATTGTTAGGGTCGTGGTGGGAGGCAAGGAAGCGGACATCATGGACCTGGGCCCATCGTCGCTGTTGATTGCGCAGCAAGTGGGACTTGCCCCGGAGAAGGTATTGAAACCCCTGAAGTCGGAGGGATGCCATGGCGAGTGGGAAATGGACACAGAAAGAAGATGATGCTTCAAGGTTGCGGTGATCTCAGACCGGGGAAAATATCGGGCTATATTTTCTCCGCCATAAGCAATGTATTGGCCTGATCTATGCGGCCGAGGTGACTGTTCGAGTGCCAGGGACAAGAACTGCTTCAATACAACAATCAGGGTAATTATTTTCTTTCAATATTAATATTTACCATTTAAGATAGAATCAGGGTTCCCAAGATCCATCCATCCACAAGTGTTATATTTGTCAGCAGTCCAACTGGGTAACTAAATATAAAGTTGAAGGCTCATACTATAACCAACGTAACCTCTACCCACCCTAATTCACTCTGCTATACCCCTCCTCAACCCCACCAACTCCAAGTCCCATACCTCTTTCCCTAAAACACCCCAACAGAAAAGAAAAGAACAGAAAATGCCCTTCCACCAACAAGAATTCACCACCCGCCCCCCACACCCCCCAGCAGGCACGCCCCCAGACTCGCGCACCACACACCCATGGTACAACGTCGGGCCGGGGATCTGGGAGCTGCTATTGAACGGCGACGCCGAGCACAAATCCGTGCTGCAGTGGTGGGAACCGAACAACATCTCCACACAAATCGAGCCCATTACGCACACGTACATTGAAGAGGTGTGTTTCATTGAGGGCGGGCTCGAGGATCTCTCGCTGAAGCAGGCTTGGGGCGTGGGCGCGTATGCGTACCGTGAGCCCGGGATGAAGCATGGACCTTATCGGGCTTCGGCGGAGGGGTGTTTGCAGTTTGTTAAGGTTGTGCCGCCTTCTCTTCGTGCTTAGAGAGTGTTTTATATTGGATTGTGGCAGGGCTGTATTTAGATGAGATGAATGGTTACTTGATTTTAGTATCCGTTTTTATATACTTAGGTTGGTATACACCCAAGTAGTGAGTGGTAGGTGGTTTTTATATTAGGTGTAGTAGAAGCTTGAAAGATACCAGTAAGCAGCTGAGTCCAACTTTTGAGTCGTAGTCTGTTCTTATGCTTCGATCACTTGATTCGGCATTGCGAGAGATTGGCTTCATCGGATCTTTTTAATGAGAAACCAGTGTACTTTTCTGATTTGAGAACACCAAAGATAAAGCTCATGCAACCCAGGTATCATATGCAATCCAAAAGAAGCCATACAGGCTATCCCTGACAAAAAGAAAAGAAAAAGATAAACTATGAGATTTGCAGCCTTCACTCAACCACAGCATTCACGGGATCCACTTCACTCATATTGTCTTGATGAGGACTCTCAGGACATTAAGGACCCTGTGGACCAGACCCGCTTTCCTCCTGGTGGTGCAGATCCTCACTCACATCCTCCTTCTGTCGCTCAATCTGCTCTTCTTTCTCTTCAGCCTCCTCCCAACTATCGACTACATCCGCCGCAACAGGCTGCGAGCGCAAAGACTTGCCCGCGCCAACACCCGAGCGCAGAACTAGACGTTCCTTCTTCGCGCCCGTCGAGGCAGCACTGCTGTCCGCCGCAAGAGCAGCAAACATAGACCCGCCAGTCAAAGAAGTCGAGACCGGGGTTGTGCTGCGAGTGCTAGTAGTGCTGGCTCCGTCGGCCCCGGCCTTTTTAGTGCGCGAGGCTACCTGCGCCCAGCCATCTTCCGTGCTGCTTAATTGCGCCTTGGTGGCATCACGAGCGGCCTTTGCTTCGAGGGCAGCGACGCGCTGGGCTTCGCGCTCTTTGGTGCGCTCTCGCTCGCGCAGCTTCACACACTCGCGCACGCTCATGCCGCCGATCCCAATCGACGAGCCACTTCCTAGTCCAAAAATCGGAGGCTTCCATGTCAAGGGTTTGAGGACGAAGACGTGTCGGTGGGGTTCCGCGTCATAGCTTTCGGTAACAAAGCCCCAGTCTGTGGCAAGGGAGTGGGCAAAGGCGCGCAGACTCGGCTTCGCGGGCTGGAAGCGAAATGACCGGACAGATGTGTCTGCAGCCAGAGCATGCAGGTTCGACTCATAGGTCTGGACTGTCGACAAAGGCGCAGACGAGGCCAGAGTGATGTATTGATCCAAGGTCTCGGCGGAGTATGGGAGGTTGGTGGCGGAGATTGCTTGCGCGGTAGTTGTCTGGTTGATGTCGACGCCGAGAGCAGACGCCAGAGAGCGGTTGCGTTCAAGACGGGAGCATTCGTCGTCGCACGCCAGCGGCGTGAGCGAGGGCAGGCGCTGAGGCTGCTGCAACTGGCCCTTAGAGGCCACGGCCTTAGCGGCGTTGCAGCGCCGTTCCTGGCGCAGTCGTCCACAGCTACATGTCACAGTGAGCATGGACGAGCACGGTGCCTTTTCGGGGCATGGGTAGGGTGCATGGCAGGGGTCGGTGCAAGGGTGACCACAAAGCGTCTTGGTCTTCCCACACGCCTGCTGGCAAGGCTTGGTCGCGTCCTCGCATTCCTCCGGCCGATGGCAATCCTTCTGACAGAAATGGGAACCGCACTTGAGGGGCTGGCCGCAGACCTGACCACAGCGCGCGTCTGTCAGCCAGCAAGGCACATTTTTCAACACCCGCTTGCCGCACAGGCACGGCTTTTCGGTCAGGAACGGGCACTTAGGACAGTTGTCCTGGTCCGTGTGGCAGTTATGCGTGGTCTGGGGGTGGCCACAGGCCTTGGGCCGCTCGCATGGGAAAGTGCAAGAAGGCGGCTGCGTGCCACAGGGCTGCGGCGGAAACAGGATCGATCTTCCGCAATTACACGAGATCTCCTCGAAAATTGCTTCTCGGCAGGTGTTGCATACACCCTTGTGGCAGAGTTCCGGACATTTGTGGCGTTCGCATTTCAGCGTTCGACCACAGACTCGCGTACAGATGTGCTCTGCCTCGATGTCCTCGTCAATGGGACGGAGGTGCGGCTTAAGTTTGCGCCGCGCAGCCTGACGATCAACTGCGGCTTGTTCCCCGGGGCAGCATCGCTCAGTGCACGTATGGCGGCCACAGTGCAGAGTCGATTTGCAAACCCGGAAGCATTGGGGTGGTTCGGTGTTGCCTTGGTGGCAGATGCTAACAGAGGTATTGCGACCGCATCGACAGTGAATCGAGACGCGGCGCATACAGGTACCGCAAGGACCAGTGTGGCAGATCTGATCGCAAGGGTGGCCACATGGAAGGGTCTTGCCGCATGGTTCCAAGCAGTTGGGGATGGGGTCCTCGCAAGAGGTCCGAGGACTAAATCTCGGAATTTTGGTGAGTGGTGTTTTGCCGCAGGGACACTTGTTAACCACGTCGGGTGATCTAGGGCAATGGGTCGGGAGGGCGTCCTGGGAATGGCAGCTTTTCTGGCATGAATGCACACCGCAGTCGAAGGATCGATTACAAGGTTCACCACATCCGAAGCAGCCAGTCCACTTTTCTTCTGCGCCGTTTTCATGAACAGTGCGGCTTTCCAGGTCGTCATCCTTGGAGCTGCATAGCATTTGTGTCTGGACTTTGCCACAATAGCAACGGGCATCCACCTTGGCCTCACAGGCGCCACACAAACCCTCGTGACAAGGAAGAGGGCAGGTGTGCTCGCCGCACGGCAGAAGATCGCCACATATCTCGCCGCAGCTCCACCCAGCATCATAGTTCGTGTCCTGGCATCTTTTAGTCGAGGAGTTGCGACCGCAGAAGCAATCTTGAGTGGGTCCCATAGCGGTGCAGGGAGCACACGGGCCAGCATGACAAGTGGCATCGCAAGGATGAGGACAACCCTTGCGAGACCGAGAGCATGTCTGGCCACATGAGTGTGGGGGCAGACCAGGAAGCGGCCGAGGATCGACATCCTTCTCACACCAGCAGGTATAGGTTGAGGGAAAGACCTCATGCGAAAGATTGCAGCCCGGACAACGCCAGGCGCGAGGTGCCAGGGAGTCCTGTCCGTCTTGTTCCTGTCTAGCAGAGTTCTGGGCCGCTGCACCCTCATTTTTGGACCACTTTTTGACGCAGCTCAAGTGGAAAACCGTCCAACAGAGTTCACACGACCATATTTTAGAGCGGCGGCCAAGCTCACTGCAACAGATCGGGCATTCATAAAGGTTGTGGGCGATATCCTCGTGAATCCGCGTTGCGATGTTGTCGGCGGTGGACTTCGTCATCACTTTCGGTAGCGGCTGCGGTGCCTTGGCTTTTGATTTACCCTTGCCTTTGGCAGGCAATGTCGATATCGAAGATGTTGACACGGCCGGAGGTAGTGGCATCCCCGGCACAAACTCTGGCACATCAGCCCTGAGTCCCACCTCGCTTGATTCTCCTCCATTTTGCACCGCAGTATCATCGGGATTTTGGTCTGGCCTCGTCAACCGGGCCTGAAACCCCCGCGCTCTCATCCCACGAGACTGTTGTGTTCCTGGTTGATTTGCCAGACCATCCTGCCCGTCATTTTGATTCTGACCTCGCCGCGGAGCTCCATTGCCACGACCTCGTCGCCCTCTCCCATCTCGGTTCCCTCTGTGTGAGCGAGACGAATCGGTCGGTTGATTGGAAGCTGGCGCTGTATCTGACTGTGCTTGCAATGGTTGCGATTGCTCGGATGACTGATTTTGTGCTGAAGGGGCAGGTCGAGACTGTTGTCGGCCTGCATTATTTGGAAGCCCACCTCTACCTCTGCGTCTATGAGGTCGAGAACGAGAGGGAGCCGAGGGAGGAGCAGCGACTTCGGGGCCCGACATGGCCTGAGAAGCTGGGAAAGCCTGATTGGCTTCTCCTGCTGACACGCTCATGCAAAAGAGTTAAGTGAGGTGGTGGCTAATCCAATCCACCGGGTGGTTTGTGAATTCGCGGGGGAATTTCAAAGCTGAGTATGATCTGGTAGGAGATTAGGGTAAGATGGTGCCCAGAAAAGAAAGAATAACCACAAAAAAGGCCTAGAAACAGCACTGCTAATGAGTGAAAAAGAACTGGAAATCCAGGGAAACGCAGCCCACGGGGGCAAAAGTGGAATATGAGAGAACGAACTATCTCGGAGCTGCGATAAAAACCCACCTGTTGGCAGAATTAGGCGGAGGGTTGGGCGGTAAGTTGGTGGCACTTTGTCCACGGGTGAGTCAGAAATGATGTAACGTGACTCACCCGCGGATTTCGTAGGACGACTGGGCAGAGTTGACTCACAGTGGAGAATGTACACAGTGGAGCTATACGAAAGGGCTTAGACACAGAGGCAAGTCATATAGAAATAGTTGCAGTATACATGAATGCAATTAGGGGGTAGAAAGAGTATAGACAAAAGTACAAAGCTGCAGACCCCACGAGGAATATCGCAAAATATCGCGCTATGCAGACTAGGCCGTTCACCTCATAAAAAACCAAGAGAGCCACCCCGAAATAACCCTAATTCAATCTTAGGGGACTTTTTCCCCTTCAGGTAGACACCACAATCTCGCCACGGTCATTGCGTCGAAGTCTCAATGCCCGCCACAAGTCCTTCTCGTCCTCCAGTCGGCGCTCCCGATCCGCCCGACTACGGCCATGGTCACGGCCACGGTCAGCATCATACTCGTCTGAGAGATCGCGGTGGAAACGCTTGAGGGCCTTGTGGACAGAGCAGCCACGCTCACTGTCACGGGACACCAGAGACAGGAAATGATGGGCCAGCTCACGTTGCAAGGCCTCATCGGTCAGAGCCGGGGGCTTTGAGTGTCGGTACACAGTGACCTGGCGGCTGTCATTATGAGGAGAGCGCGAGCGCGAGTGGCCAGACCCACGGCGCTCGTCAATCTGCTTGAGGCGCCGAGATGGACGATCGCCGTCGGTGGGGTTGCTGCTCTTGCGCTTGGACTTGCGGCTCTCGCCATGGCCATCAGACGCGTTGTGCGAGCGGTGCGACTTCTTGCTTTTACGCACCTCCATCTGACCACCATCGGCACTCGACGAGCTACCCCGGCGCGTGCGAACCAAAGCCTTGGAGGTCACTTCGGCACCGCCACCGCTGCTTCCAGACACAGATGACCCCCCAAACATGGACGAGACGAGTCGCTCGGCGCGATTCTTGATCGAGATGCCCAGACCCGGGTCACCGTGGCTCTCCTTGCTGTTGACTTCTTTGCCATTGCGACGGGTGCGCTTAATCGGGGACGATGCATCTTGGTACGGCCTGCCGCCGTGCTCGGGCGTGCCCTCTCCATCCTGCGACGGCGAGCGCAGCATCCGGTTAAGACCACCGGTGAGTCCAGAATGGTTCAACACGGGCGTGCCGACATTGTTGGTGACACTGGAAGGGGCATCCATCATCGGAGTGTCCACATCATTTTGGGGACTACTAAGATGCTCCGCCTGGCCACGTTTGCGCTTCTTCTCACTCGCGGTGGCCGAGGCACGCTTCTCCTCCCGACGACGGTCCTTCTTCTTCTTGGGTGCCGGCGTCACGAACTCCGAGGAGACATTCGGAACCTGTTCCGGGTGCATGGACGGCGGGATGGGGTCCGCGCCATAGGAAAAGCCGTTCTCCTCGTAGGCGACATCATAGTTCTTGCCCTCATCATCCGTATCGGCACCAAGCCGGGCCAGCGCGCCGCTGGGTTCAAACACCGAGCGAGCGTGCGGGAGCATAGTCATCTGCTCCTTGGGTGCGCCGAGAGAGACCTTGGATGCGTTGGGGGTTTCTTCGGTGACCAGGTAGTCGAACACATTGACAGGTTTGGCATCTTTATTGGGCGCCGTCGTAGGAGTCTTCACGGCCCCGGCAGGAGGGGGTGTAGGAGCGGGCGGAGGCGGCACGTTCGCTGGGAGATTATCGACGTCGGGGGCATCCTCGACCCGGGGTTGCTGGTTGTGCGCTTTGGCATTTGATTTCGCATTCTGGTTGGGGGTATTCTGCCCCTTCCGCGGAGTCTTTCCCGGCTTCTCTTTATAGAGTGCACCCTGGTACTTTTGCGCCTCGGACATGCAGGTCTGTCGCGACGAGGTCAAAGTCAGCAGCGGAACAACAGAGGGACTGAATAGAATAAACACGTAAAAGTCCAATCAAAATAGACCTAGAATTCACAAGCCCTGGATTGCGCATAAGACAATAAGGTCCATCCAATTCCAGCTACTAGTCAAGTTCGGTCTCTGCCCTGCCATTGCTCAGGCGCGCCACGGCGCGAATGCGCGACAAAATGAGAACATTGCGATAGAAAAATAACTGTCACATACCGTGTGCGATCTGTACTCTGTGCCGCGAAAATGCACCATGCAATCAATGCAGGTGAAGGACGCGCCACGACACTGGTTGCGATGCGGATCGAGTTTTTTCTTGGTGAGGACATCCCCACACCCCTACAAGGGGACATGTTAGCAGCCATTCCGCGCCAGCAACTCGTTGCCTGGAACTGCGACGAGTCTGAGAGATTTCATGAGACTTACCTCGCATGAGAAAGACACCATTTTGGGCTTTGGAAGGTCACCCCGCGTTGGAACTCGATAGGCGTGTTTTGCGCAAGCCCCAACTCAGATAAGTGAGAGACCAAGAAACAAGCAGGTAGTGACTCGGAGTCGAGATGCGACAATCGAGTCACTGTTCAATCGCAAGACTGTTTTTAGTCTGCTCGATGCGACAAGCACCGATGTCAAGACCAATGTTGGATGAAGATGAAAGGAGGGGAGGTTTATCCCTTGCGAAAGAAAAGTTGAAAAGGCGAGACGGAGCCAGTTGCATGTACAATGCAGATGCTTTGCTGCAGACTTCGCAAAGTCACCCGCTTGTTCGACACGCGGTTTCTTCCTTTTCCTTTTTCCTGTTCCCTTCTCTTTTTTTTTTTTTTGCGTCGAAAATTAGAAGCGCGCGATGGACGCTAGTCCTGTTCAGCCAGTGATTTTAGTGGGTCGATTCCACCCAGACGCTGGAATTATGGAGATGGGGGAGTATAGATCGCAGTAAATCATAGATGAAGAGAACAGCCACTTTCAACCCAGAAACCAACCCCTGATTTCGATGATTATTATAATAATCAACTACGTTTCTGACAAAAAAGAAAAGAAAGGGGCTAACTCTCAGACGCCCTGTTTCATCAACGCGCCCAAAGAGAGCAAGAAATGATGCAAGCAGACGATCGCTACATCGCGCTGGGCTATGGTTGGTGGTTGAACAACCGAGGGGCGTCAGGAGACCCCGTAGTGCTTGCTATCGCATCAAAAAGCAGCGCGACTGGCCCCCTCCCCTGAGAGGGGCTATTTTTGGTGGATTACTCCAGAGAGATCCCCTCATAGTTGACCCTAACCCTTATCACCTTGGGGTTGGATTTACTTGACCACCTGGTATACGCGGGGATAGCAAATATCATTACGGGTACTCACTAGGAACTGGGATTCATGAATATCCATGGATATATAAACCTGTTGTAAGCACCGCTTACTAGTGGCCATGTTGGTATCACAAGAACCCTACTCGATCGCGGGTTATGGAACAATAAAAAAGGGGGAAAAAAAGTTAAACCGATTACATTGTGTTCTACAAGCCCATCCCCGGAGGATACTAGGCAGATCAATGTAGGTCATGCGCGCCATATCCACGCAGACTTGATCGCATGTCCGGGTCATGCTGAAAAGAAGGACTGATCAACAGTGGGACCCCGGTCGATGCAGTAAGAAGGGGGTAAAGAAGTACGGCACTAGCAGTTATATCTACACTCATTCTATATAGCACACTCGAATAAGAGACTGCGATCGAACAAAGCATGATAAAATATGATAGGGTATATGGAGAACGTCAAGTGACGATCGACTACTGTACAGGAGACGGATGCATGGATGCGTCCATGTGGACACGGATGGGAATGTACGCCATGCGGGATCGACAAGGGAGTTCAGATGGTTGCGATCCGCTGAATACTTGAAAGAGTGTTTATACAGTTTCAATTGCGGGGGAAACTCCGTTAACCGCGGGTAGTCCTAAAATATAGCCAGTCAGTAGGGAGCGCACCCAAGCAGGAATGCAAGGAACTAAACTGACTCTTCCTTCGAGATCTCCACGGCATGTTTGTCATGAGATTTACCATCTGCGCCACCGGACCGAGGCAGCGTAGACTGGCCGTCCTTGCCCTCGCCAACCTTGCTCTCACCGGACTTGCTCTCACCGGACTTGCCCTCACCAGACTTTCCCCCGCCAGACTTGCTATCGCCCTCTTCTTTGTCGGCGCAGCCGCAATCATAGAAGTCACCCAGGTTGGCGCAATCGAATTCCGGCTTGTCGAGCATGGCGTTGACCTCGTTGTGGATGAAACACAGCCAGCCGGCAGCCGACTTTCGCGAAGACACCTGGGGCGGGTACTTGGTAATGTGCTGCTGGAAATGCGAGGCACATTCACCGCTGTTTCCAATTGTCAGCCAATTCCATTAAATATTTCCTTTTTGATAGCCAGGGGATCCATACCAAGGGTAGAGCCGCGCGAACAAATAGATATAGGAACGCAGCGCATCCTGCTGGTCCTGAGTAGGCTTCTCCGGGAAACGCGCCATCACCGTGTGGAAGTACTTCCATGCCGCACGGCCGAGTTCAGCCCTAGAACCAACGAATCCTTGGTCAGCACACTCCGCTTCTTCGACCTCTCTTCCCCCCCCAAATCATGTCCATCTCGGGAGTATTGTGTTCCTTACTTGGCTGTTGCATTGCCCAGCTTGGGCATCACCACATCGCCTTTCAATGTTCCATCCTCGACATGAACCGCCGGCGGGGGTCCAGTCGCCGGAGCAGAGTGATCGATATGTCCCGGGGCTCGAATGGCCGGGGACGGCGGGCCCTGGGGCCGAATGAACAGGAAGAAGATGAGACCGATGGAAAATGCGACGCTGATGACAATGCGCCGAGTGATTTGACGGGTCGCCATATCGAGGGAGGGGGGTGGCCGGTCGAGGGGGTTTTACACGGGGAGAAAAAAAGAGGTCAGGGGCCAAGTGTTCCGATCACAGGTGCACCTGGCACTAAGAGGACCGAAGACAGGGAGACCCGGACAAAGAAGTTTAAATAAGGTTTAAAGAAGAAAAGAATGGCACAAATGCAGTCAAGAACGCTTCTGGGATTTCTTGAGGCGTAAAAGGAGATTCGCAATTCACGTGTCGCATCCATCGGGGGCCAAAGGCTGAGTCAGACACATGGCCTGGGGCAACTAACTATTTATAGGCCAAACCGTTGCCATGCTCATCGATGTAGATCCAGGCAATTATTAATTGTCTGGGAGAACTAATCAGCATGTACTGTGATTATAAAGTTAGTGAGTATATGAATTGATTCTAACCTTGGAGTATAAGTAGGTATTAGTCTCTTCAAAAGAAGCAAATATTCTCCTCTCTTTCCCTTGTTAACCTACTCTAAATAAAATAAACCAAAAGAAGACAGACATATAAGGATATTACGAAAGTAGAGAAGAAGAATAATTAAAAACAGCCTAGAAATGGAAGAAAAAAAGAGGATCCAAAAATAGATCAAAATAGGGAAAATTGATAAAAGAATTGTAGGCAAAAAAATAGGAGTAGGAGTAGTAGTAAGAAGCGATCCATATATTAAAGTGAAGCTGAAAGTTTCTAAACAAGATGAAGTTTAGGGTGTATAACCTGAAAATCCATATTATAGTATCTACCATGTGTTCTATTGACTGCAGCGATTGCATCTTGCTCTCGGATCGCTATTATCAAGGGCCACACCGGATATGCTCCGTGAACATGGCCTCGATGAGATGCAGACTGCTGGACGCGGAAGACTAAAGCATAAATCTTACCTTCAGTTAAAGTCAAACCCCGTGTCCTAGCGAAGTATGTATCTACACATCACTTTCCTTGGCAAGTGAACCACTGACACTTGGAGGCAAGTCCTCCTTGCCGGTCCCCCAGTCACTCTCATGCTCCCCCAGAGTAAGCTCGAGCGTCATCCCACGAGTAAAGAACTCATGACCAACCCAATTCTTGGTATAAGGGTTTCCATTGAGCTTAGCACTCTGGATATAGACTTTGCGATAGGACTTGTCAAAGTTGACGTTGCGAATCGTGGCCGTCTGGTTCGTTTCGGGATGAGTGATTTCAACTGCCTCGAAGAATGGCGCAATAATGAGGTAGACATTCTGACCAGGATTCGGGAATAGACCCATCATACACCAGGCCATGAATGACCCCATGGCACCAGAGTCGTCATTGCCAGGTAGGCCGCTGTGCGAGGCGTTGAAGGATGACGGGATATACTTGTGGGCTCGGCGGGCTGAGAGGGCTGGCCGGCCAGCGTAGTGATATTCAAAAACGGTTAGAAACACTGGCTCATTTCCAATGTCGGCTAGCCCGGAGTCATGGAAGTAATCCAGTCGGGAAACGAAGGACTCGGGGCCACCGAGGAGCTTGATCAAAGATGCCATGTCATGAGGGACGAAACTAAAAACAAAAAACAATTAGCATTTGGGGGTCTCATATAAACATAAACCACAAAAATAGAGCATAAACATACAACAAGTACTCCCATATGCTAGACTCGAAGGTCTCGGATGGATTTGATGTCAGCGAGCACCAAGACGCCAAAGCACTACAGGCAATGGGGTCTTGATAGCCCCAAGTGCCGTTGAGATGTTTGGGCTGAAGGAACCCCGTGAAGCCAGTATCGGTCCCGTTCTCGAGCAAAGACTTCTGGTCCTTTTTAAAGAGATTTTTCCAATTGCCCGAGCGGGAAATATAGGTGGTATAGTCGGTCTTGCCGAGGCCCTTGGCCACAACCGCCAAACTGTAGTCATTGTACGCGTACTCCACAGTGCGCGAGACACTGCGGGAGTTAGTACCAAATCCCAGGTAATCGAAGTCCAGGTAGGGGATATAGTGGAGCCGCTTCCAGCTCTGAAGTCCGCCCCGGCCTTCGTATGACCACTCCAACGGCTCATTCTCGGCGTCGTTGACCATCGCCTTATAAGCGAGCTCCCAATTAATTCCTGTCAGATTCTTCACATAGGCGTCGGCAAGGACCACGTCGGCATTGGAGCCCCCTGCGTCCAGCCTTTGCAGAGACTCATGCGGCAATCGGGCAGCCAGCCTTCATGTTTGTAGGTGTCTAAAAGACTTCGCACCATTCGGGATTGCGCGTGAGGATCCACGATCGTCAGGAACGGGTGCTGGGACCGGAAGGCATCCCATAAACAGTAAAACGAATCAAAATATGGCTCGTCGCTCTTCCACAACGGATTCTCGCCTGTCATATCCTGGGGCGAGAGCATCGTCCGATAAACACCACTCCAAAAGCTGCTCAGCATATCATCGCCAGCGCCGCCGGCTGTTACTTTGATAGGGCTAAGTTTGGCTCTCCATGCATCCTCGGCATCTTTTCGCAAACTCCCGAAGTCATGAAGTGGATCGGGGATCTCTTTTTCTGCATTATTGCAAGCTTGATCTGTGCTGATAAAGCTCACTCCCACTCGCGCAGTGACAACTCCATCGTGTGGCCGATCAAAGCTCACGAAGCCTCCACCCTGGAGATAGAAGCCGTTAAATCCGCGAGTGAGAAACAGCTGCTTAGGCTCAGACCCAGCCCGATCATTCACCCAGATCCCACTATCATGAACCCGCGCGCCTGCAAAATCGGCACAGAAATAGGTCTGGTAAGACCCGGCGCCGAAACTCGGCAGGAACGTGCCATTCCCTCTGATACGACCCGAGTGCGCATCAATGGTGATCGACGCATTCTGTCGACTATCCCAGAGATCGGTCAGATCCAGAGAGATCAGCGGATGCAGCGCAGACCCGTTTCCCGTGTCAGCAGACGGAAACTTGAATCGATACAGCGCGCTGCGCCGCGCAACGGTCATCTCCGCGCGGATGCCATTATAAAGACTTATTGCAAAGTATCCCGGGCGGGCCACGACCGAGTCCTTGGCGTAGGGCACTGCGCGTGCGGATTTGGGAAACTTGCAGTTGTCCAGGACATCGTCGGGGCAATACTGCGGGAACAGGGGGAAGTTTCCCAGGGATGGATTGCCGCCCGTACCACTGTCATGCAGATGCGAGAACCCGGTCACATTGCTTCCGTCGGTCGAGAAGCCTCCGGTGTTCTGACCGTCGACGTCGGCGACGGGCTTAGCGAGCCCGTACGGCAGACTAGCGCCGGCGAAGACATTGCCGCCGTTGGTAGACCCGATCAGGGGATTCACATGTTTCAAATCATCTTTAGTGGCTACTGTTTGGGAGGAGAGTAGAACTACCAAAGTAATGCACGTAGTGATTGTATGCAGGAGACTCATGGCGATCGAGATGGACGACTATCAGACCATGCAAAATGACGCGTCGCACTGGGCTGAGACGGTGAGGGCGAGGGGTGCGGGAAAAGAAAGGCGAGGAATGCTCTCATGGAAACTGCTTGCATGTCGCATTTTTCTGTCGATCGGCCAAACAGCATTGGTCCAGGACGCAAGGGCGATGAGGGGACTTGTGTGCGGGGCTCAGATGGAAAGAGCTGTGAATGCGCATCTTTCCAGAATATGATAGGATCAAATAGAATGACTATTTGGTGAATAAACAGCTTTAGATAGAGGCTGATCGAGGGTTGTAGTTGAGGGTTGTCTGTTTACCTCGAGTCCATTCCTAGGATACTACCTGTTCAAGCCCAATTTTCTTTGTGACGAGATGGTAGATTGATACTGATATTTACACTATCTAGCATGAAAACATTATACTAGAATATATAACTCTTTCTATTTCGCTATAGAGTACCTGTTTATGTTATATTAGCAAGGTGGTTATACATAGGGTTTCCTACCTTGGTTAGCTAACTAGCATTCTTCAGGCAGCAACGTCTATATACCAAAGATACATACTTTTAACGGTAGATACTAACGATTTATCCCGAGGAAATGCTCATTATAGTAGGGTCATAGGGGTAGAGGGACCAGACATAGTAGCGATAAAAGGTAATATAGAAGTGATAACTATCAGATTGGTTGTAGAAGAGAAGAAGAAACGATAATAATAATGACGATTATAGGGACACAAGCCAATAAAAAGCAATGATACAAGGTAAAGTGGCTACCTATGGTTTTGGTTTGCTATTAATACTGTGTGGAGCGAATATCACTTGTCGGGGAGCAGGGCCATTGTCGACGTTACGACAAAATCCCTGATCATTGAAGACAACTTTAATTCCGGATAGAACTAAGCAGTGAAACTATATATAATATTAGAATGTCAATTAAAGTTGTTATTTTATTTCATTTTGATCCAGTTATTTATTACATACAAGTTCTATATGTTCATAGTAAGTAATACTCAAAGAATACTTCCTCATTCACCCACATCCACACCCCAAAAGGCCTTCGCCCTTGACTCTCTCACAAAATCGATTCGAAATCAAAGGCACTGCCGGTCTGTGGTCATCACGGTTGATCGAATTTACCCCCCTGGCCCCCTGCAGCCTCCAAGAACTTGATTCCAACACCCATTGCAGCTCAGCCACATATCCGTCAAAATCCTCCTGGGGATTGGGAAGATAGAAGGGCTTATATGGCAAGGTCGCAGCATAGGCAGCCAATGCAGCAGCTTGAGGAGTAGCGAGAGAGGTTCCCTTTTCTTTTTTCACCTGCTGGCCATGAAGAGGAGCACAAGGGATATATTCGGAAACTGCCCATAGCGCTCCCGCTGCAGGCATGAGTGACCATCGACTTCGGAGGCCATCTTCATCAGCCATGGCAACGAATGTTGTATGCGGGAGTTCACCCCGCCATCGTTCGGGGTATAATGCGTCTTCCTCGAAGAGGGTAGCCCTGGAATTATCTCTTTTGCTGGCAAGGGGGTATCTGTTCCCTGCGGCAACATAAACCATCGCCAATTTATCGATCTCCTTGAACGCCTTCTTGATATCATTCATGTCCTGCGGCCCCAACCAATCAGCCAGTTTTTTGCTTATCCCGGCGGAGAAATTGACGAATATCTTTCCCTTGAGATATGGTTTGTCCTTGAGAACCGCTTTGATATCCTTGGCAACATCCCACAGTGTGTTTAGAAAATTCACGGCGTGAGTGTCGGTCATTTTGGAAAATGGCGTATACAAGAATGGAGTCTTCACGATCACCAGTGACGCGCCTTTCGCGACACCGTATTTGGGACTGGAAATTAGCGACCCAACACAAGTTCCATGGCCATCGGGATCGTCCTTGTGATCAGTTTCCCCTCTTGGGATGGGCTTAGATATAATCCATCTCGGCTCAGGATCCCATGATTTATATTCCGCCGTCTTTGTGTCGAAGCCTGAATCGATCAGGTAAATGACCGAGCCTTTGCCGGCAGACTGGTCATATTCATAGATCCAGGGGGGTCGAAGTCAGGCGTTTTTGTCTTTGCACGCGAAATGGCAGCGAGGTAGAAGAACGCGGGGTTCTGAGAACGGAGTCTTGGCCGGCGGGCACGCTTGTCAAGCTTGTGTGAATGCTCAGAGGAATAAAGCTCGGGGTTCTCGCTCGAGTTGCGTTGGGGTGGCAGAGCATTAATAAGGATGGTGAAAAGAGCGAAGGAGGTCGCGATCAGCCAGCGAAGAGACATTACCACATCACGAAGAGTAGTGGGAGATTGCAGATAGTGAGGCAGAAGGAACAATGATCTAATAAAAAAATGATCAACGCAAAAAGAAAACGAAACGCCGTGTTGGTAAATCTCTTGTCAGAGGGCGACGGTCACTGGGCAAATATCCGCGCCCCTTCAGCTTATGGCGCCCGATGGACCTTGGCGCGTAATCATATCTAGGACCAAGAGGCAAAATATTAGCTCCATGGCAGTATTTGCCGGTTCAATGAAAATTTGGGTGAAGAGGTTGTTCACACTAGTGGCCCCGAAGGATGACAAGGCGTTCGTTAGCCGCCCCACGGTGACCTCAGCGCACAGATATTCTATTTTAGACCGATGAGAGATCGCCTTTGATAAAACAGATAGAGCGCTAGGTAAGAGCCAGGTGCATGCGAGTCCTCTGCAAGTAAATGTAGATGCCAATATGTATGCTTTGTGGGTAGTATATAGAAAAAATGTACACGCGAGGGCCATATTATGAACCTTTTGACACCTGGCCATCGAATATCGAGTTCGACTTCAGGATGCACAGCATTCCCTCGGCGAAAAAGAAAAAGAAGAAATAATGTATGCAAAACGTATTCTCCGAACACATGCATCATCGGTTATCTTGAGATATGGGGGAGAAGAGAGAGGGGCAAGGATGTAGGAAGAGAGACAGAACAGCGGAGCGCACATAACTAGAAGATCATGGTACCCTTGTTCTGTTTCTTGTCGACACTGTAGTTCCTCCACACGGCGACAGCAGGAATAGCCAAGAGCAGAATACAAGTCGAGGCAATGCAGTTTGCGCGCTGGGCCCAGCCCCAGGCGTAATTGACAGCGTCACGGCGAGCAGAACCGACAGGGAAGGAGGCATGGGTCTCGATACCATCGGACCAGATCTGGTGGGCGCTGGACTTCAGGTTGTCGGGCAGGCGACTGCGGAGCGCGTCGGGGAAGACGTTGTTGTAGATGGCGGCGGAGACAGTCAGACCGAAAGCACCGCCGACGCTGTTGAATAGACCCAGCAGGGCCAGCATCATCGGGGTACCCTCACGGCCACCGGCTGTCATGGCGGCCATGTCGTTGGCAATGATCAGAGTGCCACCGGCAAAGGCGATGAAGATCTGGCACATCACCACATACCCGATGCCGTGGTCTTGGCCACGGAAGTAAATCATCAAGCCCGAGCCGAGGATGATGAGAGGAGCGCCGAAGAACAAGGCAATGTGCTTGAAGCGCTTGGTGGCGTAGATGATGACACCAATGACTGGTGAGAAGAAGCAGGAGCCGACGTTGTAGATCTGGAGCATGTATCCGGCCATGGCGGGTTCCAGGTCGTAAGTGATGTAGACGAAGTTGTAGAAGTTCTGGTCCCACAGGTCAAAGCTGAAGAAAAGAACCGCAGAGAGAACACAGGCACCCAGGATGGTGCGGTCCTTGAGCAGCTCATAGCGGATGAACTGGGTGCGAGCACACCACTTCTCCCACGCAGCGAACACAAAGAACATAAAAAATCCCACAATAAGCATGGCGATGAAGGTGGCGCTCTTGTACTGGGAGCGGCCACCCTGAGCAAGACTGAAAGGCAGGAGGAATAAGATGAAGGCGACCATGAGCAGGAAAGCTCCAATCACTGTCAAATAATTAGCATTGAATCTAATGGCAATTTGCTGGGGGTAAGTTACCATCGAACTCGTGAACGTAGTGGACGATGGACTGCATCGTAGTGCGCCCACTCTTCTGCGGCGTATAGATACCCAGCTTCGTGGCCTTCTTCTCATAGTACTTGAAGACAATGGCCAAGGGACAAAAGACGAACGGCATCACAATGCAAAAGATACCGTAACCCCAACGCCACCCCTGGTGGGTACCGATGGCCTGCGCGGCCAGCGGACCAGTGAACGCCGTAGCGATGAAGGGCGTCTGAACAAATCCGTAGGCGAAAGCACGGAAACGCAGGCCAGAAGTATCAGCCACGAAGATTTCCAGGATCAGATAGATGCAGTAATATCCAATCCAGTAGAGCACATAGCCGGCCGCAAAGGCACTGGAGCCATTGCACGCCGCTAGGATAATCATGCCGAGAACATAAACGAAGACCGAGACCAGTAGACCCTCGGTGCGACCCCAGAGATTCAGGGTTTTACTGATGGGCAGTTTCAGCACTCCACCAACGACATTCGCCAGAATGTACGAGGTCGAGACCTGCGGGCCCTTGTGGAAGCTCGAGAAAACAAAATTGATCAGATTGCTGTTGATCGACGAGTGGAAGGCCAGCATAAAGATACAGAGCCAGATCCTACATTCATGGGATATGATTAGGGATGCACCAGGCCTTTGCGACAAGTAGACTATCACACATACCAGGCGTAGACGGCGGCGACCACCGGCCAGCTCCAAACCAGAGCCACAGCTTCGGCCTTTTGCTGACCTTGCTGGGCACCGGCAGTGACCTGATCTGGGCGGTCCTCGATCTCCTTCTCATCATTCTCGATTCCAACAGCCTGCTGTTCACCCTCGGAGGCATATGCCGGGGGCGGGTTGGAATCGGACGAAGCATCTTGATGATCCTGCTTGGTCTCTTGCGTCTCTTGCGTGTAGAGCCCAAAGAGCGAACGGGTCAGTCTCCCTCGCTCATCGCGACCCCGAATGGCATCGAGAGCACCGCCCATGATTGTAGTTTGGAGCCGTTCACCAGCTGAACTCAGGTGCGCCCAAAGGATGGTAGTCCTGAGGAGAGGGTGGGGGTGAGGAGTGTGGAAGAAAAAGAGGGAAGAGATCAGCGGCGCAGACGAATACTATAATGCAACGCGGGAGGGGCCCGGCACCATCAGGCGAGAATTTCCCGCAAGTCGCGCTTGCAGCGTGGATCCCGAAAAACCCTCGAGGGAACAAGAAGGTCTCCAATTCTTTTTTTTTTTTTCTTTTTTCTTCTTTTTGTCTGCTCGGCAAGGGGGAGGATCAGATAATCGGGTCCCCATCAGATACGCAGTGGGCCAATCCACGGTCGCTGTGGCTGTGGGGACGGCCCATTGATTGGTGGATGGTCGGCTGTCTGACCCAGAATGGCTTAGCCCAATCACAGCTACAATGCTGCCGTTTGCAGCGCACTGACGAAGGTACCGGCACCTCAGTAGTATCGAGGTAGCGTTGAGACTGAGATCTACGGTGATACATGCGAAGGCTACTTTTGCTTATAATTCAAGAGATAGCCACTGCCCAAACATTTTTTGCGGGCTTTCCCATCCCTTCGACTGGACCTGAAGATTACGTCTCCACTACACTTTGCGTTTCCGCGCGACGCCAAGACCGAAGACCGAAGTGGCCGAGAAGAAAAGAAGAGAAAAACAAACGCTTTTGGCCCCCACATACGAAACAAGCAATTCATGACACGAGTCCAGGATCACATTGTCTATCTCGGTCGGATCGGAGACGCCGTGAGCACTGGTATTGGGCTGTTTGGACCCAGCGCGGAGGCGCCGGCTCTCGATCAACAGCAGATATTTTCTCAACGCCACTCAATTTATCTGATCCGAACGGGCAGTCCCGGAGACGCAAGGCGACATCCTTCCAGCAACGCTTTGTCTGTCCACGGTTGTGTCTGAAGCTAGCTACGTCTAGCCCGGATATTGAAGCCCAAGAAAAAGCCATTGGCAAGTTTAGTGTGTCTACGCAGGCTGCGAGTGATCCGAAACCCAGTGGGTCTCATCGGGTCATCGGGTGTGAGTGGATTGTGATGCTCCCAATATGCTTGAGTTTTTTTTTTTTTTTTTTTTTTTTTTTTTTCCTCTTTCTGTTCCAGCTGCCCTCTCGCTTTCTCGAGCTAACTCGCAGAGATCCACTCGACCGTTCACCCTCAGACCTATCCAAGGATGGCCGCGTTATGGAGTGGGTAGGCGAGTCTGGCGCAAGAATTTCATTCTGCCAACAGCCTCCGTCCCAAAAGTCTTTTGGCCACCACAATCAATCAAATCAATCGATCCATCTAATCTAATCAATCAAACCTTTTCCTTCGCCGATGTTCGGCCTCCCAACATGTTGTTCACCGTGTCGCCTGAATGGGCCTTCCCGGCTTCCTACTTCTGAGGCGCGGTCGGAAGTACTCCGGCGAAAGTGCCGCGGTAGTTGTTGGCGTTGATGTTTTAGATGGAGTCTCCACCCCTCGCGTGGGATCGCTGCTCCCCAGAGGAAATTCATTTCGGAGCAACAAGCCGAGGGGAAAAGCTCACCAGGCCGCCTGCCGGGAGATTGCCGGTGAAAGGATCCGCTCACCCGAATATCTCCAGCCCATGACCCTCCAAGTAGATTGACTCTAGCAAAAGTTGGAGTCCATGTGGCTGTCGAGACAGTCAAGGATCTCGCCAAGGTTAACTCCGTGGATCGAGAATACGCTAGGGGCACTACCTCGCGATCCTCCCCCTCAATGTGACAACCAGATTCCTTGCCTCTGCGCCCAGGATTCTAGCAGCCCCAATTACTTGGATTAGCCATTCAAAGTCCATGTGGAGACTCATAGACCAGATGTTCATGAAATCGCCTTGCTGAGCTGATCCTCCGAGACACATGGCACGGTTCGCCACACGAGGCAGCATCATTGATCATGCGATGCACAGCCGGCGCAGCAAAAAAAACTCCGTCGAGTTACTTCCTTCGGGGAAAGTCAAAGTGGACCTGCATGGCACAGGTGCTTATAGATCTCGTTCATCTGACTGTACCAGCTCTAGGATTGCAAGTCCATTTGAGCAATTCAGCACGATTCTCTCAGCCAGGATCAATAGCCAATACCCAAGCACAGCAGCTCGCGTGAGTCTGTTCGGGGCACGAGGCCGTGTAAGAGGGATTCATCTGCGAGGTAACTGCGGCAGTGGGTCTGATACCGCGGCCGGATCCTTCGTACACGTCGGGGTATGTCTCGAATCACATCTATTGCTCAAAGCTTCCACTCGCCATTAAGCGATGTGGGATTTGGGAACATTTCTTGCTCCCAGCCTATTTTGGCCCCCACCCCTAAAATAGACTTGGTGGTCTGATTCATGTTTTGTTTTTCCTCAGCTAGCTTCACCGATTAGATGCCATCCCCCTTTCTTTTCCTTTCTTCTATTCTCTTTTGCCAGAGAATTTCTTTCCAGCCGTAAGATTTCAATGCTAAAGCAGCGAAATCGCAGCATTTCTATTTCTGCCTCTCCGAAGGAAAGCATCTCCTTTCACGCACGCTCTTTTCAACGATTCTCCAAGGCTGAATCGCGACACGCCTTGTGGTTGCGCTGAAATCCAGGAACAAAAAGAGGACTGAGGCTGACAGCATCCCAGCTTCGGGTAGCAATGAGCAGTGTTTCGAGACAATTGACCAAAGCCGGCGCAGTCTATTGTCCGACCGAGCACACCTGTCGGCTTGCCGAGTACCGCACGCCCTTTCTTATGGGGACCGGGAACCCGGTAACAACGAGGACTTGGAAGATGGTTTCACCAAAGCCAGCGGTTAGCCTGTGTATCTTGCCATGAGTCTGTGTGTAGGATCAGGGCGGAACTATAACGTTGTCAGGGATTGTTCGCTGGACTGGGAAAGTGATTTGGGCCATGGTCTGGGACCTGCACACTGAACGATGACTCTCATAGACCTGGCTCTTATCAGGCATAAGAGAGCAATGGAATTTAGCGGGTCATCTATTTCGAACTTTCCTAATTCCAAATATATTGCCTATTGATCTATTCGTGGGAATACCCGCCAGCAGTTTTGTAACTAGTCATGATCACAAGACCCTGCGAATAGACCCTGAAACCTAAGAGCACCAGGCATTATAACTCCAATTTTATGCCACTATTCCTTGCTCTTTTTACAATCCTATAATAATTAAAGGCCATTCTTGTCGTCCCACCTAAGACTAGCATTAGATCTATAGCATCGTCTCAGTATCTAGATGCCGAACTCTGCGTCGCAATCAATATTAAGAGTCAGTGTAGGCGATGTCAGCTGCTTATGGCAACCAGATAAAATATGCACGTAAGACTATGGACATCATACGCCACCTAGACTGCGGGAAAGCAGTTGAAAAAAAGTCTCTTGCAACTATCTCGAAAAAAGTATCCGACCACATCCAACAAATCAAAGGTTCGGACCGCAAAAGTGGGTACAAGGGTCTGGATCAACGGCTTCAAATGTACAGCTTCTCAAGTGAGAGTGGCTTGGTTCTATACCAGCCCTCGGTGTTTCCATGCCGACAGAATTGCTAGACCAATCAACCACCGCAAAGGGTTATCCACACCAGCTCTAAGTGGGGATTGCGATTCCCCATTTCCTTCTCCGCGTTTTGTGGGCCAGAGCCAAAAATATCGGGGGGATCTTAGAGAAACAAATCGTTTCCGCTAAAGAAACAGAAAGAAATCAAGCAAAAAGAAAGCCCTTTCCTACGAGTAAGGTGACATGATTAGGCTGTCGAACCTACTCATCCTCGAGGATCTGGCCCTTGTGCTCCGTGCACGAAGGAGTGTCCACAGGTCTCCTTACCACGTTTTTTTTTATGCAAGCTGCATTGCCGGGCCTCGGGGTCCCTGCTCCGGGCACCAGTGCATAGAGCGTTAATAACTCTTATTCAATCCTTCTTATCCCCGTCACCGCATCGCCCCTGTGAGGAAATTATAATAATGCTCGTATTCCCCGGTCCTTAGCCCCGAAACCCACAATAAGCCGGCTTCCCAGGATCTTACTGGCACTGGGGATGGTCGGGTATAAAAGTGGAAAGAATAATGCTCGATATACACCGATCTCTAAACCCCGAGCCCCACAATATGCCGATTTTCTAGGATGTTAATAGCACTATTTATTGTCGCGGAAAATGGTAGAGGAAATCACATCCCCTCCTCTCTTTCTTTCTATCTTCTGCATCGAAGACATCATTCCGTGGATTCTTCTTCCCATACACACCAGACGTTAGTACTAAGAGTGGGCTCATACGACTATCGCTCACGCGCCTAAAAACTACTCGACCGGCCCCGCTTTGCCTTTGCGACAGCAGTATAGCAAGCACTACGACGCAAATCCCCAGCATAGCGCATTGCAAAAAATACCAGGATTTTGTTGCAGGGAGTAAAGTGTCCCAAAATGAGGGACAGCGAGAGTAAGCTATCCTTTGGGTTTCTGCAAAAATCTCACTCTAAAAGAAACCCAACAGATACATCAGTGGACGGATCCACTCCGGCTGTCAGCAACCACGAAATCCACCACGTTGATGGGGAAAAGCGATCGTTGCATGACTCGGATGATGTCGAAAAGGGCCCCGCAGAGCCGGACAATGGCGAGCAGACAGACAATACCTGCGACCCGAACATTGTCGATTTCGACGGCCCAGATGACCCGGAAAATCCTCTGAACTGGACCAAGAAGAAGAAGGTGACTGCGACGGTGTCTATTGCGTTGATCACACTTCTCACGTATGCTTTACCTTACTCGAGGACGCCAGATAGGGCCCACGGCTGACAATTTCTACAGACCTCTCGGCTCGTCAATGTTTGCGCCCGGTGTGCCCCAAGTGATGGCCGACTTTGGTCTCACAAACCCGGAGTTGTCATCCTTTGTGGTGTCAGTGTATTTGCTGGGATACTGCTTTGGACCATTGCTCATCGCACCTGTCTCGGAGATCTACGGGCGGCGAATCGTCTACAATGTCTGCAATGTGCTCTATGTCATTTTCACCGTGGCCTGCGCCGTGGCCCCCGAGGTTGGAAGCTTGATTGTGTTCCGGTTTTTTGCTGGCTGCGCAGGAAGCTGCCCCTTGACTATCGGCGCGGGTTCCATTGCGGACATGTTTGTCCAGGAGAAGCGAGGCAGCGCCATGGCCGCGTGGGCTCTTGGCCCTCTAATCGGGCCTGTCATTGGACCTGTTGGTAAGTTGGTTATCACGATGACTTGACATCCATGGAGTTAAGCGCGCCTACTGACTCGAAGAATTAGCCGGTGGCTATCTTACGCAGGCGGAGGGCTGGAGGTGGACTTTCTGGGTCCTGGCGATTGCAGTCAGTGCATACTACAGACCAAACAAAAAGAACAAAATGGCTAATGTACGCAGAGCGGTGCCGTCGCCATCAGCTCGATCTTCTTTATCCGCGAGTCTTATGCACCAACGATTCTGGCTCGTAAAACCAAGAAGCTGCGCAAAGAAACCGGCAACCCCAATCTACGCTCTGCCCTTGATTCCGGCCGAACACCCAAGGACCTCTTCCTGTACTCGATTGTGAGGCCCACGAAGATGCTCTTTCTCTCCCCGATCGTCTTCATGCTCTCCTTATACGTTGCCGTGATCTATGGATACCTGTATTTGCTGTTCACCACAATGACCCTGGTCTTCGAGGACCAGTACGGCTTCTCGCAGGGATCCGTCGGGTTGGCATATCTGGGGATTGGAATTGGCTCGATTATTGGACTGGTCATTCTGGGCGCTACCTCCGACCGGCTGTTGAATTATCTTGCCGCTAAGCATGGCAGCAAGAAGCCCGAGTTTCGGCTGCCACCTTTGATCCCCGGTTCGCTCTTTGTGCCGTTGGCGTTGTTTATGTATGGATGGACGGCATACTACAAAACCCACTGGATCGTGCCGATTATCGGCACGTCTTTCCTGGGTGTTGGCATGTTGATCGCCTTTGTAAGTCATAGCAGCCCCTTTTCTACTGCAGGGTTTTGTGGTGGACGCGATGCTCATCTCCACGATAATAGATGACCATCAGCACATACCTGGTCGATGCGTACACGATCTACGCTGCCTCCGCCATGGCTGCCAACACCGTCTTCCGATCCCTGATGGGAGCTCTTCTTCCTCTGGCCGGCGGGAAAATGTACCAGACCCTAGGTTTGGGCTGGGGCAACTCCCTCCTCGGTTTTATCGCACTGGCGCTGTGCCCGCTACCGATTATCTTCTATATTTACGGCGAGCGCATCCGGACGAGTAAGCGCTTCCGAGTCGAATTTTAAATCGACTGTGACAAGCTTGCTGTAATACTTGCTGTCTGCATTCATCATGCATGAATCTCTATCCCCATATAATCCATTGAAAGAGCGATTATCTCGCCTATCAGAAGCATGGATCTGGCGCTCTCGTGTCTCATAGCTATGGTTTAATGTCTTATCAAATAAAATTTCTCTCTATTAAGTTCAACTTCATTTGATAACCATTTGCTCCTTGGCCAAAGCTTGAATCTTCTCCCATCTGGGATCTCTGAAGCACTCCCTGGCCTGCTCTTTAACCCATAAATCCATATCCTCGACATGCTGACCTGACACGGCCTCCACCATTCCTACCAACATCTCGCGAGCTTCATCTGTCGTCAAGCCACTCGCGAGACCATGGTGCACCCGACGCATCATTTCATTTCCGTCTGCAAAAGAAGCCAACTCGGGCGCACCCTTCTCTCGGAGAGCATTTGCAAGAAGCTTATCATCCCCAGTCATGCCCGTGTTGCGGGAGTACAGCGACTCCAGATCTGCGGTGAGATACGACGGACCAAAAGCCTCGGATGCAGGCACGATGCGAGCAAACTGCCAGTCAATAACCCCGGTGATATTGAAGTCGTCATCGACGAGTAAATGGTCGCCCTTATCGTCGACGTGTTTAAGGAAGAATCTTTCCGGCGTGTCAGTACGAACTACCGCTGCCGCATTGCGGCGCAGGTAGTCGTAGAAAAGGAACGCTTCTGTCGGGTATTTGTAGTGAAGTTGACCGTCAGCGATGAGGTCCATGTATTGTTCCGTGATGCTGAGAATATATTCCAGCGGCGTTACAAATGGTCCGTAGGTGTTGAGTGCCACGAAGCGGTTGCTAGCAATGGAAGATACCTCGATCTGCTCTCCTTTCATCGTTAGTGACCCAGCAAGAGGGAATGGGTGCTTGTGGATCTCCAGCATGATATCAGCGACTTGCTCGATCACTCGTTTCTTCTGAAAGGGTGAAACATTGTGACCGTCAGATGGTTTTCCAGGCAATGCTTCCATCAATATATAGTTGACGCCTACACGGTTTGATGGCTCACAAGCAATTCCGTACCCAAAGACCCGCGGGGCAGGGATATTAGTCGACTCAAGGAACTTGAGAGTGGCATATTCGCTCGCAACAAGATATTCTACCAGCTCCAGCGGTACGTCGCTGAAGCCTGTTCGGGGGATTCGCACGATCCATTTCTCGCCGTTGTCGAAGTTGAGCCATGCGTGATAGTTGGCACAGCCCATGATAGCGCCGTCTCCGAGGTGTTTTCCCAGCTGGAATTTGCAGTTGATGTTGTTATTGAGTCGAGTGCCAACTCGCACTAGCTCCCAGGTGTTTATTTGCGATAGTAGCTCGGCGACCTCGTCGTTGATTGACTTCTCCCAGGCTTCGTCGCTTACCTGTCATAGAAATATCATGAGTCGAATGTCAGTTTAAAAAAAGGGCTTGGGATATGCATACCTCCCACGAAGATGAACAGTTGTGATACTGTTTTGACTGATGCTTCGCACACAGGTGTCTCCTGCACTGCGCACAGCTTCGTCCCCGCACACCAGCTCGTGTACAGTCAGACATTGAGCAGGTTTTAAACCGAGGAGGCTGGTGTTCCTTTGCTTCTGCGACTGGCTTTGGATAATCCCAACACTCTCCGCTTTTGGACAAAAGGGCCCGTAACCATGTATCGTCGGCCCATTGACAGATACGATTTCGACGCCAATCCTCCCAGTCAAGATTCAAGTCAATCCCAGTAGCAGTGGAGACTATACCGTGAAAGACAGATCTCGCCTCATCCCACATCAGGTTCATGCCCATTCCCAAGGCAAAAGAGAATCGACGTACAAGGTCAGACCCAGCAGCAAACTGTGCCAGAATATTACTCTTAGCCTTCACGGCCTGGGCCATGATATTATCATTGCAGGATGGCCCTGGCTTGCCACTGAATATGTCGTTCATCTCAGCAGTCAAAAGGGAGGGGCCAAATGCTTCGAACACAGGAACCACTCTCGCAAACGTCCAGTCAATGATGCCGGTGATGTTATACTCGTCATCAACGAGAATATGATCACCTTTGTCATCCATGTGCTTCAAGAAGAAAGGACCATTGTCGAGACTCGTGTCAAAGGCATTCCATCGACCTGCCTCTGCTAGAGTCTTTAGGTACTTGAAGATCAAAAAGGCATTCACAGGGTACGCAGAGAAGAGCTGCCCATCGCAGATCATCTCAAGATATTCATGAGCGAACGTTGCATAGTAGTCTCGTGCATTGCCAAAGGGTCCCATTTCGGAAAAAGTGCCTGTGCGATCGCCCACAATAGGGCCAACGCGGATATCGTTGTTGGGTCCAAAGGTCAGACAGCCGATTTGGAGGAATGGGACCCGGTGGAGAGAGCAGAGAATGTCAGCATACTGGGCGTACACTTTGCGCAATTGCTCTGGAGAGGGATTCTTGTTCATCAATGGAATACCCGGAAGTTCATCGATGAGCATGTACGCAACGCCAACGTGATTGTTGGGATCATTTCGCAAGCCGTAATCATGCAGTCTCGGCGCGGGTACATCGACACTTTCAAGCCATTTCAGCGTCGCACATTCAGTTTCCAACACGCGGTTACTGAATTCATCCGCGAAGGAAGTGAAGTTCTGTCGAAGAATCCGAGCAAGCCAATTTGTTCCATTGGAAAATTGAATGCGTAGGTGGATATGCATGCCGCCCATCTGCGCCCGACCAAGAGGGTCCGAGGCATCTAGTTCACATGGAAGACCGCCATTGCACTCTGATGCTCGTTGCAGGAGGGCTTGGTCTTTTACGTTACGGCGAAGAGCTTCCAGTTCTTGAGTCTGAGCAGTAGTCCATGCATCATCGTCGAGGGGGTCCCTCTTGAGTGAAGTCAGAACAAGAATTGACAAGCCTAGAAAGAATCATATCATACCTCGCAGCTATGCCCTGGGGAGGAGACATGGATAGCGCAGAAATGTTGTTCGCAACGTTCGCAGAGACCCACGTCGAGGGCTGCAGAAGCAGAGCACCTTGGTATACAACAATCCCAGAAGCGAAAAGGCTGTGATGGCATGCTTGCTTTCGCTAATTTCTGCCTTGTGAGAAAAAATGAACAGACCACAGACTGATTGGGGTCTTCTTGGGAGTTTCCACCGCTGGAGCTTTGTAGCAAGGGCGACTTGTCCCAACAGTGGGTGTGGGCAAGGAGGAATGTCCCAGAACATGTGAGCAGAAGTGGATCAATTGGAAAGGGAATATGATCTGTGCTGGTTGGATTTGGACTCGAGGAGGGTGATCTGACCCAGAAGAGGAAGGCGAATCACATTTGAGGGGCTATGATGTCGATCTTGCGGGCAAGAGCACGCGACTGCATCGGCGGCACAGCACGTTGCAGATAGAAAGGGGATCCAAGTCCTCAATTCAGCGCGTCAAATGCCTGGAGATTTGTTTATGATATAATTACGGTGCGAGGGGAAGGTGCACGGCCCCTTCGGTGCGTTACTAGACCAATTATAGGGAAGGAGCCTGCTCCACTCCAGGTTTTGAGGCTTTGCGGGTAAGCGCTTTTTGAGGCTCAAGAAGGCAACAACTGCGCAACAGTCTACTACTCTCGTCCGGCTCACTTAGATGCTCTGCGGTATTAGGGAAGGGGGTGGCGGGTTCGAATATAGATATGAGTACAAATCCCACTCAATCGATATTATAAACTATTTTGAAAGCATCGCTTTGTCTTGAGACACTACGTTCACTAAGCCCATCTGAATCAACAAAAATCAACAATGTCGAACAACGTCGAATTCCACCCCACCAACACTCATGTGTCACCCATGCCTCGGCCAGTGAACAACATCGCGTCTAGCCAGCGTTGCTGCGTGCCTGGATGTGGTAGTTGGGCACAGGCAGGATCTCGCTACTGCACTTCTCGTGAGTATACTGCATATATACACTCTTAAAAGATTCTTTGGTTAATTATTTGATCAGATAAGAAGTAGTCAATATACTAGGCTCTCCGGCTACCAAGTCTTGTCTGGGTTGAAGGCCTTGGTCACACGGCTGTCTATCTAGGCAGGTTTCTGGGGGACGCAATACTTTTGTTTTCGACGTTCGTTACATCCATGGGTGATTCAACATCAACTTCATGGATCTTGTTGTTCTTAGTGGTTATTTTGTGCCTTTTCCTTTTTGAAATTTGTCTTAGTTTGAAGTCAACAGTCAAAGCCTTTTATCTTGAAACCCCAGATAAATTGATATAAATCTCTTCGTAGATGAAATTATGGAGTCTTTATGAATGTAGGAGGTTCTCTCAATTGGAGCCTTCAGAACATTACCTTTTGGTTAAAAGACATCTATGAGACCTGATTTTACAGCGAGACACCGTGTCTAATCACGGCCTTTTTATTTTCGCCCTTTATCCCTCAAAAATCTATCCTTTCCACGGTTTGCAGACAAGAGGACGGGGCTTCTTCAGCGCTAGAGCGTAAATAACTAGTGCGATATAGTTATGATAAATGTCGAATCACTTTATCTCCCTATGATAATGAAAGTGGCCAGCAATGTTGAGCAATGCTTTTTACCATTTGATAGATTCTTTGGGCCTTAATGGCGACTTGGTACGCCAGCAAAATGACATTGAAGAGATTATTGCCATAGATTCCCAGGATCTTCTAAAAGCGTCATACGTGTCCCCATCCTGCAACTTCGTGTATGTATTCCCTGGAGTATCTCCGTATCCATACTTGAAAAACCACTATATTCCTTGACTATAAGAACCATGTCAACTCAACTTGAACATAAAGAGTTTGGGCGTTACAGTTCAGCGTGACCTAGAAATTTAAATGCAGAAAACTAGGAACTGTTGGTATGAAACCATGCGCAATCCATTTAACTCGATTCGCAATGCATATAACAGGCAACCGAGTTAGCTTTGCAGATAGTGCCGTTGATTTTGCAGCACAGTAACCTGCACGATATCCATCTACATGATGTCTGCGGCTCAATTGATAGTGTGCAAGTGAGGCCTGTTCTGAACGAAAGCTCGATAACATTGTGACAGGGGCTTAAATAAATATTTCATCTAATTTGAATGACAATTCGACACTCCTATTTTCATCTTGAACAAGTACTAGCCTTAGGCAAGCACTTTAGATGGCTCATGGGTAGATCAAATGCTCATTTTTCCTTTAGCGATCGAGGGTGCACTGTGGGGGTTGAAAAGCTTGGACATAATGATTGGATAGATTCAGGTAACCCGAACGCTTCACAGAACCGGTGGCGAGCTGGATACTCGGCCAGATGGCATTCGAAAAACATCCAAGATATGTAGATAACGCCCTAACAACCGATGCCAGTCACATGTGCGGGGCCCCCCACCTGAACAGCCTGAGAACTTATCTTTTCAAACGAGAACTCTCCCAGCAACTAGCATTCATCTGCCGCAATGGTTGCGCCTCAGATATTCCAGCTGTCAGTGGCACGCGCATTTGATGGCCTGAGTCCACACCAAAAGCTCTATGCTCATTACATGGCCAAGTACGCAGCAGTCTAAGCCTCGTGTGGGTAAACAAAGCATCCACCGGTGGACGGACTAACAAATGTTAGAGCAGCATGGAGTGGCTCGCGTATCATCTTCCGACAGGTATCTCCGGAGGCCAATGGAATTTTTGATTTTATTATAGCCCTCTATCACAGTTGTGATGGTGACTGGGAGCACCTCGCTAGTCGGGCGAATCTTGATTTCCAGGACGTCCAACTTTTCCTCGACTACGCCGCAGCATTTCTATCTAATATGGGGAATTACTACGTAAGATTTGAGATTGGCACATCGACCATTTACAATGTTGACCTTCTATACAGGGCTCGGGCGACCAGAAGTTTATTCCTGATATTTCCAAGGCCAAGCTGGCACGGCTAGCTACTTGCACCTCCCCTAATGCGGCCGCTCGTTGGGACCAGATCCAAGATGCAATGTTTCAGATACCACCACTCAGCTTGGGACTTCCAGCTCAATTGACCCAGAGCACGTACTACCCGGGGAATGAAGGCCCTTCTTTCCACGAAGATACAGCCTTGGTTGCGGAGGTAATGAATGAGCTATCAGTACTCCCGGAAAACACTAGACTGGAGAAAAGAGTGCTCTCTTCCGAAGAAGAAGTCTTCGATATCCTTCAAGCATCCGTCAGGGAAGGCGAATCCGTGTGCCATACTGCCAACAGTTCCACCATCCGAAGTGGCAAAACCGTTCGCCTTGTGAACGGGGATCACAAAGATGAGCTAGCACGCATAAATGCATACTTGGAAAAGGCTTTCGACTATGTTTCCAACAGTCCACAGCATGACATGATACGGAAGCTCCAAGACAGTTTCCTCACCGGCAACCTCGAAACATACAAAGATTCTCAACGGATTTGGGTGAATGATAAGGAGCCACCTGTCGAAACAGTCATGGGGTTCATTGAGCCGTACCGAGACCCCCTTGGAATCCGGTCTGAATTCGAGGGCATTGTGGGCATACCTGATCCTGACGAAACGAGGGTGCTCAAGCAACTTTCGAATGTGGCAGAAAGGTTTGTTTGCAGACTTCCATGGGTAGATGGGGAGAGTGGCAGCAAAGGAGCATTTGAAAAAGAGGTCTTCGAGGCACCGGACTTTTCCAGCGTCCAGAGTATGAAAGCTGCCCTCTTTTCCCTTCTTTGAAACTTGGTTGGCTAACTAATCCCAGGTCTGGCTTATTGTTCAAGTATTGTCTTTCCGGGGATCAATCTCCCCAACGTGAGTTTTTTTCGATGACAAAAATATTCTTGCAAAGAGAAGAGACTGAAACAGTGGCAGTACAACGACATCCGCCAAGAGACAGGCTACAAGAACATAATTTTCTCCAATCGTATGGTAGCGGAAAGCCACCGCGCAAGAGGCCTGCACATGGTTGACGAGTCCGAACAAGCGACATTCAAGAAACATCGCTCTCACGCATATTACATCTGGGTTGTCCTTCACGAGATCCTAGGCCACGGAACAGGAAGATTTCTCTCCGAGTCTGAACCGGGCAATTTCAATTTCAACCCAGACAATCCACCGTTGAACCCGATTACCGGCGAACCGATCAAAACTTGGTATCGACCTGGCCAGACATGGACTGGGGTATTCCGTGATCTCTCGACTACCGTGGACGAATGCAGGGCGGAGCTCGTGGGAGCTTATTTGATTGACGACCAAGAGATTTTGAATTTGTTTGGGTATACTCAGCAGGGGGAGGTTAAGCCTGATGATAGTATGAGAACTGCTCCCCAACTGGCTTACTTGCTACTGACGAACACTAGTCATCTACAACATGTACCTCCAGCTAGGCACTGACGGGCTTCGAGGGTTGGAGAATTATGATCCTGCTACAAAGGTATGCACTTCCAGCCATCTATACATTCCTAGACTATACTAATTTGGACAGAAATGGGGCCAAGCCCACAGCCGTGTACGTTTCTATTCCGTGATTCCCCTTTGACCAGACGATTGACAAGTATCTAGGCCCACTATGCCATTTTACGCCATCTTCTTCGTGATACCAAGGACCTCTACACCATCTTCTGTGATCCCCAAGCCGGAAAATTGACAGTCAAGGTCGATAGAACCCGCGTTATTCAACAAGGAAAACCTTCTCTTGGTCGCATGCTGTTGAAGCTACACGTTTATCGCTGCACCGCGGATAGTAATGGTTGCCGTGAGTTTTACGAAGACCTCTCTACAGTGGACGACGATGCTCTGGGGTGGAGAAATATCATCATCGCCAAGAAAGACCCGCCTGTGGCATTCTCGCATGCAAACACGCATCTCGATGGCGATACTGTCAACATACGCGAATACGAGCCAACGGCCAAGGGCATCATCCAAAGCTGGGCCGAGCGTGGGATCGATTTAGATGTGGCTTAGGCGTTTCTCGAATTGGCGTATATAGTGTAAACGGGGTTTCCCTCAAAGGCAGTCTGGATACAGGATGTTGCCAGTGAAGGCCTCAGGAAAGAAATTTATAGAGAGCAGACGAGATGACAGAATTGGGCGAATCATACATATTGAAATTGGAATAAATGAAGAGACTAGGTCTGCACACCAGATCAATCTGGGATAAAACCCACGATTCTCCGCCCAAATAGAGATATGTTGAAACGTAAGACCTTTGTCCGACATTGCCGACTTTAACACCGCAATAGACAGGACAAATGCATGTCAATTCAACCCACAAAAGGCAACAACAAAACTAACATCACGCAACCAATTGAATAGCTTGCAAAATTACCTGCAAAAGCGCCATAAGCGACCCAAAGGCCCCAAATGCGATTACTGCCCAAAATGTCATCCAATTCGCTGAGTTCCTCTTATCTCTCCACAGTTGAAGCCATGTTCGTGGCGTTGTAGTCGACAAATATCTCTGCAGAACCACAATGCGGTACCGTAAGATTTGAAAATCATGAGGCAGATAGTATGTCTCCTTTTGCACTAAGTCCCATTGCCCTTGCAAGTTCAGCAATAACGGATTCCAGGTTCGCGTGCCACAGAGACTCAACAAGAGTGGATCCCTCATCTTCTTGCCTTTCTGGTCTGCAGAACGGAGGAACGGATCTATGGATCGAAATAGTGTTCGCGATTTCTTGGTTTGACCAAACAGCAACCTGTAGGAGAGAAGAATTTCAAGGAGAAAATGGTTTATTTCTGCCTCTGTAGCCCACTGACACCGAAGATGACTTGTCGTTGCACAAGCATGTAGCACGCCTCTACCCTTCCCCTGCTTGTATTTTGAAAGAGAGAACTGGCAGAATGAAGGGAAGCGAAAAAGGGACACTTCCTTAGTGGCCGAGTTAAACTCTAGGTGGCAGGATAGTGCATCGGTCCACTTGACTTTGATCCCGGCAATGTAGTGGAGTGCGTATGCGTTGAATGTTTTTGCATCAACTTCCACTTGCTGCTGGAAGGCCCGATGGATGCCTTGATCGTCGTCCAGGCAGAGGTTTTTCGATGGAAGAAGGACGCCGAATCCCATCAGAAGCTCGCTGAGAGGCTCGTGGGCACACGCTTGGATATCTTGTGCCAAAGATACGTGTGTATAGTTGCAGCAGCCAACGTCTTCGGTGATGCATAATTGACGAGGCGCTTCCGGGATAGGGTTCAAGGGGGAGGGGGAGTAGAGCGCAGTTTGGTAGCCCAAAAGAGTGAAGATGAAGTAGCGAGCATAGTCGATGTTGTCCACTGTCTCTTGGGCCAAAATGTTCTCATCCAGAAGACTGCCGATAATTTCGTCGATTGTGATGGAGCTGTTGTGTATGATGGACTCCGACACGCGGAGGAAGGTGCGGGTAAAGAGGTCCCAATGAGATTCGGGAGTGCAGTGGCTGTGGTCCGGATGGAAGATGTTGAATACATGAGGTGGAAGTTTGGTTGATTGAGATATGAGCCAGATATTGTACCAGGTTGGAGTCTTACTTTCGAAGTCGACTCCCAACCCATTCGGCAGTAGATATGTTCGTAAAGAAGATATCGAGGACGGATATGAAGAAGAGAATTCGCTCTCTTCGTGGTACGTTATTTATTAAGAACTGCTATCAACGGAGTATCTTAGCATTTTGACTCACCTGAAGAGTAGATACGTGCAGTTTTCGATGTGATATGTCGTGACAATCCCATCCTGATAGAGTGTGGTGTTAGCGGATATTGGGACAAGGTAACAAGATATTTCGGCAAAGGAACCTCAAACTAAAATCAGATGACAGAAATAGAGAGGGAGATTTTGGGGAAATAATTGAATTAAGGTGTGGCGGGCAAAAGATGCCTTCGTCCTGGTCTTAAACACAAGAGGCATTTGGGCAGCTTCCCTGGGAGATTTCCCCAGGGTGTTGGCTAAGCGCCGATCTGCAGAATCACTTGTAGCGGACTTGACCTGGGCCTCTCCAGTAGATCCTTCGGCGGCTACTTAAAATAGATCCTGCAAATAGCTTCGTAACTGCAGTGCAAAAATAGTGCCGGCGGCACATGCTTGTCTACACTTGGCTCAATTAATACCAGTAGATATTTTTAAGATTCTACGTTTGGCTAAATACAGATGCATCGCCGGCTACAAACACTTCTGGGTAGTTTTTGCGATAAGTGCTCTCTAACGGTAGTATATTGAGTCCCTCAACCAATGCGAATTACCACAACATCCACGGAACAAGATTTTCAAAGTCAGATATTGCATCTTTGACCAGAGAGCTACTTCCATCGATCTGGTTGAGCTCCTCTCCAAGGGCAACTGCCCTCTCAAGGAAAATCGCGCTTTCCCTGTCCTTGCCGAGATCTTTCAGGATCTGCGATAGCTTGTAGTTTGCCCGAGCTAGATGACCTATTCCTTCAATGCGTGGAAGTCCTTCTGATATCTTGATGCACTCTTGGAGTAGTTGGCTGGTAAATGTCAATAACTGTGGCCAGTCGAACGGAATTCTGTCGCATCTTACATGGAGAGTCCCGTGTTCCCCCCCTCTGTCAAGGAGCACAGCCACTTGATACAGCGAGTCGCAGACTTTGATGCGCTCGCCCAAGCATTGCCTTCGAAAGCCCAAGGCTTTAGAGGCGAATTGTAACGCTTCCTCAAAGCGCCCTTGTACAAGCCTAATCCTGCTTAACAGTATCATATCTCTATGGGGTGTTAGCTGGGATATGGAAAATACTGCCAATCATGAAGCGGAATACATACCCAGAGAACCGCGGGTTTCCAGTTTTGAGAAAGGCCTCATCCGAAAAGTTTTTCAAAGATGGACAGCTCTTCAGCATCGCTTCTGCCTCATCTGGCTTCCCCATTCTCAGTAACAAGCTGGCCATGTTGCTGTATGAATTTCCGATCCTGTCGCTGTTGTGCATTAGGCGAATGTCAATTGACTGCTGAAGATAGTCCCGGGCCTTCTCAAGCTCTCCCATTTCTGTGAAAGCAAGTCCTATATTGACCTGGTTGGCGGCCAAAAAGGCGTCGCCGCTGGGAAGAACTGCTGTGCGTATGGCGTATGCTTTTTCGAATGCCTCTAAAGCAGCTGCAGGGTGACGGATATCGAGGTCTATCAAACCTCGAAGATCAATTGCACTTGCGTGCGCAAGGGAACTCTTGTCGGAAAACTTCTGCAGGGCTACATCAATGTATGACCGAGCAATACTATAGTTCTCTCTCTCGTAAAGATACCTGCATGAAATTAGCAAAGCCCTATTCTGAGCCGTGATGTTCAACATTACCAAGAACAGCGAAGAAGAAGCTCTGCAAATGATTGGCTCTCGTTCTCAAAGATTCTGAATTCCTTGCTCTTCCTCACCATGCTTTCAATATGCGGTAAGCTCCTCTCGCATTTGGTCCAGGAGGCTACCTGATGGCCAACATCGGCGCTGTATGTATCTGGGAAGTTTGCCGAGAGGATAGCTACTGTCAGCGAAAACAGGCTCTCGCGCTCTTCAACGCTCATTCGACGAATGACCGCTCGCTGGACGAGTCTATGCATAGATATGATCCCACTTTCATGGGACTTGTCAATAAGAGCTCCTTGGAGCAAGACCTCTTGGGCATCCAGAAAGCTGCATTTGCGTTAGTTCCCGTAAGTTTGGATCAGTTGAAGTAGCACGTACTCGATCTCATCGGCCATGAACTCTAGAGAGGCATCATTCACTTGGAGAGCGCCGTCATGCAAGAGTGCCTCGTGTATATAGTCGGGATCTAGAAACGAGAGGGTCATGTGCAATGTTTTGGAGCTTCCTGAGAGTTTACTCAGAGCCATCTCCCAGACGGTCGCAAGAGTGAGATTATAATCCATGCTCGTTGTACTCTTGGCATCCACACTCGCCGAATTGCGATTGTATAAACCAAGAAAATTCTTGAGCGGTATTTTCCTCTGGGAAATGAATCCACCGATTTGATTGAGCGCCAGAGGCAATCCACCCAGGGTAGACGTAATAGCCTTTGCTTCCTCTTGGTTAGACGTTGAGTCCATGTCCAGCCCAAGTATATTGAGCAACGCCGCAGACCCAGAGTCTGTGTCGAAAGGTGTAACTTGACATCCAGAAGAAGCCAGACTAAAAGCCGCGGTAGAATCTCGACTGGTTATTAGAATGGATCCGACAGAGCCCGCAGGCCAAGCGTATTTCATGGCGCTCAAATCGTCGGCGTTGTCATATATGAGAAGCCAACGACTCTCTGGGTGAAGCCTATTATTAGCTCACTCTATACCATCACAAAAGGAAAAAAAAAGAACCAGTATGACCCACTTGTAGACGATAGCCACTGCTTTACCTCTAGCATGACCGCATTGTCATCTGTTTCTGTGTCTGGCTTGATTAAGCCAAGCGTTTTCGCAATCTCCCGAAAGCTTTGTCCAATCGTTACCGAACTCTCAGCTGAGATCCAGAATATGGCGTCAAGCTTCTCCCGTGACACACTGGCATATCTCAGCGCGATCTGTGTTTTCCCAACCCCTCCCATACCATATAGTGCAAACGACCGAATTGATTTGGTTGAAGACTCTGCCAGTAATGCCTCATCGATACGGGCGATGATATCCTCTCTGCCCCAGAAGCGGGAACACTCGGTGAACGGTATATGGTAAACAGTCTTGCGTGAAGCCTCCGGTTGTTGAGGGTGGAAGTTCGCCATCAAATTGAGAACTTCTTGGTATTTTTGATTGTCAAGTCGCATTCTACTCAGCTCAATCTCACTCTCGATAATGCCAGATAGACGTTTGATTCGCTGGACGGTTCTGTGGAAGTCTCCGCGCAGGTCGGACCATGAATTGCGTAGGAGGAATGCTGCTATAATTTAGCCTGGGCACATCTTTGACTTTTGGCAGCAAGAGCAAGCATCGCTTAAGGGCCATACCGTGTTTATGACTGCGAAAGAAATGAATTGCACGGGCATAAAAGCAGATCACCTCTTGGTAAACAGCAAGCAGGGTCGTCTCCATTTCTGTGTCCATCGACACAGTTTTCTCGTAGGACTTGAGACGGGGCAATGTCAGGCTGAGCTCTTCAAGCATATCCGAGACTTCCTGTAACGTATTATCCGCTGCAGATGCCAACTACGATCCAGTCAGTTATTCCTTGACATCATTCTCCGTCAGAGAGATCATCATACCGTGAGAATCATGCGGATACTGCCCCATACTAGCGCTGTTACGGTTGTACCAGCACCGAAGGAGACTGCCAGAACTACTGAGAAATCATTCAGCAATCTGAATGTGGGCTTCAGTCGGTTCATCGAGTCCAATGCTTTCCTGCCCTGTGGGCCGAACGGTTGTAAAAGCTGATCATCCACGAGAAGCTCCTCGAGGCTGCCAGTCTCCAGTATTGTCCGAAAGTCATCGTCGGCAGCAAGCTCCTCATGATAGCTCTCCAGAGCCTTCTCCCATAAGGGAGAGAGCTTTCCTTCTGAGGAAGCCTTCTTCATTCTGCCTCATGAAACGAAGAATAATGGATAATCAGGAGGGATAGTTTTGTCTCGAAGGGAGTTTAAGGCGAGGTCAATCACATAACCGCCGTACTTATGACAACCTCTCCCGGCTGTTTACCTGGGCTTCTGTTGGGAGGTGGGGGCGGGGTTAAATGGAGACTGAAGAAATGCAACAAATCAGAACGTTGATTAAGCGCCCATGTCTAATCACATCCTGTCACAATTAATGACAACTCATCAAACAGTGCAATGATAGTCGTAATCTCATGTCGAAATTGCAAGGGGTAGCGGGTGGTTAAAGAATGCACTTCCCCCTTCAGATAGTCAGATAGGTAATCTTATATTCTATCTATTTTATTACCTATAAAAATCAATAAACAGCCCCAGAATATGATATGCTTACCTTCTAGTTTATTTTTATTTTCATTTTTCGCTTTCTCTTCTCATTCGCTTTCTCTTGTTCTTTTTTATCTTGGTTTGTTTTACATATATATATATAAAGTTTAGACATTCCTGCATCAGTGCGCTAGAATTGGGATTTAAAAGGAGGAGGATTAAATTCTTTTATCGCCCTGTACAGTCCTATAAATAAGGCTAATGACACCGGTGGGGCAGTCTCGGGCAAGCTTGCCCATAATGAAGATGCCTCCGACCGATCCGCTGTGTCAATGGCGGCTCTAAGTAGAGCTGAGAAGCTAATAAGATCGACAAATCAACGCCTAACAATACATTGGATTACGATAAAACATATGCTAAAGTCGTAATTAGCATTACGGTGCTAAGTATGTCTTCGAGGTATATAACCAGCAAAAACACATACCTTCTCACACCCACACAATGCCACTGCTTTTATTTGACAATCTACAATTGGCCCACAGAAACAAGTCCGTGGATCCTCTCCATTCACCCGGAGAGGCACACCATGCCCATCACCATCCATGGATCTACCCACCGGTCTCCATCGATGGAGACAAGTCTGGGGATGAGGTAATCCGCGCCAATCACACGCCGATCCCCCAGAAAACCACCGAGGTCGAATACCGCAACCTTGTGATTTCGACAATGCCCTGAGTGCGCCCGTTCCTCTGGAGAGTTGCCACCACCTGAAGGGCATCGGGCCTCCATGCCATCGCGTCGCAGCCACACCAAGTCCCGCAAGGGCTGCTCGGAGTGCAAAAGGAGGCATGTCAAGGTGAGTGCGAGTCTGGACTTGCGGTTTCGTGGCCACGGAAATCCCGCTTTTGCGAATTGTTTGAATGGCATCCCATGGTTACGGTGGCCAAGGACTTGAAATGAATCTAATATGCTCGACAGTGCGACGAGGGAGCTCCCAAATGCTCGCTCTGCAAAAAACGAAAGCTCGAATGCGTCTATCCCCCACCAAACAGTGACGCCGACAGTCCGCGGGGATCGTCCATTGCCCAGGATGGGTCTGACAGCGGGGCGTTGACTCCTGGCGGCGACTCGCCCTGGCAAACGCGCATGGTGGAAATGAGACTATTCCATCAGTATCTCACGGCAACGTATCACACCCTCGCCCAGGACGGGCTCTCTGGATATCACTTGTCCATCAGTATTCCTCGCATGGCAACATCCTTCCCCTACTTACTGGACAGTCTCCTGGCACTCTCGGCCCTGCATTTGGCGACCGCCGAACCCGAAAATCGGCGCTTGATGGTCGATGCCGCGCTGCGGTACCAGAGCCAAGCATGCTCGGGGCTTGGAAAAGTGCTGTCGGATATTTCACCACCGGATTATGAGCCGGCTTTTGTATCGTCGATTTTTATCATGCTGTTCGCCACAGGCCTCCCCGTCGTGTCGCTGGAAAATCGCCCCGTGGACCCGTTGTCTGCTGTTCTCGAAGTGCGAACGCTGATTACCGGCTGCGCCATGCTTTTCAACCGCATCAATGAGATGGGTACGGATGGCGAATTGGATTCCTGGCTATGTGTCCCCGAAACGGAGGAGAGACTCACCGAGAAAAAAGCACAAGAGTACGACCCCCTTCAAGCGAATGATTTTATTGATCCTGACATTGAGAGTTTCTCTAGCGACGACTCATTAGAAGACATATCGAAACTGTTCGACCTACATCGGTATGATTCGACTATGATTTCCTTCCGCCCAAGGCATTCAACTCATATGACCCAGATCTATTATGCAGTCACTGGAGCAACTGCGCTCCACTGTTGATACACCCACCAGCCCGAATCAGGGGTTGTACCAGACGACCTGGAAGTTGTTATGGCAAGCAATTGAGCCATGGCCCAAGATCGGGTCCCACGGCGGCGTCATTTCATGGCCGCTGTTCATCACCGATGAATACTTGAATTTGCTCCAGAATGGCGACTGGATGGCTCGGGTTTTGTTCCTGCATTACGGCGTGGCCATGCGGCTTTTGTGCAACCGATGGTACGTCCGAGACTGGGGCCGCCGGCTGGTCATGGCGACTCTTGAACCACTCGGCGAGATCCCGCCCGAATGGAGCGCCACGATTTCGTGGATGAAACAGGCTGTTGAGATTCGCAGCTAGTCCGGCCTTTATATATATATATTTGAGAGATCGTGGTTGGAACTAAGTTTGGGAATACCTGGGCGTTGAGGTTCGCTACTGTTACATAGAAACCATAGGGATGATAGGGAGTATCGGATGTGTTTATCAGGCAAATCAAGCAATCCAATCTTCGGAACAGAGTAATCGGAGTCATCTCCGTGGATATCTCGCCACGATAAGACTTCCTTCCCTGCGCTTATCAGCGGGGCCGCGCGGGTGGACCGATGTATTTAGAGAGCGTCGAGGAACCATTCCTTATCAAAATGCCGTCGACCGTGGATTTCCTGGTTGTTCCATGGTTCCATGCCTAATATATAAGACGACCAAACCATCTCGCAGGCCGCGCACCGATTTGGAGGCGGCGAGAATCCAGGAACGGCATAGGAACCATGCAGCACTCGGGGCTCGGCAAACACGATGTGGAGAAACTGGTAAACATTCTATCTTCCCTTGTTTTCCCCTCTAAACGGCTTGGCCTTCCCCACAGAGGGAATTTCGCGCATATCCATTGATAACACTATAAAATATCCCCGACAGCCGCTGCACCCAGCCTCGTTCGTCCCAGAGATTTCACCTTCAGCAGAGTCCAATCTCTGGAAGAATCGCCTGACTGTGCTTGGCTCTTCAACCTACTTCAAGATGCTGGGGATTCTATCTTTACTTCTACTGGCAGCACATCTGCCCAGCGTTCTTACCTCGCCCTTGGAACTCCCGAAACGCGCGCCGAATAACCATGCAGATGCAAGGTCACACCCGAACATCGACCCGGGCAAGCTAGGAGCTGTCGCCAGCGAAAGCTCGATCTGCTCGCGGCACGGAACAGAGATCTTGAAAAAGGGGGGCAATGCTGCCGATGCTGTGAGGATTCCTGGGCACCCCAATTTGCCAAGGCGCCGGTTGCATTTTCGCAGTTTCGGGAGCTTGATGTTGCTAGAATGCGCTTGGCAGTTTCTGAGAGGAAAAAATTATCTTGCTAACTGAAGAGTTCTAGTTGGTTGCGACGGAGTTTTGCATTGGGGTTGTGGGTAAGGGGAATTCGATCTCACCAACTTCAAAGAAGAGTTGGAGAAGAGTGGAACCGACAGACTGACTTTGCTGCTAGGCATGTACCACAGCGGCATCGGTGGGGGCGGGTTTATGCTCGTGCGCGCCCCCAATGGCTCCTACGAGTTCATTGATTTCCGCGAAACCGCCCCGGCGGCGGCGTTTCAGGATATGTTCAGGAATAATACCCAAGCCTCGACCACTGGGGGACTTGCCAGGTATAAAGCTGCAAACAAAGGACCCAAAAAACAAAAGAACAAAGGCGATGCTAATGGTTCACTAGTGGCGTACCCGGCGAAGTGCGGGGATTGGAGTATCTCCACAAGAATTACGGCTCGCTTTCCTGGTCGACCGTGCTGCAGCCGGCGATTCGCACTGCTCGGAATGGATTCCCCGTGTCCGAGGACTTGGTGAAATACATGAAGTCGGCCACGAGTGACAGCGAAGACTTTTTGACCAAAGACCCAACATGGGCGATCGACTTTGCTCCCAATGGAACTCGCTTGGGTCTGGGGGATACTATTACGCGCAAGCGGCTGGCTAATACCCTCGAGACCATTGCCAACCATGGGGCGGATGCATTCTACACCGGCAAGATGGCCAAGGCGATGATTGCGGCGGTTCAGCGTACAAATGGGACAATGACCCTGAACGATTTGCGCGACTACCGTCTGGCGTTTCGAAACACCTCCCAGATTGATTACCGAGGGTATAAAATCACCAGCACCACGGCCCCGTCCAGTGGGATTATTGCCATGGGGATTCTCAAGGTCTTGGAAACCTATAAAGATCTCTTTTCCTCGGATAAGACTCTGAACCTGAGTACTCACCGGCTGGACGAGGCCATTCGGTTTGGATATGGAGAGGTAACTGAATTCTCCTTCATTTTATATCATGGCTGTTCTCTTGCTAGTTGAGGCGCTGACTCTTTCATAGCGAGCCAAGCTGGGTGACCCCAAGTTTGTTCCGAAGATGGACGAGTACCAGCGGGATATCCTGAAGAAAGCCACCATCGATGATATCCGCGGGAAGATCTCTGATACGCGAACCCAGAATGTGTCCAGCTATGATCCAGCAGGAATAGAAAGCCTGGACACGTACGTTTTCTTTTGCGATGGAATATGATGTCTCATTTGACTGACATCTAGGGTTTATTCTCCAGGCCTGGCACTTCGTACATTGCCGCAGCCGACCACTCCGGTCTGGCAATCTCCGTGACCACCACGATCAACTTGCTGTTCGGCAGTCATGTCATGGTCCCCGAGACGGGAATCATCATGAACAACGAAATGGACGGTAAGTGCAACAGCACGGTGAAACAACCCTGGAGGGTATCAGGTATCCCGTCCATGCAAACTAAACAATCCCCAGACTTCTCGACCCCCGGCTCATCAAACTCGTTCGGCTACATTCCCTCAGTCGCCAACTACATCCGACCCGGCAAACGACCCCTATCGTCCATCACTCCCGCCATCGTGACCCGCCCCGACGGCAAGCTCTTCATGCTGGCCGGGTCCGCAGGCGGCAGCCGCATCCTCACGGCGACAGTCCAGAATATCATCCATGTCATAGACCAGGGACTCTCGGCAGCCCAGGCACTCGCCAAGCCTCGGCTGCATGACCAGCTGGTTCCTAACAAGGTGACCTTTGAGTATGCCTACGACAACTCGACCGTGGCTTTTATGAAGGCCCGCGGTCACAATGTTTCTTGGGTTGCGCCGGGTCAGAGTACTGCGCATCTCATTCGGGTGTTGCCCAATGGTACTTTTGATGCTGCTGGAGAACCGCGACAGGTCAATTCGGGTGGGTTCTCGGTATAGACGGTGGGGAATTGGTCATTTGCGAGTACAGAGTACATTTTGGCACCGATGGCAGTGTATTGCTAGAAGTGGTTACCATGCCAATAAAGCATGCCATAGAAATCAGAAAAAAAAAAAAAAATCAATGAAAGAGTGCATCTGGTAGTAGATTGTAGGGGCAAAGGCGAGGATCGACACCATCGGGTGGTCTGTGCTCTTGGGCTTGTCGACGAGTCGTTTTCTGGACAAACCATTCACTCTTTTTGCTTGTCTTTGCTTGTTTGTTTTTCGGCAGTGGCGTCTTCTAGCATCTTCCGACCCCTTGTCACTCCCTTTATTCCACGCTCTCCATTTCACCTTCTCCCTACCATCATCCATCCTTCTCTTTGCAATCTGCGAAACCGAGAATCGACCTGTCGCGTCGGGGAGCGATGCGCAAGCTATTTTTGACCGCAACGGCTCGTCTCCGACACAAGTGACACCAAAAACTGGTATGGGACATTCCAACTTCATTCTCGTGCAATAAGACTTAAAGCAAACTAACCATGCTTTACCCCAAGAACAGATCCATCTCCAATCCGACTCCGCACTCAACAGTGCCCATGCATTCCTCGCGATACCCCCATACATTCCTTCCAAAATGGTAGCTTCGCACAAGGTTGCCGTCGTCATCTACCCTCCGCCTGTCAACCCTGAACTCTACAAGCCCTTTGACGAAGAGTTCGATCGTACAGTTGACCGGATTCTGTCCGAGGAGGCGAGCATCGAGGAGGCGAGAGAACAGGAGAAAAGTGATGAGAACTTGGATTTTGGGATCGGTGCCGTGGATGATGAGTCCACTGGCCTGAGTACTCGTAGTTTGAGGAATACCAAGAAGTCGCCGTATTTCCCTCCGCCTGTCACCGAAACCACCTACTTCCCCACCGAAGAGAAACATTCGAAACGGAAATACTCGAAAGGGAAAGATTCTAAAGGGAAGAGGTCTCCGGAAGTCCAGCGGTCAATTACCGGGATGGATGTTGACAACCATGTCCCAGAAGTCCTGCACCAGAGTATGGGTGGAAATCCTATGAATGGCACCGACGACCACATTCCTTTGCCGGCATTTACCCCAAATGCTCCAGATGGAGCTGTTGAGGCCGAAGCACCAGAAGAAGACATCCTTTTCGCATCGCTGGAGTCCCCTCAGCGGGATGATCTACTTCATTTCATCGCGTCCCACCCATTCATGCACCAACCGCAGCCTGCCCGCCGATCTGCTCGTCGGCAATTCACCGATCAAATACGCAATGAGGCGATGCAGCTTGGGATGGACAAGGAGTCAGCCAACGGCCTGATCCAGTATGTACGACAGCTCTATTTGGGCATCCATGGCATCGAGTCTACTGCGGACTTCGATAACGTGGAAGGCTCTACCTTTGGAGATGAAGTCGACGACGAGAGCGAACGATATGCCTGCGGTTCACGCCGTAAGAACCGCAAGAGGAGTGTCGATGACCATGGTGAACACGCCAAGCCTAAGAAGAAGAGCAAGAGGCGTTCCTCAAGCGATTCGAAGGCGCAGCCATGGGCAGCCCCACAAAATGGCCACGAAGCCGTAGTCGTTGATCTCTCGGATATTTTCAAATCCAATTTGAATGGATATTCCGACGTGGACGAACGAATAGCAGTCGATCCTGTTTCGCAAAAGGCTGCCAATATCGAGAAGACGCTTGATGCCGAAAAGGGCACGGATGCCGTTGACTCTCCACCCCAGTACGAAGAGTGGACTGGGTTTGAGGAAGAGCAGCAGCCAGTTGACACGGGCACCGACTTGCTGGTTGTTGATATAAGCAACGGGAATGGTGTTTCGCATGATCCACCCCAGGACCAGACCCTGCCATCTGCCTTGAAGGGGCCCATTTCGGAGCCGCAATCACATGAGCAGGAGAGCGTCGATCACGCCCGGGAACAAGCGAAAAAAGAGAAAAACAGGAAGAAACGAGCGCGTAACAAGGATCGCAGAAATCGAAGACACCGAGAGAGTCTTCAGTCAGCTCCAGGATCGCCTCCCTCTCATCCCGAACCTGAAGCCCAGCTTCAGCCGTCGACTCCAGTGTCGAAGAGTGCCAGTCCACGAAAGTCCTTTCTCTCCCCCGACCCATCCCAGTGGGATGTGGATTTTTGATGTCCAATGATTCACCCGGCATGACTGCCGGTGATGAGGTCCGATCGAAATACTTCTCGGGACCTGAACGACCCGCTCCATCGCATTTGTCACTTCCCGACGAAACTCGAAAGATTCTAGCAGAGTTTGATTTGCCTTCGGACTTCTTGGCATCAGACTCATCCTTGAGCGATGCTCCAAGTGACCTCGACTTGAAAGAGTTCGATTCTGATTTGCCTACACCCCAGTTATCGCCCACCAAGAGCCCCCATTTCCCGACCCGACACACGACTCCTGTGCTCTCAACTCCCGTCAAACCGACTTCTTTGCTCAAACCAGAAATCCCCACACCATCTCGAATCAAGCCCCTCAAAGTGTCTCCGTACTTCCCTCCCGCCCTGGGTGATCCCGAGTCCTGTCTCCCGTTTCCACCAATTGATGCACCATCTTTCGGACTCGTCCAGGAACAGCTGGCCCACGATCCCTTCCGACTTCTGATTGCCACTATCTTCTTGAACCGAACCCGTGGCGGAGTTGCTCTACCCGTGTTGTTTAAAGTGTTCCAAAGATACCCGACTATCGAAGCCATGGCTACAGCCGACCTGTCAGAATTCGTGTCTATGATCCATTGTCTGGGATTCCAGAACCAGCGAGCAAAAAAGTGCATCACACTCGCACAGACCTGGCTCGCAGCACCACCAACCAAAAACAAACGATACCGCAAATTGCACTACCCACAAAAGCTCGACGGCCGAGATGTGAGCCGCCACGAATGTATTGACGACGCGGACCCGCGCGTAGCATGGGAGATTGCTCATCTACCCGGAGTCGGTGCTTACTCTTTGGACAGCTGGCGCATCTTCTGTCGTGACGAGCTTCGCGGACTTGCCTCTGACTGGAAAGGCACGGGGACATTAACGCCTGGCTTTGTCCCCGAGTGGAAATCGGTGCTGCCGCAGGATAAGGAGCTACGGGCATATCTCACCTGGATGTGGCTCAAGGAGGGCTGGCTGTGGGATCGGCATTCGGGTGATTTGACTGCTGCCAGTGACAAGATGCTGCGAGCTGCGCACCGGGGCGGAGTCGCCCATGAAGAGGATGGGAATTGGGTGTTGGAGACGTCTCCTGTCAAGGCGGCGAATGGATTGCATGGAATGTAAGCGTTAGTGATACCCTGAGCAAATACATGTACTTCTACTTCTACTGTCTATGATCATTCCGGCGAAGTAAGAACCCGCGGGATATTTCCTCGGCAGTATAGATGGACTCGATTACGCGGTAATGAAGTCGCCCGCAATCCTTGAGACAGCAATAGTAGGCGCCGACATTCTCGAATATACCTCGCCTGGTACTTTGCCAACACATTCGAGACGTGGAATGTCCTTGTACTCGCGTGCATTTGGCCATATGCGATCAGGTGACTCGATCGGGACAGGGGCTTGAGCTCACGATCTCACAGGCTCCGAGATTGATACATGAAGACTGACGTTGAAACGCACAGCCATTCCAGATCTACACCAGTCATCCCACCGGGCGTTTCGGGTATCGATCGCGGTTGCAGCGTTGGCCTGACCCGGTTCTCTGCCCAACCTAAGCGCCAGACAGAACAAGCAGCGGAGATTCGACGAACAGATTCCCCTCGGTGGCGGTGCTTGCTCACACCTCAGTTATTCTTGAAAGCAAAGAGGCTGGACAGCGAGACAGCAGAGGAAAAGGCAGAGAGAGAGAGAGAGAGAGAGAGAGAGAGAGGCAGCAAGAGAACAGGGAAGGGCAAACGGGGGGACTCTCCATTACGCGCCCCGATGCCCCGGCACAAAAACTTGAAGGGATCCACCTCCAGCCACTAAACGAAATCCGCACGAGTCTGTAACCGTTGACCGTCATGTTTCCGGTGAGACTAAACCGAGAGCACGATCGAAGTCGCAAAATCCGAACCACGTCGACCTCGATCTCCAAACCTGCCAGAAACCCCAAGCGTTCCTCGCAAGGATCCACCCGCCCGCCAACCAAGGATCGCGAGCCCGCCCCGGCTGGTTCCTCCACTACATCGTCGTCGACGACACATAGCGCTCCCCCACGCCGGTCCTCGATGCCGGGCGTCGACACCGCGAGCCGATCGGGGACGGCCTCGTTCCTCGAGTCGAGGTCCAGCTTGCCATACCCGTCCTTTTCGAAGGCTCACAGCAAGGAAGATGTCCGCAAAGCCAATATCCCCACCCCGGATCCGACCGACTTGACCGACCAGAAAGAGAACGACAAGGCCAATAATAACACACAGCATGCCCGCACGGATAACCAGCATGCGCCGCCTAGCCCGCCGTTGACAGGGCTCGATCAGTCCTCGCGCAAAGGGAGCGCGGTCGGGGACCAGGATGAGAAGGAGAAGGAGAAGCCCAAGGCCAAGAAAACAAACGTCAAGATAAGAGCCGAGGTCAACAGGTCATCGTCGAGTCTTCGCTCCAAGCGGGACGAGAGCACCAAATCAAGCAAGACGGCGCACGCAGATACATCCCCAAAGACCAAATCCAAACCCGTCAAAGAAGAGAAGGAAGTACCGCCGCGCACTAGCCACAAGCCGTCGAAATCCAAGCTCTCCGACGAGAAGAAGCTGCCCAAACGATCCAGCCGCTCGACCATGTCCCCCTCGCGCTCGAATGTGACAGTCCGTGATGTGGGTGCCGAGTCGACCACCGGATCCGATGCTACTTCGGTTGCCCCGAACCAGCAGTACACCGTCCCACGGAAGCCAATGACGCCGCCCTCGAAGCCTCCTTCTCGCAACCAGATCCGGTCGTCTACATCTCATCGCCGCACTCCTAGTAACGAGTCAATCGAGTATGGGAAACCCGTGACACCAGGCCCGGCGTACGGAGCACCCCCGCCCCCTCCACCTCCGCCCGAAGTCCCCGTTTCTATTCCCCGAGTCGATTATTTGCTGAAGCATGGTGGGCTGGAGCATCGGGTGCCCAGGACATTGCTCGTGGGACACGGCCAGGTCGATTCATCCACGCAGCAGCCAGCTCAGTCCCAGCATGCGGCTGCCAGGTTCTTCGACCCATTCAATCGTCTACTAGATGATTATCAGAAAGTCATGAATAAAAGTGGTTCCCTTGCGGTGGCGACGGGATACCGATCAGTCGCTCGCCGATTGCTCGACCGCCTCGAGGCTGTTTTTGCGCGGGACATCTCGTCCGAGCCGTGCAACTGTCTCATGTGTGAGCGTGGAGAGACAGTGGATCGCCCGGACGGCGTGAGTTGGGGCGAAGTCCTTGAACTTGTGTCTGGCCGTCGCGAACTGCCCATGTGGCCCCCGTTTATGATGGCACCATCTGCAGCAGACGCAGGCGTGCCGGGAGACGAACACGTCCCGATGCAGAAGCTCGATGTGGATGTCCCTGAGGAATTCCGCGAGCACTACATGCGCCAGTCCCGGAAGACTAAAGTCGCTGTTGATAAGTGGCTTTCCGAGCAGACAGACTCAGCCAGCAGCGCGCCCGACGAGGTGGATGACGAGACCCTGACCTTTGCCATGCTCACTCACCTCGAATCTCATCAGCGATCGCTGTTCTGTTCATTGCTCGGCATCAACTCCTCGACTCCCGTGCCACGATCTGACGATGAACCGCCCCGTCCAAAGCCATCGGCTCTTGTCTTTTCTGGGCTGGCTATCCAGCGACTTTACCGTCTCCCGTCCCTGCCGCGCGACCCGGAGACTGCCATGTACATGCTCAACCACCCAGAACTGCATCATGTGCTGGCCACCCTCTCGGCCATCAGTGATGACGAATGGGAAATTCTTATTTCGGGCCGATTCGATGGTTTCCTTCGCAGCGGCGCTGAGGATGCTGTCCCCTCCGCCGGCGGACCTAACTCCCGCTGGAATGCCAACCGCTCCAACACCCCCTTCAGCACGGGCGGCATTTCCCGCGGGTCCACTCCCAACTATATGGACGCCAGCTTCCGACCCGCCAGCCAGCCAAATGGCGGCGGATCATCCCCCGCATCCTTCGGCGGGCCGATCGCCCTAGACGAAGAGACCGAGATCGCCGCGCTAGCGGAAGTGGAGCGTGATATCTTCCTGGGCATGGAAGCCCTCGAAGATGCATTCGAGGCTCTGCATTGCAAAGCAGAGGTTGTGCGCCGGGCTCTGCGTGAACGCGGCGCCGGGCTGTCGGTTGCCAACCAGAGCCGACGTGGCTCCTACCCAGAGGCGCGTATGGGCACTCCGTTCTCGGGGGTGAATGCCTGGGAGAGCGGCGGCGAAGATGACTTCCTTGATGACGACCGCTCTCTGGCGCCCGATGACTCGGCCAGTAATATCAGCTCCAACCGTCGGCGCCGCCCGAAGCGGCGAACTGAGCGACGTACCCCGGCTCCGGTCGAAGAGGAGGACGAGGAAGAGGACCGGTCGCATGCTGGCCGTCGGGATGCACGGAACTCGCGCCGGAGGTAAACATGAGCCTACTACTGTGTTTAGGCTGTGGTGAGGAGGAGCGTTCAAGATATCCAGGATGGCGTCGGGGAGGGACCGGATATCCTATTTTGTCATTGACCAGCAGATTGATACCCACTGCCTATCCGTGATCTGTCGCGAGCTTCTTTGGCGTGTTTTCTTATTTCTTTCAGTCTGCTTGGCCTGCATCCTGCGTATGATGATTGATGAATGCAATGATGTTACTCGCCCTGATGAAAGAATGGAGTCTTAATAGTGTATTTCCCTCTTGAAAGGCGCCTAGTATTTTAAGAAGGATGCCGGACTATCCAGATGCCCATTGTTGTAGGGTCGAGTTGACCCACTGCGCTCTGTGTTGGGGTCCGAGCATGAGGCTGTTGCTGGCAGCCTAACGTGGAGAACAAAGTGGCCTGCATCGTCAACACAAACATCTTTGATGTCCAACCATTAGGGTGCAATACCCTGTCAACTCTCCCTTTAGTAATTCTGGCCATTTCTTTCAGTTCATTACCATGCTCCCCGGTGGTGTCCACACCAGATATGTGGACGAATGGATTGCCCAAGGTCATTTCACAACCGAGAGGGTGCTGAAGCAACTCGCGGAGCTAGCAGGGGGGCATGGCTACCTTGACGACGAAGCAAGAGAAACACTGAAGAAGAATTTCGAGTCGGTCGCAACAGATGAAGCTGGAACGCAACGACTAACTGAGCCTGGGTTCATCTCCCTACTAAAAAGCTTCAATGCACTCCCCCCAGCCCTGGAAGAGGAGGCCGGTCCCATCCTCTACCGCTGCCTCCACTACCTCTCCATCTACCCCTACCGACACGAGCACCCTCCATCCCTCACGTTCCCCGAGCTAACTCGGGCCCTGGGCTGGCTGAAACCCTTCCCCGACTCACTGAGCTTCAACGTCTTCGCCGACAGCGGGCGCAGTCTAACGCCAGCAGACTGCAAAAGAATCCTCTTCCAGGGCCTGGCGACAGATCGCAACGGGGATCGACTGCCCTTCGATCGCGATGAATGGCGTCGCCAGGCCCGGCGGCGCGCATTCGACTTCACCGACGAGAAGAGGCATTGGGTCCAGCTCGAGGCGGTCATGAACTGTGATGACTGGGGCGATGAGATGTATGCGGATCTGGTGCATGTGTTGTTCTCCGCGCAGCCTGAGTTGCCTCTGCCCACTGCGGGGGCGCAGCGGGATTCGTTTCGGCCGTTGGCTGCGCGGCTTCATGCTGGTGCACTGCCGCTGTATCATTTTACGGTGTCGCCAGAGAGACTGAGGCCGTTTATTCGATTGCTGCTGTTTAATTTCTTTGGGTTGCATGATCGTGTCAAATGTGTGCTGCCTCGGGATCTAGACGATACAACTGAGTGTATCCTTCGGGCTTTTGTGCAGAATTCAGATGTTGGGGTTAATTGGCCCATGTTTGACGATGGGTTCATGGTGGCAGTATGTTTGGTGGCTTCCAAAGGATTTGTTTTTCTATTCCTCTTTTGCTGATCCCGTCACAGCCAACTCTCTTGATACCCTTGTACCGGATCCTGTCTGCCTTCTCAGAGACACAATTACCGCCTAGCAACGAGCTTGTCAGACGGCTGAGCAAGCCAGGGAGGCTATTTAACGTGCCTGTAATGATCCAAATCAGTACGATTTTCGGGCTCGAGGATGTGCTATATATCGACGAGTGCCGCTTACTATGGTCCCACGACGCAGCAAGAGACCAAGCCAATGCATCTGAACTTGCTACAGTCATCAGCAAGCCAGAACTCCCAGTCCTGATACTGGTCTCTGGAAAAGACACCCAGACGCATGAGAAATATATGTTCGGTGCATTCATTCCATGCCCATCGGAAGACTGCAAGCGAATCCAACCAAAGCGAAACGACGATCACCCCATTTGCTCACTATTTGAGTTGTGTCCCGTACAGGATGTCTACGGAGGGAGCCTCGAGTGTCCTGCGTGGACGATCTCCGATGATGGGATCTCATTCGGGGATCCTCAGACTGGAGTGGCGTTGGTGGTGAACAATAGCTTATCTCGTGCGACATTCACACAAGTACTCGATGGAGAAGATGAGCCTATTTACTATCCTACAGTCTGGAGGGGCAATCGTCGGGTGGACATAAAACTGGAGGGAATTGAAGTCTGGTGTGAAGATGGGGATTTGCCCGAGTCGGGGTATGGGACCTTTTCTGATGAAGGGTTGGAAGCTGTGGCACAGTGGTTTTGATTATGGATCTTGTGATTGTATATATCTGTAAAGGCTTGTATCATGACCAAGTCAAAACATCAACTAGCTCAGAATATCAGTGTATAGAGCATGGGCTTTATTCTCGTTTGAAGTTTAGAAGCCAGGTTGATACTTGGTCTTCCCTACCAAGTACTTGAGTAAAAGCTGCGACTACCTCAAGATCTCAACCCAAACAATCAACGAAAGGCAGCCCAATCTTCTCTTTAATCTCCTTAAAACCCTGCACAAGATTCTCATCCTCCAACTTCGTCGCAACCAGCTGCAACGCCACTGGCGCATCCTGTTGCGCCACCGCATCGTAGTGGTCATAGCACCAGCGATCGAACTCGTTCTGGGGCGTGTAGACGGGGTCCTTTGCATCGCGCTCTGGCTGGATCTTCGTGACGGGGAACACCAGCGCTGGATAGTCTAGCAGGTTCCAGATCGATGCATAGCCCCGGTATCGTGAAGTATGCAGTTGCGGCGCCGGGGTTGGGTAGACGGGGCAGAGGATTACGTCCATTTCTAGGGCGACGGTGTTCCATTCTGTATAGATTGTAAGTGTTGTGAAAGATGATCAATGGATTGGGGTGATATTGGAATATTGGTATATTCGAGGAATCGAATACTCCAATGCTTCAATGCTTCAAGATGTACAGCTCCGGGAACTGGCCTACCTTGCAAATACGAGTATCGAAAGATTTCTCGCTTCATCGTCCAATCCCATACCCCCCTGGTGACTGAGCTTTTCAATCCCTGGAGCATCTCTGGCTGCCCACGCCGTGAGAGACGCATAGGGCTCGCCGGAAAATTCAAGATTTCTGGCAAAGGCTTCGCCTTCATCGGGGTTGTAGAGTCTCGTCTGGCATCGGACAGTTAGCATGGAATCCTTCTCGAAATATCTGCCAATGAATCCAGGCGTTCAGCATATTCTCCCCGGTCGTTCATACAACTTACCAATATCTCCAGCGATTCTTACTGTTGATACGGCTTCCACTCAATCACGTCAACATCAGGGGCAATCTTCAACCGCTCCACGACCTCCCGTAGAGCTCTAGTAACTGGAGGTGCCGGAGTCACCTCGCCATCGTTCCAGATGGCACCCACCGTTAGTTTCTTCCCGTTTTTGTGGATATAAGACTCCTGGTGCCATGGAATCGGAAGCAACGACGCGTCATTCAGCCAAGGCTCGGACCCGAGCACGGTTTGCATTAAGAGATCCAACCCTCCCTAGAGTCGGTGATAGGTGTCCAATAGTTGGCATGATCGTCTCGCAGCCTAGCATATGAGCGGCTAGCCCTATCAGCGGCAGTCGGCCGGTTGTAGGCTTCAGGCCGTACAGCCCGTAGTTGGCAGCCGGGACACGGATGCTACCACCTACGCTAGTGTTAGCACGATAAAGATCTCCAGCCAAAACCAGTGGCCAGAGAATGATAAAAAAAGGGGGACACTCGACTACTGGGAGTAGGTACTATACCAATATCAGACGCAATTCCTAGAGGACTGCCATGCAAAGCTTGCAGCGCCGATTCTCCCGACGAGCCACTCGCCGACAGATCAGTGTTGTATGGGTTGACCGTGTTACCGGTGATGTTGTTGCATGTTTCAATCGACATCTAAACCCGACAGAAACCCCATTTATTAACCATACCGAACCATACATATCGATCAACTTCGATAGACGGCACTTATCACACCCGGGACTCACTTACTAAGCCCTGCGGTTCGTTCGTTCTGGCATAGATCATGGCGCCTGCCTCCAATAAGATATTCACGGCGTTTGCGTCCCCAGGGCTTTCCCTGCCTACCCAGCCGGCAAAGCCCGAGGTGTTCTCTCGTCCCGCAATCCCGACATGGGCCTTCGTGAGTAGCTGCGAGAGGAAATAGAATTTATAATTATTGTTGTTATTTGATTGTGGGTCCTACGCATAATACGAACCTTTTACATATCTTCGTCCGGGCAATATCATTTTAAACTTGGCGGGAATTCGAAGAGCCCTAGTCACTAGCAAGCTGATGGCACAACCACGAACAACCCAAATAGTCGCTGGGCCATGATCTAATATTTCAAGGCCATGGGGATGTATGAATTACGTATTCACGAGTCTAGAAATGCGACAATAGATGACTTCCTGGTAAATGGTCAATCATAGCAAAGGACGAGGCCCAAGAAAAGGAAACAGAAATTGAGAAGGAAAACTTACTCTATCGCGGTTAAGAAACTGCAAACTAAATTGTATGAACTTTCCCGTAGGTTACAGCCCACTAGCTTTGCTATCATTAATCTCATATTAATGACCATACTCTGGTCTATGTCAGACAGTCAACACAACTAACACGTTGTGACTGTTCCACATGATAGAAGGAAAAAGCCTCAGAAACAACTCTCCCTTCGTGGTAGTGGGCACGCTAGAATCTATACTATCGCTACTAGCGCCACTAGAATACGACAGTGCTAGTGCATAATCATCCTGGTCGTGTTTTTATTTACGGCGCTGATTTTGCCTATTCAAGATAGGACAAAACAAAAGCCCAAAAAATTTCTCCGATTGCTTGTCCCCTTAGATCCTCGATATCTGAGTGTAGGCGTGCCGCAAAGTTGTTTGATGGGCGAGCAGTCGAGTTCTAAACTAGTCTTGTAAAAAGTCTTCCGTTCGTGTTGTCCCGATGGACAATCACAGAGCATCGGGTTGAGTTCCGAAATCAGGCATAGCATTTTGTGAGGCATTTTTATTATACCTTGCAAACTATATCTTTGGATCCACCGAAGAAAACGGTTGGGCAGGGCAAGCCCCCTGTAAATCGAACGGGAAATGGGCAAAGTCTTAGATTTTCCCCGCATCCCACGAAATTCTCGCAATCCACTCACCCGCGGGTGTATAGAGTGGACCAAACTTCAACTAACGGCCAATCGCGCGGCTAAAGATCGAATACCGTCGTTAAATAATCCTTCTGATCTACTAGCTTTTAATCATCCCCAGGAACTATTGACTCGGTCATCCCGAAGCAGGGATGTTGTGGGGTGCTCAGCACCCGGATCTCTTTGTTCCTCCTTATTTCTGTCCACTATTGATTATGATGAAAGACAAAAAGGTCTCGCAGCGATAGGCGAACAGGCCCCCTGCCCAGCCCGGACCCAACCCCGACGGGAATGGGGGAAATGCGCAGCATGCAACTTGACTGCGCACACGACCAGCAAGAAACTAGTGCTTCAAATCCCTGCACCCCTGCAGCAATATAAACTTGATTGGAAAAAGCCCCTGGCCTATGAACGTGTACTTCTCGGCACTGACCGGAGGATGCGAAGAGCCAGCCAAATCGCCTTTCCCACAATTAACTTAGGGCATCCCGTAGGCTGCCTTGCCCTTCTTTTCTTGAACAGATTCTTTTTTCATTCATTTTTAGAATATATGTTTAATGTTATGTTTTTAGTTCCGTAGAAAAGAAGGCGATGGACAGACTTATTGCAAGCGTAGCTCCTACTACCGAATTTGTACATCTTGATTCGATATTTCGTTGCAGAGACTTCCACCAATACCCACTGGAACCCTTGTCTTCGGAGGAGTGCCGATGGCCTAAAAAGGAAGTGGGTCTTTGTATCTGGATCGTAGGGGTTTGTGAGCCTTTTTACTTCCTGATGCGCTCGCGACTATACGAGCCAAGAGAGTTGATCGCACGGTGGCCTCACTCAAAGTTGTCTGAAAGTGCCGGGGTATACCAGGATCGAGGATTTTAAAGTCCCTAAGGCCTATAAGGCCTAGAGGTCACCTTGCCCACAATGGCTTGTTGTGGGTTTCTCTTCCGGGGGGGTTGGACTGGGATGTGGTTGACTTTTAAATAATCCCTCGCTGCACTGTTTGGTGTTGGATTTTCTTCTCTTCTCTCTTTCCTTCTGTCTGCTCGATGGGCAAAGCATCGAAGCCATTCTTTTGAATTGATGTTTTATCATTTTATTTTTTTTATTTGCATTGCAGCGGTCTTTGTGTCTCTGATATACCCAGTCTCGGTCCAACATCTATTCATCTGTGCTGGCAAATTGTGACAAGACTCGATTACCGCTTCTTCAGACAGACAATGATACCAAACGATCTATAGTGTGATTAACGACCCAGGCATTTGACCATGTCTGTTCTCGCCCTACTGGCCATGCTACCCCGACATGCTTCCGACAACACGCTGGTGCCCCGGTTGACCAGCTCAGTGCAACTTGACATCGATCCTCTCCCCAAAGCACAACGAGAAGGTCTAATCGCAGTCTCCGTAATGGCCTTTCTCTCCCTCGTTGCCACAGCATCTCTTCTCATCTTCATCACCTACCGCCTCATATTCTGGCGCACCAACTATGCCCGATACATCGGCTACAACCAATACATCATCCTCATCTACAATTTGATCCTGGCAGATCTGGTGCAATCTTTGGCATTCATTCTCTGCGTCAAGTGGATCATCAAGAACAAGATTCAATCCGGGACGGCTGAATGTTTTCTGCAGGGGCTCTGGCTGCAGATCGGCGATCCAGGCAGCGGTCTCTTCGTGCTCGCAATCGCCTTCCACACCTTTCTGCTGGTTGTCTGTGGTTGCAAGATGCCCTACAAGGCTTTTGTTGCCTTTGTCATTGGAGTATGGGCGTTCGTGGCGCTCATCGTGGTAATCCCACTCGCCACGCATGGTGCCGATGTATTTGTGCCGTCGGGCGCCTGGTGCTGGATCAACGAGGACTATGAAGTCATCCGGCTGTGGACTCACTACCTGTGGATTTTTCTCGCTGAGTTCGGCACAGTTTGTCTCTACGCGGTCATGTACGTGCAGCTGCGCAAGCAGATTGCGCGATCCGCTATCCTGGGTAACAGCCAGCTAGAGAGCTTAAGGCGGTTGCGCCGCGTCATTGGATATATGACCATCTACCCTATTGTTTATATTGTCCTGTCGCTACCGCTGGCGGCAGGACGCATGGCCACGGCAAATGGAAACACACCCAACATCACATTTTTTTGCTGCGCTGGGGCTATCATCACTAGTTCCGGCTTGGTCGATGTGATTCTGTATACTTTGACCCGCCGCAAACTCATCGTCGATTCGGAGCCCAGTCATGACCGCTCATACAACAAGAATGCTAGCAGCAAGGACCGGCGTGGCGACGTCCTGATGACCACCATCACCGCTGAGCCCCGGCTGGACCAGAAACCAGATGCCCATGAGGATGAAATCCATTGGAATGCCTCGACGGACAATATCGTGCAGCCGGCCCTTGAAATGGCTCCGGTCGGCAAGGTATACCAAAAGACCACGATTGAGATCACTCATGAGCGTGCGTATTCGTCAGGAGAAAGCCAGCGATCGAGCAAAGAGTCCTCGCATCCACCGGGCATTGCGCGGCGATAAAATCCTCGTTAATCTCGGCCTTTGGGCTTGGGAGACTTCAAGCCGCTTTTCCCTCATCCTTGGATGTCTATTCGACCATAATTCGTTCGTTGGGGAACTTGTCGCCATGATACTTTCTTCGGTTTTCCCAAGCTGTGATCTTCCATTATGTCCGCTGCGTTCTGCGTGGCTGCTCTCTTCTCTATGCATATATATTTTTTTATTTTCTTCTCTCTCCTTGTCGACCTCGAATCTTGTACATATCCTCCAACAATGCAGAACATGGTGTATGTGCTGGGACTGAACCTCAGCTTCCATTTCTTCCAGTGCAGTTAGTGTATCTTTGCCACAATATGGGAGATCAGCCCTAAATTGCACCGCACCAGTACCATGGAACAAGTTACTAATCGCGGCAACCAGACGCCTTACTGCTTCAAAGGATCTCCAAGCCTTTGCTGAGGCTCGAGTGGGGGCCAAGCTGAGGTGAGATCGGTTTGAGACACGTTGCGACGCGGAAGCGATTTTTCCACGAGAGCATTTAAAAATCAGCGCGGGGCCCAGTGTTTGCTCTAATCTTGTCAATTCTCATGCGCATTCTCCAAGATGGGCTCGCAACTTGGTCTCGGTGGCTACGTCGCCATCGCTGCCGTGATCTGGATAGTACAGGTACGGCTTTGTCATAAGATGCATGTTGCTTGATCTCCAGAAGCTGACTCTCACGATAGACCCTCTACAAAGGTCTCACGTCGCCGCTGCGTCGCGTTCCCGGTCCATTTTTTTCAAACTTCACTCGTCTCCCACTGAAGCTTGCGACCATAGGGGGTCGACAGCTATACTTTATCCATGAACTGCACCAGCGGTATGGCCCCGTGGTTCGCATCTCCCCGACCGAAGTCTCCGTCGCATCTCTGGACGGGTTCAAAGAAATCCACCGAGTAGGCAAGGGGTTTCCGAAGGGAGAGTGGTACCAGAAGCTCTCACAGAACCGGGCGGGCGTTTTCCACATGCGCGATTCCAAGGCGCACGCCTATCGACGGAAGCTTTTTGCGCGCGCGTTCTCCAAGTCTGAAATTCGAAGTTTATGGGAGCCCGTGATCAGAGAAAAGGCTCAGTTGACTGTGTCGCAAATCCAGGCCGAGCTGAAGGCCACGGGGGTCTGCGACGTGCTGAAATGGGCGACGTTTTTCTCGACGGATGTGAGCGGGCATCTGATGTTTGGAGAATCCTTTGAAATGCTGCGACTTGGAAAGGTAAGCAACATCTCATTTATTCACTTATTGATTTACTCTGTTTTATTGTGAGCAGAGTTCGTGTCTAACCAGCACATAGAAAACCGAGTATATCCGCATCCTCGAGTCGGCGCTGAAGGGTGCGGGGATTGCTGTCGAGCTTCCATTTCTGCGCGCTATCGCCCCCTATGTCCCCATCAAGGCGTTTCGGGGTCTGTTCATACCTGGCGCGTCGATCGCGGAGTACAGCCAGCGCGCTGTCACCAACGGCCGAAAGAACAGCGATTCCTGTCGCAATATTTTCTCTGGTCTTATTGCCGAATCCGAGAAGGGGCAATCAGCCATTACTGACGCGGATGTGGCCTTTGAAGCTGGGAACTTGATCATCGCCGGCTCCGACACCACCGCGGTCACCTTGACGTACCTCATTTGGGCGGTGCTGTCGCGTCCAGCTCTCCGTTCCCAGCTAGAGACCGAGCTCGCCGGTGTCAACGAGAACTATGTCGAGGCAGACCTGGAATCACTTCCGTTGCTCAATGCCGTCATCCTGGAGACACTCAGACTCTATGGCGCGGCTCCTGGGGCTCTGCCGCGGACAGTCCCAGCCGGGGGTGTGACGCTGTCTTCACACTATCTGCCGTCGGGGACAACCGTCAGCACCCAGAACTGGACCATGCACCGCGATGAAAAGTTTTTCTCAGACCCTGAATCATTTGATCCCTCCCGGTGGCTGCCTGGAGATAACGAGGTGTCCGAGCTAGCGCGAGAAGCGTTTGCTCCCTTTGGCGCTGGGGCGCGAATTTGTCTCGGAATACACATTGCCTGGATGGAGCTGCGGCTGGCAGTGACTGAGTTCTTTCGTCGTTGTGAGAATGTGCAATTGGCGCCGAGTACTACTGAAGAGAGTATGAAGCCGGTGCACTATTTTTTGATTGCACCGTCGGCTCATCAGTGCGAGGTGGTGTTAAAGTGAATCAACATGAATAATGAATAATGTCTCTTATTTTTAGCGAACAAGCCCCACTTCGTCGATAGTCTCCCTACACACCTACAGTAGGGAAGTGTGCTCTAGAATGACTCGCGTGGAATGCAATTTGCTTATGCATTTCGAGTCTTTGAACTTTGTACGAGGCTGTGGGCCCACTGGGAAACGCACTCCCCCTTGGAGTGGAACCAGTTGATGAGGTGATTTGACGTGAGGATACACAGTGGAGGACGGCTATCTAGGATCGCCACGACTCTCCATAGTCTGTGGGGGCTAAGGGAACGGACACTCGAGAGGAAGCTAGGGAGTCCTACGGCTGAGAGCTGCGGTTTCCAAGAATTACATGTACTACTTGCCATCCGGTCTTTTTCTAAGTGCCTATTGAGCATTCCAATTCAAAATCATTCAAAACCAGTCGAATACATGGCAAGCAATGACATGATAGCTGGCTGTATAGAGTAAATAAAAAGGGGTCAGATTATACCGAGCCATATTCTACCCAACTTTCTTTTTTTTTCTCCAACTTTATATATTGTTAGCTATTTAGAGAAATGTGTATGCCCGTTCCCATTATCTATCCAGTCCAGGTGGATTGGCTTTTATTTTAGCTCGATGCTACATAAGGAATATCCGACTCGTAATATTCAGTCTCGTCCACTCTTTTGCCCAAGAGAGACCCCATGCTCAGTTGTGGATGCGGCCCTCTGACTCGTTTGATTGTAATTTATGCATACGCCTCAGCCTTGTTCGGAATTTGGGGGTTCCAGGGTTGCAAGGTCGGTATTATTAGGGATTAGCTGAGATTGTTTAGGCTCAGCCCTGCTACTCTGACGTACGTTGCTGGGACTCGGCAGACTGCAAAGACCTTGTATCATCTATAGTGCTCTCGTATCCTTGAATTATAGTCCCCATACAATATACACGTCCATGTCCCCAAGCTTCGGTCAGACCCCCTGCGAGAATAGATCACTGCGGATTGCCGAAATCCACCTCGCACTCCCAGGACCAGTACATCTGATTCGCAAACCACTGATAGCTCTGGGCATTGTGGATTGCATTCGCCTTGTCACCACCTAGCTTACTATTTCCATAGCGCGCCTCTTTCATCGTCGTCGTCAGATCATCCGTCTTCCCGTTTGGCATCAGCTCCTTCCAGTGCGTCAGCTCATGAAGGATGGTAGACCCCAGCGTGAGCATTGCCAGGGAAACTCGGCTCTGGCCGACAGATTGACATGTAACGGCAGGGACACAGCCCATGCAGAGATCTTGGGATGTGTCATGCTCATCGCAGCCGTAGGATTTATCAATGCCGCCATTGTAAAAGGCGGCGTCGCAAATGACCATCGTAGGCGTCTGGGTGTGTCCGTTAACCATGGTGGCAAGGATCTGAGAGCCGAAGTTGGTTGCTCGACAGGCGCTCGGTCGTTGGTGTTCATTTACCACTAGGATATTGGCCAGGATCGGATTTCCTTCCCTGAGATTTCGACCTGGCTGTCCCTTTGCGCCGCCGAGGATGGTATCAAATGACCCTAAACCAGACGTCAACTAAGCTGCTCTGTATAGCAATTGAGAAAGTGGGGGGGGGTTCATCCATCCACTCACTCTGGACGTTATCCCAGTCAATCTCGTTGAACCAGAGTTTAAAGATGTTGTTGGCTGCCGATTTGGGGGGATCACTCATGGCGTTGGCCAATTTCAAGGCATCGCGGAACCCATCTTCGACCTGCCGTTTCCGTATGCCGGGGAAGTATCTTGCGTCGATCTTTGGCAGTTTGCGCTTGGCCAGCTTTCCCTTGGGACGCGTAGGACTGGCTAGGAGCGTCACTGCCAACAGAAAAACTATGAAGACTTTGGCTAACATGTTGAATGTAATCGTGAGTGAGCCTTTTGGGGGAATCAGGCTGTGGGGGCTTCTAAATATATGTGTTTTATAGCAGCCGTCCGCAAGGCCAACGCCTTCGGTGTGGGTCTCAATATAGGGAACTGCTACAACACAAAAGACCCCTATTCATTTAACATTAGAAAATGAGGGATCTCTCATCCGCGTGCTGTATTTTTCGCCCCAGTATGTTCAGGTGGAGTTCTATACGTATTGGATTTTGTGATTTTTCTCGCGGCTACAGGCATACTACATCATATCTATAAGGTAATAGATGCCTCTTGGTCCAATAACATGCAATCCTTGAATTTCGGCGATACTCAGTTTATCTGGACGTCCCAATACACTGAGTATATCGTTATATTCCCACCAGATCCAGAGCGAACACTTGCAGACCAACCCTTATTGCCACTGGTATCGAGTCAGACCGGATGGAGTATTGTTTTACTGCATTTGTGTGCTGGATGCTATGTGTGGCTCTTGCATAGCGGCTCAACCAGTCAGGGAGGAAGCCTGAGTCAATGTGTTGGGATGACGACGCACTATAAAGCGCGCCCCCACAGTAGCGTGAAATGCCAAGACGGCAGGAAGTTGGTCATATTAATCATGAATGCTCCTTATTATTCATATTTCCCGGAGCTTTGCTGAGTATAGTGGCCAGCCCTAGAATTAGCAAAAAGGGACCTCCATTGGGGGCTGCCGTCTTACCCCATCGAACGAAGACCAGAGAATTGGAATCTCGGCTTCTCCATTTTGATGGCTTCGTTTCGTATCACGGTCAAGGCAGCAATCTGTGCTCCATTGGTGGAATTGTGATGCCAGTGCAGGTTGGCCTGTTCCAACACTTTTCGGCGTAATCGGTGTCACAAATATACAAATCAAGAGCACGTTGTCTAACAGCCTTCGCATCGCATCACCCTAGGTCTTTTCTAAAATAAACCCGCTCATAGCCATCTTCGGTTCGGCTCTCCGTCTCCTTGAATCCTAGCTTCGCGTAGAGACCGAGATTCTCGTACATCTTGGCGTTGGTATAAAGGGTCAAGGCGGAACGGTCCTTTGCTCGCGCGCGTTTCTCCACACCACCCAGGAGGACCCGCCCATAGCCCTGGCCCTGTGCTGCCGGGTCCACAAATATGTTTTCAATGTTGGTTGGCTCGCATCCACTATCCGTGCTAAGGATAACGCATCCCAGAATTGTTGTGTCATTGCGGAGCACCAAGACGGGTTGCGATTTGATGACCTGGATGTAGTCCACAGTCATGGGTGCTGGAGGTTTTCCTATTCGCTCAATGTATTTTGAGTAAGAGGCGTCAACTATGGATTTTATGGTGGGTGCATCGTGGATAGTGGCATTTGAGATGGTTGGGCCATCTGGTGATATTTGAGAAGGGACAGTCGTGCTCATTGTGAAAAGCGGCGATATTAGACAGAAGTCCTTCGGATTCAGTTATTCAAGGCGAATATGTGAGAGGTGAGAGTCAGAGAAGTTCGAAGCAGATAAATATGGCGGATGTGCGTCACGTTCGCCCCGCCTCCTGAGTCGCTCCAAACCTTGTGAACATCATACACAACACAATCACTTCAATTGTCCAGCTGGCTTAGAATGCAATTTAGTTCATCTCAAGTCCACCCGTTCCTGTTAGAATCAGCCCAAGATAAGTTCTCCCCCCCCCCACATCCTCACACCACCCCAGGCTACGCAATTCTCCCCAGAATCAAGCCGGAGGAATAGCCAACTTGCCAGCCTTCCAATTCCCCTGACTCCACATCCACTCCGAAACCCCCGAGACCAGCTCCCCCTTCTGGAAGTAAACCCTCATATTGAGGTTATTGCCGTGGCCCCAGCTAATAGCGGCGATTTCCGTGCCAGGGATGCAGTCGACGTGGAAATTGCCGTCATGCCATTTCTTGCCATCCCAGACCATCTCGCGGACCTGGGTAGGGGTGGCATAGAACAAACGAATTGCAAGAGTGTTCGAGCTCATCATGAAGCTAGTGCACGCCATGGCGGCCCGGGGCAGCATATGAGCCATTTTCAGGGCGCCGTTGTACCAGCCGTTGTTGTGGTCATAGCACATTTCTACCATTCCGTTGTGGGTATCCTGGAAGTAGACCCTAGATGTCGTCAGAGGGTCAATACGTTCAACATGAAGCGTAACATCAACTTACCGGGTGCCCATCTCCGAAGTCTTGAAGGACGTGCAGGCAATCTCGGATCCGGGCATGGCGGCTCCAAGGTTTTGCATCTTTTTCCAGCCAGAATTGTCACCTTCAAGGATAAAAGCGCATCAGTGAGGGCGGCAAAATCAAAGACGTATATTCAGACCGCACCTACCGTTCCAGCCCATCTCCTGGATGGTGTTATCGGTCATCTGGCAATAAACCCGCATCGTCATGTCGGATCCCTCGAGAAAGCAAGCTGCGATCTTGGAGTAAGGAGCGACCATCATCCGACTTTTGTTCATGGCGCCCTCATACCACCCCTTGGAGTGGTCATAGGCAGCCTCCTTCATCATGTTATCGGTAGACAGATAGTAGACTCGAATCTGTGATGAAACTATTAGTATTTATTCATTTTTCTTTGTCTTTTGGTTCGGCGGTGCTCTTCCCTGACTGACATTCTTCAGTTCTTTTGAGGCAACGGCAATAGGAGAGCCGAGCTTCGCAGACGCAATGGTGTTCTTCTCCGTTCCGTTGCTCCATGAGCCATCGTATACTGACTCACGGATATTGCCCATCACATCCTGCATGTAGACACGCAGATCGGAGCCTGAATTACAGGCTCCAATTGCGGATCCTATACAAAAGGAAGGGTTTAGTTAGCTCTGTTAGAGCTTCGGGTCAGATGTTTGAATCATACTAAATGCAATCTCCTGAGCTCCTTTTCCAGACATGGTGGAGGTGCTGATGCTTTGGCGTTGGTTTGTATACTATTCAAAAAAAAGGCAGAAGATTTTGATGCTTTTGCTGAGGGAATATCTGGGAATTTGAATGAATTTATATTGTTTTTCATCCCTGACATGGCGTCTTTCCCCATTTCACGTCGTTCCTACAAAGTTGACTTTATAGCCTTTGGTGACACTTATGCCGGGCAAGGTTATTCAGAAGAGCGGATCTTGCAGATCGGAAGAGATTTCATTGTGCAGCTCTCAAAATCTGTGGCACGTCTCTCTCTGGACTTTACACGCCTGGAACGGCGGAATTGAAGCTCTTGGATATCCAAGGGTAGTATATGGAATGATTCCCGGCCTTTGGTGTAAAATTAACGGCACTTCCGGGGTTTCCGGTGTCCCGAATCAAATAATTGGTGATATGGTTTGTTTTGATTCCAACGTGGAGTCCTGGACCGTTGTACCTACTGTCACATGGAAGTATGCTGTGGAGAAAAGGCATGCAGGCTACATAAACTCAACGGTTGGGTAAATAATACCGAAGATGAAAGTATATGTCTGGCCATAAAAAATCCTAGACAGTTCCATAACAAACTCTACCAATCAAGCTCATATGAAGACACTGTGTGGGAAGTCTCGAGCTGAGACGATCTCCAACAAACTGTGGGAAATACTGACTTTTGCCACAATTGGGAACCACTAATGGATCAAGTGACAATTTTAGCAGCCAAGCGTGTAACGGCTTCGTCGGCCCTTTGGTAAGGTTTCTTTGATGCCCAGATTTAATGCAATGGTGTGGCTTCAAACATATGAGATTGATCGAAATGGTCACTCAAACGCCACATAGATAGGAACAGCCAGGAAGAATACTATTTTTGACAGACATATTATCTATATTTAATGATTAGCCTCGGCATTACAAAAGTTGGGTTTGCTCGAGGCCAAAAAGGCAGTGAGCCGCCATTCTAACTTTCTATGGAAAAGAGAGAGGAGAGAGAGGAGATAATAGGGTTAAACTAATTCCAAACTAGGGGGGTGGTGACGACTTAATCGACTATGATACAGTAGGTGATATATATCCAAGGTTTAGACAATACGTTTTGATCTATGTTCGTCAGGACGTTTCTTGCAATTTTGCTCGTGATGTATTTACATGGCCTGCCTAGTCGGGGGGTTATCTGTATTCTTATGGTGGGATTCTCTTTTCTTTACTTCTTATATCCTGTTAGAAAACTCCTATTAAAAGGCTAAACCATATTATTTTAGTTAGCGCTCATATTCTACGGCAGTAAACCGATTTATTTAAGAACCTCGCCACTCCCGCGAGATTGAGGACTGGTCGGTTACGTAGACTATTTTATTGCCGCAATATAAGAACGCAGTCAGATAGGTTAAGTGTCTTCGTAATATATATAGTGGAAGACTATTCCTAAATTCCAGGTAGTAGGGCTCTTGAATGGACGACTCAGATCCGAAGTCGGTATATACGTTTCCTATAGTCCTTGCCTCTCGCTGATCATTGTGCATTTAGAGGCAGTTTGCTATTGAATAGAAGGCTTGCGCATTGCATATCCCAAAGGAACACTGCGCAAAGCCCCATGAGGGATTTGATGCGTTGTTTCACTCATTTATGATAAACACCAGCAGCAATACTCCTGACCATGACGCAACCTCAATAGTGTTCCAATGAAAGGATGTCTCAGAAAAACAAGGGGCTGGAGTTGTAGAAACTCAGGGCGTCCATTTCCTGGGCAGCAGATTTCCACATGAATAATAATCCGAGACATTGAGTGTCTTATGAGGAAAATATAGGCCATGCGAACTGACGTCATTAGACAGTTGACGAGAAATACGATCAATGCCGTGCATTTTGGACAATGCGTGTCTTATGTGGATAGCTCCTTTTTTCGGCATATCTATCCCGAGAGTATACAGTTTGCCCTAACTCATTGACTGACTTCAGGGGAACCAATGGCATTGCATAACAGATATCCAAGCAGCAGCCAAAGTATAGGAGCCAATAAAGTGTAATCGGGAACGCCCAACACCGCATGGCCCTGAACCTTGCTTGACTGAGAATCTTGCTTGTTTCTGGAGGCACCTGTTTAGATGATATAATCCCGAGACAAAACTAAGATAATGTATATTCAAAAAGAAATAAAAAAAAAATGAAAGCAAGAAAGCAAGAAAGTCATGCCACGTTTGACACAACGCCAACTCCTCTTAACGAATATAGGACATCAGTTTTTCCCAGTGGGGAAAGGTCGCAAGGGGTGTTAGCACAGCGATGAGAAAACATGGAGAACACGCCTGCTGCGCTAGCCCCGTCCCTTGAACCGTGACGCAAATTCACAAGCCAACTGACGTCGGAGCAGCTGTTCTGCAGCGCTGGTTCCTGGAGTGGCCGGCAACCTGCGGCCTTCACAATCTGCTGAAGGAAATCATTCACACGACCTTATTGATCAAGACGATCAGGGGATCTCGCAGGATCCATTCCTAGTTTACCCTGCGGGGGAACCCGAGCTTCGGCCAACGAAGGGGCATCGGCGCAGGAATGCATGTTTATCTTGGCGTGTTATGGGGCAAGAAAAACTGGCCTGGAAGTTTAGTCTCCCATATTTAACGAGGACAAATTCGCATTTTCAAATAGTAGTTTTCTGGCTCGAAAGTGCTGCGGCCCGTCTCTTTTGCAGCCATGTTATTTTCATCCCGTTGTCTCCTTGCTCCTACCCTTCTCTCACTGTTTCTAGCAGAAAGCACTGTCGCCGACCAGGCGAAATCAAGAGCACAAACCGCTCTTAGTACCCTTCAGGATTGGTACAATTCTACGAGTGGCCTGTGGGATACTTGTGGATGGTGGAATGGCGCCAACTGCATGACAACGATCGCAGACCTGGCTGCCCTAGATCCATCCGCCATGGAGACCGCGACCTATGTCTTCAACAACACCTTAATCAGGGCACCGGCTTCGAACCCCCATCCAGGCCCAGAGACAAAAGCGAATAACAAGCGGATGGCACTGTGGGGACGCTCCAATGCTGTCAATGCCTCGCAATGGCTCGACTCGGCCTACGACGATGACGGCTGGTGGGCCCTTGCATGGATCGCTGCATACGATGTCACTAAGAAGCCTGCCTATCTGCAACTCGCAGAGGGGATATTCTCAGCATTGGTACGCCTTTCAATTCTGCTCTTGCCACGCCCGCTGTGCTCGTACTGATAATTTGACAATTCCAGACATCTGCATGGGGAACACAATGCGGCGGCGGCATTCCATGGAATCCCACGGATAAGTATGTCAATGCAATTACCAATGAGCTTTTCTTGTCGACAGCAGCACACTTGGCAAATCGAGTCCCAAGCAGAAAAGCAAATTATACGACCTGGGCCAAGCGGGAGTGGGACTGGTTCGCGGCCCAGGGCTTCATCGGCGATAATGGAACCATCAACGATGGGTTGTTAGACAACTGCAAAAATAATGGCGATACTGTGTGAGTACTCCAGTCAATCTCAATTCGTGGTGCTTTCGTACTAATTGATTACGTATAGCTGGTCCTACAATCAGGGGGTTGTGCTCGGGGGTCTTGTCGAGCTGAACAAGGCCGCTCCCAACCATACATATCTCGAATCTGCCCACCACATTGCAAAAGCAGCAATCAAAACCCTCGCCGACTCCAATGGGGTAATCCATGATTCCTGTGAATCGGACAACTGTGCTCCCGACGCTACCCAATTCAAGGGCATTTTCATGCGAAACCTGGTAAAGCTGCACAAGGCCTCGCCCGATGATGTTTATAAGCGGATCATTGAGAGTTCTGCGAAAAGCATCTGGGAGAACGATCGTAACTCGAAGAATCAATTGAGTGTGAACTGGGCGGGCCCCTTTCATCAACCGGTGGATGCTTCATCGCACAGTTCGGCGCTGGATGCACTGGTTGCCGCTGCCGCTCTATGAAACCTCGTCGGCGCTTTCTGAATATAGGAAATGGAAAAATAAAATAGAGCAAAAGCAAAAACATTTTGTTGCATTCAAAGCTCCCCCGGTCAATAGCAAAATGTGCAAATTCATGTAAAACAAACCCCCGAACCCCTTTCTCAAGCCACCACAAAATCCCAATTACCCCTAATAAGTCACTATCTGAACCTCTTCAGCATGTGTGACTTCCCTGATATCCCTGAACACATCCAAGATCGAGATCATATAAGAAATTTCTTTCCCTTCGGAACCTGAAAAATGCAGACCAATGACATTTCCATGTCGATCGAATACAAAGGCGCCGGAGTCTCCTAGAGCTGAAAAGGGCTGACGCCCCTTTTTGCAAATGGCGTGTACCCATGTAGGAATTGTTCGGGAGCCCCCTGGAGAGCTTGGGTCTTTTATGCGGTAGATATGGATTTGGCGGAGCTCGCTGTAGTAGCCTGAGGTCGTGCCACTTGTTCTACCTGACTTGAAAACTTCGGCTCCAGGGTTTAGAGCACTATCAATGTCATCATGCATAGGAAACTCTCTGATATGACCAAGATGTATCCTTATTTCGCTGTAGATGAGAGGCTAAAGGCATTTTCAGTATCCATACTAAGGGTAAAAGTAACAAATTATATTTCAAAAACTTTTAAAAAATGTTTTAAAAAGACATTCAAAAAGCAAATATGACATACCTTATTTTCAAAATTTCCATCTTGTGTCATCTCTAGTCTTCGGGAGTCGACTCGAATCAAGGCCCAGTTGAGCATGACTGGAATATTGCTGCCATGGACTGTCCCTGCGCGGTAACAACTGCTTCCAGCAAAGACATATCCTAAATAGTGTGCGTTTATGTCCATAAATTGTTGGAAATAAGCTCGATCCTGTTCCATATTCGAAATATCGTCGACATAAGTCTGATAGGAGCGCTCTTCCTTCGGCGTCATAAATTTATTGGGTAATTCTTGGCCGATCGCCTGGGCAATGCGACGAAGATGTTTATATCTATTCTCAGTTTTAGCCTCTGCGATCAACAAGACTCTCTTGTTTATGGTAGTTCGAATATCGTAGGCTGACGGATGCTCGACCCGGAGAATTCTTCTGGCTCTGTCGTCGCTCGGCCGAACAGGCTGAAACCCCTATTGACTGAGGGCCACCAGCACAATCATGTTAGTGGAATGCCTTAAAAATGGCGGATATGGTGAGTATACCCTCCTCCCATTGCGCCAGGAACACCTTCCAGGTGGCTTCGGTGCTTTGCATGGTCTGCAGGTGCCCAAACACTATTAGAAGTCAAGCCGAAAGGTTCCCATTGTCTCTTACCCCGAAATCGAAGCTCGACCAGCCCACCTAGTGTCAAAGACCCTGCTGATCTTTTGTACATGTCGATGCTCCCGCCCGGTTTGATCTTTTGAGTGCAGAGTTCCCTTGGGATGCAGATGTCATCGTCATCGAGAAATGTCTTCATCTCATCCTTCATGAACAGAATGTTCACGTCGCGTTTGTCAAACTGTGCCAAGATACCTTGAATTGTCCTGGTGGCTGTTGAGAACTGACTGTTAGAGTTTTTGACGATACTGATGATGACCGTAACCGATTGTTGGTCAGCGTGGTGTCGGCCCCATAATGCCAGCACTCGAGTGCAATCCACTCTCGTAAATCGAGATTTGGAGAATGGTGTGACAGATTCGGGGCCATTTAGGGAAAATTGAGTGCGTTCTGGAGACGGGGTAGCAGCGGCTGGGCACAAAGAGCTGCTCGTCGATGATGTCGACGGAGATCGCCGGACATTCATGTGCCAATATTTGCTGTATCTGCTTCGCTGCTTGACGCCAGTGTGAACTGTCCGACCACCTCTCTGTAATAACCATTACAGTAGGAATCGGCCCTTCCTTGGGATCGATCTTGGCCTGTCGACCTGTTTCGAAAATGTCTTTGTATGCAATATGATAGGCCCTCCAAAATAGGGGTGACTTGGTCAATGATCCCCACAGTTTTATTGTGCCAATCCGTTCTTTTGGAGTATTGACAGCTCACTGGTCTGGAGGATGCGGGTAAGGAGGTTAGAGCAGGGCCACCTGCCCTATGGGACGACTGTAGAAACCCAAAGTCATCGACTGAGTAGTCACTTTTGAGGACTGATGTTTCTGGGGACGAGGAGTAGAAGCTAAGTGCATGAGCATTTGCCCGGCTGAATATAGACCAGGATGAAGAGGACATTTTGGTAGAGTCAAGAAAACCCTCTAAAAAAAGCTTCAGAAAAGGGACACAGAATAGGAGTATACAACAGTGACAAAGAAAAGGAAACCTTAGAATAAGTGGAGGAAGGGGAAGAGATCATAAATAAAGAAAATTTAAAAGTTAGTGCGAAGTAAAGTGTAGGAAAGAGGAATGGGAGATCTACTAGAGGTAGATATAAAGGCTTGAATCCCCAACAGTGAATTTTTAACCATGGAATAGATGCTGTATGCTAAGGCTATCTAGGTAGTCATAGAGACATCTAAGATTTTAACTAAGTAAATGTTACTCCATTTCTCAAACCTTAGAAACATCTTTCTAAGGGTGCAGTGATATAAAGAGGGTATATACTAAAGGCTGGAGGCTAGACAATGCTAAGTTTATGAATTACTCTTTTCAGGGTTTTATTTGAGGAGCTTGACTAAGGAAATTATTCTACCCCGGGGCCACTGTTCGATACCTTCTATCTAGGGGGGGGTTGGAGTGTTATTCTAAATACATACATGTTTGAATTCATATTAGTTTTCCTAGTAATATCTATTCAAATACCTAGAATCCATCTTTTTATTTTAATCCATCGCCAAGAGCAGCGTTACCCCAGTTTTTCTCCGCGGATGACATCATATTAGATCATTCAACTGACCGTCAAAATCAATTTCCAGCTCTCGCATTCTGAACATATCTCACATATCTTACATATCTCATACTTGAAAATAAAATGGCTGCGCATATCAAACCCCTCGTTCTACACGCCCACGCCACGGGACCGAATCCCATCAAAGTGGCAATTGCCCTCGAATCGCTCAAGGTCCCCTTTGTCGTCAAGCACTGGGACTTCAGCGATGATCCTAACACAGGCGTCAAGGGGGCTATGTTCTTGAAAATCAATGAAAATGGCCGTGTGCCCGCGCTGGAGGACCCCAACACCGGAATCGTCTCGTGGGAATCGGGGGCATGCATCAACTACATTCGACGAGTGTACGACAAGGGCAACACGATCGGGCCGCCGGGCGATTCGGCACAGGATCTGGTGGATTTCGAGAAGTGGGAGTACTTCCTCTTGACGACGCTGGGTCCGATGACGGGGCAGACGAATTGGTTCCGGTGGGTTTCCTTCCTTCGACTTGTGGTTTTGACTATGGTGGTGAAAACACTGCTGACGTTCATAGACACTACCACCCCCAGAAGAATGAGGACGCCCTCAAGCGGTACGAGGCTCAGACTTATCGTTGCTATGATGTGCTCGAGGAGCAACTGAAGAAGACTGGGGCGACCAGCATCTTGGGTGCGCGGGTCACTGCCGTCGATTACCATTTTGAGCCTTGGGTAAGACAATATTCATTTGCTGGTCTCTCTCTGGACCGGTATCCGTTGATCGCCAAGTGGCTTGGTATTATGGAGACTCGAGAAGAGGTCAGAGAGGCCTATTACAAGATCAAGGGCTCGAAGTAGAGTGAGTTCTCTGCTGGGCTTTGCTTAGCTCGACATCATCTGCCTTGATATATCGATCGTCCATACAGAATTCATCGGATTAAAACTGACTACACTATCCTTTTATTTAACCGCTGGTCTCAAATGTAAACGATCCCATGAAATAACATGTTATGTGCTTTATACCCGGGGTTGTAATAAGGCTTAATCTTGCGTAGTAGATCAGAGTAGCAAAATATAGTGCAGATTTCACTCAGTCAAGCCGAAAGATGACATCTCCCATCGCTCTCTAATTTCTATTTGCAACCACACTACCCCGTCAACAACGTCTTCGGAACATTAACAACATACTGAAACAGCGCCTTCCCATCATGCGACCTCCCAGGCATCTTCCCACCGCGAACATTAACCTGCATAGCCTGATGCATCAATCTAGGCTCATCAAGAACCTGATCGCGCCGATTCCTCCACCTGACAAAATCCTCCTCCGTCGACCCATTCTTTACATGCTTATTCTGCTGTCTTTGATCCCACACCGTAACATATGGCAACGGGTCCCGCCCACTGGACTCATTCGACGGCGGATAATCATGTCCAGTATATAACCGAGTCTCGGACGGCAGCGCCAGGAGACGTTTCATGGACCGGAAGAGCGTGCGCGCATCGCCCCCGGGGAAATCGCACCGCGAACTGCCCACGTCCGGGTTGAATAGACTATCCCCGGTGAACACGTTCCCGCCAATATGATACCCGCCGTGGTCTGGGGTATGGCCTGGCAGGTGGAGGGCTGTGGCGGTGATGTCGCCGATCTGGAACTGCTCGTCGGGGCGGAAGAGGTGGTCGAAGGCGTTTTCGAGCTCCTTCTTGGGGATGTTGTATTTGTGCGCGAAGGTGTTTTGCACGATTGTGATGTTTTCGCCGATGCAGATTGGGGCGTGTGGTTGGCCTGCTACCCATAGCATCTGTTGGATATAGTAGGATGCTGTGAGGTGGTCGGCGTGTGCGTGTGTCTCCAGGAGTCGCGAGACGGTGTATTCGTTCCGGCGCACGATGTCTAATAACCCATCGGCGGACTGGGTGCTGGCTGTGAATGTTGAAGGCTCAAAGTCGAGTACTGGGTCGATGATCACTGCTTCTTTTGTCTTTGGACATGCCACCACGTATTGCCAGGAGAGCGTCTTGCGGTCATAGACCGAGTGGACTATTGGCTGAGGTCCGGCCATAGTTGAGCCGTGTCGGAATTGTGTCAATCGATGTTAGCTGGAGAGAAGCACAGTGTCTCTTGGTCTTACTTGTGATTGGGGTGGTTGACATTACGTATTTATAGATCATTGTCTGGCCCTGCTATTCGGGGACTATTTGCCACTGAGCATGAAAAACTTCGCTCGGGGGATGTCTATACCATGCCCTGCGATTAACCCCTTGGAATCGGTGACCATTTTGCATCGGGAAAGGTAGTGGATGCTTGATAAAACCGAGAAGCAATAGATATGGTGGCCATATATATCCATACGCCCAGTGGAACACAACCTTGGTCAAAGACAGAGCGACAATTGCCCCACTTAATTTAGACAAACTAACGTCAAACCATAATCAACGGATCTTTTATACTAGATTCTTTTATATTGCTTATGGACCTTGGTCTTGCGTAGAAAAGCTTATCTTCGCTCTGAAGTCTTCAATGTTGGAAATGCAAAACGATAACAGGAACAAGACTTTCCTCAGGCTGCATGTCGGATTTTCTTCCTCAGAAAATCAAAAGCTCGGGGACTGTATTGCATTCTCGTACGAGATGCAGTCGCCGACTCGCCTGCGATGCTGTGGTCCCCGATGTGGCAACGGATAGCATCACCGATCCCCGACACTGGCCCGGGTGGAGCCGACATCAGGAGGTTGCAACAGTAAAGGATGAGACGTTCTCTATGTGAAAATCCCCTTACAGATTTCTGAGGACAGACACTTTACACTTACACCGACCCCGTCCGGCGGAATATTGTCTAGTAGATGGCGCTTACTAGCCCTACCCGGCAACATGGAACCACGAAGAAGAAAGGTATCAATAGATGGATCAAATGTCTGACAGTGAATGTGACTATGCATGCATATCAAAAGGAATAGGTGATCGCAAATTCAACCAGGGCAAGAGCAACAAAAACAATGATAACGACTTCCATGGCTCGACTTTGGAGTGAGCGTGCTCTGGGCTCTTTTTCCATATGATATTACCACACACCCATCGGATAGTAGGTAGTCGGGTAAGAGAGGCAGGGGGAGTAACAACAATCTAGGCACCGTAATGTAACAAGCCGCTTGCTTCTCAACAGGAGTAGTTTGAAACGAGGCTCGACCGATGCTCTAGCCCATAAATGATCTTCCGTGTTATTGCGGTTTTGTAAAATAATATTCAGTCGCCGATTTGGCAAGCTTCTCTGCCTGTGGTCAAGGCCATTTATTCGCAGGGTGATTAGTCTTGCAGCGAGAAAAAGCGCTCAGATGTGAAAAAAAAGTGAAACATTTAGAGTCAGACGCAAAAAGTCCCATGGTGATGCCTTCGATCAGAACACGAGAGTGTGCGGAGAGGTGTCTGAAAAGGAGTCATCGCTAAGAGACAGGCTCTCGAGGTCCAAATCATGTTCATGTTGTTCGAGGGGTGAAACCCACCGGGCCACCTCCAGATCGAGGATGTGCGCACGGTGATTGAACCGGCACTGCCAGCTCTTCACGCCCTTGCAACCGGGCTTCTGGCATATGTGGCCAGAATTGCACTTGATGGATCGGCAAGTCCCGCCCCAAGGGCAAGGGTGTTGGAGAACCATGAAACGCAGGACGTCGATGATCGAGTTGGAAACATCGCTGTGGTCATACGGGCAGCTCATGTCGCCACATTCTCCAGACAGATGATAGCTGTTACAGACCTTGTGCTCCTTGGCACGGCGGTGGTAGTCCTCCAAGGCATCCTTGGATGGTTGAGAGGTGTAGGCGTCGAGGCGATCGCCGTCTTTATTGATAGGAATGTACTCCTGCGATCTGAGATTCTGCGGTGGCAGCATGATGGAAAGATATTCCTGGGAGCGACCAACGATCGTCGGAGTAGACCACAGGGGTTTAGACGAATCCTCAGCTGGCTTAGAAGGCAACTGTTGATTCGGCATGATGTGTTGCTTGTTGCAAGTACTACCGAACTTGCAGATACCCTGAAGAACGACAATCAGTTTCAATATCAATGGACCCATTCAAGAATGCCATACCTTTTGATAGTGCTTACACACGGGCTTCGTACCATTCAAAGCATTGGAGGCCGCCTTGGTATTGATCGTGGGCGCGGGCTTACTGCCGTTGGTGGAAACGGGCAGGGTGGAGTTCAAGGGAGTAGACATGAACACCGAGGGCAGTTCCTTGATAGGCAAGTTCAGGTTTTCGAACTCGCGGTGAAAGGAGGCCGACTGGATAAGGGTGATACGGTCGCTTCTGCCTCTATATGGGGTCAACAGAGAGCCGTATCCGGTGTCGTGGCAGCCCGCGAAATAGATATGGCGGCATTGGTTGAGATCCACGAACAGACGAAACATTTCTGTGATGAGGGTGATTAGCATACCGAGCCTCCCACTGGAATCTATGTTCATCGACAGGCTCTCACCTCTAATCTTGAAATCACTGCCTTCCTTTTTCTCCGCGGCATCTACAAAATCAAAGAGTTCCTGGGCACGAGTAAAGGCCGAGGTGAAAGGCGACAGAGAGCGAGCCTCGTGCCCCACAAATCCAGCTCGAGCGAGCACCTTGGACAACCCCAGAAGATTTGCGTACACACGGACCATGATACGGCAATGGTCAGCCTGCATCCCCATGGTGGAGTGCATCAGCTCCCGGATCGAGTCACTAAGCTCGCGAGCCGCATTGATTCCGCCCTCGCTCCCAGCCTTGAGGAAATGCTCCTTGAACTAGGGTGTTGTTAGCACGGTCGCATGTGGCTCAGTGTAGCACAGCATCGTCTCACAAGGTATCCATCGCCGTCGACCAAAACCAGGACGAAAGGATTACGATCCTAGATCCTTGTTAGTCCAGAATTCTTGTGTGATCCATCGGGCACCTGCACTCGTACCTGGCCACGAGCCTGTCTCTTGTACTTCTCTCGTCCTTCCTTCACCTCCTCATAGTCGCTCTTCAGAGAAGTGTAGTCATCCAGAAGGTTGCGGAACTGCTCGAGCAGGTCCTGGAGATTGTCATGGTTCTTCTGGTTTTCGCGGGAGAGGGTTACGAGGTGACCGTTCAGGGAATCTATATCCGTGTCCCTCAGCATGGTGTCAGAGTTTGAGCTCGCGGAAAGGCATGTGCCTTTCCCAGAAGCCAGCTAGATCCAGTGCAGACTGTGGACATTCAATCCGGAAATGAAGGATGAAGAAAGTAGAATGATCAACAGGGTAATTTTTTTTCTCTTCAGTTTGGGCACTGGAGCTGGCGCGGAAAACAATTCGTAGCTACACGGTAGGCGGTGTGTACGCGTCAGGTGATATGCTTGCTTTGGTGGAGTCCTCTTTGATCTGCACTGTCAAGACTTCTTTGTTCTCTTTGAACTTCCGTTTCAATCTCTCTTTCACTCGTTTCGCAGCTGAAACCTTTTATTCAATTATTTTCACCTGGTGTGGCCTGCGTCGATACACATTTTCGTCAAGGAAGGGGCGGAAGCATACGCAGATCTACGAACTCGGGCACGACGCGCAGGATGGACTCGGAGGAATCGACAAATCCAAAATACCCCATTTTTTAAGCCTTGGCCATGCTGTGGTTTTGGTCAGCCTTTGAGCCCACAGTTGGGTAATGACTGCTACAATCTTACCTCAGACAGATCGGAAATGTGTTGGTCAGCGCCAAATCCGTGAAGCCAAAGACCCGATCAATATCCCCGAACTCTTTGTCCCGCAGTCCATGCATTTCGCACCGCCGGTCTCTTTGCCCAGTTCGACAGGGTGAAACGAAACCGAATTGCACCCGGCGGCCCATAGCCGCGGGTGGCCGCTTAGGGAGGGTGATGGTCTCTGGTCGCTGGTGTCAGGGCCACTCTAAGGTATCTGGAAGCGATCCGCTAGTTTTGGCCAAATTTTGCTCCAGGTAAAGGGGCAATCGTCGGCTCCATTGAAGCTCTCATTTTGAGCGTCGCCGGTCAGCACCATTCCGCCAAGCACCCATTTGCCTGGCCACTGGAGATCGACACAAACGTCTCCCATGTCGTCAGGTCACCGGGATACTCCAGTTTTTGATGAAGGTGCTTCTGCACAGTGGCATAGACTGCCAGCGGATAGCACAGGTTCATGGCTGCGTCTGGGACAGCCCCGGCAAGGTAGGATGGCCGGGTGTTCCACCGGATCTGATGCTTTCTCGTGAAAGCTTGCAGATAGTCTTCTTGATCGTAGTAGAAGTTGGGTCCGATCAAAGCCCGAGGATCGGATTCTCTTCCTGGGGAGAGATGGCTGGGCCGACATGCAGCCCATAGTACTTTGCGCCCAGCTGGAGCAGAATCCGCCGAGGAATGGTATTGTTCAGCTCAAGGCCCTCCAGGAAGTTTGAGAGTAGTTTTTTCTGAGACCATCTCCGTCAGTGGCACATTTGCCAGGTAGCCACTCGACCAGCCAGTCACTCCCAGTTGATCGTCACTTAACTCTTCTGCCGCGCCCTAGATTCCACCTCTATCCTTGGAAGTGGGCTGGATATAGGCGAAGAAGAAGATATAGTCTCTATAGACCCATCTCTCTGCTAACTACGCTACAACTTTCTTCGGTAGCTATAGTAGGTCTATCAATATATACTCGATATAAGTAGGCCACGTCCTATAGGGTAGTCGACGCGATAAAGTATAGATCTTCTTCTACCGACTAGGAGACTCACAAAGTACTTTTAGCTAAGAAGTGCCTAAAATGCCGTTGCTTCCAGTGACAATTCCCATGAGGCCTTTCACATGATCCGGGAAGACGGGCAGGCCGTGGTAGATCGACTTGGACTGGATTTGACGCGTTGTAGAGGCTCCGATATTGTAGATGTAGATACTACTATGCGGTTCAAGGTCTGTACTCCATTTGTTCAGCTTTACTTCATAACTCATTCTTTCCTGCGATGATTTCGGATCCAGACAGGGATCATGTTCTCTTCTTGACTGACGCATGGCTCGCACTGTTCTCGCTGATCAGAAGTACTACTTCAGCATTCAAGGACTTGACAACCCAGCATTCGAAGACGAGCTTTTACGCAATGATCCATTTAAATCAAATGCAAAAAGAACCCGTCATCCCGTACCATCCCCACGGCCCGATCGGATCTAAACCCATCGGGGTATGCAGGATGTTGCCAGAGATGGGCCCACTTCACTACGTAAGAGAAGCCCCTTGCAAGATTCTGGGGGACTCGGCTGTCGGACGAGCGGCCTGAACAATGCAATTTCCATACTCTACATGGTGATCCTGCTCCAGTCGGGCTGTGTTGCGTCCACCAATGGGTCGGGTTTGCTGGAGGCTTCAAGTGGGCCGCAGTCTGCCTGGCGGTACGCCTCCGCCACAGTAGGGATAACTGAACAATCAAATCGTTACGCCATTTGCCTCGATTTCGGCGCCAAAGAGGGTCGCATCATGTCATGTATGGGCATGACATTCCCTATCTCGGTACACGCAAAGCCACACCACACCCCGGAGCGGCCGGTGTACGCCGAACGTCGCGCTGTAATACCCCCGCACTCAGTGGCTACAGTACCTACACGCGTCTTGTCCGAGCTTCCTAGCGAGCGCGAGCGGACGCTGACCCCGTTCGCGCACGACTGCTTGGACCAGACAGCTTCTATTTGACTTGTATGTTGACCGAGCGGTTAGGGTAACGTGGCAGATCAACCCGCGGGCGGTGAGACCCCTTGGCCACTCAGCGGGGGAAAGCGCCATTCGGCGTGACGCTGATACATTCATACTACACCTCGTCGCTCTGGCGTTCCGTCGTACTCGCACCTTCCCAGCTGTTCTTTTCGCCATGGCTGCCCCAAGCGCCCCCTTTTCTGTGTCTGTCCCCTCTTCCCCTGATGAATCCACATCTGCATCCTCATCCTCCACAACTCATTCCAGTATGTCACTGGATCTCTCTCGGCGCACCAAAATTGCTGGTACCCAGCCAGATCAATTCCAGGCAATCAAAGAAAAGCTGGTCACGGAAGTCTTAAAAGGACACACAGGGTACTTGTGGTTGTCTGACGTTGCCGAAGACACATTCTACCAACTTAAGGGCGACACCTCACGAAGCACAAGACGCCTCCACTGCCTGTACGAGTTTGACGAGCACAAGCTCCGCGTCCGGATGCCCGAGAAAGTACACGACAGTCTCGCTGTCCAACTTGGTGTCCTGATTAATGACAAGCTGAGATCGGCTGGCCTACTTAACATTGCATGCGTCCCTAATATGTCTCCTACTATTACACTCGGCACCACTGCTGCTGAGCCAGATGGATGCTGGGGCCCTATCAACAGCGAGGGCTTTACAGTTGGCATTGAGGTTGGGAATTCCCAAAGTAGCACTGAACTCGTGCGCGACGCTCGACATTGGATTGAGCATGCCGAATCCTCCTTTCAGATCTGCATTGTTGTTGAGCTTAGCAACAATCGCAACACGATTACACTCTCTGTCTGGCGGCAAAATGATTACGCTAGTTCCGGCTCCCGGCTCCGTAGCAGACATATTTCTGCGATCAACACAGACACGGTGACTATCACTCGGAGATATCCCGATCCTGTGGTCCGTTTTGAAAATCCACTTTCGCCTACACTGGCATCGCCTGTACTTGAACAGTCCGAGATCCGACTTCCTATCGCGGCTTTTACTAGCTACCACCCTCCACCTGGTGTTCATGTCAACTTTGGGGATAGTATTATCCTAACAAAAGAAGACTTGATCCAATATGGGAGACTGCACTGGATTCCGGGGAATGGTTACTGGTGATAATAGCGGCGTACTCTACTCCCGCTCCCCTCTTGCTCTTTGTGTTATTGCTCTAGGCTCTATCTGTATACGATGCTTATCTTAATACGTTTGACGGGTTGCTTATAACAATAGTTTAAGACAGGTTTGAACGGCCCAGCACGGCCTTGACGGAATCCGAGTAACCTGCGTGTCCTGGGATGGCGTATACGCCGATGTCGAACCACGGGACATCAATCCTTACAATCTACGCCCATTTGCGAACCAGAACGCGGTGTTCGGACGCCGCTTCAGATTCGCGTCGAACGGCAGTCTCCAACCGATCTTGTCGCCCCCTATTCCATTCCACACGCTGACGCTCGACTTCGTGCCTGGGCTGCTGGCGTCTAAGTCATCTGCGTCCAAGGACACCTACAACCCCGTCGCCTTTGTTACCTGCAAGTTCACAAAACGCCTCCGCGCCATGCCTGGCAAAGTAACCTGGTCCGGTGCGGATTGGGTAGTGCCCGTGTTTCGCCTCCTGTAATCTACAGACGAGGGTATACTATCAGTATAGATCTCCGACCGCGATAAAAAGTTTATATAGGGCTTTTAGCGGATCTTATTTATAGCGCTATATATATTATTAATATACTCCGCTACATACTATCTATAGACTAACGGCTAATCTAAGCGTATATACTAAATAGTAGAAATCTTGTTATAGTACTAGAGAGCGACGTACCTGAATATACTATAGCCTAACGCCTAATCTATATTAACTATATCGCTTAATAGCCCCGTAAGCGTATCCACCTAACAGACTCTATATAACTTATTGTTCAGTTTCAATCTGCGTATGCCATCGGACCTATTACACGCCGCCTTATCCCTAGTACGTAACGAGGCAGCTAGACAAGACGCCTAGGAGTTCCTGAACGCCATCAACCTAAGCACTTCGCTGTAGGTGATCACGTTCTGCTACCTTTGTAGAAGGGCTACAATATCCCGGAAAACAAGCTGCTCTCTAAGAAGCTTGGGTAGCAATACGCGGGCCGATTCAAAGTGCTTGAACGTATCGGCTAGATTTGTCCCTCTTTTGGAAGATACACTTAATCATCAGCATCGAACACCTCAAACCTGCCCTAGACGATCCCTATAGTCGCGAATCTACCGGCCTAGTACTGACACTTGACCCCCGATTTCCGTAAGATAGTAACCGCCACGACATCGACCAAGTCCTTGATAAGCGTATTTATCTCTTCGGCCGCTATAGGAAACAGGTACGACAGTATCTCATCAGATGGAAAAACGCCGGCCCTAAGCACGACGAATAGGTCAGAGAAGAGGACGCTGTGGGCGCTAAAGAGAAGATCGAAGAGTTTGAACTAAACGCTGCCAGAGTTTAATCTCACTCTCACCCACACCTAAACCTCGATCTCACCTATACCTAAGCCTTACTCCCCGTTCTTCTGACACTCACTTCTCTCTTACTTCCGAATCACCACTCCCTATATCTGTATTCCTGCACTGTTACAGTCATTTGGATACCTGATATTTTCACACTTCTCTCACTTCCACGCCACCCACTCCTCGGGCTCTCACACCTCGAGGAGCTGGCAAAAGAGAATCGTCTGCTTCTGGCACACTTGAAACACGCTATCCGTACCGGGGATTGCCCACGATTGCCTACACGGTACCGGGAGGAGGAATCGGCGCTGCTACGGGAGCGTGCTGACAGAGGGTCAGAGGTGCCGATGTTCCGGAACGAGCTGGGATGGTTCTGGATGGGGCGGAGATGGCAGATGGCAGTGGTGCCCGGTCACCCGCGAAGTGGCAACCTGGGGACGGTGCAGGTCAGACCCCAGTTATCAAGAATGGCCACCCAGCCCTGGAGTCTATGGCCTCATGGAAGCTACTTGTCGACGTGGACATGGACCTCGGCGCCCTGACCGGAAACAAAGACAAGAAGATTTCCCCCTGGGAGCCGAAGTTTGTGCGTCTGACCGATATTGGCGTCGTTTTGGCTATTATTTTCCTCTCGGCACAGTACCGCCGTGACTACCTCTCTTGGGACTTCGACGCAAAAGGAAACATCCGGTCCAGCCGTGTCCCCAAGGCACCGGCGCCTATCGCCTGGTATCACGGATTGCCCACTTCCTCGTGGTGAAGGGCTCCTACATTCTTTGCGGCGATGACTGGCAGCACGCCGGCTGGCTCCTGGCGGATATACCCCGCGGAGGAGAACAGATCTTCGGTATCGGTCAGGTCCTCGCGCCCGCCCAGACCGCCAAAGCGACAGCACTGGAGTTTTTCTGTGTCGGTCAAAACGGCGTCTGGAACTGCGACCCGCCTAACACAATCTGGACCTACGCCCGACAGATCACCGGCATCGCGATCAGAGGATCGATGAACTGGGACTGGCGACAGCTGGTGCTGCGCAAGGACGCCGCCGGTACTTACGAATGGGCTTCTCAGAGAGGATTTTAGATTCGGCCTGACCCGAAGTCGAGATGTCGCACACCAGCGTACAGCATGGTCTGCAAAGCACGAGATGTGGATGTCCAGAAAGCCACCAACCTTGTGTATAAAAAGACATACAAGGAATGGCGTCTCCATGATCTCCAGCTCCAGCGCCGCGTCCTAGCGGCCCCTCCCCGGAAGCGGCAGTATCGTTCTAATACAACGGGGCCTCAGAAGCGAGCAAAACACGCCAAGGACATCATCCCTGACGCTTGCGACCCTAAGAACAATACCGCACGTGGGCTCGACCTCGAGGAAGGTCAGCTCGAGGAGGATCCTGAGTATTGCGCTATCGGTCGAGTTTCGCAGAAGACAATACGCGAGAAGATGTTGAAGGACCTCATTTACCCCGGTCCCAAAGACATCGACGTTACCTACCTCCGGCATATGCAGGAGATCGTCGATTTCGACTCTTCTCAGAGTGGCGTACTCGGAGTCATCAGTCGCTGCCGCGTTCCCTTCAACGCGATGAAGGATAATCCACTCGTTGGGCGCGTACTGCGTACAAACCTAACCACAGAGGTGCTGGACGCAGTCAGTAACCTACTCCACAATACATCGGAGGAAGTCAAGGATATCTTCCTACTTATTAAGTCTGACGCCGACCGCGACCACATGCGCGATATTATTTCTTACAACAACGCTATATGGAGTACTTAAGGCAACTCGCCGCACAGTTGGCCGAGAAGAACGTCTGCAGGACCCTCGGTAGTCTGGCGGATTACTTCGTCAACGGCACCAAAGCCCGGTACGGTGTCATCGACCCTATCGATCAGATAGAAGCCGACAAGGTCGCCGACAAGGTCGCCGAGTACGAGACTGACTCGAACGACAACGATAGCAATGCATCCGGAAGCACAACCGACACCAAGGAACAAGCCACCACTGACGCAGACGCTGGCAAGCCCGTCACTGACAGCACTGAGCCCGGCGTTAATCCCAGTACTACTACTACCAACACCGGGACCCAAAACGACGACGCCAAGGCCAAGGCCACCATCACTGCGACCGAGGACACCGAGATTCCTATCGACGACGCTGACGACTCTGACCTCGCGACGCTAACTCTATCCGCGGCAGATTATGACCCCTAGGTCACATAACGCCATGCCGTAGGTATTTACCATACGCAGATTACAATGCATCATCTTACATTTTCTTTCCTCTCTCCTGCCGGCGTCCCACATTTATGAGGCAAAGTTGGCCGGGATTGGCATCTAAGCCCATGTGAAAAAGGGTTGATGATCGACAGCCGGCAGCGGTCGGCTCCATTAGTTAATAACGTGAAAAAGATGAATAATGAAGAGAATTGTGGTTCGCTCCACAGCTATGAAACCTCGGCTTGTGCCATATGATAGTAGGTGAACAAACTATATAAATCGCACGCGGTAGCCCCCCGCATTGCGATCAATTGGCCGAATCCACCTTCGACAACAACACTTCACACACCAAACCATGAAGCTTCTGCTCTTCTCGTTGAGCGCGGTCGTGCTCTACGCCATTTTCTATTTCTCGTACACGAATGGCCTCCACGAGATGGCTCACAAGGCACTCGAGTCCGGCAAGCTGCCGGGGACCAACGAGCCCCTGCGCACAGTCTACACGGGCTTCGAGCCCGTGGATCATCTCCTGGCCGTGCTGACCACCTTCTTCTACCCGTCGCTGGATGGGCAGAACCCCACGCTGCTGTTACACAGCATCGGATTCTCCGGCACATTCGGCGCAGCGTGGACTTTGGTTGTACTGGAGGCGTGGAGAAAAGGCAATGCCGGAACAATCGTTGCCTAGTAAGTTGACCCTTTTTCATGTTATTCTGATTTATCATATTCTAGCATCTTTGCAATTGCATTGCGCAATTTTTATTAAGAACATGACCGGGCATCCAGGCTAACTATATCTACAGCCCTCTTCTCTTCGGTCTCATCGCCCAGGTAATGACATTTGCATTTGCGACGCCGTTAATCTGCGGCCTGCAACTCGGTCGCTCCATTACCGCGCGCCGTCCACATGCCGACAACATCCGCATCCCACGGGCTGTTCTCGCGGCTCTGCCTCTGATCTTCATCATCGCCTTCATGGTCCCCACGCATCTAATGGTGCTGCCCGCGCCGGCCGTGCTCTCGGTAGATCTGAAACAGATCGCCATCGCCATCTGGCAGCCATGGCCCGCCTATGTGTCGATCCTGGCCACACTGGCCTATTTCATTTTGGCGCCTTTCTTCCCGAACAACCACCGTGCGTCCATGTCGAGTCTGCGATGGGTGTATGCTTTCGCGTTCACCAATGCGGCCCTGACGCATTTGGTCTCGTGGATTCTCTCGCTGGCTACCGTGCTGGTGCCGTTTCTGTTTGAGGACCGCTTCCTTGATGCTCTGCACCCGTCCAAGGTGTTTGCTATTCCGCTCCCGTGGTCGGGGCTGAGGGTTGACTCGGTGGGCGATGGTGTGCATGTCTTCCTGCGCTGGGATTACTTGATTGGGTCTGCTGGTGTCTTGGTTTGGGCGTTGGCTCTGCACACGGTTGCTCACAAGCAGATCCTGAGCACTGTCTCTTACACTGGTCTGCTGATCAAGGTTGCTTTGCTCTCTCTTGTTGCGGGGCCGACAGGTGCTGCTGTGGAATTGATCTGGGAGAGGGACGAGCTGGTGTTCAATGAAACTGGGAACACAAGACAGCAAGTTACCAAGACGAACAAGTCGTCATAATTTGTGGCAAGGCTATTTGAAGTTGCCCACTTGCCCACTTTTGCTTCCAGCACGAGGATCTGAACACACGAATATGCCTGAGGAACAAGCACGATTTCTCGGCATGATGTATATCAACAAGCAAACCAGTTGCGCTGATTTGAATATCCAAAATCGACTACAGTTCATCAATATTTCAAACAAATCTCTTTGTTCTCGACGTAGGTTTTTATAGACAAATGCCTTCGTTCAATTGAATATTCATATCACGCCACAGGGCGCGGCAGGGCATTTACAGCCTCATAAATAGCCTGACCGTAAACTGCGGTTCTCTCATTCCCCAGTGTGCCGGACTCCATCTTGTTCATGACATACGAGATAGTCATGCGGTGGTCCAAATCCATGACACTTTGATGTTCACCTTTCCATTGATACCGAACTCGGGCCAGTATGTCGATACCTTCTCGTTGGGATCTAGCAGTCCGCGGTCTATGAGGATCACCACCGCCAGGCTGGTCACTACCTTGGAGCAGGACCAGGCCACCGTCACTGTGTATTCTTTCCAGGGACGAGAGCGTGCGACGTCGGTGTAGCCGCCCCATAGATCGATGACGTTCTTTCCATCGATGTTGACGCAGATCGAGGCACCTAATTCGGTCTCCTGCTTGAGTTGTTGTTCCAGCGCCTCGCGGACTGAGCTGAAAGTAGGATCGCAGTAGCCGTTGGTTTTGGCCATGAGGGGTCTGATACAATAAGCTGTGGGCTGATCAACGGGTGTGTTTAAACAACGGTCGGTGATAATCCACCAAGTGAATTTAGTGTGGGTTGACAGTTGAAACATTATCCTGTGCTCTTTACATAATTGAGAGATTGACAGGCCGATGGCAATCTCCAGCGTGGCCACTGCCAGCATGGCCAGTGTAACTGTCTTGACTCGCAAACACTCCCAGTCATGGAGCGTCGGGGTTATCATGGCCAACAATAGTCATCTGCCTCGGTCGATTTGCACCATCTCGCTGACGGATCAACATTGCCAGGGATGACGAGTCGAATCGGCGCTTTTTAAGACCGATGGGTCTCCGATCGGAAGGAATCTCCAACGCGGGGAGTTAAAACCACCCGATGTTCCTTATAAATCTGGCAGCAGTGAGGATTGAGTCCCAAATGAACAATTACAGGGTGACTCCAGTCTTCTCAACGGAGAAAACATCGAGCCCGGCATAGGAAGTGCACGCTTCAGCAATGCCTCGGACATGGTTTCTCCCGGAAGTCAGTCCCTTGGACGAGGGCGCGGATCAACCGGGGAAGAGACCACTCGATGACGCCGTCGACAGCCCATTGGGAGCGATGAGAATAGCAGCCCACCCACCAGGTACCGGGGCTTCCGCGACCGCCGAGTTCAAATACGCGTCGGTGATGCCATCCAAACAACTCACCCCTAGACAGGATATTTGAGGTATTCTTTATCACCATGGAGCCCAGTAGCTCCTCCGTGCATAGTCCCAATGACATGAGCTCGAGTGAAAGTGATGCGCTGAGTACCATCCCCACAAGCCGCGATCGTCGCGGATCTGAAGACAATGCTATTCACCCGGAGACTATCAGCCGTCGCCAATCCAATCTCAACGAGGTCGAGCTGGAACGCATCAACACCTACCGCCTGCAGCACCGCTCCACTGTAGGCTCGGGCCCAGGACCTCTGCCGCGCGAAAAATGGCTGCCTCTCGGCGCCGGCAAGCCCTATCCTCCCTCGTTGCCGGATCCCGAGCAGTTCGTCGTGGAGTTCACCGACGCCAATGATCCGCTGCATCCGCAGAATTGGGCGTTGTCGCACAAGGTGCTGCTGTCGGTGGTGCTGGCCTACACGACGTTTGTCTCATCGTTTGCCAGCGCTATCTACTCGTCGGCTGTCAGCGAAATCGGCCCGCATTTTCATATCAGCACCGAAGTGGCCATCCTTGGCGTCACTCTGTATGTCTTGGGTTTTGCCTCGGGTCCGACTGTCTGGGCACCCGCCAGTGAGCTGATCGGAAGACGATGGCCCATCTGCGTTGGCGTATTCGGCTATTCCATCTTCACAATTGCGACCGCTACCAGCAAGGACGTGCAGACTCTGATGCTGACCCGTTTCTTTGCTGGGTTTTTTGCGGCCAGCCCGATCGCTATTGTTCCGGCGGTATTCGCGGATATCTGGAACAACCAGACTCGCGGCGTGGCCATCGCCATGTTTGCCATGGCGGTGTTTGTGGGCCCCTTTGCGTCGCCTTTTACTGGCGGGTTCATCACGATGTCATACCTGGGCTGGCGATGGACGATGTACATTGCGGCGATCATGGGATTTCTGGCCGCAGGGCTGTGCTTTTTGTTTTTGAGAGAGACATATGCCCCAGCGATTCTCGTGGAAAAGGCAGTCACGCTGCGACGGCAGACCCATAACTGGGGAATCCGCGCTCGACAGGAGGAAGTCGAGCTGGATTGGGAGGAGCTGATCACAAACAATTTCAGCCGGCCATTCCGCATGCTGTTTACCGAGCCCATTGTGTTTCTGGTAAAAGAATTGCCCTTATTTGCAGTCACGGTCCTGAGCTAACGTTCTCCCCCAGATTTCTCTCTGGATGAGCTTTGTATATGGCTTGATGTATGCCCTTCTCAGCGCCTACCCAGTCGTGTTCCAAGGAATCCACGGCATGAACCTGGGTGTCGGGAGTCTCCCTTTTATCGGTCTGATCATCGGAGAACTTTTGGCTGGCGCATACATTTTGCTGGACCAAAAGTCGTATACCAGAAAACTAGCCGCCAACAACAATATCCCAATCCCCGAGTGGCGTCTTCCACCGTCAATTCTCGGAGGGGTATGTTTCGCAGTCGGTCTGTTCTGGTACGGCTGGACCGGATGGACGAACTCCATCCATTGGATGGCACCGACCGCCAGCGGGGTGGTGACGGGATTCGGGATCTATGTGATTTTCTTGCAGTGCTTCAACTACCTGATTGACTCGTACCTGACACTGTAAGTATACCATATTGTCCTCTTGGTGGTGACCTAGAGTATTTATTCTGTCGATGCTGACTTTAAATCAACCAGTGCGGCTTCGGTCTTTGCGGCAAACACTATCATCCGATCCGCCGTCGGCGCAGCCTTCCCTCTGTTCTCTCGGCAGATGTTTGTCAATCTCGGCGTGCAGTGGGCTGGCACGCTTCTTGGATGTCTTGCTGCTATCATGGTGCCAATTCCGCTAGCGTTTATTAAATGGGGGCCCGCTTTGAGGAAGAAGTCCAAGTTTGCGCCCACCTTTGGGCCACTGGCGACGGCACCGACGGAGAAAGAGCCACGTGCATCTGTTTAGATCGATGAATGTTTTGAGTTCAGAACACATATACTGCATGCCTGTTTCATAACATCCAAGTAGATCTATTTTTTTTTTTCTTTTTTTTTCTTTCGTAAAAAGTACAGAGAATCGAGCCATCAAGTCACATGTCCGAAGTAGCCCTCAAAAACACCCTCGAGTCAGACCCTCCACACCCTTCTCGATCTTGCAGCCAAGTCAATTGGGGGAGATAAGCGAGGACCATCGGTTCCTGCCGATTCAGGGTACAGGTATGATTGGGATGCTACCCTCGAGAGCAAAACCAAGGAATTTGGTCAATTGGATAACACCGATGGTCAGTGTCAACACAAAATAACCCTGCCTCACGCCACGGAATAGCACTGCTGGTTGATCCAGTCACAAATAAATGTGATATCTCAAGCGATGACGATCTCACTAGACCATCGGAGGAGACCTGGGCTCATCTAGACTCGGCAGCGGCCGAATTCCTCATACTCTCCTCATACTCCCCATTACCCCAGATATAGTCCACCGGAGCACAAACACATCCGAATCACGTCGGCTTTCTCCGGTGCTTATCATGCACCCATGCAAGACAGGTGCAAGACAGCCCGTCAATGATAAGATAGAAGCAAGATAGAACCTCCCGAGAGAGGGAAAGCGTCTTGGCGTTTCACGATGGAATCCGCACGGGTGGGACTCTGCAAGGGGCGCTATTTCGGTATGGACGTTTGTTGAACATGTTCACATACCTCTCTCTATCCTTGGTAGTCGATATCCATCTGGTTGGAATGTCAGTTCTCACTTTGTCACTCTGTCACACAGTGGATATCGAGTTGCCGAGCCCAAACCCATGGACATCTCGGCAACGCCACAGCCAATTGCTCCAACGGAGCGTTTCCCCACCAGGGCAAAGCGGAGATGCAAAAGTGGGCGCGCATTTTTTTTCCTCTTCTTTGCTTATCAGACGAGCCTGGTTGGCTGAGCTTCGGCCCTTTTTTTTTACCTCGCGTGTGCGAAGGTCTTTAAATACTGCCATTTCCACGTAGTTGCTTGTACACTTGACTTTTTTTTTTTTCCCGTCGATTTTGGCGTTGTCATTCTTGTCCTCAGGACAGTCATGGGCCTCAACAACTGGATCCATGATACCAACCTGCGGGTTGCGCGCAGCCCCGTGGGGAGGTGGTTTCGTCTCGAGAACTCTGGCCATGTGAGTGTTTTCCCTATTGGGTAGACAGGGTTGTGCAGTTGGGATAAACAATGGGCAGCGACTGACATTTCACTCTCCTAGGCGAAGGAACGCAAAGGCAGTTTCTTCTTCACTGAGCTGCGCGGCGGTCTGGCCACCTTCTTCGCCATGGCCTACATCATCTCCGTGAACAGCAACATTACCTCGGAGACGGGCGGGACATGCGTGTGTCCCCCGGAGGGCCTGGCAGACAACTGTGCGACCAACTCCGAATACCTGCTCTGCGTGCAGGAAGTCAAGCGCGATATCGTAACCGCCACCGCCGCGATCGCCGCTCTGTCGACCTTCTGCATGGGTCTGTTCGCCAACCTGCCGATCGCGCTCGCGCCGGGCATGGGCTTGAACGCCTATTTCGCATACACGGTGGTGGGCGTACACGGCAACGGCATGATCCCGTACCGGGTGGCCCTAACCGCGGTATTCGTCGAGGGATGGGTGTTCCTGGGCCTGACGCTGATCGGGATGCGACAATGGCTGGCGCGTGCTCTGCCAGCGTCAATTAAGCTGGCGACCGGTGTCGGCATTGGACTGTACCTCGCGCTCATCGGTCTCACGTATAGCGCGGGCATTGGGTTGGTGCAGGGCGGTTCCGACAGTCCGATTGAGCTGGCCGGGTGTGCGTCGCAGTACATTGACTCCGACACGGGCTCGTGTCTGAGCAGCCAGAAGATGCGCAGTGCCACGATGTGGGTGGGCATCTTCTGTGGCGGCATTATGACGGCCCTGTTGATGATGTACCGCATCAAGGGCGCGGTGATTTTCGGGATCTTGCTTGTTTCCATCATCTCTTGGCCGCGAACCACGCCGGTCACCTATTTTCCGTATACGGAGCTGGGGACAAGCATGTTCGACTTTTTCAAGAAGGTGGTCACTTTCCATCCCATCACGCACACTCTGAATGTCCAGCAATGGGATATCTCTGGTCATGGCGGCCAGTTCGGACTGGCGTTCATCACGTTCTTGGTATGTCGCATTCTCTGTCATCTTTGTGTATGTCGACTGACCCGCTTGTCTAGTATGTCGATATCCTGGATACTACAGGTACCATGTACTCAATGGCCCGGTTTGCCGGTGCCATCGATGAGAAGACGCAAGATTTCGAAGGAAGCGCCATAGCCTATGTAATCACCCAACAGACCTAGTTGCTCTCATGCTTCCCGCTAACGCAGTTCAGATGGTCGACGCCATTTCCATCTCGATTGGCTCCCTGATGGGCACGCCGCCCGTAACCGCATTCGTTGAATCTGGCGCCGGTATCTCAGAAGGCGGCAAAACAGGCCTCACCTCCTGCACGACCGGCATCGCGTTCTTCATCGCCGTGTTCTTCGCCCCGATCTTCGCATCCATCCCACCCTGGGCCACCGGCTGCACCCTTGTGATCGTCGGCGCACTCATGGCCAAGGCAGCAACGGACATCAACTGGCGCTACTACGGCGACGCGATCCCCGCGTTCCTGACCATCGCCATCATGCCCTTCACCTACAGCATCGCATACGGGCTCATCGCCGGCATCCTGAGCTATATCACCCTGAACACGATCGCATGGGGTCTTGAGAAACTCAGCGGCGGCCGCATTGTCCCACCCAACAAGGACGAGTCGGATCCGTGGTCGTGGAAGGTGCCCGGCGGCTTTCTGCCGCCGTGGGTCAAGCGCGCCGCGCATGGGAAGAAGGATTTCTGGCGCGCCGATGAGGAGAGCCACGGCGTGGCGGAATCGGAGTCTTTCGGGTCGTCGCAGGAGCGGGTTGCCCTTGAGAAGGGCCAGGGCCGTGATGAATCTGTTCCCCCCAAGGCTGTATGAGTTCTGAGCGGATGGTCGCATGATGCTTACGCATGTTTATCTTTATCCTGGTATATAATGTGTTTATACATATCTGTTTCTGTGTTATTCGGTTCCCTATTGGCATAGCATTCCAGCGAAACTTGAACTTTTTTTCTTTCTTTCTTCCTATGCCATCGCCTTATCTCCGACACGATTCATCAGGCGGTCCCACACGTCTTGATTTATAATGCAGAGCCTCGTGGACCCAAGTCCTCCCACATGCCTCACGTAGAGTGCATCCATCCATGAATAGATGAAGGAGTAGAAGGAATTGATGTGTCATGTTCTGCGAGGTGCACGGATATTATATCCAGGGGTCTACAAAGGTCCATTCAGCAGGGTATCGGGGGGATCCCGATCCTGTAAGTACCGAATGAGTGGCGTACAGCGGCTAGATCGCTAGATTATCTCATGGTCACAAGTGATCCTATGGTGGATATGTAGTGACAAGGGCTACAGCAGAGATATGAGATATTAATAAAGTAATGAGTTGAGAATGTACACCGCCACATTCCTCATGTCATGGATCTATGCAGCAATATCCCATGTGTGTATACAGTAGCAGGAAGTTCCAATGCAGCAGATGCCGGGGATAACAACACACAAGTGCTCGAACGGGATGGGTGCAGGAGTATAGGACGGTGTGGAGTCGACAGGCGGGTCATGTTTTGAATCCCACTACTCCCACTACCGGGGGTTAATGAGGAAACATATGCAAGTATAGTACACTCTTGGAGTATAGTGTTTAAAGATAGTCAGTCACCTCTCTACACTGTTAGTAAACAAGTAAACAAGTAAACAGATAGTATATATAGGTCGTGTAGAAATATGGTAATAAGGTAAATAGTTCCCGAGGCTAAATAGTAATGTGTGAACGGGGTACTTTTGACACCAGTTTGGCCGGAGAGTATTTCCGAGTCTTTCCTTGTGTGCCGAATGCTGTCTTCCTTTGCAGCCTATCGGGTGTATTAGAAGAATGACGATCGTACTGAGGGGGGGGGGGCCTCGCGTCGCTACTCGCTACGGAGATGCGACCCATTGCAGATCGGGCCGTGCTCGTGTTCTCGGGGTTAACGAAATTTATATTAATATGAATATGAATATGAATATCAGTTATAGCCATAGAAGAAAGAATCCATATCCACTGTAGTACATTCGATAGATCAAGTATCAAGACAGTACCTATTTTATATGTATAAGTGATATCACCTCCTGCGAATGACAGGACCAAGTTGTGTGTATAGCTAGGCGTGATCGGCAATACTCGATTTGCGGCGAGAGCAAACCCACCCCACCCCACGATGTGCTCTCTCCAGTTGCCCGTCACGCAAGCAGTATCGAATCATCCCTGTTGGAATGGCGGTGCCAAGATCTCAAAATTGTGCAATGAAGGTCCCGGAGAAGTAAATGACAAAAATACTAATCACAAATAACAATAATCCCTGCAACCCTCCATTATTGCTGATATTTCCGCGGAGCTTCTTCTGAACTAATGCAGCTGGTTTGGGAGAGAAGAGACCAGTGGCTCTTTTCTCTCCCCCTGCCCCCCTCATCTCAGGGCCTGCCTTGGAAAGGAACAAAATAAGAAGACGAAAAGAAACAAAGTGTGTTCGACACATGTCTAAACTCAAATCAACTCCGTTGTGTCTTTCAGTAGTATCGCCGACACCAATGGCAATGCAGTATACATGCCGATGTTGGACGTGGATAGAGGCATCCAGGGACATGGAAGAAACACCCGGACCCGCATTCAACGAAAAGGGCTTATATGATTTCCGATCAAGAAATCGATTATGGTCGAGATCTGCTGCGTGGCCCCTTTTCTGCGCTAAAAAAAAGGAAAGAAGAATCATGAGGGGGGACACTAGTTTGTCGGCACTGCAGAGAAAATCGCGCCCAGCCGCATCGCACTCCGTGCGTTGGTACTTTCTCTTCCATACTTGCGGGGTCTGCTGGTTTTGATAGCGTTGTTTGGCAACTTAATCTCGCTGTCAGAGGGGGAAGATAGCTCCGGTCAGACCAAGAAACAAAGAAAAGAAAAGAAATCCCGCTGGAAGGAGACTTTATTATCTCCGTGGGGGGTGTTTTTCAACCCGACTACCACCACGCCCACGCACACCCGCCATGGAATAGCATCGACTCGGTTCTTTTGAGCTATTGAAATTGTGCAAATGGCTGATACTCCTCTTCGGTCGCAGGAGTCGTCGTCCGATGACTCGCCCAACTTGCCCGATGGGCCCAAGGCCGCGCGAAGGAGAAATGTGCGCACGGCCTGTACCGCGTGCAAGCGGCGAAAGTTGAAGGTATGAAATCCCTACAACCCGTGGGCCACAACCCCAAGTGCGAAATGCACCATTCAACCAGAGAAACGACGTTGAGACAATATATTTCTTGTACGACAGTGCTCGGGCCAGGTGCCATGCCAGAATTGTGACAAAAATGGCTCCACCTGCACCATCGACGAGGCCACCGACCAGCGGCGGAAACAAGTCCTGAAGCGCAAGATGGAGACCCTCGAAGGGAAAGGGGAGCTCCTCGACCGCTTGTTCATGGTGATGCAGGAGGCCGATGCCGTCTGTGCGGCGCAGACAATGAACCTCATTCGCAGCCATGCATCCCTAGATGAGATCCGCGCGTATGTCGATGACTTGCTCGATCGCTCGCGGCTCGAGAAAACCCCCGAACTCCTCGATGTCTGTAATGATTTTCACCGACTGCAGGAATCCGAGCAGAAATCAGCTCGCCCGAAGCTGGAGCGCAAGCAGCTGTCGGATATCGTTCTCTTTCGGGTTCCGGCGCGCCCGTGGACGACGGTGAGCATTGACGATGACTTTGTGTCGCATTTGATTTCGCTGTGGTTTACGTGGTCGCATCCGTTTCTGAACTGGATTGATCGTGATCTTTTTCTGAGAGATATGCAGTCGGGGGACTTGGAGTCGACGTTTTGCTCGCCATTCCTCGTGAATATTATTTTGGCGGATGCCTGTGTAAGTTGTCTTTTCCCATGAATTCCTGCCACTTGAACAGCCTCGCTGATTATAAACAGGCATACTCAGACTACCCCGAGGCATACGGGGTAGCAGCCGAGCAATGGTCTCGAGGAATCCATTTCTACAAAGAGGCCAAGCGCCATCTGGACAGGGAAGATGGCCGCGTGACTCTTGCAAATGTCCAAGGACTGGGCGTTTTATACGTCTGGTGAGTTGCCACAAGCAAAAGCCACGGAGCATGCCATTAATCACCCATAGTTCTTGTATGATGGGAAAAGACCGAAGTGGCTGGATCTACCACAGCCAGCTCACATATGCCGTGCAAGAACTCTGTCATAAACCCAAACCTCCAATGGACACCGAAGAGGACAGAGCACAGTGGGAGAGGGCAGTCGAGAATGCCATCTGGGGGCTATTCAATCTTGCCTCGTAAGGACTTGACACTTCCTTTTGCACTGATGTGTCTCAACCCTGCAAAATTCCGTTTCCTTACTTTTGTTATAGGATGACCGCCCTGGCATACCAAAAGGTTGCTCAAATACAAGTTCCACGACGTTCCTACTCACCACTGGCCAACTGCGACCTCCATCGAGACAAATGGACCCATTACCCCCTCAGTCCGGAGGGCATCAAGTCCCATTGCGGGTGTCTAGTCAAAGCACTCTGCGACATCAGCCAGATTACATACGATTTAAGCTGGCTATTGTTCGGCGACAAAGACCGCAAACTCGACACCGCGTTTGCGCAGGCAACCGAGGATGCCCATTCGCGGCTAAATCGATGGTATCAAGAATTACCAAAGTGTCTTGGGACGAGGAATGCTCCGCCACATGTGTTGAGTCTACAGTGCGTGCTATTACTCCAAAGCTTCATTCCCCAGATACGAGACTGACACTCCCGATTAGTCTCAAATACCACACCATCATCCAAACAATCTTCGGGTTTGTGAAAGGTCTCCCCAAAGCCGAAGACGAAAACAGCAACACCCTACAAAAAACCCGCCAAAAAGCCCGAGAACTCTGCCTCGCCGCCGCACAGGAAAACGCCCATCTGATCGACCTGTACCGCGACCTATGGAGTCTGGACTACATGCCACCGGTCAACATTCACTGGGTGACTGTATCGATGTTCACGCTTCTCGAAAGCCTGGACGACCCAAGCAACCACGAGGCCTTCGTCAGCCTCAGCATCGCCGCCAAGGCCTTCTCGCACCGCTGGCCGCTGGGCAAGGGGATGCTACGGTTAATTCAGGTTACGTCGAAACAGATGAGTGTGACGCTGCCACCAGAAACAGACGCGCTCTTCTCCTATTTCGAGATGCGGCTCTGGAAGAGCCGCGACCGCATGGCGTTCAGTAGCCAGTACCCCAATTTTGCGCACTCGATGAAACATGGCAATGTCGAGGATGTCGAGCTCGATTTGTTTTTGGAGAAGTTTGATGACTTGCATCTCGCGTCTGATCGGGAGACTTCTGAGGAGCGGTCTGATGAGCAGCAGAATAATGGAATTTCTGCTGGACTGGAGGTTGGGTCGGTGGAGACTGAGGCTTTGTTTTCTCATTCGCTTGATTAGAAAGGAGATGGTCTAATTGCTGTGTGATACTATTTACGAATCTTTTTGGCAGGATTAATTTTATTGAGATGAAGAAGTGATGTGAAGAAAAGCCATATTATTGAATACTATTGGTTCATACTTCTGTAAAGAACATCCCTGCTTCACATATCAAATGTTGCATCTCCATCCTCCATCCTATCCACTGTTTCACTGTTTCGGTTTTCATCTCTCGTCATTCCGCAGGTGATTGGGTATTGATTCGACGCAAGCAAGCAAGAAAGAAAAATGGAGACAAGAGAAAAGGGGAAAGAATCCAGACAGGGCCTGCGCTATGCACAGCCAGCAATCCAAGACAGAGCTCCATGCGACCTGGAGATATCCATTTTTTTTTTGGTCTTTTTTTCGTTCTGCGTTGGTTGAAAACATATCTGAAGGCGACCGTCGTAATTCATGACCTCGATGGCGACTGTCACAAGAGCACAACTACTCCGTTGTCTCGTAGCTCTCCTTCTCGGCCTTTCGCTTCATCCATCGGCGGTAGAGGAAGAGCGAGATAACGCCCACCCCAACAATGAAGACAATGCAGAAGACCAGAATCACACCGGGGTTCTTGCTGGCCCAGTTGCTTCGCTTGACGAGTGGGGAGATGTGGGGGGAGTGGGATCGGTCGATGAAGTTGATGGCAGGCATGGTGTGTTGTTAATGAGGGTGACTTTGAGATACTATTCGGAGGATTAGCAAAAGTCCATTCTATTACTCGCATAAGCCCTGCAGAAAAAGGGAGAGAAAGCAAGCTCACTGATTTTGTCTTGCTTTCACAGCTCCGGATCAAGGTATATCGACACCTACACCGAGGCGTCAATACGCGACCTATTAGTTTTGATTCTTGGAAGAAATGTGCAACAAGACGGGTTCTTCACGGTAGAAAAGAAAGGAACAAGACTCTTCCACACAGGAAATAACATGGGAGGAACAGAAAAGCGTGAGAATACGGGAAGGAACGTACGGTGACACCAGAGAATCTCACGATGTTTGCAGGCAGACAAGAAGCTTGGAGAGAGAAGATAAGAGAAGAACGCCAATCACCGCGCTAATTTTGCTTAACTATCGGAAGAAAAACGGGAGAAGTTGGTGATGAGAAAATGTTGTTTCTTTTCGTAGGCAAGATAGACAAAGCTTCGGCAGCTGGCGGATCATCCGTAAGAGCACTAGTCGATGATGCCGACTGCCTGCTATTCCTATTTCTATCAAAGTTGGCATATCCATCATTTTTATTGGTGTCCAGCTAAATCTCACCCATGGTTCTGTGGGTTTGATAGACCCCGGGAGGCACGCAGGAGTCAAGAACGTCAGGAGCTTGGCTGTCTTGGACTACAAAGCTTTCCCCGCAGGGACCCGCTTGTGTCGATCTATGCAGGTGGATTATTGACAGAAATGATTTTATATTTAAGAGTCTAGTTTCTTCTATTGTTATCTTTGGAATCAAGGCTGCAAGCTGGCTGTCTTTCAATTTTCGGTCATGCCTATCAATCATAAGTCTGGGTGCGATATGTACCTGGTATGGCACCGCTTCGTCACTATTCAATCCTGCCTTCAGCATGCTTCATCGCGGAGCCTTTTATTTTGATTTATTCAGGCATTCATGGATCTACAGCGAGAATCTAGAACTGAGGTGGTTGAAGACGGAGTACCAACTCATAATTCTTCCCACTTGTCTGGTTGGGTTTCATAACGCAAAGTCTCCCAAGGATTATTAAAGAGTGGAGTACATTGTCTGCCACATTCATTGTGTGCATGAGGATGGAGATACTTGACGTCATGAACTCCTATTGCTGTAAATGATCACGGATTTGAGGGGCTGTATAGAATTAGCTTTAAACACTCTATTCCAGACTACTCTATTTTGAGCAAAAATGTAGCGAGAGCCTTTCAGAATTATGCCATCGTCCATGCTGGAGACGATGGCATTCCTGGCATCTGCCTTAATGCCTTAGGCAAGATACACTTAACCATATGCCTGGTTTCATCCTCAGGCCACAACCAGCCACCATCTCCAGCGTCCAGTGACTGCGGCTGAAGAATCAAAGCAAACTTCATTTGAACCCCTTTCTGCCCACATGTGGCAGCCAAGGCCCCTCGGGTGTGGACTCACCCGGGCCAATCTTATGTTGCTTCGTCCTGCAGGAGTAACCTGGTTCTGAATTTGTTTCATGGCCTACCCGGGCTCACCAGGGCACCCCCGAATGGTCGCAGGATCTCACCCGAGAAAGGCCTCATACCCCGAGCTCTTGGCGTTTCTCGAGTCTCTTGATTGGCTGCGACCTCAACATACAAGATAGTACAGTCTTCATTTTCTTCCCAGATGGAATCGCCTTTTCTCTTATGTCTTGACTTGCCGTGTTCCTGTTCATCCACAATCAAATCTTCTCGTGGATGAAGCCACGGGGGCGCAACGGGGTGGCTCATGGCTCATCCCTCACCTCGTATTCGACCCATGGAGCGCCAATCAAAGTTCTGCTGCACGGCCCCATCGTGAATACTACCAAGATATTAGGTCCCTGCACACTCACCCATTTCTACACAAATGACAAAGGATCAAGCTATTTTGAGGATTTGGACCAGTCATTGTTCAAAGATGGCCGATTATGAGGGCCCGTCTAAAGGAGAGATGATCACTGTCTCTCTCTCTATCAACCACAGGATTCGTTGTATAGTAGCGACTCCGATTCAACTTGATTCACCTATGATCTTTCACTTTTCTCGAGAAGTTTATTTCTTGGGGGAAAACCAAGGGTTTATCAGTGTGCCCCCAGCCCTCAACCCGTGCAAGGAATGGTGTCAACCTGCACGAGCCAAATAGCTCGTCGATCCTCTACCTCTCCGGTAGAGATCGGCCGCTGCGGCCCTCCAGGGTCCACAGTCCGCCGTCCTGACTGGCCCCAAGCAGTGCTTGGAGGACAGGCAAATCTCTGAATACGAGGTCTGATCTCCCCTCGTGCCAAAGACTGTGACCCCCGTATATTAAGGAGAGGTTCCCCTCGGGGCCACCGAAAAGTTAATTTCATGTCATACATTATTCCCCGCTGGTCTTGATTTTTGTTCTGCGACAATCACGACCTCTTCACAATGCAGCTCCTAGCATTATACGCTCTGTCCTGCATTCCGCTGGCACATGGGTGGAATTTCCTCTCCACAAACTCCTCCGACAAAGCCGTAATTAAGGGGGGAACCGGGAACCAAACATGCACGAAAGTCAGCCAGACGAAAGGGAAAAAGTGGTCGTGGGATCCTGAGGGCGAGAAGCTCTGTATCTCGATATACTACGACAACAAGTGCGACACCAAGGGGGGATACTTCTGTGCTGCCGCGCAGAAAGATGCCGGTAACGACTTTGAAAGCTTCGAGGTCCTTCCAGACCGAGATGGCGCCAACTCTCTAGGAACTGTGACTGTCACACCAACACCCTCCGCTACCTCTACTTCCTCCTCCACCTCCTCTGCCACAACTACCCCGACCTCTACGTCCACCGACACCGCCAGCAACGGCCAGTCCTCATCCGGGTCCTCGCTCTCTGGGGGCGCGATTGCAGGGATCGTGATTGGCGTCGTAGCCGGTGTGTCTCTCATCGCCGCCGCTTTCTTCTTCGTCGGCCGTCGTCACCGCAAGAACGCTGCCGCTGCTGCTGTCGCCGCACATCACGCTGGTTACGCAAACCAGGGCCCGCCTCTTGCCGGCTCATATGGTCCCTCGTCTAGTGGTTTCACCGAAAAGCCGCCCAACTCATCCAGTGGTTCCCCATACCAACCTGTTCCCGGGGATCGCTTGGCCGAGCTGAATGCAGAACGTCGGACTGCCGAGCTGGCCTATAGTCCAGTCAGCGAACTCGATGCTACCGCCAGAGGGCCTACAAGCCGGTCCTAAGACATTTACTCGGCTTCTTTTCTCTTCTCTTCTTTCATCCCTTTGCAGCGATAGCTCAAACGCCGGAGAGGCGGCTGCCTTTCTCTCTTCTATTTGGAATATTTTGGTGAAAAAAGGAGCATACGATTTAACTTGTGGTTTTAATAGCGACGAGATACTCACTCTTCCTGTGGACTTGGTTCTGTTTTTTTCCTCTTGGATACGATATCAGACGTGTGTTTTGGTTGATCTCTGGGGTTGTGATAATCTTGGTGCATTTCATCAGTTTATATTAATTCTTTGGGAAGCTTTGCTTCTGCATCCATACTATGAGTCAGACTGGGCTTGGCTCAGATGATCAAATGTCTTTTTTATCATGTCGATCTACATGATTATGTTTAAGCATTTTAGTGATCAGCCGCTATATAGAAGTATACTAGGTTTGGTAAGATATTCAAGCAAAAAATATTATCAACTGTTTCAAATTATTATACAAAGTCTATCCGCTCGCTTGAATCCCAAGTTGAAATCACTCTAGTTCGTCAACGACACCTTCTCATCAATCCACTTCTGCCCCCCTTCAACCATAATCTCCCTAAAAACCCACTCCCCCACATCCGCGCGCGAAATCGTATACCCGACCACCGGCGTCCCACTCCCCGTCCCAACGCGCACCGTCTCCAGCCCCTTCCCAGACTTAATAGTATGGTCGCCTGTCAGCAGACTACCGGGGCGAACAACAACCACCCCCGTAAACAGCGAGCGAGGCTCCTTCTCTGCGAGGATCTCCTCCATGCGCCACTTATCGGCGTGCGGGATATGCAGTAGAGCATGGAACGGCCAGCGTATCAGCCACGGGACATCGTCACGGTTGTTGGGTTCGATGCCCATGCCGGAGATGACGGTCAACAGCGGCTTTGATTGCGTCTCGGGGAGTGATGGGTATTCCGCGTAGATCTCGCGCAGGGCTGTGAGCAGGGCTTGGGTGGTTTCTTCGCAGATGTGCGGGTGATCAAATTCGATGCGCATTTTGCGCACGGTTGGAAGCCCGCCGATCCCGCTGATGATGCTCGATACTAGCTCCGGGGTGCCGTCGCTGGTAGTGGTGGTGTTGAGGAGGGTTGCTTTGATGGCGGCTGGGTCGGTGGCGTCGCCTTGGATGATGCGGAGTTGTCTGTCCAGGGTTTCTTTGACGAGACCTTGGCTCAGCAGCATCGAGGTCAGCTTGGAGGGTGTGCGGGCGAGTGCCACGGCGTAGAAGCCATTCTGCAGACTGTGGGCGAGGCAGGAGTTGACGCAGCCGCCGGTGGCACCGAGGAAGGCAGTGGTAGTTTGCATGGTGATGATGATTGTGGGGTTATTGTTGTTGTGATTGTTGTATTTGTTTTGCTGTTTTGTAGTCCCCCTTCTTCGGTGATGTTCATCGACTTTATACTACTCGAAGCATGGCTGTTTAGGGCTATTTTTGGGGATGTTGGTCCGACTCGGGTTAATGTCTGGCGATCCTTTCGGGGGAACCGCCACCCGACTCAGGCAGAATCAGGCCGGGTCAGGCAAAAAGTCAGAATGGGCGGTCGGAGACGGGTGAACTCGCGAGTCATTCATTCACTCTTCATACATTTTTGCCGAATTGATCAACTTTGGTCCGTTCAACGTCGCTACAATCCTGCGATTTATGTTTCAGGGTTTTTTGTCCCCCGAAAATTGCCTCAAGTAGAATGGGCTTCAGGGGATATTCCCGATGTCATCGGACTTATCTCTTGCCTATTTACGTGCTTCGGTATACCTCCGGGGCTGGATGAAGTTGACAACTAGTTCAATTCAATCTATGAATCGACTTTGCTGTTGGATATCCCCTTGTCCCTCTCCTTGCCGAGGATGAGTGCCGACCTTGCGACACTTGCACTCCCACACCGAGCTCAGCAATTGTCCACTGATGCCGAGACCCGTCTTCCAATGAAATTCGGGTTGATAATTAACTTCTGCGATCCTGCTGGAATAGCCACGCGATAGGATTAACTGCCGATGGCGTTGGGCGATTGACGTCGGCAATTGAGGCTGTCGCCGACGGCGTTTGATGGATCGAAGAGTGGGGGGCAAGAAGAAGACATTAATCAGTGTCAATTCGACGACATTGGTTCTGCAATCTGGTAACAATTCGCGTTAGCAAAAAAGCAGGTATGTCACTGAACAAGGTCAAAGTAGGCTCAAGTAAACCTGCAAGAACCCCAGATTTTATATCTGCCAACAACCCCCCGGTCACCGTGTGGATCCCCGGACACGACAGCTTATTCTTCCATGAATCACATCTCTCCGCTCTTCCATCACATCCCCACCATGCCAATCTGATTGCCTGGCATTCGATTATCATGCCCTCTGTCCCTGGCCGATACGCACCCTGAATGGACGGGAAAACTGGCAATGGCATTCTCCAGAGATCGTCCTTCACCCCCGCGGGCTCCCCCGCCCAATTTCCCCCATTTCGTGCTCCATGCTCCTGCCAAAGCCCGGCCAAGCTCCCTCGGCAGCCATCGTGATATGGGGGGCCAACATGGCTCTCTAATGGGTGCCACTCAGGTTTTGTGATTCTTAGCGTTAGCCGAGTCGCTGGCTCGACCCCCCGATCCAGTCGTTGAATGTCAGCAAATATAAAAAAACGATATTCTCCTGGTTCCCCGACTTATCCACAGGAATTCCTACTTCTGGTTTCTCAATACATTATATAGCCTGCATTGGTCACCATGGGCTTCTTCACCAATTACCGCGTGTATATTCTGACGAGCGTGGCCTATATGGGATCACTGCTCTTCGGTAAGTCGTGGCGACTGGTCCTTTCTTTTGGAAGATGTGTTGATTGATTTTTTTTTCATTCATGTAGGATATGACACCGGTGTCATGGGGTCCATCCTGGCCCTCTCAAGCTTCAAAAAAGACTTTGGTCTCCCAACCGGAGACTCCGGCTTTGCATCCGACAAGAGCGCCCAGGTCTCATCCAACGTGGTCTCGCTGCTGACAGCCGGATGTTTCTTTGGCTCGATCTTCGCAGCCTACATCAACGACCGCATCGGCCGTCGGTACTCGCTGATGATCTTCTGTGTGGTCTTCTTGGTGGGCGCCGCCTTGCAGGTAGGCGCACACCACGAGATCGGGCTCATCTACGGCGGCCGCGTCGTAGCCGGCCTGGGGATCGGCGGCATGTCCAGCATCACGCCGGTGTTCGTCAGCGAGAACTGTCCGCCCGAGACCCGTGGCCGGGTGGCGGGTCTCTTCCAGGAGTTTTTGGTTATTGGCAGCACCTTTGCCTACTGGCTCGACTATGGCGTGTCGCTGCATGTCCCTGAGGGCACGAGTCAATGGCGCATTCCGCTGGCGATCCAGCTGATTCCCGGTGGGCTGATGCTGATCGGCTTGTTCTTTTTGAAGGAGTCGCCGCGCTGGCTGATGAAGCAGGGCCGCCAGGAGGAAGCGCTTGACTCGCTTGCTTATATTCGGAATCAGCCCGCGGACAGCGAGTCCGTGCAAAAGGAGTATGCGGAGATTAATGCTGCTATTCAAGAAGAGACGATTGCTACCGAGGGCGTCACCTGGAAGGAGTGCCTGCAGAAGAGTAACCGGTATCGGTTCTTTCTGGCCTTTGTGCTTATGTTCTGGCAGCAGTTCTCTGGGACGAACTCTATTGGATACTACTCTGCACAGATCTTCCAGACTGGTGAGTTTACTCTGAACTATCAAGTTCAGGGAGACCGGCATGGAAAATACTGACTCTTCCTCAGTTGGTATCAGCAAAACCGATGCCTCCCTTTTTGCCACGGGCATCTATGGAACTGTCAAGGTGGTGGCCACGGCCATTTTCCTGGTCGTCGGCATTGACCGCTGGGGCCGAAAGAAGAGTCTGATCGGTGGCGCCGCTTGGATGGCCAGTATGATGTTTATCATCGGTGCCGTGCTGGCCACCAACCCGCCCGATCCCAAAGCCAGCGGTGTCTCGCAGGCGTCCATTGCCATGGTGGCCATGATATATCTCTACGTGATCGGATACTCAGCGTCCTGGGGTCCGACTCCGTGGGTGTATCTAGGCGAGGTATGAGAAATAACGCTTTGACTCGCCTTTTAGCTTTGCTAATTCGTGTCTTTTGTAGATCTTCCCAACCCGACTCCGTTCCTATGGTGTCGGTCTCGGCGCAGCCACGCAATGGCTCTTCAACTTTGTCATTACCGAGGTCACGCCGCGGGCTGTTCACAGTATTGGCTGGAGAACCTTTTTGATGTTCGGTTTCTTCTGTCTTGCCATGGGCATTTTTGTCATTGTGTTCTTCAAGGAAACCAAGGGCCGGACCCTGGAAGAGATGGACCTTATTTTCGGGGCTGTTGATGAGGCGCAGAGACGGGCTGATGTCGAGCAGACCCTGCAAAAGAACCAGATATTGCACGAAGAGCATGCGGAGATGACAGACCGTCGATAATTGGGTTAGGGGTTTCTATACCTTTCTAATGCCTGTTGTATAGGGGTTTTTGACATCAGTGACATATTTGCCCAATATAAATTCTAGACGTGTTTATCCTTGCCAGTCGCCTTTCTTGCTCCCACTTGCAAAATTGAATCCCAAGTGAATGTCGATTAAAAGGCGCAGAAAAAGACCATTGGAAGAGGGTGTGTTCATACTCTATCATAGTCGGCCATTGCCTCAACTGGTGCCCCACAATAAAGTCGCGGGGAAAGTCGCCCCTCCAAGAATTCAAGTGTTTCTTCTTTCTCACTCCTTCTGCTCTGCATACACCCCCAGTCTCTCTCAATGGGATCTCTTGAAGAAACCTGTGCTTCCCTGCGAGCGCAAATCGCAGCAACAGAAGTGCAACTCGCCAGACTCAAGCGCGACCTCGCGGACGCGGAGAGCGCCGCGATAAAATCGGAGACCCCAGCCCCTGCGGAGAACATCCAACCCACCCAGAACGGCGGACATAGACGGTGGCCATTACTCCAGGAGGAGTATCGACGCTATGGGCGACAGATGATCGTGTCGCAGGTCGGTCTGCAAGGTTGGTTGTTGTCTTTTGTCGATGTTTTGCTCGGACATCCAGGCTGACGGTCTTTATCTTTTTACAGGTCAACTTAAACTCCGATCGGCGAAGGTTCTACTCGTCGGGGCAGGGGGACTGGGATGCCCCGCTGCGCAGTATCTGGCTGGGGCTGGGGTGGGCACCATTGGAATGATTGACGGGGATACGGTTGAGGTTTCGAACCTGCATCGCCAGGTGCTGCATCGGGGGAAGAATGTGGGGAAATACAAGGTGGACAGTGCGATTGAGTTTCTGAAAGAGTGAGCTATATATGGATACACTTGGATTGGGCTAGTCAAGTTCACCACTGACAATGCTACTTTGGACAGGCTCAATCCGCACCCGACGTACATTGCGCACCGAACACATCTCATGCCCGCCGAGGCACCAGCAATCTTCAGTGGATATGATCTCATTCTCGACTGCACAGATAACCCGGCAACCCGCTACTTGATTTCAGACACCGCAGTGCTTCTCGGTAAACCACTGGTTTCCGCCTCCGCCTTACGAACCGAGGGCCAATTGATGGTGCTGAACAACCCCCACGGATGCCGGGAGACAAGACAGGAGGACCATGTTATCGATGCGTGTTCCCCAAACCACCACCGGCTGATAGCGTGGTCAGTTGTGCAGATGGCGGTATCTTAGGGCCAGTGGTTGGGACCATGGGCGTCTTACAGGCGCTGGAGGCGATCAAGGTCATCACTGCGCCGACTGTTGATGATCCAATAGACGGAGCTGCAACACGGCCGTGCGATCCCCCGGCTCTGCATATCTTTTCTGCGTACTCGACTCCGCAATTCCGCACGATCCGTCTTCGGTCTCGCCGTCCTAGTTGTGCGGTATGCTCCGCCGAGGCGAGTGTCACTCGGGATACAATTACTTCGGGGTCGACCGACTATGTGTTTTTCTGTGGCTCTGCCAACCCGGGGTCACTACTTGATCCGGAGGAACGCATCTCGGCTCGAGAGTATTCTGAACGACACCCGCAACCGCTGTCTCTAGGAAATGACTCGCCTAATCGGCCGGCCGGAAAGGGAGTACATACGATCATTGATGTGCGAGATAAGGCGCAGTTTGAAATCTGCAGTCTTGCAAACAGTATCAATATTCCCATATCGAGTATTTTGTCTTCAATGCCTCCGCCTATCCACCAGAATGGGGACACTGAAGCACCCAGCCAACTTCCTTCCTGGATTCCCCCAGAGCTTGCCTCGGCGAATTCTACAACTCCTATATACGTGGTATGTCGACTTGGGAATGACTCGCAGGTGGCAGTCCAGAAAATGAAAGAACTAGGACTGCATCACGGCGGGCAGCGGTTTGTCGGCGACATCCGCGGGGGCTTTCGAGCATGGCGCGAGCAGGTGGACCCTGAATGGCCAGAATACTGACGCTCTTCATTGTGCTATTCATTCGAATGAACCTCGCCCCCGGTTCATGGTCTTGTTCAATCATAAAGTATATCGTTACAGATACCGTCTTTTCAAGAGACACTGACGGGCGAGCTCTCAAGCCACGCCCACTCCATCAAGACCCGGCCTTGATTGAGGTCAGCAAGCTTCTTAAACACGGCCTCGGTAACATCCAGATCCATTTCCTTGCATCCGAGACAGCGATCCACAACCTTGACATCCACACTCTGCCAGCCGCGCCGCACTCGGATCTTCATCCCACACAGTGGGTTCTGGTTTGGATTTGAGCCCTTGGAAGCTGCGTCGAAGAGAACGTGCGACACGGCGCACACCATGTCCGAGTCTGCGCTGGTTATGCCGCACGACCCGAGGGCTGGGTTGTAGTAGGTTAGGTCGCCTTTGTAGGGCCCGCCATTGGAGGTGGGGAGAGGGAGATTCTGAGAGTGTCTGCGATTTGGAAAGCCAATTTAGATGATTGATCACAGGGTGGTGTGTGTATACATCCAGTTCACTTACTTCTTTCCAACGGTCAGCCCCACAGCCAGACCGATGATCAATGCGATCAGTAGAACTGCGATGACAATCCCAATAATCATGAACAGCCGAGTCCGTCTCCGCGCCGCAAGACTGCTGAGACTGGGAAACGGCCAGATCCTCGTCGATGTAGATGCGCTTGTCTTTCCTTCTTTCGCGCCCTCGGGCACCACCTCGTTTGTTGCTCCGCCCGTACTCGCGACTGTCGTCGATAAGGGAACCGGTTTGCGCTGGGGCACCCGCGCCCAGTGGCCCTGCGCATGAGAAGCTGGGTTGTTCTGGGCTGTGGAATTGGGGTCGGGGACGTCAGGATCCATCGTCGGTTGGGTTTGCTGCTTTGCGCGGTTGTTCTGGAGACGTAGTTATTGTGTCACTGTTGCATTCGGAGATTGCAGCATTGCGTAGTGGCTGGTTATCAGATTGGACGTAGCATGATGAGACGCATAACAAGGGAATCGAATCTGTTCGAGTCCTTCGCGGTGTTTTTGTCTTGCGAGGGCGCAAAAGAAAAGAAAAGAAAAGCTTGAGGCGCCTTCAGGGGCCGATTTTCGTGCAGGCTGACGGGGGCGATAAGACAACAATTGCATCTGCGCGAAATCAAGCCATTGAGAATTAGCCATGCACTGTCTTTGTTACTTTGGCTATTAATTGGGCGATTTAAGCATCCAAGGTTGTTTCTACGCTGATAGCGATTGTAGAAAATCCTGGAAATATCAAGGTAGTCAACTGGCTACCCATTCTGCTGCATACACTTCTCGTTCTATTCAAACCGCACAATTTGTACCTGAAATCCTCCAGTAATCTCTGATATTCAATCATCTTTTCTACCAAAGGACCTGCCACGCGGGTCTCTTCCCCCGCAACGGGCCTGCGTCGAATGGCCTTTGCGCAGGGGCCCACCCAAACGTGGATCAGCCACCTCCGCGCCTGTTTTTCCTCCTTCACTCTTATCCCCATCGTGCTGAAAGCCATTGCGATTTCGCTGAGGCGGTCTACGGGGCTCCTGGAATTGGCGCATTTTTCGTCCATAGAAGGTCACGTGGCCATGTCGAAGACGCCCGCCGTTATCTGAGATCTCTCTCCTCTTTGGTGTGTCGAACCACAAACTTAGAGGGCGCATCGAAGACGGTGCGCCCTTAGCAAAAATGCCGTCGCGAACGAGCTCTCATCAATCGGCGTCTTTGGGCGCGTCACAGTCGCAGCAGGACGCGCAGGCCGAGTCTGCCATGAACAAGGAGAAAGAGTCCCTTGTCGACTTTGTGAAGAGAATATGGCAGAAGACGGGGCTGGACCAGCCTACTATTCTGCTGATGTTGAAGTGGGTGCAAAGATGACTATTGCTTCTAGTTTCTTTTCTGGGATAGTGCTGACACCTGCAGGGGCGGTATCGCGCCGACCATCGGCGTGGCCATGTAAGTACTATAGCCCGCGGTGTACGACAACCTCCAGCTAACAGCGCAACACAGCTACCAGGCCAGCTCGGTTGCTCACCAGTATACCACGCTGGGCTACCTGGTGTCCATCATCTCGATCCTGGGGTTTGCTATCATGCCTCGAGCCAAGTTCATCCAGATGATGATCTTTGACGTTTTGGCTACCTGCATTGCGGCGTCATTTGCGCTGCTGACTATGTACTCGAGTGTGAAGGCGCGCCAGAACACTGACTCCAACTCGAATGCGGCATCTGGCCAGTCGGCCAACCCATCCAACCAGTCGTACAATTCGTCGGCGTCGGCAGTCAGCGGAGTGTTCCTGTTCTTCCAGATTTGGCTGGTTCATTCCTTTCGTGCCAAGTACCCGCAGTTCCAGTTTCCTACGATCATATACGCCATTTTCGCTAACGTCTCCTCCACCTATGCGCCGCAGATGGTGAACATGACCGCTGCCATTAGCTTGGTCAAGCGAATGTTGGAGGCATTTCTTACTGGTCTTGCTATTTCTACTGCCAGTTCTTTGCTCATTCTTCCCATGACCTCGCGCACAGCGGTCTTCAAAGAGATGGCTGGCTATATTGGCGGACTTCGCACCGCGCTGGGCGCCCACGCTGCGTACTTTGAGACTCTGGAGAAGGACGACATGTTTGGCCGCGCTGAGACATACGATGAGTCGCGCGAGAAATTCGGCAAGAAAGGGAAAGTATACAGTCCTGAAGCTGAAGCTATTCGCGGTGCAATCCGACAGATCACCGATCTACATGCCAAGCTTCATGGTGATCTGACTTTTGCCAAACGAGAGGTCGCCCTGGGAAAATTGGGCCCCGACGATCTCCAAAAAATTTTCCGTCACCTTCGAGAAATCATGATTCCAGTCGTGGGACTCAGCTTTGTGGTTGATATCTTCCAGCGGCTGTCCGAGTACAATAAGTGGAATGACCCAATCGATCCCACCTCCGAGACTGTTCCGAATGCTGTGCGCGAACGCGTCGTGCGTGAATGGAATGATATAATGAGAGCGGTGCATGACCCCTTTGCGGCGATGATCCAGACTATCGATGAAGGGTTGCAGCATACCTCGTATATTTTCCGACTAACCAAACCGCCCAAGAGAACGGCGACGGCGTCAACAAATGGTTCGACTGAAAATGGAAAAGATGTGGAGGCGTCAGCTGAAAACACGGCCCCTGGAGAGAAAGGATTTACGGCGCATTTCGAGAAGAAACTGTGCGAGTTCCGAAGCGCAAAACGCATTGCGTTGCAGACATGGGCAGAGGAGAAGGGTATCACACTGCCACCCGACTTCTTCGATCACCCCTCATCAGTAGAGATTCTTGAGGGCGACTTTTTGGATTCATCTGCGTCTCATCGCGAGCGAAGTCGGCGGCAGTTGTATCTGTTTCTATATGTAGGCCCACTCCTATGACTTACTGCGTGGTGGCATATGCTGACGAAGATGGCAGATGGAGCAACTACTCCATTCAACCGGTCAAACAGTCTTGCAATTTGTTCGATACGCCGACCATGTCGCGCACAAGGGGAAGCTATCGAGAACTCGATTAATTATCCCTGGAGGGCCGCGCCTGTGGAAATGGGGCAAAGGCTTTTTGAAGCCAGATGATTCCCACGAGGATGATAACATGGGCGATGTTCACACTCAAAGCAATCTTCTCCAGCTCGGCGAGGCATACAAACTCCGCAAAGATCCTGAGCACTTGCCACCAGAGACCTTGTTTCAAAAAGTCGGGGACAAGATCCGCGTCTTTCCTGCCTTCTTGCGCTCGTCCGAGTCGACATATGGATTTCGAGTTGCATGTGCCACAATGACCATTGCGATTATTGGGCTGCTGCACGACACCCAAGCCTTCTTCATCAAGCAAAGACTGGTGTGGGCCATCATCATGGTCAATCTCAGCATGTCCCCGACATCGGGGCAGAGTATTTTCAGCTTCGTGCTGCGAATTGCAGGCACAGCGATTGCTATGGTGGCAAGTCTTTTGGTCTGGTATATTCCCGACGGGAAAACACCAGGTGTGGTCATCTTCCTTTTCCTGTTTCTGTCCTGCGCGTTCTACATCCCGATCAAAATGTTCCGGTTCCGTGTGGTCGGGATCATCAGCATTGTCACTACAAGCATGATCGTCGGCTATGAGCTGCAGGTGCGCAAGGTTGGTGAACAGGTCGCCACCTCCAACGGCCAGCCATTCTATCCCATCTATCTCCTTGCGCCCTACCGTCTCGCCACTGTCGCAGGTGGTATTGCCGTTGCATTCATCTGGACTTTCTTCCCGTATCCGATTTCGGAGCATTCGGTGCTGCGCCAGAGCCTGGGGGCTTCACTGTATCTCTTGGCCAACTACTACTCAATCATTCACGAGACGATATCGGCTCGCATGCGTGGCGATGAGGGGGACTTGACGATCAAGAGCTCCGCTGGGCGCAAGCTCGAAAAGGCCCGACACAAGGTGTTTTCCAAGCAAATGCTGATGCTGAACGGCTTGCGCACATACTCGGAATTCCTGCGGTGGGAAGTTCCCATTGGGGGCAAATTTCCCAAGAAGAAATACGACACGATTATTCTCTGCGTGGAAAAGTAAGTTCATCCTGCCCACTCGCTATCATTGTCGTCGCCTCTTACACTCTGTGTCCTGTTTCAGCATTGTCAGCTATCTGAGTTTGTTGGGCTATGCATCAGACACCCTAATGCACCTGAGCGAAAGCGACGACCCATCGGACTCGGCTTGGATGCATGACTTCCGCCGACTGGTCGGCACCGCCAACGTCACAACCCACGAGGTGACATCGCTGTTGTGTCTCCTCTCGGCCAGTATCACCAACCGCCAGCCTCTACCCCCGTACCTGAAAGCACCTCGACCATACAGCTTCTCGCGACGATTGGAAGCATTGGACAAAGACATTCTGAGCATCAAGCACATCGCCGAGCCGGGATTCGCAGCATTTGCCGTTCTGCAGATCTCAACTAGGTGCATTGTTGGGGATGTGGACAGGCTCTTGCGGTAAGCTTCGACATAATTTATGTGTGCTTAGAATCACTTGATACTAACACCCATGCTTTTTGTAGCCATGTTAAGAGCTTGGTTGGGGAGCTGGACTTCTCGTTTCATGCTGTTAGCATTACAGATTCCTTCGCGACGTCTCGCGCCCCCTCGAGGGCGACGTCACGCGTGACAGTGAATGAGTTGCAGTCATCGAAGTTAGGCGATCGGGACAAGACAGACTAAACCCCTTCTGGGGTGTTGTATATAGTTGTTTTGAAAAAAATCGCATCTTAGACAAGACACGCAGCGACTGTTCATTCAATGATATCTGATTTAGCTTTTGTCTACGTACCCAGTAGTATATCAAATTCCGACGCAGTATCACACAGCCAAGTCATACAATCCACCTCATGAATATCGACATGGTCGCTGGTTTGTTTATTTCCAGTCTCCGAGCCCATCATTAACCCCGGAACAGCTGCAACTGCCGCGGACAGGTGGAGCGACGGTCGTACGATCGCAGTCGTTCAACATCCGAGCACCACTCGGACTAATCTTCAGCTAGGATTATTTCGTGTTGTCTACTGTAGTTGACGGTAATTGCAGCCTGGAGCCGATTCTCGGGGCCGAGAGAGGGATTTGGCCCGCATCGGAACGTGGACCTTGTCGGTCAGCCGTACGTGGTATGTCCGAGTGGATTTATGTCCGAATCCGACATGGCGAGCAAGGCCGCGATCGGGGATTTCCCATCCGAGCACTAGTTCCTGATTGTCGCCGAGATGGTGACTTCATGTAGAGTGTAGAAATAGTATAAAAGTTGACAAGATTCCCATTGGAAATTTGTTTCATTCTCCAGCATCAAGCATCAAATCAATCTAATTCTATTCAAGAACCTCGAAGAAAAAACGAATTTAAACACCTCCGACACAATGCCGAAATTGTTTGCTCCTCCTGCTACCACCTGGGCTATGGTAAGTAAAACTTCCAAACATCTGGCGATCACGATCAAGATCTCACACAACTCAATAGGACGGCCGCGAGGTAGACCTCCTGCACTACATCTACTCTCGCCCGGACGTGAAAGAACTGCGCGGCAATCCACACAAAGTGCTCGTCGCCATCGACGAATACGTTGATAAGCACCAAGTGCTCATGAACATCGGCGCCACAAAGGGCGCCTTCATCAGCGACCTGATTGCCGCACGCAAGCCCTCAACGATGATCGAGCTGGGCGGGTACGTCGGCTACTCGGCGATTCTCTTCGGCGATGCAGTGCGCGCCCACGGTGGCAAACAATACCTGAGCATCGAGAACAACCCCGAAATGGCCGCCGTGGCCAACCAGCTCCTGGATCTGGCGGGGCTGCGCGACTTTGTGAGGATTATTGTTGGGTCGAGCGATGAGTCGCTCGAGGAACTGATTGAGCAGAAGAAGATTGATCGCATCGAGTTGATCTTCATTGATCACTGGCAGGAGCTGTATCTGCCGGATCTGTGGTTGTTGGAGCAGCTTGATGTCCTTGTTCCGCAGACTTCGGTCTTTGTTGCGGATAATATTATTATGCCCGGTGCGCCGAAGTATTTGAAGTGGGTTGAGGCGACGCCGGAGCAGAAGAGGGAGATGCTTGCTGGATTGGATGTGGGCACTCGGCGGCCAGATCCTAGTTGGGTTTATGAGACGCAGGTCTCGAAGTTTGATACCACGTGGGGAAAGGTATGTGCTTCTTATTTCTGCTACTGCTGAGAAGTGAACGTGATGGCTAATTGAGAAATTAACAGGATGCCGTTGCTGTGACCAAGGTTGTGGGGAGGCAGTGAATTATTGAGAGCGGTGTTGCACTCTGAGATGTCTTTTCTTTTAAAAAAAAAAATCGCATATTATAAATAGTATTTTTGTCGCATACAATCTCATTCATCCATAAGGCAAAATATTGGCCGAGGAAATGTGTCGATAGGACTTAGGGTTAAGCTATTGTGTATTTATATAGTTCTCGGCTAGAAATTATATTTGCTACTTTTCTACTCCATAACGCCCCTAGAGTAACTAGTCGATATAGTCTTGGATATTTATCTAAAACATTAAGACATTCACGGATAAATACTTTAAAAAGTAAATAAGGACGGGGATGAGGAGCCCACCAGAAACGGTCCCTTCTGCCACCCCCACCACGTACCCTCGCTGTTTACTTTCTCCCACCTCAATCATTTCTGAATCGAACATATTCCTATAGCACTTCAAGGTACGCGTCAACTTTGGAACTCTACCTTAGTATTGCTATGCTTAGATATAACGCAAATTCCAGACTACATACACGCTATGAAGGAGCCTGCCACAGCCCCCGTGGGATCTCAGTATCAGCGACGCCGACTTGAAAAAGCTCAAGGCTAGTTTTGAACCTCAAAATCAGGATGGCAAATGGCGCGTCTCGGTCATAGATCACAGCCAGAGCGGCAATATATCTATCCACCTTGAGCGAAGCGGGACGTATAAAAAAACTCTACGTACTTTTCATGAAACCAAGCGACAGTGGCAGCGGCAGTGGTGTGAAGATCAAAGCCATCACTTGGAGCATAAAAAGTGTGGAATTCATATCTCGGAGGAGCAGGCCAAGAAGGAAGTAGTGATTATCAGCAGAGGTCTTCTGGAGTGTGATTTCGATGCACTTCCAGAGTATGATGCCTCGGATTGGCGCCAACTGAGCGAACGTTTTTGTTCTGTCTTCTTCAACAGCTATTTTCATCATGCGACCTTAGCTCCAACGGAATTAACCAAGCCAAGATATGCTCATTTCAACATTGCACGGTTGGATTGCCGAATCAACCCCGCAGTATATTTCTCCGCATCTCTCATTTCTTCCCACTACAGTGTCTTTCCTGTATCTCCAAGGTGAGAATTGTTGCTCGTGTCAATACAAGATGGCACAGGTCCAGCTAGACCCCTCTCTTCTCCAACAATGCACCAACAAAACCGTGCTCATTACGGGCGCTGCTCGGGGCATTGGTGCCGCAACGGCCGCATTGTTCAACTCCCATGGAGCCAATGTGGTCCTCGCGGATCTCGACCGATTCCGTGACACAGCAGAGAGTTTGATTAACACCCAAATGAATCACCCTGAACGCGCGATCTTCGTGCCTGGAAATATCGTCGACTGGGCCGAGCTGACCCAGTGCTTCAAAACCACTGTCACCAAGTTTGGCGGGATCCACATCGTCGTCGCCAATGCAGGAATAATGGAGTCGCAGCCTGTACTAGACTTGGATTCTGTGGATGAAAATAGCGATCTGCGAGAGAATGCAGAGGCAGAGAGAGTGATAGATGTCAATCTGAAAGGGACTTTAAATAGTAATAACCCCGGTCATCTGCTACGATGGTGTGCCATTGAACCCACGTCGAAGGAACATTCGCTAACCAGACATCATTGAACAAGCACTCCGATTAGCACTGCACTACATGAAACAACACCCCGATGCACAACAGTCCCTGAAGTCAATTCTGCTGGTCGGCTCGACGTCAAGCTATTTTGGTGGAACAGGGGTGACAGCGTACATTGCTTCAAAACACGGGGTGCTGGGCCTCTTACGCGCGTCCCAGTCTGCTGCTCGCGAGCACAGTGTCCGAGTGAATGCCATAGCGCCATTCTTGACTCCAACGCATATTACAGCTGGATTTGCTCAACGATGGGATGAAGCGGGTCTGGAGAAGAATACGCCCGAGAAAGTTGCAGACGCGATTGCACTGGTGGCTTTGGATAAGACGCGGCGGGGGAACTGTGTTATGGTAAGTGAGGTCTATCTGAGATGAATCTTTCAAGTGCTAAAAGAAAAACTATGTGTATAGGTGGCTGGAAAATATCTCCGTGAACTGGAGTCAACAAGGTCTAAGCTTCTCCCAACCTGGTTGGGTGAGGATGTTGCGGAATTTATGGGTCGAGCAATGCAGTTTTTAACAAGTATTGGAGGATATGTACTGCCTGGAAAGTACTGATCTTGTGCTGTTGGTATAGAGACCTAAACCTACAATGAACTGGTTTTGTCGGTCCGAGTTGTTATGTTTGCACACAACACCTTTGACCATTGCGAATTCTTGGATTTGTCAACCTCCGAACATCATGTGTTCTCTTTTATTAAAATGACGACAAATATCAATGTGATACGCGCTTAGCTCTCAGGTGGTAAATACCTTGTATGATCTCAAATGCCAGTGGGGATCGACGCTCCACCCAAGGGAGTCGGAATGTTGACTACAGGCTCACCCTACCACCCTTGTCACCGTGAATTTCCAGGGATTTGGCTTTCATGTGACCACTGGAGCGAAAGGGCTTGATCTTTGATCCCTCGAAAGTCAGGAAACCGAGGAGACACCGAATATCCCTTGTTTGGTGGCCCGGTCCCCACTGGCTCCCTTCTAGGGTTTGATGAAACTAAAGGGCCCTTTCCTTGACAAGGACCAAGTGATGGCAGTGGGATTCTTAAATTTACAGAAGTCCATTTCCGCCTGTTATCAAACTTGTGTGCTCATCCATCGACCGACACCGGTGCAGAACGAAACACCATCTGTCTCTGAGAACCGCGGTATAGTCGCAACATCGCCAACAACACACACACGAGTCAATCACGCGTCGTCAAATGGGACGTTATAAAATATCAAGAGATATCTTTGACGATGAGCCCAAACCCAACTTCGGCGCCCGGACGAGCGTCCAGAGCGTGGACCTTATGACTCCCCTTCCGACGCTGGGCAGCGCAATCCAGTTATTCGACAGTGGCTCTCCCTCGGAAGAAGAACGGCGACCCGAAGTACGGGACTGGCTAGTTTTTATTTGCATTGTTATATTGGCAGTGATGGACTCCTTCGATGCGACAGTTCTGATTCCTGCCGTGCCTGTTAGTTATGAAAGATGGGCAGAATTTCAGGTTGATGGCTGACGATTTTTTCAGGATCTGGCCAACACTTTCGAAAAACCGATGGCTAGTACATTATGGGTCAACACAGCATATTTGGTGCTCGGCTCTGCGAGCCAGGTCTTTTTCACTATGCTGTGCGAGGTCTTCAGTCACGGACCCATTTGGATCTTCGCTGTCGTGCTGACCACCATCGGTACGGGCATATGCTGTGGCTCCATGAGCTTGGTTGAATTGCTGGTCGGACGCACAATTCAGGGTATTGGCGGCGGCGGTGCCATGAGTCTATGCTTCGTTGCCGTGGCCGAGTCGGCACCCGAGCCTATCCATTCGCGATATGCATGCTATATCTTGCTGACTCGGATGGTGGGAACAATCATGGGTCCAATGATTGGCGGTTTGTTTGTCGACTATGCCAACTGGACCTGGGGATTTTATTTTAATTTTATATTTGCGGCCCTCGGATTGCTGGTCATTCCGTTCGCCATCGATTTGCGGGTCTCGAAAAACATTCCGATGCGAAGGCTGCGCACCTTGGACTGGCCGGGTGCTTCTTTGGCTTTCCTGGGACCCGGCGCAATTCTCCTCGGTTTGAGTTGGGGTGGCATCTTCTACCGCTGGGATCAATGGCAGACTTTCACGCCGATAGTAATCGGCGTTGCATTGATTCTGGTACTGATGGTGTATGAGTCCAAGTGGGCATTGCATCCTCAGTTTGGAGCCCGCGTATTCCGGTCTCGCATGATGGTCATGACCTATCTGGGATGTTTCTTGCATAGTTTTGTGGTCAGTCGTGTCTCTTGGGCCCTATACTCATTCAAGGCAAGCTGACATACCAATCAGATGTTCTGCCAACTGCAATATTTCCCGTTCTATTTTATTTCCACAAAGTACATGCTCACGGCGCTCTCTGGCGTCACTCTGGTGGCAATCACAGGTTTTGCAATCGGCCCAGCTGCCGTGGCTGGGGTCATCCTGGCCACTGAGTCGCATTGCGCACAATGGATAATTACAGGCGGCTGGATTTTGACTACCCTAGCAGCTGGCTGCTGCATCCTTCTGGACGAAACCACTCCGACTGTGGGATGGATATTCCTCTTTTTCACCGCAGGGCTCGGCCATGGCCTGCTTCTTTCGGGGTATAACATTCGCATCCAAAACACACCAAAGGACGCAGGTGCATCGCCAAGCAACAGTCCGACAACTATGGCAATTTTTATGAGGTCTTGGGGTATGGCAGTCGCAATTCCTGTTGGCGGCGCTGTGATGTTGAATTGTTTTGGGATCGAGCTCGCGAGTATTAACTTAGATCGAGATCTCGTGAACGCCGCGAACGGGTATCTCATTCTGATGAGACATGTGCAGATGTCTGGTGAGCAGAGGGAAGCTCTCAAGACTGCCTCTGCAGGGGCATTGCGGGTCGTGTGGGGGCTCATTGCTGGGACTTCTGCCCTTGGGGGCATCTCGTCGGCTTTTCTGTGGCGGAGGAGATTATAGTCGTATAGCAGTTTGCTCTGGACATTCTTGCGTGCAAATTATTTGAAATTTATGTTCAAATACTGCTATTACTTATCTCGAAGTTGCGTCAGCTGTGGCCTTTGGATGTCTTTCCAACTTGAACTCCTTCATTTGGCATGGATTCTCAACCTCGCAAGAGCATATTTTCTCTCCCATGGACCTTCTAGCTAGTCAATTGTATCTTTCCAAGCATGTCCATTGATTTCTTTTTGGGGGAATTTTTGACCTGCCATTTCCTGTATTCGGGCATGTTAATGCGTTCTGATACCCATGTCAACAAATATATACCCCCACTCATTCGCAATCTTCAAGTCGATTTTGTCTCTCTTATTGGCTTAGACTAGTTCTGCTGAAGCTCACTGTATCATAGAGTTCCTTCACTTTTGCTTTCTTTCTATCTTTTCTATCTTTTCTTATACTAATTTGAATACTCTTATAATTATCTTTTATGATTATCTTTTGAACTCTTTTTTTTCCTATTATCTTTTCTCTTATCGTATTTTTAGTCTTCTACTCTTAAGGTATATATTAGCCTAGCGGAGTATACTATATTAGACTATGGAGTAAATCTCACAGGAATGATCCTCATGTTCCTCGCATGGACAGTTACCTCGTCCGTTTATGATAAAACACAAGATGTCAAAACCTCAGGCTATCCTCAAATTGTGTTCATATGGCTATTCTTTGTGTTCTATGCCATCGCCTGGTCCGGTCTCCTTGTGGCCTGTTCGCTCGAGAAACTGCCTCACCACTGGAACCTATCCCTGATTTACACGGTACGTAATTCTCTCACTATTTATTTACCCTTACTTATTTTGCGCGCCCTCTATACTGATTGATTATTTGTCTGTAGATCTGGATCTTCGTCGAGTTGCTTTTTGTGTACTTTTTCTACGTTGAAACCCGGGGCCCTACTCTCGAGAAAATGGCCAAGATCCTCGATGGCGAGAACGCTGCTGTCGCGCATGTGGATCTGCATGAAGTTGAGAAGGATGTAGAAGTTCAAGAAAAGGGGCCGACTATGCATACGCATCCGGTTTGATTATATCGCAGTCTTTTCTTCTTGGATTGGGCGTACGCTGATTTTGTTTATTTACCTATCCGGAATTTCTATGGTTAACAATAGTCAATCCGTGTGGTTCAGAATTCATTAGTCTATTCATGTATTTATTATTATTTTTTTGGTGAATTCTGTGTGATCTGGATACTCTGTGGGATTGACTTCGCCTGCTCCAAGCATTATCGTAGACAGTCTATCGATCCGCAGTGGTATACTCCTGCGATGGCTACATCATGGTTCCTGCCGCGCCAACAGATGTTCACCTCAAGCTCTTTCCTGAGGTTCACTTAATAACATACCTGGTCGACCTTCTCTAGAGTCATCTCGTTGCCTTTCTACTCTTCACATCTCCACGCCCATTTTGCCATACCCCGTGCATCCATACAGGTCTCTCGTTTAAATCAGGATCCACGACCACACTCATTCAAGATATCATCACAATGCACTTTCTCGCAGCTGCAGCTGTTCTTCTTGGTGTTGCATCCTTTGCCTCTGCCGCACCAACACCTCCCAGACTCGGTCGCCACAAGGGACTACCAGATGGAATGCCCAATCCGAGTCCCAGTGAGCTTGAGCAGATCCAGTTGCGAGCTCATGGAGCACTGCCAAACACGCCTCCTCCACCCAGCATCAGCAATGAAGGAATCACCAATCTGAAGCTGATTGCATTCAACGAGCTTTTTGAGGTGGCCTTTTTCAGTGAGCTCATTGCAAACATCAGCAAAAACGTGGAAGGTTATCGCTTCTCAAGCGCGGACGGCCGTGACTTTGTTCTGGAAGCATTGCAAGCCATTCTAGCTGTATGAATTTCCGACCCTATTATTTCTTTTCCTGTACTTGCTGACACCTCTGCTTTACAGCAAGAGGAGCTGCATGCGATCAGCGCCAACAACGGTCTGGTTCATTTCAATGTCAAGCCGATCGAGCCATGCCAGTACCGCTTCCCTGTTCATAACTTTGATTCAGCTATTGTGCTTGCTTCCACTTTCACCGATCTCGTCCTGGGCACTTTGCAGGACGTCGTCGAGCGCTTTGCCATTGGCAGAGACTTTGATCTGGCTCGTGAGATTGCCTCGGTCATCGGCCAAGAGGGAGAGCAACAGGGCTGGTACCGGGTAATGCAGGGCAAGATCCCCAGTGAGCTACCATTCTTGACGACGAGCGACCTAAATTTTGCCTTCACGGCCATCCAAAGCTTCACCGTTCCGGGTAGCTGTCCCAGCCTCGACGAAATCCCGCTGCGAACCTTCGAGCCGCTAAACATCACCGCGCCACCAGGCCCGCACACGCAAAACATTCGATTCTCATTTGGAGATCCCAACCACGAAGCAGACCACCAGCTGTGGCTGACCTACATCAACCAGCTCAATCTGCCCATCGTGGAGCCACTCCGGGTGGTTACTCGCAAGGGTGATACAGTCATCGCAGAGGCTCTCTTCCCATACGAAGAACATGAGATGAATGGCCTGACCATCGCGGCGGTGACCAGGACCAAAGGACCGTTTGGGAATGCATACACTGTGGCCAAGTGGACACTCGCTGGACCTGGCCTTATCATTGTCAACTGATTCGTCACTAATGCTGATGTGTACATACTATCGTTAACCTAGTTTATACCTCACGTACGATGGGAATGAACTACCAGGGTATATTCTTATTGTTTGACCCAGTTATATATTGGCAGTCAAACTATCTTTCAGTCTCTCTTGGGTTATAGAATGTCAAACTGGCCCTTCATTCTCAAAATAGTGCTCATACCACACATGGGCACCGACACTATGCCTGATCACAGCTTTCCTTGTCCAGCATTCGAAGGAACACTCAACTGCACCACCGAATAAGCCGACGCCGACGCAATATTCTTCCCACTTAAGTTAGTCAAGAACGCCGTGTCCACCTGGCTAAAAGTTCCCGAGCTGCCGGACCCATTGACCTGGCACACGCGGCCCAAGTACGTGCTGCAGACCTGGTTTGCCGAGGTGCTCGGCGAAGAGAAGAGCTGGCCCTCGATCGGCGACTCCACTACCGTCGGGATGTTCTGGAACACATTGCCCTCGGCCAGGATGTAGCCGCCGGAGCCGATCTCGAAGGAGCGGCCGCTGCTGTCATAGCAGTAATTGTTGACCTGGCAATGGAAATGTTAATTGTTATTTTTATTTTTATTTTGTTTTTTCTTTTTTTATCCAATGTTAGAACCTACCGCGTGGAGAAGCGTGTTACCCTGCACCTTCGGGCTGCGTCCGCTGGTGTGGTAGATATAGTTCCCCTTCATGGTGACCAGGTCGCTGGACCCGGCGAGGTAGATGCCCCAGTAGTGGTACCCGTCGCATGTAACTGAGTAGTCGGTCTTCCCGTTGATGTAACTGTTGGAGATGGTTACGCGCTTGGAGGCATCGGTGCCGAGAACTATGTGCTGGCGGCCGATGCGGGCAGTATATGTTTTCATTCTCTTATGAGCAGGTGTTTATACAAACGTTATCTCAGTGAAGGGTCTATCAAACTCACCGTAACGTGATCAATCCACACCATGTCGGCGTTGTTGATGGTGATGGCATCTCCACCCCAGACTTATTTGGGGTTGATATCCGTGATGGCGATGTTTCTGAAAGATACCTGTTGGTAATTATTCTCGGTGCACACAGAAGCATTGGATCTTACTGGATAATGATGTTGCTGGCACCGCTCACGAACCGCAACCTCTTGCCCTTGATGACACCACTCGAACCCTCGCCGATGATGGTCTTGTCTGAGGCGACAGTCATACCCAGCATGCCCGCATTGTCGCTGCAAAATCAGTTAATATATGATATCCTACCCAGGGATGAGTCGAATTGCCAACATGCTAGGCCACAGAAGCAGATGGCGCACTCGACTGGTAGTTGGTGCACCAGTTACCCTTGTTGATGGCAAGCTGGCAGCCCGATCCAGTGCCCTCGGTGTTGGTGAACCAAATGTCTTGGAGAGGACAATAACCCGGGGTGAGCTGTCCTTCAGATAGGTGATTAGCTCGGCATTTGTGCTTGGGTACACAGCTGTTGCGGACCCGCCGCCAGTAATGCCCTTAGCAAAGCCCTCGGCCGCGCCAGAGACGCTCACGGCCGCGGCGTGGCTGGCGAGGGCTGCAAAGAGTGCAGTGCATCTCATGCTGAAATGGAGAGGCTGTTGAAGGGTGATGATGGAGTGGGAAAATGGATGTTGAGCGCATAGGGTATTCTTATACCCAACAAAACATCAATCTTATATTGCGTGCAATATGGATAGAACGCCCTCGTCTCTGCAGTCGATTAGGAACCTATCTATTTTTCCTCATGTTTATTCCCATTTCGGCATCAGCTCGGTGCTTGGAGATGTTTCACCTTCGCACTGCCTAGACGCCCCACACTTCCCTCTTGAGCATCCTGGTCTGTTTCTGCAGTTCGACGCTATACTCTGAAGAGATCTGTTCCGTGGTCAAGCCAGCTCTCGCTTTAAATACCGGTCCGGGGCGCAGAATTGATCCACCGCAGGGAGATTGTCTTCTTTTGGGGGGGGGGGGGGCTTTCACCTTTGGGCTTTCACCTTTCAGCCATTGGAAATTTCTTCCGCCACTGTCTGCAAGGATGCATGGTCAGAAACTGTGGTTTTATCTGGGGTGGTACTTTTCTTATGGACAATTCCTCCGTCTTGGCATCACGTTGAAAATGATGTGTAGCTCATGTAGAAATATTTCCTTTTTTGGGAATAAGGCGTGGTAAGCTCTTCATGGGGGATGCAGTCGCTGCGAGGATTTTGCATCAATAATATCAGTGATATTAGGCCATGAACATTCTTTAATTAACCTCTATGCTGTTTCCACTCTTCAGAAAATATGACTACTCTGCAAGGGAATTTGAATATGAAGCAATCTGTACTAAATGGCTCTATCCACTATTTAAGAGGATTAATCAATTTCATCGAGTTCTTTTCATGGCTCGAGGTACCGATGGGCAGCTCCTGACTTCAAAATGGATATTCTATGTCTTTCTCGTAAAGAAAGACTGTTGATTAAACGGAGTTTTCGAGAAGTATAGCACGGTAAGTAGGAGGTCAGACTACATATTTTTGCCCAAAAGGCTGTTCAGAATTAGATTCAATTATTCTGTGAGACTAAGGGTTTTAGAGGACTGGCTCCCTCATAAATTTCTTGTACCATAGCTCAAGGCTTTCGAATTCAAAGGCGCTTCTATATAATTAACATAATTTATCAATAGCATCGGGCCCGGTTCGTGGAGAGATCCAGGCTCGGCATGGAAGCTCTCCAGCCCCTCCTTCATGCAGTGCTTTCTCTCTCCACCTCAAGCTACCCTGACCGACAATTGGACTTGGAACCCTCCTTTTCCCACTCTTCGCGTGAGTTTTGTGTCTTAATAGCCCAAGCTTGCGATTGACACTCTGTATAGGAACTGGGCAACTTGAACACTTGGCGAATACTTGGCCTGATACCTCCATCCTCCAATACCCTGCCCGCACGATCGGCGTCATGGTTTTTTAGTCTCAAGGCAAGATATTCCTACCGTCAATGCATTGTGGATGAAACACATGTCATTTATTTTAGGTCAATTCATACATGAGGCGTGATATACAACATAGATGCACACAACGATAAGTAACCAGTATATAACTACCGATGCCAACTCTCAAATTACATGATCACAGGCAGGTTCCGCTCCAGATAGCCGCGCCACTGGGGGAGTGTGCGCTGCCACTTGGTGTCAGAGCTCTTTTGGAGATCCTCGATGGCACTGGCGTACTTGATCAAGGTAGGTTCAGAGAACGCGGTATTCATGATCGCCAGGCCGTAGGGCATACCCGATGACTTGTCCGTGCCAGCCGGCACAGTGATAACAGGGTATCCAGCCTGGGCAGCGATCTGGATGCTCTGAGCCACATCCGGGGGCACCAGAAGGCCATCCAGAGTGCGGCCCTTGTGCTTGAGGGCGGCATCGATGCCCTCCTCGCGGGTCGTGCGATGGCAGAACTCTAGGGCCTGGAAGTAGGTGGCGTTCATCTTGCCCTTGCTGTTCAGAGACGCGATGAGCCCGTCCTGGCCTGACCCAAAGGCTGGGTGGATGCCCGGCAAGCCGCCATTGGCGCCGTAGTTGTCGATGTTGTACTTGACCAGGTCCTCGACCGACTTGATCTTGGTGTTGTTCACCTCGGCGAGATAGTCGCGCAGGTTGTTGTAGAAGTCGACCTTGATGTACGAGTATTCCGACTCGTTCGCGTATCCGCGAGTGGAGCCATAGTCCCAGTCCCAACCATCGGGCGAGACGATCTTCTTGTAATGCGGGAGCTCGGTCCCGTTGACGACTGTGGCGCCGGCATCCTTGATCAGCTTGACCAGCTCGAGGAGTTGGGCAATCTGGGTGGGCTCGCCGAGGGCCCAGAATGACTTCCAGGGAATGCCAAACACCGCACCCTTGAGGGCATCCTTCTTGGCCAGAAATTGCGTGTAGCCGTCCTTGGGGGTATGTCCCCTCTGAGCGAGAGTGTAGTTGTCGCGAGTGTCAACGCCATAGATGGCGTCCAGTGCGTAAACCGCGTCGCGGACTGTCTTGCCAAAAGTACCGACGGTGTCCTGGTGCAGAGACTCGGGGATGACACCCGAACGGGAGGTCAACCCAACGGTTGACTTGATGCCCACGATGGCGTTTCGCTGAGCGGGATTGATGACTGAATATGATTTAGCATTGACTTCAGTAATCACCTCGATCAGAAGTCACCACTTACCACTGCCGTCCGTCTCAGTTCCGAGAGCAAAAGGAATCAAGTTGGCGCCCACCGCCACTCCCGGGCCCGTGCTGCTACCACCCGGGTTCACGGTGAAGTTGTAGGCACTGCGACATTGACCACCACGGCCCGTGAAGCCCTCGGAGTAGTTGTTGGAGCGCATATCAGCCCACTCACTCAGAGCACCCTTGCCCAGGAGCAGAGCACCGGCCTTTCGGAGACCGTAGACAACGTGGGAATCACGGGGAACAACATTTCCCAGCAGCGCCCAGCTACCGGCCGTGGTCTCCATACGGTCCTTGGTGGCAAAGTTGTCCTTGACAATGAACGGGATGCCATGGAGAGGACCACGGGTCTTCCCGTGTGCGCGCTCGGCATCGAGCGCCTTGGCAATCGCAACAGCATCCGGGTTAAGCTGCAAGATGGCACTACAGTGGGCTGTTAGCATTAATCCATGTCTCCCATACAAGACCTATACGTACTTCAGATATGGCTGAGTTTGGTAAACGCGGTCCAGGTAGCATTCCAGGAGCTGAACGCTGGTGAACGTGCCCTTGGAGAGCTGCTTCTGGATCTCGTCGATGCTGGCTTCTTCCAGTTTGAACCCATGGCAGTGGCGCATGGGGAATCGCGAAGACCCATGGGCACCCAGTCGAGGGAAATCATAGGCATACGGGTTTGTCAGGATTTGTGAATCGACCAAGCTATCGTTTTCCGGCTTGTGGGCAAGGGCTGAGCCTGCCAGTGCCAGGCCGCCCACCAACGCCTGCAACAAGGGGGCCATGTTGATGCTCGAGAGAAGATCAAATCGAGAATCCCCACTTGAAACCCATGTGGCCCTGAGCTCGAGGGAGACGTTCATCTAATAAAGCTTCCCCTTTCCGAGTCAAGAATCCGTGACTAATCACGCTGTTCTACCAGGGCACCCTTTTCCCTCCACTTTTTTCCTTCATTTCTTGCCGTTATTCGACGCTTTTCTTCGGTCGTGACGGGATCTCGACGGAATTTGTGGTTTTCCTCACCCAGAGCCAAGCTTTTCCACGCCAGGATGTACTTCCTCATTGGGGCATATTGAGTTTGAGAAACCTGATCGAGCTCCACCCGTTCATATATTCCACCTGGTCTCGGCAGTTTTTCGGTTTGGTACGGTCCTCTTGTTGGCTGCTACGAGTAATGTCACTTGGGATTATTGGAACCGGCCCATCCACATTCCTCAAAAGCAAGCCCTTATGTTTCTTTTCTTTTTTTTTTTCTTTTTGTTTTTCCTTATCCATATCATTCCATCATAGACAAGGCTCCCAGCAGCCTAATATCTTTACTCCAGCCTGGGCAGACAAGATCACTTACATGAACCCAGCCCACACCCGTGCCCTTAACCATGTCCATCCCTTAGACAACGGCGTGCGCCATGACAATTCCCGCCGATATCCTCACTGCGAAAGCAGCGGGGCGCATCCCGGATAATGTGTCGCTCTCGTATCTCGCTGAGTCTCGCGACAATCCCGCCATTGCGGGCATCTTGTTCCTGATCTGCTTCACCGGAGTGCTCATGATTCTCCGTCTGTATGTTCGCGGATTTCTCGTCAAGAAAGTCGGCTTGGATGATGCATTGGCTATTCTGACGCTGGTATGGCACTTCGATAATTCTGCCCGATCTCTTGTAGCTTGCCCGGTTATGGGCAAGCAAAAGCAAGAGAGGACTTGCAGCAACATATGCTAATGATCTAAATGGATAGATGGTCTATATCTCTTTTGTCGTTCTCTCTATTGTCCTCATCAACCTGGGCAGCGGCCGCCATATCGAGTACATTCAGTATGTACTATCCATGCCGACAGTCCGACAAACCGAGGTCCTAGACTTTGTTGCCCACGTCCTCTATACGACGGCACTCTTCCTCTGCCGACTGTCGGGACTGGCCTTTTACTACCGCCTTACCGCGTGCTCGAGCAAACTCCATCTGAGCATCATCATCGCCGCTCCAGTGTTGCTTGCCGCATATCTCCCGCAACTATTTCTGTTGATCTTCCACTGTAAACCCGTGACAGGGCTGTGGCCCTATGATTGGCAGTACGAACCCATCAACTACCAATGTCTGACATGGGGATTGGTGTACTCGGTCAACTCGGGACTCTCGCTGGCCTGCGACGTGCTGATGTTCGTTATCCCCGCGGTGCTCATCAAACAGCTTCATTTAGCGGTGAAAAATAAAATCAAACTCTCGTTTGTGATGTTCCCAGGTGTCTTGTTAGTTCTCCCCCATGCTTTCTATATTCCTTGCTTTCGAAACTGCGAACCAAACTAATCAAATCACAGTGTGATCGTCATCTCCGCCGTCCGCGTCTGGCTCGTGGCCGAGGGCCAATGGGCTTTAGACGGTAGCTGGGCCTACAACCCAATGCTAGGAATCGAGAAATGCCGAGATCGCCGGAACGCTGATTGCACTCTCGGTGCCAGCCCTGAAACCGGTGTTCGGGAATCTTTTCACTCGGCTCACGGAGTACACTTCCAGCCATACCCCCACCCGCTCCGCAAGGTTGCGCAGTCAATCCAAGCCCACGAGTGGCGTGAGATCCGACGCCCGGAACAGCAAGCGTCTGCTGAATTGGTCTCGAGGCAGTCCGAGTGATTACGAGATGATGCCCTCGGAGGTATCGGTGACCCGCGAGATTCAGGGATCGCCGTCCAACACGAGTGTGTCGAAGAACCCCGGCATTAAAGTGACGAATGAGGTCAATATCAGTCGAGCTGAGGATAGACCTGTCTCGCGGGAGAGTTAATGATTTTCTTGAATTAGTTGTATTATAGAAATAGATTATTATTGCTCAGGATGAGAAATGTCTGCCTCTCGTATTTTTTTGCTTGGATGAGGACCTTATCCAGTGACTGGGAAATTGTGATTTTGGGCGCCAGAAGTCCTGGCTTTCAAAACGCGAGTCAGACACACCTGATAGACAGAGATAGACGGGGTAAAATTTCATCAGCAAAGGAACGCCAACGTGCCTTCGGCTCCTGACAGGTGTCCCGCGCGTACCCCACAAGGGTACACTCGCCAGAATCTCAATGTCAGTGCCAAGTAGGATCATCTTGGCGTCAGACACTTAGGCCCCATGGCCTCCAGTTTCATCCCCTCCTCTTTGCTGCCGTCATGGTGGGAGTGCCGCGCAGCAAAGGATGTCGTACATGCCTACGACGACGAGTCAAGGTAAGCATAGCACCTGTCAAACGTCAGCACACAAGGCCCCCCCCAGCTAATCCCCCCGGGCCGTAGTGTGATGAAACACGACCTGCATGCCAACGCTGCGAAACACGAGGTCAACAGTGTCCCGGTTATGAGAAAGCCCCGAAATTTCGCCATTACTCTGCTCCCAGTGGACATAGCAATGCCAAAGCTCAGCCAGTCGTAATTCAACCCCACACATGGGTTCATTCCACAGCATCCCCGAGATCCACGTCTAGTATAGACGAATGTGTGGCCCCGAATTTAGCCTGCATGGCCCTGGATCTCCAGCAGAGAGAAGTGTTCGGCCTGTTCGTCGACGCCACTTTTCCGGGCCTCTACTACGCCTGGAGCACGCGCGTCGACGTAACTTTCATGGACTTTGTTCGCCAACAGAGTGATGCGCCCACCGACGCTCTGGTCTGGGGCATTCGAACGCTGGGGACGCTGCACCTGGGTCAGCAGCACCAAGACAGCGACAAGATCGCCTGCAGTCGCTCGATGTACGGTCGTGGGCTGCGCTCTCTAGCTCGTTTACTCCAACACCCGACAACAGTTAAATCCGATCGCACCTTGGGTGCGGCGGTTCTGCTTGCCATCTATGAAATGCTCGATGGGATGGGCCACAAATCCTGGCTTACGCATTCGAATGGCATTGGCACCTTGTTCCGCTATCGTGGTGCTGAGGCGCATCGCGATGGGTTCGGGCGCACGTTGCTGATTTCTTTTCGGTCCTTTCTCATTGCGGATGCGCTGATCCGTGGTGAGCCTTGTTTTCTGGCAGAGACCGCTTGGAGATCTGTCATCAAAGATGCCGTCCGCACAGAAGGGCTGATGGGGAAGGGGAGTGAGCTGGGTGATCTGGTTGAATATGCGTTCGAGGAGATTACTGTCTGTCCTGGGCTCGTTGCGTGGGCTCGCGCCATATCCACGACGAAAGAGGCTGATGCACTGCAGCCGCAATTATTGATGAAAGAAATCGTGCGCACTCGAGGCAGGCTTGCCGACTTGCACGGACAGCTGGAGATGTTGACTTGCACATCTCTAGATGACAAGGGTCTTGAGAATAGACCAGATCTGACTGGTCCCATTCCAGTCGAGGTCATCACAATTCTGGCGCGCTTTTCTCTCAAGGGATTGCAGGTGGCCATCTCCCTTCTGGGCCGGCTTTTGCTTTCACTCGAGGCAAGACAGTTGCCAGTGGCTGATACTAATACCTCGAGGACTGCCCCGAGGTCTTCTGAGACTCCACGGTTAACCATAATGGGAGATGAAGATGATTCAGGTAGGAATATTTTGAGTCGAGACAGGCCACCAGAGTCGCCGGATCATATTGCATTATCAATGGGAATGCTTGTGATTGAGTGATTGCGAGCTAAGTTCATACCACCGAAGATACCCACTAGTTCTCTATGCCATATATCAAGGAACTATAATGAGAGACGATAGACTGTAAACAAATATCTTGTCCGTCTTTCTCTTACGTGCTTCTTCTTGTAGTCCAACATCCTGCGTCTTCAATCTACATCAACAGCATCCAACTCGGCGTATATCCCCTTCTTCACCTCATCATCCGCCCAACACATATCCACAGCATTCCGCGACAACTGTACCATCTCGGCCTTGGATAATCCGCCATAATAGTACGCCTTTTCCATATTCCCATCAACCCACACATCATGCATATACACAGGGTCATCACTGTTAATACAATACTGAACACCCCGATCCAGCAGCTGCCGCAACTTCGGGAAAAGCACCTCCGTCGCCGTCCGGCGATGGTACGCATGCGGACACAGCGTCAGTCCAACATTTCTCTTCTTTAAACCAGCCACCAGCTCCTCCCGATCCAGCACATCAAGTCCATGATCAATGCGCTCAACCCCGACCTCGAAAATCGCTTGCCGGATATGCTCATGTGTATCCTTCTGCCCGAAATCACAGTGCGTCGTCGTATGCAACCCATCCCGTCGCGCGCGCTCAAAGGCATTCTTAAAGAGCAAGATTGGTCTCTCGTAAGCATTGCTCGCAAGCCCAACCGCATGGAACAGGCCCTTCCCTCCTTTCACAGCGGCCCAGGGGAGCGCGGCGTCGTAGGCAGCCTCGCCTTCGTCGACGGGCTCATCGCGCAGAAAACAGAAGATCCAGTTCGAGCGCACGCCGTATTTCTCTGCGCCGTCTTTCTGCGCACGCAGGTACCCGTTTAACACAGCGTCTGCGGCGACACCTCGCCGCGTGTGTGCTTGGATGTCGAAGAAGGGCTCCGCGTACCGCACGTTCATGGCTCTGCAGCGAGATAGATAATCCATGGCCAGATCGTAGAAGTCATCTTCTTTTAGCAGCACTTCACAGCCGGCAAAGTAGGCTTCCAGAAAACTGGGCACGTCTTTGCGGCCGCCGAGTTCGGGGCGGTGGTTGTAGATCACTTTGTAGGAGTCGAGGAGCTCCTCGTAGGTGCGGTAGACTTTGTCTCGGACCTTGAGGGGTACATTGTTGCGTTGGGCGAGCTTCCAGCGTAAAGCTGGCTGCAGAGTGCCTTCGATGTGGATGTGTAGCTCGACCTTGGGGAGCGAGGCGATAAAGGGAGTGATGGAGTGGCCGTTCATGATTAGTCCACAACCCTCGGGGTAACAGGGGTGTTTATCTTTAAGAACAGCAGGGTCTACAGCCTTTACCTTGGAGAGCACTAGGGGAAGCTGAAGAAAGCAGAACTGCTGAGAGAAACGAGCGTAGAAGAGAGAATCAAATTATCTATAGGAGAGAAAAAGAGAAACGAAGCTATCTACTACCTACGTCCGTCAGGGAGGCGGTGGAGAAAGGCGGGCAGAACCCCAGCATCACTTTATCTTTTCAATCTGACTTATCTGGTCGGCCATCTCCGGTGGGGTGGGCCTTGGTGCTTCAGATGTGATAAGACCACCGGGAAGAAACGATAGCGCATCCTGCCAATGATACCGTGAAATACATGCCGTCCTATACATTATATATTTTCGCGAGCAATTCCCCTCGAACCCCTAGAGGCTTTGATGCCGCACAAAATGCCATCTCCTTCAGTTGAGCCGGCAGAAGCACGCCGGGTGCTCAAGAAAATCGACCGCACGATCCTCCCCCTTCTCTTCGTCACGTATATGCTCAACTTCATGGACAAGATCATTCTATCGAGTGCAGCTGTGTTTGGGTTACGGGATGACACGGTAAGGCTTTCGTTGTGATTGATTCTATCTCCTACTATACAAAACAAGAAATAACTCCTCGATGTTTACTTTCCCACCAGCACCTCGTAGGACAGCAGTACAGCTGGGTCAGCAGTGTTTTCTACTTCGGCTACTTGGTCTGGGAATATCCCACCACAATCCTCATTGCCTGTCTCCCAACAGCCAAGTACCTCGCGGCCAACACTGTATTCTGGGGTGCTGTCGTTGCCCTAACAGCTGCCTGCACGAACTTCGGTGGGCTGATGACCCTTCGGTTCTTCTTGGGCATGGCCGAGGCGACCATCAGTCCGGCGTTTATGTACCTCACCTCGACGTGGTATACACGCGATGAAATGCCCACGCGAGTGGGCATCTGGTTCGCCGGGAATAGCATCGGGAGCCTGGTCGCCAGTCTTCTTGCTTTTGGCATCGGCCATATCGAGGATAATGTCCACCCCTGGCGCTGGATGTATATTGTCCTCGGTCTGCTCACCTTTCTCTGGGCATTTCCCATTGTCTTCCTGCTCCCAGACAGTATCACCAAAGCGCGGTTCCTCACCCCAGAAGAGAGACAAATCGCCTCCAACCGTGTAGTCACCGCCGGCACAGGCAGCACAGAGAACTCGCACTGGAAGTTCCCACAGGTGATCGAGTGCCTGATCGATCCAAAAACCTGGCTGATCTTCTCGATCAATCTGCTCTCCCAGATCCCCAATGGCAGCATGCAGAACTTCTCCAACATCGTCGTGGAATCATTCGGCTTCACCAACCTACAAACCACCCTCATCAACATCCCCTACTCCATCATCTCCGCCAGTGTAATCTACGGCACGGGCCACCTATCGGGACGGTTCCGAACAATCAACTGCCTCCTCATCATCGCCGTCGTGCTCCCAGGCGTAATCGGGTCCGGGATCATCTACCGCCGCAACGACCTCGCCCACGGTGTCCAGCTCTTCGCCTATTTCCTGCTCTCAACTTGTCCCGCCGCCATGCCTCTGACCATGGCATTAGTGCAGTCGAATTATCGAGGGGTGACCAAGAAAATGACCGTCACGGCCCTGCTCTTCGTCGCGTATTGCACGGGTAACATCGCCGGCCCGCACCTCTTCCGCGAGACTGAGGCGCCGACGTATGCGACTGCCTTTGAAGCCATTATGATTTGCTATGCGCTGATCATTCTTCTGGTTCTCGTGCTGCGTTTCTATCTGCAGTGGATGAATCGGAAACGCACTCGCGAGGAGGGCTTCGAGGGGAATGCGGGCTCGGCGGGTGCTATGGTTGATGGAAAGATGCCCTCGACGTCGACTGGAGAGGTCGTGGCTGAGAGTAGTGCGGCTGAGGTACAGGCTCGGCCTGAAGAGTATGAGGATGAGACAGACTGGAAGACGTTGGGGTTTCGGTATCGTCTTTGATACGAGCTGGAAGGATAGTGGTGCCTCAACGGTTGATATAAAATGGGTATCGTATGAAATTGGCAGAGCATATTACAATAATTAACTCACAGTTCAATCAAGGCAGATTCAAAGGAAAGGGAAAAGAACAAAATAATTCTGAGGAGTATATGTGGTGAAAATCAAGTAATTCAATCTGGCGCTGGATCCTTCTTGCGGGCTTCGGGGAGAGTAAGACGCGAGCTCGGGGCGATTCTGACTAACCTCGACTCCCCGGGGCCATCAAGACGGGTGATGACCAACGCACTTTTCTTGGCATTTGTTCAGCGTAGGTGAGAATGGGCAACTATAAGAAAGCTCTAGTCACAAAGCATGTGTTCCACTGGAGCTCTGATTCTCAACTACTTCCCCACCACTTCTGGTCTTCATTCATCATGACGCTCAAATACCTCGTCACTGGAGCTACGGGCGGCCTCGGCGCGCAAGTGCTGTCCTACTTGGTTGAAAACGTCCCCGCCTCCAAATACGCCGCAGCGTCCTCCAAGGAAACAAACCGCAAGCAATTCGAAGACCGGGGCATTGCCTTTCGAGTCGTGAATTACGATGAACCTCAGTCCATGGAGTCTGCATTCCACGACGTGGAGAACCTGCTGTTCGTGAGTACGAATACCTTCGACGTGAAAAAGCGGCGTAAGCAGCACCAGAGCTTCGTCAATGCCGCCAAAAAGATGAACGTCAAACATGTATGTCCTCGGACCGAGTCCCAACTTCTGCGCGCTCAGCCGCTGATCGCCATTTCACAGGTGTGGTATACGTCGCTGGCATTTGGCGGTTTCCGCTCCGATTCCAAGGCCGATGTCCAGCAGGCCCATTTGATGACGGAAGAGATGTTGAGAGTGTGAGTCATCCTCCATGCCAGTAAAGCAGCTTTTTCTCCGAGTACTCTAACACCTGCCAGATCCGGTATCACATTCACCTCCATCCGTGAGGGCTGCTACACTGACGCCTTCCCGGTGTTCATGGGCTGGTATCCCACTACCTCCACGGTGTACCTCCCCTCCGACGGACCGGTCGCATTTACTCTGCGAGATGAGCTGGGCGAGGCCACCGCCCGCCTGATGATCCGCGGCGGTCATGACAAGGAGATTGTGCTCCTCACTGCACAACAGATCGTGACCTTTCAGGAGATCGTGGACGTGATCAACGACACCACCGGGCGACAGGTCCGACTGCAGCTGGTTTCGCCGGATGAGTTTGTGCGCTTGAAGGCAAACGACGACGAGGGAGGGAAACCCGAAGGGTTCTTCCGGATGCTGTTGTCATGGTACGATGCCATTGCCAACGGGGAGACCGCGACAACAGATCCCCTGATGGCGGACTTGCTGGGGAGAGAGCCCGTGTCGCCCCGGGAGGCCATTCGCGCGTTTCTCACAGAAGATCGGGACTATGTGTGGCATCAGAATTATATCAATCGCGGGTAAAATCACTGGTAGCATGTGAGGTGGTAATCCAGCGTCGGTGTCTGGTCAGCACCGAGGCTGTGGAGCCCGGCAACGGACCGCGGGAATTGGCCTGACCAGTCAGGCAGCAGGTCACATGGATCGCACCTCGATTTTTGATGGAGATATGATACCCAAAATGACCGGAATGGGAGGGAATAAGAGCATTTTAATTAATGAAAGTATACTCGCTATTAGCCCACGGAAAATTACTTTATATTGCGGTAAGAAAAAGCCCACACGGAATCCCGACTCGGCTGCTGCAGCAAGCGACGGGCGCCGTGTCCGCCCGACGCTTGTAATTAGCTCGCGTGTGATTGGCTGGTGATAGCTCAGTCAGCGTCCTCCCGACCGTCAAACCCGAGGTTACCTAAGGGCAGCGCTCCTTGACTTCATTTTGTCTGTGGCGTGAGATCTTAATCTTCAGTACCTGTGTTGACCCCTCTCCTCTCCTAGTCCATTGCTGTATCATCTAATCTCTGTTTGGGCTCCTGTCCTTCCTCTCCCTATCTTCCCATCTCGGTCTTCGCCACTTGCGCCATGGCCTCCCTCCGCACCACGTCGCGACTGTTCGCTGCGCGGCCGATGTTCCGGCCTGCGACCTTTGCCCGCTCCTACGCGACCGTCGACACCAATTCCTCCGAGCAGCCCAAGATGAAGACCTTCAAGATCTACCGCTGGAACCCGGACCAGCCGAGCGAGAAGCCCCAGATGCAAAGCTACGATCTCGACCTGAACAAGACCGGTCCCATGATGCTGGACGCTCTCATCCGCATAAAGAACGAGCTCGACCCCACCCTGACCTTCCGACGAAGCTGCCGAGAGGGAATCTGTGGTAGCTGCGCAATGAACATTGACGGTGTCAACACACTGGCCTGCCTGTGTATGTGCCTGCAATGGAAATACCCGCCCGCGCAGGACCCAGCTAATATACGATGAATAGGCCGCATCCCGACGGAAACCTCGCAAGAGTCTCGCATCTACCCGTTGCCGCACACCTACGTCGTCAAGGATCTGGTCCCGGATCTGACCCACTTCTACAAGCAATACAAGTCGATCAAGCCATATCTGCAGCGCGACACCCCCAGCCCAGATGTAAGTGATCTCATCTCATCATGCCTTATCTGCGCGTTCTGAAGCTAATATGTTTGCTTCTCATCAGGGACTCGAGTACCGCCAATCCCCCGAAGACCGCAAGAAGCTCGACGGTCTGTACGAATGCATCCTGTGCGCCTGCTGCTCAACCTCGTGCCCATCGTACTGGTGGAACAGCGAGGAATACCTGGGCCCCGCCATCCTGCTCCAGTCCTACCGCTGGCTGGCCGACTCGCGTGACGAGAAGACCGCCGAGCGTAAGCAGGCTCTCGACAACAGCATGAGCGTCTACCGCTGCCACACCATCCTGAACTGCACACGAACGTGCCCCAAGGGTCTGAACCCCGGCCGCGCCATCGCCGAGGTCAAGAAGATGCTGGCTACCTAGATTCGGGCTATAAAACGGAGTATCTTGGATTTTCTTGTTCTTTGGTTGACCACCATTTAACCAGTCGCTCTTCTGTCTCTTTTATTTTTTTTTTCTCCGACTCGCACGGAATGTTTCCATAGGTGTAAATCGCGGACATTGGTTTCTTTACAGGAATGCACTGGTGTAGTCCATTCAATTGGAACTTATATTTTCTTTTGTATTTTATATTTTATACTTTGATATTTAGCAAGCTCCCTCCCTATAGCAAACGTGTTTTCCACAATTCGATTTATGTGTCCTTTTTTTCGCCAGGCGTGCGCGATTTCCATGCCAATAATCCTGCGGGGCGTGTTTTTTTTTTTTTTTTTTTTTAATTCGGCTACTTGGATTCGGCTATTTGTTTTGCCCGTCATTTGCCTGGCAATCAATCCACACCATTCCAGGGCTATGTACCACCCTAATTATTCTGCTAGCAATTTGTATTACTGCCACTTAAATACTAGAGTTGACAGGCGGTGGACTTTAAATAGGTAGGCGGTGGACCTGGGTACAACTGGGGAACTTGATCACCTACTGTAAATATAGGGCCAAAACAGAGAAATATATTTGCTCCTCAATCTGACAATATTTGGGCTCTTGGCACAGGGGTAATGCGCTCCCTTCGCATGGGAGAGATCCAGGGTTCGATTCCCTGAGAGTCCATTTTTTTTAGTTCTTCTTCCCTTGGTTTATGGAGCATAGGGAAGGAACTATACATATATATCACATGACCCAATCACATGATAATTATAGTGTCACGTGGCTAATTAATAAGCCTTGAAATCCAGCCGGTCAAGCAACTAACGTTGGGGCCGCCCTAGTGACGCCCCTCACTCCTTTAGTTGACCTGGAGACTGCGATTAAATGATGTTTAAAAGTCGAGACAGGTATTCAGACTTAGAAGTAGTGGATTCTACTGGAGAAGTCATATTATTATTCAAGAAATGACTACCTTGCGCCACAATGTTTCAAGCTCCACGTCTCTCCCCCCACTATACCGGCCATTATGAGATCAGGATCCGTCGGCACCATGCTCCATATTTATTTTTCCTGCACTCTGCAATGGGGCCGTCATTTGCATACTGACTGAATGCTGATTGGATCATTGTCTGTCATGGGATGGTCATTAACTCGTGTGTTTGGCCGCATGTGTCTTCGACTCTCACTATCACACCCTTGCCCGAAATAGAGTGATTCTCGACAAATGCTCTGCTTTTCATTGGCCAGTCCCTTATACTCTATTGGATGACATATGGCATTAGTTGCTTGTTATGGGGGAAGGATGAACAGCTCTAGGACGTGATAACGGGGTCTCAATGCATTGTCGAGGGGCGGAGAGAGAGGAAGACTAAACCGTCGAGAAATGAGCGAATACACGTTCATCTTCCCTCGTTTTCTCTTTCTTTTTTGAAAACATTTTATTCTTTGTGTGCTCCCCTCGGTGGTATTGGCCTTGAGTCTTCCGCATCTCCACATCTCTTTCTGTATGGTATCTCCACGATGGACTATCCCATACCGTATTCTGCACTGGCAGTAACGATACTCGGGTATCTGGGCCTGCGCATCGTCTACCGTCTGTATTTCGACCCTCTGTCCAGGTTCCCGGGACCAAAACTGGCGGCGGCGACCTTTCTCTATGAGTTCTACTATGACATCGTCAAGAGCGGCATGTACCTCTGGGAAATAGAACGCATGCACCAGAAATATGGTGAGCCGCATGGACTCTCTTTCAAGACCCAAAGTGGCATCTCGATAGCTCCCTTCCTTTCTCTTACACTCACTAACACACAAAACCCTCGCTTAAGGACCCATTGTGCGAATCAATCCCAGAGAACTGCACATCAAGGACCCGTACTACTACGACGAGATCCACGCAGGTGGCTCTCGCAAACGAGCCAAAGACCCCCAGTACGCAGTGGCCTTTGGAGCGCCGTACTCGCTAGTCGCAACAATCGACCACGACCACCACCGCCAGCGACGCAATTTCCTGAACAACTACTTCTCCAAGCGGTCTGTCGCCAGTTTGACCCCACTAATTCATGAGAAAGTCGACCAGCTCATTCGTCGCTTCGAAGACGCCTTCCGCAAGCGCACCGTGCTGCACTTGCAACTGGACTTTGCCGCCCTCACCGCGGACGTGATCACACAGTACTCGTTCGGATGGAGCCACGGCTATCTAGACGACACCAACAGCTTGCGTAGCAATGACCTCGTCGACGCCGTCAATGGCGTGATGACCATGTTCCACATCAACCGCTTCTTCCCGTTCCTCATCACCATCTTCCGCGCCGCGCCCCCGGCCGTGCTGCGCTGGCTTCAGCCCTGTATGGCGGATTTGTTTGACGTCAAGGCCCGTCTTCGCCAGCAGGCGGAGGATACTATGCGAAAGAGATTGTTGGAGAAAGTTGAGACCGCTGATTGGTCTTCGACTATCTTCGATGCTCTGACTAGCTCCGACGTGCCGTCTCAAGAAAAGACCCTCGACCGTTTGGAAGACGAGTCGGCTCTTCTTGTCGGCGCGGGCACTGAGACCACTGCGCGGGCTGTGGCTGTTGCCATGTTTTATCTGATCAGCAACAAGGATATGGCGCGGAGGCTGCGCGATGAGTTGAAGACTGTGTTGAAGACTCCTAATTCAAAGGCTTCGTGGACGGATCTTGAGCAGCTGCCGTACCTGGTGAGGATATCCGTTTTGTTTACTCGTGGATTTTCCTTCTTTTTGACCCATCTGCGAATAAAAAATTATGCTAATTATTTCCGTCGCACCAGGTGGGCGTCGTCAATGAGGGTCTCCGTCTGAGCCACGGCATGACCGCACGTCTGGCTCGCATTTCCCCGAACGAGCCTCTGCTCTACAAAGATTGGGTTATTCCCGCTGGGGTGAGTATACAAGTGGCTCCCCCCACCCCTTCATTGCATATAAAGCAGATGCAAATCCCTGCCAAACGAAGAATGCTGACCCCAGTAGACCGCAGTCAGCCAATCCAACTACTTCGTTCACATGGACCCGGACCTCTTTCCCGACCCCGGGAAATTCAGCCCGGAGCGGTGGGTTCGCGCGGGAGAAAGAGGTGAATACCTGAGCCGGTTCATTGTGTCGTTTACCAAGGGCAAGAGACAGTGTCTGGGAATCAAGTAAGCTCACCCCCTCCCCCTCTTTCCCCCACAGACTGTTTCTCTGTCAGACAGCCAATTCACTAAGTTTTGTCATGTCGTTAACTATGGAAATATTTATAGTCTGGCCTACGCGGAAATCTACCTGGCCCTGGCCCACATCGTGCGCCGCTTCGACTTCGCGCTGTATGAGACCACGGTAGACAATATCAGTGTCTACCGCAATTTGGGCGTTGGGTACCCCAAGAATGGCAACTTTAATGTTCGAGCGACTGTGGAGGCCATTTTGGATGAGTGAATCCAAGATGGTTGTTGGGCTTTTCTGTGGACTTGAGAGTAGACCCGGTGGTTGGGCTCTTGTGGATTTGGAAGTGTGTAATCAGGCCATTCATTAACCAGGGGATGTGCACATAATCTTTCTACCTTACTACCTTACTCGTGAATATGATCTTCTCGGTTTGATGTCGGCTTGTAATTGGTTGGGCAGATGTATACCTCCAAGCATGGAATTAGAGAACATCATTCAAGTCTTCAAAACAAGTCTTGGATCGTTCGGTGTTTACTGTGGGCTGAATTCTCATTGTGCTGCTTTTAAATACTCGGTGTTTGATTGATGCCGATGTTGAAAGGTATTTTTCGACTATCTCTGCAGATATATATCGGAAGAAATGCCGGCCTCAACACAACAAATACAAAATCTACCACTTTTCTTTTCTTTCATTGTTCCTTTTTTTTATCATCAATCTATCTCAACTAAAGTAATACCATAACATTTTACCCAAAGATTCTGCATATAGAGAAGACCAGAAGTGTTAAGGCTATGTGAACATAGCTTGTCGGCCATAGGCAACACCTAGGATATCTGAAGACCCTAGAAAACCCAAAGCTACAATACGACTGTGATTTTTTTTTCTCTTCTTAAAACGAATTCACATGTTCAGATGTTCGTTTTTGAAACTCGGTGTTTTTTCAGCCAAGGCAATATAGTCGCTCAAGACTGAGCAGTGATAAACCAAGACTACTCATTATTGCGGACATGACAACACACATTACTATACTTCTAACATATAATAACAGCAGTATATCATAGTAGCTTCTACAAGGTAGCTCAAACAAAAAGCAAATCACGCTACAGGGTCCATGCATCCTCGATGATTCATCAATTAGGGCTACCATCGGTGTGGTTGCACTGATGCTGGATGTAACAAAATAGACCTGTTGGAATGAATCCAGCTTGCAGATCACAGAATTTCGAGGCTGAAGGGGCTGGTTGTAAAATCCATTATTCTCCCGAGGCGCAAAACAAGCAATAAGGCTGAGAGAGAGAGCACCGCGGAGTGTGTGGCGGGTGCTGCAAGGGATATACAGGGTTGCCAGGGGAATGCCTCGCCGCATGCCTGAATCCCCCTTCGTGGTATTTCTCATGAATCTGAAGCACAAGGTTTGAATTAAAGGACTCCAGCGGCGTTTCATGTTTTGCAAAGGGGTGCTCTCTTGCTCCAGAGATAGTGGTGTAGAGAAGAGTTCGGATAGAGCTTGTCATTCTATAGAATCAGCGAATCGGCCTCATAATGCATCATGCAGGAACCCGACAAGTGTGCGTAGCGTGGCAGGAAATAAGCGGTGATTTCCTAAGAGATCAAAAGCAATAGAACTGCGTGTTGCAGGAACTATACCCCCGCCACGGTCAACATCGTCCCACGGAAGCCTCCCTGATCAGCGCAGATAATACTTGATTGACTGACCTCCAACCTCCGACAAGCTTTCATTGGCAGCGCCCTGGCTATCATTCCAAAGAAACCCAGCATAACCCAATCCCCAATTGCGCGATCCCAGCCCTTCCCCTGGTTTGCCATACCTGCGAGCGCGCGGAGGGCAGACCCGCCCCTTCTGTTATGTTAAACTCGTCATATAACCAGGCCCAGCGATGCTGATCTTTACCAGCGTCGGTGCCAGGCATGGACGACGCGGTAGGGTCAGGGATCACAACAGAGCGAAGATCAAGAATCCTAGCGATTTCGACATATAAGGCGCTGCATCCCTTTACCCCGATAGCGAATCTTTTCTGAATTTCCCCCTGAGTTCCTTCACTTTATACCCAGTCCTCAGTCGAAGTAAGACCAGCCGACACAAGATGCACGCCTCTTACCTGTCCCTGGCCCTCTTTGCCCTCGGTGCCGCCGCCGCACCGGGTGCCAACCGCCCTCACGGCGACCCGTTCGGCGCTGGCAAGTTCCCGTTCTACCCGGCTGGCACGTCCAGCTCGGATACGGACGATGACGGCTTCGAGAACCCAATGGCTGCGGCCATGGGTGCGCTGCATTCCGCGCAGGTCGCCTCGTACCACTCTGTGTCGCCCTCGTCGACGCACAGCGTCATGATGGCCACGCCCGTCAACGAGAACATCGAAGTTTCCTCTTCCTCTTCGGAGCATTTTGTGGAGAAGACCCCCACCTCGCAGCCTATTGTGCAAGCTACCCCGTCGTCGGAGCACATCGTGCAGATGACTCCTACGCCGACTCACGCCTTCATGCACTCGCACTCCCAGGCCTTTACTAGCTTCTCGACCTCGCAGTCTACCCACCTCGTCATGCACAAGCCTACCCACATTGCTACCTCCTCGGCCTCCAGCAGCTCGGCCCACCACTCTTCTTCGGCTACCCCGTCCGCTTCGGCTACCCCCAAGGCTGGTGCTCTCGGTCCCCTCGGTAACCTGCTCGGTGGTCTCCCTCTCCTCCATGGCCTCGGTCTGCGCCGCTAAAATTGGAAGAGACAAAGCCGGCTGGTTATTTGTGTGATTGGATGGTCATGTATTTGATTACTGGTTGGCGGTGCTACGTCTTTTTCTTCTTTTTTCTGGGGTTCGTTTATATATCCAAGGAAGTTTAATCACTACAGGGGTTCTCAATCGCTTCTTGCTTCGTATTGAATCTAGTTGGCTCACAACGCAATGTAACACGCGCTTCAATCATCTACACCACAACAAACTTCTCCTTTCATGGGTATCTCCCGCCCGAACCCAACATATCTATGCACCGCTCAACAGCCTTCTGCATAGCATCAGTAGCCTCCTCAATAACCGTAGTCAAAGGCGCCTTCCCGGCCCTCTCCTGTTGCACCTTGACGAACTCATTATTCAAGACCTTGTTAATATTGATCTTGGACACGCCGCTCTGAATGCACTTCTGAAAGATCTCCGTCGTAAAGGGATCAGCCCCATGCAGCACAATTCGCACCTTGTCTCCCACAGCCCGATTGATCGACTGCAGCCGCTCATACTCAAGCTGAATACCGCGAGGCCCATACTCGCCATGAACATTCCCAAAAGCCGGCGCCAGCCAATCAATCCCCGTATCCACAAACTCATGGCTCTCCTCAGGTGTGGTAAGCAGGCCCTCCAGGTCAGCCGTATCCGCGACGCCGTCCTCGCCGCCCTCGATGCGTCCGGGCTCGGCTTCCGTCGCGATGCCGCGCGCGTGGCAGTACGCGACCAGCTCGCGCGTCAGCGCCAGGTTCTCAGCCTTCTCATAGTGCGACATGTCCACCATGATGCTGTCGAAGCCGCCCAGATCGGCGGCGCGCCGGATGATCTCTGGTGTTTGTGCGTGGTCCATGTGCACGGTTACGGGGACAGATGCCTTTTGGGCCGCCTCGGCTGCGGCGTGCACGAGGATCCCGTCGGCGTAGTGCACGGCCCAGGGGAAGAGGAGGATCATCGCCGGTGAGCGCTTGGCTTCGGCTGCTCGTACCGTTGCTAGGATTCCCTCCACATTGTAGCAGCACATTCCTGGGACGCCGTAGCCGTTGGCTGCGGCGTGGTCTAGGATGCGGGCGGCGCGGTTGTCTTTGAGAGGCATGGTGGGGACTGAGAAAGTGTGTGTGAAAAGAAGAAAGGAGAACTGCGTTCAGGATACTAGAAAAAATTGACGCCAATTTCTGGCGTTCTGGTACCTCCCTGCCCCGCGTTTTATAGTGGTCGCGATGATGTCCGAGTGTCGCTATCAGTCGCTGGTTGTCCGAGCCTCGGACCAGCTCCGAGGCTGGAGAGTTACGTCAGGTTGATCGGGTCGAATCGCGAGTTTCAATCGCTTGTGTTACGAGATGCTATGACAGACTGCGGTATTTGCGCGATTTTTAAAATGAGAGGTCTGTTCGAGTGCGAGTTGTATGCAGTATCTATAGGCAGGTCGCTCGGAGCCCTAATACTCAATTGAGACTCAACGCCCACCAGACAATGATCACAAAGACCAAGTCTAAGACAACAAAAGAGGATATATTGTATGGAAAATAGAAGACAACTCTCAATATGCACTAGTTGCCAAACACCTTGATCACACCCGTGCTCCCCTCAGCACCGAAACCCGCCCTCTTCGCCAGGAACAGCACACTCATCGCCGCATTGCCCAAGTTCAACGGACAATGCAAGTCCCTAGCCTTCTGCACCGCCTTCTCCAGACGCAAAATAGCTCCATCAATCGTCTCAGACGCAGCATTCGCGCCGATGCGGCCCTCGATCATATCTAGTCCCTTCGTCAAGAACTCCCGACTCGCCCCCGCTGCATCGCTGACAAGAGTAAAAAATTGCTGGAGATCAACCTTCAGATAGCGGGCGAACGCAATTGCCTCGGCCGCGGCAACCAGGTTGGTGACTTGCATCATGTCCAGCACCAGCTGCAGAGCTTCGGCGGTCTCAGCGGCAGACTTGGTGCAGGATACCTTGGTGACGGGCTCGGCGTAGTATTGGCGCACCATGGACGAGTCGTCGACGGAGCCGTAGCCCTGGAGCAGGGCAGATAGGTAGACCTGCTCAGCTGTTGAGGAGAGGGGGTGGGGGAAAGTGGGATTGGCGGGCAGAGGTGGTGATGATGCCCTAGTATCAATTAGCAATGCTGAAAGAACAATGGTCACAAGAAATGAATCCAATCGTCGGGCAACATACCACATCCTTCAAAATAATCGTCAGCGCACTCGCCCCAGGATGCCAATCCTCCTCCAGCAAGCGCTGCAACCGGTTCTCATGCATCCAAGTCCACGCCACAGACGCCTTGATCGCCTCCGCCGTCTTGACAGCATCCAGCCCCAAGTGCGCCGCAAACCCCATCGCCTCACTAGCGCCCAGAATATGGACCCCCGCCAGCACCTGGTGCACCATCTTCATGTTACTGCCAGCACCGATCCCGCCAGGGACCAGGTACAACTTGTTGGCGTCGGCCATAGTCTCGAGCAGGAACCGGCCGCTCTGCAGCGCCGCGTCGGGCGCGCCCGCCATGATCGAGAGCGTGCCGTTGGCGGCGCGCTTTGCTCCGCCTGAGACGGGGCTGTCAATGAAGTGGATGTCGGCGCGACCGCGGGCTTGGAGCTCGGCGGCGACGGATTGGGCGTAGGAGGCGGCGACGGTGGAGCAGAGGAGGAGGGTTGCGTTTTGGGGGGAGGACTATAGGAAGCCAAGTCAATAATGTGTGAGTAACATATACCTTTTCTCCAAAAATGAATCATTCAATCATTCAATCTATCTCTTACCAGAAATAATGCCCTCCTCGCCAAATAGCACCGTCTGCACCTGCGGCGCCGACGCCACCATGCAGACATAGAACTGCTTTCCGTTCGCAGATTCCCGCAGAGACGAGGCTGCAATACCGCCCGCGGCCGTGAAGCGCTCAACCGATGCCGGGAACACGTCGAAGCCCTGCACCGCGTAGCCCTCCTTCACCAGGTGGGTGGCCATGCCGAAACCCATGGCGCCCAGGCCGACGAAGCCGATAGCTGGCTTAGACATGATGGACACGGGATATGAATGTCTGTGCTAAAAGTAAAAGGCTGTGCAAATGATATACAAGAATGCAATAAAGAGGAATTTGCAAATGTACTGTCCCGCGTGGGGGTTTTATGGAGGAAGTCAGAAGAGTCTGGGGAATCTCGCTCACAAGGCCGAGTGGGATGTTCGGGCCAACTCCGACGGGCGATAACCTGCGTTCTTTTGCCGTGTTCTGCCCGAGCCGAAAAGGACGCAGGAGCAGCCGAGTTGTCTGGGCACTTCATTTATTGTCTGAGCGTTTAGATTACTGCAATCTACAAGGGAAACTTTCAACTTTCCATGACTATTTCTGGCCACTGTAAGGCTCGAATATGGGGTGAATGCAATTCTATTCATCTCATGACCTTTCTATACAAAAGAAATATGAAGTAAATAAACTGATTGAACCAAACACCGCCAGTGCATGTCAAATATAGTGGCTTGCGTAGAGACTGTGTATGCGCCGAGGCATCATCATCCCCAACTTCTCTGCCTCTTCCTCAGAGTGAGCTGTGATAAACCCACGGAAGACAGGATAGGGCCGCGAATACGGCGTGCCCAGCCGCTCCGTAACAGGCTTGAGAACACGCACAGCTGCGCTTTCGGAACCATTGGGGCTAGAAGGGGCCGTTGTTAGGATTTCGCTTTCGCTATCCTCGTCTTCGACTTGATGCTCATCTTCAATGAAAGTGGGCGCAACACCAAGATTGGGAATCCAGTCATAGGCACTGTACGACATGAACTCGGGCGATGATTCATCGCTCAGATGAGGGAACCAGGTCCCTGAGTCTTTCATGTTCGGGTGGTCTGCTGTCTCTCCTGGCAAATCCCTTGACAGATCCAATGACAAATCCTCCATCTCCCCAGACGGATGGAAGTTATCGTTAGAATGCCCGGTATGCTCAGAGCTAGCAGAGCCCCGACTAGCTACGCGCGAACAGTCCGTTGAGAGAGAAGGAGTGAAGCCCTCCGCTAGAGCTTGGTAGATATCAGCAATCAGGTCATCAAAACCCCGGTACGTGGTGTCGAGCTCCTTACCAGAAGCCGGGCGAGAAGCCTCTTCTTCGTCTTCGTCAAAACACTGAGTCAAGAGGTCAGAAAATTGGATGATTGTCTCATCGCCGGTACAACTCACTTCCTCTTCTTGGTCTGTTTGGGTGGCCCGATTCGTGCTGACGCGGGAAGTAGACGGTTGGGCATTCCGATGAGCATCCCGACGAACATCCCGACGAGTGTCACAACACGAACAGCGGCGCCGGCACCTGCGCCGGCGGGACGATGAGTTTGATGTGCTCCGAGAGAGATCTGCAAAAATATCACACTGATCGTCGTCAGTCACTTGTGCGGTGGTATGTGTTTGTGTTTGTCTTGCTGTTGGGTTCCTCACATCAATGGTCATGCGGGCATCAAGTTCAATGAGGGGACTCTTTGCGCCCAGGCCCTCGATGGTCAGAAAGAATTTGGGAGTGGTCAAGGCTTGCGGGTCATTCTGGACTACGGCTTCGCTCCATTCATACTCGCATTGCACGCAGAGGTTGGGCTGTGTGGATGGGAGCAGGTCGTGGCTGGTTTCGATGTCTTTGCACGACACGGTCTGGTTAGTGCCTGCCAGTAGGCGCAGTGTATTCGTGTATTCGAGGCAGCTGGTGACGCTCCAGTTGGACATGTGTCCACAGGCTGGGTAGTGGTGGTAGGTGTAGATGCACATGGCGAGAAACGGAGAGACTACTGCTGGTGGTGGTTATTTTCCCTGTCCATCGTGGGATCTTGTGGTTGTTAAATATTCGAACAGGAGAGTCAGAGGTATACGAGAATAAAGCCGAGTCAGCAATACAGAGACAATGGATGAAAGGCGTTTCGAATCAAAAAGACAAAGGGACAGTTCCCGAATGTCATTGTTGTTTTCTTTGTGTCTGAGAATCGCAACCACAAAGCCTTGTCCATCGCCAAGAACAACTTGTCTCGAAGATGGCTGAAGGCCCTTGAATGGGAAGGGTTCTCTTTGAAGGGATCACAGAACTGTCGGGGGGTTCCAGCAAAAAAAAAAAAAAAAGATTAGGAGGCCAACTCCATCAGATAGCGCACCCCCGAGTCAACCAGCCACCACGCCGCGGCTTGATGCATCCAGCGCACCACAGGCATTTCCAACGGCATCGTCCGAGTCTCATCAGCCCGTCGCCACATCATGGTCTCACTGTTGAATACGACTGCGCCATTCTGCTCATGAGCACTAATAGCCAGACGGCCCTGCACAAAGTCCATGGTCTTCATGGCAATCTCGAACTCGACCTTGTTCTGGCGACGCACTTTGACACGATACACGTCGCAGACGAGATCTCCTTCCTGGAAATCCAGAGTGGCAATCTGCGATGCCTGGAAGCTCCGCCGTTCTTCGGGGGTTGAGCTCACTACCCGCAGCATGAGGGCTTGCGGCAAGCGCGTGAAGGTGGTCATGTTGCGCCGCACCAGCTTGGTGACGAGACTCTCGGGGGATTCGCTCTGCGGAAGCAAGGAGCGCGGGACGGTTTTTGAAACATGGTCGTACAGCCCATAGTACTGGTCCGTGAATGTAGATTCCGGGATGGACTCGATTTCTCTCGGCTTGGAAGAGGGTCTCCCGAGGGTTCCGTAGTGAGATCGGTGCTGGACGCGCGACGACAGCCGCTGGTGCAAGATGTAGAGACACACAGAAGAGCCGATGATGACAGCCGCGGCCGTAATAACAAAGCGCATCATCTTGCTAATTGTTCGTCTGGTTTATTCGTTTCTGATCATTTAACTCCCAGAAAACGAGAGATGCAGAGATGAAGTCATCGCAGAATTTAAGCTTGGAATACGAGATGATTTCTTGGCATCAGGTCGCATTATCCGGTGGTGTATCATTGATTATAGTTCTGTTTCTTCAATATGCACATCCAGCATCGCACACCACACTCCACGTAATAGCAAGACAATAAAAACACAAAATTAACCCAAATGGTATCAGTCCGGGATCGAAGACACAAATTCAACGGGAAATCAAAGCAAATCCAGAGATTAGAGATTACTTGGACTGCTGGGGCTGCTGGGGCTGCTGGGGTCGGCGACCCTGGGGTTGACCACCCTGCAAGACATCGACATGGCCACTGTTGTGCCACTTAGCTAGCTTGGCACCGCACTTGCCACAGAAGTGGTCGACATCTTTGAGCGACGTCATCAGGTACGGGATGCATCCGAGACAGCAGCAGAAGCAAAGAACGGCGGCCCAGCCACTGGAGAGAAAGTCAGCATTCGCAGTTTTTGTAGGCGATAATGATCGCGACCGGGATTTTCCAACATAAGGTCTTGATTCTCTTGGTTTTCATAGTATCGGAGGCAGAGGGTCAAAGAAAGGAGGGCTCGACTTACTGGGTCGTCATTCCACTGGCTGCCTCTGTTCTGGTCATCTCGCGCTGACCGCAGACCGGGCAATCGACAGGGCTGGGCGCAGATTGAAGCGCATGCAGCGGCGCAACAGTGGCATACCCGGTCGGCTGACCAAATGGCGTGTAGTAGGTGTTGGGAGGCGGGGCCTGCGCTACGGGCTGCCCCGGGTAGGACTTCTCTGTTGGGTATGCGGCCTGCGCCTGGCCTGTAGGAGCCGGCGACAGCTGATCGGGGGTCGGCTGGCCGGGGTATGCCTTTGCGCCCGGCTCTGGGCTCACGGGGGATTGAATGGGCTGTCCGGCCTGCAGGGAGGAGGGAATGGGCTGGCCCGGCTGGGTGTGAGCCGGCTCCGGGCTCACCGGGGTCGGGAAGACGGCCTCGGGCGCCTCGCTGTAAGCGGGTTGTGCTTGGGGTGCCTCGTTGTGGATGGGTTGTTGCGCCTGGCTCTGAGGCGCGGGGGCCTCGGTGTAGGGGGGTGCAGGGGCTAATGGCAAGTCAGTACACTGCAAAGAAGGGCGACGATCAGATCTGAAGCGTACTGGAGCTTTGCTTTTCCGACATGATGAAGAGAGTGATTTTCCAAGTATGAACAAAAAAAAAATGAAGATGTCAAGGGGCGGAGGCGAAATATAAGAGAGATAAAAATAGGCTCTAAGGCTTTTCCCCCGGTCAGACCCTACACTGCCCGCGGTGGAGCCAAAGGCGCACGCGAAACACGCGGACTCGCATTTAACCTTGGAAAGATCGATCTTCGTGAATCGTTGAATTTCCAAGAATGTGCCACTTTGACAGGGTCCAACGGGCCCACATTCTTCGTAGAAATTGCCTTGTCTTGCAAATCATGGCATCTTGCGATGAATTCATTCATCACTTCCGAGTCAAGGCTGATCTCCGAGTCTGGTCAGCCGCGAGTGGAGTCTGAGCGCTGGCCCCCAACCTCCGCCGTTTTGGTACTGGGGCTGATTGAGTTTCTTTTTTCTTAGTGCGCAAAGGAAATTCAAGTGGAACAGAGGGTCGTTGCAGTCTGCGTTGATTCCAAGAGAGGCGGTGTCCTCGCCAGGAAGTATATCAACTGGCGACATGCATGCACTGCCCCGAGACACGAGAAGCAACTTGATGGATGAAATATATTTGGATCCTAATTCCTTACTTTGAGAAGAAATCAAATCAATCCTGTTTCCATTCTAGTTTCCAGGTGAAAAGTGCAATGAGGGATTCTGCTCCAATCTGCCTTGTTTGTTAGGCTAAGTTTATTGTATAGCATTAATATCCTCACTTTACTTAAGATGTAATATTGTTGTGGTCTGATTTGACTATTCCTATCTAATTTTACTCTCTAACCATCTAAGGTTGTGTTATTTCTCCTACATCAATCTATCCGCTTAGGTGTACTCTTAAACACCGAGACAATGGATCTCTCAGGGCCTTAACTTTTAACAGCCGGTGTACGATCATTCTACCTCTCTAGGGTCTATTTTCCTGTCTTCCTCTAAGCTCTCGAGTTAAAGAGAGCTACCTCTCGGGTATTTTAGGCTGTTGATTAGGTATAGAAATAACGTTAAAGAGAGAGCAATTGTCAAGCAAGACTCGTTTAATAGAAGATAGAGACTTAAGAATCAAAATCAGAGACTACTAAATAGATAAATAAACAAATTAACAAATAGTAGTAGTCCTCTTGAGGCCCTTATAGTATAGGGAAACCCGGAAATCCTTTATATCTGAAATAGTATACTAGAGGATAGGCCTAATAGGTTAAAAAAGAAATCTGTAGAAAGTAAAAAGGCTAAGAAATAGGCTTACTGCTAGTATCCACCTATAATAATTCGATATGTCCAGCGTTTAATACTATCTAGGAAAGATTTGCATTTTCCAGAATCATAATAGCTTAGATTATATTAGAATAATCGAAATCGAATGTTCTCCTCGAGCCAAAGGTAGGGATTAGGGAATGGACATTAGAGTCAAAAACTCGGTCCATTTCAGCATTATCCCTATGTTTAATATGACCAAGCAGCTTGGTACAATTATTATCGCTATACCAAGTAAGTGTCCAATTGGCCACTGTCAAGGAAGGAACAAGTGCAAGAAAAAGAGTAAGGCCCTGCATTGTGCGGTTGGTTTAAACCAAGAGACTGGAAGTAGGAGAAGGGAAGATAATAAGAAGAACAATCCCTTTTATTAAGGGGAACCCTAAGGTCTTATATATCTACCTATTCTCGCGGTCACCCTAAACCTAACAGGGTAGAGAACTTGCAAAAAAGATCTGATATCTAAAAAAGGTATAAAGGCGTGGAGATAGTAAGTTGCTTACAGAGAAAACAGGTGATTCTCATCCACTATTATATGGCCACCCTATTAACCCCTCTCAACTGAACTATGTCTATCCCTACGTAGGTAGTAGGTGGACCCACTGCTAAGAGGCTATGGGGTTACCTCTTGAGGGGCAGATACTATAATATTACTAGACTGCCGCTCTCTCTCGAAAACCGAAACGCCTAAGCTGTTCCCCTGAAATCATCTGAACCATACTACCAGGACATATTCACCTTCTGGGTAAGTCTGACCATAAGCCCATGCATCTAGAATGGCTCACTCATATGATCTATGATCTATTCCGCTGTTCCACCGCATTGATGCAGGTCTTGCAACAGACTGCCTATGAGGAGCAAAATCGGTCCCTGATTATTGATATCTGGCGATTCGAGGGCTACCTGCCAGATGCCCGATCTTCAAACTACAATGGACGCACCCAAGCCGGGTCCAATGCAGACAACGTCCTGGCAGATGCATACGTCAAGGGCGTTCGCGGAGCAGTCAATTGGGAAGACGGGTACAAGGCCATGGTCAAAGACGCAGAAGTAACGCCCAAAAGTCCCGTCGATCCAATGGCACCCGACTCATTGACCAAAGAAGGCCGTGGTGAGCTTCTGGATTGGCTCAGCCTGGGCTATATCACGCCCAAGTTCAACCGCGCATTCAGCCGGGCTATATCAGGTTGCATCCGGCCTGAAGAGGGAAAAGGACGCGCAAAAGTACCTGCATCGCTCGCGAAACTGGCGCATTCATTCGAATCCCAACCAAACTTCACTGGGATTCTCGGGGTTTGCGGTGCCGCGCAATACTTCTGGTTTCCTCGATACCGATCCGTTGAAGGACAGTGGCTACTGGGGCGATCCCTATTATGAGGCAAGTTCATGACCATACTCATGGATTGGTGTGCATGATATGCGGCGAATGACCGGATTAATGGGAGGCGCTGAGTCTGCCGTCAAGCGGTTGAACATCATGTTCACCGAGGGCGCCAGTGGGTCAAGTGGGATGATCTTTGATCTCACCAACGAACCGTTGGTATTCCCGTTCTCCAGTCCTTGAGAATGGTTGCTAAAAGCCGCGGCAGAATGTTCAATGTCCCCTACCTCTATAATTATGTCGGTCGACAAGACCTCGCGGTGTCGCAGTCCCGCAAAGTCGCCAAGGACAACTATCATACCGGGGCCGCAGGTCTACCGGGGAACAACGATGCCTGAGCCATGCAGACCTGGCTCCTCTGGAACATGATGGGGCTCTACCCCATCACAGAGCAGACCACTTTCTTGATTCATTCACCGTGGTTTGAGTCGTTGACAATCGACCTGGGCGATAGCAAAAAACCTGCACATCACGTCAACCGGAGGCGATGGCAACGGCGACCACGACATCTATGTGCAGAGCTTGAAGGTCAACGGGAAGAAGTGGACGCGGAGCTGGCTGACAGGGGAGGACATCTTCGCGCAAGGTGGAACACTTGCGTTCAAGCTGGGGCGGACAGCGGTCAATTGGACCAACGGCGAGCTGCCGCCGAGTCCTGCGTCCGAATAATGGGCACCTGCATGGTACGGAGAATCCGGTGTATAGTTTTGCCATGCCTAGGTTTTCATAGGAGCAATGCGATGTCTGGCGATTTTTGACTTTGAGGTTCGATCGTAAACACAGACCTGGTTGGAGAGGCCCTTGGGTTTTTTTTTTCTGAGTCTTTAAGCCGAAGAAGAGTTTTCTTGCGTTTCCTGCATGGGAACTCGAGTAGGACAGCCGAATGGCCTGCATCAACGTCAACGTCGTACGTCGCAGAGCCAAACTGTGTCACGCCATCCGCCAGGAGTATTTGAATCGAGCGACAGAGATTCAGTGGCAGCCAATGCTTCTGAAGATTGTACAGGGCCCTCAATTAATTTCATTCAACTGTAATAGCTTCGAAAATTGTTTGCAGTTGAGAGGCGACCGAGTAACCGTAGCGGAGGCGGGTAAAGTTAAACTAAGGCAAAAAAGCCAGACAACATCAAGGACCAATAATGCGACGCAGTCTGCGCAAAAATTGGTCTTGATCCGTTGCCTCTGCTGTATCGCCCTCAGAGAAACAGGTGGCGAGTTGGAATGGCGGACGTCACACGGGGTACCTGACGCCGGTTCCGGAAGCAGCCTGAGCTCTCCACACCCCCACCAGAGCTCCGAAGATGGAGACAGCATCTGCGAAAGACACTCGTCAATCAGAGGGAAAAAGAAAATCTAATGGTATCAGCATCGGACGATCCCATCGACAAGCAAGAAAAAACTGGGAAGAAAAAAGCGTTGAGAGGGGTTGATGTCACATGTTGAGCGCTTGGGTCCCCCCCGCAGGATCTCCTCTTCTTCTTCTTTCCTCCTCCATTGCTCTACCCCAATCTTTTCTGTAGCTGTCATGGCGTCCCAGACAGCTGATCAACCCGATGGAACCGGTGTTCTCAAGCTGGATCCGTGGCTGGAACCACATCGTGATGCGCTGAAGCGCAGATACAGCTTGGTAAAGACCTGGGCCAAGACCATCACTGACACGGAAGGTGGGCTGGACAAGTTCAGCAAGGTGAATTGATCGTCTATACCCCTGGAAGTTGAGACCCAACTGACCATCTGCTCTCAGGGTTATGAAACGTTCGGTCTCCATACACAGCCAAATGGCGACATCACATACCGGGAATGGGCACCTAATGCGGCTGAGGCTTCTTTAGTCGGCGATTTCAGTACGTTCGGTGCTGAGAAGCAGTCTTGAAGGGCTTTACTGAGACTGGCAGACAATTGGAATGCCAATGCCAACCCCATGGCTAAGAACTCCTTTGGCATCTGGGAGGTCACGGTGCCGGCCAAGGATGGGGTCCCCGCGATTCCCCACGACAGTAAGATCAAGGTCAGTCCCTACCACTCATGACGACGAATAAATGCTTAAAATTGTAAAGATTACGATGGTACTTCCCAGTGGAGAGCGCATCTACCGACTCCCTGCATGGATCAAGCGCGTGGTCCAGGACCTGAGCGTGTCCCCAGCATATGATGCTGTTTTCTGGAACCCGCCTGCGAACGAACGATACAGTTTCCAGCACCCTCGGCCCAAGAAGCCTGAAAGCCTGCGCATCTATGAGGCGCACGTCGGGATCTCGTCGCCAGAGACCCGAGTAGCCACGTACAAGGAATTCACCAAGAACATGCTGCCTCGTATCAAGTACCTGGGCTACAATGCAATCCAGCTGATGGCTGTCATGGAGCATGCCTACTACGCAAGTTTCGGCTATCAGGTCAACAACTTCTTCGCGGCGAGTAGTCGCTATGGGTCCCCCGAGGACTTGAAGGAGCTCATTGACACTGCACACAGCTTGGGGCTTGTGGTTCTACTCGATGTCGTACACAGCCATGCGTCCAAGAATGTGCTGGATGGACTCAATATGTTCGATGGGACAGACCATCTGTACTTCCACGAGGGTGGAAAGGGCCGGCATGACCAGTGGGACAGTCGCCTATTCAACTACGGCAACCACGAAGTGCTGCGCTTTCTTCTGAGTAACCTCCGATTCTGGATGGAGGAATACAGGTTTGATGGTTTCCGGTTCGATGGAGTCACTAGCATGCTCTATCTACACCACGGCATTGGAACGTACGTGCATCTCTTTTATCGGTTGTTGCTTGGGCTATCGCTGACACAATCTCTAGAGGCTTTTCCGGTGGATATCACGAGTACTTTGGTCCTGCTGTCGATGAAGAGGGAGTCACGTATTTGACTCTTGCCAACAACATGCTCCATAATCTCTACCCAGACTGCATCACCGTGGCGGAAGACGTATCCGGTATGCCAGCCTTGTGTCTGCCACACTCGCTGGGAGGTGTCGGGTTCGATTACCGTCTTGCCATGGCAATCCCGGACATGTACATCAAGCTCCTGAAGGAGAAATCGGACGGCGAATGGGACATTGGCAACCTATCATTTACGCTGACCAACCGGCGCCACGGCGAGAAGACCATCGCATATGCCGAAAGCCATGATCAAGCGTGAGTAGAACAATGACTGGCCCATAAATGAACCCTCTTCTCTAACTTCTACTCGAAACAGGCTGGTCGGAGACAAGACGCTCATGATGTGGCTGTGCGACAAAGAGATGTACACAAATATGTCAGTGCTAACCGAGTTCACGCCGGTCATCGAACGCGGCATGGCAATGCACAAGATGATCCGACTGGTCACGCACGGACTCGGCGGCGAGGGCTACCTCAACTTCGAGGGCAATGAGTTCGGACACCCCGAGTGGCTGGACTTCCCTCGCGCCGGCAACGGCAACTCCTTCTGGTACGCACGCCGCCAACTGAACCTGACCGAAGACTCGCTGCTGCGGTACCGGTTCCTCAACGACTTCGACCGCGCCATGCAGCTCACCGAGGAGAAGTACGGCTGGCTGCACGCCGCACAAGCATATATCAGCCTCAAGCACGAAGGCGATAAGGTCCTGGTCTTTGAGCGTGCCGGCCTTCTCTGGATCTTCAACTTCCACCCGACCTCCAGCTTCACGGACTATCGGGTTGGCGTCGACGTCCCTGGTACCTACCGCATCGTCCTGGACACGGACGACTCGGCTTTTGGTGGACTGGGCCGCAACCTCAAGGAGACGCGCTTCTTCACGACTGATATGCCGTGGAATGGACGGGGCAATTTCGTCCAGGTTTACATTCCCACCCGGACTGCTCTGGTGAGTTATTAGCAACTTGCATTTGCAAGTGTCCTTCCTTGCGTCGGTGCTTTTGATAACTAAAATTTTCGGCAATAGGTCCTGGCATTGGAAGAAACCCTGTAGTGTTGAAGAAGCTCCTTCACCCTCTTTCGAATGCAAAGCGAGCCAATCCTCTTCTAGTTTATTTCGTACCATATAATGTGTTGCTTGGTTAGATTCGCGTTCCTCATGTCTGTCTCTGCCGATCATCACGAGCCATTTTATCTGTTCCCAAGAAATCAGAACCGTATCCATCTATTAGTGCCTGTTGGTCTTAGAGATGCAATACATGTGCTCAAGTAATAAGCTACATGTTCTTGTTGATTCGAGTACTGCCGTCTACGATTTATCAACCATGCAAGCAACTACATCTACCAAGCTCTACTCGCATTCCCCTATCCACAAGCCAACCAAGACCAGTTAGCGTCTCAAGACAACACATAACTACACATAGAACAGTATAGGAGATATATGCTCCGAGAGGCTACTAGAGAGAGTGAGAGAAAGAGAGAGACCTACAAAATCTAAAAAGAAGAGAAAAAGGCACCAGGAATCCATGGATTTCAACTGTAAATACACACACAATAATGAAACACAAGCCAGCGCGAGAACCGCCAGCTTTGAGAGAGAGGGTTAAAAAAAAAAGGAATCTCATCAACTCGCTAAGATAGACATGCACGTCTTTTTTGTTTCGTTTGCTTGTTGGGGGTTTGTTGTTTTGACCCTCCGGGATGATCCCAAATCAAATCGCCCACCCTTCTTCTCGAGTTCCATCCACTTTTTCTTTCCCTGCCATACTTTCCCTTCCTCTGATGGGCTCTCCAAGGAATCAGTCCATTCTCCTGTTTGTTCCTCTCACTCCTTTTCCCAGTTCAGGGGAAAGAAGTAAGAGTTCTCAGAACGCAGATCATCCTCGTGTGCAGAGTCTCCCGCCACGCCGACAAAACATTTGAAGAAAAAAGGAAAGGAAAAAGCAACAGATTTCGACAAATCACAATCCCTTTCTGGTTTTTTTCTTTTCTCTTTAAGATCGAGTACTATACACGCATCGAAAAGGGAGAAATGATGTCGACATGGCAGGGGGAGAAAGACACACGGGGGACAAAAGGGATGTTCGAACAAAGGAAATTGAAGAAACCGGAGACCAAGAGAGGAAGAAAAAAAAAAACACAAGAGGATGTGGGCAGACAAGAGAAAAGGGGAAACAAAGATTTGGCGGAGGAAGACGGCGCTAGCTAGCAAATGACAAAATTACATTTACTGGCCCTCAAGCTCAGCCAGAATCTGCTCACCCTTGGCGCGAGCAGACTCAAAGTCACCAACCATGTAGAAGGCGTTCTCGGGCAGGTCGTCACCCTCGCCGTTGATGATGGCCTTGAAGCTGCGGATGGTGTCCTTCAGGTCGACCAGCTTGCCCTCGATACCAGTGAAAACCTGGGCGACAGCGAAGGGCTGCGACAGGAAACGCTGGAGCTTACGGGCACGCTCGACGGTGAGCTTGTCGGCCTCAGACAACTCGTCCATACCCAGAATGGCGATGATATCCTGGAGCGACTTGTACTCCTGGATCATCTGCTGGACACGGCTAGCGGTGTTGTAGTGGTCCTCACCGATGACACGGGGGTCCATCATACGGGACTTGGAGTCCAGGGGGTCGACAGCGGGGTAGATACCCAGCTCGGAGATACCACGGGACAGCACAGTGGTGGCGTCCAAGTGGGCGAAGGTGGTGGCGGGGGCAGGGTCAGTCAGATCGTCAGCGGGCACGTAGACGGCCTGGACGGAGGTGATAGAGCCCTTCTGGGTGGTGGTGATACGCTCCTGCATGACACCCATGTCGACGGCCAGGGTGGGCTGGTAACCGACAGCAGAGGGGATACGACCCAGCAGGGCAGACACCTCGGAACCGGCCTGGGTGAAACGGAAGATGTTGTCGATGAAGAGCAGCACGTCCTGTCCCTCCTCCTCACGGAAGTACTCGGCGATGGTCAGACCAGTCAGGGCAACACGGGCACGGGCACCCGGGGGCTCGTTCATCTGACCGAACACCAGGGCGACCTTGGAGTCACCCTCGAGCTGGATGACACCAGTCTCCTGCATTTCGTGGTACAGGTCGTTACCCTCACGGGTACGCTCGCCGACACCGCAGAAGACGGAGTAACCACCGTGGGCCTTGGCAATGTTGTTCTGGGATGGAGTCAGCGACCGAGTACGGAGATACGTAGAAAACAATGAGCACTTACAATCAACTCCTGGATGAACACAGTCTTGCCGACACCGGCACCACCGAACAGACCAATCTTACCACCACGGGCGTAGGGGGCAAGCAGGTCGACGACCTTGATACCGGTAACCAGAATCTCGGCCTCAGTCGACTGGTCGGTGAACTCCGGGGGCTCGGCGTGGATGGGGGAGAACTTGGTAGCCTTGACGGGGCCACGCTCGTCAATGGGGTCACCAGTGACGTTGATGATACGGCCCAGGGTGGAGGGGCCGACGGGGATGGTGATGGGGGCACCAGTGTCGGTGGCAGCAGCACCACGGGTCAGACCCTCAGTACCTTTTAACAGATAAGTTAGCTTCAAGCTTTGGGGTGAGGTCGGTCGGGCCATGTGGGTCCCCCTTCTGTTTCGGGCGAGGGCACGACACGCTGGCCACGACAGGGACAAGCAAAGGGGAGATGGAAAAAGAAAGCTTACCGTCCATGGCAATGGTACGCACGACATTCTCACCCAAGTGTTGCTATAGGCAGGGATTAGCTTTGCGACCGACATGGATGGTTGTCCAATCAGGGTGGGCACGTACGGCAACCTCGAGCACCAGCTTCTGGCCGTTGTTCTGGGTCTCGATGGCGTTGAAAATGGCAGGGAGCTTCTCGCCCTCGAACTTCACTGTAAAATCACAAAGCAGGACGTCAGAAAGAATGCAGGAGATGGCATTGAGATCGATTGCGATGGGGTGGGAGATGGATGGGGGACCAGGAAAAAGATTTTCGCGAGGTCCCCCAAATCCCTTCTCTTCCGTCAGGGTGAACACGGTCGGGGCCAACACGTACCGTCGACGACGGCACCAATAACCTGGTGAATCTTGCCAGCCTGAGCGGCATCGGAGCTGGCGAGGCGAGCAGACAGGGCCGGCAGGGCATTGGTGCGGAGAGGTTGGAAAGCGCGGGCGACGGGGGTCGGACGGGCAAAAGCAGCCCTCCCGAAGGTCCGGGCGAGACCACTGCAGAAAAAAAAGAAAAATATTAGTATAAGGAGAGAAGGAAGAAGATATAAAAAGAATGATCGAACAAACTTACCTCTTGAACATGATGGAGGTGTTGGGGGGAGGAGATGAGGTTCAAGGGGAGCAAGGTGAGGATGGGAGAAAAGAGGAAGAAGAGGACGGGCGAGGGAGAGAGTTTGGGTGGTCGGTGTCGCCCTTAGCCTTTCCGGGGCGGTTTTGCCGATGCTCCCGTGATGAACCGAGCTTCCTCGACAACCATTCTTGTTCCTCCGATGATTTATTTTATATACACTCTTGGATTGAATCTCTGTTCTATTCTCCCTCTTCTTCTTCTTCCTTCTTGTTGACCGGGTGGTTGGAGATTCATCGCGTTGCCCTGGAATTCACGCACACACCGGGGCGGCTTGGCATCCGGACGCAGGGAACCCTCAACGATGAAGAGGGTCTGCAGGGCTGGCCATAAAAAAAGGGTATCTTGTATAGAATCAAGTCTAGGCTGGATATAGGTTGATATATTTATTGTGGTGATACTCATTGACGCTGCACACTCCCCCACGGCCTTATTTGGGGCAGCTGCAAGCTCCGGAAATCTCTGACGTGGGTGTTGGAGCGCCCTGGAGAATGATCCCGATGAAACGACTTGGGGAGACCAATGCTCCAGGACAACTAGTAATGGTTTGAACCAGTAATTTTATCGAGGAATCAAAATCGCAAGCATTGATTTGGTACTCGATATGCCAGCATATTCATAGATGCATAGTCCTACTCACCAGAGCAATGCCAGGGGTGTTCTCCGCATCCGCTGGTTCCGAATTGCTCCGGGCAACACGCCCGACCTGAGCTATACACCAGAAAATAAAAATAAAAAAACAACATATTCTCTATGGCTACAGAAGAGATACATTGATTATAGCACAGTACGGGATACAACGCATTTTCGGATGCTGGGCCACAAAATAAAAGAATGGTGAACAGGCGAGGCCAACGCCCCGGCGCAGAGATCCGCACCTGTTCATCCCCGGTCGGGCACCGTGCCCACCCTATGACTTCTCGAGAGGCGGGCTCTGCACGAAGCCCTGACCCTCGTAGTTCTCGCTGCTGATGCCGTGGATGGGGTTCATCTTCTCGCTCTGTAGGAAGAAAAAAGATATTGGTGAGCGGCCACTCGACACGCTGGCAACAATCGAGAATCGTCGCAGCCAGAATGAAAAAGGAGATTCCAGGAATCCATACCTTGGCGTATTCGTTGGAGGCCTCCTGCCATTCCTTGGACATGGTCTTGGGCTGGTTGCCAGCAAAGGCGTGGACGGCGTAGAAGACGGCGACGGAGGCGAGAGTAAGCTGCGTCACCTTGGAGAGGATCCGCCAGCCCTCACCCTTGGGGGCCTGAGCCCGGGGACCATGAGGACCAAAAGCAATCCAGTAGGCTGTAGACAAGAAAAGAAAAATGATGGTATCAGCGAAACGGGAAGACCAAGAAACCTAATAATGGCATGTCGGATGGGTCGAGCAGTCGCTCCTCGGAAGTCCCAGGGTAAAACAGAAAAACGAGCCGACGACGAATCCAGACATCCAGCAGTCATCACATACCGGCCTTCTTCTCCTGCAGGGTCATCTGGTGCCAGTCCACCTTCATGCGGTCGCGGAGCTGCATCCACAGGTCGGCCTGCTCCTGAGGGGGCATGCCCTCCCAGCGCTTCTCGATACTGGCGAGAGTAGGGTTGGCGATGGCATGGTCGGAGGAGGCGCGGGTCTGCACAGCATTCAGGGAAGCAATTGGGCCCGAGCGGATGGCAGCGGTGCTGCGAGGAGCAGCGCGCGAGACGGAGCGAAGGAACATTGTGCGGCAGGTGGGAGGTGGCGGTACCACGTCGAGATCAAGTCAATGGGGTAGTCCAAAGCAAGAGAAGACTCTAAAAGCCCAGAGAGGGGGCACTGGAGAGAGAAAGGGAGAGAGTGGAGGGGGGTCTCGAGGCTGGAGAGAGAAGACGCAGTGTGGTTTGAGGTGGAAAAGGCGAGGATCCGGCACTAGCGTGGTCTGGGTTTGACTGCCTCCTGATTGGCCCGTGGCCACTCCCGCTGCCAGTGAGCGTCGGCTTCATTCTCAGCAGATTTCGCCCTTTGATATTCCATGGTCTTGTCTGGTCTAATATGTTGCTGTTTATCTGGTGATTACTACTGTTCTCTCCCTTTCAATTGCTTCACCTGCTGCCACTCTCGATCCCCCGGAATCTTTAGCCACTTCCGCACGAACCAGTCGACATGTCTATGGGGAAAACCCTCCAGGTTGTCCAATAACCGAAGTATTCTACACCAAATTCGCTCCTGACACAATTTGTCTCTCGAGTCCAGTCGATCTCCAAACACAACACTATTCGCCGACAAAACCATCGATCCCGAGATTTTGAAGGCGCATCTCACAGCGGTTGAAGCGAAAATATGTAGGTCTCTTGGGGAAGAAAGAAGAAAAGAAACGGCCAAGTCGTAACGGTCTTGCATTGCAACTAAGAAAAATTGGGGAGAAAGGTGTGCAGAGAAGATGATAGATTGATCGTTCCGCCGTGCCGACGAGAGGAAACTCCTATCGGTCGCGCGGCCCGGACCCCGCCGGCGCCGTCATCTATTTACCAGCCTTGCCGCCGCTGGCCTCGGCCAGGACCGCCTTCCACTCGATATCGGACTTGTCGTCGGCGTGAATGGAGGTCGCGATGTTCAGGGCGTTCTTCAGGACCTCCCGGGTGCTGGCGTAGATCATGGACCACTAACAAAGAGAAGGGAAGTCAGTGGGTTGCCAGTGAAGTCTCCATTCGCGTGGCAGGAGTCAACATACCAGAGTCGGGGTGTCGCTAGGCACCCACGAGATGAAGATGATCTTGCTTCTGTAGCACGGAAAAACAGGTGAGTATACTACAGACAAGGAAACCAAAAGAGAAAAGGAGAGCGCACCTCTTGCCCTCACCGCCGCCGAGGTCATACTCGACATCGTAGACTGCATAACGGGGGGCGGGCTTGCCATTGCTGTCGGCGGCAGCCTCGAGTCGGGTGCGGAAGACCTCGTAGTCCTGGTCATGGCCAACCTCGTCGACGACGACGTTCTTCTTGTTGTCGGAGATCTTGTAGATGATGAACTTGGTCTTGCCGTGGCTCATACGGAAGTTGTTGAACTCCGTGATGCACTGGTCATCGATCGAAACACTGTCGGGGCGGGGAGTGTAAGTCAAATCATTGGAGGTTTCAGGAGGGGTTGAGGGAGGCGGTGCGGGCGGCAATAGATGACATACCCGGATGCGAGCTGCGCGACAATTGCAAGTCAGTTTCGAGGGATGTTTTGAAGATCCTGGAATTGGGATCTGATACGCACCGACATGATGGCTGTGTGTATATGGGAAGAAGACGAAAAAACAAGAAAAAGGACGACCGGTCGCCTAGGCTGCCATGCGATTGTTAGCTGAGACCGGAGATGGCGGGGGCACGGCTCGAGCTGCTCAAGTTTCTTGGGTGGTTTCCAATCAAGAAACAACACCGGAACTTACAAGCCAGGAGAAAAGCGGGAGTGAGGAAAACGGAGGTGGATGAGATGGGGGACGATGATGGTTGAGGGGTTCTGTTGCCCAGGTGTTTTGGTGGGGGTGGCGCACGTGATGCCGGGACACCTATGGATAAACAAGATGGGGATCAACAGGAAGAGGATTTGAGACCTGGAAATTTCTTATGTCTCGACGGATACAATTCAATATTCTACACATATTATACGGCAGTCTTATCAATACAATTGGCTTTGAAGACAAGCCCTGGTGTCCAGTACCTGAGACGGGCACTAGGGTTGTCGGAGATCACACCACCTGGCAATACACTGGGGCCAAGCTGCATGCCATCTGGCAATGCGGGACAGAATAATGGGGCGGCTGTATCTCCCACAGAATGCATCTGCAACGTTAAATCAGTCGAGTTGAGTCAACATGTCCAATTGTCCATGGGTAGTTTTCTAGATCAAGTGACAAGATTCATAGTATGCCATGACGTAGCCGGCACATACTTCCAACATGTTTCTGCTCCTCAATACTCGGATAAGCTAGAGAAAAACATAACAATAAGAACCACCTGCCTAAGGCTTCGGCGCAAACTTGGCCCGCATGCGATCCGCAACAGCCTTCTCCTCCCAGATAAAGTTGACGCTGTCATGGCTCACAGTCGCCTCAGCCCAGCGCTTGAACCGCGGCGTCTGCTCGAGCAACGCCGGCAACTTAGCACTAACAAGGCCATGCTCAGGCTTGCTGAAGCCAAGGATACGCAGTAGGAACGAGCCCGATTGGACCTATTGCATTTATATCATCAGTCATGTCTTCATTCATTCTTCTTCTTCTCCTTCTTACAGGCAGGTGGGGGAGGAAAACACTCTATACATACCTCAGCCAGAGTTAACTTATCACTCCCCCCAAAAAACGGGCCCTTGCCCTCCGAGTCCGCCAGGAGAGGCTCAACCTCTTTAGCCACGGCAGTAGCCAATTGCTCGGCAGCAGCATCACGCTCTGCCTCAGACGCAGACCGGATACTAGCAAAGAAGTGCGGGACAACCTTGCTGAAGAAGGCGTCGACAAAGAACGCCACGCGGGCACGGTACAATGCGTTCTCAGCGGGGCCGGAGGGGGGCAGGAGATGCGAAGGGTGGGCATTGGCAATGAACTCGGCGACGATGCCGGATTCTGTGATGATGTTGCCGTTGTATGAAAGACTGGGGACGAGACCGCGCTAAACAACAAACAAAAGAAAAGAAGCAATCCATGTTAGCAGAGGTCTTGTAACTACTTATGTATCATTCTCCCGAGAAAAGAAGAAACACATACCGGGTTGACCTCCAGGTACCAGGGCTCACGCGGCTTGTTGAGATCGATGGTGACCTCTTCATACTCCAAGCCGGACTCCTTCAGCGCGATATGGGCGCGGTGGGCCCAGGGACAGACGCGGTTGGTATACAGGATGATTTTGGGCGAAGACATGATCTCCTTTTCTTTTGTTCTCAGCGAGGATGACTGGTGAGCAAAGACAGGAACAGAAAGAAGAAGTCTCCTGGAGAACACGCCATTATTTAAACTATCACGGCACGAGAGGGGCTGTTGGTTGGATTAGTAAAAAGGCAAATGGCGAAATCGTCGGCAGCTTGCTATCTCCGCAGATACCGGACCGAATGCGCGTTTACCCAGAAAGCCACGGTGGGTCGCGAGTCATTCCATGGAACAGGGATGGCAGCTACCTTTTTAGTAGGGAAAAACCAGGCCAACTTTTTGAATAAGATTGAGTCTAATTATGTACATACATTAATGCGCGCACTATATGTATCCTGATATCAGACCAAACCTGGGGAAGAATTGATCCCTTGATCCATCCGGACCGGTGTAGCACCTGAAGTACATGACCGATGTACATGAAAAAAAGACCAGACAAGATGTGCGCTTCGCAAGGAAGTCTTCACGCCTCGTCGAGCCCGATGCGCCAGCGTCCGGCTCCACAGGTATCACCCGAGTAAACGGAGAGGAAAGAAAGAAATAAAAAAAGGCGGAAAGATATAAGGAAAGGGTAAAAGACGAGCAGATCGATCGCCATAAAAGGAAGGGGTATATCGAATACGAGTATATAGAAAAAGAACACGAGCATTGAGGCGCCTCTGGGGATCGCCAGAGAAGAGGATGGCCAGCCTGGAAGGGGGGAAACGCATCGAATCAGCTCATCGAGAGGCTGGCGAGACGAAAGAGAATGATCAACACGCTGTCGTCAAGGCGTAATTCCGCATGAAACAAGACAGTTGCCCGCGCTCAAAATTCCTCATCTTCCTGCCCACCATCGATGATTTTTCGCCAATGCTGCGGGAGGCAGATGCAGACCAAGGGGAATGCCTTGATCTCGCCCGAAGGCGCAGGCGAAGGGCCCGGCCGCTGTGAACCGTTGGAGACTCCGCTGTCGCGCTGTTCGCGATGGCGAATGTCATAGTCCTCCGCCCGTTCCGGCAGACGGACACCCGTGGCCCAGCCATCGTCCCAAATGCCAATCACCTTCAACATCTCCCCGCGGTCGAGCTCGAATTCGTCACCCGCCCGGGGAGAGTAGGCCCAGAGGACAGCGACCTGATCTCCAGCATGAATGTCGTCTTGCGAGTAGTAGTCGCGGAAATATGACAGCTGCTCTGACTGGCCACTGGTCACTCCCTCTGGGGACGAGTATTGGTTGGCAGTGCCCGAAAGAGGCGAGCTGTCACTGTCCAGTCCAGCCAGAGCAGAGCTGCTCGAGAGCGAACCCTGGCGCTTTCCAGTCACAGGCGGGATCCTTTTGGACATGGCCCCAGGGCTGGCACCCATTGCTTCCGAGTCCGACGAGTCACTGTACTTGGCTCCACTGAACATTGCAGCAGACGTTCGGGAATAAGCCGGTGAAGAGCTGGGAACCTCGCGCAAAGCAGACATCCGCGCAACACGGCCCCCAGGGACCATGTTGTACGTTTCTTGGGGACTTGATGCTTGGTGCATGGATGGCGAACCCCTTCGCTGCGGGTTCGGTTGGTTGAGGGCGGCTTCAGTCTGGGCGCTGCGCCGACGGCGTCGACAGATCAAGAGCAGGGCAAGCAGGGCGGCCAAAATGGCGGCGCCCGCAACAGATCCAATCACAATACCAGCAATCTGGCCACCAGACAAGCCATGTCCTGCGTTGCCGGCACCTGCAGCCGAGCTCGACGTTGATGACGGCACGATGGGCGCCAGGCTAGACGTGGTGCTAGGAACGGTGATTCCTTTGCATCGACTTGCGGCATTGGCGCTGGCGCAGCAACTATCGGTCGAGTTTGAGGATTTTGATTCGCAGTACGTGCAGAGTCCCATGGTGTTCGAAGCAAAGCCACAGTTGTCGGGCTGGTTCTTGGATCCGGAAACACAGGTTCCGGTGAGGGAGTCGGCCGGATGAGCGCACACCTCAAAGTCGGCGCGGATCTGTTTCACGTAGTCCTTGGTGGTTGTCGGGCAGAGCTCCGAATTCACCATGATTTCCTGCTCGCTGGTGGCTTGCTGTGCACATGATTCGGCGCACAGGGGCTTGGATTGGTCATTGGATAAATGGCAGTCACCTTTCGAGCTCTGGATGAGACCGCTGCAAACAACGCTGGTGGTGTATTGGGCATAGTAGTGTTCTGATGCGCTAGAGTTGAAGCCTTCGCACCCGAACAAGTCGACATACCTACCAGTCACGATTAGAGTCGCAAACTCCATTGCCCGGTCATCAACACTTACTGGGATCTGGGATATGTTTTCTTGACATAATCACTCAGACTCTGATCGAACTGCTTGAGATTCGAGACATCCTTGAGGAATGGACTGTACCCCTGGTCAGCAGGTGTATCTTGGGCGCGATCAGACGTGATTCCACTTACAAGGTCTTGATGTTAGTGGAGCTGGTCGATATTGAGGCATCGTCCCACGCAGGACAAGCAGACGAGCCCGAGAGAGAGATGCAGGAGCCCGACATGTCGGACCCGGATCCTGAAACGTCCTTGCGATTTGATATTCCCTCCAAGAAAAGGTCCGGGGAATGTTGGCGCGGAATGTGTCAAGTGCAATCGGGAGACGTTCAGGGGGACACGAATCGCATGTCGGCTTCCAATAGACGAAAATTTGACGAAATAAAAGGGTTGACCACAGGCCACCGAAGCTCAAGCTCGAAAGAAAAAAAAAAAGAAACGCGAAGCGAAGTGGATAAAACGAGTGACACGGTGCCCGCAATGGCAGGGAAAGAGGTCAACCGAGCCCCGGAGGCGCTCTGGATTGAATTGAATCGAATTGAAAGAAAGAAAGCGGACGAAGAGGAAGAGAGGAAGAAGAGAGAAGAGCAGAGGTGAGATGGTCTGGGCTTTGGGGCTAGAGGGCTGGGGCAGGGGGGACAGAAGACGTCTGCGAGCGTTGGTAATCAAAAAAGAAAAAAACGCGTTAATTCATGAAATGTAAAATGTAAAAATATCAAAACATCAAAATATAAAACAATGAAAATTATGAAAATTAGAAAAGAACATGAAACAACAAAGCGCCAACTTGGGAAAATCAGTGGATTCCTTGAGGGCTGAGGCCTCAAGGGGGGGCCCTGTCGCGGTGTTTACAGCCAAGTGCGTATCAAAATTGCGTCGGAGCTGCTACTCTCTCGGGCACATTCGAGCCCCCCTGGTGTGTTCCTGTGCCGTTTGTCTAATCCTCTCTGGTGTTTGGCGTGGTTCGTTCCTCCACTCAAACCTCGCTAGGGGACCCGTTAGCGTCGATCGCTATCACACTGCCCGTCCCCCAAAATCCCAAAATTACACGGTAAACACGGTAATCCTCCGACCTTGCATTCTGCGCAAAATTGATATACAGTCGGCATGTGAGCTATCGTGCATCAAGAGGGTTGGATGCGAGGGGATCCTGCGGAGTCTGCAGAGCATCGACGCGTCGAGCAGTCGGGGGTTCGGCTTCCAAGGCCATTTCTCGTAGATACTGTATGTGCCTGGCTAACCGACAAGAGCCATTGGAGGCTCCTCAGTGGGGATTTCAAGTCGACGGTTGAAACAGCGGAAGGAGCTGCAAACTACGTAGATACAAGAACCGCCATATCAACCCAACGGTTCACCCCCATAGTGTCACGTGACACACGTCATCCGAATCCCCAGGCTGCCAAATCCGACTCATCCAAAACTCCCACCCTCATCGCGCCGCGATCTCGATTGACTCTGCGAGACATCACTCACTTTTTTTTGTATTCTGCAGGCGACCAAACTCAGCGTGTAAGAGTCATGTGCAGCTCCGATATCTTCCTGGCGGTCCTCGCCGTCTTCTTTCCGCCGATTGCCGGTAAGTTGTCTCCTCTGGTCATGGCGATCAAGCGAGTCTGGTGCTAACCACAAGGGTGTGGGGATGGAAAATAGTCTGGATCAAATCAGGAGTCTGCACCGCCGATTCCGTCATCAACCTGGCTCTCTGTCTCCTGGGCTACATCCCCGGACTCATCCACGCATGGTACATCATCCTCAAGTATCCCGATCCGGATTATGACGAAGTGGTCTACGAGCCCATCCCCGGCGGCTCAAGTCAGCGACGGGACTTGGAGAACGGAAATGTGACGTACTACTATGTCTCACACCAGCCTCTTCAGCATCCCTCCCAACGATCATACGGCACCGTCAATCCTCAAGGCCCCAGCCACCCTGAACGACAAGAAGCTGGCGGCAGCAGTGGACAGGCCCAGGGAAATGCCCCGCCGCCGCCGACCTATGCCGAGGCCGTGAGGGGCGACAATAAGGTGCAGAGTCAGAACTAGAACAAGGCACCAGAGTTGGTGAGCCATGTTGCCACTGATGATTACTCGGTCGGTTTTCGTTGCTTTTTTTTCTGCTATGCGCTTCGCTTGTTATTATTGTAAACACACTTTGGAAACGATATCATTATGATTCTGATGAAGGAAATTTCTATGTACTATTGAGATTCGGGTTCTATCTTTGCCCCCGTCGTTTGGACTTTGGTTTTAACATTGCGAATGTTATTCAATCACAAGTATATATAGTTGAGTATTGTGACAAGTTTCTGTAGATTGTGGGGGGGGGGTTGAGTAGAATTGAACGGATTATTTTATGTTGAATCCAGTGAATTTGTCGTTCTGTCCAAGTTATATATTCCACACCAGATAGCACCGAATCGGGTTGAAGAAACCGAGAATTTGACCACAGATTCCTGAAATCTAATAAAAATCAATCTCAGTGCATAACTACTCAAGGAATAAATTTCCTTTGGTCCATTCTCTCGGAGCAACATAGTCATCGAGGGCAGCCGGACAATCTCCATCTGATAAGCGCCGAGCCGAGTCCGACTTCCGTGCACTGAGTTCCTGCACCCAACCTCCATCCCCGCCACCTCTGGCCCGTGGTCCTGATATCGGCCATGCAGTCCATGCCATTGCTGTTCCGGCGATCGATTCGGTCTAGCTTACAATTCACACGGACATCCTCCCGGCCGTTGCGAGTGCCATACCATCCGACAACCCCGAATGCCTTCCCCGTCAGGACGCCAACACCACGGCCCTTCTCCGTATGCCTACAATGCCAATTCCGCTCAAGCTTAAGGTCCCATGCCGCCTTTGACGAGAAAGATAAGGGGGCTGCCGATCCCGCGAACGTGGCGCAGGACGTGAAAGAGGTCGACTCGGGCAAAGCGACGCCATTCCCGGAGGTGGATGCGGGGGCTCCTCGCGCTGCTTTTTCCATGGAGGCAGAGAAAGACCTAGTTGCGGAAGCATTACAAGCCAAGGATCCCGAGAAGATCCATTTGGATCAACAGGAGCTCAGGCAACGCAAAGAGCAAGCGGATGGTACCCCGAGCGGTGGCCTCCCGTCATACCTGGAGAGCCGCCGGTCCCAAATGTCCAAACAATTCAGTGCGATGATGGATAACCTCCAGTCCAATGTCTTCGTGGCTGGCCAACGCCTGAACGACCTCACGGGGTATTCCGGTATCGAGGCTCTTAAGAATGAGATCCATACCCAAGGTACGCAGCACATTCTTTTTTTCTCCTTCAATCAGCGGCAACGCAGGAATGGCAGACACTGACATCGTATTTCGTGGACATAGAAACTCGACTCCGCACAGCCCGCGCCCACGTCCGACAAGCCAAGGAAGACTACAGCGCGGCCATTACCCGCCGCTCGACGTCGCAGCGCGAAGTCAACGAGCTCCTGCAGCGCAAGCACGCATGGTCCCCAACGGATCTGGAGCGCTTCACCCTCCTTTACCGGAATGACCACACCAATGAGGTCGCCGAGACCGAGACTCAAGAAGCCCTGTCCGCGGCCGAGCGCGAGGCCGAGGAGGCCGCAGCGCAGTTGAGCAAGAGTATCCTCTCGCGATACCACGAGGAGCAGGTGTGGTCCGACAAGATCCGTCGCATGAGTACCTGGGGCACCTGGGGGCTGATGGGCATGAACGTGCTGCTGTTCTTGATATTCCAGATCGCCGTCGAGCCCTGGCGCCGACGGCGACTGGTCAAGGGATTCGAGGACAAAGTTGTGGAGGCCATCGAGAAGGAGAAGGCCTTAAACCAAGCTGCTGCCGCTGGCGGTAGTGCCGCGCTCTCGGTGACCCCGACGGCTGCTCCACTCGAGGAGTCTACCTCTGAAAACACCTCTACTGAGCTCATTGCTAACAAGGATGCTCCTGTTGCCGCTGTCGAAATCCCTGCCGACACTACCCCCACCACGTCTGCCCATCCGTCTCAATCTCTCCACTCCCGTCTCTCTGATATCCCGTCTCCGTTCGTCTCTCTCGAATACTGGCGCCAGGCTGCCCACGAGCTCTTCAGCGATCGCAGCCTTGCCCTCTCTCAGCGCGATCTCACCACTGTTGCCATTCAAAGCGCTGCCGCTGGTGCGACCGTGATGGGTTTGGTGATTGCCCTGCTCCGACCCAATTGAAATGACAGGTGATTATAAGCCCATGTCTTCCCAACTTGGGAGAGCTCATCGTGGCATCGGCCTTTTTGCATTGTATACCCCGTGTCTGGGTGACAGTCTTCTGTACAGAAAGAAAAACAGATAAATAGATCTCGTTAGCACGAGATAGAAATCGAATGTACGAGTACGGATATGTTCATTTTCGGAGTCTTCTACTATATACGAGAAATCTACCAAGACTTCAATGGAGAAACAAAAGGAAAATCTCATGGCTAGGCAATACACGAGGACAAAGATATAGAACACAAGTATGTACTCAAGGAGACCGCGGGATACTCGGCGAGGGCATCTCGGAACTCGCATCGAGTTGGGGGGCAGACCAATGGACACCAGGCAAAGAAGAGGCTCATTTTTTTTGTCCATATTAAAACACGGTCTCTTAATCTTGACAAGACGCACACGGCCGCTCTGTCTAATAAAAAAATGGAAAAAGGAAATCACACAGGCACATACACACGACAGATAGACGTCCTCCCATCTTCTGCCACCCACGGGTCACGGATCTAACGAGACATAATCGGCTTATAGTTGGGGATAGGAGCAAAAACGGTAAATCAAATAAACCGAATCGCTTAACCGATCACGAGGACCTCGTCCTCAGGGAAGCTGTATTGGGGCACCTCCAGGTTCAGAGGAGCAGGGCCCTTTCTTATACGGCCCGAGATGTCGTAGTGGGAACCGTGGCAAGGGCAGAACCAGCCGCCAAAGTCGCCGGCCTCACCGATGGGGACACAACCAAGGTGGGTGCAGACACCTAGAAGAAAGAGAGAGAATGTTAGCATTGGAATTATCAGAGGGCTCTTCGACCGGATCTGCGCGGAAAATCCACTTACCAAGCATGACCAGCCACTCGGGGCGCTGCACACGGTCCTCGTCGGCCTGGGGATCACGCAGACCCTCCCACTTGGCATCACGGGCCTCGCTGATTTCATCCTGGGTGCGGTGACGGATGAAGACGGGCTTGCCACGCCACTTGATGATGACCTGTGTAGAAGAGGGATGTTAGACTTGTCTGGATGCACCGGAGTTTTGCGGGGACGCGAATCACGTACGTTCTTGCCCTCGGGGATGGCACCAAGAGAAAGCTCAACCTTGGCCTGGGCCAGAACATCGGCGGAGGCGGACATGTTGACGAGGAAGTCTAGAGAGAAGAGGACGCACATTAGCTACCGAGTGATTTTTATTGTTTCCAATGCCCTGCCGCTGAAAATCCCTGCAATCTATCAAGATTCATTTTTTCTTGATGAATTGAAATAGCATCGACTCAAAAAAAAGTCAAGAACCTACCCTGCACGGTAGCCTTGGCACCGACCGCGGTGGCCAGGCCGAGGGAGCCGGCCATGAAGTAGGAGAAGACCTGGTTGGAGCGAGGCGAGTTGCCGGAGGAGTATTTGCTGAAATTGGGGATCTTCAGGGTCGAGCCACGCTCGTTGGCGCTGGCGAAGGGGCTTTCGAACGAGGACTTCGCATCGGCGACTCCCCTCCGCTGGCAGGAGGCGACGGAGGCGCGAGCGGTGGGCAGCTGCTGGCGAGCGCAGGTGCGCAGCAGAGTGCTGGAAGCGGAGGAGAGCGACATTTTTGAGAGGATTGACCTCGAGGAACCTCAATTGCGGGTTGGGGGAGTGGGTGGGCGGAGAGAGAGAGGGAGATGGGGGTGAAGTCGGAAGTGAAGTCGCCAGAGCTTTCGCTAGCGATCGGAATCACGGGGCCTGTCATTGGCCCGTTGCCCCAAGTACTCCTTCACGCTGCTTAGTCCTCTTCCGCGAAATATTCTGCGAATTAAATGATAATTTACTGCTAAATATTGCTATTATTTGTTGTATAATATTCTTCTTCTACTGGGTTTTGTTGTATTCACCTTTTGTTCGATTTTGCCCAACGGGCGCTGATGCCCGTGTTCATTCTCTATGTGATCCCAATGCGACCATCCAAAACCAACTCGCCAACCCCATAAACTCCAAATGCAAACAAATAAAATAGACCAGTTTCCCATGGTCAATCTTTCATTTCGATATCCGGGTCATGGCTGGCCGCAGGCTCAACCGTGCGATCCGCGATCAAGGCACTGACTGGGACCACTGGGGTCCGGGGAACTATCGGCGATGTCTTCGGCTCTTCTGCCTGTGGAGGTGCCTCGTCTGGTGCTGCACCGTTCACGTTCCCGGGTACACTCCCGTTCAGAGTGCGCTGGCCCTTCTCCATATCACCCGATTTCGCCGCCTCCTTCGCCTTCTTCTCCTTGAATTGCTTATAGGTCGTGGTCTTCGGGATCACGTCGGCAAGAAACTCGAGATTGTCGATGTGTGATACTGCCGTAGCTGCTGGGTGTCAGCATGTTTCTTAGTTCGATTAGAGTCCGGTTAGGACAACCAACCCAGATCTTTGTATTGGACGGTCTTTCGTGGTTTCCGCTCAGACTTGACGACATTATGTCCTTGTTCTGCGAGGTACTGAATGAACATCTCCTAGACGCGGTGTCAGTCGGTCCTCAAGGAAAGACAGATGGTGTGCCGCACGGTAGCCATGGCAATGACAAAAGTCGCATTGTTCGAACATTGAACGATGTCCTCGTCTAGCTGGATAATCTTTTTAATTCGCGAGACTAGACCAGAGATGTTAGCTGTGCCAACTCAACGCAAACTGGCGTGGCTTGGGTACGCACTGGGGAGAGCACTTTGTCCGGTGATTTCATCCGGCTCGCCTTCGTTCTTTGACGACATGATGTAGTATTCGTGTCGAGATCAGTTTAAGAGTAATAAAGATGTAATTTCGTAGTCGATTCAGGTTCCTGGAGGCTGCAAAAATTGCGAGGCCGCGAGTGTCGAGTCGAGGGAGCGGACACGCGTGGGCGCGGCGTTATCTCAGGAGGCTTCGTTATCGATACTTGGCATCGACTTCCCTTTGACACCTCGACCACGACCACCTCTCTCCCTCACGAATTGCGTGGATTTATCGATTTTCTCCTTACTGTTAGGAGAGGAGATACAACTATCGAATTGAAGAGAACAAAAACGTCAAAGTTTAACGTCTCTCTGGGAGACGACAGTCTGCGACTCTCGTCGCGGAAGAGCATTGCCAACCCCATCTCGAACCCAACTATGCGAAACCCACCTCGATTGATGTTATGAGCTCGCCGCGTCAATTTTCGGCCCATAGCCGGTCGCCCTCATTATTATCAGAGCGCCGCGAATTTCGAAGGATATCAGGTCTCTCCTTTGGCTCCCCCGCCGATGCACAACCAGCCCCCGACGGCCAAGCCACCGTTACCGAAGAGATTAGCGAGATCAAGCGTTACGAAGACTTTACAACCATTGACTGGGTCCAAGATGCGGTGTATGAACAATCGCGCCGCCGCGCCAAGCGACGGAGCGGCGCCGGGTTCTGGGACCAGGACGGTCTCTTTGGCTGGCGGCGGAAAGTACACGAGTCATACGATGCGGGACAAGCCTGGCTTGTGGTTACGCTTGTCGGCATGGCAATTGGATTGAATTCGGCGGTTTTGAATATCGTCACGGAATGGCTGGCCGATATCAAGCTGGGTCATTGTAGCACTGCATTCTACCTGAACCAACAGTTCTGCTGCTGGGGTGCCGAAGGAAGTACGTTTAGCTGACCATGCAGTCATTACTCCTAGACTTTTTCATTCCTTTCCTTTTTTTCTTCGAAGCTAATCCCATCATTCCAGGCTGTTCCGATTGGAAGCAGTGGACTTCCCTGTCGCTATTCAATTACATTGCTTATTTTTTCTGGGCGGTAAGGCCTGCTCATCAGCATTCTGGGGAATGATTGAAGAACTTTAAACTAATGACAGGGACTAGGTTTTATTCGCTCTCGTCGCTGCGGCTCTGGTCAAATCGTTTGCGCCCTATGCCGCAGGCTCCGGCATCTCGGAAATCAAATGCATCATTGCCGGCTTCGTCATGAAAGGGTTCCTCGGTGCCTGGACACTGGTGATCAAATCAATTGCTTTGCCATTGGCTATTGCATCAGGCCTCTCTGTGGGAAAAGAGGGACCAAGCGTGCACTTTGCCGTGTGCACCGGAAACGTGATATCCCGGTGGTTTGGCAAATACAAGCAAAACGCATCGAAGACGAGAGAAATTTTGACGGCATCTGCAGCTGCTGGTGTGGCTGTGGCTTTCGGTAGTCCAATTGGAGGGGTGTTATTTTCACTCGAGGTAAATTTGATACTCCTTGTTGTGTGAAAGTGGCTGCTCACCAGTGATCAGGAAATGGCCAACTACTTTCCACTGAAAACTCTTTGGAGAAGTTACTTTTGTGCATTGGTGGCAACCAGTGTATTAGCTGTAGGTTACCCGCGTTATCCTCATGTTGAGGCATCACTAACACTAGCTAGGCGTTGAACCCGTTCCGAACGGGACAGCTGGTCATGTTCCAGGTGGAGTATGACCGCACGTGGCACTTTTTTGAGCTCATCTTCTTTGTGGGGCTTGGTGTTTTTGGTGGACTGTACGGCGCATTCGTGATCAAATGGAATCTTCGGGTCGCAGCTTTCCGGAAGAAATATTTGGCCCAGTACCCTATCGTCGAGTCGGTTGTCCTTGCTGGCTTTACTGCGCTCCTGTGCTATCCGAATATGTTCTTGAAGATCAACATGACGGAGATGATGGAGATTTTGTTCCGCGAATGCGAGGGTGGACATGACTATCAAGGGCTGTGCCAGTATGGATTGACTCTCCCTATCTTGATACCAACTTAATCCTAACAATTCTCTTTTAGAGCCAAGAACAGATGGTCGATGGTCCTGTCATTGGCCGTCGCGACGGTTTTTCGGACTCTTCTGGTGATTGTCTCCTACGGATGCAAGGTGCCTGCCGGCATATTCGTGCCTTCGATGGCCGTCGGGGCGTCCTTTGGGCGCATGGTGGGGATAATGGTGCGGGCATTGCAGGAGTCCTTCCCCGATTCTGCATTTTTCTCCTCGTGCAAGCCAGATGTGCCCTGCATCACACCAGGAACCTATGCATTTTTGGGAGCTGGGGCAGCGCTCAGTGGGATCATGCATCTGACTATTTCGGTCACTGTCATTATGTTCGAGCTGACAGGGGCGCTGACTTATATCCTTCCGACAATGGTTTGTGTTCATTCCATCCATTCCACCTAGTTAGAGCTTTAGAAGCTGTACTAACTCTCGTCTGCTAGATTGTGGTGGGAGTCGCCAAAGCCGTTGGAGACCGCTTTGGAAACGGCGGTATCGCAGACCGGATGATTTGGTTCAACGGGTTTCCGTTCCTCGACAACAAGGAAGATCATGTCTTCAATGTTCCGGTTTCCCACGCGATGACGGCTGACCCCCTGTCGCTGCCGGCATCTGACTTCCCTGTGCGCGAAGCAGAGCATCTTCTGAGCGACAATAAGTTTCAGGGCTTCCCAGTTGTGGAAGACCGCACCACCAAGACCCTGGTAGGGTTCATAGGACGCACTGAGCTCCGATACGCCATCGATCGTGCACGCAGTGAAGGACTGCTCTCACCCAGTGCCCGGTGTGCGTTCACCAAAGAGGCGGCCGAAGCGGCAGTCGCGCGGCGGGCATCTATCCCGCAGCACGTCCGAGCCTCGGAGACGTTCGACTCAATCCAGAGAAGCGTGGGGGCCCACATGGTTGACTTCTCGCGGTATGTCGACCACACGCCACTAACGGTGCACCCGCGCCTGCCCCTTGAAACGGTCATGGAAATCTTTAAGAAGATGGGCCCGCGCGTCATCCTTGTCGAGCACCGCGGCCGGCTCAGAGGCCTGGTGACCGTCAAGGATTGCCTGAAGTATCAGTTCAAGGTCGAGGCCGAGGAGCACGCTCTGGCCGAAACGAGCGCGACGGCCTATCGCGCGGTGAGCGGTCCTCTGGCCGCCCCTGCTCCTGAAACCACTGAGGATCGTATATGGCGGCTCATCCAGTCGGTGGTCTTGTTTGTATCTGGCGTGAGTTCTCGCTGGCCCGTCAGGCCGCATGAGCGCCGTGCCCCGGGACCGTCGGAACCGTCGGGTATCCTGGATGGGACGGAGGATGACGGGGTGGTGGAGTTGGAGAGTCGACAGGATCGGTTTGCAGGTCGCTAGATGTTTACTTGCTGCTCGTTTTTGTATATTGCTTGATAGATGTGTTTGTTTTATTGGCCGTATTCGGCGTTGCTGGCCTATCGAGGCTGTGAATAGCCACTATGATTCCCTGGGTATATTTCTATTACTGTTGGCTTAACTGGAGTAGCATCGTCCTTGGCCAAGACCCAGAATAAGAAATGCCTTTGTATGAAGGATACAAATTAGCTGTGACATATAAAGTAGAAGAATCTATTTCAAAGTTTGGAGGAAATTACAGCCCGAAGCCCGAAACCAGCAGAGATAAAGATTCGAAATCTTCTATAGCTATACACAGAAGATTCAGGAACACTGGTATCCAACCCGCATCTCTGGTGTGATCGTCGCGGCCGTATGTGCAAACTCAGCCCTGAGCCAAGCATCTCAGTCCCAACGCACCCAATCCTCAAAGAAAATCACCTGGTCAGCAGGCCACTGAAGAAACGGCGACAAATACTGACCCACAAAGAAATCCACAAGAAACGCAATCTCGTCATCAGGCCGGCGGTTAAAACGGGCGTGATACAAGTCGATAAAGACCATCCGCGATGGGTCGTCCTCTGGCGCGCTGAGCATGACATTCCGCAGATGGCAGTCGCGAAGAACGATATCCTTGAAGTAGACCAGCAAGATCAACGACGTTCTTCATGATCTGCTGGCGCGTTTGTTGCGAGAAAAGCGGGTGGGGTGGACTTTTTGCATATCTGTTCCCGGGATGTTTTCAACTAGGATTAAACGCACTGTTCGGGTGCTCTTCTTGTTCTTCTTGCGGTAGATAGGGACTTCAAGAGAATAGGATCCATAGAGATTGGGGATATGAGATTGTTTGGAGGGAGAGAGAGTTACGGGACCTTTGTACGAAGTCCTATATAATAAAGAAGCTCGACCTAAAGACCTTGTTAGCAGACACTGACCGCCCTCCTAGCGAAACCCTAACCCTTATATAACCTCTTTTTTTATATCTCTCAACGAATCCTTCTTGTATCTAGAATATACTATTAATTAATACAATTTGGTCCAACCCCCTAACAACGGCTCTCCGTTAGATCCCAACTTAAAAGTCTCTACGAAAGCCCTAACTAGTTTCAATAGTAGACTTTATAATAATACGGTCTCGCTCCTCTTTACAAACCTAGTCAAGGAATACTTTATATATTTAGATATCCGGAGGATCCTTAGCTCGGGGATATATCTCAATAAGTTTATAAAATAGTTAATTTAAAGAACTTTGTAGAAGACTAGATTAATTTATCAAAAAGTCTTAGTATATACTTATAATCGCTCTCTGTATATAGTAGAATTACTCTTATAATTTCGGAGTTATTATAGTCGCCGAGATTTACTATAATATAGGTATAATTCAGTAATAGAGTATGGTCGCGAGTAGATTTGTTATTATCTAGCCTAAAGAGAGGAGTGATATAGAGATAGAAGGCAAACAAGAAAGGGTTAAATAAAATAAAACAGCGTCTACCCCTCTATATCGCTACATCCTTCATCCCGCTAAAATATACAAAAAGATCCTTTTAGATTGGAGCTTCACCCCTTCAGGTGAACAATATTCAGGTGGGTGAATTGCCGCCTAAAGCCGGCTGAAGCCCGACTGAATAGAGCGGCGAGTCGCCCACGACTGAATCGTCAGCGCTAGGTGACCACCAGAGAAAGGCTGTTGTCTGTTTTTCCTTTTTCTTTGTTTGCCGCCCTGATCTTCATACCTTCACCTGAATCCATTGCGGCTTCACTCACCATTCCTGCTGTCGCCTGGATAGGCTGATGTGTGTCTCGGCTAAATTACCTTTACTTCGCCCGCTGCTGCTTACCCTAGCTCTTTGGATTACATTCCTTAAAGCCAACCCGCTTGCCTTTTCTGTAGTATAGTCGAAATACTTTTGCAACGCGATATCTCACCTAAAATTCAAGTTCCTATCACTGCTTCCTTGATAATAGAGGGCGACGGAAATATTGGTAAAACATATAGTCATGATTCCTAATCGTTTTGGAACCTTACGTGTGACTGAAACCTGACATATACCTAAGAGTTGAGTGGTGAAATGATAGTTCAATGATTGATTGGTAATTATATTCCAACCGACCAAGGAATTTGGCCAATCCTGCTGGGGCTGAAGTATTATTTCCTTACCGGAAGAACTCGAACTGGGTCGAGTCCCTCGCTAGTAGCTATGTAATATACGAGCCGCTACTTACATCCTGTAGGTCGGTAGGGACTCTTGCCGTGTCGAAATTTATTATAGTTCGCTTTAGATTTCACTTCCTGCCTTTTTGATGCTAAAGTTCGAAAAGTATAATTTGATTTCGTGGCAAGGTTATCACTCTATCCAACTTCAGAAAGATAGCTTGCAATATTGGAGTTCGTCCAGAAATAAGGAAATAGGAAACTAGAAAGGTAGCCACCATAATGGTGAATGAAGTAGCAAAACCATCTACTCTGAAATTTGCAGGCTGAAATCCGTCGACTTCGAATGGAGACACGAAGCGGGGCTGATCCCTGATCGGCATCTGGGCTAGCTACCAGAAGCTCAGGCCCGAAACTCCTTATTCTCCCTTGAAAGTATCCCTCCCCACCAATAATTAAAGAGAATGTGCTTCAATCACTGACTGTACTCGAGACAGTGCCCGCGAAATCGATGCGGACCTGATTTAGCTGACGGAGAGACATCCCGACTTAATATAGGTAGGTTTTTTTTTCGAGTCCGCGGTGGGAATAACTGGACAGCCCAGGGAGAGAGGAGTGTGTGTCGAGGGAAAAATCCCTCAACCAAGCCATTCCACGGTCTTGTTTCAAAGAGATTCGCCGGGAGCCCCAAGCGTAGCCCGTAGAGGCAAAAAAAAAATATGAACTCACGAAAGTCTGTCCTTCCGTGCCTTCCGCGCCTTCCGCAGGTGGATATTAGTCTCGAAATGCTAACAAGGGTAACGGAGACCTGAACTGATGCAGTAGAATTGGCGTGTAGGTGTTCCTGGATCGACGATAACGTGCGAAGTGCCACGACTTCTGCAAGACCTGAGCCACGGATCTTTGGCGCTCAGCCAACCTCGACCGTCTGCACTGACATATAGGTTCAGGTACAGGGGAGATAGGGTTTAGGATGGACAGGGGTGCACCATCTCGAGTTTCGTCGTTCGGGATATGAGCTGTGCCGTGTACGAAGTCGGGTTTCAGAGCATTTCGGCAAAAGATCGACAGTCACGACGGATTTAAAGTTATTCTCTTGCAGTATGTAGATCACCTACGTCAACCACCATCCACGATCCCCCCCGTGTGGCCGTCCACGGCACCCGTTCTAGAAGGATACAACGGGTGATGTGGGGTGCTTCGACCGGGTGAGACTCACTCACAGGCCACACCAACACGGAACGCAATACCGATCGCCACTTTGTGAGCCCCGCTAACGCTGGTCGAAGGGCAGTCTGATGCAGATGTGGGTCAAGGTCTCCGGTCAAGGACTGCAATGTTCCTCTATGGAGCTAAGACGACCTGCCGATCCCAATCACTCGGTTACCTCTGAAGGGTCAATTCTACTGATCTTAATTATTGGGACCAGTAGTTATCGTGGTTGCCTTGTCCATCAACCTTTCTGGAAACCATGTCTTGAGCATGTGGACGCATCAGTGGTTCACAATGCGCAGCGACAAGGGGGTTTTCGCCATTGGGGCCTTTGCACCGGGTTGCGACAATGCGGATGTGTCTGCTCCTCCCGAGCATTGCCATCTATAAATCTCTGGTCCTGCCTGCAGACGACCAAATCATCCACCAACTACAACAGCCTTCAATCCCAACAGCCAGCGTCAAGATGAAGTACAGCCTCGTCGCTCTGGCCATTATCGGCTCTGCCCTCGCCTTCCCCATCCAAGATGAGGGTGAGCACCCTACCGCGCTCTCTACCCACTCGACTACCCACCCGGCAGTCTGCACCTCGACCAAGGTGGTGACGGTTACCGAGACCAAGAAGGCCACGGATCCCCAGTCTACTCATGTGGTGACGGTTACCGAGACGAAGAAGGCCTCGGATCCCCAGTCTACTCATGTGGTGACTGTTACCGAGACGAAGAAGGCCACGGATCCCCAGTCTACTCATGTGGTGACGGTTACCGAGACGGAGAAGGCCGCGTCCACCTCGAAGGCCTCTTCGTCTACCCACAAGGCTTCGTCGACTAGCCATGCCTCTTCGTCTACCCACAAGGCCTCGTCGACTACTCACCCGGTGACCTCCTCTCACTCGACTAGCCATGCCTCTTCGTCCACCCACAAGGCCTCGTCGACTACTCACCCGGTGACCTCTCACTCGACTACCCACGCCTCTTCGTCCACCCACAAGGCCTCGTCGACTACACACCACCCTTCGTCCACTTCGGCCAAGCCTACGCCTTCCTCGGACGAAGACTGCGACGTCGAGCACAAGGGCGACAATGGTGAGCACAAGGGCTGGTGCAAGAAGGCTCAGCACTCCGGAACCTATAAGAATGGCAAGAGCGACTAAACGCTCGTTGATTGGACTTTCCGGGTTTCTGTCAAGAGATGCACAGTCGCCCTCATATTTCTCTCCCTTAGCCTGCTGAGCAATGTGGAGGGGTGTCGTTTATTGAAGTGACGGTGCACGTTTTGATAATTATGTGTTTTTGAATATTTTCTTTCTGATTCGATATCGGTCCGCTCCTGGGAGGATAGACTTCCCCCGTGGGCCGTTTTACCTACTCTTTGTTGCTTTTCCTAGGCTGGACCCCTGCAGCAAATCGACCACAATTTGCCCTATGCAAACCTGGCTTTTTATTTGTAGGTTTTCTGTAAACCTGGTGTTGAGGCGTCTAGAGGAGCATGGCCGAATCATCGAAGATGGATGATGCTGAACAGGTTGCCAAGGGGCTTGAGAATATTGGAGCTTAGGAGAGGAAGGAAGTCGCAAAGAATTGGTGGTAAATTTTTAAGGAAGTTGCGAATATCATCAATGAATTCATCCGCGAAAATGCTCTTGGCGGCATCGCCGAGAGGCTGGATCAGAGAGGTAAGAGCTCCTTGAGTATGGATTTCACTTCGTCGATGGATTCCGGGGTTAGGATGTCCTTGATCCAATCTTCTAGTGACTTGACCAAGGAAATGACGCCTTTGATCAAATCCGGCAGATCGTCAATCAGCGAGGATATTTGCTTAAGGAGCTTTGGCGTCAAAACTTCCTTCAGCAGCTTGATCAAGGGTTGGATAATATCCGGTCCAAGAAGAGGAGGGAGGTCCTTGAGAAGGGTGTTGATCTCGTTAATGAAATCTGGTGCGACAATGGTGCTCACGAGATCCGAGAGCGGCTGAATGGTAGTATTCCCCAAGGTTCCTTGCATATCGTGCAGGAGTGGTCGTAGGGCTGTGAGAGTCGACGATATGTCTTTGACAAATTCCCGGCTCAGGTTGGTTTTTACTAGTGACTCTTAAAAGCCTTGAGAAGCTGCGGGTTCAAAATCGGCTTCAGCCCGTCCATGATCGACGGGAAGTTTTTTTTTTTCAGGAAATCCTTCACATCGTCACTGGTCACTATCTTGACCAACTCGTCAATAATGGGCGGGAGGGCCGCGATATCCTCGGTGATATTTTGGACGTCGTGGAGGAATGTGCCATTTTGCAAGACTGAGAAAATATCGCTACCGTTGTCTTCGACAGTCTTGGCGTAAATGATGCCATTGTGCTAATTATTTGCTTCGTATTATTTATCGCGTCGGAATCAAAGAACTCAGAAGCTTGTTTGACTAGGTTTTTAGTGTCTCGAACGAAGCTTAGGGTGAAAAGAGCCGTAGTGCTTTTCAACCCACTTTGGAGGTCGGCAAGGTCTGAAGTTCAAGGGGCACTCGGACCTTGATCCCCCTGTCCACCAGAGAGCAGGTCTACTAGAATGTCCGAACCGAGTGCACTAAAAAGCTAGGGGCTTGACCGAGAGTCCGAGGCTACTAATAATGCTGCTGACTGTGATATCTTCGAAGGAGTAGCCAAAGTAGGTAGCAATACAGATAATCAGACTAGCGCTAGATTCGTTAATAAGCTGCCACTATCCTCTGGTTTAAGTAGTGCTGTTGGCAAAGTAAGACGGGGTTCACTCACTTCTATATCTTATGGTTTTTATGGTATGGAGAGTTCTCATATCATCCTTTCTTCGTTCCTACTTTTGCAATCTGAATCCCCGTCGCGATTTAGCCGAGTTAGATCACCATCCAGAAATAGCTTTAATCGTCGCGGCTTTTCTCGACACCAACATCGTCAGTACTTGGGGCGATTTTGTTTATGCTCTTGGCCTCACGGCTGCTTACGCCCGTCAAAAGTGTCCAGTGAACAGGGCGCAGGGAAATCACGCCGAATCACCAAGTTCACCCTATAACCAATGTAGTTAAACCATAAGCGAGTGGACAGTGTAAGTGAGTAGATAACCCTATCAAAATTGTGTCGCGAATGCGCACCTATTTGTTCTCTTCAACCGCCCACTACGCCACACGCTGGCAGACTATTAGTTAGGTGGCTTCGACTGGGGAATACACTAGATATGTCTTTGCTCTAGTACTACTGTACGTACGGGGAACCATACTTATTAAGATAATGGTATAGATCTTCTTTTGTCAGATACTGGATTTGATAAACAGGCCAGGATTCCACCCTTCTATAATTAGGTGAGTGGGGTAGGCGGAGCAGCTGGCACGGAAGGAGCGCAAAACATTGCGATACTTAAGCGCTGCACACCAAATCTTTTATGGCCTTCTGGGCCAGGACCACGCACTCTGTGTACGCAAGCCCGAACTCGGTCCCGCCCAAGTAAACGCTGGAGTCTCGTGCCTGCGAAGACGACCACCTCAGTCATTTCGTCTCCTGGAGTAGGAACCGGTATAAAAGATGCCTCCGATCCAACCCCCTTACTGTCTTCTTTCTCTGTCGTTTCGAGATCAGCGACTTCCAAGCCGTCGGTCTCGTCATGAGACCGGAATAGAATTGTCAATGTTCCACTGTCCATATGAGGCGGACTGAAATGAGCGCTGTAGTCGGAAAGGTTGCGAGAGTCATAATAGTGGACTCCAACTGTAGCAGGATCGAGAAGCGTAGTACCCATTAGAGGGACGTTTGCATTCAGTGCTTGCGACATGGTGTTTAACACATGCAGTCTAATTGGGATCCACTCCTTGAAAGGAAGGGCAAATCAGCACAATGCACGATTGGAGGGAAAGGCTAGTCCTACCTCATGAAGACATTGGACTGAACGAAACAGGTTGTACGATGGTCCTTTGGGATACTTTAATTCGACGCTATTTCGGAAAAAATAGACACTTTCTTTGGGTATCTCAGTCCCGCCGCGAACACGCTCCGACGCAAGGGGGGAGAGTATTCCGTAATATCCGTCTTAGCTGCCATTGGCTGTCTGAAAAACTCCCGAGCCTAAAAGGTGCGGTCAGTGATGATTACTATTGTTGGAAAATAAGCTTGGCCTGCATTTTCGACGACGGCGTCGTGTGGTTTCAGGAGCTGCTAAGCGGAAAGCTCCAAACCGATAAAGGGCAGCCTTCAGCTCGGAGACTAATCCTTCTGAAATTGGATTTTATGGGTTGATTAGAGGTAGCTTCGCAGACATCCTGGTACATGCAGCAATAGGTGTAGATGGGACTGAGGACAAAGCAAGTGTCCGACCCGCGGCTGGAAGATCACATGATACATTTATCCCAACTACACAAAATAAATTACTCTATTTGGAAGTAGGGCAACTTCGACATGTATGCCCAATTTCGCCGTAATCCGAATACTTTGGGGGCGCCTTCTTTTTTTCTGATTGGTTCAGCTCCCTCGCTCCCATCTGATATCTGTATAGATTGCCGTTTTGGGAAGGCGGCAGCCACAATTCGAGGGTTTAATAGGGGTTGCCATGCAATATCAGATGAATCGAACTCTATTCGCCAAAAGGGATGAATATCAGCCAATAGGATTGGTTCTTTCGATACGATTAAACCAGCTAAACGATATTTATATAGCAACCCTATCGTACTTTGTAAAGTAGTTAGTATATATACCAAGTAGGGCATCCGGGGTAGCTCTACTAGTATAGACTCGCTGTATATCAATATATATAAGCGAATACCGCGAGGTCCGCTTATTTATATAGATATATAGCCAATTAGATACTATATTAAGCTATTTAATCTTATTTTCTTGCCTCTTTTACTTGATTTAATTATATTAATACCTAAAAACGATATAAATAGACTTCTATCGAATAAATAAATTACTAGAAGAGCTATTTATATACCGTTCTAGGATTAAATAGGCGTTTTTAATACGTAACGATATATTATTGTTGAAACCCTGATAGGCAGTTATAGATCTAGGTGGCTGATGGACTAACTTCTACCCAATATCCGACGGCCTTATTGGTGGACTCGACCAAGCCATGGCCTTCACTACTGGTTGGGACGGATCCAGAACCAATACAGCCCCGGTACTGATACGCAGATCGACGAGTGCTAACGTGGCTATGTAAATTTTGGGGTGAGATTGAGGTTAAGTCGGGAACAGACCTTCGGAGACCCCGATAGAGGAAGTCGCGGTCGAATAGCCTAATGTATCTTTGAGAGCGAAAGGACCAGCTATTCAGAATTAAGTTCGCCCTCGCTTTTATTGGGTCCTCTCCTTACCACTTTATTCTCCCTCGTCTTCTGCGCAAACCATAGTTATCAATCTGGAAAATATCATCTATTACCACCCTCCTCCTATCCTTAAACCCCCTTGCAAACCACCACACCTACCTAGTTCTTCACGCGGTTCTTCACATCCTCCTTTAAATTCACCTATCCTAATCCATCCTCTTCCTCTGCGGCCCCAACAAATTTCTCATGACTTTCCCCCTACACCTCATGCTCATCGACAGAGCCATTCCCCTGTGTCATGTTTGCCTAGTAATCGCGATGCTCACATGCTGACGAACTTTACGCATCTTAAAGAGTTTGATAAGGAATTGGCCGACTTCGATTTGCTACAATTGAGGAGAATTCAAGATTATGCCTTAGAGGCAGCGAAGATAGTCAAGTAGAGGACAACAACGGTATAAAAAGAAAGGAAACGGATGATATAAGCGATAGTGAGTGACATACTCTTCTATTGACTCCTTTAGTCTCTCGGGGTCTTTATCGGGTGCCTTCCGCTTTTCGAAGTTGAAGCAAAGAGGCATACGCTAACTACTTGTGGCAGTAGTGGACACCCACTCCAATTACTACCATAGGGACGACTTACGGGTCCTCTCTTAGGACTTTGCCACGCCACAAGATACCGCCGCGTCTTTAGGCCTCATTAAGACAGAACTCTCGTCAATATCCGGTACGCCTACGTTTCCAGCGGGAGCTAAGGGAGCTAACGGCTCTATTTCACCGAACGAGTCGTGCCCTATTCAAAGTTAGTGTCTTTGGTGACTTAAGTTTTTCCTGGATTGCTGATTACCTTGCGAATACAGATCCTTCACCCTTTGACCACAGAGAGACATAGATTTTCCGTACAGGCTGTGAAACACTGGCAAACAGCGTGGTGGCCGATAAATCGTGCTATATACTTACTAGCCAACACGGCTATAATTTTCTAAGAGATCAGTCCCTACTATATAATCCTAGTATAGCTATTCTAGCTAGAGACGAAACAGAGCCTACAAATCAGCGGCTCGTTAGATGTAGCTCTAAGATAGGTATTGAGCCCAGAAAATCTTATCCTACACCTATTACGGAAGTATATTCGTCCTAGTCACAATCCACAGACCCTACAGTAATCTACAACGCTTATTCGGGAGCGTAGAGTAACGGCAACGATACCGATTCGACCGTTTATTAGCTTAAAGAAATATAGCGTTCTGTCTCATCTTTTATACAATACCAAAAGAAGTAGGCGCGTTCCAGATCCACGGACACTTCCAAATCGACGAAGCCAAAATCATGCTTGGGATGACCCTCAGGTCCGTTCGGGGGTGCTGGACCCAGCCCACTAGTATCGCAGATATCAAACCGGCAGAGATCCACGGTCACATCTTCAAGCTGACAGCCAACGGCGAGATGCAAGCCTACAAGTATCGCCAAGGACCAACAACCAGCCCGGATAACCTCGATCCTGTGTTCTTCCAGGAACTAGTTAGATACCTTCAAGCCCATAATTTGGTTAATCCTCGGGCTTCAAGTCCTCACTGACGATGTGCCGGCGATGATGAGTGAGTTTGTCCTCGCGGATAACGGCACCGTCATGCTAGACAAAAGAGATATGAAAAATTGTGGGACGCCTTTCCGCATCACCGGATTCTTTCTTGGGGAGCCAGGCATGACTGAGTTCTAGGACGGAGAATCTCATGCACCCACTTTCAGAGGCACCCACCAAGTCTTTACTAACAAACAAGATCGAAACGGAGAACCAGCTTATGGCTATCCTCTGAAGTGAGGACATTGTCTTTTGAGTGTACCTTTTACGCAGGGATGGTATCGCGATAGTTCAATATCGGGTGTGTCACTACCGGTACTTTTGCTAAAATAGTTTCCCTTCGCCCACTAAATTGACCAACTATCAATATATACGTTCAGAGTTTCCTGTCAATACATAGAGAAATACCTGCATCATCTCAAATCTTACCTCCCTGCCTGCCTTGTAACGCATCATAAGCCGGCTCACGAAAGAGGAGTCAACTCACCAGCCGTACAGAAAGCATCGAGATACGCGAGAGAACCAGCCGGCTGGTCCATCCGCACACTTTGCACCACACCTTTTATGTCAAAAACAAATCCATAATGGAAGAAAAATCCAGCCATCCTCGCAACGCGGATCAAATACAAATCAGCGTCAGAGAAATTATAAGCCTCCTCCCGAAAGGTTTGCCAGAAGAGGCTCTCGAGTTCGCGGTAGCGATCGTAGTAGTGCCACCCTTCTGAATCCATCCGGCCCAAAACATTCTCAAGCCCGTATAGCGCGAAGCCGAACGGCAGAATCCTTGATTCAGCCCAGTCGACAATCCCTGTGATATTTCCAGTTTCGGGATTGGTGAGGAGATTCATCATGTTAAGGTCCCCGTGGCTAAGAACAAAAGGGAGGGCTTTTGAGAAGAGAGACGGGAGCTCCTTGCGGACCCTTTCTAGGTTTGGTGCAAAGCGAGACGGCAGGTCTCGAGCAAGAAGGTCGAAATTTGCCTGAAACTCCGCAAGCAATATAGCTGTTTTATCTGAGCATGGCCGTTGATCGTTGTTCCATGACTGTGCAAAGAACCTGCTCTAAAATGTTAGTTCTTGCAAATAAAGCAAAAAAAATTTGGTATATGTACCTTGCAAAGTCCTTGATAGTGTTACACTGTCGGGACATATCGTCTGGTGGGATGCGAGCCATTATGTGGGCAGTCCCAGGAAGATTCTCCATCTCGTAGATATAGAGCGGCCGTGAATCGCCTATGGTCCCGAGATACTTACAGCTAGCCACAAATTCGGGATGGATTGCTTTGGCAAGGCTAATGTTGCCCATATCAATGGTAGAGTTCTCATCTCGAAACTGGAAGAGCTTGGACTTGTTGGTCCCCGCTGTTACGGTATAGCTGCACACTCCTTGCATCTGTAAAGCAGTGGACACACCGCCAGCGCAAGAAATGGCGAATTCATCGCATTGCTGTCGTGTTACAGTAGTGTTCGAGTTGAAGAAATGATTAATTGCGCCGTCGGGACTGTAAAAAACGTAAGTTGTCATTGTGGTGAACGGTAGTAGGAGGGGACCAGGGAACTGGAAGATAATGTAAAGAGTGAGAACTGAGTGGACCTGTCACATAGACAGCCTGGTTTCACTCACCACCATTTAATACTGTCAGCGATCCTACCACGGAAACACCCCGTGCCAAACGTCCTAACCATATTAGGTATAACGCATGAATATGGAATCCCACGTGAATACCGCTTGTCGAGAACCCCATACTCGACAAAATTGGGGTTGCGGTTGGCGGCTAATAATAGGATTCAGCTCATCCCAAGGCTTTGTTTGCCAAGCTCGCCTTGTGAGGTGGATACCATGGGCCCCAACCTGTAGGTAAACCTAGGGGATGCTGGGATATTAGGGAAAATCACGTGATGCGTGCTGGGCCTCATAACGGGTGGAGAATCTGCATTGCTTGGCCAATTATCCTTATTAAAACACCCAACCTCTTTAGGGTATTGATAGGGGCACCCCAAAATTTTCGCTATTGGCACCCTAAAACGCTTATGTAATAGTTTTTTTTGGCTTATGTAATCTTTTTTGATCTATTTTCTAATTATATGATAATTTTCAACTATATCTCTAATTATATATAAAGTGTCTATAAAGATAGTGAGGTATAAAGCTATTCCTAACCGACGGGAAGGCCAGCTAATCAGAGTACGAGGATTCCACCAATCAGAGCGCCAGAATTCGGGTAAAGTCACATGACGTATATTGAGCCGACCTCTAGTTGAAGAGAGAAAGGTCAGGTGACCCGGGATGGTTGTTTAGAGTGCTCTGCTACTCTCCGCAATAAATGTCAGCAGAAAGATAGTTTAAAAGGGTCACCATTAATATCCTTTTCTGTTTAATTTTTGTATGTATTTCTTCTCGATTTCTCATATTCTCATATTATTTCGATATAGAATTTGGAAAAAATTCAACAAATAGTGATTGAGCCATAGATCAACCCCTAAGTGTAGGGGCAACAGCCACTCCACAAGGACCCACCGCCTTCGCCCGACATATCAAACCAGCATCACACCCACAACCTCGATTATCGAACTCTCATTTCACCTTAATTGTCCACCATGCCATCCAGTCCACAATCCTCCAGATCCCCCTGGATACTCATCGCCGTAGCAAGCGGCGCCTTCGCCGCGCTGAACGGGCTCTTCGCGAAACTGTATGTTGCTCTCCGACTCTCTCCTACATAACCCCAGGATGCATTGGTTACCACCACCATCACCATCGTATATGTCCCAGATCTTATCTCAGAACACAGCTAAAAAAAAAAAAAAAATCCACAGAACGACGGATAACCACACCTCGGCTGTAGCCCAGTTCCTAGCTCACCTGGTGGGCCTGGACGAATCGCCGGTTCTGGAGATGCTTATTCGCGGTGTATGTATTCCCGAGCCAAGTAGAGAGGTGTCTACACCGTAATTAATTCTAATGTTTTATCTTGCAGCTCTGTCTGGGCCTCAATGTTCTATGCAATGTTATCATGTGGGCGCTTTTCACCCGCGCCCTGACAGCCGGCCCGTCTACCACCAAGGTGTCCATCACCAACACCGCGTCGAATTTCTTGATGACGGCGCTGCTGGGGATGGTCGTGTTCCAGGAGGCTGTGGGCGGGTTGTGGTGGATTGGGGCTGCGATGATGGGGGCGGGTTGTATCTTGGTTGGGATGCGCGAGGGTGCATAGACGATTCTTGTGTGGATTGCGATGTATAGTTTTTCCTGGTTTCTTGAATTAAGAACATATGCAGAGATAGTATGCCGAGACAGCGTGAAGGATAAATAGACGATAGGGAGTGGCTCTATTTACATATCAGCGAGACTGCATTTACGGCGACAGTCGCTGAAGCCGCCACCGTGCATCCTCGCCCGCTCCCTCAACTCGCACATAGCGAAAGCGATCATGCAGACGACTGCGCCGGCCCTGCCAGAACTCCACCGACTCCGGCACAAGGCGCACGCCGCCCCAGAACGGTGGCAGAGGGATCTTGTCGACGCCAGCAAAGCGCTCCTCCATTTCTCTGACCCGCTGCTCTAGCACAGCACGGCCATCGTCAATATCAGTCTCGTCGATATCGGCAGGGACATCGGCACAGTGGACATCGTTACCTGCCGAAGCGGACGTCTGGTGGTGCTGCTGCAGCCGCGCAACACTCTTACGGCGCTGATGCTCAACCAGCTGCGGCGGCTCAGCCGACCACAGCACACGACTTTGCCAGCTCGCCCACGCACCGATCTGGCTGCCACGCTCGCGCGTGCGCCAATACAGCTCGCTCTCGGCGCGACTGAGCGGCTCGAGCAGGCCCTCGACGCGCACCTGGCGCTCGACGATCGCCCAGCTAAACGTCAGCGCGCCCCATTTGTTGCCGGCATCGATGCCCTGCAGATCCTCTGCAATACCCGGCTCGGGCATGTTGCCCAGCGCATCGGCTCCGTCCGCGTGCCCCCCGAAAACCTGCCCGCCTTTGCCCTCACGACTGCCCCAGTTGCTGTATACCACCCACCCGCGCTCGTCCAGCTCCTTGAGGTACACGGCGCGAGCGCTGACTCGGCCCGAGGGCAGTGATGCTGTTGCAAGAGTGCAGGTTTCCGGCGCCGAGCTTGCCGGCAGTCGCGCGTCGCGGAACCATGTGTGGAACTGGTGCAGCGGGTTCGTCCCGTGCATCTGGGAGACGGTGAGGGGCGGGTTTGTGACGAACTGGTGTGCGCGCGCTGCGTGCGATAGTACATGGCTTTCTGTCGCTGAGTTCGGGGTCGATGTGTCGGAGCGGAGGCCTTCCGCGGCGGGGGCGAGATGTGATGCTGCGGATGCTGCTGCTGCTGCCGCCACCGTGCTTTGGGATTGCGATTGCGGCGCAGATGGGTCCAGTATCTCTGAGGCGGTGATCTTGAGGTCTGGCGTGGGCTCAATGTCTCCCGGTGCGACTTTTGAAGGGGTATGTTAGCTTGTAGATCGAATCACTCCATTCGATGGGTGGGGAACCCCGCTGCACTTGGGTGTATGCATACATATCAACTTCTTCGGACGCCGCGCGTGGTCTGGCTGGTGTGTAGTTGAGTCCATGGCTGGTTTGTGGTAGTTGAAGAGTTGACTTGGTGAATGCCGCAGTCGAGGGCGGGGCTGGCGGGGAACAACGCGGATGCGTAGGGTGGAGTCAAGGACCGAGTGATGACAGAGTGGGAACACGCGGGAGTGCATCAAACAAAATCAGATGTTGCAGCAACTACAACTGCCCGAAGATTGAGGATTGAAGGAGTGGAGAGGCAGGAAGGTCGTTGGAAATTAACTCCGCACGACGTGCCACCCGCGGAATCTCCCGCTGCAATGCCATCCCACACACTCTTTCAAGTCCTACCAAGCAAGAAATGGAAATATTGGAAATATTCACTTTTCGACATTTGAGTCCGCGTCATGGACGCATAGAGAGTTGAGATGGGTCTATAAACAGGCAAATAAACAAAATGGTATACATGGGCTTCGAAAGAAGAGCCCGTTTTGATCGCCGAATGAACGCCAGAACCTCGCTGGATGCCACAAAAAACAAAGAATCCCACAAATTCCAGATTCCACCAGGTATATCCACTGCCACCCTAGAATGCGCCGAACCGGAAACTGCCAACACCGAAGAGATCCAGCCCTGGCGAAGAGACGTAGGGTGCAAGCCACAACATTAAAATCGATATCACCTGGTCGAAGATGGCCAGACAAAAACAGAGAAAGAAAAAAGAGAGATAAAAAAAAGAAATCAGACCGAGGCAGCAGGGCTGCCAACCAGGTCCACGATCTTGCTGGCCACGGCGGACGGGTACCCACGCGACATCATCTCCTGGACGATGCCGGCGGCACTGGCGCGGTCATCCGAGGTCAGGAAGGCCCGGGTCATTGCTTCGTAGGTGCTGGGCTCCCGCTTGTTGATCCCGATTCTGTCATAGATGGCCTTGGCCTTGGCGACGTTGCCCTCGGCGGCCCAGCCGTGGATGAGCGTGTTGGCGATGTAAGCGGTCATCTCGACCCTTCGCTGCAGCATGCCCTGCACAATTTCCTCGGTATCGGCGACCCGCTGGTTGGCAACCATCGCCTCAAAGAGAGCCTGGTATAGGCACGGCTGCAGGCGCACACGCCGGTCGGATACGACCGAGTCGAACACCTTGCGGGCAGCGTCGATGTCTTGCTGCACACATCCCTTGGCATGGACCAGTGATGCGTAGTGGACTGCCTCAGGCTGTTGCCCGGCAGCCCGCATCGACTGCAGGACCTTTTCGGCAGCATCCATGTCTACCGGTTCAAGCGAGGCGTGCGCATCAACGAGAAGCTTGTAGGTGTGCATCGTGGGTTGGATGTTCCGGGTCTGCATGCGCTCAAAGTATGCCAGAACCTTGCTGCGGTCGCGTTTCGTGGTCAGGAAGTACTGGATCATGGAGTTGTAGGGCGCGGGGCGCGGTTTGTAGTTGGGCATGGACTCCATCTCCTCGAACATCTCCTCGGCGAATCGCTCGTCGCTGACACGGCACAGCGCATTGACTACAGTTCCGTAGGTAACGCTCGTGGGCCGCACGTTGTTGGCACGCATCTCGGCAAAGTACGCCAGGCAATCGTCAATGCGACGGGCCTTGCCCAGCTTACCGATAAGCGCATTGTAGAGGAACGACGTGGGCTCTACACCTTCCGCCACCGCGCGATGGAAGATCTTGAGGGCCTCGGTGGCCTCGTCAAAGGTCTTGGTCGACTCCTTCAGAGTGGTGATGTAGAGACCGAAGGTGTTGGCTGACGGCGCGGAACCCAAACCGAGAAGCTCCTGGTGGTGTTGGCCGGCAAGCTGGCGGTCACCGAGGGTGAGACAGGCAGCCACCATGGCATCGAGGATCGAAACCCATCCGTATTTAACGACACCATAAGCCGGGTTCAAGGGAACGTCGGTCCGTGCCATACCGTGAAGCTCGTGGACTAGTTCCATACGGCCGACCTTGCTCGCCGCGGTAATCAGCTTCGCGTAGGTGATATAACGAGGATGACGGCCGATACGGCGCATGTTCTTGAGTCGAATAAAGGCCTCATTGAGATGGGTCTCGGCCCGCCCCGTGGTCTTCTCGAGTTCATCGGCAATGATAGCGGAGCCTCGGAAGTCGGTGGCATATGCGTAAGGGTCGAACGAATCGGGGCTCGAAGACGGTGTCGTGATCGAGGTCTCGGTCATGGAAACAGGGCTGTGGCGCTCGGACGGGAACGAGGTCTGGGTAGACGCTTCCAGGTGATCCTGCCATCTCTTAACGATGTCGGGTCGGCTGGTGAAAAGCTTGCCAACCGCCTGGTCGATCAGGCGACTCGTGTAAGCGTCCAAGGGAAGAGCATTCGACAGAGCTACATCGAGCATGTGCGCAAAGCGAACCGGGTGGGCAACGTCGAACAGCATGGCAGTGTGGTTGGCCAGCATGCCAGCTTGAACCTGAAGGGCAAGGGTGAGGTCGGCGGGACTGAGCTGCGAGATGCCCATGGGCCCAAGACTGGCAACAGCGTGCTCAGCCAGCGGGGACACCAGACCACCGTTCTCGACCATGGACCACAGAAGAGTCATGGCTGCCTGAGGCGAGAGAACAGCGGCCGACTGCATGAGGACGCGACCAAAGAGGTGAAGAGACTCAGTGATCTGCTCTCGGGTCAAGGCTGCAACGGCGACACCGTTGGCGGGAGAAGCGCCGCGGATCCGAGCAAACATGTTGCGTGCTTCCTGCAGGCCCTCCTCCACATGACCACTCTTGAGCAGAGCAACCCCATACATAGCTGTCGGCTGAACCATTTCCGGGATTGCCTGACCCACCGTGGTCAGCATGATCCACAAGGAACGGGCCGCCGAAACATTGCCCCGACGGACATGGAGCGCCAGCAGCGAAATAGCAGGGTTCTGGCGCGTGTCCGGCGCTGTGGGCAAGCTATCGTATGCCTCGGATGCGGTGGTGAAATCGCCGGCATCAGCCGCGGCCATGCAAATTTGGGAGATTGCCTGATCCCGGGCGCCATCATGCAACTGAGTCTGCGCCTGCTCCAAAGCCTTGCTGTGTTCGCCAGCATCCAGCGAATGCTGTACCAATGCGTCCTGGACAATAACAGATTCCACTGTACTCCACCGGTCCTGGCGATTCTCAGTTACCTCATCAAACGAGGTGCGAATACGATCGAGGAAGTGCAGAGCCCCGTCCTCTTTGCCGCAGGACAGATACGCACGGATCAGAGCGGCATAGACCTGTCCATCCAGGCGCTGGACAATGCTGAACACCCCATTGTCGTCGGAAACAGCGAGACTTCGGTACTCGTTATAGCATTCCACGGCACTCTTGAGATCACCGGTAGAAGCAAACGCATCGATCATGGGCGGGAAAATCGTGGCATGAGGAATCACTTTCCGCGATTCCATGTGCGAATAGATGCGGATCATGTCCTCCACGCTGCCCTCCTCGGCACAGGCAATGATGAGATGACGGTACATCTCGAGCGGGAACACGAGTCTGGAGTGTCGCGCCGTGGCGGTGTCGAAAAGCTTGACGGCAATTGACAAAGAGTGGTCTTCGGCAAGGATGTCACGCTCCAGCTCACTGGATTGCAGCATAAACTTGCCGGGCTCCTCCATGCCTCCAAAGCGCACCCTCTCCTGCTCCAGCACCTCCTTGGCCTTGATCGTGTCGTGCGCCCGGGTAACCAGTAGTTGGACGAGGGTCTGGTAGGTATCTTCGTCGGGAATTACCCTTCGACGAAGCATATCGGAATAGACATCGAGCGCTTTGGGGATGGCCTGGGCGGCGTCGGGGTGAAGCTGGATGGCTGCGACCAGTAGAGCGTTGTATGCCTCCACCGTCGGAGTCAATCCATCGCGAAGCAAAGACTCGAAGGCTGCTGGGACGTCTGCATAGCTCTTCGACGTGGCGAGTTGAACGATCCGATCCGAGGCAATCTGAGCCTCATCGGACGCAGATCCAGTGACGGATTCCTCCACTGCGGATTCCGCCGCCTCGGTCACGTCTTCGGCCTCTTCAGCCTCTTCAGCCTGCGCCTGTTCCTCCTGGATCTGGATTTCCCGAGCCACTGCCTCCTCTACCTGCGCACTGACATCTTCATTCACTGCCGCCTTGGTGAGATGGGGTGGAACGGACTCGGACGAGGCGACTCGGTCTTGCTCGGTATGCTCCGCATCCTCGGCCGACGGTTTCCAGCCGATGCGGCGCTTGAACTGGAACTGCCTCCAATCACTGTCATCGCCCGTCTGCTGTGCGTGCTGCCAGGCAGCATAGTAGGCGGCTAGACTGAGATCGCCAGACCCCGAACCCCCCTGGCTGGCCTTGGCGCCGGCGCCGGACGAGCTGGACGCGTTCGAGAAAGCATTCTGGAGGGCGGTGCGGGAGAGTTTGGCGGGTTGAACGGCGAGCTGGTTGAAGGTGGTAGACGAGGCGTACGACTGCGACGCCGCGACTACAGATTGGGCGTAGCCGTGAGTAAAGGCTTTGGTGAAACTCTGGCGCGCGAGATGGGTAAACGGTTTAAAAACCATTTATCTAGCGGGAGACCTCTTCAGAGTGAAGAGGCAATGCTGCGAGGACCAGTGAGCAGGGAGCGCATAGCATGTGGTTCAAAATTCGAAATTTACCTTGCACTCAGAAGGGTATCGAGAATGCAGGTTCATTTGACGACGGATCGCCAATGAACGCGCGGGTAGAAAATAGGGGAGGGAAGTAAATAAGGTAGAAAAGTGATCAGTGATGGAATGACCTGATGGTGTAAAACAGGTCAAAGTGAACGGTGAGATGAAGTCTCTAAAGGAGATAAGAAAAAACAGGAGCCTGAAAAAAAAAAAGCCCGAGGACACGCTCGCCAGAAATAACGGGCTTTCTCGAAGATGGAGTGTGGGCCTTGAAGAGCTTAGGGCCGATCTTCTCCGGAGAATCCTCTGGATGTACATAGTACTTTCCACGCGCGCACGGCTACCGACGGAGACTAAGTACTGGGTACGGCTGCTTTCGCTGACGATTTTCTCCCTCAAAACAAGTCCGCAAATTGCTACACGTCCCTTTGCAGACCGGTCATAGATACCCCTGCCAGAGGTATAATTTTCTGGTGGTTACTAGCGGAGAGATACCTCGTGGGCGGTACTCAGTACTTCGGACTTTTGGACCTGTCAGCAGGTCAGGTGTTCGAGAAAAAGCCGCCAGGGGAACCCGCCAATCAGAGGCCGCGTAAACCCCCCTTCGGCCCAAGTGAGTCACTCTCCTTCCGGTTCTTTTTCTTGCCGGAGCTAAGACTCTCCCCTTCCCCGACGGCTCCTCGGACCCCCGATTGACCGAACGGTGTTCAGCCTCTACACTTGATTTCTCATCTCATCCTGCTGTTTTTTTTATTTTTAGGGTGGTTTCAATGTTGGCCCCATTTATTTCAAACCCCTGTGATGCTACCGGGGGCGGAGGGGAAAGCCCTTCATAACTGGCTGTATTGGTGTGGAAAAGGACACACTTGCGTGTGCCGGGGACAACAGGCCAAAGTCCGGGTATGGATCACGTGACTCCGTACTTAGTCTGGTTCCATGGAAGACAAGTGATGGAGAGCCTCAGGCTGGAAAGCAGCCCTACACGGTGTCAGCATGCTTGAACCCTGCCCAGATGGAGAGATCAAGACACCTTCATCACAACCTGCCATGGACATATTAACAACTTTTCTTGCCAGGTAATAGCCCGACAACTCCACTGGTTTTATATATCAATCCAGAAGGTCAAGTGATTCTTCACGTTGGACATTTTTCGAGGTTTCCAGCGACTCTAACTCCGATTTCTGCAATCATATATCGCGCCCAGACCACTATTGATTCATCTATCACACCCAAGAATCGATGGCCCCGACCGGGGCTCATCTCTGACGTCAGAAGGGTATGATAAACAAAAAAAAAAGGAAAAGAAAAAAGGTACGAGTCGGACACTTGGCCGAGAGCCAGGCTGTCGATCCATGTCCGTGTCGCCTGACCCCATTTCGCTCAACGGGGACACGGGCGACTTGTACCTCGCAGTGCCAATCGCAGGGACTCCTGGTCGCTTAATTCTCACTACTGGAAAGTGATCTATCTATGGTTCTTATTGGATGGTTACAAAGAGACATTTATCCATACAGTAGACGGTTTTGAGTCGTCAAGTCATGGAGAATAATGATAAGTATGCTAAACATGTGCTGATCTTCTAACCATCGTGTATTTTATTTAATTTTATCTCTCTCCCCCTCAAAATGCATCGAAGGATTCAACCCCCCTTTGACGTTAATGTCCATGCGCAACGCACGGGAAACTCACGATCCACCCGTGGGGCATTTCGTCGATCGCATACCACACAGTCTTGACCTTGTACACTCTTGAACCTATCCACATGTCCCTGAGCGAGGGCTCTGAGTTCCACCAGGAGCCACCAGGAGCAGGTCCGTGTCCGGGGGAGGGGTCTGCATCCTACACTTGTTAGATAGTTTGATGCCTTGGGTTGCCCAGTTAGGGCTTGATCTACTCGATCACGCCCCATTTCTACAGTATGTACATACAGCACACTTGTAGAGCTACAGTAAGTCTATGTATGTATACATGTATGAACTACTGAGTTGGGATATATTCTGACGCAATTCTCGCACCATGCGCGGTAGCCGATCATATCGTTTCTTCTTTTACCTAATAATTCCTGGGACCCTGTTCTCCCCCCCCTCATCATACCGTAGACTGCTATGACTCATTTCTTCGCCCTTTCCAACTTTGTTGATCCGTGGATGAGATTGCTCGGCAGGTCTCTGCCTCAGGAACCCAAGCAGGTACCCGATTATGCCTGGGGAAGGCGGCCCCGTCCATTTCATCATCGCCGATGATCCATCTCGATGACCCACCGGGAGAAAAATTCGATAATAGTCATATTTTATTGTTATAGACAGTTTACACATTTCACAAAACATTTGTTGTCTTTGAGTACCAGATATACATACATGTATATATTGATCAGAGAACTTTCCACAGGGCCCCTGTTTACATACTTACAATACTCCAGCCATTTAAGCCGTGCTCGAAATTGCATCATCACGGCGAGGCGCATACACTTTATCTCTCCCCAAGATGTATTATGTAAATCCTAATCTATTTCCATAAATTACAAGATTATTTTCAATCTGCAAGTACTCGACTTTATTCAACCACTTTAATTATTTCTATACATTATATACATAAAAGAGAAGAACCAACGCCAAGACGGCAGGCTCTTCACTGCCTCAAGGAGTATACTACTCGATTGGGGTACCCACGTGACCCGGATATACGGTATGGTGTCAGGGTCTGTTTCGAAAATAATAAAATAATAAAATAAAATGCCCTACCAGCCGATCTCCAGTGGAGCCGGTGGGTCACCTTAAAGTCCCTCATGGATTAGTCAAGAATACTCAATCCTGACAGTTCGATCCGAAGCTGACCCGTGGGCCCACTTCCGAGCCATGTCCACATGGGATTTTTTTTTGTTATTCCAAGAAATAAAACAAATGAAAAAAAAGTGATTCAAATTTTTTTTTTCTTGGTAATCAAAAAAGGAAAAAAGGCTTCTCGAAGGGCAAATACTATGGATATGGCGGGTTCAGTGAGGCTGACCAAACATTTCTCCGAGCTCATGCCGATTCCCGACGATGACGTTGGACAAGGCTCAAGTGTATGTACTGTAACAAAATAATAAGTCAACGGGCCTGCAGGAGTAAAACAAGATACAGCGGGGGAAGGAAAGAGAAAGCGAGATGGAGAGAGAAAAAAAAAGAAAAGAAAAAGAGAGCTTTCGGGATCGTCAGAGGGGGGAACTAATAAGAAGCTGAGTGACAAGTCTCCGGTCACATACATCGACATACATGTAGGGTTCCGGCGTGGCTTTTATAGAATCCCCCATGCTGCCACATCCCTCAGAAACTTTTGTATGTACGATGATGTTCGAGGTACAACCCACCCCTCTCTGATGAACCTGGGAGCTACTGAGAAGAGTATTCATCGTCGAAGGACGCTGGAAGTGGGTCTGGATCGTCGCACCCATGACGATACTCATTTCCTCCCAGGGACCGACCGCACTGCGTCATTTCGTGTCTGCGTAGACCGCTTCGTTTCTAGCAGTTTATCCCTGAGATCTGAGATCGCAATAGAAGGGGAGGATAGAAGGAGAACCGGGAAAATGGCATCAAATGTGGCGATAGTATTCCATGAGGGTACATTGCTGCGGTTATCCGGATAAAAAAAAGAAAAGAAAAAGAGAACACTGGATGTGCCATGAATCGGCCTTGCTCTGCCGTCTGATCGGCTTGAACCACTGCCGGCCTAACCGGAGCTTCCAGGTCTGGTGACAATCCACCAAGTGGCTACTGACCGTCTCACGGGTTGGCGAATGATCTTTTTTGTTTCGATCGTGGAGAACGACTATCTCGGGGGGCTTATAAATTGCGCTGGGCCCCCGGGGAGCTGTGCGATGCGCAATATATACACGGGGCGACTCCCATTTTTGTGGTTTCTTTTTCTCTTTTACCAGAATTCCTGCATCCCATCTCGGCCATACACTCCATAATCCTCTTTGTTTCCCTTGTACAGACACAAAAAACTGCCACAATGGTATCACAAACTCTTTTGGAGACGCCGCGCCATCCTGGGCGGAGCGAGCGAGGCTCCGAAAGCGATAGCTCGCTGGATGAGATCGCGCACGAGAAGCAGAAGCTGATGGTCACCGGTTTCGCCCTCGGGCGACATGGCAAGGATCTGGACAATTCGGCGTCGCCGAAGCGGTGGAAGTCGTTTTGGACGGCATTCCGATACCTCTCCAATCTGACCCCCAAGCAAGTGGACGACTTCATGGCGTCGTATGTCATCTACAACCTGGACTGGTCCAATGAGCAGCAGATGCGCGAGGTGCTGGGCCCCAATTACCAGGAGAAGGTTGGGGATTGCTTGAAGTCGTATTATGGCGTGCTGAACCATCTGTGCGCGCTGGGCGATGTTGAAAAAATGTATATTCCGCCGTGGATGAGCCGCAAGGCCAACGTCCTGGAGAACCAGATTTTGTATGAACGGTCAATTGCCAGCAACATTGGCTTGTCGACTGGCGACCGCGTGTTGGATCTGGGATGTGGTCGCGGGCGCGTGGCCGCCCACATGGCGCAATACTCGGGCGCCCACGTCACCGGCCTCAACATTGACCCCAACCAGATTGCGCAGGCGCAGGGCTTCAACGAGGAGCGCGGGCTCCAAAACTCCTTTGTCACCCAGGACTTCAACAACCTCCCTCTCCCATTTGCCGACGAGAACTTCGACGGCTTCTACCAGATCCAAGCACTGAGTCTGTGTAAGGATCACCGCGCCCTCTTCCGCGAGGTCTTCCGCATACTCAAGCCCGGGGCCAAAATCTCCCTCCTCGACTGGGTCAGCTTGCCTGCCTACGACCCCAAGAATGCCGAACATGCCGAGCTGATGAGCCGCGTCAAGCCGCTCATCGGCGCCGTTGGCACCCCCACTCCGGAGAGTTTGGAGGAGGCCCTGAAGGATTCGGGATTTGAGGTGGTCCGCTCGGAGAACGCCAGCATCGACGGGCTGCAGGCCCCGCTGATCGACACCGTCGACCTGTACTTCCGCACCCTGCGTCAGGTCATCCTCGGCCTCGTCAAGCTCCATGTGCTGCCCCGCCACTTCAAGACCCTGATCAACCGCCTGTGCCTTGATGGCCAGGCTTTTGTCAAGATGGACAACATGCGCCTGGCCACCACAAGCTACAGCATCATTGCGCAGAAGCCCCGATCATAAGGTTGCCATGGACACATTTTTGCTTTTCTTTTCTTTTGCATGGGGTATGCATCGTGTGTGACTGATCCGATATTGGTGGAAGTGCGACAGTCCTTCTGTCGTGACTGTCCGAGTTGTCGGACGGTGAAAGGGATCCCCGGGGCCCCTGAGGTCAGTTGCTCCCCATCAAACCAGCCTACCCTCACCTCCCTCACCTCCCTCATATATGTCCTCGTCCCCCCACTGCAAATACCCTGTACAGTTATTAAAAGCTTAGAGAAGGCTTTTGGGGAGTTCTGGCTGCCTTTTTCTTCATTCTTGGGATTTTTTGGGTCTGTTGGCGAGCAGTTTCTGGAGTTCTATGGATGGTTCAATTAACGAATTGCATATCACCGGTCTTCTCATGATTTTCCCAAGTCTATACTGTAGTAGTAGTCCACAATTATGTCCAGAGATTTTATACAAAGAAATAAGACAAATGGGTATAGCATCACAACAGCTGCTCTGACCAGTTGACTCAATTTCGCTGGGCTTGGCTGGAGCTAACCCGCTTAGGATAATTCGATACAACCTCGCCTCCCCGCCATGGCCTTTGTCCCTGCATCTTCCCTGGTGCCATCCGCCCGAGGTCTTTTCCCTTTGTTCAATTTGATCTTAAGGAAGACCTGAGACTCCAGGGTTGTATTGCTCATCCGATTCCACATCCAATTCCCATTTCCTCCCCTCCCCACGTACCTGGGAACCGCGTGGTACCACCTCAGTTCGAAAGGCCTCTAGGTCCAACCTCAAGATAAATCCCCACGCTCGGTCTTCATGCCCCCTCAACCATCTTCTGTGACGGCTCTGTCCGCCCCAGGGAAGGTCCTCCTCACCGGTGGATACCTTGTCCTCGACCGCAGCTACACCGGCACCGTCTTCGCACTCGACGCACGAATTCACGTTGTCGTCCAGCAATTGCGACGAGGCCATCGCCGGGGACCTTCGGGGTCAGGAGCGGACACTAAGACAGCTGCCCTGGGTGGAGAGCCACAGGGTGTCAGCTCCGAGGATCAAGAGGCCGCGGATACCATCGTGGTGCGCTCTCCACAGTTTGTGGATGCGGTGTGGGAATACGGTGTTCAGCGATGCGAAAATGGTGGCGGTGTGAAAGTGTTCCAGAAGGGCAACAGGTGCGACCATTCTCTTCCCCACAATCAACTATGTTTTGTCTCATGCTTGGACCAGAATACCTAGGTTTGTTTCGGGTTGGCTAACAAGCAACGAGTCTAGGCCCCGGAACCTATTCGTCGAGACCTCTCTAAGCTATGCCTTGACCTACATCAGCTACGTCGCCGACTCCAAAGACTTCGGATCATTGTCGGTCACCATCCTGGCCGATAATGACTACTACTCAGAGACGGCCACTTCCAGGGGCCCGGCGTCCCGGGCGCGCGGTCGCTTTGCCAACTTCGGCGTGCCTCTACAAGAAGCCCACAAGACGGGTTTGGGCTCCTCGGCTGCGCTAGTCACTGCCCTTGTCTCGGCTTTGGTCATTCACCGCACCATGCAGGCCGACGATCTCGGCGCTGGCCGCGACAAGCTCCATAATCTGGCCCAAGCGGCCCACTGCGCCGCCCAGGGCAAGGTTGGATCGGGATTCGACGTCGCTACTGCAGTCTATGGATCGTGCCTCTACCGACGGTTCTCGCCGGCGATTCTGGCGTGCGTGGGCGATGTGGGCACCGATGGGTTTGAGGAGCGGTTGTTTGCAGTTGTCGAGGACGCTGACCCGAAGCACCCGTGGGACACCGAGTGTGTGGACTTTGGCATGCAGCTTCCGCGGGGGATGCAGATGGTTCTGTGCGACGTTGAATGTGGCTCGCAGACTCCCTCGATGGTCAAGAAGGTGTTGGAATGGCGGAATGCCAACCGCAAGGACGCCGACCTCCTGTGGGGCAAGCTCCAGAACAATAATGAACGACTACGACAAGAGCTGAAGCGTCTGGCACAGCATCCTGGCTCGAACCCGGATGGTGATTTTTCCGGCATCCGCTCCTCGATCCAGCGAACACGGGAGTACATCCGCACCTTGACCCAGGAGACTCAAGTCCCTATCGAGCCCAGCGTTCAGACCGAGCTGCTGGACAACCTCATGGAGATTGAGGGTGTGATTGGGGGGGTGGTCCCCGGCGCCGGCGGATACGATGCCATTGCACTGTTGATTCGGGATGACCCAACAGTGATTGCCCGGCTGAATGAGCGGTTCGCCAACTACTCCAGCACCGTCGAGGATGACTTTGGCGGCAAAATCGGCAACGTGCGGCTACTGGGCGTGCGGCACGGCTCAGAGGGCGTGAAGAATGAAATCCTGGAGCAATACGCCGGCTGGGTCTAGACTCGATATAAGTGAGGTCACCAGTTCCCGACGACGCTGCGCCTTGCCGGTTTGCATTTTGGACCGGAACCTCCACGCCTCCTGGCATATCTGGGTATCAAATGACATAAATGCCCGCTTCAACGCATCATATCGAAGTCAACTCGGATGCACTTCCCATGTGTTCCCGTACTTACCCTGCATCCTATTCATGGATGTATCTATACATCCCCCTCCCGACATATGCATCACGAGTCCATGTTCCAGCTGAGGGCGAGGACATCAGACGCCTGCGATCGTGTCTGTTTGTCGAACATTCCAGTTTGGGCCGGGGTCAGTCACAGCAGCAATCTGTGGATGTCGGGGCTCATCATTTCGGCTTTGAAGAGAAAGTATGGGATCCCGGTATATAGATATCCTTTAGCAATTTCGGTAGACTGTCAACATGGAGAATTATGAGGAATATCCATGAATCCAAAAACTGCCATGACGTGGTATCTCCAAAGAAAACAAGAATGCAAAGTGTTTTTGTTCTTGGGGGCCAGTTCTTTCCCCGGATCTCTCGCCTGCTCGATATACTATTTTTCTTCTTCTTTTCACTTTTTCTTGAATGCCAATCCCCCCTTTTCATGAATTCTGTGGAGAGACTTGTTTGCTCGTTTCATTTCCAGGTTTCTTTGTCTTGCTGATCTTCTCTTCCCCACCCCCTTAAACCCTTTTTTTATTTTATCTTATTTTTTATTTTCCTTTTTCCTTTTTTCTTTGGTTTTCCTCGGCAGTGTACATTATTCCTTCTGGCACGTTGCGCTAGTGAGACATTATTGCGCTCCCCGGTCGACTCCTCACATCTCGGGCTCCCCCCGACCATCTCTCCCTCGAGCCTCTCCTCTCTCCCCCCATTCCAAAAAGGCGATCTCCCCTTCCTCCCCGCTGACGGTGTTTCCCCCCTTTCCCCCTGTGGAGGGAAAAGTTAATTGCCACCTGCCAACTGGGGCAATCAGTCATGTCGTCCACCGACCAGCCGGCATCGGAGGCTCACTCGGGTCCGACCACTTCTCCGCAGGAATCTCAACCCCAGCCCCCATCGCCCCAAGACGCCGAGTCTGTGCCAGCAAACACAGACCCCGTCGCGGCGGCTCCCACTGCTGCGCCGTTAGACCACCCTCAGCCAAGCGATGCAGCTGCCGCGAACCACCCCGCAACCAGTGGCGAAAGCGCCCCCGTGACAGCAACCACCAGCACCTCACCCACACCCCCGAATAACACCACATCTCCAGTCGCGCTACCTCAGGATTCGGATGCGCCCGCAATGCATACCGAAGAACCTAAGCCTGCCGCTGAGCCCTCAGAGGATCTGTCGGATGTTGCCTCGGGGAAGGAAGTTGAGGACCCGGGCCCTTCTTTGGTGATTACGCTGTTGTTGACGACGGGGTCGCGCCACCCGTTCACGATCGATGGGAAATATCTGCGGAAGTGCTCGGTCAATGTCGAGAACTATGATCCGTTCGCGATGAGTGTCTACACATTGAAGGAATTGATCTGGCGCGAGTGGCGGTCTGGTAAGAATGATCAATTTGGAGAGAAGAGAGATTCCATGAACGAGCCCTTTGCTAACCTGGTATATCTTGGCTATAGACTGGGAAACTCGTCCCTCGTCACCGAGCTCCATTCGTTTGATCTCTTTTGGGAAATTATTGGATGACAAGTCGCCTCTGTCTGGTATGTATTACTCGTTTTTTTATGTCCGCTGTGTCGGTGCTTGGAGTTGGACTAACAATATGAGCAGACTCGAGGTTCAACCATGATGCTCCCAATGTCGTTCATATGACTGTGAAGCCGCAAGAAGTGGTAGACGAGGAGGACGCCAAGGGAGCCAAGGCGCAGTACAGCCGGGAGCGTGAAGCCAGCGAGCGCAGCCCGGGATGCCGCTGTGTGATTCTATGAGCCCGTGGTCGAGGAAGCTTTTTGGCGGCGTTGGCAGTTAAGCCTCTGCGATCAAGATACCGGACTCCGTGATCTCTGTTGCCATTGCCTTCTCTTTCATACCTGTGTTCCGATATCCCGTTCCTTTTCTGGTATCTCGGCCATGTGCCCATTCCTGCCTGGATGCAGGACCAGCCTGGTGTGTCGAACCTGAGCTACTATTGCTGAATATGTGTGCTCCGGAAGCGGCGTTTGGACATTTCTATCCCTTGATCCCGGCTTATTGATATCACGATTTTCTCTCTCTTTCTCTCCCCCCTCCCATCTGTCCTCGCCATCATGCTCGGTTTCTTGGGTTCTTCTCTTTTCCGGTCCTTACGATGAAGTCGTACTTGGCCTCGTGCACACACATTGGTTCACCTTGTCTTTTTGTTTGTACATGGGGCATGATCTGTCTGGGGTTTTTCTAGCCTGTTTGTTGGTCTATCCGGGTGTTTTTGCCTTCCTTGGGTGCTAATTGTTGGTCTTCTTTTCTTTTTTCCTGTCTCTATTATTACCTCTTGGCCACCCACTTCTTCCCGTGTCTCTCCTGTCCGACTGGTCACTCTCCTACCCCTTTTTTTATATACCCATCCAATCCTACTTTCCTTTTTCTTTTTTGTTCAATTATTGTATGGTTGGTGTTGAACCACTGTATCTACAATTTTATCTTCTCGTTGTCCTTTCTTTCTCTCTGAAGCTCTCACTAAGAGTTATCCCACGAGAAGTACGTAGTATTCGGGTTGGGTTAAGGTATAGCAGCTATGGCAGTCGGCATTTGTTGCCACTTTTCTATATGGATATCTCTCTAGTTGTGATCCGGATCAATCCTTACACTGCCTTATTTTTCCAGGCGATATCTACATTATATCCCTTGGCGGCGGAGACTTAGATCAGGTGGATATGAGCAGGGATGGGGACAGAAAGAAAAGGGAAGAAGACCAGTGGAAAATCTTGATGGAAAGATAAAGACAATAAAAGACAGGAAGGAATTCGTCAACGCTCAATTTAAGAGTCCATCTTCAGCCTCTTCTCCATTTCGTCGTGGAAAGCGGGCGGTTCCCGGAGTTCGTCGCCTGTAGCAGAGAAAGGATCAAGTTAGCAAAAAGAAACAAAGTGTTCTCTCTCTGATATATATACGGTTTCCCGGTTTATAGACGATTCGTCCCATGCCACCCCAGATAGCAACCAGGCAGAAAGAATAGAAAAGAAAAGAACAAAAAAAAAAAAAAAAAAAAAAAAAAAACCTACCATGGAACACATCCTCCCACGCAATCTCGGTATCCCGACCCCCAAGCACAAGGATATCCTCATGGACATTGCCACCCCGAAGCCCGCCCAGCGCCGCAGGCCGGAACGTGCCGTCGCGCACGATCTTCAGCTCCATGCCCCGGCGGACCGGCTCGGCAATCCCGTACGCCCGGCGCAGGCCCTCCATCTTCAATGCATCCTGGGTTGCGCGCCAGGCGTGCAGACGGGCTTCGAGCGGGTGTGTCGAGTCCGGGGTGTCGGCGGCTGCGATGGCGTTGGTCGAGGAGGCGTGCGGCGTCGCGGGGAGCGTGATCTTGTTGCGGAGGGTGTCGGGCAGACCGGGTGCCGAGGGTGCGCCCTTTGTTGCCCGGGGCAGGCTGATGGGGATCTGTTGCCGGGTTGTTGTGTTGGAGGTTTGGGATGGGTGGGCGGTCTGAGGGGTGATGCGGAGGGACTGGTGGTATTGAATTGTAATTAGTTATTTGTCTTATTGTGTTTTATGGAATTTGGATTCCTGATGGAAGCTGGTTTGGGGATGGGCTTGGCTGGTCGACAGCTTTCCCTCTTCGCTTGGTGAGGTCAGTGGTCCTGTAGCTTGATAACGTACCATGATGGCGGATGGGATCGGGAGAATCCTCTGGATTTGGATTCTTATATCACGGAGAGTGGTATGAGTCCAAGGGAATCCGTCAGAGGAGAGAGAAAAGTCCACAAGACGAAGCAGGAAAAGAGATGCAATGACACTGAGCTGACGGAGGTCGGTCCCTTTAGGCAGAGAGAAGCAGCGCGTCCCCCAGCTCCTCCGGCACCCGGAGCAAACCATCCACGCAGATCACGTGTACTCCCCATATTGGGGGCATCAATTGAATTTCTCGATCTCCGACGGGTCTCTCTCCGCACGCCAACACCCACCAACACATCATGCCCCAATTAATCTCGCCCCTGGCCCTTCGTGCCCTGCGCACCCTGGCCCAGCGGCCCAAGCCTTCGATGACACCCCTCCGCGCGCTCACCACATCTACAGCGCCCCTCCGTCGACCCGCCCCGATCTCCTCCAAATTCACCTTCCAGCCTGTCTTCCGCATCTCGACCGCCCTCCCCCTCTCCGCCACTACCCGTCGCCAATTCTCCTGTTCCCCCATTACTCGCGCCACCTTCAACCAAGTACGTCGCGGTATCCGCACCGGACAGCGCGCCCGCCGCGCGCGGTCTCCGGCGCTCGCGAATCACCCAGCTATGAAGGGCGTGTGTCTCAAGACTGGTGTCACGAAACCCAAGAAGCCCAACTCTGGTGAGCGGAAGACGGCTCGTGTGCGGTTGAGTTCGGGGAAGGTTGTTAGTGCGATTATCCCGGGTGAAGGTATGGGGTCTTTTTTTTCTGTTCTTTTGTTATTTTCTGGCCCAGTTTTTGTGTTGGTCTTTGCCGAGAGCGATCTCGAATTTGTCTTGCTAATATTGGTCTGTTTGCAGGTCACAATATCCAGCAACACAGTGTTGTCCATATCCGCGGCGGTAGAGCCCAGGATTGTCCTGGTGTCAAGTATCATGTGGTTCGGGGTGCCATGGATTTGGTACGTTTTGAGTCTCCTTCCCCCCCCTTTCGATGTTATATCATATTTCCGTTTCTTTGTACAGGCATTGACCAATTTGCTTAGGGTGGTGTTGGAGGCCGAATGACGAGTCGGTCGAAGTACGGAACGAAGAAGCCGAAGAGCAACTGAGCTAGTTGATTGAGCTTGCATCTGTTTCATAGAGGAAGCCATCGCTTGGGCTTTCCTTTCATTTTTGTTTTCTCTTGACCCATTGTACTCTGAAGTTGTCATGTGGATAATTGCATGTATCGCTATGAAAGGGACCAAAATCTACCGAATTTCAACCGGAAAATAATCCCATTCACCTGTTTTATCAATTCTGAAAAGTATAGAAAACACCAATCGCCAATCGCCAATTGCCCGTTGCCCGTTGCCCGTTGTCCTTTTTCTCGGTACTCCGATGACCCATAAATCAAATGACAAAACAAATGGTAACGCTGCCGAAATATGGAAATAGTAACACATAACAGACATCGAAGCGAAGCTGTCCAATAACCAAAGATGAAGCGCAGTACTGCAAATTAGAGATAAAGCAGGACGCACGTATTAAGGGTAATCTCATTCTGCGCAGGAATCACAGAGCATGAGGCATTCGAGTCCTTCTCTTCCCTCGGAGAGCGTTACTAGCCAATATCACCGAGGGGCGGAGGATGGACGAAAGGAAAAGGATCCCCAACCCCTGCAGCCCGTTTAGTCTGTTTCCTTCACGCCCGGGGGCTTCTTCCACCCGTTGAGCTTGTACCAGCGGCTGGTGCAGGAATATCCCCGGAAGTCGAAGTTGTCATTCGGGTTGCAGTGGCATCGCAGATCCAGTCTTGCCTGTTCATCAGATGGGCAGTGCGTGAATGGCGGGTGGTAATAGGCAATGTCGTTGAAAAAATGGATTTGCTCCTTCTTCAGCAGGATGCTGGCGGCTATGGAGTGGACGGGTGCATCACCCCATCGCTCGTAGAAAAAGCCGCCGGTCTGATCCAGGGCCGAGAAATAGTCCGTGTATTCCTGGGACCGGAGCCAGTCCAGGCTGCCGACTTCAAAGTTCGACCACTGCAGGACAAAAGAGTTAGTACATTTCTTATCCGCGGCATTTGGACCGCAAAAAAAGCACATACAAAGTGACAATTGTTGTAGGTTTTGCCGCTATCCTCGCTGATGAAATCCATCGCGTTTCCTTTGGGGATATGCTCTGGGTGGCCCTTGATGAATTCCTTCACGGTGCTCCACAGCGAGGGAATGGTCTCGTGGTACTCGTACAGACTAATTACAAAGCTGTACATCTTGTTGTTCTCTTTGAGAAGGCGGAAGGGATCGGTGCCGACGTCACAGAAGAGCTCGATGTTTGGCTCCACGCGCCAGTAGTACTCGTAGTTCAGCATCAGCGGGTGGTGGAAGAAGAACCCAGACTCAAAGCGGCACATGTGGCGGTAGCTCTCCGACTCGCCATAGATGATGTTCTTGCGACCCATTTCCTCGCGCGCCTTGCGCGCCTTTTCCTGGTCAACCCAGTCAGGGTACGACCAGTGTTCTTTGGGAATCCGGCCATAGTATGTGGTACCAGACACCAGGGAGGTGGTGAGCTTCTTGAAATCATCGTCAAAGTCCTGGTCATTCAAAAACACCCAGTCATAGTTGTAGTTGTGATTGAATCGGTCTTCAATGGTGCGGATTGACTTGGAGATATCCCAGATGTCGGAGTTGCGCGCCAGCGTCACGAAGGTAGCATTGACTCGGAAAGTGCTGTTCGCACCAGGGGTCTGGACTTTGTGTGCCCGGAACTCTTCATAGCTGGGACTAATAGGTTTAGACGGAGAGGTAGGGATCGAGATGGAGGTTCCGGAGAAGAGGAAGAAGAAAAGGAAAAACCCCTAGTTTCTACTGTTAGCCTAGTCCCAAACCAACATCTATGTAGGGTAAGAGACTCTGGATACTAACCACAATGGCAAAGAGAAGGTAACGGGTATACCGTACGGGCACAGGCATCCTGGCGGAGGGAAGACAGTCGAGGCTAATGGGGGGCAACAGACAGCACGTCAGACGGTGAAATTAACGAGCATTGGAATCCATGCGCGTCAAAAAGGTGTAGAAATTAACCCAGAGGAGACTGAAGTGGAAAAAAAAGATAATAGAGAGATGAACGAGTGAATGTCCACAGTCAAAAGTAGTGGAAAAAACGAGGGAGACAATGAGCGTCATGGGCCACGCAAGACGGGACATCCACCGCTTTCACCCTGGTTTCACCGCGTGTGAGACATTCTTCGGGCATTCAACATCGGGGGGTTGCGCATGGGTTGGCTCCACGCCGGGTTGAGACTCCATAAGTCAATGGATTCTGAGTTCTTTGTTAAGCATCCAAATTTGGGGCTAGGATTATGTCTGCTGGGGCCGATGGCAGGACTCGCATATAATACAATCTGGACGAGTAATCACCATACAAGATCGTATAGCAATAGAAATATATAGTAAAGATATAATTGAGAATACTTGGTTTTAGATCAGTTTCAACATGATGACAGACTTGGATAGAGATATAGCTCTCTATTAATGTTGATGCCATGTAAACCGTCCATTGTATACTCGATCAAAATCCCGTGCTTGGCAATTCCGCCTCAGGCATCAGAAATGCCGACCTTCGCCTGGTCCGTTCTTCCTCTCTCCCCCACCATTACCTCACTCCGTCCTCCTGATCTTCCCTCCTTCCATCCAGCCAAAGAATTATGTCTTTCTTCGGCTTTGATACAACCCTCCCCAGGGACCGTGACCGTGGTCCCGAGGCCACGAGGGGTTTCTTCGAGAATCCGGATCCCTTCGCGCAAGTCGCACAGGCTACGGCTCTCGAGGACGACGATGCGTGAGATACCCTATTTTATGGTCGGTAAAAATATGAAGCATGCACTGATGAGCAATTAGGATTGACTTCGAGGATACCTACGATGGCTTGGGAGACCAGCTTGACGATGATCAAGATGAGTTCAACGACGACACCTTTGGTGGTGGGCCGAATATCAAGCCTGTCGGCAAGGACTTCGACTTCTTTGGAAGAACCGCCCAGGTCGCCGATGCAATTGGCGAGGAGCAGGTTCGCTACAGCCTTCAACACCCTCAGGCCGCTCGGGAGCCCCTTCAGCCCAATGTCCAGACCCCTGCTCAGCCGGCCACCATTTCCACGGCCGCTACCTCCAAGCGCACCGGCTACGAGAAGTATGAGGACCCTGGGTACATTCCTGATTTGCAGGCAAAGTCCAGTGTGTGGGGTATTTCGCAGAAGAAACCCACCGAGCCCGCCGCGAGCCGGAAAATGATGAGTCTAGAGGAGGTGGAGGCCCAGATGCGGCAGCATGGGCAGAGTGCGCCGAATGTGCCGGCGCAACGTCTTCCCCAACCTCTTGCCGACCCGTCATACCCCATCCACCCCCAGCATCTTCCGACGCTCCCCGATGGCTTCCCCCCGATCCCTCCGGAATTCTTGCAGGCGCAGCTGGAAAATGGTGCATTGCCGCCGCAGATGCCGCCCCCGCCGCCAGGTGTCCCGGAACTTTACGGTGGTCCTGGACAGCTTCCTCCTGGTGTGCCCCTGCACCATCTCCAAAATGCCAATTTCCCTCCGCAGAATATGCCGCCCACCGGCTCGCGCCATGTCGGTCCACAACCAGCCCAGCGGCAGCAACAAGTCCCGCCACCAGCCACTCGGGGTGCTCAAAGTGGCATGCCAGTGATTACCACTCCGCAGCAGCTTATGCATCTGACGGAAGAGCAACGCAATGCCTATCTGATTGAGGATGCCAAGCGGGCGAAACGCAACCATAAGATCTTCCTCCTGTCAAGGGGCAATGGCTTGATGACTCCGCAGGACAAGAATTTTATCACGCGCATTCAGCTGCAACAGCTGGTGGCGGCGGCTGGGAATGTGGCTGATTCCGATCCCGAGGCTGTGCTGGCGGAAGACTTTTACTACCAGGTTTACAGCCAGATCCGGGGTGCGCCTCGCCAGCACCCGCATCAACCTCTTGGTCATTTCGCCCAAACTTACCTCCTCCAAACGGGTAACCGACTTGGCGGACATGGATCGCGGCGGGCTTTCCACAGCGCCGACAACCACATGCAGCGAATGCAGCAGCAGGTCCAGCGTGCCGTCGAGGCTGCAAAGGCCAAGCCAAAGAACAAGCAGCTTATTATCGAGGGCAGTTTGGGCAAGATTTCGTTCAGCAACGCCAAGGCGCCAAAGCCGATGCTCAACATCAAGCGGCCTGATAGTGCCGATGGGGCCAAACCGAAGAAACTGCAGTCAGACCTCAGTCTCAGTGACCGCAAATCCATTCTTACTAACCTCGAGAGTGTGTACAATGCCCTGATGTCCATGGAGGACATGGAGCGAACGATGCCCCCGCCACCGGAGGAAGGGGATGCGGAGGCGATCCAGGAGCACATGGAATGGCGTCAAAAGGTCCATTCGCTGAACCAGCAGCTCTGGCGAGCGCTGAAGGTGATGGAGCCCATCGTGCCGAGCTCGACGACGCCCCACCCTTTCATCGCATTGCTGTCCTACCCGAAAGGTAAAAAGGCCATCCCCCGCATCTTCCGCCACATCGACCAGGAGCAGCGTGTCACCATCCTCACTATGATTGTTGTGCACTTGGATAGTTTGGATGTCGTGCGTCTTGCGCAGCCCGTGCCCGGTGAGGCGCAGCCTTCTCTTGCCGTGCGGGAAGCCATTGACTTGTTCTCGTTGGCCATCATGCCGAGCTTGTTGGGTTATGTGAACGAGGCGCCCTTCAACATTATCATTGGCCTTCTGGGTCTGGTGATTGCCCAAACCCACGTACAGACCGTCGCCCGTACCAAGGTTGGGCTGGGCATTTTGACGATGTTGCTCAGCCGTGCCGAAATCGTGAAGGAGGCCGGCCAGGCATCGGAGCGCGACTGGCAGCAGTGGGTGGAGAAGTTCAACGTTCTTTTCGACACTCTGGAGCCCGCCTTGAACGATATATTTCCCGGCTCCATCAACTCGGGCGACGATATGTATGTGTGGCAGTTCCTCGCCGCGGTGGGGATTGGTGCTAGTCCCGAGCAGCAGCAGCGCTTGGTGATCGCTGTCAAGTGAGTGACTCCTGGCTCTTTTCATTTCATTCATTCTTTCCTCGGTGTGGATGCTAATTTGATCTTCCTCTTTCGCCAGGGACCGTGTTATGGAAACCGTGACCTACAGCAAAACACTCCCTGCCGACATGGCCAGTCAGCGGTTGGGTAACGTAAACCTCTTCATGCGGGCCATTGGCCTGGATGTGGAGCTCCTGGGTTAAAACGACCAGGATGCCAATGAATAGATTGAACAAAATTTGTGTTGGGCTGTGTGAGGAGTGTTTCTGGCACACAGAATTCGCTCACGAATGTCTGGGCGTCATGCCCTCCAGTGTTCTTCCCGAGTCCGGCTGGGATTCTCATGCAGAATCCAGCCAGACTCTCCCGGAAGCCCGTCGCCGTACGCTATGGACTTTGGCATCAGTCCACCTGGGCTTAGTGGGACAATTGAACCTTCCAATCCCGGAGGGTGAAGAGGGAACACTGGCAACTACACATATCATGGCGGGGGGGTAGCCACCCCGAAAACTTGCCCTAAGCTGGGCCTTTGAACTACAACCTTCATACAACTTTGATTTTCTTGTTCCAATACCATTTCATTTTCGCTCAAATGCTTGAATAAATCAGGTCTACAAAGCCGATTCTTAGTTCTTGACAGTAACAATCGGGTGTCAAACCGGGACTGGACCCTGGATCGGGGATCATTCGGCACGGTGGACACCGACCCACTCGGCTCTGGCAGAGATGAAACGGGGGAGGGTTTGACACGTACATGGTATGCCAGTGTATACCAGGGGACAGAGGGGGAATCATACTTTTCACTATTCCCATGTCGAGTGCACATCTTGCCGTCTTCGAGACAACGCGGCGCAGTTAGCGCGAGTACACCGCCAGGACGATCATTGGAAAATCGCAGTCACCACGAGGTCGCCATGGACTGGGAATGGGGTTGCAAATGCGATTAGAGAGTAGAGAAAAGCCAATGCATTAATTGCAGAACCAGAGGAGTTCAACGATGCCCGGATGATGCCATTGTCACAGTCAAAAAGATAGAATTGGCCGCGTAAGAGTCGAGATGGAACCCCTCCCCACCTGGAGTTTTCCCCTTAAATGCTGCCCCTCGTCCGCTTTTCGTTTCTCCCTCATCCCTCTACTCCCACTTTCTTTCTAAACACCTTGGATATTTTTTTTTGTCTTCTGACCTGCACATCATGCCTACTGGTTCGGTTCTTGTTGCTGGGTAAGTGATAATTGAGACTTCCGCATTGCGATCCCAACTGATTTCCCCCGCAGTGGCACGGGCTACATTGGCTCGTTCACCACCCTCGCCCTGCTCGACGCTGGCTACAAGGTTGTCGTTGCCGACAACCTGTACAACTCGTCCGCCGAGGCTCTCAGCCGCATTGAGCAGATCAGCGGCAAGAAGGCTGAGTTCGTCCAGCTCGATGTCACCGACGAGAAGGGCTTCGACAAGGTGTTCGAGGCCCACCCCGACATCGACAGCGTCATCCACTTTGCCGCGCTGAAGGTATGTAGTTTGCGATGGCTCTGCTTGCTATTCCATGCTCATTTTGCTTTCCCTGCAGGCCGTCGGCGAGTCGGGTGAGAAGCCCTTGGACTACTACCTGGTCAACGTCTACGGCACCATCAACCTGCTGCGCTCGATGGTGCGCCACAACGTCACCAACATCGTCTTCTCCAGCTCGGCCACCGTCTACGGCGATGCCACCCGCTTCCCCAACATGATCCCCATTCCCGAGGACTGCCCTCTGGGCCCCACCAACCCCTACGGCAACACCAAGTTCGCCGTTGAGACCGCCATCACCGATGTCATCAACGCCCAGCGCAACAACGCCACCAAGGCTGGCAACGAGGCTGAGGCCAAGAAGTGGAACGGCGCTCTGCTGCGCTACTTCAACCCGGCCGGTGCCCACCCCAGCGGCATCATGGGCGAGGACCCCCAGGGTGTCCCCTACAACCTGCTCCCGCTGCTGGCGCAGGTCGCCACCGGCAAGCGCGAGAAGCTGATGGTGTTTGGCGATGGTATGTTTGACACTCTCATGTTGTTTTAATTATCCTTCTTTTTAACCATTGTTCTAGACTACGCCTCCCACGACGGCACCGCCATCCGGGACTACATCCACATCCTGGACCTGGCTGACGGCCACCTCAAGGCCCTGAACTACCTCCGCGCCAACAACCCCGGTGTCCGCGCCTGGAACCTGGGTACCGGCAAGGGCAGCACCGTGTACGAGATGATCCGTGCCTTCTCCGCTGCCGTCGGCCGTGACCTGCCCTACGAGGTGGCCCCCCGCCGCGCTGGTGACGTGCTCAACCTTACCGCCAACCCCACTCGTGCCAACACCGAGCTTGGCTGGAAGGCTGAGCGCACCCTGGAGGATGCCTGCGCGGACCTCTGGCGCTGGACCGAGAACAACCCCCAGGGATACCGTCAGCAGCCGCCGGCGGAGCTGGTGGCCCAGCTGAAGAAGTAAACATCGCTGATGAAAAATGATGTGGATACGGGTGTGTCGATATAGAAATTGGTTAGAAGAGTACATGCAACGAATCTCCTTGGTCAATGTGTGCTTTGTAGAAATGGTTTTTTTTTTTTTTTTTTAATTCGAGCTTATGATATATCTAAGCCCTAGAATGATATATGGATGGTTCCCAGTGAACGTGGAGATAAATCCATGGATATTGCATCAACACAATTACTTGTTCTTCCGGCTACGTCTCGACCCAGTAGTCTGCGCCTTAGCCGACGCAGTCTCCTTGCGCGTCTGCGTCTCAGCCTTCTGCTCGGCCTCCTTCTTCTCCAGCGCGCGCTTAACAGCACCCTCCTTTTCAGTCTCCTCAATCTGCTTCTCGCTAAACTCCCACAGCCGCTTCCCGAGCGCGTCATCGCGCACATCAGAGCGCGCACAATCGACCTCACGACACTCCTTGATGAGCCAGCCGCCGTTGCCGCGCTGGTACCGCTCCTCCATGGCAGCGTACAGGATACTCTGCGCGCCCTGGTGCGGCGACTTGAGGAACAGCCACCACACGGGCCACGTCAGGAGATACAGCACCAACCCCCACAGCGAGCCGCCCGTTAGCCAGCGCCGCATGCCAGGCGTGCGCGTCTGGCCCGGGTCGACGATCAGCACGCGCGTGCATGGCGGAAGTTTGTCGGGCCGCTCGTACGAGTTGAGGTGGCGCTGGAACGACTGCGCGAAGATCATCAGCGCCAGCTTGCTGAGCGCATAGATGCCCTTGGGCCGTTTGTTGCTGTTGTTCTTGTTTTTGGGTTGGCCGGGTTTCGGGGGGATGGCCATCCCCACCCCGCGCTTCACATTGTCTAGCTCGAACTGCGCCCCGATGTAACTTGAGCAGGTTGCGAAGATGACTCGTGTGTCCCGGTGTGCCGGCTGCACGCGCAGCGCGGGGCTGAGGATGCTCAGTAGGTGGTAGTTCGCCAGGTAGTTGACCTGCCATTCTCGGTCTATGCCGTCTTCTGTCTGCCCGTGTGCTCGCGCTGGTTCTGCTGTCCCGCCGCAGAGAATGATGGTGTCCAATCGGCGCGGCGGGACGTTGTCAATCCATTTTGTGGCGAATGTGCGGACGGAGTGTAGAGAGGTGAGGTCCACTTGTTCGGCGTAGATGAGTTGATTGCCGGTTATGCGGCGAAGGTCGTCGATGTATTCAACTAGGAAGATATCCGAGGGCGATTGTTTCGTGAGGAGGATGACTTGGGCGCCGCGGGACGCTAGTTGTTGTACTACTGCTGCGCCGATGCCAGATGTGCCACCCTGCAAATGGACATGATGTCAGTTTGGGTTATGGTGGCAGTATCAAATGGTACTTTGATAGAAGAAAAAAATGGGATAGACATAGATAGAAATAGAATAAAGATGTTCTTACCGTGACCATGACCACCTTCGAGTGCAGCACTCGCTCGGAGCCATTGCTTGCTCCGCCGAAGTACCATTTCACCACGCCCACAAGTAGCACCCACGGCACGATGCGGAGCACCGTCCAGGCATATGGGATCTTCGAGATGCCTTCCTGAACGGCTAGAGAAAGAAGAGGAACGGGCATTGCGAGGGGGTAGGGGGTAGGGAGGAGAGAGAGGGTGGGAGAAAGGGGAATGTGCCTGGTTCAAGAAGTGAGGGCGAGCTGTCCGCACCTCCGACGCAATCTTATCAACTCCACCGTCATTATTTCCCTCCTACAACATCTCCCTCCGCCATGCCGCCACATGACGACGACGATTACTTCCTCCCGCTCGAGGACCAGCGCGTCTTCGGCGCTGGTATCCGCCGCACACGCGTGCCGTTCGTGCGCTCCTCCGAGCACGAACTAAACACCACCGGCCCGGGGGCATCCTCCTCGTCGACTCCGCCTGGCGCAAGCATTGCCAACACATATCTCTCAATTGTAATGAAGCAGCAGCCTGTAAATACCAGAACATTTACATCTCCGAATACACCGACACCACAGGAATCGACACCGCCACCGCGCACCGCGCAGTCCGCACCACCAACAGCGAAAGCAATCTCACCACCACCACCACCAGCATCTCTTCCCACACAACCCCCTTATCCGGGCCATACAAATACACCAACTCACTGCGAAGTCTGCAACCTCCCCCTCTCATCCAACCAAGCCCCATCAGACCAAACCCCCACAACAACCCGCCCACACGAAGCCTCCCTCGCCCACCAAGTCTGCCTCACACATTCGCACCCACCCTCACACCTCGACCGCTCGCGTGCGGGCCTGCGCTACCTCTCCACATATGGCTGGGACCCAGACAGCCGGCTCGGACTAGGCGCGCCAGGCCGCGAGGGCATCCGCGAGCCGCTGAAGGGCCGGATCAAGAACGACACCGCTGGGCTGGGGGTGGGTCTTGACGCGGACGGTGATCGTGTTGCGCCTCGGCCGCCGCCGCCGAAAGTGCAGAACTTGAATGCGAAGCAGGCGCGTAGAGGCGCGGCTGAGGCGAGACGAAAGGGGGAGAAGTTGCGGAATATGTTCTTTCAGAGCGATGAGGTGCTCAAATACCTAGGGGAGAGTGCTTGAGAGGTGCTTTTCTTGGTACTTGGGTGATCCACGTTGCATTATTGTCTTGTGGATTTGGGTTTCTCTTATGATGGATTATGATAGATTATGATACTCCCGATATGATAGACTTGGAAATATCGAACTGATTCTGTAATGCTGTGCGCTTTGTATTTTATTTTTTGTATGTTTTTTTTTCTCTGTCAAATGACACTCTCCCGCCCATGATGCCTCGGTACGTAGTGTATATCTCAGAAGAGTGCAGAGACAAGACCAGAATGCGAACAAACTGCCATCCGAGAAGGAAGAACAAAGACCACCCGATAAAGCGCCTCTGAATGCTCGGGGGACCCCAGAACGGTAGACCTTGAAATCTCAAAAGAAGGGGGAAAAGGAAAAAAGATGGTATCACAACAAGCGCTGAACAAGGGACAGCTTGACACAGAAACAGAGAGTGGAGAGCCTAAGTTGGGGAAGGAGCGCAGCAAGGAGAATGTGGCTGTAATCGTTCACTTGAAGAAACGGTATTTCTTCTCCTTGTCCTTTTTGTCCTTATCCTTCTTCTCCTTCTCCTTCTTGTGGGGCTTGCCGCCGCTGGGCGGAGGCGGGGGTGTTCCACTTGATCCATTGGGTCCCAGAGACATGTTGGCCATCAGCGCCTCCGGGGGTGCAGGCGGGTTGAGGTGTGCCGTAGGAATGGGCTTCTTCTGCGGCGGCGGAGAAGTGGGCTTCGGGGGGAGATCGCGCTCGAACAGATGGGCTGGGGCGGAGGGCTTGGGACGCTCGGCGGGGATATCAAGACGGCGCTTGTCGACGCTAAGATCGCCCACTTGGCGCATGAAGAGGCCTGGCGTCAGCATGTGTGTGGTGGCTAGGAAGACATCGCGGCCGTAGGTCTGTGAGACTTCGTAGCAGGACCGGGCCTCGCCGTACGTGGCGCCGCCAGCCATAAATACAATAATGCGCTGGCGGGGCTGGTCGACGGAACGAGTGCGCGCCCAGGTGGGTTTGGCACTGCGGAGCGAGGCCTGCTGCGAGATCATTTCCTGGGCCACTTGCCCGCCGTCCGTGTCGGTGTGCGGTCGGGTGAATGGGAAGACAGTTGGGTCGAGGGTGCCGCGGATTTGCTCCTCCAGCATTTGCTTAAGACCCAGGTCATATCGGCTCAGACTGAGCTCCTCCGACTCGGGGGCTGGAGTTCGGCGGTTGAAGAGTGGTTGAACCGGCGGCTTCTCATCCCGCAGCGGTTTCTCCACTCGCACGCCCAAGAGGTCAAGATTAGCAATCACCTCTCCATCCTGGGGTGGAAGGTGTGCGTGTGCCATCAGCTTCCGGATGTCACCGCCCAGCAGGCCGCCCCGGTAAATGATGTACAGGAGCAATAGTCGAAGCCGGTCCGGCGGGATGACTGACTCGTCATCAAGTAGCTGCACAAGCTGCGCCGCCAAATTCTTGGCTTTCTTGTAGTTTTCATCGAGACCGGTGGCGAATGACTGCTCGATCGAACTCACTTCCAAAAGTTTCCGCTTCTGGAAGAATGTCATGCATTCCTGTGCCATATTCAAGTGCAGCGTGTACGCATTCTTGCCCTCTTGGAAGTCGGTCAAACCCGCCAACATGTCCTTGATCGTGTTCACATTCGATTTGTTGTTGCTGTTAATCCCCTCGTTAGTCCAGACTAAGCGTAGATAGGAATTGAACACAGAAACATACTCGTCGGCGAATTGGGGATTCGCAGCTCGAAATTTACCGAAATCGTCACCCAATTTCCCAAGCACATCCTTCATGTGCATGTGCCGGTAGTCTACCCAGACCTTGTCGTGCTCGCCAATTTCCATATCTTTGACCTCCTCGTTCGGATCGCCCTCGTTGGTCACTGTTTTGTATGTGACCTTATCTCCATCTTTGATAGGTAATAGATCGTGCACCATGGTCTGATATGTGAACTCGTGAAGAAGGGGCGAAAGCACATCCATAGATCGGTCCACAATAAGCAGGACACCTCTGGGCCGGGATGATGGAGGAGGGAAGTCCCGTTGGAATTGTGCGAATTGATCCAACTCGTTCTGAATGAACCGTGCCAGGTGAGAGCACAGCACCGCTGCCTCGTGAGTTGGAGACCTAGGGCGGTAGTATCGGATCACAGGATACTCGCCCAAGCAGGCGCAGAGTGAGACGGCCTTGGTACCAGGTCAGCAGAGTTCAAAAGTCATTCCTAGGCAGAATATCCTTACTTTCTGGGCCAATTCTTCTAGGTGACGCCGAATCAAATTGTTGCAACCCGGATGGAACAGAACTGGGAAACTCCATGGATCTCGGAAAGTCACCAGGTGTGATTCCCGCGGGTAGAAATCGATATTCATGATGCGATAGTCGGCAATACGTTCCTGGGCCATCTCAGATCGTTTGAGTCGGGCCCGCTGCTGTGGATCCAAGGCTAAGAGGCAATCAGCGAAATCATGTTGCGGAGTCCCCGGCGTTGCCCACAGCCTACTCACATGAGGTCCACACCAAGAAGGCCTTCCTGTATCTTTCCACTTCGAAATCGGCCATCAGACAGTCAACCACGTAGGATTGCGGTGAGAGTATGTACAGCGCATCCATGTCAGGATTGGACTGCCGTCGGTGCTCGATCTGCTCGACATCTGCGGGGTGGCATGGCTGTTTAGCCTATTGTGGTATATCGTCAAGGACGAACACTCACTGGAGACATTGAGGTTCAGAATTTCATCCTCCTTCACGGCGCTGTTGACCAACTTCTTGCTGGTCTCATCCACCACCAAGACTTTCCACTGTGAGAGGGCGCCGTCAGTATGCGAGGAGAAGGGGAAAAAGGGGTCGAGCTCACATCGTGGCCCCCAGCATGGCGGATAGTATTAAGTATAACTAGATGAGACGAACAGAGGTCAGTCTACGCTCTCTCACATGCCGCCGGCATCCGACCACTCACTGTCGCGTTGGATGTTGATTATGGAGGTGCCCATCCTGGCGGGACAGTCCACGGCATGGGACTGTGGAAGCAAGAGAGGAGAGGAATGGCGAGACGAGAAGAGAGAAAGAGAGAGAAGAACAACAGGTGGCCGAGATGGGGGAGAGGGTTCCCCACCATTTGAGCTCGAAACTCAGAAAGTGGATCTCCGAGTGGCGCCCCAGCGAACTCATTCTCTGATAAGCTACTTTTTTCTCTTTCCTTCTTGTTTGACCGCTGAGTCTCACCTTATCTTTATGCGTTTTCTTCCAGACTGTCGCATCTACCTCCCCTTTCTGGCTTCTGTATTTTGACCGAACTCTTGTCTCTGCCGGCGTTGCAGCTTGGGCGTTCAGGAATGCAGTCATGGACCGGTACCGGCAGCCGTTCCCTCTTTTGCGCCCTGCGGACACTAGCTCGCCCGACTGAGCGACCGTTTATGACGACTTCCGTTCTGCAACGATCGAAGCGAGGGAAACCAAAGGATACCAATACGGCAGATGCGAAGAAAGCCGCCAAGGTGTGCCCTCGTGTCCCTGAATCAACCGTGTATCATTTGGTCATCGTCTAATTCAATATTGCCCAGTCTAGTGCCAAAGCGCTATCGGTCGCTTCGCCTAAGAAATCAGTTCGACAGAATGTCGCAGCGGCGCGAGATTTCAACAACGTGGTGGCGGCGGCGTTGCGCGACGTGCGATACAAGCTCCACCAGGCAAACGCGTCGCTGGCGCGATGGGACCAATTTGAGCGCCAAACCTTGAACGCTTGTCTAGCAGATGACTCGAAAACCGGCGCTAAATGGGGCCCTTTAAGGCACATCAAAGTGTCGTTGCAGAAAGCGTATCTGACCTCTGGGGTACAAGGCTTGCGGGACGAGTTGGAATATATGATGTATGCAGATGGTCTCACGGCGAAATACTCGACCCCGAACCTACAAGAACAGATGAAGGTGGCCGATTGCCGATATCCCGCCGAGTGGTACCCGCACGCTCGCTCCATTCAACGAACCATTCACCTTCATGTAGGCCCCACAAACTCCGGAAAAACCTACCATGCCTTGCAACGGCTTAAGAATTGCAAAAACGGGTTCTATGCGGGGCCACTCAGGCTGCTGGCCCAGGAGGTATATCATCGATTCAAAGGGGATGGGGTTCCGTGCAGTCTGGTGACGGGCGACGATGTCAAAGTTCCCGAGGATGGTGAACTACCGCGCGTCGTGAGCAATACCGTGGAGATGGTCAGTCTTGGACAGAAATATGATGTTGGAGTTATCGACGAGATCCAAATGATAGCCAACTCAAAACGAGGCTGGGCGTGGACACGGGCGGTACTTGGATCGCAGGTTTCAGAGTTGCACCTGTGTGGCGAGACACGCGCGGTGCCCCTGATTCGTGAGCTATGTGCGCTCACGGGAGATATTTTGGAGATACATCGCTACGAGCGGTTGAACCCGCTAGAAGTGATGGACCACAGCCTGAAGGGTAACCTGAATAACCTTGAGAAAGGGGATTGCCTCGTTGCCTTCTCACGGGTCGGCATCCATGCCTTGAAGGCTGATATCGAGAAGACCACTGGAAGGCGAGCAGCCATCGTCTACGGCGGTCTGCCGGCTGAGATTCGAACCCAGCAAGCCAGTCTGTTCAATGACCCAGACAATGAGTACGACTTTCTCGTTGCAAGCGACGCAATCGGTATGGGGTTGAATTTGTGAGTTGGCCTGTGCAATGATTCTACCCTAAGCCTGCCACGCTGACCCAGAACAGGAGCTGCAAGCGCGTCATATTTGAGACTGTTGTCAAACGTCTTCCTAGTGGCCTTCACCGACTCACCGTGCCAGAGATTAAACAAATTGGCGGAAGAGCCGGTCGATATCGTCCAGCCAATGCGCAGGGAGATGCAGACGGTAAGGCCAATGTTGGTCTCGTCACGTCCCTGGAAGAGGTAGATCTTCCATACATTCAACAGGCGATGCGTCTTGAACCGCCGCCACTTAGCGCCGCCGGAATCTACCCGCCCGAGTCTGCCTTCTTGAAATTTGCCGCCTACTTCCCTCCCAAAAGCGTCCCTTTCGAATATCTGCTTAAACGTCTCCTGGATATCTCGCAAGTCAGCTCGACATTCTTTATGTGTGATGCATCCGACCAATTATCCAACGCTGAAATCATCGACTCGGTGGATGGGCTTCGTACGGAGGACCAGTTGGTCCTCATGACCTCACCGATGGACAACAAGGATCCCTCCTCGCGCGACGTCACTTGCGCCCTTGGTGATTGTGTAGCTAACCACACCGACGGGCGATTACTGGACATTCCCCATCTCAACCTGGAAATCCTTGAACAGGCCGCCTCCGGGAACAGAGACTATATGCACGAGTTGGAGAAACTTCACAAAGCCGTCATCCTATACTCGTGGCTGAGTTTCCGATTCGGGGGCGTGTTCACAGATCGGACCCTCGCGGCGCATGTCAAGGAGCTTGTGGAAGCGCGAATGGTTCGGGCGCTGACCGAGTTCTCTGCCAACAAGAAGTTGCGCAAGGATTCTTCGCTGCGACGCCAGATCGCGCTGCAGAAGCAGATCCTGGATCAGCAGCGCATTATTTCTGATGCCGATCTTATGTCACCCCATGGCGAAGGTAACCAGATGAACGTGGATTTTTCCGAAGAGGGCGCTATGGAGAAACCAGAAAAGAGCACTTTGGGAAGTGCATCGCTTGAAGACGGGAGCTCAGCTGAGGACTCTTTTGAAGAGAAGCCTCCTGAGGCGCAGGCTTCATCTGGATGAATTGTAACACCGTACCAAAACTATGTATATTAGATGTACTTTTATTACCCGACTCATGAATCCTTTCTTCTCTTGCTCTCGGGGCGCTTTGTTTCCAACCTAGTGGTTTCCAGCTGGCCGAGGATTTGCTAAGTGTCTAAGATCAGAGAAATCGATGAGGTAGATGGTCATACATGTGGGTATATCCATTGGGGAAAAAAGTTCAAAACAACCCAAGAGAGGGGTAATCTTGAATTAATTCGACACTTAGACCTCAGGAGTATCACATACAAGGCAGCGACAAACTATCACACCGAAATGACCAACTACAGTATGGATGGCATGGCGGATTGAGAAATCGCGCCTAAGGCAGCAAACTGCTTATCTTATCGGTGGCGATTTCGGCCGTACTGATTTTCCGTCGCGGAAGCTCAGATTCTCCCCGAATGCGCTCTGGACATCTCTCGATGTTGCCTTTCTTTTCTTTCTTTTGATTGCATTTCTGTTCTTTTTTTCTTTGGTCTTGCCGCCATGGATGACCTCGAGTCACTGGAGCTGTTCTCGCTCGTGTCCCGAGTGACGAACGAGCTCCAGAACCACCTGGGCATCAACGAGAAGACCTTGGCGGAATTCGTGATCGACCAGCACCTCAAATGCGGGGGCTCGTTTCCTGATTTCAAGAAGGGCCTCGACGAGATGGGTGCCGAGTTTCCGCAAAGTCTGATGGAGAGTATCGATCGCCTCGTCCTGACGATGCACCCGAAGTACAAGGGGAAGAAAGCGGAAAATGGCGACTCTGCCCCTGCCGACGATGACGATATGGATGTGCTTGGTGCGCTGGAGAAGAAAGCTCGCGTCTTTAAGGGTCTTGCGGTTCCAGATACGGGGAAGCGCTGGAAGGAAGAAGACTACACTGATCGCCCTGCGGACGAGGCCGATGCGCAAGCAGGCGCCATGGATGATACATTTGCGATGCTTGAGGGTCTGGCAGGAAAGGCACAAGAGGACAAGCCCCGCGCGGCAAGAGATGAGCGTGGTAGCAGGAAGCGCAGTCGCAGCCCCGAGTACGATGATTATGGCCGGGGCCGCCGAGGCCGGAATAAATATCGGTCGAGATCGCGAAGCGCTGCTCGGTATGGCGAAAAAGACGATTACGTGGACGAGTTCGGCCGATCAATTGGTAAACATGGCAGCCGGGAGGATGGCCGTCGCAACGGCCACAGTGACCGTCGGAGACGCCGCGATCGAGACGATGACGACGAGCACTTCCGCCGACCCCCACCTGTGGAGCTGGATGACCACCCCATACTCTACAAGATCTACGACGGGCGTGTGACAGGGGTGAAGGATTTCGGTGCTTTTGTGAACTTGCAGGGTGTCAAAGGGAAGGTGGATGGCCTTGTGCATGTTTCCGCGATGCAAGAGGGGGTACGAGTGAATCATCCGTCGGACTTGGTATCTCGTGGCCAGCCAGTCAAGGTCAAGGTTGCCAGCATCCAAGGCACACGCATCGGGCTGTCTATGAAAGAAGTCGACCAAGCAACAGGACTCGACCTTGTTCCTCAGCGGCGTCTTGCTTCTGGTGCGAATATGGAACGTCTTGACGGTAGTTCAGCAGACGAGAGATATGGAAACTTGAGCTCCGAGGTGCCCGTCATTGAGGGGTCGGGCGGTCGCCCGATGAAGAACCGGAAGCGCCTTACTTCGCCGGAAAGATGGGAGATCCGACAGCTGATTGCATCCGGTGTCGCTTCTGCCGCCGACTACCCTGACATCGACGAGGAATACAATGCAACACTTACCGGCGAAGGCACGTTCGAAGAAGAAGAGGATGTGGATATCGAAGTCAAAGACGAAGAGCCACCTTTCTTGGCTGGCCAGACAAAACAATCCCTTGAACTTTCCCCGATCCGTGTCGTCAAGGCTCCTGACGGTTCAATGAACCGGGCGGCGATGGCGGGTACAAATCTTGCCAAGGAGCGGCGCGACATCAAACAGCAGGAGGCGCAGGATAAGGCTGCCGAACGGGCTGCCGATGTCGACCTCAACGCACAATGGCAAGATCCCATGGTTGCTCCCGAGGATCGAAAGTTTGCTGCCGATTTGCGGAATACCCAGCAGCCCAAGCAGGATGAATCCGTGCCGGAGTGGAAGAGAGTCACGATGGGCAAAAATCAGACTTTTGGCAAACGGACTAACATGTCAATTAAGCAACAACGCGAGGGCTTGCCCGTCTATAAATTCCGCAAACAGCTGTTGGACGCAGTGAAAGACAACCAGCTCATGATTGTCGTTGGGGATACTGGGTCTGGAAAGACTACCCAGTTGACCCAATTCCTGGCCGAGGCTGGCTACGGAAACAACGGGATGATCGGTTGTACTCAACCCCGGCGTGTCGCCGCCATGTCTGTGGCCAAACGTGTGGCTGAGGAAGTGGGTTGCCGGCTGGGTGGAGAGGTCGGGTATACAATCCGTTTCGAAGATTGTACCAGCCCAGAAACCAGCATCAAATACATGACCGATGGGATGCTTCAACGAGAAATTCTCCTGGATCCGGATCTCAAGCGGTATTCTGTTATTATGCTTGACGAAGCGCACGAGCGGACGATTGCAACCGATATCCTCTTCGGGCTGTTAAAGAAAACGATCAAGCGAAGACCTGATCTCCGACTAATCGTCACGTCTGCAACGCTAGACGCCGAGAAATTCTCGGAATATTTCAACGGATGTCCCATTTTCTCGATTCCAGGACGGACCTACCCTGTCGAGATTATGTATTCCAAGGAGCCCGAATCCGATTACCTGGACGCGGCCCTAATCACAGTCATGCAGATCCATTTGACAGAGCCTGCAGGTGATATTCTTCTATTCTTAACTGGGCAAGAGGAAATCGACACAAGCTGCGAGATATTATTTGAGCGGATGAAAGCCTTGGGCTCTACCGTTCCCGAACTAGTCATTCTTCCGGTCTATTCGGCACTTCCCAGCGAAATGCAAAGCAGAATTTTCGAACCCGCGCCGCCTGGTGGCCGGAAGGTTGTTATTGCAACTAACATCGCGGAAACCTCTATTACCATTGACAACATTTTCTATGTCATTGACCCTGGTTTTGTGAAGCAGAACGCTTATGACCCAAAGCTGGGAATGGACTCTCTTGTGGTGACACCGATCTCCCAGGCGCAGGCCAAGCAGCGAGCTGGCCGTGCAGGGAGAACAGGCCCGGGCAAGTGTTTCCGACTCTACACCGAGGCAGCCTATCAGTCAGAGATGCTTCCAACGACCATTCCTGAAATCCAACGCCAGAACCTTTCGCACACTATTCTTATGCTCAAGGCGATGGGCATTAATGATCTCCTCCATTTCGATTTTATGGATCCACCACCGACCAATACCATGTTGACCGCTCTGGAGGAGTTATATGCCTTATCGGCATTGGACGACGAAGGTCTTTTGACTCGTTTGGGACGGAAGATGGCCGACTTCCCTATGGAACCGGCGCTTGCGAAGGTGCTTATCGCGTCTGTGGACATGGGATGCTCAGAGGAAATACTAAGTATTGTTGCGATGCTGTCCATCCAGTCGGTATTCTATCGTCCGAAAGAGAAGCAGCAGCAAGCCGACCAAAAGAAATCCAAATTCCATGACCCGCATGGCGATCATCTTACCCTGTTGAATGTCTACAACGGCTGGAAAAACTCCAAATTCAACAACGCATGGTGCTTCGAGAACTTCATCCAGGCTCGACAGATACGCCGCGCCCAAGATGTGCGCCAGCAACTGCTCGGCATCATGAACCGCTATCGCCACCGAATCATCTCGTGCGGCCGGAATACTACCCAAGTACGACAGGCGCTGTGCACCGGGTTCTTCCGCAATGCCGCGCGCAAAGACCCCCAGGAAGGATACAAGACGCTGGTGGAAGGGACCCCCGTGTACATGCACCCTAGCTCTGCGCTTTTCGGCAAACCGTCTGAACATGTCATCTACCACACGCTGGTCCTCACGACAAAGGAGTACATGCACTGCACGACCTCGATTGAGCCGAAATGGCTGGTGGAAGCGGCTCCGACCTTCTTCAAGGTCGCGCCTACGGATCGCCTGTCGAAACGCAAGAAGGCCGAGCGTATCCAGCCTCTTCACAACCGGTTTGCGGGCGAGGACGATTGGCGTCTGTCGGCACAGCGACGCCAAGGCAGAGGTGGGGGCGGCGGTACTTGGGGTTGAGTCTGTTGCTCCGTTTTTTTTTTTTCAGGATACCATTGTTTCTCTTATATTCACCGCAATGTACTATTTGCATGCTTGACGAAAATCACACCGCAATTGGCTTGCGCTTCGGCGCTTTAGAGCTACATAGAGTCTTGCTATTCTTGTAGAATTCACTGGACCAGTGTACGTTTTTTGTCTGATCCTATGCAAATGGAATTACTATCCAAGTAGCAAGCATCTCAAGTCTCTATCAACTCCCAAGAATCGACTGGATCATTCTATCTGTCTGTGAGTCGGTTAAGCGTGAAAGGTTCAGATTATCCAGAAGTTCAAAAAGATATACAAGAAGTACAGAAGAGACCTAATACCCGTTCTCCAATGCCCCGATAACATCCCAGTGCTCCATAATCTGCGCACACTCCAAAGCTGTACGCCCATTTGAATCCTTAATCCCCTGATCAGCACCTTCACCGATCAAGTAGCGGACTATATCCACTCTACCGAGCTTAGCTGCTTTGTGCAGGGCTGTTCCGAGCCCCATAAAATGATATAGCGCCCAAGAAGGGTAATGGCCCTTGTATATGGTTGAATTGATGAGCGCGTCTTTTTGAAGAAGTCTTACGACTTCAATAGCCCCCGATCACCGCTCGATTGAGTGATGGAGAAGCTGGCCTTTCTGAATGTTTCCGTCGTGCCTGAGCATGAGATAGAAGACGGAAAGGGGAGCACTTTTAACCGCAAGAGAGAGCGGAGTAAGATCAATGCCACATTCTCGGTTGGGATCAGCTCCATGATTTAGAAGCCAAGCTGACATTTCTTCATCTGTAACGGCGTATCTGTGGGAAATAAAAGAAAAAGAGAGAGAGAGGAGTCGGCTCTAGGACAATCTTGAACATTAATAACATGGACCTGAGTCTCACCCTAGTACCGGAGGCTTGAGCTCGCTTATGGGTTGATTGATATCCCACCCATTTTGATGGAAACCTTCTAAAGCGCCTTTTGCCTTGACCTCTATTGCCGTTGAGGCATAGAGTGGGTCCATCGGCATCCCATGATGAAGAAGCTGCTCGATGAATGGTGTGTTTTTCCGTTTGATGGCTTCGATCATTACAGCGTAGAAGTCGCATATATCGAACACCTCCGAGGAGAGACGTGATTATTCAAGTATTGCCTGGAATTTCTGAATATCGCCGCTGATGCAGAAACTATACATTTTTTCGAGGGTCGCAGGTGACGTTCGAGTTGGAACTTGATGATCGGGTGGCGGCAGGACATCCATGTTTAGTGAATCAAGAAAAATAAAATCAACCAGAATATTAAAACAAGACTGATTTGGGAGATTGAGTGATATATGCAAGGCTAAGCTGGCGCGAGAGGGGATATGAAGTAAATACTCGAATTATTGCCTCAGGCACCAAACAATCTTGACAGGGAATAAAATAAGACAGAAAAACCTACATTAGACTTGTGGGCCACTAGAATCGTGTTCTCATTATTATAAGAATGCTATCATACAATATAACTAGAAAATAACCCGGAAAGACCGCTGTTGTCCTCGTTGATGTTCGAATTGTTCAGGGACATCCCCAGCCAATCAGGGGGCGCGAAATCTCGATATCGGAACTTCGTCCCAGCGTGCAGAACAAAAAAATTACATCCAACTCATCAACAATGGCCCATGTCACAGAGCATCCGTTTCGGATCAAGAGAAGAAAGCTGGAAGATCCACAGCCAGGCGATGAGGCTACCATCACCTCTTCTACCCAGTTGCGCGATTTGTTGCTGTTTCAGCAGAATGCTCCGGCCGCCAAGCAAGGTGAGCTCTGACTGACAAAAACACAAGTGCGGTCACAGCTGACCTGCCGTTAGGAATAATCAAATTCAAAGAGTTTCTGGTTTCAATAGGCCATACAGAACAGGAGACCGAGAAGGCCCAGAAACTGCGGATTCTGAAGGCCTACTGTGACAAGCAGATCACCGGAACAGATGATGATGCCGTCTGCTTCCCGGAGCTCATCCAAACCTGGAGCTTTGGCGACAGCAATAACCATGAACCCATTCTCATCAATGTCCCGTCGGTGCTTGCCATCTTCTTGAAGACCATCTCACGTGAGCTGGACTTCCGGGACTTCGGACTCGCCTTGTGCAAGTACCTACTGCAGAAGGACCAACTGAGGCTGTTTAACCGGGGCCTGACTGCCACCAAGGCCAAAGAGCATCTCATCTCGCCTTGTCTGCGTTTGCTCACCGAGATTGTGACCTTTGACGGTGGTGCCGTTGCCCGGCAATTGTACCTCCGACGCTATATCACCTTCAAGCGCCTCGAGGTCTTCTTGACTCCCAATAAAGCGCAGCTGGAGGACGTGGAAGATGAATCGAAAAAGTCCACCCTTCGACGCAACGCACAACGGTATTTGCTGGCCAATTTGCGGGTTCAGCATGTGTCCGAAAAGAGCGACATTATCGAGCAGCATAAAATTACCAGAGCATTCCTCGAATACGTCAGAAAGGACCCCCGCGATATGGTCCTTGAAGTCATCAAATCGATTGAGAGAGACGTGGTGCAAGATGCTTCGCTGTCGCGCAAATCGAAGAGCAAATTTTTCAATCGCGGTAATCTGGAGAGACTGGTCACACTTTACGGGTATGACCGAGACTCGGACGAACCCAACCCGGATGGCATATCCATCGCAAACGAGATCCACCGGGTCCTGTTGACTGTTTGCAAGACCGCTGGTCTGGGTGTTCTTCTGCCCGAAACAGGCTGGTATCCAGTCGGGACCGACCCAGAGACCGTGCCCATAGAAGACGATACGTGCATCGAACTGGGGCTGGATTCGCCCATATACGTCGACAAGTACCGGGAATCCGTCCCCGTGCGGAATGGCTCCTTGTCATACCTGATTCAGTGCCTCCGCCCTGATGTGGACAGTCTTCAGATCGAGCTACTGGTGACGATCTTTAAGGTTGCCCCCGAGCTTATTGCCGACTTCTTCACCAAGAAAACCATGTTTACATCCGACCCCAAAGCCACTCCCTCATGGATGGCCGAGTCGGCTTTCCTCTTTTCAACGGTGCAGCTGCCTGTCCCCATGAACTGTGGCTGGAAAGACAAACAGCCTGCTCTACCGCCACCGGTTTCTATTGTCATCGAAAACGTTCTCCCTCGTCCTCTAAGTCAGAAAATCATGACCCGCTGTCTGAACCAAAATGCAGAGATCATCACTCTATTTGCCGTGCGAATCCTGACTCTTGCCTTCAAGAAGTTGCAGGCCACCCTGAAGATCTTCCGGGCCGACCATAGACAGGCCCAGTTATATTGGAATCAGGCATCTTCCAAATTGCTTGCCGAGTTCTCTCGCCGATGTCCTGCTGTCAAGGATGTGATTCTCCTGTTCCGAAGAACTGCCAAGGAAGACTTACAGCAACAAGAGGCGGTCTCGGAGCTTTTAACTTGCTTCTATGAAGTCATGCCTGATATTGCCTTGGAGGAGAATTTTGACGTGTCGCTGGTCTTGGTAGAGGTGCTCAAACGACTGGAAGCGTCAGACTTGAGCACAGAAGACTCGGAATCGCTCCTGAGCCAATTGCAGAATGTTCTTCAGATTGCGCAACAGTCTGCCTCGATGCGTTGGTGGCAGAAGCCAGGTATGAACTTTTCAACTATCTTATGTCCAACTGGGCGCCAGGCTAATATTCTACCAGCATCTATGCAATATTCCCCTTTTACGTCGATTCTCAAGGTTCTTATGGAGACTTCAGACAAAGACTCTTCCCGGCGCATCTCAACTCTTCTGAGGACCGTTCTAGTCGAAAACTCCATCTTACAGAACTCACTGCAGTCCTTTGTCTCTCTGCTGTCTAGCATTGAAAACTCCGAGGCGGACTCGCTGCACAGGCAGTTGGTCTTTTTTGACAATTGCGTGTCTCGAGTGGCCAAGAAACCTGTCCACTACCTTGACCTGGCCGAATCCTTGTCCCAGAATGCGGCTAATAATGTGAGTCCACTGGTTGCGGCCCTGGTCGAGCAGTGGCCTTTTGTTGTCAAGAGTGGAGATGCTGCCGCGGAAACTGCAGTTGGGTCGTGGATTGCTAGCCTGCTCCGCAACTTGAAGCAGGCTGGGGAGAATTCGAAGGCGCTAAAGGCTGCCCGAGACGCTTTGATGGACGCGACCGAGAGCAAGAAAATCCGGTCCCACTTCAAGAAATCCTTGAAGGACGCGGAAGAGGCGAATGCAGAGGACAAAATGGACATCGACTCCGGCCCAGCTCCGCCAATTTCATCTGAGCAAACCTCGACAGTCGATCTTAACGAAATCTTTGGGTTCCTGCCCACTGAAGGCACAACCCATAATGCTTTGCATCGATGGGAACGCGAGGACGTGGAAGATGCTGTGGAGCAAGGCCGTATCGCCGAGTTGATGCTCTGTCTGTGCTCTCAGCACGAGGAAGTCCGGCGACAGGCGTTTGCCAATACTGCGCGTTTCATGGCAAAACTCAAGGCAAGTCCATCATCAGGAATCGCTTTTGCAGGTATGCCTTGACTAACAGACACTCAGGAGTCCAAATACGCCGAATGGCGATCCGTATATCTCCTCACAGGAGAACTTCTCGAAACTGTTCACAAAATCGGCCTGACTCAACCGATTCCCTGGATCATTGGCGAGTGTGCTTCGAATTGTCTGTCGGTTCTTACGAACCCACTGCACAAGGTGTACGGCAAAGTCAACAAGTTTCTGCAAAAGGCCCCAATCTGGGAATTGGGGAAGATCCCATCCTACTGGGTCGACAAGATCCTCTTGAATGAGCCCGAGTTGGATGATGGCTACTTCGACGAGATCGATTGGCTACTGAATCTGTTCGTGAAGGGTCTCCGAACCGAGGCAGTAAGTTTGCAACTCGCTCGACATGTTGTCTACAGATCAAAAGGGACTAACAAATTCGAAATCAGGATATGGAGATCTACCGACGTGCCAATGTCTTTGAGCGCATTCTCTCTCTCTACCAATCTCCGACGTTGCATGACTCCGCCCGGCGAAAGATTTTGCACATTGTCTACCGTGCCACGCAGGTCGGTGGGAGTACCACTCTGATCACCCGGGCTGCTGTCATGAGTTGGATTCAAGTTGAACTTGCAGAGGCTGACCCTAAGGAAGCTGCGTTGCTCTCGGCGTTGGCACGAGCTGTGTATGAGACCTCCGACCGCCAGCGTATTGATAGTTGGAGCGCAGGCACCATCGAGCAGGCCCTTGAAACCCCGGGACAAGCATGATGGGCATCGATGGAGAGATTCATGTACAGTAATTTATTCAAGCTACAATAAACCCCAGTTCAAATGAGAATCAAGATAGAAGTTCAATTGCGAATATTCGTTCTCAGATCCCAGCTCCACCCTGGCAACTGGTGGGTTTCCCCTTTGGGCGGTGCAAAATGCACCACTCGATGGCTTCCTCCCCCTGGACTTTTTTTGACCCTCAAAGCTGTTCGCATTACCTGACTCTCACCAAACCCAATCTCTCAATCACCCAGCCTCGAGGAGAAGTGAGAAATTTCCTGGTGCTTTTTTCTCCAAATTTCTCCCCACCGACCCAAACTCCGCCTCGCCACACGGGTGGCTTGTACTGCTCCTCAGCGACTTCGACCTCGTTTTGCCGAAATCACCCTCACTCTCCACCGACGACTCTACTTCACTCGAATTCACTTTCTTAAATCTGGCCTTCTCGCTGGCTCAGCCAACTTGCGATCGCATTTTGCGACCTCACTTTGTTGTAAACCAATGAGAGATCCATAATTTCCTTCGAATCAAGATCGCACACACCTCCACACCAACAGCCGGAGCCGTCATGGCCCGACGGTACGAGATTGAGGAGCTGCTATGGCTACGCTCATCGCCGCTCGTCGCCAAGCCACCCGGCCTGCCTCCGATTGAAGAATGGATGTACGTACTGACTGCGCTGGCTCTCTGATCATCCCACGTTCAAGACTGACACATCCTCTTTCTACAGGCCTCAACCTGACCCAACCACCCAGCGCAAACAACAAAACCCCCGTGATCATAATAATCCATCGGAAACATCCACGAACCGAAGACCTAGCTTTTTCGAAGCTCGCCATATCTCTCGAGGATCCAATTCAGGTATTCTTATCTCCCCCTCCTTGCCAACTCACCTTATCAAACCCTGCCATAGAGGAATTCGCTGACAGGATCGTGCTATAATGTTTAGAAGATATTATTCTTGGTCCTCCAAAGACTGCCTTTGCGTCATCTCGTATTGGTGGGAAAGGTTCGTCGGATCTGACAGACCGGTCATCGCGGCCACATGATTCCGACGACCCAAAAAACGATCGCTTTAATTTCAGAGATCGATTCTTCAAGGATCGCGATGCACCGGAAAGAGACATCGACCGACGAGATGGAAGACCGGGTCCCCTGAATGGCCGCCGTGGGGAGAAGGAGGACTGGAATGCCGGACGCCCGCGTCGCACGTTCGGCCCCGATGACCCGGATCGCAAGCCCCGACGCAATGGTGAATTCGACCGCTGGGACAGTAGGGACCAGCACAATGAGCGAGGTGCTCGGGATAAAGAAGGCCGCTTCCTTCGGAAAGACGGTCAGCCGGGGCGAACCAAATACGATGGCAGCTGGTTTCGAGACGAAAACACCCATGATGGCCAGGATGCCGATGACGATAAGCCACCGCTACGCAACCGAGAATGGCGCCGTGATCGACACGGTGCCGACCGCGACTGGAATCGCGGAGCAAAATTCGAGCAGGAGCCCGAATGGCTGGATACCAACGATCGAGACGAACCACGAAGAGCACATACTCAGGAAGACTTCGAGCGCTGGAAGGAACGCATGAAGGCTGGCTCGAGTGCTGCCCCTCCGCAGGCTCAGGCACACGCCGAAGAAAAGAGTGCTAGTGTTTCAAATACCGCTTCGCAAAAGCTCGAGACCCGGCGGACCGACGGCGAGATCTTCAGCTCGGGTCCTTCTTTAATGGCGGATACCTCGATGGAGCGATTCTTTGGTCTACTGGGAGATACGAAGCCGCCAGTCCCAGACATTGGCACTCCAACCCCAGTGGATTCCGCCGCCAAGAAGGAAGTCCTACCAGGGAAGCCAGGGAAGTCATCTCGATTCGCGGGGCTGTTCAGTCCTCCGCCCGAGAGCTCTACCAGAGAGCCCGAGTTGAATGCTGGGCCCAAGCCTCCCCCCATCGACATGCCTGCTCCACCGTCCGCCAACCCACAAGATGCTGATCAAGAAGGGTTCCAGCGCATTCTTCAGATGCTTGGTGGTGGTCGCTCCAATAATGCCACTCCTCACCAAGCTGATGTGCCGCAACAGTCGCGTCCGTCTTCTTTTGCGCAGCCTGAGCAGCCGCGCGCTGTGCCTGCGCTATCCCCACCCGCCAGAGAACCACCCAGCCGACAGGATTATATGGGTTCGGCACCGGAAGCTCTTCTGACCCAGGCCGGAAAAGATCCCCAGGCTCGCGAGAGAGATCATCTGCTCCGGCTGATGCAGCAAGTCCGAGTCGGCCCTTCGCCTCCGGACAATCCTGCCCTACAGTCCCCAGGTGCCGGCCCGGCTCCTCCACCAGGGTTGATGCCTGAAGTTCTGACTCGACCTCCGGGCCTGCCAGCCCAGAAGGCACCCAACTTCTTGGATGACCCCGCGATTGCCAACATGCAGCGGCCAGACAGTGAGCAGCTTCGCCGACGAGCTGCCAACGGGCCTCCGATGGGGTACTTTGATGACATACCCTTCCCTCAGGGCAACCGGGGCCCTATCACCCCGGGTGGCTCACGGCCCATCCAAGCTCCCACTCAGCCTCCGATGGGCCTTCAGCGACCCCCGGGTCTTGAGAATATTCCTCCTCCGGGATGGACAGGTCATCCCGTGCCCCAGCAAGGCAATGGGCCAAGTCCCATGGGGCCCCCGCCTGGAATCCCGACCCCGAATCGTGGCATGAACCCGAACTTCCCGCCGGGCATGCTGCCCCTGCCTGGTAACGCTCCTCCTCTCAGCGAACGCCAGGCCTTTCCTCGTGGGCCCCCTCCTGGCATGATGCCACCGCCGGGTTACATGAATGCTCCCCCTCCTCCTGGCTTCCCTCCCATGCCACCGAATCCGGAGGCTATGTTGGGACTGGGCCCGGGCAGCCAGGGTCCATTTGGACCCGGAAACCCGGGATCTCAGGGACCCCCTCCTTCGTCCAGACACTTGCTGGAAATGTTTGGTCAGTCCAACGGCGGTGACGCCCGTGGCGGCATGGTTGGCCCCGGCCAATTCAGGTAAACTAAGCCATTTGGGGCGAGGCTTTGACTTCTCGTTTTAAATTTATGCGCTATTTACCCGCTTGGTCGCTATGTGTGACTGTCTGGGAGCTCAGTGTATTCGAAACGTGATCTCTTTCCCTCTGCTCTTATCCGGCCTGGTGAACTGGCAACGATGCTCCTTCTCTGAAGATATCACGACGCCTACCCGCACTGTTTTTTCCCCTCGGATTTTCTTTTCTGCTCTGTTGTTTCTTTCTATTTTCCTCTCTTGACTGTATTTGCTGAAGTCCACGGCATGACAATGCCTATGTTCAATACCGATTCAGCCTCTTTTCTTTCGCTGGCCATGGCTTTTTCTTGGCCATGTTGTTGCACTTGCCAGCGGAGCTCTTTTTTTTGGCGTTGTTGAATCTCTCAGAGGAGAAACTGTCTTGCCATGTTCCCAGTTTCTGATTCTGTCGGAGTCTTATTACGAGGGTGGTTAGGTTTGGATCGATCTGGTGGTAGATGGATTTCCTTGTCTATAGTCAATGGGGTCTCGGGCCTTGCTATCTCGGGTCGATTCCTCAGTTCATAGATGGCTGCTTAGATACAATCTATCTATTGCTTGGTCGAGGAATTTGTGCTTTGTTGGTGCTTGCGTAAACTGAAATAACTCTGTTGCCTTGGTAGGGCTCGAGGACGGAGTCTTGAGTCAGTCTTTAGGACAGTCGGAGACTCCCGCGGGCTTTTTGAATCATCGAATCTAGTAATTCTAATTCAGTAAACACTAGGTACTTGTGGCACTCTTGGAGCTATCTGCATGTTCTTCACTCCAAGCAGGGTTGAGCTGAATGTCTGGACACCGTGCAATGCAATGGCTTGGCTGATCCAATCCAGTTCATACTGTACCCAACAATTTTATACCAAGAAATCGCTGCCTCTATCTAACTTTCGCTGCCTTGTTCATCACGGGCATCAATAGTATCCATTACCCGTGGTATACCATGCATTCATCATGAGTCGTAGGCGCTGTAAAGCGCAGCCTGAAAAAAAAATAACCATGACCGCCAACAAGAGTTGTCTTTGCACGCCTCGACGACTAATCGACCCCAATCAAGACGCGTTTTTGTCTCTTCTGACCTTCCCCCTCACCCACTCTCCTCGAGGACTTTGACAAGTCTCGACACCTCAAAGACCGTGGAACGGATCGAAAGAGTCGAGGTTCGCCAATATGGCAGACCAGGATTTCGAGATCGACCTTGTCGTCGAGAACAGTGTGAGTGTAGTACTCCATGACGCACTCCTTCTGCAACTGTTGACCTTCCAAAAACACTAACCTCTTACAAAAATCCAGATCGCGCGCATCAAATTGACCGGAATCGCCCTTTCGACTGGCTCGCCCAAAGAAGCAGCAGTCGCGGAACATAGCGAGGTAGTTGAAGAGCAGGCTGCGCCTGATATTCCTGGCATCTTCCATCCACGGCCCTCGCACTCCATGCGTCTGCGCTCACAGGCTCGCGAGTCTCCTATTCCTTCCTCCTCCTCCTCTTCCCTTCCCCTCCCACCTGATGAGTTTAACCTGTCGGCAATCCCAGTTTTTGATTCTGCAGCCGGTAAGTCTGGGAATTTTTTCGATGTTACCTGGTGCTCTTTGAGGTGACGGTCAGTGACTTACAGTGCTGTGGGAATCAGATGCTATTGAGGAACGATACATGACCGTGTTGAGAAACGGATTGTCTGAACATACCACCACTGGGCATCGCAGAAGCCATGCATCCTTCATGGACCTGTATGAGCTCCCAGATATTCCCGCAGCCCGGGTGTGGGAAGGACGTCGTGCATCCAACCACTCATTCACCATTCTGCGAGACTTCGTGGATGAAGAAGCAGAGGTGGAAGTAGCCGGTGTTATCGACCACTTTGTCCCAACAGTCAACGACTTTGATTTCGAAGAGGACAAGGAAAACGTCTATACCACCGCATCGGACTACGAGTCGCCCCCCGAGCCCGAGCTCCCGCCCACTTACATTGACCAGTCCATTGTGGAAGCGATGCAGCAAGATGCTTTCGGGCTTCCCCAGGATCTCTCCATTTTCACGCCCAATGCTCCCTTCGACCACATTCACCATCCGCCCTCCAACGGCTCCACCGGTGCACCGCGCCCCATTCCCGGGCCTGTTCTCGTTTTTGTTGGGTTGGAGCACCAGCATGATCCCGACTTTGAGAACGTGCCCGTGGATCAGGTCAGTCAGCTGCAGGATCTGAACGAGACCTACCAGCGCGTACACGATAGCCGACGGCGCAACGATCGCCGTTTTGCGATGCGCCAGGGCGAGACGGTGCAGGGGCCGAATAACCCGTTCTTGGATTTTCGGCGTGCTACCGAATTCCAGCGTCGTCAAATACGCCGTCGGAACTCTTTGTCTGGAGATGAAGAGTAGTGTGGTCTGGGAGACTCGGGCGTTGGGATTCAGATAGCATCTGCGTCAACGGAGGTTAGGTGGTTTCGTTCCTCTCTTCTCTTCTTTCTTTCACGTTGATTCCCCGTTGCATATCTCTTGCTTTCTTTCGCTTGAATGGAATCAAAATTTTGCTGATATCAGACCAGCCACGATTATGATATCCCCAAATAACAGGATGACATGTCGATGGGAATATGCATGGATATACTTCGCGATAACCGTAGATAAGTGCACGGGCCATCCTGATGTCACTGATTGACGATTCAGTCTTTAAACCATCAACAGGGGTCCAGCAAGCCTACAAAACCAAGGTTGGCAGAACAAACTAAACAACCTCCCTTATTATTACTTCACCGACGCCTACAATTTCCCTCCCCCCACATGGTGATCTCCCAATCCCCACCCTCTCGAATCGCCCTCCAGCGCCTGCACATAATCCAAGCCACGACAGGAACAACCCCCCGCAGCCAAATGGCAACCCTCGTCCCAGGCGCAGCGCCCTCTCGCGCACCATGGCGCGACCTACTAACCTCCCATCTCAACAAGACACCCTCCTACGACTTCACCATCGCCACCGTCGCCCACGACGCCCAGAACCGGCCCGTGCCTCGCGTGCGCACCTGCGGCTGCCGCGGCTTCTTCCCCGAGCTCGAGCTGCATCCCAACGGACAGGAAGATATGTGGCAGCAGGTAGACGAGGGCGAGAACCCGGCGGTGGTCGAGAGCGATATGCTGGCGTTCACGACGGATGTGCGCATGGAGAAGCTCTCGCAGCTCGAGTCGTCTGGACGGGCGATTGAGGCTGTGTTTTGGTTTAAGGATTTGATGGCGCAGTGGCGGGTCAAAGGGAGGGCGTTTGCTATTGGGGATCCCAGGGGAGAACAGGCGGAACGGGTTGCGCGCAGTGAGATCCAGAAGGGGTTGAGGGTTAAGCATGGCGATGATCATGGTGATGATGGCTCTGGTTTGGGGAAGTGGTCTTGGGATAAGGCTGTGACCAAGTACTTTGCTAACCATTCTCCGGTTATGAGAGGTAAGCTGGTCTCTACCTTGGCTTTTTGGTATTTTGGAGAAGGCCTGTCTCTTATACCTCTTTTGCTGTACTCGCTAACTGCCATCAGGCTCATTTCGAAGTCCTCCTCCCGGACAACCCAGGTCCCAAGTTCCCAGTGACTCGGCCTTGGGTCTGGGTCAGAAAGTCAAGGACCTGCACGACCCTGTAGCACGGGCAAACTTCAGAGTCGTCGTCATCCAGCCTGAAGAAGTGGAGCGCTTAGATCTAACAGATTATGAGAATCCCCGGCGCTGGAAATGGACTTTGGTCAGTCAGCCTGTCGGAGATGGTCAAGGTGACCAGTGGGCTGAAACCGAACTGTGGCCATGAGAACACCAATGTACTGGAAGTGCTCTACCTGCACCAAGTGATGATTATGCATGTTCATGGCGAGGTCTACTGTTTTCTTCTCACCTAGTGGTTTCCAGCCACCCCTCCGTGGGTCCAACTTATCTATACAGAGACATTCTATATACAATCTATAGGCAAAACTCACACCCAACACCTTGGACCAAGAAGAAAACACCGCGATTCTATGGGTATTGGGAATATCATCACATACCCTGTTCCTCCTCACCAGGAGGATACCAGTTAACCTTGTCCAAGGTAACGCCGAACGCAAAAAGCGCATGGGTATCCGCGTTGTTAACCGATTTGCCTATAGCGCATGGATCCTTTTGCCTCAGATCTCCTTTGGCCAACTGAAAACATAGACGAAAGCCATATGCTTTTTTCTCGCCAATCTTTTGATCAATAACTAGAAGGGGAGAGGGGGGTTAGCTTGGGCGTACTATACTCACTCGATAGGAATCAAAGACTTACTGTCCTCTTCAATCCAATGGAATGACTCATGAAGAAATTCTTCTCCTGGAGTTTTGTTTTGATCGATGAGATAATCCCCTCTTTGATCCCGTACAAGCTTTTTTCGAAGGCGAGGTTGCCGGTCGAGCATCCTTTGAAGTGTCATACCAGTCCAAATGCTGTCGCATAAAATCATCAAGTTTTGATCCTTGTGCATGCTAGCCGTTGAGTGTGGAATGTGACAAAACCCGTTTTTAGCTGTGTCATACTGATTCGCTCGGACGGGGATCAGATAGGCTTTCCTTAAAATATAGGCCCCATTTGAGTCCTTCGGAGACCAATACCGGGACAGAAAGAATGCTTTGATCTTGTTTGTTTCTAGATCTTTTCCCGCCAGGTTGTCCGGGATCTTGTCTGAAAGCAGTTGATCGTTTGGTTTCAATCCGAGGTCGCCGAGTGTATGCACAAGTTTCAAGTCCTTATCACCGCACATCAGTCTTCCTTCCATCTGATTGCTTTTTAGTTTATCCTGGACATCCTGAAAGTACCCTATAAGTGAGATATTATGGTCAAAAAATTTTTTTTATTCAAAACAAACCCGAAGAGCTTTCTCACCCAAGGCGAATTCCACCCTTTCTTTCCCTTGAGTAATACCGATCATTTCCTGGTCCCTTCCCCTGTCCTCGTAGAACCTATATTTTGCAGCGTACATCGTGTATGCCATGTTTGCATAATTCACGGTTTTATCGCCCGTATCTTCCATATCATCGTTGACAAAGTCCTGCAAAACGGAGACACCTTTATCGGCCATTTGAGCTGCATCCTGGAGAGTGTTATCAACAGGTTTGCCCGCGCATGACCCGACTTTCCCGTCTGGAATCATTTGAAAAAGCTCCGAGGCCCTGAGGGTCCTAGGGTTGCGGTTGCTGTTGCGTTTGCGGATATCACTGTAGCTTGAGCTCCCGCTTGAGAGGAGACCCAATATCAATACTACCACTAAGAGCGGTTGAAGTGTGACACCTCGCATAGTCAAGGGATCACCTTTTGTTTTCTTCGCTCTTTTTTTTGGGTGGGGGGGGGGGGGGGGGGGAGAGAACGGGGCGGCACGTTATATAATGGGAGTCCCCATCTATATACATACCTCGATAGAGTACTAGGGGGCCGGGGGGGGCTGGCGCCCCTCGAACGCCCGGTCTATAGCAAAAGGACTATTTAGATATTCATACATACAGAATTCGCCGATCCTTCCAACCTTCCCAATGATTGCGTGCTCGAATCCTTGGTCGCCCACTAAAAACCGCGCATATCGCCACTGACAGAAACCAGTCGAAAGGCATAGGCTAGAAGAAGATGGTATTCATGTTTTAATGGGTTAGCTCCATTTTTTTAGAGCTATTAATGACTAAGATTGAAGGATCAAACAATATCTACAATTTCAACGAGACTGGCTTCTCACTTGGCCAGGGTGAATTCTAGAGGGTTGTTGTTACAAGTAAAACCTTTGCGGGTATCGAGAGGTAAGTCCAGTCAGAAAATGTGGCGAGTTGCTCACGACTATTGAATGTATTGCTGCTGATGGCTTTATAGTTTATATTCTGAGTTGAATACCATCTCGAGAGATAGCATAACTCTAATTCTCACCTTCTAGTCTGCTTGATCCCAACCATACAAAACCTACTTTAGCTAGTCTCTTTACAGACGGTCTTTCTAAGTTAGGAACCCTTTTTTTCGAATCAAAAAAAAAGAAAAGAAAAATTGCGAGATCACGCGGGGGGATCAGTGGATCTTAAAGCAAATTTTTTAGGAGAAATTCCCCAAATTCGATGAGAAATGTACGATCTGTACCTCATTTGCCAATTATGGAAGTTGGCCTGCTCATCCTCAGAGGATTTTGCAGAGTAGAGAGTCAAATGAAGTGAAAGTTTTGGGTTCTTGTGGGGAGGACCGACAGCGGCAGATGTGGGGCGATTCGAGGGCACGAAGAGCTTGGAGTTAGAAAGATGGACCCTGGCTGTGCGAGGGTCCGTGATTTTGGAATGGGGCCGGTTAAAGGAAGAAGGAAGGATTCCAAGGTTTAGGGGTGGACTCGCCTAAGCATTCTAATAATATGAGTGTTGATATAGTTTCTTGTGAAATATTGCATAGAGAGGTGGTAAATACGTAGTGGTTTACATAAGAGTAAATATAGACCCTATCGAATATTTGCGAGGGTCCACTGTTGGCCTTTGATCGAAAGAAAAAGTTGAAAATGAAGAAGACCGACCTTGATAATCAGCGGTTGACTAGAGACACTTGGGAACAGAGTAAGGTGCAGATAGATCTGTAAATTATACTCAACAATAGGATGAGACTAAAGGATGTATACGAAGTTGAAGGTCTATGAGATGCTGTCTAATTTTAGTTATAGAATTTTAATGGAATACAATAGATACTCAACAAGCTGCGCTTGATAGAGTATGACAAAGAAATCTCCGTAGTATGATCAGTAGTCACATCTTTTGTATACTTAATACAATACAGCTAGAGACTCCACTATCCTAGTTAGCATAATTCTATATACTGGGTTTGCGTCGTCGCTAATATTGGCGAGACAACCTGAGCGTTGGATTAGGAGTAGCAATTCTTGGGTCTGTTTGTAGGGCCCGGTGAGGGTAGAAAAAGAAAGGGGGTAGAAGAGGGAAAGGAAGAGAAAGTGCGTCAGTATATTGAGGAGAGGGAGGGCGATGTTTTATTTATGGATAGCAGCTGGCTAGGGATAGCGCTAAATATAAACAGCGGCTGAGGTAAAGGCGCATTTCCTAAAGAGGCAAGGGGGGATAGAGCCACAGCACAATAGGAGCTTTTTCTAGTGCCCCGAACACCATGTCCTTGCTCACTGAAGTGTTTATTGTTCTTGTATCATCAAATATATGTTGTTTCACTATGGCTGATGGTTGTTTGAAAGCATAATCTGAATCTCAATCATAGCTCTTTATTCTTTTCTACTATTGAGTCTTACTAGTTCAAACTTCTTTTAAGGATATGTTTTAGCAAATAAAGAATCATTTCTTAGGACAACATTAAAAGGGTCTAATATTGATCATAGGGGACTATATAATAGTAAGATATTTCTATTATTAAGAGTAAAGTATCTCAGATTCTCTAGAATCTCTGAATAGCTACTAAAATATCAATCAGCTCTACTACTATTCACTAAACAAATAGCTTTCATTCACCACACCATATATCTTTATCTTTCACCCTTCTGTACTTCGCTTCTCTTACTCCTCTCTCATCGCTCTTTGACTCCCTCTACCTTCACTCGGTCTTCTTTCTCTTATTACTGTCTCCTTGTCTCTAGGCTTTCTCCTAAATAGTCCCTAGAGCTCCTCAAGGCAAGTTTTTATCAAAGAATCCATTGACGCGCCTGGATCCAAGCTTGTGCTGACTATATCAGATTTAACCTTACCTCCACCACCACCACCACCATCTCCTCTTCCTCCCCCTCCTCCAATACCATGCCTGGCGACAACCACAACGCCAGCAGCGAGACGGAGGATGTCCCTCGTCGGGGCCGAGCTGCCTGCGCAGAGTGCAAGGCCAGGAAGAAACGGTGCGTGCACCGCTTCGACGACTCTGATACTTCAGCGCCGGTCCCGGTGCCTGTCTCCCCTTCTAATCGCACTCGCATGCGCACTCGTACTCGCACTCCGACCACCCGAAAGCGCCAGCGACGAGGCCGCGCGGCAAAGAAGGCCGGGGTAAGCCAAGCACCTCAAGTTCAAAATGGAGAGACACCACTTCTCACACAATCAATGCAACTTGGCTAACATGACTGTCGCTCAAACTACAGGAGAGCTCCTCCCCCGTCACCACTAACTCAGACTCTGAGTCTGAGTCGAACTCCCCGTCGAATCTGACGAGCCCGTCCTCAAGCGAGCGAAGCGTGGACACCCAGCGAAGGCTGCTATACGTGCAGGCCCGCGCACCGTTCCCGAGCGCTCGAGGGATCCCATTGAAGCGGCATCAGCCATGTCAGTGCATGCGGTGTTCAGCCACGAGCTTGAGGAGCGGCTGGAGGAATTCGAGGCCAAGATACTGGCCAGCCAAGAGGCTTTCCGTGCCACCATGATCGCCGGGACTGCCGTCCAACACGCGGTGGATAAGTGGGTCGAGACTTGGAAGACGGGTCAGTGAGTGCGGTTGATGGGAGAATGATGGTCTTCGGGCTTGATTGGATTGGGTTGCGTTGGACCGAGCTGTGTTTTGTTTGCTTTGTTCTGTTTCTCTGGTGCAAAGAACATTTGTGTCTATTTGGGTGGCGGCTTTCGAGGGAAAGGTGTTCTGGCGTTCTAAATGGAATGATTTCCCATCGTGTTTCTGGTGTCTATTTACGTAGAAGTGAGGGCTCGATATATCACGTGGGAGTAGACTCTGAAAGATTCCTCAGGCCACCGCTCACTGACTATGCCAGTCTCTGTCGGGGCAAGCCTGGGCTCTGCGAGCCTCAAGACACCCAAAGACACCACTGATAGACATCTTGAGGTTTGGTGGCCAATGCATGGACGTCTGAGCAGTCCAATCGAAAATCCCACATGAAACAAGCCGAGTCCCACAACCTGTCAGTTGAATCTTGAATGAATTGCTTACCATGTCACGTCTTAGGACTTAAGAGTGTCGAGAAATGGCGCATATTTCACATCGCCGTACGAGTCGGCAGAGCACAACACAGTTGCGCCGATTGTCCGATAGGCCAACCACAAGGCACCATCGCACGACGGGGCCTCTGCGGGTCTCAACCACCGGGCCCGCCCGGTGTTCCGCGAGATGATCGGCTCTCAAAGCGAAATGGATGTAAAACCATACTGGACGCCCCAGCTCCATTCACACTGGAAAATCTCACACTGATATTGCCCGGGGCTTTTGGAGGAGAAGCGAACCGTTACGTGTCATACCTGTGTTAGGAAAAGAAGCGGGACCGCTAGGATGCTTGATCGCCCGGACCAGGTTGCAATGGGCGAGAATCAGGCTCGCTTAAATAGTTGCCGTAGCAAGCAGTCTTTCTTTGTACCCAGGTGAGCTCCCTAAGAGCTCCAAAGGGCCTCAGAGGCTAGTGAGGTGGTTGAAGGGGGAACTCGAGTTTCATCGCGAAATAGATCATGGACCATGGATCATGGATGTCTCGGATGGAAGTTGAATCCTCACGAACTTCAAGACGAGGCCTGCACGATTCCCTGTTTTCATCTCACCGCTAGAGATATCTCTTGAAGCACCGACAGTAGCATCTGCGGTTGTCCAAGAAACTTGGCCCCCAGTCAACTTGGTAATGTTCGTAATTACCGGTATTTCATACCTTGCCGGAACATGTAAATTACCGCTCATCCCTCTCTCCCTCTCTCCCTCTCCTCTTGTCTGCTGGACTTCGCTCTCTTTCTTTCTCTCGCAACCCCTCCACGCTTCATCTGTCTACAATCTCGACTGTCCAGCTGTCATCAGTAACATTTCCCCTTGGTTGGGGAGTGTCCAAATCACCGCTTTCCGCCCACTTCCGAGATTCAGCCCTCTTTCGACGGCATTTTTCCTTTTTTCCCGTCTTTTCTCCGACCGTACTTTGCGATTTTGGTCGGACTCAAGCTTCACGACGACACGATCCTCGATAAAATCACCCACTGATAGATAACACGGTCGGCCTTTTTTCCCCGGCTGTGCAGTCGTGGAATCCCCCGGAAGCCGACCTGGGAATTTTGATAATGGCCATGGCATCGATGGATGCTCTGGGTGCCTTCTCCCACCTGACCAACAACCTTCCCCTATGGATCAACCGCGTGTCGGAACTCACAACCCATACTGCCGCCAAACACACCGAATACACCGAAGCTTTTCGACGACACGCAGCTTTTAAGCCCCGCCGTCGAAAGAACAGTTCCGTATGCTCCATCCACACCGAAGATCTCATCCCCATCGCCCAGCGCAAAAGCCCCAACCCAGAGGCTGTTGACCAGGCGACAAGAGACGCACGTCAGCCGGCCCAGCGAAGTGGCCGCAAACGTGGCCCAGACGAAGCCCCGTCCATCGACTCCAGCGATCGACACGCTTTCGTCAGCACAAGGCACAATGTCATCATTGAGTACGACGGTCACACGCAAAAGGTGCTCGAGGAGATCGTGCGGGATATTGGAATCGCCAGGAATCACATGCGACGGGGCAAAATGTCGACGATGCCGCGAACCGGGCTCCGTTCCGGTCTGCTCAGCAAGAGTGCGAACCTGAACATGAAATTAGGAGTCAAACAGGACGAAGCATCCCCGCTGTCGTGTGTTCGTAGCACGCGGACCGGACCTGGCGTGGTGGGTGTCACTGGGACGACGGGGGCTCGGAAGGAGTCCTCCTTTGACTTTACCGACAAACAGCTCGAGCTGGCCCACGGGCTCTGCGAGACCGCAGCATACCAGGTCCTTCGATCCGGTGACTGTGGCACAGAACTCGATGGCGTGGAGGAAAAGCTGAAGATAGTGTTGGATATAGCCAACAACGAGGTCGAGCGTCTCAAAGCAGAGAAGCAACAACAACAGGAGCAGCAGCAACACGAGGCAACGAAACAACCAACTGAGGAGACCCCGGCGAAACCACCTCCCACCCCAACCGCAGCAAGACTGGCTCGGGTGGCAGCGATTGCCAACAAGCCCTCGACAGCCGCGACCGGCACTATCGAAGTCGACGACACCTCATCCATCTCGGCCGAATCCATTGACCTGTCTGCATTTCGGTCATCCCGGATCCGAGTCTGAACACCCTTCCCGTTTTTTGACCCGTGTGGGTTTCATATTGGCAATTTAGCGTGTTGAGAAAGTCCTTCCAGCGAAAAGCATTGCAGTTGGTTGATACTTTGAACATCTCTGGGGATACCAATTTTTCATCTCTCATCTCATTCCATTTCTTTTTTGTTTATTCTTGGGTTTCTGGGAGGTTTATTGGATTTTTGCATGTCGGGCGATTCCTGGCAACTACAAACGCCATTTCTTTTGGCCAGCCTTTCTTTGTGTTCTTTTCCTATCTCCTGTCCACCTTTCCTTTTTGTTTCTGTATTGTTTCATGAGCTACATTTGCCTGGAGAGCATGGCGTTGGCATCGGTGGCGTTTTATGCCACTGGACCTGGAACTGGTCCGTTCTTTGACCTGGTCTTCCAGTATTTGCCCTAAGAGATTCAGTGTTGAGAATGAATTAGTTGTCATTTATTGCGTCAGTGTAGCTCATCTTGGAGATGCCCAATAACTAAGATGCATAGTACCTCCAATACTATGGATAAAACAGATTTGACAATTCATTACAACTATCCTATCAGATTCACTTTCTAACGGCCAAGCCCGCCCTGCATGCCCGTTGCCACGTCTACTATGCAGATAAATCCTGCCGAGGGGAGGGGAAAGGTAGAGTGGGATAGTGTACACCGCATTGCCATTCCAACTCTGTTGTAAGATGATTTGCCCGTTGGGCCCGAGAACGGACAGAAATGACACCCATGGATCATCCTAATAGAATGACCGCGGGGCGCACCAATGCGTGTGTTGGCAAGCCCAGCCCGAATAGGTAAACAGTCAGGGAAGATGATGCACTTGGGGGTCCACTCGAGGATATATATTATAGGGCTATTATTATAATAACCAGAACAATCATAATAACTATAATACGACTATACACAATCCAGGCAATATAGGATCTGTCTTGTATCAACCTGTGCATAGCTAGTAGAATTGTAGTTCTTGGTTCTATATATCAGATCCGGTCAGATCTTTGAGCGTTTCATATTTTCAGATCGAGTCGAGTGCAGGCAGCCCCCCCCTCGCTTGACAGTATTGTGTCCAAGGAACTCTCGATTGCATAGCTGTGTGTGAGACTGAGTGGTACGTGTCTCGGGGCGGCTTTACTGTAGGAATATCATGTGGAGGTACAGAAATGCATGCACTTACTGTAAATCATGCACATAAGATACGGAAACGGAGTCCCTATAGTACAAACTCGGTAGGGCCGAAGGTACATCCACATATATAATTAAAAACATAGTAAAGATATCGATCTAGACATTAATAGAAAGTGAAAGGACAGATCGAATTCATTTCTAATCCTATCCCAGCGATAAGAACATAAGAGAGACAAGGACAGAGAGATGCTTGAGCTTTTATGGATTACTGTCATAAATAATGTCATAGCCTGTATGTATATATACATGTGTATTATTGGAAGATAGCCCCGCGCTCCCGCCCCCTAATACTGATCGACACTCCGGTGGAGTCGCATTTTGACTCCTAAAAGGGAAGGCGCGGATATGAGTCCACCACAAAAGTACGATACATCTACTGTATCCTGCTCTATGTATGGCAGAAAGAATGTGACTATATTCTCCCTAGAGACCAAAAGAAATGAAAAGAAAAGAAGAGAAAAAAATGTATATTTGCTGGAAAGTACAGTATTAGGTCCTGGTGGATGCTTTAGCCTCAGCATTCTTGAGAATTTGTCAGGCTTCAATCTAGGGATGGGGCCTTGGATATGCACACCAGTTTATGGGAGGACCCTAGCTAGCCCTAGTATCTCTGGATTATACGCCAATCATAATACCATATACATGATTATGTACTGTATGTTATATGTGTATTATGGAGAGCCGTACTTTACGCCCCATGCGACAGGTGTCAGCCAGCCAATGGCTGCTATCCGCAGGGATCTATCTCATCCTGCTAGAAAGCAGGGATTGCCCCACTATGTATGTATGAGTTTTTTAGTGTCTTAGTGTCGAGGAGAGTACACTAGGGCCGAAACATGCCGCGATAGACATCCTGATCGATAGTCAACAATGTGATATGAGTACATTGCAGTCAGCGTCAATACTCCTTAGGTATCAGTATGGCGGCGAGTGGCAACTGCTTGCGTGGACTTGGATATTGGATCGGATCGGATACTGCATTAATGTTTCGAGCTTGCACCTTTGTCGTTGCTTTAGATGTGCGCTGCACATAGTGCGTGTATGTAATCGGGCATAAAGTCCCTGTCTGTCTTGAGTCATGGCCGCCGATTTGTATCTGTGCAGCTGGCATGGCGGGTGTTTCTAGGGGTGGGAGACACCGAACAACTCCGATGATTATTGCAGAATAGTGTATCCAAGTGTTTTAAGTTGAAATTGTATCACTTGCTGTGCTCGAATCACTGGCTTTTGATTCCATTCTTCTCTACGCGAGTCTAAACAGGGCCACTTTCTTTTAACTTGTACATGCATTTTTACATGCTAATTTTAACACCTTTATCGGGCTACACACTTATTTAAAAGCACACTTACTAGATATCGTCCATTGGATCCAAGGTATTCACCAACCTAGATGAATATAATACATTTTGCCCATTCCAACCCGGACCTTAACTCATCAGAATGAAAGCCCCAACAGCCATCATCCATGGCATCATCCAACATGACGCATGACCATCAACCACAGATTAAGAGATAATTATAGAGAAAAGAAAAGAACAATAAGAAAAAAGGGACACAATCATCACAAACAAAACAACGGCCCAGGCCAGAGCCGGTCAGCTTCCCAGGAAACTTATTTCGGCTGGGTATCACAAGAGACCACACGAGCAGTGTGCCAACACAGAGTACGGAGAGTGTACTTTGGCTGGATTAACTGCTTTCACACACACCAAATACAACTCAACGCAAGACCAAAACAGGAGAGCAAGGAAACCCTCCCTTAGTAGGTGACCTTCTCCTCGTAAATCGGGGGCTGGCCAGTCTCCATGTCCCAGTTGATCTTGTTGTTCTCGTCCAGCCAGGCGTCCTCGTCCGTGATGGGGATGACGCGCAGGCTGTGAGCGACCTCCTGGCGACTGACACCCAGCGGGTCGCGGGGAATCCAGAGCAGCGGGGCCTGCGAGTTGATGGCCGGGTGGCAGTAGGCGTTGCTCTCGGCCTCCTCGGTGTACTGGGGGATCTCGAGCGGGCTGGGGACAAGGCGGCGCAGCGTGGCGTAGTCGTGGTACTTGTCGGGACGCAGCCACTTGGTAAAGAAGTTGGGCTGGGGCTGGGCGGTGGGCAGCGGGGCATCCGCGAGGCCCTTCTCGGCCTCGGCCGAGTCAACTTTGGCGACACCGCTGTCGCGGGTCGGGACTACGGCGGACTCGCCAGAAGCCGTCTGGTCGTCGGATTGCGACTTGCGGTCCTCGCCGACCTTGCTGTGATCCTGGGCCAGCAATGCCTCTTCCTCGGCCTCGAGGTTCTTGGGTAGATACTGGATGAGCGGCTCCATGGCGTTGTTCATCGCGATATGGTACAGAATCACAAACACCAGGAAGATGATCATCAGGATCATTGGGCCCAAGGCCATCTGGTTGGCTCCTGAGCCCATGGCGAATAGTCCGATCAAACACACGATGAGCAAGTAGCAGCCCACGGTGAGGTGCTGCAGAGCACGCGTGTAACTCTTGCCTTGGGTGTCAATGTCCGCGTTCGCCACGTACAACAGGTTGTACCGGTAGGCAAAGTAGAACAGGTACATGCCAACGGTACCGAAGCCCATAACCAGCGGCGCAATGCAGGAATAGGTGATGCCTAAAGAATGTTAGAACTGAACAAGGTGTGAGAAAAAGGATTACACATGATTCGACATACCGATGACAGTCAACAGGGTGAAAACAGGGTAGACCGTGCCCCAGCCAAGACCAGCCAAAGTAGCCCAACGGCTGTAGAGCTTGCGAGGTGTGGTGTCCAAGAACTTGCCCAGAATCTTTCCAAGAATCAATCCCACGATCTGGAGAAGAGCACCAGAGCTGAAAGCCAATCCCTGCAAGATGATGTAGGAAATGTAGAAGTTCGATGCGCGCGGGATTTTTGGGCGAGCAGCGTGGCAGCCGATTGGGGGTTGGCAATAATATCACTGACGACACTAGTGGCCGCAGATGCCAGAGTCACCACCAAGAAGACCTGTACCACCTGGAATGCGAAGAAAAAGTTTTGAGTGCTCAGCTCGACGGCCGCCAGACTCGGCGCACCACCCCATTTGGCCATCACTATAGAAAGTTAGCGCAAGCTTCACGAAAAAAGAGTGCAGTTGGAACACATACATCGCAGGATAATCGGCACAAGTGCGATCAGAATAGACATGAGCACAGACGGCAGAAGACCAGTGATAACACCCTTGATCCATCCCGGCACATGATCAATGAACCGCAGGAAAGGAACCGACTGGGTCAACCAATTGATGTTGGAAATACAACCCACGACCGCTGTGGGGATAGCCCAGAAGATGATCAACACGCAGACAAAAGTAATGGTGGCGCTGTGGCGGCCGAGGCGTTCCCACCACTTGATGCGAAGGTTCTCCCAGATGACCTGAGTCGGGTCCAGACCGATGTAGCGAGGGGACATGTGCAACGGAAGGTTGTGAGCCACTATCAACATGTTAGTCTTCTCCCGAGAACCGCACCGAGCCGGTCGAACATACCGGACTGATACGCAGCCTGCGCATCCGCCTGCTGGTGGAACTCGACAAACACTGACGAGACCAGCTTGGCATCGCCCGCACGGTGCTTCGCTTGCAGTTCCTCAATCTCCGGGGTGAGACGTTCAATCTCCGAGCGAGCCCAGTTGATGGTGTCGACCTTCTCTCCGATCAGCATCTTGAGACGATGCGTGGGGCGCTTCTTGGCCTCGACCCAGCGAGCAGCAACGGAACCAGACTCGTCATCAAAATCGCCGACGCCATCCTCTGAGGGACCGTCCTCAACAGAACCCTGCTTCTTCAGAGCCTTGGCGCGGGTCTTGTTGGCGAGCACAATCAGGTTCGTCTCGGCGCCCTCCAGCTTCATGGCCGCATTGTCGCGCTCCTTGACCTTCTCCTCGAGCTCCTTGGTGTCGGTTGCGAGCCAGACGTTCTTCACTTTGTCACGACCGAACATGGTGCGCAGCTTGTCCTTGTTCAGATAGTCCTGGGTGACCGCCGTGAAGAGCACCGTGCGCGACGAGATGCGACTGGCATAGGCAGGCGAGAAGAAGTACGCCTGGCGCAGGTTGATGTAGAAAAGGTGCTCCCGGGTGATGGTAAAGAAGATAAAAGCTATGGGAAAAGGTATCAGTAACGAAATCCCCGCGTGGGCCGAAATTCAGCAATCCATACCAACAAAGATCCACGCAAGGAAGCAATGCGCGTAGTACCGTCCATACTGGGTATCAAGGATGTTGGAGATACTCAGCAGGTCGAGCTCGGTCCCGCCCGCACCTCCCGTAGCGTTGACAGGGAAGAGAATGGGGAACGTGATACACGAGCCGACGAACAGAATGAGGGTCGACAGCTTCAGGAAACGCAACAGGAGATAGGCATCCATAGAGTGGTGCTGGAGCACGTAGGTATCGGGCAGCTCGTACATGGCGGTGATCCAGTTCCACAATCCGGTGGGCGTCTTCGGGGTGCGCTGCCACGGGCGCAGGTATCCAATGTAGGTTCGGGGCATGTACATTCTGCGCTGGCTCTTCCGCAGCACGATGAACAGCGCGATGAACACGACGAACGAGATCAGGGCCGGCACCAGGGTGGTGACCAGGCCGGAGGCAGTAGACCCTCCCATGGTGAAGGAAAGCAGTCGAGACGGGAGAATTCAAATCAATGAAGCTGCAGGTTAGTACAATGGCACGTGTGGTTGAAAAGCTGCCAGTGCTTGACAGGGCACGATGGATAGAGTGCCCGGGAGGGAATTGGGGGAAGAAAAGGGAAGAAAAGGAAAAAGACGAAGAAAAAGCAATTCACCAAAAAAAGAAAAGAAAAGAAAAGAAAAGGCAGGGGAGGTTAAGCTTCGAAGGGGAGGGGCATCTGATTTTACGGCGATCGGCTACGTAAGTATCAAGTGTGGCTTGATTCTTTTTTTCCCCCGTTGATTTGCGGTTTCTACAAGGATTTTTGCGTCTGTTGCAGGGGTTGAAGCTCCCCCTGATGCGCCCCACTCGGCAAGTGAGCGAGTAAATGATCGATCCAAAAGTGGCTCTGTCGTGGATTGGGATGCGATCGTTTCTGGTTCCTTTCGTTCCTCTGGTTCCTCGCGGGTCGATGACTCGACCATCTCCAGGGCTGTTCCTTAAGCTGCTACCTCGGTAAGTAGCCCGATACTGTCGGAGAAGACCGAGCGCCACACCAGCCACATCACACCGTGATCATCAAGGGATGCATAGTGGAGAAAAAGAAAAGAAAAACACAAGGTCCAATTTATTTTTCTCTTCGGGACTGCCTTCTCGGTGGCACATTTCCCCAAAACACTGGAACACGCGGTCTCGGGAATCCAGGGGTTGGTGGACGGTGTGTCTTCGCAGGATTCAGAATTTGGAAGAGAGATATGGTCGAAAATGTAATAAGATCCTGGAGCTAGCACTTGGACTCTGGGCCCCGGTTCTGAGTCGCTCTTTCTTTCCTTCCTTTTCTTTTCTTTTCTCTTTTCTTTTTTTTTTTTTTTTTTTTTTTTTTTTTTTTGCTTTCGCGCCACACCCGGCGATCCTCACCCGGCGACTATTGCAATGGTGCAACGGTGCAATCTTCAGAGTATCGCATGAAAAATGGCGGTGCGTCGTGTGCTGTGCTGGATCCAACCGATCGGACGCGCTAGAGTCCACTAGCGGCTCACACTATCGACTTGGATCTGAGCGACCCATGGGCCACGATTGGCAGCGTTCGGTTGCAGTATCATTTGCTGCCGATCTTTATAGCTGGAAGTTGTCCAGGTGGAACATCTGTACCCCAGACCGAGGGCATTCGTACGCCGCAAGGGGAGAGAGTCAATGCTGGACCGATGTCTGTATGAAGTGAGTGGAATGCCCCATGAAATATCGCCCGACTACAAAGACAAGTGAGGCGTGTTCGTCAATGTTAAACCCCGACGGCGATCCCTGAAGGACAGAACGATTGTGGTTGGTGGCTCAGATCGAAGACACGGTTTTGAGTGCTCCATTCCCTTGGCAATTGCATGTACTATCCATGTACATCGGCATATATCCTGCGGTGCTGGATACTTCGGAGAACTTCTGCCTGGCATCTCCGCACGCCACTCCATTGCCAGCTGTTCATTCTCTCTCTCTCTCTTTTTTTTAAAAAATTTTTTTTTTTGCCCGAAACCAAGTTGCATCGATCGTGGATCTTTTTCGCATCGAGTTGTACTATCGAATTCCCGGTGGGGCCTTTGCCGCGTCCGTGCGAAACTCCATGACGCTTACACTCCCGCGTATCCTGGTTGCCGGGCCCTGCGATGTGCCTGATCTTCACGTGTCGAATGTAGAGATGCACATGATTACAGATCTATAAAGATATAAAATCTGTCGGTTTAATGCTGGTCCTTAAGAGTATATGAAGAATTTGTTGGAGATTCGTCTATTGGCCGTAGTCATGGATTGGATGCTGTGATCGTGTTGGCCGCCATGGATTGTGCACAATCCGCCTGGAGCGCTTCCTCAAAGACATTGATCCCACGGATGGGAGCTCGCAGGCTCAAAAAATTCATCAGAATTTCGTTAAATTGGAATTGGAGGTCCGGTCGCAGCTGCTTGTGCGTTTTCAGCAGCTCGCCCGTCGACCATCCTCGTTCCGGGTCCCGGAGATCTGCCTCATATCCCTCCTCCAGCAGTACCCAGAGCAGGGTTTCGCAGGCCGGATGTCGGTCGAGGTGGTGTTGTCGAACAATGGTGTCCAGGTAGAGCAGAAACCGGTTGGTCTTGTTCGGCGAGTCCTGGAAGTCCCAAAGAGCCGCAGTGATATAGATCAGCGCAGCAGTTCGACTCACCTCTTGGGTGGTCGAGTCCCGAACCACATACATTCGCGATGCCTGCGGCACCTGGGAAGGCCGTGGTCCGCTGGACAGCAGGGAAAAGAGCGGGCTCTCCATCTGAAAAGCGTCATGCCGCCGGGGTGCCCGCAAAGAATATTCAGGGGAATTGTGCTCCCGCATGAGATCTTCGGCCCCCCGTAAAAATGTGACAAGCCATCGCCGGTCTGCCGGCTTGATGGTTACAGTGACTGGTGTCATGATGTATCGCACGTATTGGAGAAAAGCCTCGACAGGCATGTTGAAGCCGGTCCGTGGTCGTATGATCTGAACGGCTCGAGTGGCGTACGTCTGCGCAACTGGTTTGCTGCCGAATCGTTCCTCCTGGAGAGCCATTCCTGCCAGAGCCATGGCCAAGTCGTCTTCATTGACGGACATGGACCCCGCGGAAGCATCATCAATGAGCCGTCGGGAGCGATCGACATGACGTCGAATCTCCGTGCTATCGGTGATGCCATACAGCTGCCCTTTCCACCGCGCGCAGTATGACAGGACAACCGCCTGGAATGAGAGCGGGTGGCCCATGGCAGTTCGGAAGATTTGATTCTTTAAGTATGTGTTTGGCCCGGACCAATACGTCAACTTGTTCGTCCAATAGTCCACCAATTCCAAATCTTCGCGATCATACATAAAGGGCAGGCTGGCAAAGGGATCTTTCCGGGATGCATCCATCATAGTGATGGGAGAGCCGATTTGCACAGGGACTGTGGGCTGGGAATAGGGCCTCACAGCCGAAAACCTGATTTGAAGCTAGTCATCATCAGTACCGATTGCAACGGACTCTGGTAGTCTAACCGACAGGCAACAGCCACATGGCCCATCTTTCAACGGGGACCCGGACGACTGATCAAAGCAAAGGATGGCTTTCATACCGACGAATCTTTGTTGGCGGAGGATTCTTGTGCGCTATTCAATGGCGCCTCGGCCTCAAGTTCTGCATCATTCCCGGAGCCTGTTCTGACTGGCTGTGTATGGTTGACGCCCGGCTTGGAGAATGATGGGTCGTGGGATAGCTTGCGTTGCTTCTTCTTCTCTTGGACATGGTGGCGCATAACATGGGCTCGTTTCTCCTTGGATGAAGAGGTGGAGTCGACAAAGTAGAATGATTGATTCTTACGTGGTTGACTTTTCGCGTCAGCTGGGCGCCGGCGTCGCTTCGCCTGGAGGGATGCTTGAGAGTCATTGCCAGAGGGACCTAGGAGAGATGGTAGATATGAGCCGGTTGCCAGGTGCCATTGACCATTTGGCATTATCCGGGAAAACACACCCGAAGCTCCCGGCTCTGACGAACCCAACAGAGGCACGGTTGGAGGGGCCCGCCTTGAATCGGCCAGCTGCCGCTCATTTTCCGACATCTCGAGCCGTGAACGTAGAGGAAACTCGGGTCAAGGCAATGAAGCGCTCGTCACAGCATGCCGAATCGACGATCACCAAGATTCCTCCAACGAATTAATCGGGATTTGGATGAAATCATCGCAGGCTCCGAACCTGCAACATGCCCGAAAGGTATTAGACAAAACCCAAGTACTTGGGAAGGGAGGGTGATGGGAAAAAGGAGAGTCTAGCGTAGACTCCACGATGATAACGCACCACACAATGCAAGGTGGGAGAGGCGATCATAATAAGAATCAAGAATAGTCGCCGAGTGGCAACGGGAGGGGTTCGGGATATGCTCTATGTATGAAATAAAGCCCGAGAGAGGTGATGGAACCTGTCAAGGGTTTCACCTGGGTAAGGCCTGGGAGGGAGCATGAAGAGTAGACAAGTCCAAATCTGAATAGTCTCGGCGAAGCTACGGAGAATTGACTCTTTCCTGAACAGGAGAATGGCCCCAGTTTGCCAGTGCAGACACCGCGCAAAGTGGGGCGTTGTCGAAGGAGAGTTTCCCGAGAGTCTTCCGAGGAGCTGCGTTGTGAGGTTTAAGGCGGCAAGGGAAACTCGCCCCTTTGGGTGCTGACATAACCACTTAACGCGTCCCACGCCCCGACGCGTCCTGGTCGTGTTGCAAAAAAAGGATCCCACATTTACTCCTCTTCATTCTGGTGTTTGAAAGTGATAGAGGTAGAGGGAATACCAGACAATCAGAAACGACCGAGCGACCCAGTGTGAGCTATCTTCAACTGTCTGTGGCCCCCTTTCGGCCATTCCCCTGCCATGTCCTCGCTTTTCGACGCCGTCATTCAGTCCGAGCTGGGCTCCGGCCCTGCTTCTCGCGACCAGAATCTCCAATCCGACCACCTCCCGAGTTCTCGTCGCTCTGAGAGCAATGGCCCAATGAGTGATATGAATGCATTCCCCGATGACCGAGTCGTCGGGGCCGGTAACTCGGCGGTTAACCGTCTTCGTAACCCCTACGCCCCGGGCCCCCCGATGGTGATCGATGAAGCTGGCGAGAAGGTACAGCAGGCCTTCGAGGAGCTATTGGAGACCTTTGTCGAAGAGCCTTCTTCATCAGCACCGCCGTCCTCCGGCGAGGTCCTGAGCGACAAATACTATATCGCGCAGATCAAGGGCATGAAAAAATTCGAATTGTCGACGCTTTACGTGGATTTTACCCATCTGACTTCCTTGGACAACCAAATTTTGGCCGACGCCATCGCCAGCCAGTACTATCGCTTCCAACCTTTCCTCACCAAGGCATTGCACAATCTCATCGCCAAGCACGAACCGGAATACTTCGTCTCCCACCGTCTGACTGCCAGCGCTAACTCCCAGGCCAGCACATCTGTTGCCTCGGCATATGCGAATGTGTCCGAAAACCCTGATCTGGATAGCAATATTCGGCAGAAGACCCGCCACCAGCAGACAGATAAGCTGTTCGCCCTGGCATTCTACAATCTGCCATTGGTGTCCAGACTACGACAGCTCCGGACGTCGCAGATCGGAAAGCTGTTGTCCGTCTCGGGGACTGTCACCAGAACTTCCGAAATTAGACCGGAGTTGTCGCTGGGAACGTTTATCTGTGAGGGCTGCAAGTCTGTCGTGAACAATGTCGAGCAAACATTCAAATACACTGAGCCGACCGAGTGCCCCAACAACACCTGTGGAAATCGACACGGGTGGCGGCTAGATATCGGAAAGAGCACATTCGTCGATTGGCAGAAGGTTAAGCTCCAGGAGTCGTCCCACGAGATTCCGACCGGTAGCATGCCGCGTACCATGGATGTTATCCTGCGTGGTGAGATGGTTGACCGCGCCAAAGCTGGCGAGCGTTGCATTTTCACTGGAACTCTGATTGTGGTGCCCGATGTCAGTCAGCTGGGTCTCCCCGGTGTGCGTCCTGAAGCCGTCCGTGACAACGGAGCTTTTCGCAGCAACGAGGTTGGCGGCGGTGGAGTTTCTGGTCTCAAAGCCCTGGGTGTTCGCGATCTGACCTACCGCCTGGCTTTCCTTTCCTGTATGGTCACACCCGACACCACCACTCCAGGTCAGAAACCGGAGCAACAATTAAGCGGCCAGTCCAACAACATCCTGGCTTCCTTGAACCAAAACCAGGACCCTGACATGAACGACGACAAAGCACAAGAAGCTTATCTCCAAAGCCTCACGCCCACCGAGGTCCAGGACCTCAAGAGATTGGTGCACTCGGAATACATCTACTCTCGACTGGTGGACTCGATCGCACCTATGATCTGGGGTCACCGTCAGATTAAGAAGGGATTACTTTTGCAGTTGATTGGTGGTGTGAGCAAGACGACTGAGCAAGAGAGCCTGCAACTGCGTGGTGATATTAACATCTGCATCGTCGGCGACCCTTCCACCAGTAAGAGCCAATTCCTGAAATACATTTGCTCTCTGCACCCTCGTGCAGTCTACACTAGCGGCAAGGCTTCATCAGCTGCCGGTTTGACCGCTTCGGTCGTGAAGGATGCCGAGACTGGCGAGTTTACTATCGAGGCTGGTGCACTGATGCTTGCGGTAAGTTTTGGTTTGCTCCTTGTTCAACTAAAGAACGTTGACTGACGCATTTCACAGAATGGAGGCGGTATTTGTGCAATTGATGAGTTCGATAAGATGGACATTGCCGACCAAGTCGCGATCCACGAGGCCATGGAGCAGCAGACTATTTCCATTGCCAAGGCAGGCATCCACACCACCCTCAATGCCCGTGCATCTATTCTCGCGGCCGCAAACCCCATCGGCGGCCGGTACAACCCGAAGGTCACGCTCCGACAAAACCTCAACTTCAGCGCCCCGATCATGAGTCGATTCGATGTGTTCTTTGTGATTCGCGATGATCCCAAAGAATCGGTGGACCGCAACCTCGCAAACCACATTGTCAACGTGCACATGAACCGCGACGAGGCCGTCGAGCCCGAGCTGAGCACGGAGCAACTGCAGCGCTACATCCGGTTCGCGCGGACATTCCGCCCCGTTTTCACCGATGAGGCCAAGACCCTACTGGTTGAAAAATACAAGGAGCTTCGCGCCAATGATGCCCAAGGCGGCATGGGCCGTTCCTCCTACCGTATTACTGTCCGCCAGCTCGAGTCTCTGATCCGGTTGTCCGAGGCCGTCGCCAAGGCCAACTGTGTCGAGGAAGTCGTACCCAAGTTTGTGGTGGAAGCCTACGATCTCCTCCGCCAGAGTATCGTGACGGTCGAGAAGGACGACGTTGAGGTCGAAGATGACGAGGTTGGTGCGCATGCCAACAAGGACATTGAGGACCACGAAATGGCGGACCAGGACGGCGACGGAGGTGATAGCCCCATGCGCGATGCTGGTGACGAGCCGCAGCCTCCTGCGCAGCAGGAACGCCAGAAGACCAAGATCACCTACGACAAATACTCGAAGATCCTCAACTTGATTGTGCGACGTGTCCACGACGACGAGGTCAACTCAGGCGAGGGTGTCGAGGAAGAAGACCTGATCGTCTGGTACCTCGAGCAGATCGAGTCCGAACTCAACAACCAGGAGGATATGGAGCGCGAGCGCGACCTGACTGGAAAGGTCCTGAAGCGCATGGTCAAGGTGAGTTATCAATACCCCATATCCTGATTTTGTTTCTATTTTCTCAGACGACTAACACTCTTGCTTCCATCTAGGACAAAATCCTGCTGCGCATCTCTCCCGGTCTCATGGATGGCAGTGCTGGTGCTCAGCAGCCCAGTGGGGACAACGACAAGGTCCTTTATGTCTTGCATCCCAACTGCGCCCTTGAGGAAATGTAACGGCTAGAACTGTGGTAATGTCTTCTTGGGTTGATTATTTGTTGGGCTCTTAGTCTGTTGGTCTGCCGGGATCGGGTTCTATGAAGCATCTTTTTCAGCGTGGAATACAAGGGAGCAAAGGGTTATGAGTGATGATTTCGTTTTACTGTCGTGTGTGCTCTTTCATCTAACTAGGCATGAATGTATACTGCCGGATATGATATCTATCAATGTTTACTTCTGGGTGCATTAATAGCTTAAGGTAGGGCCAAAAGAGGTTAGCTCGCATATTCCCTTTCTAAATAGTTGGCTAAGCATTATTCTAAGCGTCTTTTAGCATATCTTTGTATTAGTATTTTGGGATAGTATTCCGGACTGTATTTTAAATATTTTTCTAATAAAAGTAAGCTATAAAGATCTATTTCTCTAATCTACTAAATAGGCTTCCTCTATCTATTCTTTCGACTAGCTAAAGAAGATATAGGTTCCCTGCAAAACCTAATATATACCCCTTCAGCGAATGAGGGGCAGCTAATAATAAAAATCAAACTCTTCTACTTACTTCAAAGCAGATTCGAGGGACAAAGGAGTGTGGTATTCGCTAGCGAATGCAAATGAGTGTCCTATATAATACCCATCCCACAACCCAGAAAACACGCAGCAGCCTGTGGCCAAAAAGAGTGTCTTATGGACCGCAGTCAGAAGGAAGTAATATCGTGTCTAGGCAAACTCTACCCTCCAGTTGTGTTTTTTGTTCTGCTCTTTTTCTCACCTCCTTGGATGTCCCCATATTCTCGCCTTTTTCTTTTCTCTCTCGCACCATGCCAATCCCCAAATCTTCCATCAGGCTTGCTGCTCGGTAGTAGCCTGGGACTTGGCAAGCTTGCGGTTGCCGCTAATCCAGAAGCCGCCTCCGTCTTTTTCGCCCAAATCGCAGAACATTTCGAGCAGTTTTTTCACTTCATCGCGTCCATTCAGCGCCTCCTGGCTCATCACTGTGTTGATTTTAGCGGTCTTTTCCTTTTGGAGCTTGAGCATGTACTCGTCGATAGCTCCTTTGATGATGAGCTTGACATACTCCACTTCTCGTTTCTGGCCGATTCGGACAAGGCGACAATAGGCCTAGAAGAACAAGTCAGATCATTCTCATAACTTTGAAGTTTGCTTCCCAGCTTTAGGAGGTTAATGGCATACCTGTTCCTCAATAGCCTCGTTCCACCACAGGTCCAGCAAGATGCACTTGTTGGCCACCGAGAAGTCGAGTCCAGTCCCGCCGGTCTTGAGGGATGCAATCATCACCTTCAAGTCTTTCTGTTCCCGGAAGTTTCGGATACTGTTGTTTCGCGAGGCCAGGGGCATTTTCCCCGACAACTGTCCCAGAGTCAGCACCTCTTGGATACTCAAATGGATTAGTCGTCTGATTTTTGTTATGATGACTTACCATGGTATAGGGCCACTTCTGCTTTTCGCACAGGTCCGCGAGGATTGTGATTGCGCCCAGCCATTGTGTGAAAATCACGATTTTGACCTCTTTGTCTTGCTGAATCCATCCTTGAATGAGCTCCCGAACCTTGCAAAGCTTGGCACTGGGCATTTGAGATCCAATGATCTTGGCCCAGTCCAATTTCTCAATATTACCCTCGGAGGAAGAGGCATCCTGGTCATCTTCGTTGTTGTTGCTGTCCAACTTAGACGATGAAAACATCCCATATGACTGCGTAGGTGCCCTTTTGGCTCTTTTGTGCTTCTTAGTCCGTTCCTCTGTGCGGAGCATTTCGTCCGCGTGACGCTTCAGCTCGTTTGGAACAAGCTGAGAACCCTTTGATACAGACTGGTCCTCAGCTGGATCCTCTTCCAAGCCGAACAAGTCATCAACGGATGCAAACTCTTTGATGACAATGTTGCACGCGCAGCAAATTCGAGCATTGGTGTCAAGACTTCCATTTTTGTCAGGAAGTGCCGAGAAACACGCTTCGCAGTAGATATGTTGGCATGATGTGAGCAATGCCTTCATAGGCGCGAAATGGCAGCGAGGGCAAGCGCAGCGAGATAACCTCTCGTTCCACTCCCCGTCGTCATGGACCTTTTCCATGAATGTACGGAAAGCCAGTATCAATTTGTCACGGTTCACCAAAGGCAACTGTCCCACGTCCTTCTGAGGCTTGGGCTTGGGGAACATAGTTCGGTATTTCACACCGAGAAGGAACTTAATGATTTTGGCAGAGCGCTCGTCCGGGGCAGTGCTCTTTGCTGCTAGCGGTCTCAGCTTCTTTGCCTGCGTATCAGTCAAGATGTTCTTGATGATATCCTGCGGAACAAGAACGTGGTTGGTGACCATGCGCAATTTGGTGATCATGGCCAAAATACACCGAAATTGGGATTTCATGGCCCCGCGAGTAGAATAACCTTTGAAATGAGTGAGATCCTTGATGAACCGTCGCTTTTCCGGACTTACCGTTGATGCTCTTGATATAGACCTCGATGATTTTGTCGTAGAGGAGCTTTTCGGCTTGACAAAACTCCAGCTCGACGCTTTTCTCCACAACATTTGGGAGTTTGACAATAGGCTGCGCAAAGATCCTGCTGTCATGGGTTTTTCGATGCAGTACAGCCCGAAGCGTGTTGATTAAACGGCCTTTTGATCTCGCATCGCCCTGGGTTTTGGTAGCAGCATTAGTGACAGGTGTCAGACTCAAAGAAAAAAAAGGAAAGGACTTGCATTGCAGAAGTTGTGCATAAACCGCTCGTATGTGGTACTTCCCTGGACTCCAATGAATTCAAAATATGGATAGAATTCATCTAAGCTGCTACAGGACCGTTTTAGCACAAAATCCACGGGAGCTTGATTTCCGCACAGGGAATAGGATATACATACTTGTGAAGTGGAGTACCACTCAAAACCCATTTGAATCGTCCTGAAAGAGCCCGAACTGCGATGGATACCCTAGCATCCCGGTTCTTGATCAGGTGCGCTTCTATCCAATTGTTAAGACCAAAAATGCAAACCAGCGAGCTTGTGTGCTAATATACTCACCGTCCAGTATGATACGGTGCCAGTGAATTCTGTGCAAAGCTCCGACCTCCCGACGGTAGAAGCTATCCCACCAGGCCCTGATCTCTGTGGTGCTCTCCATACCATGTGGGGGATCCAATTTCGGATATGACTTCCGAACTTCCTCATAGGTTGTCACGCTAAGATTATCGTGAGCACAAGAGACAAGTGGCAGCTCTCATTTCCATAGTTTCGTACATGACATCACTTTGCATAAGCATGTTGACGATGTTGAGGGAGGCCAAACGGGAGCGGGCGTGAATTTCGAGTACGTTGCCAATTGCAGTCTCATCGCAATGCTTTTTGATTTGCTCCATCCTATACCAGAATTTATTAGCCAGGACCCATCAATTGACAGGGAGAACGAGCACATGCCAATGGCCCGTGAGGTGTGGGGGGACAACAATAAGAGTTGGAGACTGGGGGTCATAGGGTTCCAAGTGGTTTCCGTCCAAGATATTTGCTGCCGAATATTAGTCTCGTAGTCAATTCATCGGAAACAAGAAAGCGCGTTTTTTATATTTGCAGTCTCCATACCTAAAGCCGATGCCGTCTTTCCAAGTCCCATCTCATCACAGAGAAGTCCACCGTACGGAGGGTGATCGGAGTTCTCTTGCTCGCGCTATTGCGGTCAGAACCAGATGCCACAGAACAGATGAAGGAAAAGCAATTGGCTTACCATCCATGCCACTGCTAAAAGCTATTTAATAATTAGTCACATTTTGGCTTCAATTGTGAGAGGATAAGTGATTTCCAACCTGGTGATGATAGAGTCCTGACTTCAGACCCTTGATCGTCCATCCGCCTTTTCCGTCAGTCTTTGCCTTCCAGAAGAACTTTTTTGTAGCCTCAATAAGTAAATGCTTATCAGAGATGGCTGCAGCTTGGTCTTTGATCGGAACATTTGCCACGACCTCCGAGAGGGCCTTTTGTTTGTCCTTGAGAGAAGAGACATGAAGTGGGCCCATTGAAGAGTTCTTTTGCACGCTGGCAATGATGTCTCGGTAGAAGATACTGTCAATATCGGCATCGGTCATTCTGGCGGTCTTTTTGCGGGACTTCCGTCGTTCTTTTAGGGTCCCGACATCCTCAAGGTTTTTGCGGGACTTGGATCCCTTCCCTGTTCCTGAATCCCCGCCGAGCATGACGTTCAGACCGAGACTCATCCCATGTTTGATGACACTTTCTGTGACTTGACCATTCTTGTGTCGCTTAGCTGGACGCGCTTTCTTCGAGGCCGGTGCCATCGGTGGGGTTGGCAACTTTTTGTCCTGAGGCGTTTTCGCGGAGGGCATGAATGATGGCTCTGGAGACTCTTTCATAGAGTAGAAGAGCTCATCCTCGTTTTCAGGACCCTCGTTTTCAGAATCCTCGTTTTCGACATCATTTTCTTCTAGCTCCCGTTGCTTCAGCACTTTTCGAGTATTCAGAACTTTTTTCCGAGTCTCTTCTTGCCGTTTTGCTTGCAGGTAGACAACTGTGTCAGACATATCGGGGTTTTGAAGAGCGTTGTACCGTTTCTCGATGGCATCAAATCTAGGATCGTTAGCATGTACTGTTGTATCGTAAGATGTATTTCGAACGTACTTGGATCCGTCGCATTCTTCTTTGATGTACTGATCATCAGACCAGTCTGCATTCGAGTTGGCGCCAGTTTCAGCCTTGTCGACATTCTCGTTTTGACCGACAGGCTCGTCAATCGTGAGGTCGATGATGTTCTTTTCTGCCGGCTCCTCATCAGGAATGACAATGCTGTCCTGGGGATTTGGTGTCACTGAAGGATTGATAAATGGCGTGAGTCTCTCGACTTCGTCGGCCTGAAGTGCAGCATCACCTAGCGGAAAGGAGTCTGGTAGCAGAAACGACCCGGATAAACCCCCCTGCTCCTGGATCTCATCCAACTCAATTGGAAGCTGGAACTCATCATCTTGGTCATCCAAGAAATCATCGGCATGCTCGTCTGAATGAATTTGTCCATCATCATGCTCCGAAAACTTGTTGTCGATGGGCTGTTGAGAGTCCGGGACAGTCTCCCCTCTTTCCGACTCAAAAGCTCCTTCCTGCTCCATTTTGTTGGGAGCAGCCGATTCCGCGACTGCGCGTTGGAGGTAGAGGATATAAAGTATATATGAAGAGAAAAAGTGTGGTTGATCCCAGGCCACAAGTTCAAGATGACTTGGTAAGAATGCAGTAGCGAAAGAAAGGAAAAGAGCAGCGACTTTGAAAGCGCAGAGACGGAGATTCGGGGCCGGTGTCTTTTTTTTTTGGTGTTTTTAAGGTATAGTGCCGATGACAAGAGCTGAAAGGATGAGGCTCAAAGAAATGTTTTTGAGATTTTGAAGTATCAGCTCAGCAAGGACGGCTATGACAGTAGTTAGCCAGTTTCTAAGAAGTAACTTGAAATGCAACAGAAAGTACAAGATCAGATCAAAACAGTGAGCAAGCTCCGAGGTATTTCGTGCGATGGATGAGACTGGCGACAGGAGTAGAAATCAAAGACAACTTAGAGGAACAGCCTTGGAAGAGTCCGACGAACTATCCGAGAGTCAAGTCAGCGGGAGCAAAGAGCTGGGTAGTCTGAAGCAGTGAATGCACGAGGTGAGTGAATGTTGTCCGATGGCAAAATGTGAGAGATAGGACACGGAAGAGAAGAAGACATAGAACTGTGGGAAAAAAGATGACGAGAGATAAAAACAAAAACCGATTTGTGTCAAAAAGTATGACCGCGACTGAACGCAGAAATGACAGGGGAAACAGAGTGAATGAGATAGAAGTTGCAGATCCAGCAGCAGAGCAACATCAAGAGGAGGGAATGTCGGAACGAGAAGAAAGATTATATCTCTCCGGGGGGGGGGGGGGGGGGGGAGAGCAAGCATACCTGAAGCAAAGGTTGATGAGGGTTAAGGAATTGGAAATTCTGGTAAAGTAGATGTTGAGCGGGATATTAGAAAGGTCAAGATGACGGGGAATAGCACAAAAATGAATGAAAGAACGATATGATAGGGAAGTATATAAAGGTAGTGATGGGGAGGGAATTTCAGATAGAGAAGACGCAGCAAGGATGGAAGAGCAGTAGTCGTGAATAAGAGGATGATATGACAAGGCAGCATGTGAAGGGAATTGTGATAATAGACGGATATCAGATGGACATACCGCAAAGGTGAGAAGAAGCAAGAGAAGAAATAAGAACGGAAGATCAGGAATAGTGAACAAGGGGGAGAGATGGTGAAAGTAAGATCAAGAAAAATGACAGAGAGAAGATAGTGTAAAGACTTGAGAAATACTTGAAAAGTACTTGAAAAAGACGCAGGGAAGTGTAGTAAAGACGAATCAGAGGGTTGACATATGTCGAGGAGCAAGGTCAAACGGCCAGGTGAGATCAATAAAACGGGAACGACAGGATAGAAGCGCAAAATAAGGCACCAGAGGAAATTTTGATGTACTTAATGACCACAATATATCTGTCCCTACTCCACTATCGAGTCGTTTTCTGATAGTAGCCTACTACCCAGACCAGATCTGGCATCCAAAGAAGCATATCTAATCATTAGATGGAGAAATGAGGGAAACTATAGACCGCCACGTCTCTAGCTCTCTGCAATGGCTGCAAAAAGCCTCGACATATTCCATGCAGTATACAAAGTTGGGCTAAAGAAGAAAATAGCTACGTGTAGAACTCGGTGGCTGAATATCACTATTATGGCCTGAGGTCTAAATCTACTCTAGAAATACTGAAACATGGCTTTCTGTGCAAATTCAAGCTCATTATTGGCCCATTACCGTCTCTCACATTTCTAGCGACTATGATTTGCCAGTGAGTGCCCTTTGTATGCACTTGATTAGATCCCTATACTGATTGCGTATTTTGTATGATTCCCTAGCTAATTATATCTTCTCTGCTAGCATTCTGCGGCAGTACTTATAGCTATTTACTTTCATCCAGTATATATATATATATATATATAGCTGTTTTTCTTGATAGCTTGCTCAATAAAAGAATATATGGGACGAACCCATTACTCGGAATGGAAAATGACTAGAGCGTTGTTGGAATAAAATGAGGGACCATTCCACCACTCATCCTCATTCAACCCAAGTAGTATGGTCTGCTAAATTTTTTTGTAATTTTCACCGAATTCGGATTAAAGCTATTGGAGATTAAATGATGGAGGGTACCTTCTCTGAACCTTTACCTTCTAGCTATCCTCGTTCCCCTTCCTACTCTCTTCTGTATACCTTAATTCTTCAGCTATTTTTTTTGAATCTTATTGCATGCTTTCCTTAATGCAGGGCCTCCCTGTCGGATACTTTATACGGACTTTTGCTTGATTTGAGCATTTCCAGGCACATGCGGATGGGACCCTACGGTTACTCGAAGGAAACAAAGATGGAAATCAATGGCTCGTTTTTTCTCCATATTAACCCTCCGCTGAATCAAGGTCGCGAGCACTAAGAAACTTTAATAGGGGGACATTTAGCTGTGGTCACAATATGTGACTAGTTGGGCTATTGCGCCAAAGGCAAAACCACACGATGCATGGTTGTTGGAGCTTCTTGGCCGATATAACGCTCTTATAGTAGCTAGCTTAGGTCTTCTTGAATGGAATATTCTCTCTAGACAGCGTCCCCTACCGCTATAACACAAATAGTAAAATCGAAACTAGAAGAACTAACAAGAATACCAAGAACATACCTCGAGAAAATAAAAAAAGGAATTAGATAGAAAAGGCGCAAAATAGTAAAGAAGGAAAAAGGTGGGAACAAAAGAATAGAATATACAAAATATAAAGAAACAAAAAGTATCTATTTTAAACCCTTACACCTCAGTGATAGCCGTCCCCTCGAGTCGGACCCATAGCATTTTCAGCTGTTCTTCCTCCACACCGATACGAAAATTCCTACCGATACGAAAATTTTTCTCTTTATTTATCTTCTATTATATACTTCGTATACCAAAATTTAAAGAAAATATCGAAAATCGCCTTAATAAGATATACGAAGCAGCGAAACGCGAAAAAAACTCAAAACTCTGCTGAATTTACATGTAAATTCGACGTTCCTTACGGTCGCCTTCGCGTTAGAATTTATAGTTATCTACTAAGGCACACCCACCATGTCTGGGTAGATGTGACCCCCTTTTTTAAAAAAAAAATCAAAATAAGAATGAAATAAAATAAAATTGTGATTATGCTCTTAAATAAAGAAGGGAAAGAAAAGCACTCCAAGTATTCTGAAAAATCAATATCAATTGACATATTTCATCTGGTGTGATTGTACCTTTTGTATGGGTGGCCCAGATAAAAGGTACATCTGCACGAGTCTGGCGTGCACGCGACAGGTGGAGCACTGGCGACCTGTCCACTCCAGAGTTGCCCCCACTCGCCAGCCTTATATGCCTTACTCCTTGGCATACCTCGGGGCTGAAATCTCCAGTGTATCGAAATTGTCCAAAATTAGTGTCCGTATATGTAAGGTAGCGTGTCCTCTCTTGTCAGCTTCCCCCTTCCGTTTGTATGATTTTGGAGGGGTTTATCGTATCCGTTCAGACGGCTCGAGAGTACTTCATCCCACCCCAGCGGTCAATGAAGATGTATATTCGTCTACTACGTGTTTACCCTTGTCCAATTTGTCCCATGGAGTGTTAATATCAACTCACCAGCCTTAGAGGCTCCCTAATTTCCCAGATACCGTAGCGGTAATCAAATATCCCCTTAGGCGCCCACAGTTTCTCGTCCGCATCTTGGCCATGTAGACTAGCTGGGAGATGAAACATTAGATCGACTCTCCGCTTTGTGATTTGCCAATTGCACAGCCGGGCTCGGTGAAGTTGGTGTTATCGCGAAGAAATGACTACCCGATGCAAACGGGTGTCATGCCTCAGGCACCACGAGCACGCGACCGGCCCCATCGTGTACATCGCCATTTTTGTGTCAGATGGTTGCCTGCTGCTTTGCCCTCTTCTCTTTCTCTGTATTTTTGTCGCTTTCCCTCTCTATATCTCGCTAACATCCCTCTCCTGCTTCTGGCAGTGATCTCAGTAAGCATAGACTCAGTTGTCAAGAACCGGAGGCCATACCCTAAGCCCAGTGGGGTTCAACCCAATTGCACGTTGGGGGCCGTAAGCCTCTCGCTGATCCTGCAATTCGTCTACACCCCTCGTGGTTGTCTCCATCAACCCCCCTGATTGCCAGCTTGTCAATCTTTTTTTTTTTTTTTTCCCCCCCCTTATCTTCATGCTATAACTTTCTCTTCTCTCACCCCATCAGCGGCTTCTGTCTTTGCGCCCTCGATGGTCAGTGACCACTTGATGCTTGATGCGCCATGAAGTTCCCATCGAATCCGCCGGCTCTCAGCCAGAGCCTTCTTGGCTGGGCTGAGGAGGCAGCCATCTCCATCGTGATGGTTGTCAGATCTCCTCAGCAATCCCTCGACAGTGCTTGGGCAGTCTCTCGCAAATATTTCTTCTCTGTGATTTTCATCTCGCTTCTGGTGTCCAAATTCTTCCATGTCTGCGTCCAACTTACTTCGATGACTGCGCCATCTTTCTTGCCCTGGGGACCCACCTTCTTCCTAGTAGATATCGTGCTCATTTTGGTAGCGTGCGGCCTTGCGCGATGGTTTGAATGGCGGATAATTCGGGACATCGCGGCTGTGGTCACTGTTGCGTTTGGGTAAGTTGACATTCAGTGGAGACGTCCACGAATACCGAGAGGGGAAAGAAAAAAACTCATTGATTGATTCCGCTCTAGTATCTATGCCTCGTCGATCGCATCTGCCGACATCTCGTTTTATGTTCACACGGGCGCGGAGATCTTCTACCCGCAGAAATCGAAAGGCTCTAAACCCAACCCCGCGAAGTGGACTGTTCTGTCCGCCTTCGTCGCCGCTATCTTCGTCGACGGTGTTATTTTGGTCGGCGCATACTTCGCAACGCCGCATCTCTTCCGCGTGACCAAAGCTTTCCTCGAAATCTGGGGTTCGCTGTTGTTCTCCCCATTCGGTTGCTGTCGTCGCCAGAGAACGCCCTCGGCGGACTCAGAGAACTACGAGCAGATTGCAATCGATGACTATGATGAGAATAACCACGATTCCGAGAATCCCCAGGAAACCGAGAACCACGAGGCCGAGAATCACCGCGAAACCGATCCTCTCGCCCAAATGGATACGCCCCGAGAGAAGCCCGAGCAAAAGAGATGGTCTTTGCTTCACCGTGTCCTTGCGATCTCGTTCGGCTTGATCATAGTTTTGCTTTGTCTCGTTCGCCCGTACGATCGGAATTATACCTCTATGTCTGAGTCTCTGGCTTTCGCACCGTTCGCCAGCGACGATTCCCGGTCCACTCATGGAAGTGCCCCAGCAAAACCGGCTCCTCCAGCGAACCAGCCTCCTCCAGCGAAACCGGCCACCCCAGCAAAGCCGACCGCCTCGGAGAAAGCAAGTCCCACGTGGGCGACTCCAGTTATGACGCCACTGCCGTCCGATTTCAGCTGGCTGGAAGACACTACTGCTTTGGACACATTCCCGAAATTCGACTGGTTGCCGTCTTTCAATTCTTCGAACGAATTACCCGATTGGTCTCCTTTTCGCCTCAACAGACACGACGATCCTGATTATGACTATGAACATTACAACCCGCAGAAAGACCCTCTCCATATCCCCAATCTCCACAACGATATTTTGGAGCCTATCCGTGAAGCGATCCACAACGGAAGTGTCAAGATCAAACATGTTGTTCTCCTCAAGTTAGAGAGCACTCGGCAAGACATGTGGCCTTTTAGCTCCAGTTCCTACATTATGAAGCATATCAGAGAGTCTTACCCGGATGGAGAAATCCCCAAGGAAGTCTTGGATAGACTGTCCAGCCTCACCCCTACCGCCGAGCGATTGACTGGGTCTGATAACGGATTCCGTCAGGGCAAGGAAAGCAGTCGTCCGAAGCCCTATGGTGGGATCACTGCGAATAACTCTTGGACTGCTGGAACTTACAGTCTAAAGAGTCTTACCGGCACTTTCTGTGGCGTGGACTCGATGGCTGTCGAGGGCAACCACGAGTATCAGCACGATATTTACCAGCCTTGCTTTCCACATATCCTCAGTGCACTGAACAATCAGCCCAAAACTACCAATGAGACCGATGATTGGGGTTCTTGGCCGTGGCGCACTATGTACTTCCAGGCATCCTCCGATAGCTGGGACCATCACTACGATCTCACTCCAGAATTTGGGTTCGAGGATACCTGGGTGAAAAGAACGATTGATGAGGCAGGGGGCAAATACATCCCGGAAGAGTCAGAAGAAGAGAAGGGCCATGGCCATGAGGATAAAGTGATGAAGAACTACTTCCGGGATGCCATCGAGGACGCCAAGAAGAACAACACTCGCCTCTTTATCGCTCATCTCACCCACAATACCCACACACCCTACTACATTCCTCGCGAGTACAAGGAGATGCTTGGGGATAAGTCGGATGAGCGGAACGAGAGGCTGGAGCGGTACCTCAACACCATGGCCTACCAGGATGAGTGGGTTTCCGATATCCTTAAAGTTTTCGAAGATGCCGGAGTCGCCGATGAGACACTGTTTATCATGACTGGTGACCAGTAAGTATTTATATCTCGCAGCTTATCGAGCCACTGTTAACTTGAATCCCAGCGGCCTCTCACTTCCGAATGACGGTGGAATCACCGCGAGAGACTCTCCTCATGTCGCCAATTTCCACGTGCCTCTACTCTTCGCGCACCCCAAGCTTCCGCAGCTCGAAATTGACAATGCCACGATGTCTACTCAAATTCTGCCGACTATCCTGGATCTGCTTATCGAAACGTCTTCCGTCAACGAGGAGTCGACTAAGATTCTTAGGGACTTGCTCTCCCTCTATGGCGGACAGTCGATCATCCGTACCATGATCCCGGAGCAAATGGGCTGGAAGGAGTGGCACTTCGGCACGACGAACCCTGGAGGCGGAATGGTCTGTTTGCGCTCTGCCGCTCAGCCGTATCGTTTAGTGGTGCCCCTCAATTCCGATGGCAGGTGGCGCTTCACCAACTTCGTCGAAGACCCCTTCGAACTGGAGCCCCTGGAGGAGAACGAAGCCGATTCTCTGATCACTACCGTGGAGAAGAAGCATGGGCCGGATGCTGCGAACTGGCTGGATGAGGCATCCCAGGTGGCTACGTGGTGGATTGATGACAACTTCCGTCGCTGGAAGTGGGATCCCTCGAACCCGGATAACGAGTACCCCTAAGCGTTCCCAAGACATGACAGCCAGGTTTTCAGTCTCGGACTGACGGGTTTTGCGTGTTGGCTCGACGCTAATCCAGCCGGTTGCGTTCGTAAAGGCGCACCCTATGTACAAACACGGCCGGTATATAATTTTTGGGGCCTTCTTGTTGTTATTTCATTCTGGGGCTCATGTCGCATGTGTAGTAAATAACTTCTTTGTCTGTTCTTTTTTCATGCATCTATCTTCGAATTTGTTATTATTCCCCTTTTTTTATTCGAACGTGAATAGAGAAGACAAATAAATTGCTTTGAACAATCACATTCGATGAGCAGTGCTCGAGCAGACAAGTCCAGGTTTCCAAGACTCCCAGGGCATGAACGTACATTTATGTCATGCCAGCCCAATCCAACACAACCAACTTCTTTCCAAATCCTCTCTCTCTCTCTCTCTCTCTAAGCGCCAATCTTAATATCCATTCAGGAACAATACAACCAACATGGAGTAAGGAAAAAGCCACGAACAATCTGCATCTCTAACCCGTGATCATCCCTCCACTCTACTCTTCCACTAACACCGCACGAAAAAAAAAAAAAAAAAAATAAAAATAAAAATAAAAATAAAAATAAAAATAAAAATAAAAATAAAAATAAAAATAAAAATAAACCAGATACTCGCACCACTACGAAATCCTCGACTGGAACAGTCCCGAATGGCAGCAAGCCTGGTCCCAGCTCGTGCAAGACGTGCCCCGAATCATCGACGCCGCCGCTGGCCGACACCACCAAGGGCATTTGGATCAACGGCGTGGGCGACAATGCGCACGAGGCTCTGATGATTGCCTACAGGAAGCGCCTTCGTATCTTTGTCAAGACGGCTCACAAGCCGTATGATCTTGTGGTGACGTGTGTTTTGCTCATGGCGAACTTGTTGGCACCGAATGTTTTTCGTCTTAGGTGAGTTAACAGTCATACTATTCATGGATCTGTGGATCCCACTGTTGCTTGTTTTTTGCTATTTCTCTGTTTGACCAATTGGGGTATTTGCGTGCTGACGAGAGTAGATCTGATGGGCTTTGGGATGAGTGGCAGCCGATGCGGGATCTCTATGCTCGTCTTTGGACCGGGGAGGAAATTGGGGGACCGCCGTGGGAAGAGGATGAGGAAGAAGAAGAGTGATCGTACTGTGATTGCTCGATGAATCAGAGAAAGTCTTGATTCTGTGGTCCATGTTTTGGCAGGCGAGGGTCTATGTTTTGACAGGAGTTGCCAATCATTACAATGAAATGCTAACCAACCACGCTGCATATTTCTAGAGAGCTCCGATGAGATACGACTAAGTCTAAACAAAGGCCAACTCCCTGTATCTATCGCCACACATTCTCGAGTATAAACGGCATTCCCAAGATTGTCCAACCAACAACCCACCGGACCACTTCAACTATCCCACATAGCCCCATGCGTAGGAATCCCTCTTCTCTCCAACTCCCCAACAATCAGCCGCATGACGACCTCGTTTGAGAAGCTGATAACAGCCTTGGCACCAATCTTCTGCGTCGCCTCACAACCAATCCGAACTAAATCAGGGCATCCCCACGCCCTGGTATCATGCACCAAGCCTTTCGGATCTGCACCATAGACGCTGTTGACAATTCCTGACCAAAGGTCTGGATAAGATTCGGGGTAGACCAGATCAGTCGCAGTCGACAGGAAGGAATATGGCCCAGCAGAGAACCGATCCCAGACCCCGTTCCGATTAGAACGACACTTCGGAAGAAAGCTGCCACTCGCATCACACCACATGCTATATGTCCTTGGGTTTTAGCAATCTGGTCATGAAAGAGAGAGTCAAGAGGGCTTCTTAGTAAGAACACCACGCACCCACAATCGCGTCGGTGGCTTGCTGATCTGCCGACTCGTCCAGTCGCCAGCTCGAGACACGATCATGGAACAACTCGACCTGCGCTCTTCTTTCTTATTACCTTGTCCTGTGACCGGGATTGTCGCAAAGGAGTGCCACTCGAGAAGCGGGCGTTCCGAAACCCGAATGAACCTGCCTCTCAGGCCGGCGGTATACTCGAAATGGAGCCGCAGAGCATGATCAGTTAGGATTTCTGCGTCCACGGGCACCTTCAAGAAAACCTATAAGGTGGCGATGCTAACGGTGATGATAACCAAAACCCAGAACTCGGGCGAATGCAGAAGAGCCACTCTGAATAGAGTATGAAGAGGCTTGGTGTCGCGGACAGAGAGCATCGTTTGCACCCCAGACGAGGATTAGGACCGTTCAACCCGAAAAGCGATACACGCACTCGAATGTGTTGTGGTATCGTTTGCGAAGTGCAGGGTACGAAGCCGCAATCATGCCTGCTAGCAGCAACAGGGCAATGCTGGACAGAACTATAGTTGGAACTGGCAGCGTGGAGGACGACTGCCGCTTGATCAATCCTCTGAGACTCAAAGCAAATGAGGCGACAAACCAGCAAACAGCTGCTATGGCGCATCCCGAATGAATGCTTCCCAGATAATACACCTTGGCTATCCGCCGACGAATAGCAAAGGGCCAGGACTTGGGGATAGAGCAGCAGTAAGCAAAGATAAGGTTGATGATGAAGTCCTGCCGGATGACAATTGCAATAATCAAATTGGCCAAGGCGACGGTCGTGAGCCAGGCACGATTGATCGAGGGAATAGATAGCAGGACGATCAATACGGCCAAATTTGCAAACCAGATCACAGAGAAGAGTTTCCGGTACACTATCAGAATGCGATATTTTAGCCAGTCACCGATCCAATATAGAAACCATAGTCTGGTTTGCGTTAAAGAGTTGGTTTCCGAGGACGGTTTGGATGTAGTCATAATGTAAATAGAACTGGTAGTATTTTGAAGAGAAGAGGGCACAGCATGTACTCTAAAGAGACGCCGCGGCCCAATGTTTAAATGTGCACACATCGAGGGAATACACTGAGCTCGTATATCTACGCCTATCATGGGCATAGTGGTGCCATTGGAGGAGTTTCTGCGCCAGTTCTACTGGCGCTGCTACCTTGTTGCTAAACCACATGTGCCAAGGGGACCTTAATATGACGCAAGGATGAGATCGCATGATGACAAGGACCTAGGTATATACTGCTTTTCTTGGTATAAAATGTTGACAACCATGGTCAACGCCTTATGAACCAAATGCTTCGATCGCTTTGTATATACTAGCAACCGACGTCTCGCTATAGAACATCTTTATAAGAAAGTGTCTGGAAATTCCAAGCTGTCAGAATATCGAATAGCGTGCGAAAAAGCATGCATTTAGCAAACAAACTCCCTATACATTAGTGCGCGCCACCAGCGGCGGAGGCTATTCGGAACGAGGGCATGCATGAACCATTGGTTGATGAGTCTGTCAAGTTAGGAATTCAAAAAAGCGCGATTTCTTTTGTTTGTGTTGCCTCAGCCGAGCTAGATGCTGCTTTTCTTCTCCATCTCATCAAGATATTGTAATTTCGAAAGATTGTTCATTCCAAAGTTATAGACATCAAGGCGTAGATAATTCTAAAGAAAAGACAAGAATGCCAAAATATGATAACTAAATACAAACATCAGCACTTCTATAAAATTCTACTCCAGTCCTTCAGTGACTGCCTTCGAAATCGCGGCAATCTTCCTCGCCAATCCAGCAATGCTGATGCCACTAAGCACATCGAACAGTGCAATTTCAGCCTGAGCTTCAGTCAAAGCCCAGGCCCGGATATCGACAGCCATCAGGGAATCCACGCCGTACGCATGCAGCGGCTTGCTCGCATCGATATTGCCAACAGCAGTCTGCAGACCACGGGCAAGTCTCTCACACAACGCAGCAGTAGTAACTTCGCTCGCATCCTGCAACGACTTACACTGGCCAAGCAAGAAAGAAAGCGATTCTGTAGTCTCCTCGTTTGATTCAATCCCCTCCAAGTCCAGCTTGTTCAAGATGGCGAAGCGAGGGTTGTCAATGTAGAAAGGTTTCTCAAGGCGCTGGCGGTGCACGATACCCGCAGTCGGGAGACCCGAGATAATCTGGGACGGGATGGTGCTGCGCTTGAACGAGCCTGCCATTGCAGCAATCATGATGCTGTGAAACTGCGGCTCGTTGATGCCAACGGCTTCCCAGCTCTGCAGGTTGGAATGTCCGCCCCGCTCGGCAATCAACCCGATACCTAGCATCAGACCGAGATCAACACTTACTGCCGAAAGTCCTTGGTGACGTCGGTAGGCTGCCATGCCATCTTGGAAGGTGTTTCCGGAGGAGTAGTTTGCTTGGCCTCGGTTGCCGATGACTCCGGCAATGGAGCTGAGCATCACGAAGAATTCAAGGTTCTTGGGAAGGAGATCGTGCAGCAGCTGTGTGCCTTGCACCTTGGGCCTGATGCCGTTATTCCATTGCTCGAGAGACATGTTGTCAAAGAGGGCGTCATTCAGCACCACGGCAGACTGGACCACACCACGGATCGGTGGCATTTCCGCGGCGCATTGATCCAGCACACGTTTCATTCCTTGCTCGTCTGAGACGTCACAGGCGTAAATCTGGACGTTAGCACCCTTCTCAGACAACTCCTTTTTCAGAGGTGGGGCAAGTGCAGAAGCGTTGCCGGAGCGAGAAATGAAGGCGATATGCTGGGCACCGTTGGATACAAGAAGCCTGGCCAGACTCCGTCCCAGTCCTCCGAGACCACCGATCAAGAGATATGTGGCGTTTCTGTCGAGTGACAGAGGGCTGACCACACTTGCAGGGACCGAAATATCGTCTTCCGGGCTGAGTGTCATCACAACTCTTCCGAGGCTCGGCTGGGCTTGGGCTTTCTCAAAGGCCTCTGCAACATTGGTGGACGGAAGGACTGTGAGTGCGCGCAAAGGCTTCAGAGTCTGCCCAGAAACAATTTCCGAGAGCTTCTGGAGTGTTTCTTTCATTATCGACGGGTCGCTCTGGACAATCGACGGCATGTCCAAAACCGAGTAAGACGCTCCCCGTCTGAAGGGACCCATATCAAGGAACGAAGAGCCCGCCGCATCATCGCTGACCACAGTATCAATCAGAACACCACGGGCACCGATAGAGTGCCACAGCTGAAGCAAAGATTCTCCAGTCAGCGACATGTTGAGAATAACATCCGGACCCTTTGTGTTTGTCAATCGAGAAATGGCCTCTGGCAGGCTGTAGTCACCGTCGCGGAGAAGGTGGCGCGAGTCGACACCAAGACTCTCCACAACATGGCTTTCCTCAGCAGTGCTCACAGTTGCGATGACAGTCGCACCCTGTAGTTGGGCGAGTTGGATTGCGGCCTGGCCAACCGAAGTGGCTGCAGCTTGGACAAGAATGGAGTTGCCAGACTGAACACGGCCAACCCCATGGACTGCGTGGTATGCGGTCGCAAAAGAGAGTGGCCAAGAGGCAGCCTCTTCGAATGCAGCATTGTCCGGAATGGACACACACATCGCTTCAGACACGCGGAACACGGACTTGTATGGGCCGGCTCCGACTGCGCAGACGCGGCTGCTACCGACCTTCAGCTTCTCGCAGCCTTTGCCAACATTGGTGACTACTCCGCTGAATTCCTTCAAAGGTGTCTCTATATCCTGCTTTGAGTGCAAAGCATCATGGTGACTAAACGATTGTAAGTTTCTGCAAATGGTTTGGGGATAGAGAATCTTACTTGACGGCAATAGCCTTAACCTCAATTTCCACCTCGTCAGCACCCAATTCACCAACAATGTCATGGTCAAAATCGAAGAAGAAAGATTTGGAAGATCCGGTAGGCTGGATGAGCTTGAGCCCACTGGGCGCCTCTCCAAGCTTGACATGCTCGCGGCCTTCAATGTCGTTGCTGGGTGCGATAAGACCAGCCAGATCATTTCTAGGAACCCAGCGATTGATGCACAGCACGCCATCCATCTCAACATACTCGCGGTCTGATGTTGGCGCGGCAGCAATTTTGGAGACGGCCTCAGCTGTGCTCTGAAGGTCTGCGTTTTGCTCGAGATGAAGGTAGCGCAGGTCGAGATTGGGGTTCTCGTTCTGCAGTACACGCAGATAGCCAACGGCCACCTGCATCACGGTGTCATCGCCCATGGAAACCCACAACAGCCGACCACTCTGCAGTACCAGGCCCTTCAAGTGGTCGAATTCCTCAGGAGAGAATCCGGTCCAAATGGAGTTCTCCAACTCGACCAGCGAGATCATGGATTTGCCCTTCAAGTCGGCCAGCTCCGTGGTCCAAGGAATCACATTTGCCTTGATCTTCTGGCTTTCCAGGGTGGCAACGAGTATTTGGCTGGCTTGCTGAACTCGTTGAGAGGGATTCGTGGGTTCAAGGATGTAGAATGTCTCTGCAGGAACCTCACTCTGCGCTCTGGGCTTGGACGCCAGCGACAACGTGATAGCATCTGACGTACGCCCAGGAGCAAGTTCCGCCACGAAAGACAGAGACCGGTTGTCAACCCCCATATTCTCTTTCCACGACCTACAAGAATTGTTAGTCAAAACGATGGCAATGGACGTGGAGGTGACATACAAGGAACTACTGTTGCCCTTTGCATCACTGAGCAAGGCAACTCCTCCTTTTTTCAGAACCCTCTGCACTACAGAGATTACACTCTGCTTGTGGTCAGTCTCCGAAACGTCGTTTCCTGTGATGACCAGATCGAAGGATTCGCTGTCAAAGGTCTCGTCTGCGGAGGCAATTTCGAAGAGCTTGAAATCTACAGGGACGCGCGATTCCTGGAACACTTCTTCAACCCTCGCGATCCATTCGACATCCAGATGCGCGACAGTGTAGTTGGAGAAACGCAGTGCCGGGGTCCCCAGCACAGAAAGCAAGTCCTGCGTAAGGGCCTCGGTACCTCCAATCTGCAGAACCGACAGGTTGGGGTTTTTGTGGGCAACGAGGTCGGCCAACTAGAAATTGTCAGCAACAACGTATCAAGAAAAGGAAAAGCAAGAGAAATGTGGGCTTACTGCGCAGAGAGATCTCTCCAAAACCTTTGCCGCGGCGTGTCCGTTGGTAAGAAGCTCCCCGTTGGCCAGTTCACTGGCACTTGGTTTCGCCAGCTCCTGCAGAAGGTAGCTCTTCAAAGAAGTCTCGTGAAGACTTTCGATGTCCGGCTTCCATTCCAGTGTACCCAATGGAGCCTTCAAGTCATTAGAAGCGGCAGCCTCGCTGGAGGGCAACTCGCGGCAACGCATTCCAGTAACCTGCACCTTGGGCTCCTCCCACGCAGAGTCCGACATGTAGATGTCAGCGAGCAAATCACGCGACCCGTCTCGGGCCACATGAGAGAAGCCAATGAACTGAGAATCAGGGCCAGCCGGGAGGTCGACCGAGAAAACAAGGCGGTCGAATGCGATGGGGACGGCTGCATTCTTGAAGTTCAGGCTCTCGTCTCCGAGAGCAGCAAAGATGGAATGGAAGATCACGTCGAGAGTCGAGGGGTGTATCAGATGGTGACTTTCCACGTTGCCGGGCATGCAGCTCTGGGTATCCGGGATCTTGATGGTCGAGCAGCAGTTATCCTCGCCGGCCGAGATCTGTTGAAGACCTTGGAAGTACTGCCCATACTTGAATCCTGCTTTGCGGGTGGCTTCATAGAAGTCCTTGGGCTCTATTTGGCGCTTACAAGCTGCTTTGGCCGCCAAGTACTGCTCTTTGACTGCTTCCGATGCAATGGCCGAGCCCTTGCTCCATGTCTTAGTGCTGTTCGAGGCGTAGTGAATCGAGACAGTTCCGGCACTGTTCTCCTCAAGAGTGCCATTCTCAGCACAGCTATACACCGACCACTCCCAGCGTCCAGTCCACACGTTGTTGGGGCGGCTTCGTTGCTGTCGGAATTGCAGGACAGTCTCCACGCCATATTGGTCGTCGGGAATAATAATAGCCTTGGTGATACGCACATCCTGCAGTTCGATTTTCTCCGTGGTCTTCTCGGGGTCTGCCATCTTGCGAGCTGCCTCAAGTACCATGGCGATTGTGCCAGATCCCGGGTACAGAATGCTGGAATGCACGACGTGGTCGCGAACCCACGGTTGTTCACTGATGCGAACAAAGTTTCGCCAGCGTGGGTCTTGCTCGTTGAAATCAGCAACGGGGGCTCCAAGAAGATCATGACGGCCATGCTTTCGGTGATGGTAGTTCTTGCTGATGCGCGGCTCAGCCCAGAAGCTCAGAGAGTGATTCCATGGGTAGGAGGGGAGGTCGATGAGAGGCTTGGGCTTCCACCGCAAGAGGTTGACCGCGGAGACATTAACTCGAACACCATGCAGAAGCAGCTCTCCGGCCGCGGTGACGGCAGACTTGGCGTCATTCTCCCCACGGGCCAGAATCGATTGGTATACCACGTCCTTGAATTCGTTGTGCTGCATGATTTGCCAGACCGGGCCTCTCAGAGCGCCGTGGGGACCGACCTCTAGTAGGAGATCAAAGGCTGATTCACCGATGCGTCCTCGACGTCTTCGGCGAGAATCATCTTTCATGAGAGCACCAGTGGCATCAGAGAATAGCACGGCCGAGACGAAGTTCCTAACCCAGTACTTCGGACCAAGTTCGGCATGCGGAATCACGTCGCCAGTGACACTCGAAGCCATTTTCACGGATGTCGACGCTGATTGCATGGGCTGAATGTGGGAGATGCGCTCTAGATATTTGTCTGCAACGAGCTCCATATGGTGTGAATGGTAGGCATTCTCGACCTTGAGCTTCCGGCAAAAGACGGAGTCCGAGGCAAGCTTCACCTGAAGCTCATCGATGCCACTCTCATCACCAGATATCGTGACGGACGAGGGCGAGTTTACGCAGGCCACCACAACCTTGCCCGCAGTGATGGGTTTGATGTATTCTTCGGCCTTCTCTCTGGACAGGCCGGTGGCCATCATGGCGCCCTTGACCTCGGGTGCTTCAGTGCGCAGCTCAGAGCAGATCTTGCCTCTCCAGTAGGCAATGGTCCAAGCATCCTCTCGAGTCAGCGCGCCGTAGCAATACGCTGCGGCAATTTCACCGCTGGAATGGCCAATGACACCAGTGGCCTCAATATTCCAAGACTTCAGTAACTGTACCAGTGCAATTTGAAGAACTGTGCACACTGGCTGGCTGACCATCGCCAAATGGACCCTCGAGGCAGAAGGTTCCAGAGAAAGCTCCTCGAGTACAGACCAGCTGCATCCCAGGGCCTCTTTCAGATACGCATCTGCTTGGGTCACGCTGGCATTAAAGACGGGGTACGCCATGAGCTCCAGACCCATGCGGGCCCACTGCGCTCCTTGGCCAGTGAAAACAAACGCAAGGCGAGACTTTTCAGGTGAGCGAAGGGTTCTCAGTGAGCTGGTGGACGTGGCATCACTGAGCTCGGCGATGGTTGAAGCAATGAGATAAGTCTTCCAGCCGTACTGCGATCGTCTGTCACTGAGGGTATGGGAGAGCCGGTCGAGGTAGAGACTCTCCTCATCCTTGGAGATGGACTGCGACTCAGCCAGATGCTGGCCGTGCAGCACAACCATTCGTTTGAGGGCTGCCTCGTCCGGTGCGCTGAACACGAAAAGGCGATTTTGTTGAGGGCCAATCTCCGCCTCCTCCGAACTGATACTCAGCACCTCATCATGGGTAATTTGAGCGCGGCTAAGGAACTGCTCAGTATTATCCAGGATGACATGAGCGTTTGTCCCGCCATAACCAAACGAGTTGACACTGGCTCGCTGGAGCCGATTCTCTGGCCAGGGAAGAACCGATGTGGGCACTTGGATCTTCCATGATGCAAATGGGATGCGCTTGCTTGGCTGATCAAAGTGAATGTTGGGGGCAATACTTCCATGCTCAAGCATCAAAATACACTTGATCAACCCGGCCAACCCAGCGGCTCCTTCCAGGTGGCCAACCTACGAAATAAGTCAACGATGTGCCCAAAAAATGAGACACTGATAGTACCACAACTCACATTTGACTTCACAGATCCAACGTAAAGTTCATCCCCAGACTCACGCACTGCACTGACTGTTTTGGCAACCGCCCCCAGCTCCAGTGGGTCTCCGGCAGCTGTACCGGTGCCCTATTCTCGATATCAGCGCCGATCACCAACTTTCTTTAACGTCAGGTGCAACTTACGTGTGCCTCAAAGTAGGACGTGTCTGCAAAGTCCAGCCCGGCTGCCTTATATGTTGCGTTGATCAGATCCATCTGAGCATCGCTGTTCGGCAGTGTGATTCCTGCCGTATGGCCATCCTGGTTGACACCAGTGCCACGAATAACGGAACGGATGGTATCGCCATCTCGTAAGGCATCGCTCAATGGCTTCAGGATCACAGAGGCAATACCCTCGCCGCGTCCGTAACCAGTGACGCCCTCCGCAAATGACCTGGATAGGCCATCTTTCGACGTCATGTGCAGATTGGACAGCCACAGACCGAGATCAGGGCTCAAAAGCAGGTTGGCACCGCAGACGACAGCAACCTTGGACTCGCCAGCTCGAAGACCCTGGCATGCAAGATGTACTCCCACCAAACTGGAAGAGCAGGCGGTATCAAGGGTCATACTGGGGCCGCGAAAGTCATAGAACCAGGAGACCCGGTTGGAGAAAAGAGAGAAACCCGTCCCGGTAATAGAATACATCGGAGCGGTTTCGGCATCTCGCATGAGCATTTCGTGATAGTCGCGGGTGAAACAGCCAACATAGCAGCTCGTGTCACTGCCCGCCAAGCTTTCTACTGGAAGCCCGGCATTCTCGAGTCCCTCGTAGGTGACCTCGAGCAGCATCCGGGCTGCAGGGTCCATTGCTTTAGCCTCCTGGGCTGTGATATTGAAAAACGGTGCGTCAAAGGCAGAGACATCTTGGTCAAGGAAATGAGCTCCTGGTGGGCTCAATGTGTTCAGTTTCCCGCTGACCGGGTGGTGGAATGCATCTACATTGTAGCGTTCGGATGGGACCCTGCTAAATGCAGCTGTTGTGCACGAAGGGCCATGTTAGTCGACATTCATTCAATGTACACCAGCTCTCCAGGTCACCAGGAGCACAGGTCCATACGTACATCGCTTATTGTACAATAATTCCCAGAATTTGTTGGAATCTGAAGCCCCTCCAGGAAACCGGCAGGCAAGGCCCACCACGGCAATGTCTGAGGATGAATGAGGGTTAGGGTCTGTAGGAATGGCCATGGTAAAAGGGTATCAAAGAGAGATTAAGGGTAATTGAAACAGAAATGATAGGTATCAGGAGGGGTGTGGAGGATATCTTTATATTGATGGAAACATCGTTGTCTCCTCTTCAGGAACTCATCCCGAGGGCCAAGAGAGAGCCAATACAGCCTCCCAAACAGTGGAGATGGTATTCTGTAGCTATCTCTAGTTTTAAATTGCAATATAGCAGTATATAGGAAGGGGCCGTTTCGTACAGAGCAAAAACCGGGACTGTTCCAACGGCCCCAGTTTTGATGGCGACGTGAATCTTCTCCGATTTTGGAAAGACCCTTTTTACGCGTATGGGAGGTTGAGGCATTCTTCTTCTTCATGTGTCCTCAGAGGATCCATTGTCAGACTAATCATGAGCTAAAAGCCCGCGTAAATAGGTCGAAAGGCAACTTTGAGTTCGTGCAATCATCCTGCCCTGGCAGCCTCGCGGATATTACCCACTTTTTTTGAAGTCCAAGCACTCACAGAGGTCCTCCCCAGCCAGAAACCAGGGCATTCTGTCTACCGAGAACTCGGGTCCACATAGTATCAGATGGGGTGGGAGGGCTCTAGTGCCTCGTGCATGGTGTATGGAGCAGGGTGCATTTCGCCCCCACCAGGCATGGAGACTCGGCTGACATTGATTTGTTGAAATAAATTTATCTGGCAGGTAGACTAAGGAAAGTTTGATGTAAGCAAATGCCGAGGCAGATGAAGTGAAGAATTCAAGGAATTCTCCGTCAGAGGCTGGCTCTCCCTAACGTTCTTTTTCAAACATTGCTTATATTACGCCTCTTTATCTTGTTTCTTATCTCTGAGGACGACATTCGGCTGGCTATTTGTTCTTCAGGGTTATGTTGTGCGTGTGTAGGGTGCGGCTCTTGTCAGATGACATTTGGCAGCCTGGTCCTGCAAGAACGTTTAAAATTATGCTGGGGTATGATGCACGAATCATGCACGATCCTGGTCAATAGCGCATGCCAAGTGACAGCTTGATAGGCTAGTGATATTGCAAAGCGGGCCGAGTCAGAGGGGGCCAAAGGAATCAGGAACATCCAACATTCGGGACTTTGAAGTGCTGCACAGACACGGGTTACAACCGTTGTGGGTTGCGGGTGACAAGTCCTATTTTTCAGTTGGCTTCTTGACGGGCCCTTAGTTCAACTATTCATTTCAATGTGAGCTTGGCAAGATCCACCGTTAGATAGTTGTGAGTAGACAAAACAATAATGATTCGGGTTGTCTACATAAAAGGGCAACAGGGTACAGCTGCACTTTGAACACGTATTCAGCTCATTGGCATTATACATTCTTGCTCTCATTTACAATTCAATCCTGAATCAAATAAGCAGTAAGATATAAGGGAAGCGGCAATGGCCTACTTTTGACCCCTCTGATCCACGCAGTCATCATGTTAGCAGTTTCTCCACTCGATGGTTAGCTCTGGGAACCTTGAATTTGAATCATCCTGCCATGTGAGTTTTGTAATCTTGACAAAGCAACTCCTTCGCCACTCATGCTTTGACATTGCCAAGTGTGGAATCTCTTCTGTTCTTCCTGTGCTTGCACACCCGACATCTACGACCCACGATGAGATTCCTTTGTTTACATGGCAAGGGGACCAACTCCGACATCTTTGAGGCACAGCTAGGTAAGATCATTGTCCAGTTCAGAATCCACGTGAGATTTATATAGTAACTGATTGTTTTGTTCCGGTATTTCAGCATCGTTGCGCAGCCGAATCTCCCCAGGTCACACCTTCGACTTTGTAGATGCCGAAGCCGACTGTCCGCCAGCACCCGGCGTAGACGGCTTCTATCCCGGCCCCTACATCGGTTGGTTCCCATCATACGAGCCCCCATCAGTGAAGAAAGTCCAAGAGAGTTTGAAGGAGATCATCGAGGAGGATGGGCCATACGACGGGGTGATAGCGTTCTCCGAGGGCGCAGCACTGGCAGCGAGTCTCTTGCTGTGCGACGAACACTCTCAAAGAGAACCCACCTTCAAGGTGGGGATCTTTTTCAACAGTGTGATGGTGTTTTCGCCCTCCGAGGAGCTTGGGGTGAACATCAGCCAGAAGATCAAAGACCAGGAAACCAAATTCGCAGGGTATCTGCACGGCATGCGCAGCGACGCCAGTAACCCTGACCGGGTTCCTGATATCTACGCCTTCACTACAGAGTTCCCCACCCGCATTTCCGTGCCGACTCTACATGTCATCGGGTCGGAGGATGTGTTTTCCGAGGCCTCGCGGGAATTGACACGGCTGTGTCCCGATAAGGCGGAGGTGTTGATCCACGATGGTGGGCACGAGTTGCCGCGTGCCGAGGCCTCACTGGATCGCTGCAGTGAGCTGTTCGAGACGGTTGTGACCCTAGCCTCGATCGGTGGAGCATGAGGGCCCCCTAGTTCAGTTGTGGTCTACAGAAACTCTCTCTACACGGCACATAGCCTTGCTCATGCATCTTGGAATCTATGTAGATGTAAATACTATAGTTCTGGAGCCAGTGTATGGACTAGATTTTGAGTCATGTTGGCGCCAACACTGGAATCACTTAACGTTGGCTGTTTAGTCCGAGGTAAACAAGCTGACATGCAGGGATGATCGAAGGATTCATGCAGGATTGATAGCCAAGTCCCACCATTATGCAGACGCCGCTATGCACGACGGACCCAGGCGCACCAGGCTGTCGGGGTACCCTGGAGACGATCATATGGAAAATCCGTGCATTGCACATCCCGAAAATTGGATTCAGGGTGTCGGTATCAATAGTTTCTTTTCTTGCCAGTGAGTGGGGGGGGGGCATGATTTGCCGAAGCAGCCGTTCACACTGGTAATCGGTCATTTTAATTCTCCACAGAGTTATGTATAGATAGACCACGCGGTTTGAGTGGAGCTACCCGCCCCCAAAAATTACCGGAAAGTCCATCTTGGAGATTGAAGTTCCAGAGTGACACCACTTGACCTCCGACTAGCCCTAGTGAAGAAGTTAAGCCGGACTAGTGGCGGCCCCCACGGCCCTCGGGAATTTCTCTCATCCAAACGGGGATACTCAGCAGCGGCGGATATAAAAATGGCGTTGGAGAACAATAAGTCTCTCTACATAGTACATATTGTAGAATTACCCCCCCACCCAAAAAAACCCCCAAATACGTGTCTTTTTCGCCCTCTTTCTTTTTTGCCTTTACCGAGCCACTATGGGGTCCATTCCTTCTAGCAAGGATCTATTGCTGCCGGCTGCCCTGGACAACCGGGTCCGCAACAATCCCCAGGGCATGTGGGCCAAATTTCCCGTCTCCGACACCACATACGAATTGGGCCTCCACGTAGCCACAAACCAGCAGGTGGCAAATGCGGTCAATCGAGTAGCTTGGACGCTGGAGGAAACGCTGGGCCGAGGTCAGAACTTTGAGACTATCGCCTACATCGGTCCGAATGACCCGCGCTGCTATGTTGTACTGCTGGCAGCTGTCAAAGTGGGATATAAGGTAAACAATACATTAATGAACATGTTGAGGGGGGATTAGCAGGAATGCTGAACCCTTGTAGGCCTTTTTCCCTTCCCCGCGCAACAGCAAGATCGCCCATATCAATCTGCTCGAGCGGCTACATTGCAAAACTCTCATTACGACTACTCCGGAGCCACCATGTGTTCCCCAGATCCTGGAGGATTATAGCATGCAGCAGATCTATCTTCCTGGCCTTTTGGAACTTTTGCAGAGCGAAAACATCCCTTGCTATCCATATGAGAAGTCATTTAGTGAGGCTCAGAATGACCCTATCTTTGTTCTACATACCTCGGGATCTACAGGTAAGCATTTCAACACGGAAAGCAGTTTGAAAGAAATATCTATTGACTTACTTCTTATAGGGATCCCTAAGCCATTGGTCTACACCAATGAATTCACAACTAGGTTTGCCAATGCCATGTCTCTCCCAGCACCCGAGGGACACATCTCCCTAAATGAGAAGTATAAAAGTGGGAGCTTCTTCACCTTACTCCCGGCATTCCATGTATGAGCATCCATCAAATTTCAGTACAAGATCGATATACTGACTGTTGCTCTCAGGTTGCTGGCGTCGGCTTCGCTCTGATTGTCCCGCTGTTCAGTGAGAGCATCCCAGTCTTCCCTCTCCCTGCAAAGCCCCCAACCACAGAGGGCTTCCTGGAAGCAGTGAAATATACCGAGTTCGACTGGGCATTTCTTCTCCCCGTCATCCTAGACGAGCTGAGTCGAGACCCCGCAGCGCTCGAGATGGTCTCTTCCAAGCTCCAGTATCTGTATTACACCGGCGGCAGCCTTCCCCAAACAGCCGGCGAGACGCTCGCCGAGAAGATCCCGGTCTATCAATGCATGGGCTCGAGCGAGAAAGCCGGTCTCCCATTGATCCAGCCGGCGGACAATAGCGTAAAGGATAGCTGGAGGTACATCCAGGTGCATCCGTCCATTCACGCGGAGTTCCGGCACCGCTTCGAAGACCTACACGAGCTGGTCATTGCCAAGAACGACATGTTCGAGCGGTACCAGCCAGTCTTTGCGCACTTCCCGCACCTGGCCGAGTATGAGACCAGAGACCTCTTCAGTGCCCATCCCACCCGGCCAGACCTATGGAGACACCGCGGCCGCATTGATGACATTGTGGTTTTCATTAACGGCGAGAAGACCAATCCTATCTCCTTTGAGCAGGAGGTCAGTCGTCATCCCGAGGTTCGCTCCGCGCTGGTTGCCGGTGACCAGCGGTTTGAGGCGTGCTTGCTGGTCGAGCTTCATAGCCCTGGACCTCATTCCCCGGAGGAACAATCCCAGATTATTGAACGCATCTGGCCTGCGGTGAAAAAAGCCAATGCGCAATGCCCGGCTCATGCCCGAGTTTCAAAAGCCCGGATTATGTTCTCCGATCCCGCTATGCCCATGCCGCGCGCTGGCAAGGGTACGGTGCAGAGACAGTGTACATTGAATCTGTATGCGGACCTGATCGATAAGCTATACGCCACAACTGGCGACGGGCCATCCAAAGTGGACATAGAGAGTATTGGCCTCTCGAATCCGGTTGCGGTCACCAAAATAGTTCGCATGCTCGTTTTGGATCTAACCGAGTGGACCGAGTTCAAAGATGACGATGACTTCTTTGCTCTGGGCATGGACTCTCTGCAGGTTCTGCAGCTGAGTCGAGAACTCAAAGCTCTTGGTCTCGCAAATGCTGCACCAAGTACCATCTACAGCAGCCCATCGGTTGAACTGCTGGTAGAGAGTATTCTGCACAGCAGCCAGGGGTCTGTATCCAATAGATATCTCGAACACAAGCGTCTGCAAGTGATGGCATCGACACTGCAGAGGTACGAGAGCGAGATTGATAATATCTCAGAGACTGTTGGGAAAGCAGAGCCTCGCGTCAACACACCGGAATCGGAGGTGATCATTCTCACTGGCTCCACGGGTGCTGTGGGCTCTCACATCCTGTACGAACTGCTCCAAAACAAAACCGTATCGCACGTCTACTGTCTGAACCGGGGAAACGACTCTCGTGTTGTGCAGGAGAGCCGCAATGCCGAGCGTGGCATCCCAGCAAGCTTCTCGCCTGCTCAAGTTACTTTCCTCGCAGTTGATTTGAGCAAGCCGAGCTTCGGTCTCGAAACCGCCGCTTATGAGAAGATACTGTCAACAACCACGCAAATCATCCACAATGCCTGGCCCGTCAACTTCAACCAGCGACTGCAGTCATTCCAGCCCAGCCTGGACGGCGTATTAAACCTGATCTCGTTCGCGGCCCATGCCAAATTATCTCCCTCGCTGTTCTTCCTTTCCTCCATCAGCGCTGTCACCAACTACCACCAAGTCCCCGACGCAGCAAGCCAAGTCCCCGAAACTGCAGTGACAAGTCTTGAGTGTCCGGGACACATGGGGTACGGAGAGAGCAAGTATCTGACCGAGCGGATGTTGGACCACGCGTCCACGAAGCTGAACATCAAGACCGGTGTCGCGCGAGTAGGCCAGGTCGCCGGGACAGCGCACAACCCTCGCGGATGGAACCAGCACGAGTGGTTCCCCAGTCTGGTTGTGAGCTCGCGGGCGCTACGGGCTTTGCCTCTATCACTCGGGTCATTCGAGGATGTCTCGTGCAGTGGCGGACTGATGGACTCAGTGGATTGGGTGCCCATTGACCAGCTGGCGACGGTACTCGTTGAACTATCCGGAAAGGTTTCTCTTCTCTCTACACAGCCTGCAAATACAGGCGTCCGGGTCTTCCATCCTCTCAACCCACATCCCAGGCAGTGGAACAGCCTCGCGCCAGTTGTTGCCCGCACCGTGCAGGCGACTCTGGCCGCGGCGAGGAACGGCGATTCCACCGTACCTGAGATCCGGTTGGTCAAGTATTCAGAGTGGCTGGAGTTGCTGCGTGCCAGTGCCGCTGGTCTGGAGACTGCTGGTAAAGAACAGACGCTGCGTGAGGTTCCGGCGAGCAAACTGCTCGAGTTCTTTGAGGAGAGCCTTGTGGTCAAGGGTGCTGACCAGTCACCGCGCCAGTTGGCTATCACGCAGGCTCTGGAAGCAAGTCCCTCGCTGCGGTCTTTGGAGGCTATTCGGGATGAGTGGGTGGAGGGATGGGTGCAAGGTTGGTTGTTGTGATATATTCGTAGCATGTGGCTTTTGCCGTAGTTGGTGGCCAGTCTTGCTCTGTTTTTGGTCTCAATGATATTCCTTTGAACTCAATGTCGAGCTCGAAATAGGTAACAATTAATGAGCCTTGGTAATCGAATGAAGGCTGAGTTTGAAAAAGTGGCCAAGGCCATGCATGGGAAAGAGTCACAATATTTGTGTTGACAACGCGCCGAGAGAGAATATAGATCGGACATTCCACTTCACCGTCACTCGACCTCGACTTTTCGATTTCTTTTTAGTCTACTACTGACACTCACTCCAGCTTGTCATTGAGTGCGATCAAAAAATCAGACTAAATGCGCGCTTGACTTGAAATTCGCCAGGCGCTCTGTCCTGACATCAGATACTGACTCTCGGCTAAGAGAAAGAACATGAGTAGGAAATTTTTTTATTATGATGCTATGACACCGCAATGCTGGTCTTTCGAAGTTGAGATCAACAGCATCAACACCAACTAAGCTCAAGAAAGAACGTAAGAAAGCCCATGAACAAATGATCCACACATAACCCCACAGGTTCAAGCCAGGTATAAGATGAAAAAACCCAATGACCAGCAGAAATGAAAAACAAGCCGAGCCCGGAAGAACACAAAAGCAGACAACAGAAACGAGAAAGAGAAGGGAAAGAGACAAGCAGAACTGCTCATATGTTTAGGGAAACAACCCCCATGGACATAGAAACGCCAATATCACATCTGCATCTGCTCGTCGCCATCCACATCCTCGCCCGCTCCGCCAAGTGCACCTCCAGGTATCCGCCCCTCGTTCAGCTCCTTCTCTAGACGCGTAATTTCCTGCAGACTTTTAGCCTCGCGAATCATCTTCTCCACGCGCTTGCGCTCCTGGTTGGTCAATTTCACGCGGATGGCCCTGTCGGCTGGAGCGCGGTCGGCGGACACGGCACTGGGAACGTCAAAGGTGCGCGACTTGACGCCCATGATCTTGGATGCGAGGGCCGACGGCTCCTCGGCGGTGCCGAACAGCTCCTTGGCCTTGGCGCGCTCGGCGTCTTTTACTTTTTGGTAGTCGAGGAAGCGCACTGTAGGTAGCCGCCAAATTACCCAGTAGCGATAGTTCTGGAGTGTCGGTTAGATTGGCAAGTTCACCTATACCCACCATGCTTTGAACCGAAGCATATGAAGGCAAGTATCCATGGATTGGTGGTAGTGCGAAACTTACCTCTTTCCGCGCGACAGGGTTTCCCAACAGGACCACATGTGTCAGTCGTGCCAAGTTGCGGAGCGGGTCTAGGTCCGCCAGCTCGGACACATTATTCGAGGTCAAGACGAGGGTCGACAGATTAGGCACGGAGGTTGCTAGTGAGGGCTGGATGTGATTGATTCGATTTCGCGCGAGGAGGAGGGTGTGAAGTCGAGGGAAGAACGGGAAGTTCCCGAGGGAAGAAAGGTCGTTGTCCGTGAAATCAATTGCATCTTGATCCTACGGGATGTTAGAATCGAGGTCGTAGCAGAAGAACAAAGCTGTAGGGACAAAGAGGGTGCTTGAAAAGAAAGATAACAAGAAAAGAAACAGTAATTAGGGGGAAGATATCAGTGCCCACTCACCTTGGCAATACCCAAATTCTCAATCGCGGGGATCTTGTGCCCTACACGACGCAACGTACAAAGACGATATCAATCCAGCTCTTGGTTCAAAAGTGTAGTACCTGTCCTTTTCAGGCAAGGTGTGTATAGTTTTTGGCACGCACCTCGAAGATCCAGCTCGCGGTCCTTGAGCGGGTTAATGTACGAAAGAGAATTTTGAATGAGCTCGACGGTCAATCGCATGGCGGCGGTTGCAGTCGAAGATCAATGACGGAAGAAGGTAGGGATAGTTTAGGGCGAACTTTTCAAGATGGCATAGACGGGGAAATGGAGGTCGGGGAGTTGCAAGGACCAGTCAATGCGACCGCAGTTAATGGATCGGAGGCTTGATGCGCCTGTCGGCCTCCAGATGCAATGGCCTCAGGCCTAAATTTCTGCCGGGCGGTGAGTATTTACGGGTCACATGACCACGCGCATCTGTGCCCTACAAAGCACACCCATTCCGGCAGCTCTTTACTTCAGTACGCTACGTTGACATGGAGCCATGCCAAATCATGCATTAGTCTATATTCATCGAGAATATCCTCCGAGCGCTAATGGTACACATCGCCATTACGTATAAGTCACCCGGGTCGGGTCGAAAGCGCCCAAACAAAAGTACTCCAGAGCACAGGGGTCGAAAATGATAACAAGAATCGAAAGCAAGCCAGGCTGCCATGAGACTGAGAACGCCGCGATGAAAAGAAACCAACTCCTCATGGAGAAAAAGCGGCGCCGATGATGGGCCAAAACATTCAAACCAGCCAACGCCCAGGGGAAATGCGATGCAGTGCAGATAATGATGGGCAGTTTTGCCCCAAGACACAAGGATTCGGATCAAGGTGCGTCGATGGCATCACTCATCTACCAGCGGGGTCATGTTGGGGGATTTTTGGTGGTGAGATCGGGTGGGACTGCCAGTTCTTGATCGACGGCCGTTGGTGGTAGGTCCCAAGGCAATAGGGGCGAGATGGTCCCGACTCTCGGTTCGAACTGCAAGACCAGCCCGATCCATGGCAATGCCAGAACCAGCGCAAATCCCTAATCCGATGGTCCCGGTCGAGCTATTATCCAGAGCATATTTGAAGCTTGGGGTGTTGGGATTGCTGCCCCAGCTGGACGCGCGCTTCGGCGCCTGGAAACTGTTTGAGTCGACATCAGATGGTCGGCCACCGTCCTTATCGCTGATATCGGAGTCGCTTGAGCCCAGGTCAAACTCCTGGGCGCCCTCTTCTAGAACCCGCTCGTAAGAGGGAGCATTGCGGCCGAAGAAAGGCAGCATGCTTCCAAAGGGCTTGCGCTTTTTCGGGTGGTTGGGATGGGATGGTCCTCGGCGCAACAGACTGTTTATCCAATGGTAGATCCGTAGGCGCCGGCCACGCCCGCACCAAAAGAAAACCGCCAAAAGGACAATAAACAGAAATAGGAGTATGCCAGGAATGCGGCGCGGCGAGTCACCGTCGAACAATGCATCATGCCAATGTTCACTGTGGAAATCATTCGACCCTGGAATCAGATCCACGCTGGGATACTGAAAATCAGGAGGGACACCGGGGACATTGCTGCCGAACCCGACTGGAAGGGCCTCCGTTTCTGCAGGCACCTGAGACGAGGCGTACAAAACCATTTTGCCTAGGGTCCAGCTCACTTCAGTGGAGTCGATCTTGTTGACCGCCTGGAAAGCATCCAAATAGCCCTTGTCCTTGCCATGTGACAGAACTTCCTTTGTCCCATTATGAAGCGATCCTGCAGTTTCCTCGAGACCCACGCGGGGGACGCCGATACCATCATGCAGCATGTTGATGATCCATGAAGCCTTGAAGCATACCTCATAGGCCTTTTGCTGGTCGACTTTCTTTCCCCACTTGTGATCTTGCAGGCCATGCTCGATCATGCTCCAATCCTGCGAACAAAATTCCGAAACTCGACGTTGGTAGGTGTTAAAGTCATAGGCTTTGTCCTTGTAGCCCATCTCGAAAATTTCATGGGTAGTATGCCAATACTCGCTAATCCCGATGAAATGATTGACGTCAAAGTCGATTGCCGGAACATGAATCCCGTGAAGGAGACACGGTTGATCCGGACACGGAGCATCCTTATCCAGCAAAGGGAACGTCTGACGAAGACACTCATCAAACTTGCCCGTACCCAGCAGGTAGGTTCCCGCCTCGTTTCCGGATGCCGATTTTCCGTCCAGTGTAGTCCGCAGACCATTGGGCAAGCAAGGATCCGGTAGCTCCTGAGGCTCTCCGACAGCCGCAGACTTCATCGCTGCAATAAAGCGCCGCCGGGCTTCGTTGACGCCATACTCCAGCCACGAGGTGATGAAAACACGGTGTTCTTGCACCGAGCCGTCGATGTTGCGGAGCCGCAGGAGCGTGAGGTCATTCGCGTGCTTTTCCGTTTCGGTTGAATTGGGTGCGAACGCAATCTGAGACGACGCGCCGCCCATATCCAAAAAGCCGTACGTGTGATGTCCCTTCCCATGGTCATGTTTTTCTGGCTTGTCGAAGACGTCCATAAGGTAGTTGGTCGCGATCCATCCATAGAGTCCCTCGGTCACACCCGGAATAACTTGGATGTGAACCCCACAATCGGGGAGCAGGAAATCGGTGTTTGCTCGGGCATAGGCGCAAACCTGGTCGAGGAGGAGCTGACGTTCCAGGTTGCCCAGTAGTCGCATACCGGCAGTGGCGAGAAGAAAGATCGGGGTATCCTTGGCGTCATCTTCGGGAATAATGCTCTTTGCGTGGTCGAGAAGTTCCGCTAGGTGATCGGGACCAACCGATTCGGGTTTGTCGGCGAACGTTGAAACACCTTTGTCGCCGAGAGCGGGTCAGTTAGTTGGCTCATCACTCGGGCGCGATCGGTGCTCACCAGGCCGTATTTTCTTCGTCCAGTCCTCCTTGGTCTTGATCTCCGGCAGCGTTTTCAGGTCGTCCACATCAGCTTCTTTGCGCGCAAAGCCGTTTCGCAGCCACCGGTAAACATGTACGCGAGTCCCCTATGGTAGTCAGTAAATGGGGACACATAAGAAGTTTCGAGTTGACTTACAGACGAGCCTGCGTCCAGGACCACACCATAACGCCCTAATCAGCCAGCGAGTCAGTCTGGCTGCCAGCAACCGAAGTGAGACACCAACGTACATTTGCCCATTTGGACTCAATTTGACTATCTGCAGAGCATGACCCGCGATAAATTGGCAACGAATGGAAGTGGAACAGAAGTTGTTCCTAGGAGAAAATCCGGGGCAGAAGCGGGTGTTCGAGGGGTAAACGAGTGACGAGAGAGCGAAGAGAAGCCAAGAGACGAAGAAAAGATAAGGGAGTCTGGCAACGGGGGGGGGGGGCGACGCGACGCTAACGGGATTACAAGACAGTACAGGGGGCCGCCTGAGTCGCCAGTACTGGAAGAAGTCCAAGGCTAGCCGGAAACAGCTAGGTGCTGTATTTAATACCTGGTGTAACAAGTGTAAATTTCACCCCCGTTTTCCCTTCTGTTCGCAAATTCGCATCGAGCCTCCTCCTTTTCGCTCCTTTTTTTCCCCTTTTCCCTTTCCCCTTTTCCCTTTTCCTTTTTCCTTTTTCCTTATTTTCTTTTCTGACTTGATCGCCATGTCTCACTCAGTAGTCACTCGATCCAGACTCAATTCTGCAATGCCTACACCTGCTTCTAGGTCTAGATGTTGCCCGATGGGGCTGTTATTGATTATGCCCCCAAGTACTTTTTGACAGCCGTGCGTCCCGGGGATGGGTCTCCACTGTGGGAGATTATGATTACGGGAGGTTTCTACAGTCATCATGATTCCTTCCCTAACCCCAGAGGATTTTCAGGGTCCAGGAAGGGCGGAGGTTTGTTCCAAGGTGTCGTCATCACGGAATGTACTCGCGCACTACATCTTGAAATCACAATGATTTCTACGCGTGGTCACGTTGCCCTTTCACAGAGACGCGCCAAGACTTACAGGGTTTAGGAGGCTCGGTGGTGCCCAAGGGTATACGTCAGCTCATTTAAATTTATCTCCCGACAGGGGCCCATCCTAGGTGATGCTGAGTGACCATTATCAGTGGCTGGCCTCTGCTCTGCCTCTATAGTTTACAACTACTAAGGAGGATCCCTAGAATAAGATAGTCTATGTCAAGAATATACTAGAGGGAGAGAAAGACAATCAACTCCACCTAGTGTATATATGCATGGCCCGGGTTCATGCAGGACGCTTCGTCATCGCCAAGATCCAGGGTCCTTGACTTGACCCTACTTTTCTAGTCTCATTATGTACATCTCTTGATCATTGGCTCCTTGAAGTGTCATGCATACACTCTATCGCATCATGCGTGGAGATCAATCCCTAGACCCCTATTTCCAAGCGCAAGTGATGAGGTCCTATTCGATATACAATCAAGGCGAGTAACTGCTGCCTTCGGAACGCGTAACTACACGTCAAAGATCAGCGCTAGGTAAAGCATCATGCACACAGCAAACGTATATTAAGTAACCCTCGACCAATCATTTTCCTACTAAACTTCTAATACCACCAGTCACGCTATTATATTTAGCAAGTGACTCCGCAAAAGATGCCAGCGACCAAGGCCTACCCTCCTCAATATACAACCATCGGTTAATATTCCCAATTTACCAGAAAACGGTTGCCTAGCTACGTTATACAGCCTGCTGAAAGGCAATTTACTTCTATGTCTCTATTGTGTAAATCCTCTATCAACCCTAAATATCAAAACTGTCTAGGGTCTAGGGTTTTGAATAGCTATGACCGGACCTACTCAGTTCGATCCAATGCGATTTCTCGGGTATAAGTACTCACATCCAAGAATACGTTGTTCTATAATCCTTAACAGTACACGATATTCACAATTGATATCCCGAGTCTTACAAACAAGCTTAACCGAGGACCGGATCCTTTTATCCAAGGTTTCCCCCAAACGCCTGACCTCTCCTCCCTATCACCCCCTTCCCCTGAGTCCTTCTAGTCTTTGTAGAACTTTTCCTAGTAGTCAGCAAAAAGGTTCCAGGTTACCTCGAGCGATCAGAGATTCGATATAACTCACAAAGACCCTTTCTCTTCGAGCCTGAACGAGGCCCATCCCGTCTCATTCACACACATACCAGGAGCCTGGGTCACGACCTTGGCTGCAGTACCAAATGTGCAATCACTGTGTCCCAGAATGGCAATTTCTTCGCCTTCACCGGGACTGGCGAGAAAAGAGTGGTAGGAGCGAAGCTGGTGGCAGTCATAGTCCTTGTATCCATCCGAGCTACTCTCGCCTGAACAGTCGTAGCTGTCGAAGTATTGAATTGTTCCTATGGCAGAAACAGATACAATGAGGGCTAGGATGGAAGTAAGTTGGAAATGCATGTTTGGTAATTGATGGTAGAAAGATGGATAAAAAGAGATGAAGTGGGCAGAAGCAAGATTTATCTGCAGGATAGTGACTTCGTATTTATATCCTAAGAAGCTCATGGCCAGCAAGTTCAGCGGGGACCTTTCAATAAATTAAGCGCGTATAGCCCAAAGTGCTAGTTCTTGGCACCCCAGTCATATATATATAGTCTTGCCCCGTGCGTGGCTTTGCCCTCGCGGAGACCCACACCCGTCAGCCTCAATGCGTATATACTACCTGGATCCAAGTCATACGCTGCTGGTACGCGGCCCTATATATAACCTAGTCTGGACCTTAATGAGGGACCAAATATAGGAACTACTCATAAATTTCAGGCAACGATTTGTGGTTATTTGTCTGTTCATCGCAACCGCTGAATTCCTGAAAAGTCGCGATTTATGTAAATTGGCCATAACGAACCAAGTTGATTCTTACGACCCAAGGTTCCTTGGAAATTACATACAAAAACTACATAATCACTTGAATGATAATAAGCTGGAGCGATATGATATAGTAGATCCCGCTGTTCAGCGGATTAATTTAGCTCTCTAGAAAGTACACTTCGGGCTATTGTCTCGCGATCCAAGGGTTCCACCTTAATTTCTTGTCATAGCATTCCGGCGTCCAGGAAATATCGAGCGACATCCCAGGTATCTTGCCCTTGGAAGTCTCAATGGCTTCAAAGTAGTCCTTGTAGAGTCGATAGATCAATAATGATGTTTGCAAAGTATGCTCGACAGCAGAGATGTATATACAAGCGGGTGAATATAGAAGACAAGTCAAACAAGTTGAGGGTATTATAAGACATCCATGGGACAACCAGAACGGCTGGATAAGCTCATCCGATGATTAGGGAAGATCAGTAACAAGAACGAAAGCTGTAGCGTATTGATTCCCTATACAAACCACCAAGAAGATGAGATACTAAAGCTTAGAGTCCGTCCCAATTTCCTTCCGGCGCATTTGCCGCGAGGAGACATCGCCGGGTGCTGGAACTGCAGCGTTAAAGAACAGTTGTCGTCCCACAGCGTCAGACATTGTAAGAACACGCGAGGAAACAGTGGCGCCGTCTCGACGGTTTTTGCTGTTCAAAAGTCAGTGCTTTGGTCCATCGCAAGTATATCTTAGGTAAAAAAAGACCTACCCCTCACGGCGGGACTGCGCAATCAGTTCGGTGAAGTCCCACAGTCGTCCACTATCCAACACCATGCCTGTCGTATGATGACGCTGAGGTGTCCATTCAGGAGCAAGTCGGAGAGACGGCCCAGCCCGTGACTCTCTGCTCTTCGCGACAAGTATAATGCCTTCTTCTTCAAACCGCTGGTAAGAGTTCCTAAGAGTCTCTTTGTTGACAGCTTCGAAGTAGGAAAGATCTCCTTGGTGGTATAGCGTTTTGCCCAACTACAAAAAGGTCAGAATTGGGTTCTGATGGATGAGCAGAACAAAAGAAAGTAAAAACTTACTAACTGTGCACTGTCCTGGGCTTTCTTCATATCAATCCAAACATCCTTGGGACCGTTAAGGGGCGGTGTGAGCCCGAGGAGAGACACAGCCCCTAACCATGAGGCCTCGATGAACGGCCAAATCAAGAAACAGTAGAAGTCGTAGTTTTCACGACCACAGAGCCGCTCCGACTCGCTCAGCTCAACAAAGATTGGGGTGCTCGAATCGTCGCGGGCGACCTTAATCACATCGTCCTTCTCCAAACTACGCAAAGTATTGTCTAGATTGGTAGCCAAACCCTCTGGTGGAAAGATAAATTCGCCTCGGAAAAGCTGGGGTTGTTAATGGCAACCACATGAAAATCCAGAAGAGGATGCATACCTGTGAAAGGAAGGAAACCTGGTTCTTTAGGGCCTCGTATGTAATGCGTTGATTGGCAGGGCCACCACCTTGCTTAATCTTCGTATACATGGCAACAGATACCAATGCCTCCGTAATGAAGAGATGAATCAACATGTTACGGTAGAACGAGAGCTGGAAGCGATCGACCGCAAAATAGGTTGGCTCGACCAATCCTGAGATGACGCCCACAAGTTTAGGGCCAAGAACGTCAAGGGCACGATCCACCACCGATTCGGTGGGTGAGCGATAAAAGTGCGCGACCCGACCACCTTTTGCTATGACGCGCTCACAAAGCCAGTTCAATCGCCGCGTGAGCTCGCCCTTTCCAACACCGCGTCCACGTAGTGTCAAAAGCACGGTCCCCACGAGAGCGGTTGGCATCATCACAGACACGTCGTTGATTTCGGACAACACCCGGTATCCCAGAGTTCGAAGAATTCGGCCGCGTTCAGTGTAGCTGAGTTGCTTGTGGACATTAACGCTAGGGTGGTCTAACCGGGTAAGTTGCTGGTTAACAAATTCCCGGAGGCTCCATGGTTCATGGAAGCGAACGTCAACCCGGCCTAGTTGCAGGGACAAGACCGAGGACGAGGAGAGAAGGTCAGTCAAGCTTTCTTTCTGTTTAGGCTGCCCAAGCAGTTCGCTGATATAGGACCTAGACAATTGTCAGCATCGCTGCGGCAATTGGTGTCTAGTATCAGTCAGGTGGCATACTCTGTCTCAATGACCTTGTCGTACTGCGTGCTGACGGGGCAGATAATGGTATCTTCAACCCGACCTGACAGCAGACTGTCCAAGATAAAACTTAGGATGCCGAACTTCGGTGATAGAAGCTTTCCGGTGCGCGACCGACCACCCTCGATGAAACACTCAAAGTTGAATCCCTGCTGGAGAAGGGTGTCGATATAGGCCTGCACGACAGTGTTGTACAGCGGGTCGTTACCGAAACTACGTCGAATCCACATGGCACCTAGAACATTTAGTAACGAATGGGGTATGATGACTGCAACTTTGAGCTGGTCTCCACTCACCTGCATGTTGCAGAAAGGGCCCCAGCAATGGAATATTCAAGTTATCTCCAGCGACAACCACAGGAAGACCAATTCCCAAGCGATAACAAATAATTTGCAAGGACACATAATCGACATGAGATTTGTGACAAGGCAAAAACACAATAGACTGCTTCTTCTTGGCAGCTTCTGCGGCGACGGATCGAAGACGCAAAACTTCTTCGCTAGACACATGAACACCTGGGATAGACTTGTGTCAGCATCTTGTCTAAAACAGGTGACAATGGAACCAACCTTGATGGTAGGCGCGGGTCAGGAGCTGCGTGCACATGTAGTACGCGCCCCGAATGAACGTCTTGCTTTCCATCTTGCAGATCATATTGTCCATCATTGTATCGACCACCTCTCGGAGGCTGCTTTCAAGTTCATTCCTCCTTCGAGAACGCTTCTCGTCCAATGAGTGGCCTTCTTTCAATGCCAGGAGCCCATCCTTTTCCTCGACCCCGAGCCGCGAACTGGCCAGCTCTCCGACTTTGCTCTGCAGCAAAGGGCTTGATAAAATCAAGGACTTCATTCTCTCGGAAAAGCCCGAATAGAAGACTGGCTGGCCAATTACATCGTCGTATGCACGCCAGCCAGTGCCGGACATGTGTAGGCTCACTTCGCGAAGGAACTCGAGAGGATTCTCGCGAAACCGCGCCATGTGGCGCACGAGATTGCGTTCGGTGATCGGACCATCTTGAGATTCGGGACCGCCCGTAAAGCCCGACGGATGGATCGTGAGCTGTTTCCCAACGATTTCCAAGTCTGGAGCGGAGCGGTCGTCGGACATTTTGCGCTTGCGAAGGCGGGGGCAGGGTATCAGATCATCGGGGCATCATATAACGTGGATAGCATTGGAAAATTTGTAGGGAAAGAGTGAGGGAGGTCGACAGGTAGATCCACCACAAAGAGGAGAAGTGCGGGACCCGGCCATAGCTCCATTCCCAACAAACGATCCCCGGACAATCTTCACGGGTTTCCCCAGACAGCCGAGGCAAGTCAGGTGAGCTCAGGTGATCTCGAATGATGAGTAAGTAATTTTGAATGTCTATTTTGGGTCTAGCGGTTAATTGAATTACCACAATCTTACCGATAGGCCCCCACGCTGGCAGCTTGGAACCTGCATCCTGCACGAAGCTTAAGGTGAAGTCTATAAATTTGGTCTAACACCCCCCTTACCCCTTCCTTGACCTTTATGTTGTTACTTCACTCTGTCATTGGCACCTACCGCTGAGTCGTCAATAGCAATATGTCTCGTTCGATAGGCGGAATGAGATCTTTTTCCAGTACGTCTCGCGACTGTCCTACATACCTTGGTTTTCTCATGGTGCTCTTTGCAAGCTCAGCAGCTAACCCCCCATTCAGCAGCAGCCTCCTCCCTCCTGGCAGATGCCACTGCAGCATCCCAATCAATCCGTCAGCCCTCCTCCTTCCAAGTATTCCGCGATGTCCCTCAATTGCGCCAATTGCGCCGACAGCTGTTGCAAAAGGACCGGACCGTGGGGTTCGTTCCGACTATGGGCGCCCTGCATGAGGGCCACCTTTCTTTGATCCGAGAGGCCGCCCGCGAGAATACAGACATCTTCGTGAGCATCTATGTCAATCCGACCCAATTTGGCGTGACCGAGGACTTGTCAAGCTACCCCCGCACATGGGATAGCGACGTGGCCAAGCTGGAGGAGTTAAACAAGGAGCTGGCTCAAACGGAAGCCACAGCTGGTCCAGAAACTGGCAAGGGGCGCATCACGGCTATCTTTGCGCCGACGTCCAAGGTCATGTACCCGGGCCTGCCTCCCTCGTCCGAGATTGAGGGACATGGTTCGTTTGTCACCATTACCCCTCTCTCAAGCAAGCTGGAAGGTGGTTCGCGGCCGGTCTTCTTCCGAGGTGTGGCAACCGTCTGCATGAAGCTCTTCAATGCCACAACCCCGGACCGCGTCTACTTCGGCCAGAAGGATGTGCAGCAGACCGTGATCATCAAGCGGATGGTGCAGGATTTCCTTGTTGGCACGGAAGTGCGCATTGTGGACACAGCTCGTGAGGAGGACGGCCTGGCGATGAGCTCCCGGAATGTTTACCTGGGTGCTCGGCGGCGAGCTGTCGGACTCACTGTCTACAGATCACTGAAGGCCGCTGCCGACGCATACCAATCGGGTAAGACATCCCGCGCAGATATCCTGGGGGCCGCACATGGTGAAGCGCAGCGTGTCATCTCCGAACAGCAAGTTCTTTCACCCTCGGAACGGTCGCTCTTCCAAGTTGACTATATCTCCCTCGCCGACCCGGACACCTTGGATGAATTGGAGATTGTCAATCCCACAAAGGGTGGTGTCTTGAGCACTGCTTTCAAGATGGCCCCGTTGGAGGAGACGAAGCCCAACGAGGACTGTGGATTGGGCGATGGCCAAGTAGCCGTGCGCTTGATTGACAACCTCATTCTGCAACCCCGGGCGTGATCGTTGGGGATTTCGAGGTCAAAGTTGTAAATACCCCGTGGGGGCATGCAAATAGCTACGTATATAATCCGCGACGATATAGACTGGACGCTCGCGCATAGAAAGGAAAGAAGAACAAATAGAAAAAAGATATCAAATAAGGAAAGTAGGGCACTTCGGTAGGGCAGCCGGCCCGAGAAAATTTCCTGCGGGCCTTGGCGGCAGAAAAAAAATAGTCTCGACCAAAGCCATTGACACCGAGAAGCAACTAGCATCTCCAGTCTGTTCGGGGATCTGGTCATCTCATTATGGCGGACGATGGAATGCTCTTGAATTTTGCCATCGGCGACAATGTCATCAAGCCCGAAGCCAAGTTCAAGGGAGGCACATGGCGGGACCGCCTGACCGCAAAGAAGCGCTCGCAGCATCGACCCAGAGACGACGCACCTGACGGGGCCGCACGAAACGCAGCGTCGAAAAACCCGAATCACATTCAAATTCCCGCATCGCGGCCCGCCAAGCGCCAAAAGACCACAACATCTTCCGAAGGACCTCACGGCGGCGATGCACATACCCGGTCGCGATCAGCACAGCAGCCTCAGCAGTCGCAGCATTTTATCTCGTCGCTGTTCACTAGCAACCCCGAGCCTCGGAATACAGAGGAACCACCCCACACCGAAGGGGATGCAGAGGATGCCAAGCCGACGAACGCGCCGCTGATCGACGGGCTCGACACCTTTACGAATCTGGGTCTTTCGCCAAACCTGGCGGCGCATCTTCTGACGAAGTTGGAGCTGAAGGCGCCGACGGCTATTCAGAAAAGCTCGATTACGCAGCTACTCCAAGAGGAGAGCGATGCTTTTATCCAGGCTGAGACAGGGTCCGGCAAGACCCTTGCCTATCTCTTGCCGTTGGTGCAGCGCATTATGGCTCTCTCTAAAGCGACGCAAGGCCATGATCAAGACAATCAGGGCGTCCATCGGGACAGTGGCTTGTTTGCGATTGTTTTGGCCCCGACCCGAGAATTGTGCAAGCAAATATCTGTCGTTCTGGAAAACCTCCTCCGCTGTGCGCACTGGCTTGTTGCTGGGACGGTGATTGGTGGCGAGAAAAAGAAGTCGGAGAAGGCTCGGCTACGAAAAGGGTTGAATATCCTTGTGGCGACTCCGGGTCGCTTGGCGGACCATCTAGACAACACGCAAGTTCTTGATGTTAGCAATGTCCGGTGGTTGGTTTTGGACGAAGGAGACCGCTTGATGGATCTCGGATTTGAGGAGGAACTGCAGGGCATCGTCAAGAAACTCGATGCCCGACAACGACCGAGTCGCATTCCCGGTGTGCCGACCCGCAGGACGACGATATTGTGTTCTGCTACCTTGAAGATGAATGTCCAGAGGCTCGGCGAGATCAGTTTGAAGGACGCCATCCATATTAAGGCCGATCCCGCAGACGAAGATCAGACGACCATGAAAACCGAGGAAGACGCCTTCCGAGTCCCAGCGCAACTAAAACAGTCATACGCAATTGTCGCAGCCAAGCTACGTCTCGTTTCCCTTACAGCATACCTGAAACGAACCTTTATACGCAAAGGCTCTGTTATGAAGGCGATTGTCTTCATGTCATGTGCCGACTCGGTTGATTTTCATTTCGAGGTATTTACAAGCAAGCAACGCGGGGAGAAAGAAAAGGACAGCGACGAAGAAGAGGAGGAGAAAAATGAGAGAGAAAAGCTGTCACCTCATGGAACCATCGCACCCGCCAAAGCCTTCTCCAATCCATCGAACCCCATCACTCTGCACCGGCTGCACGGGTCTCTTCCGCAGCATGTGCGAACCGCTACCCTCAACTCCTTTGCGCGCGATAGTAACGCCTCGGTGCTAATTTGTACCGACGTGGCTGCACGTGGATTGGATCTGCCCAATGTCGACCTCGTCATCGAATACGATCCGGCTTTCAGCTCGGACGACCACCTGCACCGAATCGGGCGAACCGCCCGTGTGGGCCGAGACGGTCGCGCGTTGATCTTCCTCCAGCCAGGATGCGAAGAAGGCTATGTCGATATCTTGAAACGCGGCTACCGCGATGGCGGCAAAGCGCTGACCCGGACCGACGCGACCGAGATCCTCAAACGCGGGTTTGGCAGCAAAATCGGGACCGATAGCAAGAACTGGGAGGAAAAGACGACCGACTGGCAAATGGACGTGGAGCGTTGGACCCTCGACAATCCCGAATACCTTGAGATGGCACGCCGAGCCTTCCAGTCTCACATTCGAGCGTACGCTACGCACGTTGCCGCAGAGCGGAGCATGTTTAACATCAAGGAACTTCACCTGGGTCACCTTGCTAAGAGTTTTGCTCTGCGGGACCGGCCGGGTAAGATTAACGTGCCTGGTCTGCGACCCGGACAGGAAGACACGAAGAAAGACTTCAAGGCGGAGCGCAAGGGTGCGGGCAACAAGAGGAAGGCCGGCGGTGCGCAGGGCGATGTCATTCCTTCTGCGACGAATACGGACGACGCCGCGCGCAAGATGAGAGCGAAGATGAAGGAACACATGTCCGGAGCAAGCGAGTTCAATCTGGCTTGATTTATTTTGTCTCTTGTTCTGTTTCTGGGTGGTATATGGTCGATTAAAAGCATTAGCATTAGCATTTGTCTTTAGTAGATATCCCATAAAGAAATTTTTCCGTCCTTGGAGCCGGCTGCCAGCCAATGAGTTTGCTGTATTTTCTGATTCCTTTGGTGATGAATCGTCGCAAGCGAATAGTCGTGTGTTGTGCTGGGGACTTGCTCCCCACTGGTGTGTTGAGCGGTCTCTTGTGTAGATGGTTCTACGCGCCCGAGAGACGAAGATACCGGTGAGGGATCTTTCTCAATACCTCCGAATGCTACAGCATAGCATCCATCTTTGTGCCACTTCAGCACCGCAAGCTCTTTCATCGTCTTGCTTGAGTACACGCGAACCCGGCTATCCCAGCCAGCCGTCGCAAAGACCTTCCCGTCAGACCGGATACGGAGTCCTTGTTGACCGGAATGTTTAGTGTTGACAGTTTTCAGAGGCAGGTCCTCGTTGATGCTCGCCGAAGGAATAAACCCGGCCGAGCCGGGGCTTGGGATGGGATGCTTGATGAGCAGGGCATCTGCAGCCGACGAGATAAAGTATTCGTGAATAGGCGAGACGTCGATGGAAAGAACCGGCTGAGTATGGGGGCGGCTCGCGTAGAGCTTCTCCCATCTCCAGGCGGAGGTGTTATTCCAACTCTGCTCGAGGCTGGGTAATCTGAGGGGCCCGCGATGAACGAACACCATAACATGGCCGTCTTCGTAAGCAGAGGCGGCATAAAGATCGCCGGGTGTAGACACGAAAAGGCTGACAGCCATCACCATCCCTGTTTTTGTGGACGGGTCGGATGGAATGGTGCAGAGTCGTCGCTCGGAGGGTAGATGGAAGATGTCGACTCCACCCGAGTCGAGAGCGTTGGGAACTGCAAATAAAATCGATGGACGTTCGGTAGGTTGAGAACCATTCTCACAAGGCGACTCTGATTCTCGTGACTGTGATACCAAGGGATCATTATTGCCCTGGGGCGTTTCAGGTGAACAGCTTCCCGTATCGGCATGTAGAAAGGTCATGGAAAAAGCACAGAAATTGAGCGCATTGACAGGCAGAGAATGAAGTAGCCATGGCTGGCTCTTGTTGGATAGCTGTGCCGACTCGGTGACATCCACCGGGAGCGTTTTATCTAAAAAGGCCTCATCCTTGGCACGAAGCTTCCATACACATAGCTTGTGGTCACGGCCATGTCTGGTGGGGTGATGTGAGTATATGTCCATCCTACTATCGAAAATTCACTCACGTATAAATTTCTGTTACGCCAGCACCAGCCATAAGCCCCTTGACCTCAAGGACAGCACCCTCATGTGCCTTCCACACCGTCACGGGCCGTTTGGTGACGAGGTCCCAAATGACAATCCAGCCGTTGGCATCCCCCGACACCAGCCGCAGGTTGTGATTGAAGACATACAGGGCATGAATCGGGGCAGCATGTCCACGGAGGATGTACACCGGAGTCGGGGATTTCTGGGACCCGGCAATTGTTTCCATGCCGATTTTCAGAGCAGGATATTCGCAGCTCGGAAGCACAGTCGAAATGAGACACTTCGCACATCTGCCACCGGACACCGCCATCGCCAACCCAACTGAACCCACTTTATACTTGCGGTGCACATCGTCTTATATCAACATCAAACCGAAATTCTTCGTTTTTATTTTTTTTTTATTTTTTTTTCGGTCCATTGAATATCATACACAATGGATGTTTTCAGGACTGCTGAATGCTTTGGAGGCGAGGGCGAGGAATTCTGGTTTGTGTATACATCGGTCCACTACAAACAAGATGGCAAAAGCTATCGAGGGAAATCACCAAAACAGTACCCTAACAAATGCAACATGAACCACGAGCATATCTACGATCCTATCCTAATTCCAAGTGATGGTCTATTCCCACTTTTCACCCCGGGCTTCACCGAGGCACCGACATCGTCCTCCGACGCAAGCAATTGGTACATCAAACGCCCCGATGTTTGGCGGCTCTAGGATCCCGATTACCCCAACTCAATCCAAGACCACATCCTCGACGAAGCAAAGGTCTGCGAACATTTGAAGCAACACGCGCATCCCAACATCACCGAGTACCGGGGCTGCGAGGTTCGGGATGGCAAGATCACTGGCTGGTGCTTTACGCGATCAAGCTACCTTATAACGCGCACAATGGCGAAATACCGAGACTCTCTAGACCTGGTATCAAATAACCCAGGACTGAACAGCATAAATTTTCATCTATGGTCTATGGAAGTACACGAAAGTAAAAAAGAACTGTCGATCGAAGCAATGCGCAAACCAAAAGAAACCAAACCCACCGAGGGCAAATCCACCCACGGAGTCTCTCTCTCTATCCTTCTGTTTTAAAAACATAAAGCCATTTTTCTCATCTGCCCTATCTAACAGTTTCACCATTGAGAAAGGAAAATCAGGTATGGAAAATAGTCCACATAACCTTCCCATTGGCACCCGAATCAGCGCACGTCATGATGCCCAATCCACCCATCAGGCCGTTCGAACCGCAATCGTCCGCCAAGGAGTGGACAATATCTGTGACATCCGCAGTGCCAACATAGGGCATGGTTGCGCGGTTGGACCCAGTGACTTCAACACCCATCATACACGTTCCATGAGACAAGATATGGTAGCTCCCCGGGTGGTGAAGTCTCCAGTACTGATCACCCTTCCCGTCGCTGGCCTTTCCGTCGACAATTTCGTCGAGCATTGCCTTGCAGTCTTCAATCTTTGGAGATGCTTCACTGGTGTCGCACCGGCCCACGAGCTTGTCGTGCTTTTTGTTCGGCGGGTTGGACGGTCCGCATCTGTCGGTTTCGCCGTGGACTCCACTGCCTGCCGGGCCGGGTTCCCAGGTGGCTGAGAGGGGAACGGCTAGTGTTGCTGCGCTCAGGGAGAGAGCGAGGGTGGCAAGGATTGAGAACTTCATTTTTGTTTTTGTGAGGGAGGAGGGCAGTAGATGACTGAGAAAGTAGGGCTTGTTTTGGCGCAGATGTAAGCTGTGATCTAGGCACCGGATCGCGTGGAGGACATATAGAACCGAATTTCCTTTTTCTTTAGAAAGAAGAGAATGTTCGAAAAAAAAAAAGCAATCCAAGAGAGCGGCATTGAACGGCCGTCCCAGATATAAATACCCTTTCTTTCTCCCTTTCTTCTTCAATCTCATCTGGTCCTCAATATTTCCATCAGGGCACAACAGGATCCACCGTGGGCTATATCCTGAAGGATTTCACGTCACAGGGCGCAGGGTAAGATTAGGCCATGAGGGTATTGATTTAGCTTTGAAAATGCTCCATCATCATGCCTGCTGTCTAGTGCAAATAACTATATTCAATATATTTTTCTAGATTTATAATAAGTCATGGCAGGGATTTGTGTATCCATTAAACTGCTTGGGCAGTGTTTCTTTTCCCTGAATTGTGATATATAAATCATACAATATGATGATGTTGCCAAGATCGAAGGCATCTGATTCAACAAGGTCCCTCGAAGTACCTTGATAGTTAGCTACCCTGCATCGGTAAAAAAAAAAAGAAATCCTTCATATTTCTCCCAACCCAATCAAAAATTCAACACCGACCCGCTTAATCCACTGAAATCAACGCCCCGTCCAAAGCTTCGAGAGCTTTCGCGAATCTAGGTCGTAGGAACTGCCATCTTCGTGCGGCGCCCAACGGGATACCATAGAGTGGAATGGGGCCAGCGGTGGAAAAACCGTAAGAAATTTGAGAGAACTGGCAAACTATTTCTGAAGTAACTAAGGGTGACTAGGATAATAACAGATTATTTTCTGGTGTTTTTATCCAGGCATGATCAAGTATCCTGGTTTTGCTGGGGTGGTTGAAGCCTTGCAAGAATCGTCTTCGATCTGTGCTGCTTTTTTCCTCTCAATACATTCATGGATGGGACCATACGGATTAGAAATGACAAATGGAAAGAAAAGAAATGCCTCGCCCTAAGATCGAGATTATGCAATTTACACTACCTTGTATGGACAAAGTTTCTGGGCTTCTTTTCATTCAATCCCCGAGTCTGTTGAGAGGAGAAATTCTACCCATTTCGTAGACAGATTTTCAAGAAGTATTACATCAAGTATCCATCATACTGATGAAGTACATGATGCTGTGGCGCAACGTAGTAACCCTGATAGGGATGGTTTTCAGCCGAGAAGTCCCCCGTAATGAGAAGCAGGTTGTCAGTTCCTGTGGAAACTTCAGGACCTTCTGAGATTGAAGTTGCTGGGTCCGGCGCAAAGTGATTGTGCATTTGTGCTGGGGCCAAAGTATGCGGAGGCGAAAGCCCCCAGCCCCAGGTCTGCTTAAGTCCGTCTTTAACGGACCCAGATTCCCAGCGTGTTTCTGTGCTGATTTTGTCGAGCACGCCAAGAGCCTCTTCTTGCGCTTCGCGCGTGTCCAAGGATTCTGCTGCAATGGCCAGACAGCGGGTTAGGACACTCGCCACATTCCTTTTTCAGTAATCAGCTTCTAGTAGGTCTTAGTGAGACACCAGGACTCAGTTGACACATACCGATCCTTGAGTCGAGTGACGAGACCGAAGACCTCATAAGCGTTGGTGGTTTGCATATTCCGCGTCTCGCTACGGAATTCGGATTCCAGAGGGTGTGCCCGGGCCAAGAGGATACGTGCAGTGTGGTAGAGCACTCGAGCTAGGATCCCTGATGGTTTGACGAGCCTGGGAGAATCAGTTTGATGCATTCGAATTTGAGACATGAAACGCAAACTAGAACTGACCAGATCTGCGGGAACACAGATTGAGAGTTGGTCTGCCATGGATGTAGGTGGCTGAGAGGCATCATTGACCGCGGAACATTCTTGTCCCACCTATCACACCAGTCGTTATACAAACTCCACTCCTGGAATTGCTCGTGGGTACGAGAAGGCTGATCATCCAGAGTTTGTGACTGGTCCACAGAGATCCGAAAATTGGCAATTTTTGCACAGATGTACAGAATGCGATGGGACCACAGATCCTCTTCTGTCATGCCGACAGGGGCCACTTGGCTTAGATCCATGTTGACCCCCCACGTATCCGGATCCCAGGACAATGCCCATTTATGATATAGACAATCAAGCAGCTCCATGCGTATACTGATCCAGAAAATTGCACTGCCGAGGCCGGGGGTTGAGGCTGTCCAGCCACATTCTCGAATTAGCGCCCTCGAGCCCGCAATGTGGTTTGTTTGCTGTGCTGATTGCGACATGATCTCATAAACACCGAGAATAAGTGCCGTGGTTGCACATAAAACAGAGTCGCGGTTAGGGTCCTGCATAGAGACCAAAAGATCGTGGGTAGTTGCCTCGAAGAGATGTATAGCTTTGTCTTCATATGCAAGATCGACCAAAGAAAGATGTCGAGCCCCACATGCTAGAAAAGCCTTGAGCAGCATGGCCTCGTTACTGGCGTGGAGAGGAAGGATGTGCGTGAACTATTTTGGATTAGAGAGACACCAATCGCGTGGGATGAGGCAACGCACATGATTTGACTCGTCCATCGCATCCATCCAGGGACCTACTTTCTCAACAAAAGCTTGCAAAAAGATCACCTGGTCTGAATCGGTCAAGCACAGGTGGTCATCATGCTTCCTTGCCAGCTTGCGGGCGAAGTTAGAAGTCCCTTGTGGAAGCAGCTCGTCACCGGGAATCAGGTGATGCTGATGCCAGGTATCCACCCCAGCCAAGAGGTCTGGTGTCGTCGAGTGAGGTAGGTCAAAACTCAATGGGTCAAGAGAATGGGCAGCAGTTTGAAAGAGATTCGTCAAGTAATCAGGACCGATGATCTCAAAATTGTCATAATCAAGCTGTCTGGTTTTTTCAACTGGGCTCTCCGGCTGCGGGGGTGGGTATCGTTCAAATCCGCCCACATACTCGGATGCAATATGTCGCGAGTCATCTCGAAATGTCACCTGTGCCCCGTGGGGATGATCGATGATATGCGGGGGTGCGACTGTTTGAATATCGATGAAATTGAGACGCACCCCGCGCCTGCAGATTCTATCCGACTTGCGACAATTCAGACATCGCCCCAGGGTTTCATCGCACTTCAGATGCCGCTCGCGACAAGTCAAACAGCCCGTGCGAACCCTCCTCGCTTTCGTGTCGGCGATCTCAGCCGACTTTTTGCGATTGGCGGCCGAAGCCCGTTGGGAATCACTTCTGCGGCTCCTGGGGGTGGATGTCTGGGTGTCGGCACTGGGAGATTGCGACGGAGACTGGGCACCCGCTGTGAGATTCATTTCGCTCCAATGGGGCCGTGGGCAGCATTCCTCTGCTGACTTTTAGCCCCCCGCACAAGTCGATGCCAGCTCTCGAACCACTTGCGGTGTCCCGAATTCACACAGATCTTGTGGTGAGTTTAACGCCACTGCCATGTTCGCCCAAGATTGAAAGTCTCGATCTTGCATAAAAGCTCAAGTATGTTGGCTCAACTGCGGAAGGATGGTGAAGGATCTCTAGCGGGTCAAAGTCGTTGACAGGCGCAAACGCAAAAGAATGAGATGAGTCGATTGATAAATCTGGTCAGATGAAAATGTCAGACCAACCTCTTGGAAATCTATCAGACTTCACTTACCAGCCCACTGCTTCCGAACAAGATCGGAGAGGTTGAAGTCGCACGTCGCAACTTTCCCGAGATCGCGGAAAAGTGGGGCAGCGAACTACACCTCTTTCAACCGACTCTCCAATTGTCCCTCGCCTGGATTTCACCCAAGTAAGCCTGTGGATCAGAAATCTCGACTTGTGCCCCTTGCCTCTCCGCAAAATTGACTATACCGCCTTCTGGCGGCTTGGGATCGTCTTTTGGGATGAAGAGAGAATGGTCGTTCTGGGAAATGCTGCCAGTCAAAGACGACAATATCGTTCCTCGTCCCACTCGCGATAAACAACAGACGTGGTTTCGAAACTCCAGTATCTTAGCCCCCTGCCAATATGAGCTTGTGCAGAAGAAACCAAACCAAATGGTACTGCTCTCACACGCTGGTTACTATCTTCATCTTCTGCGCCATGATCAAATGCCAATTCGCATTCTGCCCGACTGACCGAGTTCCAGATCAGAAACAGTCATCAGCCCCAATTGATCAGCCTACGTGTATCGAATCCGAATGCATTCGGCTCCTCGGGTGCTGAGGATGGCAGCAGAGTACGACACCTCCATGTTGCTTTTCCCACCACCAATTCAATGATGTTCTTGATGCGTGACCCGTCTATGTTGGGTACAATCACGTCTCAGAGTTCCTACAGGTCTCATTCATATCTCTACCATCTATCTCATTGTAGGGATGCCACGCCGGAGCAATTCTCAAGATTAACCGAGGGATCGAGTGCTTCAGTTGATAAAAGCATACATTTACATTTTTATGGGCATTTTCTCCTTGCCCCTGCTATAAAATTAACGGAAGAAGTCCATACCGCCATCCAAGCATCAACACATGTAAGTCATTTTTTCGGCACTGGCCCCATATCAGTATCGCATTGACTCTTTTATGCCTTTCGCCCCAGCCGCGGTAATCGAAGTCGGAGGTGCATTGACAACATAATCCCACCCCAGAGCGCAGCCGAGAGGAAAGTCATGCGAAGTGCGGTGGCGTAAGCTCCAATAACTAGCGAGTTGTTAGCCAGGAGAGAACGACAACAGTTCCATGACTCAAGTAAGAGGCTAAAACCAACCTTGATGACGATGGACCGGATCCAACTCTGCGATAACGGAGATGGATTTGCGAACAAGGCCGATAACATGGTCTTTCTCTGCACCGGTTACCTTCCGCTCCAAGTGATAGAAGAGAGTATTTTGAAAAATCCAGCTGCTAATCGACACGCCCATCACGGAGCCTAGGTTCCGCCACAGACCCAGCGTCGTGGTGGCCACGGCCTGCTCTTCTTGGTCACTAGTAGCTAGGACCGAGACCAGCATCGATGGGAAAGAGAAGCCCTGTCCGAGACTGGAGAAAGAGACGCAGACCATAGCGACTACTTCGGGCGTACCAACGTCCATGTACGCAGCGGCCAGGCCACCGAACAGCATCAAGGCCCCGCCGATAATGATGGTGGGCTTGAGACGTTTCGACCAGGTGATCAAGAAACCAGTTGCAACACTCGATGTCGTCACGGCCACAGAGGCAGCGACGAGGCGGAGACCAGAGTCTGTGGGACTCGCCAGCTTAACGGCCTGGAAATACAGCGGGGCATTGAAGACCATCGTGTTGACCGAGATGGCGCCAAAGAAGTTCCCAAAGATCAGACTCGCGCGCGGGTTATGAGACAGCAGTTCTACGGGCATGACGGCGCGGGGGATATGGCGCTCATAGCGCACAAACACCACGGCTAAGATACACGATGTAACCAGCGAGCCGATGACCAGCGGATGCGCCCAAGGGAACACGTTGCCGCCCAGGTTCAGCCCCATAATCAGCCCAGTCACCGCCACCACCAGGATGAACGACCCTGTCAGGTCAATGCTGCGGATCAGCTGTGCGATGGTCACGGGCCCCGTCCTCTTCACCCCGAGATCGGCTGGGATTGTCCATGCGGCGCCCACGAGGTACAGTAGGATGAACGGTAGCTGCACCAGGAATGCGCCGCGCCACCCTACCTGGTCGCACAGGAGGCCTCCACACGCTAGACCCAAACAGCCGCCGATCCCCAGGCACAAGTTGAGGTAGGACTGGTAGATGCCGCGGTACTCGAGTCGCACGAGATCACTCGACACGATCTGACCCATGGAGAAAACGCCACCGGCACCCAGCCCGCACAGCGCGCGCGCAGCAATGAAGCTGCCGATACTCTGGGCCAGGCCGCACCATGCTGTGGTCAGAAAGAACATGCAGATCGAGAAGAGGTAGACAGGCTTGCGACCAAATGCGTCGGAGATGCGCCCAAACAATGGCAGAAACGCCGTCGACGTAAGAAGAAACGCGGTTGACAGCCACGACGCCGTGTTCGCGGCATGGAAATATGAAGTAATCACCGGATGGCTCGAGGCCATCAGCGTCGAGTCAAAGAACCCGATGGTATACCCGAGCATCACCCCAGCGAAGATGAACCAGAACCGTGCGGGAGAAACATTGATGAACCGCGAGGCGTAGTTCTCATCTTCGTCTGCAGTGCTGCATGCAGACCCTGCGCCGCCATGAGCCTTGCTCACAGAGCCCGCGACGGAGGGCAGTCTCTCGAGAATAGGCTCAATCTCCAGATCTTGAGGCGTCGAGCTGACTCTCGTCAGGCCGAGAAGTGCCGGTTCTTCGTCATATTCCGTTGACGACGAACCTGTCTCCACATTGTGGCTATTCAGGCTGTGGTAGTCTGCGCCTTGGGGAGATTCTTTGCGCAAAAGTGGAGTGGCCTCGGAGGGCCGAGGCTGCAATTTCCCCTCTTCGGCTGCCATACTGACGAGGGAGTGGAGTGGTATATACAAAACAAGACAAAAACAAGCGCTAAGCAGGATGACAGGAAGAAAAACAGCTAAAAAAGGAAAAGGGTATAAAGCCGAGCTTGCCAGGCCAGAGAAAGTGGCACAGACGAAACGAAAGAAGAAAATGAATGGGGGGGCTGAGAGAAATTTTTTTTATATCTTAGCACTAACGCCGGAAGTGTACCCCCCAGACCTGATAACAAGCCGCCTCACTGGCAAAGGTACGATATCCCTATTCATGTAGTCTTGAGTCGTATACTGAAGATCAACCGTGGATTATGCAGATATCTGGCGTATGCATCTCAAGAAAAAAAAAAAAACATAGTTGATGCGGGAAGCGGCAGATGCGATAAGATACGATGAGGGGAAGTGGCACTTGCTTCTTCCTTCTTCTCTTCTATACAACTCACTCCATTACTTGCGTATTTCCAAGTCTTAGACACTGCAACATAATTCTTTCATTTCTTTAAATATATCGAGTCCACACCCATATACACACATACACCATGCCCCCACTCCGCATCGCCATCCTAGAATGCGACACCCCGCCCGACACCACCAACCGCCGCTACAACGGCTATGGCGGCGTCTTCCGCAAGCTGCTGACAGCCAGCGCCAAGGCACTGAGCCAGCCGGAGCGGCTAGATCCAGACAGTGGTCTCGAGATCACGGCATGGGATATTGTGAACGGCGAGGCGTACCCGAAGTTGGAGGACATCGATGCCGTGCTGTTGACGGGATCTAGTGAGTAGCACCCATCCCAACACTGGATTTTGGTCTGTAGGATGTGAGAAAAGAGAAAAGGAAAAAAAAAATTGCTAACAGGTCTTGATGTGTCCAGAACACAACTCCTTCGACGACTCCCCATGGATCCTCCGCCTCGTCGAATTCACGCAGCAGGTCCTCGCCCAGGACCGGGTCCGGCTACTGGGAATATGCTTCGGCCACCAGATTGTGGGTCGCGCGCTGGGAGCCGGGGTCGGGCGCAGCGATCAGGGCTGGGAGGTTGCCGTCTGTGAGATGGATTTGACGGACAAGGGCAAGGAACTGTTTGGACGGGACAAGATTGTATGCATTGCGCTCTTCCTTCCTCCTTCCTATCATCTTCTTTGCTAATATATTTCTATCGCAACAGCTCATCCAACAAATGCACCGCGACATCGTCTTCACCTACCCTCCCGACGTAACGCCCCTCGGGTCGTCACCTCGCTGTGCTGTGCAGGGCATGTATGCGCCGCGCCGTTTTATTACCGTGCAGGGCCACCCTGAATTCACGGGCGATATCATGACTGAGATTATTGGGCTTCGGGCGAAACTGGGGGTCTTTGACGAGGACCAGGCGCGCGATGCGTTGGGCCGGGCGGATATTGATCACGATGGGATTGTGATTGGGACGACGTTTTTGAAGTTCCTGCTGGAGGAATAAAGGGGAGAGATCATTCCCCTTTCTTATAGTGAGGATACGAAATCCCAGGTATGATGGTCGGGGGATTGGTTGTGTTCATATACTCTAGAGCCATAGACCCGGCTTTCCTGTACATATCTAGCACCGCAAGACGTGAATAGAAGACTAAGATCTGGTTGAGCCACATTACTTGATTACTTTGAGCATGTTGATCAGGGGAATTACCGTGTAACAGATGTGCAACCCTCTGAACCCCATTAGAAGTCCAGTACTCAGCCCCGATGCAGGGGCCCGGAAACAACAAAACCAAGTATCAAGAACCATCCAGCCCGAGGGCGGATATCACATTAAATAGATCTATGCAATATTCTTCCCATGACATGCTCACTCGACCGATAAACCGCTCATGGGCCAGCAAAGAAAGAAAGAAATCAAGATATCCGAGAAGCGAACCTCGGAATCATCGCCGAGAATGCGTATCGTGACCCATCGAGGAAAAAGGATGCACCGGGCACTTTTTTCCTCTGCATGCAAGATTCGAAGCCAGAACGCCTCAACAAACCAACCGCCTGCGCCCGTCCTCGTCTAAGAAAGAACAAGGGACGGGCGATGCATTCATGACACAAAGAGAAAAGCCAAGCGCTCCATGCTAACGCCAGTACCGATGCAAGTCGACCGCTGATAAAGGATAAGGACGCGCGAGGGAAGGGGAAAAAGAAAAGAAAACAAAACAAAACAAAACAAAACAAAACAAAACAAAACAAAGATTCAGACCGGGCGCGGGCGCGAGATACGTCCGCTGCGACGGGGACCGTTCTTTCGGTCCATTTCTGAGAATTCTGAGGGTGCGATATCCGAGGCGGAGTCGGTACTTTGGCCTTTTTCGGAGTCGGATTTCATCTGGTGAACAGAACAGGTTAGTATTTTGAATTGGTGTCAAAGTTGTTGGATAGGAAACTAACCCGAAGATTGAGGGAGACCAATTCGTTGTGGTCGTCCCGGAAGGAAATGCCAACGCCCAGCGTGAGATTCGAGACAATCCGCCTCTTTGGTCGGACGCGCCGCGTCGCAGGGCGAGGGTCTTCGGAATCGTCGCTATCATCGGCTGACCGCTTGCTACCCGTGCTGAATGGGGATGATGACCGGGATGCCTGTAAACTGGGTTTGAGGGGTGGGCCCTGGACGACTTTTTTGTCGGCAGATGTATCGCTCTTCTCGTCTAGGAGAGCGGCAAAGGCGCGGTCGATATCGCCGCGGCATTTTTGCAGCATATCAACAATCGTTTCTCGGTCGTACCGGCCACCAAGTCCTTCTTGAATGGACTTGATATCCCACGGAGCGTACAGGTCGACGGCCAAACCGGCATCCTTGTCTGCGGAGCTGTCGAGGACCCGAGTCTTCTCGTCGGACGCAATGTCCCCATCTTTGGCATCTCCAAGTTTCTTCGAGGGCTCTTGAAGACGGTCGAGGTATGCCTTCTGGGTAAAAAGTCCCTTGTGGATGCCATCCATGCTCCGCACGGAGGAATAGTGCTTGAAGTCCTGTTTTGCAATCAGAGATAACCCGACAAGACCATAAAAGGACAAGTTCAAACTTACGTGAAAGGCAACATGGACCACATCTCGTGGTTGGTCCGCAGGGGCATGTACATCCCGAAATACCTGGACGCCGTCCATGGTGTAAACATTCACATCGACTTTGAACACCTGGCAGAAGGCCTGGAGATGCTCGGAGCTCCCCCATTCGCTATTCTTGCGGGTGGAAGCTACCATCTCCTCGAACCGTCGCTCTTTTTCCTCCTCCGAGGGTGCCGACACATCGGCCGAACGCGTGGCATAGGCCGAGGCGGCCGCCCGTTTGGGACGACGACGCTCACCCCCCCCTCGGCGGCAACGAATTGCATAAAGTATTGTTTGTGGTCAACCATATGATCGGCCAGCAGCTGGCGGAATTCATCGGCATGCTGGAAATCTCCGTACAATTGATCGGAGAGCGAATAGTAAAGGCAATTGCCTAAAGATGAACGCGTCAGATAAGCAGGTGCTTTCAGCAGATATGCCATGTAGATTCGGGTGACATAAGTCGAGACCGGGTATGGCACGAAAATAGAACTACAAGCTTACCGTCTCCTTCTGTTGGTAGGGCAAAGAGATCACGCTCTTTGAGGCAGGGCATCTCCAGGCTCTCGTGGTCCAGGGCCTTGCTCTGGCGAGTCATGGCCGAGAGCCCATCCCGCTGATCCTGCAGCAGATTCGCATGCTCCAGATGTTCCCCAGAGTCATTCTTCACAACAGCCGTCTCTGGGGTGGCGGGTTCGTGCTGTTGGGGGCCAGCCAGTATGGGCACGATTCTGCCACCGTGTGTGAGATGGGACATTGTGAAGGGAGAGCAAGGGCTCGACTAAAGGCCGTCATTTATAATGGAATTGAAAGCACAATCGAGGGGAGAGAATTGTTTATTGGGAGCAATCAATCAAGGGGAAAAAAAAAGAGAATAATGGGGGAAACACCGCCATTCGGGGGGCCGAGTGAACTGAAAAAGTGAAATCGCGGCGTTTGTGAGTTGCTGGCGGTGAGGCCCACAATCCCCAGCGATTGGGCCACACGTGAGGTGTTGCCCGCGATGACGCTTGCGCCCGATTCTTGAGGATTCGAGGGTGGAGCGTATATTCTGGGTTTATGACTCTTAATTCCTATTGAAGATTCATGGGGTTTACTCTGTGAGAACTGACTAGAGTAGCTCTCACTTATGAGACCAAGGTAGAGCTTCGATGTGACTGATAACATACGATCTGTGGAGCTCGATGGAGAATGCGGGACTTTACGGAGTCTCCTTGCTGGGTCCAGGAGGGGGAAGGAAGCCCAGGGTCTGGGTGTTGATGTGTTCCAGAGATTCTGAGGGATCCCTCATTTTAGACAACACAAGATCGGACTACAGGGCTATTAAAGGTGTATAGAAGTATTGTCGCATTTTGAGCCTCCAACTCGAAGCTCTGCAGAATTAGGGCATGCGGAGGTGGTTTGTTGCGTGTTTTCCTCCGCGTCTCCACCGAGAAAACTCGGGCGCGTTGGCCCCAAACAAAACAGTGATTGGTGCAGAGAGCCACACCGCCCTCTGATCAGGTCAAAATAGAAACACCAAAACAGGACCAATACGAGAATTTACGCCTAGATTACCAGGCTACCAGGCATTCAATTGTCGAGCACCCCCCGCACCCCGCTCGTCCAAAGAGCGTTGAGTCACGGCTGAAAATCCCAAGTTGACACATCGTCAATCTCGACCTGCTCCATATTCTGTCCTTGTGCCAGGGGAAATCAATATGACGAACAACATTGTGGTTCTGGGGTAACATTCGTTTCCTTCGAAATTGGAGATCCAAAGGTATTGACTGCTGTACTATAGCGCCGGTGTGTCTGGCTTGACGACGGCGTACTTGCTGTCGCAAGATCCAGCCAACAAGATCACTGTGCTCGCAAAGCACATGCCGGGAGACTATGACATTGAATATGCCTCGCCATGGGCCGGTGCCGACTACATGCCGTATGTTGCGCCGAAGACTGGCTATTCAATCATTGGATGCTGATGGATCGATTCAATGTAGTATGGGAAAAGAAGGGAGCGCCCACCAGGCCTGGGAACAGGCCACCTGGCCGGCATTGAAGGAGCTGGCCGAGAAGCACCCCGAGGCGGGTCTGCATTTTCGCGGTTGGTTCTTCTTTCCTCCCACACGGTGAGATGCTCGTCTCACACAAGATCTAGATTCTTGGATTTACAACCGCACGAAGGATCAAAAGTCCCTCGCGGGGCAATTCTTCTCGGAACTGGTGCAGCCCAATCCTTGGTATAAGGATGTCGTGCCGGATGTACGTCTGTCTTCGTTGATACATGTGTTCAATCAACTCACCATACGCCACAGTTCAAGTCCGTTCCTGCAGACCAATTGAGCCCCAGTATCCATAACGCTCAATCGTTCACCTCGGTCTGCATCAACGTTGCAGTGTACTTGCCGTGGCTGGTCGGCCAGTGTGTCAAGAATGGGGCCGTCTTCAAGAGAGCCGTGCTCAAGCACATTGCCGATGCCGCTCTGGCACACCATACTGGACAGAAAGCCGATGTAGTTGTCAACTGTACTGGTCTGTCATCCAAGTCGTTGGGCGGTGTACTCGACGACAAGCTTTATCCTGCCCGGGGTCAGATCGTGGTGGTGCGGAACGACCCGGGGCCCATGGTATCAGTGTCCGGAACCGATGATGGAGATGACGAGGTGCTGTACATCATGACTCGAGCTGCCGGTGAGATTACTTCCTAATGACCCTGACCCTAGGGAACGCCATCTACGGTGCTAGTTGTCCGGCTAACTCTTCTTAGGTGGTGGTACTATTCTCGGAGGCTCATACCAGAAGCACAACTGGGACTCTTTGCCGGACCCTAATCTCGCCAACCGGATCATGAAACGGGCAATTGCGTTTAGTCCCCAGCTTGTGGGAAAGGGACAGGGAATTGAAGGACTAGACATTATTCGACACAGTGTTGGCTTGCGGCCTCTGAGAGATGGCGGCCCTCGCATCGAGAAGGATAAAGTGAACGGTGTATCCGTGGTCCATAACTACGGCCATGGAGGGTTCGGGTATCAGGCGTCGTATGGTTGCGCCGAGTCCACCGTTTCCTTGGTCAAAGAGGTCCTAGAGAACAAGTCTCGAGCCAAGCTGTGAGTCGGGTTGTAGATAAGAACAATTCAATTAATCCAAGATGTCGCTTATTTGTCGATAGTTGAATCCCACTGAATCCCATAGCGTGTCGACAACAACGAGGACCCCGCAAACAAACAAGATGAATTGCAAGCAGCGAGGAAAATCGAAGCCCAAAGCAAGTCGGCATGGGGGAAGGTTGGTTTACGGAGTCTCACGTGTCTCGCTGATTCAGCATCTTGGCAGACCCGCAGCTTGCGACAGCGCAGCTCTCATTTCCGCTGTCTTGCCCCTGCCCACTATTCTTTGTTATCCTCGCAAGTTTGTGGTCATTGCACATGTGGTCTGCGCTGGCTCACTTTATACTTGTGACTTGATTAATTCGTGATTCCTTTGGACGTTCGAACCCAACCAACTCAGGTATGACTTCTTACCTCCCAATTCTACAGAAACCACTTGTCGCCTCTCTGGCCGCCCTCGATCGGGTAACCTTTTGTTTGTACATCTGGTGCTAACATCAGATTCTTTCAGGTATGAAACAACGAATTCATCGAATCACCCGTGACCCCCCATCGTTGTTGCCTAGCGACTCGGAGACCACTATTCAACTATTCATTAACTATTCATCGGAACTTCAGATCTAACCATATACCCAGACTATTAGGTTTCCTCTCGAGAATACAGTCAAAATGGACTACTCTAACATCTTGTACGTGGAACCTACCCTGCGCGCCATGTCTCATGTCTTGCGCCGGTCTCAGTACTGACGACTTACAGTCGGCTCGTCAACATCGCGGTGGGTGTGATCATGGTGCTGGGTGGAATCAGCCAGTTCTTCCCTCCATCCATGAGCTCCGTTATTGTTGGCGCATACGTGATCGTCTTCGGTCTCGGTAAGTCACGCGACAGTATCCGGCAAGACATGCACTCACTTGTGTACCAGTTGTCGCCGGCTTGGAGTTTCTCCCCCACGTTCCCGACTACGCCTACCGCTATGCGTCGTTCCTCTTCTCCTTCCTGGGCCGTGGTATCTGTAAGTCACGCCCCCTCCCCTCTCTCTCTCTACATGGAGGGCCTTTCGGTTGCTTCGATGCTAACCCGCCCAGTCTACATCTTTGTTGGCTCCATCCTGCTCCATGACTTTGTCCTGCGTGAGATTGCTGCCTCGATCGTCGGTTTGGTTGGTGTTGGATACCTGGCCCTCGAGTTCATCCCGTCGATCGAGCCTCCCTCCAACATGCGCGAGTCCGACCAGGGCTGGGGCGCCGAGCAGGTCTAAACACTCAAAAGACCTACGCAAATCGAGGTGGTATGGGCATTTGGCAAGAGATAGTCGCACATAGGTGCCCCATGCTGCCATTGCCAGTGGCGCATAGAAAGCATCTGGTTGCGAAATGCGATATACGAAACATGATGGGCTGCCATGGTCAATTCGATGAAATGTGCAGGCATCCCGTGGCAGGGAGAGAAGGAAGGCGAATTTGCTGGTTATTCCACAGGATTGATACCTAAGCTGGAGACGTGTTGGACGAAAGATGTGTACTATATCTGGAAGATAATGTCTGGCATAATGCTTATATGTACCCTGAGAGTACTTAATGAGTACCCGCCATGTCCCCGGTCAATGCACGGATTGATCTGCACAGGGTCCGGCACTAGAATGTACCTTCCGAGTCACTGGAAAGTACAGCGTGGTCACAGTGCAACTGCCGGGTGGAGATCTCCGACCAATCAGGTGCCACTGATTGCTGCTGACAATCATCCCAGCCAATCAGCGCCCGACCAAAGAGGCTTGCCGGCGAGCCACTCCAACCGCGCCTCTCTTGGGAAGGAGCGAGTCCACGGAGTCCGCCCGCCTAAACTTCATCAGGCAAACGGTGGAGCCCGGTGATGCGATCCGGGGGAAGAGAAGCGTCAAAGATGACCAGAGATTTTTGGTGGATTTCCCAGAAATATTAGAAATCCAAAGAAAGAAAAAGAGAGAGAGAGAAAAAAAAAGAAAAGACAGGCCGGATTTCTCAGAGAAATCAGTTTAGATTGATACGTCGATCGCCCCTTAGATCGATAAACCCAAAACCGAATCCCTTTTTTCGTGATAAGCCTCGGGGCCTGGATTCTCGGGCCCTTCTTCGCTTTCTCTCTGACTCGCTTTCTCTTGCATTCTTCCTCATCTATTCTCTCTTCCCTTCTCTTCCGCTCTCAAGACTGTCTTCTCCCTCGCCCTCTTCCTCCTCTCCTCTCCTCTCAATCTACCCTCTCCACCCTCTTCCTAACGCAGTGAGATCTCCATCGTGCATCACTCTAACCTCGCCCACCAATCCCTGTCTCGTCCCATCAACTGCGTCTTCTTGTCCCCCGAAAGACACCCCACAATCTCGCTCGCTAGCTCACACTGGCGTGTGTCGGTGCTGTCAGCTGTCGCAATCATCACCTGACCGTCCCAGCCCGTTGGGTCGCCACTCTCTTGATATCTCGTCGACAGTAATCCTTGCGTGGCGGATCCCTCGGTGACAGTATCAGGGGTGGTTCTGCCTCGACTGTTCGTCCTGCACTTCTACGACTTCTCTCCTCTCCTTAGATCCGCCCCCACAGTCCTATCGATACTTTAGTCTTCCAGGTGGGCTGCAGTCGCTTGCTTAGGCTTCGATCGATATTGCAAGAGTCAGCTTGACCGACATTTGGCTCTGGCGTGATACGGTGCATTCTGCTCTCGACTGCGGTGCGACATTACCCTCACGTCGATCCAGGATTACCCGTCTCTCCTCGCTTCCGCCGTTTCGTTCCTGAAGTCTGGCCACCTCTCCAACCGACTTTCAATCTTCCGCTTTTTCTTTCCGTTTTCTCTTCTCCCTTCCCGGTGTCTTCTGATCAGAGCACGGCCGCCGCAATCCCGGCCTGAAGAAGGGGTGGTAATGTTAGCGTCCATTTCCCAAATGGAAACGGCGCGCTCTTTTCCTGCTCCCAACGGGCCCATGCGACACCCCTCCGCGGAGGATCTGGACGCTGCGCAGCAGTTGATCTCGTCTGCGCAGGCGGGTCGCGAACACCTGGCCGATCACCTCCGAGAGGATCCGGGAATGAAGGCATCGAGCGATGTCCCGGGACGTGTTCCGGGTGCGAGCCCAGATCGATGGGTGGATGGACGCGCCGGTGGAACCCCGGTCGATAAGACATCCCCCAGGTCTCAGAAAGATACTTCCTTCTTGGGGCACTCTTGCAGGTAAGCTTTCTTGCTTGTTTCCCATCTCAGTTTTGGTGCTGACTCGATACTTGTTAGCAATTGCGGGACGAAAAGCACTCCACTCTGGCGTCGGTCCCCGACAGGGGCGATGATCTGCAATGCCTGTGGGCTTTATCTCAAGGCTCGAAATGTCGCTCGTCCGACCAAACGAAATCGTTCGCAACAAGGTCTTGAGGGCCCCGAGAGGTTGAATTCTCCCTCGGCCTCTCCCCACGAACCAGCCCTCAAGTCACCGGGAGGTTGTTCAAAGGGCTCTTGTCCCGGTGGTGGAAGTTGCAATGGGACTGGTGGAGCAGAAGGCTGTGATGGGTGTCCGGCTTACAACAACCGCATTTACAAGTCTGCGCCTCGGGGAACAACGGCAATCCAATCGTCCTGGGGCCGGGCTCCCGCCCAGCCCGCTGATCAACCCCCCGTGGCACCAGAACCGGAGATGCCATCAAAAAATGCTCCTTCGAACGACGGGAGCAATACACTAGTCGCGTGTCAGAACTGTGGAACTACGGTCACACCGCTGTGGCGACGGGACGAGCATGGGCATCCCATCTGCAACGCCTGCGGTAGGTTTTCATCTCAGCGTGCACGTTGAGGGAAGGAATTTGTGAAGCTGACAAATAAGCAGGTCTCTACTATAAGCTCCACGGGTGCTATCGACCAACTACGATGAAGAAGTCGATCATCAAGCGACGAAAGCGAGTTGTGCCAGCCTTGCGAGATCAATCTCCCACTGCCGCTACCCACTCGTCCAACGGCTCATCTGCATCGCCTGAGGCTTCTCCCGCTGCCTTGGCCCACGGGCACGAGGATCACTACCGATACATGAGTAACGAGCCGATGGAACATTATCATATGATGCCTGGGAAGGGAGCAGCCGAAGACGCACCACGGCCCATGACTTTCGCGCCGCCCCCCGTCGACTTCACCGGCTACAATGCCGGCCCTGCCTTTCCACACCACCAGTTACCAAAGTTGATGGAGCCTGAACGTCTGGGACCTTCGCCTGTGTCTCAATATGGACGGCGTTCTGTGTCTCCGAATACCCTTGGGTTACCCAAAAAGCGAACACTCGCCGAGACGGCAGCTGTGGCTCTGCCGGTTCCCACCACGCTTGAAACGGGGTCAAATCAGTTGCCCCCTATCATGTCCTCGGCTAACCCGTCGCCTCCGGGCCGTCTGACTTCAATTTCCTCCCTTCTGAACCATGCAGACAGTCGCGACGACTCTCGAGTTGATTCTTCACTTATGGGTCGACCGCAGCCGTTTCATCATTCCGCTTCCCCCGTGGCCCACCCACCACAGTCCCTGCCCAGTCTAGCCTCCCTAGAAGACCAGTCAGCAGATCGACGTGCTAGACTCCAACGCGAGGCCGAAGCCATGCGTGAGGCGTTGAGGGCCAAGGAGCGAGAACTGGCGGCTATGGGACGATAAATCGAGTATACACCCAAGCTGTGACGAACTTAATGAGGTCTGGTGTTAATTTTTTAGGGCGGTTGTTCCCTTGAGATACACGGCGCAAGTACTCGGTGACTGTGCGAGATACCACCTTGTGTGCTGGGGAATGGGTCCCTGGTTGTGCGATTATGAAGACAAAAAAAGTTACCTTGAGATGAATGTATTCTTAAACACCTAAACTAATTGGATTTCTCTCACTATAAATTTTTTTTTTTTTTTGTTCATCACCGCGGCCCGACCCGAGGAAAAGACGATGTCATGATGACTGAGGAGTCAGCGGCCCCGGAGCAGCAAGCTTGACTCCTCGCATTCGGGTACAGACTACTTGCAAATCACCATCTGGTCCATTGTGGTATTATTCTCTGTCCGCCATGGCAGCCAGGTCCTTCACCCTGAGCTTCGTGGGCGACGTCATGCTGGGCCGTCTCGTCGACCAGCTCCTCCCCCAGCACGTCGAGAACTGGCACGAGCACCACGTCGCCTCGCACTTCGTTGAGCGGCACCCCTCCCTGCTCGGAAAGGGCAATTACACTGCATCGTCGCCCTGGGGCACCGCCCTGCCGCTGCTCCGCGACTCAGACCTCACGCTGATCAACCTCGAGACCGCCGCTACAACCACCAACGATCCCTGGCCGCACAAGGCTTTCAACTACCGCATGCACCCGGCTAATATTGCGCCCGTGCTGCATGCCGTGGGTGTCGACTACGCGGGTCTCGCTAATAACCATGTCCTAGACTTTGGCACCGAGGGCCTCGTCGAGACTGTGTGGGCTCTCAAAGCGGCTCGCGTTGCTTTCGCCGGTGCCGGCGAGACGACCGACGAGGCTCGCAGACCTGCTGTCCTCCAGCTACCTCGTCAAGAGCCGGGCCGTCATGCCCCATCTCAGAGCCCACTGCCCTATCCCGTACACGTCTACTCGGCCTCCGACCACCCGCGCGACTGGGGCCCCGTGCCAACCTTCCACCTCCTCGACTACTCGCCCGCAACGCGAGTGCGGCTGCGCACGCTACTACTCTCCGGCGGGCCGCGCGCCCACCCAGTCGACACAGACGAGCATTTCAGTCCATCCCCCTCCGAACCAGACGGCGATTCCGAGCCACATCACCATCACCCTCGGCATAGCTTCCATCACCACCATACCCGCCGCACCTCCTCGACACTCCCCGCGCCAGCACTCAAAATCTTCTCTGTGCACTGGGGCCCCAACTACTCTTGGCACCCCTCAGATCGCATCCGCTCGCTCGCCCACTTCCTGATCGACGAGTGCGATGTCGATATCGTGCATGGTCACTCGTCGCACCATGTACAGGGCGTCGAGCGGTACCATGGGAAACTGATTATCTATGGCTGCGGCGACTTTGTTGATGATTATGCGCTGCATGAGGATTATCGGAATGACCTCGGTGCTGTGTGGAGGGTTGTTGTGAAGGAGCGGGATGAGGGCGTGCAGTCTTCTCCTTCTCGGGATGGAATAGAAAGAGGAAGTAGAGGTCTTTTGTTGGATCGGCTTGAGATCTTTCCTACGCGCATTGATCGGTTCCGGGCCACGCTGCTGGATGTCGATGATGAGGATCATGTCTGGGTGAGGAAGAAGATTGCGGCGTTGAGTCGGGAGTTGGGGACGGGAGCGAGGAAGGAGTTGGGGGGCCAGGGGCAGGTTGTTGTTGATCTAGGCGAGGGTTCGTAGACTTGATGGGATAGTTTATTGATTCATTTAAGGAAGTTATGAAAAGTATAGAACAGAAAGGTGATTCTGAGTTTTCCGGATATACTCTGGATATTCTACACTCAGCCCTGATCACAACGGTGTATTCACCGGGCACTTCTCCTGGGCTACATGAACAAGCTCAGCATCTAGTAGAGACAAAAGAGTCTTGTTGGTCCCTTTGAGAATCCACGAGATATCATGAGCAAGCGCAATATGCACACCGAGATCCTGCTCCATGATACGCATCCGCGCAATGGTGTCTTTGGCTGCAGACACGTCCATGTGAAGACATCCGGGCGTACCATCCGCCAAAGTGAATTCAGCGAAATCTTCAGTTCCGTCGAAGAGGGGACTAGACATTCTCATAGTTAGCATGTCGGCATATCAGCAACAACATAGAAAGACTCACCGAGAATGACAACAATCTGACCCTAACAAAACCCAATTCCCATCCTCAATCCTCACACACGCACCGAGATTCCCCGGCATATGTCCCGGTGCATGGATAATCCAGAAACTACCATCCCCAAAGAAATCCATGGCCCTCTCAAACGGCCCGAAGGACACCCATGGCCCACGTAATGTCTCCCAGCGCTCTGTTGCCCGCTCAGGGTCGAAGAACCGGCCGTCCCACTGGGTGTCTGGGTTCTTAAAGTGGCCTGGGCTGCAGAAGTCGCTTGTGCCGGAACCAAAGTAGCCCGTGGCGTTTGGGAAGATGTTGCGGATTGGGTGGCAGTGGTCGAAATGGGCGTGGCTGCATTGTCTACATTAGCATTTGGGTTTACTGTCATATATCCATGGAATTGTACGGATCGATCAATTCAAAGGGTTATTAACAAACCTGAAAATCACTGTGTCGATCTTGTCTGCTGTGATGCCATGTCGGCGCTCGATTTGCTGTGGTATGGTTTCTCGAGGGGCGGTGACTTGCACGGCGTCCCAGAGGCGGTTGGCTATAAAGGGGGGATACTCGTCTCTATCCTGTTGTTTGGTTAGTCGACAACAGTGTACTCGACATGACTAGTTCAGTGTGGTGTTATGTCACCGCTGCCATTCCAAGATCCCAGACGACGTGTCGGTCTGTCTTTTCATGGTGGATATAAAACGCCCAGTTATACAGCCGAAATGGCTCTGGCGGCGACCCTGCGTGTAACATGGACATGAGGCCTGTCATGCTGCCCCCGTCCAGCAGGGAGAGCCTGACATGGGCATCGGTACTGGGGAGCGGTGGAGTCATTGTTGAGTTCTTGTAGTTGATCTGGCAAAACGTGGAGATCAAATTCAAGGCAAAGATCGAGATCGACTCGGCCCCACCAACCTCCGCTCATATGACGGAGACAGTCAGCTTTAAGATGCGGAGATCCGTGCTCCTACTTGTTCAGCCCTACAATGGGCCAATTTCGAACCAGTCTAGCTGACAATACCCTAAGCAAAAGAAAAGACCAAAAAATTACAATTCACAATCCAAGACAACTCTATATACTTTTGCAGCTCTATGATCTCATGTTACATGCTCCTTTTCTTCCTCCTTGGGGATCCGCACCCAAATCACCGTCACCAACGCCGCAGCCAGCTGCGTCCCAAACGCGAACCACCAAATCGCCCGCAGCCCATCGAGCCCGATCTCCCCAGACGGGCCCCGATCAACACGAGTCCCAATCGCATCCGCCACACTAGTCATAATAGCAGAGGAAAGGTTCTGGTTCGTAACCAGCAGGCTCGCCGCACTGCCCTGGTAAGAGCGAGAGACATTGCTCGTAATAAAGATCGACGCCGCAGCGAACGCCAAATCCGGACCGAACGTCACCAGCGCCACGCCGGGGAACGAAAGCGCCCAGTAAATGGTGTTGGGGGTCTGGGGGATGAAGAAGACAGGGCCGAGCGTGAACGCGAACATAGACGCGGCGTAGATATAGTGGCCCGGGAGAATATGCAGCGTACGGCTGACAACCCACGTGGCTAGGACGCCCACGAGCGCGTTCGGGATGTGATAGAGCGCCACGGCGATGGGCGTCGCGTGCTGGATGCGCAGCCAGAACTGGATCGCGTAGAACTGCCATGCGCCGAAGAACGACCCGAACCCGAGGAAGTACGCGACCATCAGCGGCGTGAAGCCTGGTGTGCGCCACAGCCGGTTCGGGATGAGAGGGCGCACGGCAGCTCGTTCGGCGAAGAAGAGCCCCGCGAGTAAGACGAAGCCCACGATGATAAGCGCGTAGGTATAGGGAGACCATGATGCAACGGGGCCTTGGGTCAGCCCGAAGAGTAGACAGACACAGCCTCCGGCGGCGCAGAATCCTCCGATATAATCAAACTGGCGGAGCGTCGGCGCTTCGGTGCCGGCGACATCGGCGACTGGACGGAGGGGCGGGATGCTGAAGTAGGCGGCTACACAGCAAAGAGCACAGATCATGGCATTTGACCCGAAAATCCATGGTAGGTGTGCATAGAGCGCGCCCCCTTGCAGGGCTCCCAGTGAGAACCCGAATGGAGCAGTCGCCGCCATAGCCGAGAAGACTCGGTTTTTGCGAATGCCCGGCGTGTAGACCCGGCCGAGGATACTCATGCTGCCTGAGACCAACACGCCAATTGCCAGTCCCTGCATTGCGCGCACGACGAAGAACAGGATATACCGTGATGGGTGTAGCGAGAAAGCCCCGACGACGTTCCAGACAGCCAGCCATGCAAAGGCGCCGACCATCAGGAGTTTCGGAGGCATAAGGTCAGTGAGAGAGCCGGAGATGACCACCGAGAGACCATTCGCCGTGTTGAACGCACCCACGATCCAGGGCAGCTGGGTGTTAGTGATACCGAGCGCTTCCTTCATCTGCTCCTGCGGAGCCAGCATGTCACCGAGAAGGAACGAAAACAACATCAGACCAGCCGAGCAGACCATAATCAGGACAATCTCGGCGGGGAAGCTACTGATCTCGGGTGGGATGCCCTGCTTCGCGCGTTTCGGGGATGTCGGCTCACCGGGTACATCCCGAACACGAGATACCGAGGGTTTTCGGTTGGTCAGATGACGACGGCCGACGGAATCCAGCTCGTAGCCATTGTCCGCGTCGCCGAGGTGTGAGATGGTCTGTGACAGATTCTGCAGTGCCTGCTTGTCGACGACCGTCTTCTTGCCCAGCAGTGGATCCGGCGTTTGCGCGCCAGTCACCGGGGTCGAGTAGGTCCTCGTGTTGGTGAAGGACGACCGCCCGGAAACCGGGGCTGAGTCCCAGGGTCCGGGAGAAGACTCTTGTCCCGGTGCGCTGGAGTTACTTAGGGCTGGACCATTGCTGCCAGACGGAGGGTCGAGTGGGGGACGCTCCGCGCCCGCATGTGGTTGCTCAAAGGGCATGCTCAAGGCCTATTGCGAGCACCTGCAAAAAGACCAGAGAAAACGGTGCGATCAGGTGTGTCTAGGAATGGAAGCACCTTTTAACAAAAGCTCCTTGCCCCAGAAGACGGAATAGAAAAGACCCCATGGTGTGGCGAAAAGGATTGAAATATTTGTTGATGATCTAAGGCAGAGTGGATTTAGTGGAGCAGGTCCCGTTTATCAGACATCCTCCCCCCAAACTAGGTGTGATAAAAGCAACTCACACCGCAGTGGTGATCCTGCCTGCATTGCAATATTCGAAATCTGGCCAAGCTCAAAATGGCTCGTAGATCCCCTTGCGGCCCTTGCGGAAGCTTGCGTGTAAAGTTGACTTGGTGGGACCCGTCGATCTGGGGGGGAGAAAGAAAGCAAGACAGCAGTTATGTCGGCCCTGACGATTCCTACCGGACGGGGGTGAGTTGATCTAGGGATGCATACTTGCGACATCACGCTGAGCCCCTCAGACTATTCCCGCTAGTCTCATGGAAATTCTTTGTACATCATATGAACTGGCCCGCGAGCATGGGAAATCACAATTCAAGGGTATATGAAACAGTAGAACAAGGACTCCATAATAATCGCAGGGAATACTGGCCACCCCGAGTCATTGTAAACCCACCAGCTTCCCGTCCCTGATCGACGAAGATTGCTTGAATAGTTTCGCTGGTCGAAGCAGGGCCCAATCGGAGATCCGGGATCGTTGGTTCTCGTGGCGGAAGTCGGTTTCCGAGTGCGAAAGTCGGCTTCAACGGGATCCCGCATCACCAGGGGTTTTTGCGACAACCCGAGGATTCCGAGGTTGAAGTCCAATATGATTTGTGCTTGTCGATTCTCCTGCACTTTTGTATCAATAGATGAGGTGGTCACTGCCTTTGGTTGTTGATACTCGAGAAGACCCAACACAAGATACTTTGGAAAGCGAACTGATGATCAATTTCCTACAGCGGTGTCAATCTAGGGTTGCTCGCAGAATTATCAAGAGTTTGTCTTACAATATTTGTTGTAAGTAGATGAAAAAGACCGCTATGACTATTGCTATTCTGAATATTTAATTGATACCCTCTTACCACCCCTTGAATGCTGTTTTGAAGTCCCCTTTGAATATGCTTTGCCTTTATTTCTCTTTTCCCTCTTAACTTCTCTATGGTTTTTACTTCTCTACCTCTAGCTACCACGGGACGGCCATGTGGTCTTATAGTATAAATGCCTCAATCAAGCAAAATTGAGGACATACCTCCCTAGGTAGGTATTTTATGCATTATCATTGATTAGCTAATTATACAATAGTCTAAGCGGGGTTTCCGCCGTCAGATATTGTGGGATCCAACGCTTGCCTACAGGTAAGTGCCTCCGGAGACGTGCACCTTCCGACAAGAGAGGCCCTGAGACATATCCCTGATACACTCGTACACTCTATCTTCTGTTGGCAGTTTCAATATGCACCCTGGTCTTGCTAAGCTGCCAACACTTGAGTGTAGACGCCTGGAGCCAACACGCGCTGCCTAAATACTGCCGAAGTTCTATCTTGTCTTCTCTTTGCAAACCTCATCTGCCTTTCCTCCACATCAAACTCGTCAAAAAACCATCATGTCTGCACAAAAGAAGTATCTCAACGCCAAAGATTTCGAAGATGGTAAGTTATTCTGAGCATCTGCTGCAACGATGTTAATCATAGACTAGGGCTTGCGGCTCTTGATACTGCAATGGGCCAGGATGTCTGGCTCGCTGCATTTGCACCCATCCGAATAATCACGGCGGGCGGCTTCCTTGCAGTGTCTTATCTCAAAAATCGTGACAGCACTGGCGATATCGATTACCTGATTGACCCGGAATTTGTCGGAGACAAAGAGGTTCAAGATGCCCTTCACAAGGCGATCCTCTCCGTGGCACGTCAGCTACAGTACAACAATGAATGGATCAACGAAGCCATGGCAATCTTCGTCACCAAGACAGCCAGACAGCAACTGTTCCAAGAAGCCGAGAAGCAAGGCATCGTGCTTTTCAAGGGAGAAAACCTGGAGGTTCTGGCCGCTCCGATCGAATGGGCTCTCGAGCGCAAACTGAGAAGAATCCACGCCGCAGATCGAGACCGGAAGGCGGAACTCGACATGGTCGATGCAGTCGCTTTTTTGAAGCACTTGAGGGAACAGAACAACGGTCCTCTGGATTTGGAATCGATCCGAACAATGAATGTGAACAGGTTTGACTTGCTTCCTGATCACAGGACCATGCAACAAGTGGCCGACGCATACCGCCAGGAGCACAACGAGGAGATTTTCAAATAGGCTGGGGATTTCGAGTCCACGAGCTGGATAGTGCGGCTAAGTTTGGTGATCGAAGGATGATTGAAGGGCCTTGGTAATGACATTAACTCTATTAAACCATTTCTAGATGGTGTAGAACCAGCCTGTGTTGGTGATAATATTGCGCCGGGCAAAATTAGTACCTTTGCCATTCTTCTCAAGCACCAGATTCCCCTCTGCGTCAAGCGAATCTGATGGTACAGACAGTCTGAGGAGATCCCGATCAATCGGCGGCACCTTTTTGGTCCAGCCAGGTAGTTCCTCGGGGGTAAAAGGGGGCCACGGGTCGCTATCCCGCTCTCGATATACGTGTTCTCGATTTCGCCGCAGCCCCAAACTCAACCTCCAATTGACAGCTTCGTGTAATTCCTCCATGATCGAAGCCAGAATCGCATACCGTAGCGGATCTGGGTCCCTTGGGTCTGGTATGTCTTGCAGCTTCCAGTTTTCTTGGAAAAAGAAATATTCCGTTTCCCATCCCGTCAGCTCGTATTCATCGGCGAGGTGGAGCTCGTAAAGCCTGTAAATAGCGCACAGCGGCGTGTCGCGCATGCGCCAGATCGGAATGGCGCGAAGATTGTGAATGTCGCCAAAATGAGATAAGATAATGCCAGTCTCATTTTTCTTGTCTTCGATAAGTGCGCGCGGAGAGATTGGACCAGGAATAGGGAAAAACCAGGACGGGTAAGGGATAAACATGCGCAGGAGGGTGAGTAAGGGATATTTGTGCTGATGGTTGAGTCGGATGAGGCTCCCACGAATCTGGAGGGGGACTCCCAGTAACGAAGCCATCTTCGAAAACGAGCCCAGAGAGATAGTTTTGGCCGGGGGCGACGTGGGGGCATTGGCAGTGAGTCGGTTCCAGAGCCCAGAAAACGATGAGAAGACGCGACGACGCTTTTCAAGGATTTCGCCACTTACAGTCTTTGAAGTCTTTGAGCAAATCTGTTCTGCCTCAGGCAGGCATAGATCACCTGACCCTGTTCTCAGATCACCCCTGTTCTATAGACCTTGTGTTTTTGCTCAGTATGAGACTCATTCCTTGAGATGAAAGAGATAATATGATTAAATTTAGACTCTACTATACTTGATAAAGTCCGGAAATATCTTCGAGTTCTAATATGGAGTTCACATACATATATGCGCTAATACTAATTCAAGAATAATGACTTGAACACAATAATCAGTACAATACCCGAACGATTACTTTAGTGACCCAGTCACGCCTGGCAAACATGTCCATGCTGTCTCGTACTTGCGTTTTCCAAGCCCCGAAATTGATCAAATCGATTTCGTGGTCGGCGAACAGCTGTGGCTGGGTTCCGATTTGAGCGCCCTTCTCAGACACAATAATGTTGGGCTCGAGCTTGTCCATCTTTTCCTGCAGTTCAATGGTATTGGCATCGGAAAAATCGAACGCCGTCCCAAGGACCTTGAACAGACGACCGATGCGGTGGACTTTCGGTGAATTCCAATCATCCTTGACCCATACAACATTGGCTTTCCACGGATATCGTCGTTGCTTCATAATCGAGGCCCAAAGATTTTCAAAGGGCACTGGCTTACCCACAGCATGGACCACTTGATTGTTTCCGCTGGCGAGATGGGCGAGAAGACGATCTGCCACCACGTCGACGGGGATGGCATTGCACGTGGCGTTGACGTTGGGATTCGGGAGCCCTGATGCGAAAGTAATGCGCCATGCTGGGAGTAGCATCACGGCCGCTGCGAGGGTAACACACGGCGTGGACTTGATAACGCTGAATCCCCTCACGGGAAATTGCAGTGCAGGGCCGATAATCGACGGACGAACGATCATCAGTTTGTCGCCGAGCTTCTGCTGCAGAAGACGCTCGGTCAGATGCTTTGCGTACGCATATGCCCAGGGAAATTTCTTGACGTATGGCGGCTCGATCCCGTTGCTGATGTCTTCCCATTCTTTCTGCGCATCTCCGAGGGGATAGATGGTTTCTTCGATGGGGATTGCGAGCGTTTTCGAGTCACTGTCGAATTGGAGGTGAGAATTGGCGAAAGACGTAGAGACATAGACGAATCGCTTCACATCTTGTCGGCGAGAAACGTATTCCGCGAGCGCCATGCTTGCTTCGATGATCACATTCTTAATCTTTCCTATTGGGCGGTCGAGGTTGATGGACGAGGCTGCGTGGACAACAATGTCGATTTCGAATGATCCCAGGGCATCCTCAAAGTCTTGCGGTGTGTTTTTCTTGCTAATGTCCAACTGCACCACGTCGATTTTGTTTGTCTTCCATACATCGTTGTGGGCACTGCCCAGCCATTTCTGCCATCTGTTCTTCAGTCCTCTTTTTCGAAGCATATGTTAGTGGTTATTTTTCATGATCTTTTATCATTTGAGGGATCTGTGTGGCTTACTCTCGATCAGTCCGGCAAAGAACGTATATATGACCAACATCTGGCTGCGTCTTCAGAATGCGGTGGACTAGGACAGTGCCCAGGAAGCCAGAGCCTCCCGTAATCAAGATCTTCTTGTCCTTGTAGTAGTCCCACATACTGGAATATTAAATAAACAAGTCTGGGGGGAGGGTGATAGACAAGGCACTGTAACCCAGTCCTGCTTTATATACTGGCCCCTATCCATCTTCTCTGCTTGGCTACTCTTGTGGAGGATTGGCCCCCAAAAACCCCAATGCCGAGTGGAGCCTGTCAAGACACACTACTGAGCTGTCGCTAATAAGCTTTTGGTTGTTATCAAGGTGCGGAGTTGTGTTGAGTAGAGGGTAATATCACCTGTAGAACATGTTCATCTCATACTAACTCTCAATATTTACGCATCACATATTTTATAGATCCATCGTACTCTACTTATGCTTATTGCTTTTACCCTTTGACTTGATAAAATTCAAACCATCAGCCAGACCAGCCAGAAAGGCCGCTAACAAACGTTAAGGCCTATTTAGCCCTTGCGATGTGGAGTCCGGGGCTGTTAGCCTGCGTGAAAGCGGGTCATCAACGGCTGGCATGCCCCAAAGATGGAATAGTGGTCGACGGTCTGTTTACAAACAGGGGCCAAAATCCTTATTCTCAAGGGCAATTGGTGTCTCATGCTTGGATTTTGAGTCTTCACAACCCTACCTCGGCGCCGATCCATCTCTTACCAAATTAGGCAATGATTGGAATGAAACCAAAGCAATGAGGGGCCGGGTTCTAACATTCTCCTGCTAAATCCTGCTACTCCTCTATTCCTCTACTTCTCCACATTTGCCCAGAAATCGGCACCCCACTCCCGCAACAGCTTTTCAACCTCGGGATGGCGCAGTGTGATTGCCGGATGGAGGGCATTTGCCCACTCATCCCCTGGGGCATTCACATCGGCCCCATGCTCCAACAATAACTGTACAATCTTCGCATTGCCTTTAACACTAGCCGCCTCGAGTCCGCGTCCAAAGTAACTCGCTTTGGCCTGAGCATTAGCGCCATGGGCCAGCAACATTTGAGCGATTTTCTCATAACCCTCAGCCGCGGCAGCCTCAAGCGCATTTCCATAATCGATTTCATCCCGCGCATTAACATCCGCGCCCCGCTCGAGCAGGATTCGAACAACCTCCTCGTGGGCACTGTTGGGTACAGCCGGGTAGGGGTTACCGTGTCTTCCATTTTCAGCCCTGAGATCTCTGCCCTGCTCGAGCAAGTCTCGCCACCACTGTTGATGGTTTCCCCCAGACGCGGCTATTAGGGAATTGCCGGCATATTCGTCTTGGGGCTCGATGTTCGCTCCGTGTGCGAGGAGCTTCTGTACAATGCTCGCGTGGCCTGCTATCGCTGCTTGGTACAGTGCATCGCCTGGTTTCATTGCATCTTGGCGCGCGTGCACATCAGCCCCTTGGTCGAGCAGCATCTGGACTACTTTCTCATGGCCTCCGGCCGATGCTGCTCGTAGTGCGCTGCCCCAATATCCCCCTTCGGCAGCGTTGACATCGGCGCCTTGGTCCAGAAGCATTTGGACGATCTTTTCATCGCCTTGTAGTGCTGCTGCCTGGAGCGGGGTGTTATATTCACCTCCCAGGGTATTTATCAAATGTGTCAGTACCCCGTTGTCTGCGCCGATCCCTATGATCTCAGACAGTGTCTTGGTGAGACCCAGTAAGGAAGCATAGTACACGGGTGACGCGATAGTGTCGGGAGCACGCTTGAACTGAACTCTCTTTTCCCACGATCGGTCCAGATCGTGCAGTCGGATCCATGTTCTGAAGGATTCCTGCTGATCCCTGAACAGCTTCACCACCAAATCTTCAGTTTCTGTCGCAGCTGCCCCGGATTTGAGGTAGTGATGATACCAAAACATCGCAGCGTAAGGAGCCAAAGGAAACTCTTCGATGACTTCGTCGTCCAGGTCATTACTAGACAGCTCAGGGTCGAGGAGATAGACCAAGCAAGTCTGTGCCAATTCATTGTGCGAAGGCTCTGGTTGCAGCGAGTACATGGAAGCTTTCTGGCCCCGGATTTGATCGGACTGAAGGTATTCCTGCACTGAGAAGTGAGCAATGCGAAGTGTCGTGGTCGAGTCATCCACGGGCACTATGTCTATCAACCCGGGGCATATCTCAAAGGGACTATCGGGGTCTAATAGTCGGTCTTCACGCTCAAAGCTCAACTTTTCAAGATTGACTGCATGGCCGTGGACGAGTTCATCTACTGTGAGCGGTCGAGCAGAAAAGCATAGTAACGTAAGAATCCGCCGAGCGTCGTCGATGCAACTGTCTTCAATACTGCACAACATTCGCTCATAAGTTCGGTCCAAGTCGGGTGGAAGAGAGTTGAGACATTGCAGAAGACTTTCTTTGTTTCGCGCGCATCGCCGGATCTCTTTGAATTGGCACTCGACGTAGCGGAACCTAGACACCTTCTGAGTCGGGTTTCTTGTGGGTATCTGAGTTGTGTCAAATGCGGCACTTACACTCCTCGAGCACGTTCCGCTAAGGCTTGCTTGATGTCATCGTGGTACTTGAACCATCTCTGGAGCTTTTTGTCGTTGTTGAGCTCCGCAGAGACGTAGTTCTTGATGTCTCGGTCAATTTCTGCATTTTTCATCACCACGTCCTCTTCTCCTGACGGGTCCAGGGCCGCTCGGATCTCTGACTCGTCCCGACTCGTGACTAACAGATGCAGGCTGGATAGGCCCCACTCGCGAATGGTGTTGAGAGTTTCCAACACCTCTTCTTGTGGACCATACCGAACGCCCTCCTCCGAGCTGGAGCGAGGGCACTCATCCAGACCATCAGCCAAAAGATAGACTTGGTCGAACCTTTCGATCATGCGACGAAGACATGAAATCAATTCGTCCACCGGTGGCGTACTATTGCGGTACAAGTCGTGAAGGTCTTTGAGGTCGGTTTCACAGTCCCCGTGTTGACCAGACAGCTGTAGCAACCACGCTCGAAGCATGGCGTGCTGGCTCTTCTTCGCTTCGTCGCTGAAAGTGAAATAGAAAAACGCAACTCCTACATGAGGAAAACTGCCCCTTTTATTGAAGAAGCGTTGCTTCTCGCGGAAGGCATACTGAATTGCGGTGGAACACAGAACCGACTTGCCACATCCAGAGAACCCATTGAGCCAAAGAAACGAGTTGCTCTGTGTAAGCCAGTTTTTAAAGCGGCTTCCATTGACCAGCCACAATCCAGTGCCGGTGTGGTGTTTGGCGCACGCGGCATTGTAATTGACACTCGCATCGGGAGCATCGAGCCAGTCCCGGATCATCGCAGAAATATGAAGGGACCTGAGCTCAGAAATTCCCTTCTGGGCTTTCTTGCTGTCTTCCAGCTGGATCACGTCCAGCGCCACGGCGAGGTGGTCGCGGATTTCGCCAATCTCGCGATCAAGCTTGAGGAGAGTGTCCTTGGAGAAGAAGTAGCCGAGGCGATGGCCAAAGGTTTTGATTTTGCCTTTGAAATTGTGAGCCGAAGATTTGTCGAGTTTCTGGCATTCTTGCTGGAGGTTGCTGATGAGCTTTTCGCATTTCTGAATGAGTGTTTCGATTCTCTGGAGAATTCCCTGTTGGTTGGGCAGGAATTGATAGTCATCGAGGGTCGATCGGAGCGTTTCGAAAAGACCCAGAAGGAAATCGAGTTTATCGCACGTATGAGCCACATCGGCATCCTGGTCCTTGTATGCGGAATAGAACTCAACGAGGCTTTTGGTGACGCCAAACCCCAGCGAGAGCAGCCCCGCGATGCCTGAGGAAATCGACAGCGGATCCGCCATGTTGCGAGCGGTTGCCGTTCAATGATGGAACAGCGCAGACGCGATATAGACGGGATATTTATATGAACAGGCTCAATTCGCCGGTGAATTGACAAGACTGACTTGAGACAGCTTGTTTGATCTGTTTCATCTCGCGGATGGGGCTAAGCGGGGCGATCGCAGATCACCAACGTGGGCGCTGTCCGTTGGGCACCGAGAGCTCTGTAGGCACTGTTCCAGCTGCTCTGGGCGCAACACGTTCATCTATCAAGAGAGATGATTCAGAAATGAGTGGTCACGATGTATGAGCCTTGTAAGCGGGGTTGTCTTGAGTGTATTGACTATCGAATGAAATCATTTGATTGTGTCGATTCAGTGCTGATTTGAGATTCAAATCGAAAAATCCATGGCAGCTCATTGGCCGAGGCGAGCATATGAAATGACAAGTGGAGGAAAAAGTAGTGCAAGCAGGCCTATGAAGAGGCGGTTGAAAGGCTTTATTTATCCTCGAGTCACTAGGACGATTAAGCTTGATCAGAATTGCCGAAGAATATGCACTGGAGACGTGAAGGATAAAGATAGAAACTTAACACATTTTTCTGTTTCGATACACTCGAGTGGTTTCATGGTACTAGAAATTGAATCACCAGGGATCTATGGATATAGAAGTTTTGAAGCCCATTTGATAGTTAAACCTTTTAACCTTTTTTTTTTCTCACCCAGAACTCCTAACTTGAAATTAATCCACTAGAGAGGGGCCCTCAAAGCTTTAAATTGCAATTTACATTAACTTTTTCAGGTTTTTGATCTAAAAGTCGTGAACAATGCGCGACCATACATGGGCCAGTTGACGTCAGCCGATCTATAGCCCAACGATTGCAGTTCGTATAGATGCAATTTAAATGGGTTCACCAGATGTGAGTCCAATCCCCCCTTAGAACAATCCACGGAAGCCGTCCGAGGGTATACCAAGAATCCATGGAGCTCCAAGTGATTTGGCTTGTCTGCTAACACGCCATTGCTGCGGTGATGTCGTGATGTCTCCACAACCCACGCGACCCCAACGCTGCCACGAGTCAATCAGAGAACATGCAGGAACTGGAAATGCACCAATTACAAACCACTGGAATTCTGCAGCCCGTTTACCTTCTCTTTTTGCCGTAGCCGCTATAGCTGCCGGAGCTTGACACCGAATCAGATCGCACGTTTTGTCCTCTCATTAACCCTAACCCGATATCCCAAACACCCCCTCCTCTTTCTTCTTTTCTCCTTTTTTCCTTTCCACTGTAGTAGACTTTTCTTGCTTGTGGGTCATATCTGATATTGTGCGATTCTCCACGCGGGCTGTAAGTGCCGAGTCTAGTGGGAAATGAATAATTTCTTCTCAGTTGTATTCTTATAAATGTCTGTTCCTCCCGTCAACATGGGTCCGCCATATTCTCCTCATACTCTTCCAAACTTCTTCCTTCTACCTATCCCTGGGCATGATTTCATCACCAAAAGAGATCGAGGCTACACTCTCGTCCTCCCCTATCTCATCCAATGCGTCAGATCGAGACGAGAACTATGAGTTCTTCAAACAGCACCGGGGACTGGAATACGCTCCAGAGGAAGCCAAAAGGGTCTTACGGAAGATTGATCTTCAATTAATTCCACTTTTATTTGTCATATACATGTTGCAGGTACGCGAGATCCCTTTTCCAGCTTTGCATGGGATATGCTAACCTTCGCAGTATCTGGACAAGAATAGCATCAACTTCGCGTCCGTGTATGGTCTCAAGAAGGGAACCAACCTGAAAGGGCAGGACTATTCGTGGCTTGGTGGGCTCCTTGTTTCTCTTTTGGTTGATTTCTGATGAAGTACACTTGGCTAACTCAATCAGGCTCGATCTTTTACTTTGGATATTTGATCGCGCAATGGCCCGCCGGACTGGCATTGCAGAAGCTCCCCATTGGCAAATTTCTTGCAGCCACTACAATAGGTGAGTAATTGTTTCACTCGAGCGTGTGAAATAATCGATGTATAGAAAGAGCGTCACTAACAAGTACAGTATGGGGCGGTCTCCTCATGACCACGCCGGCGTGCCACAACTTCGCCGGAATCGCAATCAACCGCTTCCTCCTCGGCTTGGTCGAAGCAGTCGTCAACCCGGGGTTCGTACTCTTAATGAGCATGTGGTACACATCGAAGGAGCAGCCTCTGCGACTGGAAGCCTACTATTGCACGAATGGAATAGCCACGATGTTTGGAGGGTGAGTTCTACAGAGCCACATGCGTCCCCATATAGATTTAATTCATGATTCTGACTGTCTGAAACAGATTGATCGGTTACGCCGTCGGACACATCTCAACCGGCCTGCCAAGATGGATGTACGTCTTCCTCATTTTCGGTGCCTTCTCCATCACCACCGGCATCCTGGCCCTGTGGCTTCTGCCAGACCTCCCGTCGACGGCCAAGTTCCTCACTGAGCGCGAGCGAGCCATTGCCGTCGATCGTGTTGCGGTTAATCGGCAGGGTGTGAAGAACCACCAGTTCAAGTGGGATCAAGTATGGCAGGCAGCGCGTGATCCCAAGACGTGGTTATTGTTTATCATGGCCATTGCTGCGCAAGTACCGAACTCGGCTCTGACGAGTGTATGCGCATGCCCCAACCTATCCGTCCTTTGAAATATATACAATTACCAACAAAGAAACTAACTAACTTTCTACAATAGTTCACTTCCATCATTGTAGGCTCCTTCGGTTTCGACACCCTAGGAACCCAATACCTCCAGATCCCCGGCGGCGCCGTGCAATTCCTGACTCTGCTAATAGGCGGGTTTATTGCAACCCGCTACGGTAGCAAGTTCCACTCGCGCAGCGCGTGCATGCTCTTTGCCAACACGGTCTGCATCCTCGGGTCCGCGCTGCTCGTCGGGCTGCCGCAGTCCAACAAATGGGGCCGGCTGGTGGCTCTGTGGTTATGCTATTTCCAGGGTCTGGGGTTCAGCATGAGTCTGACGATCGTTAGCTCCAATATCGCTGGGTACACTAAGAAGCAGGTTACCGGGTCGTTGTTGTTCACGGGGTATTGTGTGGGAAATATTATTGGGCCGCAGACTTTTAAAGAGAGGGAGGCGCCGGGGTATCATAGTGCTTATGTTGCGTGTGTTTCTCCTTCTCCTTTCTTTTTCTTTTCTCTTTGCTTAATGGTTGGTTGTGGTACATCTGCTGACTGCTTTATAGGATGTTGGTGGGCTACTCGGTCAAGTTGCTCGCTATCACGGTATTGTACCTCTACATGTACTTTGAGAATCAGCGGCGAGACCGTGAGGCACTCAGCAGCGAGAGTGTCGAGGAAGAGGGCGTTGAAAATGGGATGCGGGTGAGTTTGTTACTATCAATTTGTTGATTCAAAATCAACCTGCTGATATTCCACCAAGGACAAAACGGAGATCGACAATAAGGCGTTCAGATATGTGCTCTAGCTCTCACGTTTCAACTTGGCTGTATTTGGGCTGCATTTGGTATCCTGTGGAAGTAAATATAGCAGCCAGATTGATTTGGGGTGGATTAGCCCTATATAGGGCTTATAGGACTTTATGATGAATGGATAGGAATACCCAAAAACCTAATAGGCATTCGTCCCCTATGGAATCAAGACGATGTAGAAGCATCATAGGCGATAGTACTGCCTTTGAGCTGCTTTGTTATCATATTCGTGATATACTGCTAAACTGGGGTAATTGCCCGAGCCATGTGGATAGACCGAGTCAGGAAACACAAACTGAGTCAAGCTGTGTCACGCCGACTCAAGATCATCGCCATGCGCCCAGCCCCATCTGCCGGGACTGTTCTTGGCCAAGGAGCATACAGAATTGGGGGCCACCTGGCAAGTCCTTGCTGCGTGGAAGTGTCGACTACCACTATGAGCCAGGTATACGAATTGCTACCTATGCGTTGACTCTAGATCCTCATCGACACGAAAAGCATCCCCTGTCACCTGGAAAATGCACGAGATCTCACCCGAGATCAAGATAGGCACGCGTAGCGACATGTTGATTCAACACACCGACACATGCAACCACGTACCCCCAGATCAATCCAGCCCATAAAAGAGGGGGGGAAAATATGTACAAAATAGAAGGAATCCGACAGAAAAAGAAGAAAAGGTGGTTCGACCAAGCGAGCCGATCAGATCAAATGAGCAGGAGAATGACAAGAGAGAGATACGAACGGCGACGTGCAACGTGTCTGCAAAGAAAGGCGGCCCATCACGCTAATGCATCGCTCACACAGAGAGCAGAAAACGACAGGAGAAAAAATGATGCAAGAGGGATGCGAATAGTGAGATTCAGCGCGGAAGAACGAAAGATGTGGGAGTAAATAAAAGAGACAAATGCAATAACCGAATCGAGACTTTTTCCTCGGGACTCCGATAGCCATTGAAACACCATGTAAACGACAGGAAGGGGGGTATAGCGAGAGTACACAGATGAGCTGGCGAGACCGAAGAGAGATAGAAGGTTGAGACAGAAAGTGTTTTTTATGTCGTCGCCAGGATGACACTGACGGCTGCACCCGGGTGGTGCTCAACGCTCAGCGTGGATATTGAGCCAGCTCATGTCCGTGTTGACATTGTTATTCTGTCCGCGCACCGAGAGCTCGTCGATGTGGTCTGGTATTACAACGCTGGATTTGCGTCCGTTGGAATTTCGCGTCTTATCAAGCCCGTACTGGGAGGCCGCGGCTGGCAAATCTCGGTTGCTCGAGTTGTAGAAGCTGGTGCTGTAGTTGCTGCTAGTCGGACGTCCCAGCCAGCTGTTTTGCCCTGCCCCATTCCACTTGGAGTCGCCAGGGTATTCATCCTCCGAGGCGAGGCTGAGCGAGTCGGCGCTGGAGATGCGTGCCGATTGGCTCTGGGGGATCACCAAGCCCCGGCCAGTTCGATCTGATGGGGCGTGCTCCGTTGTCGGGCTGCCGCTGACAACTCGTCCCAGCGGCTTCGGTTGGTCGAGGAACCCGGTATTAAGGGGTGCCAGGTTGCTCATCGGCCATGCACTATCGCGGTAATCGGACCTGGTGTAGTCGGAACTCAAGGTGGACCGGTCCCCGGCCAAGTTCGTGGCGTTGTTGCCCTGGAAGTACTTGCTCCATCCCTCATCAGTGGTCCGATCCCCAGGCTGATTCCCTGGGCTGGATCGTTCTAGGTCCTCGGAATACACACTCGAGCGAGCCATGGCTCCACTGGACGGAATAGTGGACAGTGGGCTGCTCCTCTGAGGAGTCGAAGACAGGCCATAGCCTATACTGGCCGGAGGAGGTTTGAGACTCTTCTCGCCAGCGGTGCCAGACATGATTGCAAGGGAGTCAGCCGAGGCATTTGCGACCGGAACAGGACTCTTGGCCATTGGATATGCGCCCTCAGCCAGGGGTTCTATACCCTGATCCTGGAAGCTTAATCGGTCCTTGCCGTCCCCGGCATTACCTTCGTCCACTTGCTTCCGCTTCTGTTTCTCACGCCGAAGCAAGAAAAGAAGAACCAGCAAGATGGCTGCAACACCGAGAACGCTTCCCAGGGTCGCGCCAATGATCGTTTTGGTGTGGTGAGAGGGACCACCACCAGAAGCTGGGGCGGTGGCCGGAGAGGAAGAACTGGTATTTGTTGCGGTAACTGAAGACGATGAAGTAGCTGTAGGAGTGGACGAAGCCGAGGATGTGCTTGCTTTCAAAGAATGGTGATGGCCAGTTCCATAAAACAGGGCTGTGGAGTTGACCCAGCCATTGGATGTTTGGTTGAAAATGGCCAGGGAGTCATCACCGCCGCCACCTGAGAGAACCACGATCCCATTATCTCCTTTTGCGACTGAATAGTCTGACCGCTTGGTCTTTGGAGCGAATGTACTGTTATATGAGGGGTATTCTTCAATGCTTCTCTTGCCAGAACCTGGAGGGGGGTGGCAGGGTTCTTCGGCTTCCCGTCATCACCCAGAAGGACCAAGCTCGATACCGTGTTGGGGGAGGCGTCCATCTTGAACGATTCCAGCACTTTGCTTTTACCTGAATCGGGTGCCAAGGCACATTGAACCGAGGAGGTGATTGGGGAGGGAAGGACCACCCCCGAAGATGTCCAACCCTTGGAGTCTTGACCATTAAAAAGATAGATATCTTTATTAGTCTCCGAGCCACCGATTAAGGCAACCTCGGACTCGCTCCAAGATAAAATCATGGGATCACTGGCCGGCGGCGCACCCTGGTCCGGCTTCGACTTGATTTCGTAGGGGGCACTGGTGGAGATGAGGAAGGTAGAAGAATTGGGGCCCTTGTCCCCAGGCTTGATCCCGGCGTAGACCAGGATTGAGTGCGTTGACGCCATGTATCCAGCACCATGGTGTGTCCGGTTAACCATGTCGTGGCCGCTCGATGGTAGTGTTTTCCACTTCTTGTCCTTGAAAGAAAACCGTTGGAGTCCGGAATAGTCGGACGAGGCGCCGGTCCCGCCGATCACATAGAGTGCTTCCTCGTTCTCTTTTCCGTCGACTCCGCCTTTGACACATACGGCTCCGGATACTTTCTCTTCCGATGGCAATTTGTCCCAGTGACCATTCTCTTTCAGAGGAATCCAAAGGATATGGTCGGGCAGAAAGACGTAGAGAGTGTTGTCATGGATCACGGAACAATGCCCCTCCAGCTTCATAGGAGGTTCGGGGACGGGCATTGTGAAAGACGAAAGAAACGTCGAGGATACCAGCCGTCAAGGGGGAAAATGGGGAATAAATGTCGAGAATGGAAAGTGGCTGCCAGAGCCTATCTCATCTCGATTCCGGCAATTGAGAGTAAAACGCCAGCATTGGGCAGTGGGCGAAGGTTTCAGAGACCCTTATGAGTTTGTTGTTTCTCGTCTCTGGTAAACAAGTCACAGAATCGGTGTGCGATAACCCCCGGGCAATAGCGTGTAGTTGGGACTCGAGTACTCGAATGATGCAATTGGAATTGACGTTCAGGGGAAGTCGAGTCCGAGGGCAATGGGATTGACAATGAAATTCAGGTGATGTCAACAATCGACACGTCGATCAAGTTGAGCCGGCACACAAGATGAAAATAGAGGGAATGGGATTGGCGACTGGTCGCAAAGGAATCGAAACTGAATATTGGTAAGTTCTTTTTTTTTTTCGGCAAACGAGTTGAGGTCGATCAGGGGTCTCCCGTTGGTACTCACGGAAGGACGAGTGCACAGCACAGCACAGAGAGAGAAATAGAGAGGGAAAGACACGGAATAGAAAATGCAGCGACTCAGAAAAAGGGAGAGAAACAAAGTTGAGAACACAGTGAGACACCGCAGGACAGAGAAGGCCCCCCCTAACGGACTAGCGAGGCCCGCCATCCCTTTTAGGGCGATGCCGTCATTTGTGTTGGATCTCAACTATACAGATAATCAAGGGGCTTCTTTGTTTACTCTCTTCCTTAGTGCTACTATTGCTTTTTCTATTTTTTTTTTTTCCTTCTCTTTGACTCTTGCTTTGCTACTACACTGTAACATGGTCATCCATCTGACTGCGAGATTATCCAGAACGTGCAGCAGGTGGGGCCTCAGGAACGGGTTCGCCCCTGGGGGCCTCAGGCAGCCCCGTGTACTCCGAGACACCCGCAAGGAGAGTATACATATTGCAGTTAGAAATGTGTTATATTATCTTATTCTCTTCTAGATATTCTAATATCTCACGAATATTTCGAATATTTTCATATATTTTGGACCCTGAATTATTTGAAAAATATATGAATCTTGAAATCAATGCCGATCATCGGACTGTTTACCTGTTCCAACACCTCGGTACGCTCCCCTCACCCATCGGACGATCCATGGAACCAGCTGGTGTGGTGAAGGTAGCGAAGCATAAGCTCCGCTTCATCAGCTCGATGAGATACCCAAGACAATAGGGGGGTCACAATAAACCATATTTTGGGGGTTCTGTGTAATATAGGATTCAAGATCCCTCGAATAATATTGCAAATATCAACGATCCTACTATATCCACGGATATAGTAAGTAGACACTCTCCAACTTGGCCCCCGAATCCCTCAGCCTTCATGGGCCATCCACAGCCCTCATTGGCGAGGCTTTCCCGCGTCTCTCAGCCAATGCAATGCTCGGATTCTGGCTTTTCTCTGCTTTTTTTTTTTTCTACTGTAGTATTTAGAACTTATTATTGCCCCATACTAACGTCATAAAATAACCAATCTCACCTTGCCATTCTCCCCCAGGTCCCACTTCGCCCGATCTCCAACTCGGCCAATATCATCCCTCTGTCCAACGTCGCACAATCAGCCCCCAATGCGACGGGGCCTGCGCGATCGACGGCGGATGCGGCCGCCCGTGCAGGGATCGAGGCATGGGGACGACTACGAGTCAGCACAGCCGGAGAACCCTGGAGACGTTGCGACCAGGCGAAATATTTTTGGAGAGGTAAGATCTCCGCGAGTCAGCTCGGGGTATATACCACATAAAAAACTAGAAGTAGAAATAAAATACACCTATTCAAGAACAGATACACTCGTGTGATACACAACGCTCGTTGCAGATGAAATTTTGGAGATGTGATTACTATAACACAAGGGACCTGGCGATGTGATATCACGAGCTCCCCGAACAGACCAACCGCGGTCCAATTCAAACGGTCTCTGCAACGTCTCCCTACGATTGGCCTTGCTTCCACTGGTGCGCCTTCTGGAGCAGCCGCGACAGATTGGCGGCCGATTGATCGTCGGCGGGGAACACATAGTCCATGTACTCCTCGTAGCGATCGTCTTCCAGCTTGCGGCGCTTCTTGACCCGTCGGGGCATCTGCTTTTCGATCTTTTCGATGTCCTCGCTCGAACCGTGCGTGTTTTCGAAGGAGCGCCAGGCATTGAGAAGTTCCACGCGCTGGTGAGAAAAAGTTAGCATCGGTCCAAAATGAAGTAAAATACAGAAATAATGAACAAAACCAACACATACCTCTTCCTTGAGATCTTTGTCCTTGAACACCTTGTGGGCCCGCTCGAAGACTGCCCGTGCACGTCGCTTCGCATCTTCGCTGACTGGCTTCTCTTCTTCCTCCTCCTCTTCCTCGTCCTCGGGGACATTGATCTCGAATCGGGCGTAGTTGATCCACACCTTCACATGGTCCGTCTTCTGCAGAAGACGCTCGTAGAGGTACCGCACGCGCTCATACTCGCCTTCGTACTCCTCAAAGTCAATGTATGCCTTCCACACCAGCTCCGGCATGTCCAGCGCCGGTTGCTCGATGCCAAGCTCGTAGATTCCCCGGGCCCGATCCGCGTCATCCAGACCGCGTTCCAACTCCGCATACTGCATCCAGGACTGGCTGTTGGAGGAGTTCCATTCGATCTGCTTCTCGTACAACGTTCGACACCGCACGAATTCGAATAGTTGGCGCTCAAGATCAATGTAGCCCCGGAAGAGCTTGTCCTTCGGGCACATTCCGATCGCCTGGCCGAGTGTCTTCCGAGCCGCCTGCAGCTCCATTTGTCGGATCTCAAACTGGGCTTTCATGAGCCAGACCTTGGCAAAGGTGAATTTCTTGTGCGGAATCAACTTCAGGCATTCCTGGTAGATCTGCCGAGCGCGATCCACTTCCTTGGCTTCCATCTCTTCCCAGACAGCATAGAAGACCCAAAGGTAAATGTATCGACGCCAGTGCCTCTTCTCCTGCGACGGAGGGACTTGTGCAATCGCTCTTTCGTAGATGTCCCGCACCTTCTCCGGGTCACCGGCTGTTTCCTCGAGTCGTGCAAAGTCGAACCAGATGTCATAGTTGCGCGGGTTCTCTTTCAACTGCTCTTCGTACTGCACTCGGCGCTTGGACAAGATCACATCTTCCACGCCTTCCCGGTCGCCAAACTGCTTTTCAAATGTGGTGTACGCCTTGTGCAGGGCCATCGACTTCGATCGCGGGAGTCGATCCAAGGCATATTTGTAGATCGCCCGTGCACGCTCGTATTCTTTAAGCTTGGCCTCAAACTTGGCATACGCCGAGAACAGCTTTTCGTCCATAAAGTCTTCTCCTAGCGTTTCGATCGCCAAGCCGTAGACTTCACGGACCAAATCACTCGTGCCAAACTCCTCCTCAAAACGGGCCCATTTGATCCAATTCCGCGGTTCGGGGTGGACAATGGTGAAGCGCTGGAAGATCGCGCGCGCTCTCTCGAACTCGTTGTACCGCTTCTCCAGCTTGATGTATGCGCCCCACGCGCCCTCATCAGGTTCCCACGAAACCCAACGCTCGAAGACTTGGCGAGTACCAGGAATGTTACCGAGGGTCTCTTCCATGTACACATACTTGTACCAGAGCTTGTCCACGCGGGGTAGGATGGTCACGGCGCGGTCGAGGAGGTTTCGCGCGTGGTTGATATTCCGGGTTTTCATCTCTGCTTCAATATAGCGGATCCACAGCACGACCGATGTCGAGTCAACGTCCAGCGCACGCTCGAAAATCGATCGCGCCCGGCGGAATTCTTTCTGTTCCAATTCCCAGGCAGCATATCGCATCCAGTTGTTCATGTTAATGCGATTACGCCGCACATATTCCTCAAACTCTTTTCTTTTCCGTCCCTGGTACTCGTGCAGCTCTTCGAGGTCCGCAAAGCGCTGCGTCGGCGCCTGCAGGCCGGGCTCCTGCCGGTCGACAGCCTCTCGGAGCAACTGCTCCGCGGAGATCTGGACCGGCGCGGCGGCCTTGTTTTTGACTCGTGGAGGTCCACGAGACGCCTCCATGGTGATGGTGTTGTATGAGTTGAACCCGATAGAAATTATCAGCTAACGATGAAATTGAAGATCACGTCAAGTTGGTCTTCGCAGGCGAAAGGCGGGGTTGGTTGGGGAATTAAAACCCCAGTGGTATCCTAAAGTGGCCTTCTTTTGAGGAACCACGACAAATTGTCCCACGCGAAAGTGAGTGGCAGCGAGGTTACTTGCTCCGTGGCTGCGAGATTCTCCGCTGGAACCGCTCAACTGCGTGAATGGTCTACTTCGCCATCCCGCTGACTCATCACAGTTTCTTCTGCCCAAGTGAGGTCACTTTGCTTCTCGAATTGTCCTGTCTTCATCTCCCAGCCGTGGGAAGACGATCTCTCAGTTTTCTTCGCCAGTGCATTTTCTGACCATACCTTACCTTAATTCACCATGTCTACGGCCGAAGAACTTTTGCGCGATTTCGAAGAAGACGAGGACTTCGAGGCTGGTGATGCGGGAGAGGGAATCGAACAAAAGCCCGAGGAAGAGGAAGCTCCAAAGGAAGGCCTAGAGCCATCCAACGAATTCGATCTATCTATTTCCACTGCGGATGAACTGACTCGGTTACATAAATCCTTGCGCGATCATTATTCCATCCGATTCCCCGAACTAGAGACGCTGGTCACAAGTCCGATCAACTACGCCAAGACAGTTGCCATTCTCCAAAATGGCCCGCTCAACGACATCAAAGCTCTGTCGTCGTCACCTAACAACATGGTCGGCGCACCACTAAAGTCAGTCCTAGATGGCCCTTCCTTGATGGTGGTGGCGGTTGAAGGAACAACGACGCGAGGCCGTGAGATGACCGAGGCCGAGCTCAAGGCGGTTCTCGACACATGTCAAAGAATCTTGACGCTGGATCGCGAACGCACGACTCTTACGGAAAGTATTCAGTCTCGCATGAACCAAATCGCTCCGAACCTGGCGGCACTCGTCGGCCCGCAAACAGCGGCCCAGTTCCTCAATCAGTCGGGCGGGTTGCGCGAGCTAGCCAAGATTCCGGCCTGCAACTTGGGGGCACAGGGGTCGAGAAGACAGGAAGGGTTGGGGCTTGCGACCAATATCGGCATCCGGTCACAAGGGTTTCTGTACGACTCACCAATGATTCAGGAGGTCCCCAACGATCTGAAAAAGCAAGCTATCCGCATCGTTTCGGCAAAAATGGTACTCGCGACTCGTGCGGATGTCGCCAATTACAGCAAGGATGGCAGCCTCGGCGAGGATCTGAAGCAACAGTGCTTCCAGCGGCTGGAGAAACTCACCGAGCCCCCACCAAATTCGGGCGCCAAGGCCCTTCCCGCACCGGACGACAAACCTTCTCGAAAGCGAGGTGGATGGCGTGCACGTAAGGCCAAGGAGGCGGTCGCCATGACCGAACTCCGCAAAGCACAAAACCGGGTTGCTTTTGGTAAGGAGGAATCGGAGGTGGGATATGGCACAGGCCAAGGAACCGTGGGTCTGGGTATGCTGGGTCAGCAAAACGATGGCCGCATTCGAGCAACCCAGATCGATCAGCGGACCCGTGCCAGACTCAGCAAAAACAACAAGGGCTGGGGCGCAGCCACTCCTGTCAGTGGCACGGCCTCTTCCCTCCGTGGTTTCGGCCAAGGCGCAGGTGGCACCACTAGCGTACTTCAAGCTAAGGGTCTCCGGACCTCAGGCGTTGGTCCATCTTTGTCGGGGACTGCCGGCACTGCCAGTACCATTGCATTTACGCCTGTACAGGGCCTGGAGCTAGTCGACCCGAAGGTGCAAGCCGAACTGACTCGCAAGCGCAAGGCCGAGGAAGACCGGTGGTTTAATTCCGGTACTTTCACCCAAGTTGGTGGTCAAACCAGCACCACTTCACAGGGGGAGCAGAACGGCGGCTTCAAAGTCCCTGCTCTCCCGTCCAACAAGAAGGTCGACACAGGCGAGGGCAAGATGGGACCACCTCCCAAGCGATAGAATTCCTTGGCATGATTGCTTTTCTGGGTCTCCATTTTGACGGCGTTTCGGGGAAGAGCACGAGGCCTCCGTTTCCGTTATTTCATATGATACCACCGTTTTATGTACAATAGATCTATTTCGGCTTGGGAATACAACACGCCAAAATTTGTCAGATCAATTCCATTTCTGAGTCCCTTTCATAATCGGACATAAAACCGATAAAATCTCCGTTGGGTTCGCCAATCCCCGCGATTCGCATACTTCACTGACCCCATTCCCCGTGACCTTTTAGGGCTCTCCAGCGGCACGTGGAGCCCAGTAAATATCAGCACCAGAACACACCATCTTTTTTACGGGGCAAAGTGTTGCTCGAATGTTGGGGCCTAATGGCTATAGCGTGCTTGACTCGTGGGCAGTGCTGATACCTTTTACACAACCCCAATGGAGCATGATTCATGACATTGGAGCTGAATGATAGAAATGGGGCAACGAAGAGAAACAGCTACCACACTGTCCCTGCGAAAAGAAAGTTTGCGGGGCGCTTAAGTCGGGGGCCAACTGTTATGGAGCAAACCCCAGATCGTTTCTGATGCCTAATTCATGATCTCCAAGTGGCGTCATCTCATGCCTTCTTCTCATCTGATATATTTTACCTTCTCACAGGATTCCTCTGGTTCAACACAGTCTAGGGCTTTCCATAGGGCATTGTTCACTGGACTATTTGATCAGCTATTATCCAAGTTGTGAGGGAAATGACACCACCAGAACGAACCGAATGATCTGAAGCAGCCCATCTCTTTGGATCTTTTCTCGTCTTTGCCGCCACAAGAATGGGATCGCCTCTATAGCCTTGGGTTTTACGTTCCAAAGACATTTCATTTGCCGGCTGAGCTTAGTTCGTCCTTAGCCTCTTTCACGAGTCATTGCATTGCCTATCTAGGCCCGTCTGACATCCTGCCCCCATAACTCCTGACGTAGTAGTCTATGTACTCACTCGGGCTCATCAGTTTCCCTGAAACGGAGTCAATGGTACACTTGCTAACGGCCCGTCCGAAATCCTTACTCCACCCATGGCATGATGAGCCCTGCTCTTTGGGGGCTCTTTCTAGGCAACTCCGTGGCCCCCATACAATATGCAGCCTTAACTCAGGAACGTATATATTCTAGCCCATTTGCTCAACCCGACCTATATCTGTTTGATTTTAATTTTTTAAATCAAAAAAATACCTCTGTTGGTGGTTTCTTCTTTTCTTCAGACAAAATGAAGTCCCCTACTCTGCTCATGGCCGTTCTCTCGGCTGCCCTTTCTTGCAATGCCTTGTCTGCAGCGCCATCCGCGGAAAGCTCGCCCGATGCCGATACCCAAGCTATTGCTGTGAATGAAATGAATCGGCGAGCCGATCTTCCTGGGGCTCAGATGCCGTCTGACGTCTCCGAATTTTTGTCTGAATTTGCCTCTGAATTTACGTCCTCCGTGGATGCAGCGCAGGCTGCGTCTACTGAATCTCCAGCCTTGTTCTCCTCTCCAGCTGCAGAAATCGAGGCGCGGGACGAGTCCTCAAGCACCGTCTCGCTCGATGCTTCTCCTACTCCTTTGGAGCCGCGAGCTGAGTTTCCTTGGCCTCGGGTCACGCCTAATGTCTCCCAGTTTATTGAGGAGGCTAAGTCGTCTGCGGATGCTCTGTCCACCCTGACCCCTACTCCGACCAGCTCTTGATTATTCTGAGGCGTGAGCCAATGCAGGGTAAGTTACTCCTCTTGCATGCATTCCTGTTCCTATTTTCTTTGTTCTTATATTCGATCTTCATGCTGATGAAGCTAGCTACTTGCTAGGAACCCCAGCTAGACTGTCTGGAAATCTTATGTTGGAAGGGGAGGTATACGAAAACCGGTTTTGTGTATAATAAGCCTAGGGTGTTTATTGGGCCACATTGCGGGGAGTGAGGTCGATATAGAGAGATTTGGGCACCGTAACCCTTTATAGCCAAACCAACTCGTTCGTTTCATCATTTATTAGAGAGAGAGAGAGGCAACATATTCGGGAAAATCTGAGGCATTGATGATTGGGTAACATTTACGTTGGTTTAGGGAATATCAATGCCAAGCAACGCATAGGACATGGCTTTCAATGTGTAGAATAAAGAGAGGCTGGGCCAGGGAATGTGATATAAGTCTACAACGAAAAAGGACATGCTCAGGTTTCTCTTTTCATGGTATTCCTAAAGCTTGCGAGTACGACCTCAGGAGTGTTAGCAAGAGCGCTAATTTCTGATTTTTTTTTTTTTTACGATAAGGCATAATATTAGTAGAGATCGAGTGGAATATAGTGAGACCAAGCGATAGAGTATTTGGACTACTGGCCACCTACTATAAACGAGGTCAGATAATAAGACCTGCCTAAGATTACCAATGCCAGATTTCCTTGACACATCCATGGATACTACCTCGGTGAGGTCAAAAGAATTTGTAACCTGAATTCGTATAAATCATGAAGTGTATTTATCAATCCTTATCGATGTACTATTAAAAAAAAAAGAAGATAAATACATAAATAAAATTAGGAACTAATGCGAGCTACTTGGTGACAGAAGGAGAAAAAACTAGTCATTGCTAGACTGCGAGAAAAGAGATAGATCAAGGGGGCAGTATATTGGTTGGTTGGTTGGTTATGTTAGCAGAAGGAAAGCATAGGAGTGGGTCAAGAGAGGTGCTGTAAAATCTGTTACATCACTGTACATAGTTTATAATTAAGGCATAAACTGATCCTTTCACCCTAAAACCCCCAATATAGCACTAAAGGCATGTGAGCGGAAGGATTCAACTAGTGGTAGCCCCAATTCTTTTCATTAGAATCCTTACTGTGATTAACCAGGCCTCATTGAAGCCAACCTTGGAAGGTTCCAACTCTCACTTCACAAAGATAGCTGGCGGCCTTTCTCCTATAGGTAGCTTCCTCACTGTGGATAGCTTCACAATACATGGACTGTTTCGCTCGCTTATTTCCCCTGCCTTTTCTCTCTCTTGATCCGCTGGTTCTTTGCGCCCTGCATTCTCCATCAGTTAAATTTCACAAACAGCCTCGTAACTCGAGGACTTGGCCCTTTCTAACCCATGGACCCACCCTCGTTACTTATGAGCCGCCCTCATTACAATACTTGTGTACATTGTTGTCGCTGGTGCCTAGCCTTGGGAGTTTGGCGTTTCCCTGGCAAATATACTTCTCTTTGGTTTTATCTGTGATGACCTTTATATTCTAGCAAACCCATATTGTTTTCAAAGTACAGAGATGCTTTCTACAAAAAGTCTTTTGTTCACTCGCTCCACTTTACCCACTAGTGGCATCGTGGTAGCCCCAGCTGGACAAGGATCATCATTACAATCTCTCTCTATGGATTTCATTGGACCCTGGACGCGAGAAGGATTTCATGAAGACAGTGTCATTTTGCATATTTAACCGGCTTCACGCATTCTATCATAGATTATCTTCAGTATCTCTCTATCAATCCACCTGCTTAGGCAGGTAGCTAATTACCTAGCTTCCGCTTGTACTTAATTATAGAGCATAGCAAAGCACTCTAAATAATTTCGCCTGGATTATCATCTGACATCTCAGATGACAGTCGATCGCGTAGCCCGGAGTCCGAGGGGGCCGCCCCCTTTAGTGTATATATAGCAAAGATACTATACGCAAAATTAAAATATGGAGAGAAAAAAGTTTTAAAGAAAGAGATCTTAAGCTACATAATATCTAGCTATAAGCACGGTCTTGAAGTTTCGTTTACTATACTCCCGCACCGTTGGTGTTTGCGAGGTGCCGTCCCGCTGGTAAACACTAATAGATCCATAGATGATCCTCTGTAGAGAACCATTCTAGAATATTGGTTCTTCTATTTATGGCAACGCAATCATCGGGCAACCAGCAAGGTTGACTTATGAATTAGCGCCTTATGAGTCCCACAAATTCGAGTCGAAAGGAGTCTTCTTTCCAAGGCTGTGGCCCAGGAACTAGGTATTTAATGCAAACAACAGGCATTCACTTGATTTTTCCCCCTCTAGTAGGACCAGTGGCCAAAATAAATTCACCATGTATTCGACTCTGACCATTCATCCATCATGGCTAGCCCTTATATCCCTCTGGCTGCTAGCTAACATTCGATCAACTACTGCGGCTCCTCAGGACTCCAATACAACCCCTTCTTCAAATAGTCCAGCAGCCACGTCTAGTGTTCATTCGCTGCAAAATGAAATCTCTGCGACGCTCATTCCAAAAATCGAGTCTCTGCTGAATACACCAAACAAGAAGAAAGCTCAGGATACTATTGACGAGATTGACAAAGTGAAGCCTGGCGCCGAGGTAATCCCCATAATTCCTTTTCAATTTCAATCTTACTTTTTTTGCGGCTTGAACTGGCAACAGAATGTAGCTAATGAATTGACTCCATAGGAGCTGCTGCATAATATCAACCCGGAATCGTCGAGTACGTCCAATGGCAAAGCTCCTGGCACGGATCTGAGCATTACCGTCTCCCAGATCGAAGACAGCCTGAAAAAAGTCACGTCGGCAGTTCAAAAGAGCATCAAAAATCACTTCTCGAACACCAACGACATTGCAAATACGTTGTGCGAAATCACCGAGTTGACGGACACAAGCGATGAGGATCTCGATTCCGGCAGGCCATGTGGCATGGGTTGTTCTGTCTGTGAAAACCCGGCTAGCTTTCCTAAATCATCAGCGAAGCGAGACGAGAAGAGGGTCTTCTCCAAGCGCCAGCTGCCAACGCCACAAGACGCAAAGTATGGCGGCAATGTCGTGGCCTTCTTGAACGATCAGTCTCGGGGTGCAGACGAGGTGACGTTGGGTGTGCGAACCAGCACGGCGGTCTACCATGCGCTCAAAAACAAGCCTTATAAGTTGACGGTGCCGGGTCTGACCGGGTGCACGGTTGTGATTGTGGCATCAACCCAGGCTGTGTACATGTCACACCACTATGAGGTGCCCGGATTCAACGGAGTTAACACCGATCAAGCAGAAGCCCTCAATCTGCGCATCGACGACCCCAGAATGTGGTTTCCTCTTCCTCAACGGGAGTTTGAGGACAGAGTTTTGAAATGGTTCACCACGGACGGACTCGACATGCCGAATCTGAGACAGTATGCGGGCCCAAATGGACCATTTACGGCCCAGGATAGGACGGCTGCCTATGTCATCTACCCCCTCAGTTCAAGAGGAGGAGTGAAGTACGATTCGGAGTACGAGAACAAAGTGACCCAGATCATCAACAAGGTGACGGAGATCCTAGGCGACCACGTTCATCCTATCAGGACCGGCTACAACCGCCTTGGTGCGGGCAATGTTGCGAAAACTATCCTCTTTCATTACGATCCGGTGCAGAGATGGCGAGGAAAAGTGCAGGATGCCATGTTGCGGATCTGGGCAGCGGACCGATCTATGTACATTCATCAGAAAATGTGGGAGGCTCACCAAAGCCAAAAAGTTCCTCAGACGGGCAGGCGCAAGCGTGGAGATCTTTCTACGGTGTCTACTGCTACCTCTATGGCGAGTTTATAGTTCGCATTTATATACACAGGTCGTGGCCTAGTGAGATCAAAACTGAGTTTAGCTTTCGCTGTTGTCTTCCTGAATATTGCTTTATTAAAATCAATTGCTATTCACTACTATCAGCGTCAGCTGTACCAAGCGACCTCGGCGGGAGAACCTGAGCACATCTTGATGTGTGTCGATATACTCTGCACTGATCTGCACATTCCCCCGCATGATCTGCCTTGCGACATGCCGATATTCCACACATAAATGGGGCATTGCCAAGATCAAGAGATGCTGCAACACGCTTCAAATGGACTTGTTGAGAAAAAGGCAATGTTCCCCGCTGTGGATTGTTCCATTTGAGTAGAAAACTCCGCGACCCACGCGGGGATTATTGCTTTTTCCTCGGATATGTCTCTATCAACCCGGCATGCATGCAATCCTCAGTGCCCTTGATCGATTCACGATGTCCCCTGATCCCCACAAGCGAAGCCGAGATGGGAGCTTCGTTGATGCGGTTGGCTGTTTCCCCGATTGAGGTCTTATAGTTACCCCTCCACGAATGGCAAGCGTGGATATATAAGTCGCGCCGTCTTCGCTCATCTGAAAACAATTTATTCTACTCTCAGTTTGTTTTTCTCTTGCAACCAGAAGAATTATCTCCCTTATCCCCAACATGGTCGCCATCCTCGCAGACCACCTCGCCGTCAACGACGGGCCCTTGACCTCTGAGAATGCCGCTCTCCTCCGCCCATCCGACCCAACCCTTCCCCTCGAGGAGCTCCGCAAACGATACGAAGAAGACGGCTACCTGTTCCTCAAGCAGGTCCTCCCACGCCAGGACGTCCTCGCCGCCCGCGACGAGTATTTCTCGTCGCTGGCCCCCACAGGCGTCCTGAAGCCCGGCACTGCGCCGGTCGAGGGTGTCTTCGACCCGGCCAAGAGCCACGAAGACTACCCGGGGATTGGAGCGGGGCACGCCGAGGGCAACGGAAAACCTGGCGGCGACCGAGCGGCGCAGTTCGTCGACCTCGCGCTTGAGGCGCACTACAAGGACTGGTATGCGGAGAAGTTTTGTAACCACCCCGCGCTGTTTGACTTTGTTGCGCAGTTCTCGGGCTGGGGCCAGGATACCCTGAGTCTGCGCCGTACTCTTCTGCGCAATAATATCCCCGGCTCGAAGCCCATTGGCGTGCACTATGATCAAATCTTCTTGCGCCATGGGGACCCCACTAGTGTCACGGCTTGGGTGCCTATGGGAGATATCAAGCTTAATGGCGGAGGCTTGATCTACCTGGAAAATGGTGAGTATTTTCAAATTCTAATTGTCTTCAGTGTGATTATTATGACGGCTAATGCTAACCTGACTTTGGATATACAGGTGACAAAGTCGGATTGGAGATGGAAGAGGCCTTTTTCAGAAAAGCCAAACAGGCGGGTCTGTCAGATGAGGAGGCCAGGTCTGCTTATAACTCGAACATGATGTCGACCGGGTTGCTCTCGGAGCGTCCGGCTGAGTTCGCCCAGGAACATGGCCGACGCTGGCTGGCGTCAGCCTACGAGGCAGGGGATGTTGTCTTACACAAACCTCATGCGGTACGTAATGATTTCGATCATAAAAATCTTCGTGGTACTAATTTTTCTCTCGGGAGATTCACGCATCTACTATCAACAATGACCCCGGCAATGTTATCCGCCTGGCAACGGACCTTCGGTTCTGCGACTCCTCGAAGCCATATGATAAGGTAAGGCTGAGGGCCCATATATGAGGTATATAATTTGCAGAGAATAAGGATTGCTAACAATACTTTACAGAGGTGGATGAACTTCTATCGCTTTAATGACGGTGTGTAAAAACAGGCCGTTCCTGAGAAGGTCGCCGGGTCGATATGATTTTTTTTTGTTTGTTTTAATCTCACATAGGAAGACCGTACAATTTTTGGGCTTTCAATACAAACCAAGTTGGCTGGATATACTGTCAGAGCTGTAGCACTCCTGAGGTGGGATGTTGTTAGGGCTGGAATCAAGGAGGCCTCGAAAACAAGCACAGCATGCAACCATGAGACAGTATCACCCGGCCATTCCAGAGTGGCTCAAAAAGAAACAGCCCTGTCTATCTCGGCACTATCATAATGACCTAGTTTGAGAGAATTTGATTCGCTGTCAGGTTGAGTTACTGGAATGTTGGGCTGTCGTTCCTGGTGATCAACACAGGGCAGACTCCCCCTAGATCCATGATCTCCCTTGTGTATACTGATGAATTAATTCTGCTGTCAGATGAAAATTTTGTTACGAGTCTATTTATGTGAGTATTGGATTGATGAGTGCTACTAGTCAATGGATTGGCACGACTCGAGAATACCTGTGTGGCTATTTCAAGATGTATCTATACAAGTTGTAAACATCGGCACTCGCCCACATTCCACATGATATCACACTGGAATTTCCAGAAACCCAGACAGCCAGACAGCCAGACAGCCAAACATATATGAAGCAGCGGTGGACCCCCCTGCGCGCGTCAAATTCTGGTGGATTTGTGTGTTTCCTGGGTCTCATCCTGATCTCCGAGATCAGCTACTGAGCACACAGCCTCCATCCAATCTTTATTTCCCCCAAAATGGCACCATTCACCTCCAGATACGTCTGGATGAACATATGGATGCTGGCTCTACTGGCCGCATCCACAATTCACGCACTCCCAATCCGCTTGGAAGAGGCAAGCGGTGCGATACAAGCTCGCTCGCCGGTACGCATAGACTAGACGGAGCTGTTGCATACAGATGGTCTTGCTAACTCCAACACAGAGAATCATCCCGGATGCCACCGAGTACATTTCGCACGTCGTCGCCTCGCTCGGCCTCTCGGAGCTTGATCCCAGTTCGTCTTCCACGCCAACCTCCACGCCTACGCCTAGTTCTACACCCACTCCTAGCTATACGTCTCTTCATAGTTCTACACCTACACCCAGTTCTACGTCCAGTTCTCACGCGACACCCACGCCCTCGATCAAGAACGAGCACAAGTCAGAGAATTACTACGAGCCGTCAGTCAACACCGAGAATGGCGGTGGCTACACGCACAATATCGAGCATGCAAACACCAACGAGAAGCCGATTGAGAATGTCCAGATCATGCCCGGGTGGGACAACAAGCATCAACTGACGGCGGAGGATGTTCCTCGGGTGATGGATGCCGTGTACAAGGAGCTGGCGCATCGCTTCCGCAACATGTTGGATAGCTCGGATGAGGTTGGGCTGTCGTGAAGAGAATATGGTATTGTCAGTAAACTGTCAGCGGTCGTCCGAGGTCAGGAGAACCAGTCTGTTTATCTCTTTGCTCTGGGCATAATTCTTCTATACTCTTCTATATTTATGTGATTTCTGGCTGGATTTGGGGTTTGGGGGGGGGGGGGGGGGGATTCATTTATTTGACGAATATATCTGAGATCTGCAATTCATGGACCTGCGAATCCCATTTGAAGTTGCCGCTCACGTCGATAGTTCGATGGCCTATCAGTGGCGACGATCCTCATGCCCCGCGTACCTCCGGTCAAAGTATCAATAATATTCGGCACTGATTTGGTCGAGATAGGAGGTCTAAAAACTGGTCTGATCTGTCTGCAGATTGCCTTGATCTCTGCAAATTGGAGACTTCCAAAACCACCCGAGGTGGTTAATGGAGTTAAGGGTGTCAGACCGAAAGTCACGGAAACCGAAAGTCACGGAGTTAAGGGCGGGGCCTCGCTTTCCGAGAAAGAGGATATATAAAGTTATCGCGGCGTCGTAATGGTCCCTTTGTTGCTCAAACAACATCGGAATAACTCCAACTCACCTCGAAATCAAACACAGCCATGCCTTCTCTCGTCGGCAAGGAGGTCGGCCACACTGGCTATGGCGCTATGAGTATGCCCTTGGCTCTCTCTCTCTCTCTCTTTTTTTTTTTTTTGGTTACGCGATAGTCGCAAGAATCCTTCTAATGCCATCCGCAGGGTTAACCTGGCACCACCAGCCACCGCCTGAGGACGTGTGCTTTGAAACACTCAACACGGCACTGGAATACGGCGCCAACTCCTGGAATGGCGGCGAGCTCTACGGCACTCCGGACTACAACTCGCTGCACTTGCTGAACAAATACTTCACCAAGTACCCAGAGAATGCGGCGAAGGTGGTTCTCAACATTAAAGGCGGATTGAAGGTCGGGCAGCTGATACCAGATGGCTCCGAGGCCAACATCCGCCGCAGCGTAGACGAGTGTCTGCGCCTACTGGACGGTAAAAAGAAAATCGATATCTTCGAGTGTGCTCGACAAGACCCCGCGTTCCCAGTCGAGCACACGGTGCGAGTCCTTGCGCAGTGTGTACGGGAGGGCAAGATTGGAGCAATTGGGCTGAGTGAGGTGGATGCGGAAACCATTCGGCGAGCGTAGGTCTCTCTCTCTCTCTGAGAAAAATGTTCATTGGGGGTGTCATTTCTACACAAGAGTCATTGTAACTGACTGCTCCTAGGCACAAGGTGCACCCCATTGCCTCTGTTGAGGTCGAGTTGTCACTGTGGGCTACTGAGATTCTCGACAACGATGTCGCCAAGACCTGTGCTGAGCTTAACATCCCCATTCTCGCCTATTCGCCTCTGGGCCGTGGCCTTCTGACAGGAATGACCTCCCTGGCTGAGGTCCCAGAGGGGGATATCCGCCGCCACATGTCCCGTTTCCAAGAAGCCAACTTCCAGCAGAACTTGAAACTCATGAACGAGGTCAACAGTCTGGCATCGCGCAAGGGTGTGGCTCCGGCCCAAATCGCATTGGGCTGGATTTTGAGTCTGAGTAACAGGCCTGGTATGCCCACCATTATGCCCATCCCGGGAGGCACTACCAAGGACAAGGTCATCCAGAACACCCAGGGCGTCCCGCTGCTTTCTGACTCTGAATTGGCCGAGGTGGATGCCATTCTGAAGGAGAACACAGTTGCGGGCACTCGACAACCGTGAGCAAGGATGGCATCGATACCTAGAAGGTCTAGTCGTTAGCTGTGGACTAGAAAGCATTATCATTTTTCTGATGACAAGAGTTCGTGTCCAGATCAGATCAAGTGTAGAAGAGTCAACATTCAATCTCACTGTGTGTTTAAAGCACAGGAGATTGTCGGAATTGCAGAATTCTTCTTGTTGTTCATCCTGAGAAGAGGGCGCAGCAAGTAGATGGGGAAGCTTACAATTGTCTCAGTCAGGGCACGATTGGAAATTTCTGGGAACTGTAGCGTCAGTATTGCTAATAGTCAGCTTGGGTTGATCATGGCCGTTGGTTTTGATGTGGACGAGAGGCAGAAGATTTGAAGGAAGAGAGAAAAAGAAAAACAAAAAAAAAGACAGTCGGAGGGAACGAACACGTGACCACCGCTCGACCCTCGCATCGTCGCGCGAGCTCTCACTTCGACATATCCAGCACACCCTTTTCCTGCTTCACCACGCAGCCCCTGCATCCAAAAATGGCTTCCAGAGACTCTCCTGGCTCCCCCCTTTCCTCTATTGGCACTGCTGATGAATCGGATCACGAATCCGTTAAGCATGAGAGTCGCGCGCACTCGCCATCAACTGCTAACATGCCTCCCTCGAAGCGCCGCCGCACAGGTGTAACCTCCTGGGACCGCCAGACACCTCTTTCCTCAGCCCAGGATCCCCAAGACGAGGTGCCTCCGCCACCTTCCCCGACAGGCTCGATCTCCTCTGATAGCTCCGGCGAAATCCCGAACTCACCCAGTGTCCTCGCGATACTAGGAGACGAGGACTATAGTGGGTGGTGTTATGACCAAGTAACCGTGTGCCGATGGGAGGGTTGTAGCGCCGGGGACCTGGGGAACATGGATGGGTTGGTGCAGCACATTCATAACGAACACATCGGGACCCGGCAGAAGCGGTACTCATGCGAGTGGTCTGACTGCACCCGCAAAGGACAAACGCACGCCAGCGCCTACGCTTTACGCGCCCACATGAGAAGCCACACTCGAGAAAAACCCTTCTATTGTATCCTGCCAGGTTAGTCTGACCCCCTCCCTCTATTTGGAGAGGGAGGGAGATGGTTACTTGAGTTCTTGCAGATCACTAATGACGGATCTACACAGAGTGCGACCGCAACTTCACCCGCTCTGACGCCCTGACCAAACATATGCGCTCCGTTCACGATATCGACTCTCTGCGCCCGGCCGATCTGAGCTCCAGGATCGCCGGCACCCCCGCGTCCAAGCCGCCACGCATCCGCCTGAAGCTGTCGCAGCCAGCCAAGGAACCCGGCATGGAACCAGACCAGGCGGGCGAGTCGGATGCTCCTCCCATAACCACCGCTGCGGATACTTCTGACCTCGACGACATGACCATGCCCGAGCTCGGCCCGGAGCTAGGCTTCGACGAGTACGAGCTTTCCTTGCCTCCGCGAGAGCTTTACCGTCTCCTCCAACGCCAGGTCTTCTGGGCCGAGCAAGAGTCCGCCAAGCTGCAGGCCGAGTGGGAGGAGATCCGCCCGAAGCGCGAACGCGCCTGGGTCGAGAAGGAAGCCATCCTGGATGACCTCATCGATGCCGAGCTGCGGCTCTTCAGCACCATGGTCGGCTCCACAGAAATCATTGCCCCGCCTGCCCCTGCCAACCTCTCATCCAACTTGGAAAAGCTCCAACACCAGCAGCGCCTGTTCCAGTTGCAGCAGGAGCAGCTGCAGGCCAAGTCTGCTGAGGCTGCTCAAGTCGATGGCGATGACGGTGCCTAGACCCAATCTCTGTGTCTTTCTCTTCTTTCTTTCTTTCTTTCTTTCTTTCTTTCTTTTTGTATGATTACCCATCTTCGGTCTCGTTCTTCTGTTTTCTGCTCGGCTTGATCTTCGGCGTTAATGGGGTTTGCTGAGAGCCTTGTTTTTCGGGTATCAATGGGAAGGCGACGGATGGGACAAATGGAATGTATGAATAGCATCGGCCTGTGTTTTGAGTGTATCTGTCTGGTCTAACAATGGCATTGTGAATATTAATGATCTCAATTACTCAACATGGCCTACGCTCGAAGCATTAGCCTCAAGGCAAGGCATACCGAAGGAAATCATAAGAAGCCTAGGTCCAATTCTCATGCATGATCTCAGTTCCATTCGTTCTAAACCAAAAAGAAGGGGAAAAAAGACAACAAAATGTCATAAATCTGCTCCCAACCAGCTAGATGATCTCGTCAAGATATAGGGGGCAAAATCACTCGACGCCGTGGTAGTCACTCCATAGGGTACATGTGCTGAGAAGAGAAAGACAGTAGAAATAAAAGATAATGAATAAAACAGAGAATTCAATGAGGGCAGGTCCACTGTGACCTCCCAAAATCAACAGCCAGAAGTAAAGCAAGAAACCAGACACCCAAGCGCGCCATGCAGAATATCATTCACTTGATATGGAAGTCATGTCCAAGGAAGAAACTTCTTTTCTGTGTTTTTTAGGGGTCGCGCAAATCATTTGACGCCTTTCGCAATGCTATGAAGCTCGTTGCATCCATATGTACCAAGAATAACAAAAGATAATTCACACTTCACTCCAACATTGAAAATTCAATGCTCCCAAGAGAGGCCAGGGCAGGTGTGAGCTACTTCCGTGTCCCCTAACGCGAGGGTAGGTCTTGGAAGTATCGACCGTCAAGAGTCGTATGAAAAAAAAGAAAAAAACAGCCCAAGCCGGCAGTCATCAAGCAGTGAAAGAAAAGTAACCCCAACCTAAGAGCACTTATATCCGTTATGCAAGAGAGAGGTCAGGGCTCCTGGGCTTAATTGCCGTTGGAAGCCTTCCTGGAAGCCTTGCTGGCTTCCATGACCTTCTCATACATCTGTTGAAGCTTGGAGCCACTCGCATCTTTGTTAGGCCAGTAATTGAGAGAGACATAATCCCTAGAATCGAAATTAGCACTCAGGTTATAAATAAGTCAATGGACAGAAACGAACCACAGGCGCCTTTCAAGCGATGGCATAGCATGCTCGCCTTCCAGTGTATGGTGGATGAACTCGCCAATTTTTACAAGGGTGTTGCGGAGCTTCTGGGCTCGCTCAGCTTTGTTTGGATAGTTTTTGGCCGTGATCATCGACACCTCCTTTAGGTTCATCACAATCGGCTTGAAAAACATGAAAGCCATGTCCTCCTTGCTGGACCCTCCATTTTCATGCCCTTTGCGACGGCGGAGTTCCTCGTTGGACGCATCAGACAGCCGGTGACGCGGACGATCCAGATCATGGCCGGACTTCGGTCGATTATCATGACTCGGGGTGTGGTGGCGATCGGCCCCATCCCGACTACCGTGTGTGTGTGAGCGCCCTCGGGCACGATCAACCTCGCGGTGCCCTTTGCGAGAGCCGGAGGGTGCAGGGGACGCAGAGACGCTGCCGCCGGCGGAAACTCGTGAATTTCGCTTGTTGTTGCGATGGTGGTTCTCCACGGCCTTTCTGGCAGTTACGTTACTACCATTGCTGAACTTGTTCCTCAGAACTGACAGAAGATATTCGGCCCGTCGCACAAGATGAACGGCGCCAGGAGACTTGGTGGCCTTCTGTTCAGTTTGAGCACGCTGGGTTTTTCTTTCCACCCGGTGTTCCTCCAAAAAGAATTTATCACCAAGGCCCAGGTCTGTGTCATCACGAATCTGCGTCCAGGCACCAAACCCATGACGCGCGATGCCAACCAGAAGCATTCCATCTTCACGAGCGCCCCAAGAACAACTGTAATCGGCCAGCTTGGTAGCTTCCGGAAGACGGAAGTTTTTGAAATCAGCCACCGAACTGGTAATCTTTCGGACCAAGCGCATATCGGGTGGACGTTCCACGATAGTGAATGCATTAAGCCGCTTGACACCGTGATGGTCGAACAGGACTGCTTTCTGCTCCTTTTTCGTAAGATTCTTGCCTGATAGCTTGAGGTTCTCCAGTTGAGCGGCATTTTCGTCAACGAGGGCAGCGGCCTTGTCCGTGATCTCGCTAAGAGCCACCCGGACAGTTTCCCGGTCACGCTTTAGTAGTCTGGCATCTTCCAGAATGAGGTCTTCACAGTCGGTCATATCGCCGAATCGAAGGAACGCCCGAGAAAGTGAGCGGTATTCTTTTTCGCTGAGTGGACGTTTCGGGTCCAACGATCCATTGTCCAAGTCCTCGCCATCCTCAATGGCGACTTGGGTTCTCGCTTGGCGCTTTGCCTTTCGCTCCTCTCGTGCATCAATCGAGTCTGAAGGCGCCTGGCGTTTGCGAGGTCGATTCTGTTCAATGACTTCGGCGAGATAGACATCATCCGCTTTACGCTTCTCCTCTGCTTTGAGCTCCTCGAGTTGGTCCTTGGGGATGATGTCGTCCCAGCTGAGATCATCAACCTTGATGTCAACAAAGTCGAACGCCTTCAAAAACTCCTCGCCACCGTCAGCTTGGATCTGTTCTGTCTCTTCTGTGTGATGTAACTCGGCATTCGCAAGGACAGAATCGATATCAAGTTGCTCAAGCTTCTTCTGGTTGTCGGTCTGCTCGAACATCTTCTGGCCACGGCGCTTGAGGATCCGCGAAATGTCATCGGTAGAGTTGGGTTCATTAACCACTCGAGCCATCTTGTTTTGCATTTCCGATGCTTCTTTGTCGGTGACACCGCGCTGGATGGTAATGAATTCAAGAAGAAGCTTATTACGAGCTCTTTCGATGACTTCTTCTTCAATTGTGTCTTTCGAGACAAGGCGGTATACGCTGACAGGCCTTGTTTGTCCAATTCGATGAGCTCGTGCCATGGCCTGCAAGTCGGCTTGAGGATTCCAGTCCGAATCGAACAAAACTACTGTGTCCGCAGTCATCAGGTTGATTCCGAGACCACCAGCTCGAGTAGAAAGAAGGAACGCAAAGTCGGTACTTTCGGGGGCATTGTAATGTTCGATAGCCAAGCGACGAGAAGCAGAGGGAATGGTTCCATCCAACCGCTGATACTTGTACCCGCGGTATTCCATGTATTCGCTTAGGATGTTGAGCATGCCAACCATCTGGCAGAATATTAGAACACGATGACCATCACCTCTCAATTTGCGAAGGAGCTGGTCAAGTAGCATCATCTTTCCGCTGCTGGTGATCATGGAGCGAAGAATGTCTTCACGGCGAGTACTTCCTTCCAGTATCTTGACCTCTGCATTGGGGAACATGAAGGGATGGTTGCTAGCTTTCTTCAACTCCATCATGATATTCAGAAGTGACTGCTTCATTCCCTTGGCGCCATCGTTCAGCGCAGCGTAATTCTTGGTTAAAATGTTTTTGTAGTACTCGAGCTGGACATCAGAGAGCTCGACTCGAATGATCTTTTCAGTCTTCGGTGGAAGATCAGACTCGACCTTCGATTTAGTCCGTCGCAACATGAAGGGTTGGATGGCATCAGTCAGCTCGGCGAGTTTCTGCGACGCCGCCTCAGCATTGAGATCCATGTCAACATCAACCTCAATCAGGCCGGGATTGAGGAAGTCCATCAACGATGATAACTCCGCAAGATTGTTCTGAATCGGAGTGCCGGTGATCAAGAGACGAGCTTGACATTTCCATTCCACCAACTTGACGTACAGCTGAGAGTCGCGATTTTTTAGTCGATGAGCTTCGTCAACTGCCATGAACTGCCATTTAAACTGGCCGAGAAACGGCGAGTCATTCATGGCATACTCATAGGTCGTCAATAAGACATGGAATTTTGGTCGCTTGGGGTTCCCATCCACCATCAACTCGTAGTCACGAAGGACAGCGCGTGCCCTTTCGCTGCCGTTGTAGACCACGTAATTCAGATCCGGCGTCCATGTGTCAAATGTCTCAGCCCATGCTGGCATGGTTGATAAGGGAACGATGACAATGAATGGTCCTTGTTGCCGTCGGACATGACGAAGCCAATTTATGAACGAAACAGTCTGCACCGTTTTCCCTAATCCCATTTCGTCTGCCAGGACCACATTGCGATCTCTCACCCAATTGAAAGCCAAAAAGTTGAGGCCTTTGACCTGGAAGTCCTTGAGCTCCCCGTTCTGCAGGAAGCTGGGCGAGTTATGAATGGGTTCAAATGACTTGCGTGTGGCCAGATTCGTTTCCATTTTATCAGAGACAGGATGGCGAGCGGAGCGATCCAAAAATCGGTCAATCTCACACTGTGCAATATCGCTGACCAACTCCTCCGGCTCCCATGTGCACGAATCGTAAAATAGGCGTTTCCATTTGACGAGGTATTCAGTCGTGCCATCTTCGCCTTCACGTACACCAATGACACGCTCGACATTTTTGTAGTCTTCGATTGCCTCGACATCTCGTTCGCGATCAAGGTTCCACTTTTCCCGGTCTTCAGGAGGAACATCTGGATCATGCTGCAGGCGGATGTCCTCATTGAGCACCTTTCGGACATAATTGTCAACGCGACGCGTGCTGCGATAGTTGACAAGGTAATCATTCGACTCCCATGTTGCATGATAATGTGATTTGTCTTGCCACTTTATGTAAAACTCAAAGTCGTGCCGATCGACATCAGGGTTTTCGGGGTCCACGCCTTCCCTGAGGCGATGGTTGAGAACGACGTCGACAGCAGGGCGGTTATCCTCAACTGGATTGTCCACCCAGTAGTTTTGTCCAAGATCTTCCGCTTCATCCTCGAACATTGAGTCATCATCATCCTCGTTGTAGGTTGGGACCTTGGAAGCGTTTCTGGTAGAGAAGCGAACCTCGCTAAACGAGGGCTCCAAGCCTGCAGCTTGCTCAAGGCGGCGCCGCCTCGCCTTGCTAGCACGAGCGCTTTTCCCGCCATATTCATCACTATCGGATTCAGAAAGCGACGTCACAGTACCCGACCGCGAGGCCTTGGAGGGTTGCTGTGATGGTTCTTTGCGCCGACGCTTGGAACGCGGTGCAACAACGTCGGACTCTGAATCGGAGGAGTCGGCGAGGCGGCGCGTTGGGCGCGCTCGACCGCTGCGTCGTAGCCCATACAAATCAGGGTTCTGTCTCATGAACTCGGTTTCATCCAGCGGCGACGATTTGCGCTTCATGCCGTGGTCGGGGTAGGACGATGAAAAATCTTCAGGGCCGGACACATTGCTCTCGTCGCCACTGTTCTCACCCACGGCATCTCCATCTTCTCCATCGGAATGAGACGCGACCTCATACGACTCGTCCGCAGCATCGGGTTCGGGAGAGGACTCGGTAACGGGATGGGACTCAGCGGGCTCAGACGGACTGCTTTCTTGCTTCGTGGCCACGTAGCCTTCGGTCCCAGCGTCGCCAGGTACAGGCAATCGATGATTACCATTTGGCATTGTCGAAGAGGACGGAGGTTCTTGAGCAGATGGGATCACCATGCTAGAGGCTATGACGGAGGGGCAGTCAGCATTGAAGCTCAATTGCAGCGTGCGCGAGTGTACAAGAAAGAGTAGTCAATAAAACAGCAATACGCGACTCTAATCGCAATAAAATCAAGCTTCAATGGGCATGATTCAGAGCAAGACATGTAGTTTGATGGGGTTAAATGTTTTTTGATGACGGGTGGGATGGACGCGGCCGTGACTGGAGATGGAGCAACAAGGCTGGCACACACAACCAGACTCGGCAAGGAGAATAGCATTCATTTCAGACCACCCAAGCGCAAAATATCCTCGATCTGAAAATATAGAGAAATCCCGAGGTTCTGGCAGTGGGTCGAGAAGCGCGAAGTACCCCGGTAACCGGTCGGAAGCCAGGTTGATAGATTTAGATAAGAAAATGAATAATCACTTACACTCCATAGCGTGGTGACCCCGCAATCGGGGAGACTATGGTATCAATGTGGGAAAGAAATGGTGGGTGGGAGCCGAAGCGTTATGGGCTGGGTGTGGAAGAGGAGACGAGACTTGAGGAAGAAGAGTTGGGGAGCGGATTGATTCGGTTTGGTTTGGTGCAAGGATCGGCAGGCGCCTCAGCCGTCAGGCACAAACTGTCCTGACGGGCGGACTCGCTTGGAGATCATGTGACTCCGGCTGTACGGTTTCTCCGAGGAAAATTTAGAAAGCCAATCAGCGCGTCGATAAATAATTTTCGGCCTCAGGCAAGACAGCCCACAATCCCAAAGAAACAGGCATTGAATTCTACCCCTCCATTGAGATTGTTTCTTTCGCCCTATCAGCCAGCTCGAGTCTGCGCAGAATCTTTGGTGCTTTTTTCGCGCCCCGTTGATTTAGCTGCGGCGGTCTTTTCTTCTTCTCTTTCCCGTCGATTCGACGACATCCTTCCACAAGAAAAAGACCTAAGAACATTGTTGCCCGAATACGTGACAGGTTCTTTGAACTAAATCTGCCGCCATGACTGACAAGCTGACGCGGTATGTCTTCGAAATACTTTCCACATTGAACTGCACGCCTCTAATAGTCTTTTTTTTTGTTCTACAGTATTGCGATTGTCAACAGTGACAAGGTTCGTCACGAGTCCCCCCGCTGAGCACGCTTGCTCGCTCCGACTGCTTTTCCCGAGTCTGGCTGACACGAAACCTCTCCGATCTACAGTGCAAACCGAAGGTATGGATATTGGCTATATTCTGGGGATACTCGTTGAGACTAAGTTGTTTAGAAATGCCGTCAAGAGTGCAAGAAGTCGTGCCCTGTGGTCCGCACGGGTAAGCTGTGCATTGAGGTCGCCCCCGACTCTAAGATCGCCTTCATCTCCGAGCGGCTGTGTATTGGTTGTGGTATCTGTCCCAAAAAGTGTCCTTTCGGTGCGATTCACATCATCAACTTGCCCACCAACCTGGAGACCCAAGTTACGCACCGTTATTCGGCCAACAGTTTCAAGCTTCACCGTCTGCCCATGCCACGTCCCGGCCAGGTCCTGGGTCTTGTCGGAACCAACGGTATTGGCAAAAGTACGGCATTGAAGATTCTTAGCGGCAAATTGAAGCCCAATTTGGGCCGCTATGAAAACCCGCCTGATTGGGAGGAGATCCTGAAGTACTTCCGTGGTTCGGAATTGCAGAGTAAGTAGCACTTGCTCAGCATGAGACCAACATAGTCTTAACCAATCGAATAGACTACTTCACCAAGGTTCTCGAAGACGATCTGAAGGCTGTTGTGAAGCCTCAGTATGTCGATCAGATCCCGCGAGCCGTGAAGGGGCCTGTCCAGCAGGTGCAGGAGCTCATCAAGTCGCGTGTGCAATTGGACAACCTGGATGAAATCATGGACGTTCTCGGTACGAAGAAATTCATGTCTTCTCAGTCCATGGACGTGTGCTTATCATTTCACAGAGCTGAGGCAGGTTGCGACCCGTGATATTAGCCAGCTTTCCGGTGGTGAACTGCAGCGTTTTGCCATCGGTCTTGTCTGTGTGCAAAAGGCCGACGTGTAAGTGGATATTCAGTAGCACTAGTTCGTCGGTTTCGGTCTAACGGCGTCTCTTCCAGGTACATGTTTGACGAGCCTTCGTCTTATCTTGATGTCAAGCAGCGTCTGGCTGCTGCCCGAACTATCCGAGGTCTTCTACGCCCCGATGACTATGTCATTGTTGTTGAGCACGATTTGTCTGTTCTGGATTATCTTTCTGACTTCATTTGCGTGCTTTACGGCCGCCCTGCTGTCTATGGTGTCGTGACTCTACCCTCCTCCGTTCGTGAAGGTATCAACATCTTCCTTGACGGTCACATCCCCACGGAGAACCTTCGATTCCGAGAGGAGTCTCTTACCTTCCGTCTTACGGAAGCTGGTGATGACTTTATCGCGGACAGGGGTCGTGCCTTCAGCTATCCTTCGATGGAGAAGACTCTCGGCAACTTCCATCTCCGAGTCGATTCCGGAAGGTTCACTGACTCCGAAATTGTCGTCATGATGGGTGAGAATGGAACGGGAAAGACTACTTTCTGTCGTATGATGGCTGGTGCCGAGAAGCCGGACGGCACCGTTTCTGTTCCCAAGATGAACATCAGCATGAAGCCTCAGAAGATTACCCCCAAGTTCCAGGGCACCGTGCGCCAACTTTTCTTCAAGCGTATCAAGGCCGCTTTCCTGTCCCCGCAATTCCAGACTGATGTCTACAAGCCTCTGCGAATGGACGATTTCATCGACCAGGAAGTTCAGAACCTGTCCGGTGGTGAATTGCAGCGCGTTGCCATCGTCTTGGCTCTGGGTATGCCCGCTGATATCTACCTGATTGACGAGCCCAGTGCCTATTTGGACTCCGAGCAGCGTATTGTGGCTGCCCGCGTGATCAAGCGGTTCATCATGCACACTAAGAAGACCGCTTTCATTGTCGAGCACGATTTCATCATGGCAACCTACCTGGCTGACCGTGTCATCGTCTTCGATGGCAAGCCGTCCGTGGATGCGCGCGCCAACACCCCCGAGTCTCTGATCACTGGATGCAACAGGTTCCTCAAGAGCTTGGATGTCACGTTCCGTCGTGACCCCAACAGCTACCGCCCTCGTATCAACAAGTACCAGAGTCAGATGGACCAGGAGCAGAAGTTGAACGGCAACTTCGTAAGTAACCGAATCATTTCCCCGATGATACCATGCTTGTGCTAACTTTTGTCGCGAATAGTACTTCCTGGAAGAAGAGAGTTAAAAAGGGCGTTTTTCATGAGCATTACCGCCGTCGTCACGATCGTGATGACCGCGATTTCGACCAGCGGCGCAATGGGCGCCGCGGCAACAGGAAAATCATGTGGTTAATGGCGTTCCCCGGCGTTTTCGGAGCCTCGGCGGTCCAGGGCAAAAGCCGCCGTCGTCGCCGTGGGCTTGGAGCCGGCGACGAGGACAGTTCTTCGGAGGATGACGAGGACGAGGATGATGACTCTGGCGGCGACGACCACCCTGGTTAGAAGGCAGTGGCCTGCCTCATACACATACCTGCCAGCCTCATACGTTCGTCTTGTATCCTCCAAAAAAAATCACCGGTCATCTATCAAGATATGTCAAGAGTCTCGCCTTGCGACCTGCCCTATTGAGCTCCGGTCTTCGATCAGCATATCCAGAGATTTATTTCTGGCACCCGGATAGGAACATTTATGTCTCCGGATCTTTCATCAATCCTCTTTGATTCTTAGTGCGGGGGGGGTCTTGTTCCATTGGAGTTCTTTCTTTTATTTCAATGCTGGGTCCAAAACAAAAGCTCTTCCATGACTTTACGATCGGTATAAAAATGGCTTTTTTGGGGGTATGATCATTCCGGGCTGAGGGATGGCATGAGGATGGGGCCCTGCTGAAAAGCTACTGGGTTTGATGTGCTTTCTCTCTACTGATCGCATCAATGCTTGTTCCTAGAATTTATTCTCTGTCTGGTTTTCAAGTTCATGTTTTATTGTTCCGATGCACATTGTCTAAAATATAGTTCCCCTTTCCAGCCGAACAGATGGACCACTCGATGTTTAGTAGATTCGACTCTCTTGCGGGGTCACTAGATCCATAGTAATATTCCCTCGACGTAAGCCATCTCGCAGAAATTGTGGCAGTCCCTTCGGCCATGGGTGGCCAACTCGATTGCCCGGTAGCAACACCCGCTACCAAGAAGCTCAATATGGAGACGAATCATGAACAGCAACCACCCCTTTTCGATGACATCAATCCCAAGTTAGCTGCTGTCTCATGATCTCTTTTCTAAATAAAATTAATTAATTAATTCCTGCAAACTATATAAATGGAATGGGTGGCAGCTTAATGAGCTGGATGGCAAACCCCAGAAATACAAGGCAAATATCCCGAACTTCAACACCATCCCACTGGGGAAAAGAAATGTCATCTTTCAACAGTTTCCAAGCTCTCCTTGACCAACAGGTCGGGACACTGCCAAAGCCGGCATGGCAGCCTGCTCCAGGTACATGAACCATTGCTATTGGGAGGTTCCGCTGTATATATTTCAGGCCCAACTCACATAAGCATATGACCCAGAAAAACCCAAGAAGCAGAGACCGATTCCCATTAACTCGTTGCGCTTGCAGGGGGCAGCTTGGGCCTCCGCGGGAGGTGGTATGTATGCGACGCTGCACGGGGTTTATCGGATCTTTCGAAACTTTCGTGGACTGAGATATATCTGAGAATCTTGAGATTGGAAAAATTCATCGGCGAAATTGGCTCTTATTGATGTCTTCTGCGATTCAGTTGGATGCCTTTAAATATAGAAGAAGATTCGAGTCCGAGAATATTTATCATGGAACTTTGCATAGCCAGGACCAGATGAGTTATTTTACGGATCGAGACTATTCAAGAGCAGAACTATAGAGAACGCGGTTCTGAATACAATGGCCATATTTACCACTGCAGATCAACAAAATCAAGAGAAAGCAGCTTCGTATTGCTGAAAAAAAACACTATATTGCAAGACTCGAGATTCGAATCAATACTTGAGTCACAAGAGATCATTCCATCTGGGTGTTCTCCGAGTGAATAAACAAAGGCAAGAGGCCTCGGACAAACACCGTATTGGCATCTATTCATCCTCCTCGATCTCGCCTTCCTCGCTGCCTGAGTGAATCGCTTTCTCATCCTTCTTCGCATCTTCCTCAGGGATAGCAGGACGTTCACTGGCGCGATCCTTCCGCGAGCCCTTGCTACGATCCCGCTCCCGGCTATCACGGCGGTATCGCTTCGCAGACCGACTAGTCACGCTTTCTGAGTCGCTCTCACGCCTGCGCCGACGATCTCCACTCGGCGTACTACGGGAGTCGCCCCCGTAGTCAAGCTCATCGCGGCTACCACGCGGATCACCACGAGCGCGGTAGAGGCGCTCACGCTCGTCCTCGCGCCGGTCCAAGTCCCGGTACGATCGAGAGCCGCGGTCGTTGTCACGGTCTCTGTCGCGCTCCCGGTAGCGATCGCGGTCGTCACGACGGTCACGGGGTGGTGGCGAGAACCCGCTGACCTTTCGGTAGGATCGTTCACGGTCTGCCTGTGCTTTGCGGCGGTCCGCTTCATAGGCATCCGGCTCCGGCGTGCGGCTGACGCGACTACTTGTTCCCCTCCGCTCTCCCCGGCTGCTGCGGTAGTCACGGTCACTGCGGTCGTAGTCCCGCCGACTTCCACGGTCTCGATCGCGCAGATCGCGATCTTTGTCGGCATCCTCCTCTTTTTCTTTCAGGCGACGAATGACTTTATCGAATGCAGTCTCGCGGAGCTCGTCGGATTCAACGGCTTTATACTCCTCATATTTCTCGAGCTGAGGCTGTACCTGGTCCCAAGTATCCGTAACACGAACGGGAGGCTCCAGGCGCTTGATCCGAGAGCGCAGGGCATCGACGGCACGTCGCTGGTGGCGATCTGCCGCATGTTTCTCTTCTTCATTCCGCCTAATCGCCTTGTCTTGGATACGATGGAAGATAAGAGCAAGGATATCCGAGTCGATCTTGTAAGTGCGGCGGTCACAGAGAATAACCGTATTAAATTCCTCGAGAGTGGTGCTGGGGGTGACTTCAAATCGTTTGTCCTGTAGTACGTCAGTATATGTCAAAACGATCGAAACTTCAATGGGTGATGCTCACATCAAGAGCGTCCAGGATATCATTGCGAGGACCACGTAGCGAGCGCTCTTCTTCCTCTAACATATCCCAAAACAAGTCCAACGGAGTGGACCCAGCCTGGCCCAGCATTGCTTGATACCGCGGATCATTTTGAATCATCGGACAGATGTTCATCCATTTGCTGCCCGCCTTGATCTTGCCCTGGCTCCTTAGCTCCTTGAGCAGCTCCAGGAATTGCTCTCGGTTGCGCCGCTCCTTTCTGGCCTTGACTGCTTTCTGCTGTTGACGGGCATCGTTGAATTCGCGTTCCAACGACTTGATGTGATTTTCAAAGGCAGTTAACATGTCAGACTTGCTCAGGGTTTTGAACTTATCATCGCTCTGAACCCTGTCATTTGCCTGAATGATCGCCTGGGCTTCCGACCAGCGCGTGTACGGCTCCAGACCTAAAGATCCCATGATGTTCACCAACTCATCCATAGCAGACTTGCGTGTTACAGCTTCCTGTGCAATATGCGCTTTCTTGAGTTCGACAACATACTCCTCAAAAAGCTGGTGCCTCTCGTTTTCATCGTTGGTAGCTCTGAAAGTAGTCTCTCCTTCGATGATAGGCCGAATAGTCTTCCATCGACTGTAATGCTTGATTTCAGGATGCCGCTTCAGCATAGTATTGAAATCTGCTCGGAGCTTAGCGAATCTTTCTTTCGCCCGGTCCTTTTCCTGCATGCGAACCTCGACCGCATACTTCTCAAATGCTGCCTTGCGGTCTCGCGGGTCCTTGAGGGCACGGTACTGTGGATCTTTGATCGTCACCCGCATTGTCTGTTCCCAAGTCCAATCAGGCTGGACATTGTGACGCTTGAGCATTTTCGTAAACGCGCTTTCCGCTTCTTCCAGGGAGCTGTACTCGGGCTCAGCCTGGGTTCCCAATACTGGCGCAGCAACCATGCCATTGGTATCCATAGGGCCGTATCCACCACGCCGATCAGGGAATCCTCGGTCAAAATCATCACGATCACGCTGGTGCGGCTGCGAGGGGAAGGAGGTCGTACCGCCTGCGACAAAAGACGGGGCACTACAATGATATCAGTGATGAATACTCAAATTAAAGAGCACGTATTACTCACGCGACGGGGGAGCAGGAGCAGCTGGAGCCTGTGCGAGCGCATTTTTATAAACTTCGGGCATCTCCCACGTGCTTTGCTTGCTCTCGGTATTATACCAGTATTTGCGCCCACCCTCTGCAGTGTATTCCTTCCATGGCTGATCTGCCAAAGCGCGCTAGAAAAGTGAACAATCAGGTAAGTTGATGTCAAGACTCGGGGCAGGTGTGGGCGCTCACCTCAACTGGTGTCATCAGCTCATTGGGCTTTGTCCACTGAGTCACTTTGGTCTGCACGTTGTAGTAATATGGGCGACCATCGGAGTTGCGCGCCTCCTGCCACAGAGCTGGTGGCCCTGATGGGCCGCTCATTGGATTCATGACTGGCAGATGCGAATAGTCGGTGGAGAAGAGAAAAGCGAAGCGCATAATCAAGCTCAAGGTGTTTGCGGTGTTTGCATTGTTTGCATATCAGCTATCACTATCGTGGAGATCTCCTGGTTGCCTCAACACCACTAAAACAGAGGCTCCTATGTGAGCGCATTCGCAATGCCTGGATTGGAGATTCCTGGCGAGTTCCTGCGAAATGCTGTTTTGGACACGGTGGTACCCCACGCCCCCGGCTTCGATGTCGAGGGAGCGCTGAGTTCGGCCCTGGAGGACGGAGCCGATGATCTCCCCTCGGTCCTCTCCTCCATACCACAGCGGACTCTGCTGTTTTTTGGTGTGTGGAATCTTTCCAATTTTCAATTATTTGTTTAATGCTAATCAAGGTGTGCTGTAGATGAGTTCCTCCCAGTGCGCATTGTTCTGCGGCTGTCCGATTGCACCGAGGCTATTTTGAAGCACTGCTTGCCACAACTGGAAGTCAAGCTGGATGTATTTGCTATTGATCCAGCAGAGTCGGTTGCTGATAACCCAACACCCACGAGAGAGGTCATATTCTCGGGGGTTGTAAGCGGAGAGGAAGACCCGCTGGTGGTGTTCAACGAATTCGAGGGCGACGAGGGGAGTGGGAACCACGTCTACTTAGTATGGAATATCGAAAGCTTCTTGAGTGAGTTTGCTTCTGAGTTGTGTGCAGACAAGTCCTGTACTGACTATAGCGAAGGACGTCCTCGGAATCGCATTCAACACCCCTCTCTATTATTCATTGCCTCCGCTAGCTTGAATCCGTCTGAAGGCCGTCCACAAGAAGAATCAGAAGATGAATATCTCCCTCCGCTCATTCCAGCATCGACGAATATCCTGCAGCCCCTATCCGGTGATAAATCATTGACCCAGAGAGAGCCCTTCCTTCCTGCATCGAGGCTCCTCCGTGTGGTACCGACAACATACAGCGAGGACCCCATATACAATGTCCAGCAGCAACATGGACACCCCTTTCGTGTTGTACCCGCTGCTAGTGCGAGAATCCGCTACTCGCGTCTGAATTCTTACTCGGGCCTTCCGACGACCATCGCCAGCCTCGACTTCGAAGTGACCCCGTTTCTCAACTGCGAGGTCTCGTTTGATAAAGCGGATCTTCACCTGTCCGATGGGACCATGGAACCACTTTCGGATATCCCTGGTCTGATTCTTCCTCTGACTTGCCGCCCTCGAGACGATGTGACCCTCGTATACAAGCTCACTCCCGAGTATGGCCCAGAAACCAATCCCTCCTCGACGGCCATGATCAGCACATTGGACATTTCCCTTGGGGCAGTCATCCTTTTGTCTGATAATTGTAAGCCACGCGTTTCCATGGAATGGCGGACGAATGTGGACTTTTCCATGGCGCTGAACCCGACGTTCGGGGGGCCCAGTCAAGCACTACAGAGGAGTAATCGTCCTACAAGCCTGCCCATGACACCGGGCCAGTCGACTCAACCGGGATCAGCCACAGCAAACCGAAGCTCTCTGCGAGAACGAGCATATTCGGTCACTGATGTCGGCGTCACAATCTCGTTCTCCGGGCCCCTTCGCGTGGAAGTTGGCTCTCCATTTTCCTGGGATGTTTTCATTGTGAACCGATCAAGCGTCCCCCGAAAGTTTGTGTTGATTGCTATTCCACGACGGAAACGTGTAGACCCACGCGGGCACGTCGCTCGGCCTTCGTCATCCTCGATCTCCAGTCGAAAAGATGACCATGTGGCTGAGGCTGTGACTGACGATAATATTGTGCATGCGATGCAGAAGAGTGTTGCAGGCCAGGAGGCCGAGTTGGTCAGTTTAAGCACGGACATTCGTGTTGGGTAAGTTGCTTTGTCGATGTTTGTCTTTTGAGGTGGACCTAACACAGCTTGCAGTCCTCTTCTCCCTGGAACCTGCCACTCGACCGAGATCACACTTCTTCCTTTAGCCACGGGCCCGCTCCATCTGGAAGCAGTCCGGCTCGTGGACGTGAATACGAACGAAACGACCGACATTCGAGATCTTCCGGACATTGTGGCGGATGATCAGCCGCGCGCATCTTCTCGTTGAAGTGCGTGAGAATGGCATTGCTGTACATAGATTCATAGTGCATAGGTATATCGAATAAAAAAAAAAAAAGCCAAGACCTTATCAAGCTACCGAACATCCAATGCCGAGATCGCAGCGAAAATGTGGAGACCGTGGAGATGTCGGGCGTTGCAGTTGGCCAGGTGACTAGTTAGTCATGAGCAAGGCGGAGTCGCTTCATCCACTTTCCTGGGGAAATCCTCTTCTGTGAGAGTCTTTGAATTGCTTCATCCCTCGCCTCCTTTCTCCCTGAAGAATCACGATCCCCGGGACTCTTGTATTCGCTAAGTCTGGGTTTGCTCTGAATTTGCGTCATACTGGCGCGCAGGTCTGGGATCCATCTCTCCGACCGGAAATCTTGCCTTCAACCATCTCGCTTCTATAAAGCTGTCGGATACAGTGTCCTCTCTTATCATGATTGCCTCCGCCAAACGGAAAGTTCTTGATGGACTGAACCGCAGATACATTTACGGTCGCGTGGTACGTCTCTTCTCTCCCAGCGCCCGGGTCGCCCTCCCTTCGGTCCCCAATCCGTGAGAGCCGAGAACCTGACAGTGTCGTCATCTCTATATAGCCTCTCCTGCACACGATCATCTTCTTAATCGAGATGGCGGTAGCGACCCGGATTGCTGCCAAATTCAACACTTATTATGCCGAAAAGCCAGGTAAGGCTGCTATCCGCCGCCTCCCGTCCGGTGCAACCCACGACTGACAATGCTGGCGGTAGTGCTCACAACTATGGTCACCAACGCCGTAAGCCTCCTTGATACTCGGAATATGCAATATTTTGTGCCTTGAATTTGTGGCTGACAATGATACCGGTTCATCTAGGTATTGGGTGGCGTCGCCGATACCGTTGCGCAGCTGATCACGGCCGTCAAGGCTCGCTCTCAACAGAGAGGATCCGAGGGTGGCGATGACTTCATTTCTATTGAAATTCATGACTTGGACAAGGAAAAGCCTCCAGTTGTCGGGGAGGTAGGACCTGTTCGAACCCCGCTGCCGCCATTCGACTTTGAGCGCCTGACGAGGTTCATGGCGTATGGATTCTTCATGGCCCCGGTGCAATTCCAGTGGTTTGGGTTCTTGTCCAGAGCCTTTCCACTGACCAAGGCAAACCCGACTGCTCCGGCGTTCAAGCGGGTTGCCTTTGACCAGTTCATCTTTGCCCCCTTCGGTATGGGAATCTAGTCCTTGCTTAGGGAAAGATCTATACTAACACGAGTTCTAGGTCTGGCTTGCTTCTTCAGCTTCATGACCATAGCAGAAGGTGGCGGCAAGAGGGCACTAACACAGAAGTTCCGTGATGTGTACATGCCGACGTTGAAGGCCAACTTTGTGCTCTGGCCGGCGGTGCAGATCCTCAACTTCCGTGTCGTCCCGATCCAATTTCAGATTGTGAGCTGCCCATACTATTCTCAGGAGAAGGAAAAGACTGCTAACAGTTCCATCTAGCCCTTTGTTTCCTCTATTGGTATCGCGTGGACCGCGTACCTGTCGCTGACCAACTCCTCTGAGGAGTCTTAATTAACATCCTTGGATGCCGGTTAATCCGCATCTCACGTTCACGAAACCCTCGGGTTATACGCTCCAACGCTATTGCTGTTTAATTGTTCAGGCGCTTGGTCCACGGTTCTGGCTTGCATCGTGTGTACATTTTCTTAGTTCTTTCCGGACGGGGAGGGTTTGGCTTTTGTTTTGAAAAGGTTTCGGTTTTGCATCTTGGGAAGATTGATTCACGTTATGTTTTGCGGTTCTTGTGGGCAACGTGTATGGGTTTTCTGTTTTTCTCGAGGTTCAAGGGTCATGGCTACTTTTTTTTTCAACACGCACTTGGATTTCACACATACAGAAATGTGACCGTAGCGGCTCTAGACAGGTTCCTGCATGGGCGATAGAGCCCGAATCCCCCGAATCCGAGGCTATTGAGGACCTCACGGCCGGCCTGTTCCGCATCAACGGCATCTCTGACATCAGTCCCGCGTCAGCCCGAATGGTCTCCCCGGAGGAAGTCGGATGACATCAAGGCCAGGTACCAAAGCCCAGGGAATACCTGAAATTTAGTCAGTTCCTAGCCGCTGCTGAAGTACCCTGAAGGATTGGTTACTTCCACGGGAAGTACCAACTGGATGCGGTCGCTGGCCTCACCGGGCCCCACCAGGGCTTCCTCCCACCCCGCCGTCCAATCTTTACTGATCGCGACTCACCGTGACCTGATTTAGTTCTGAGTATTCCACTCTCTGTGGCCCTCCCCCTTTTTCTTCCTTCTCTACTACATCTCCTCTGTTGTCCAGGTACCAAACCATAAACACCCTCTCAGGTGAACTGCCATCACTGACGACATAGACCCCCACCATGTCTCTCTCCAACAAGCTGAACATCACCGACGTCGACCTCAAGGACAAGCGAGTCCTGATCCGGGTACGTCATATGTGGTTTGTACCCCGCCACCAATTGACAATTGCTAACACTCTGCTCTTCCCCAGGTCGACTTCAACGTCCCCCTCGACGAGAACAAGAATGTCACCAACCCGCAGCGCATTGTCGGTGCCCTGCCCACCATCAAGTATGCCATTGACAACGGCGCCAAGGCTGTGGTGTTGATGTCCCACCTGGGTCGCCCGGACGGCAAGCCCAACCCCAAGTACAGCCTGAAGCCCGTCGTGCCCGTGCTGGAGAAGCTGCTGGGCAAGAGCGTGGCCTTCACTGAGGACTCCGTCGGCCCACAGACCGAGGAGACCGTGAACAAGGCGTCCGGTGGCCAGGTCGTTCTGCTGGAGAACCTGCGTTTCCACGCCGAGGAGGAGGGCAGCTCCAAGGACGCCGAGGGCAAGAAGGTCAAGGCCGACAAGGAGAAGGTCGCCGAGTTCCGCAAGGGACTGACGGCGCTGGGTGACATCTACATCAGTACGTGAATGCTCTCCTGTGATGCATTTGGGCGACTGTCACTAACTATTTTTTCTTTTCTTCTATTTAGACGATGCATTCGGTACCGCACACCGTGCACACAGCTCGATGGTTGGTGTCGAGCTGCCCCAAAAGGCCGCCGGTTTCCTCGTGAAGAAGGAGCTGGAATACTTCGCCAAGGCCCTGGAGAACCCTCAGCGCCCCTTCCTGGCCATTCTGGGAGGCGCCAAGGTGTCGGACAAGATCCAGCTGATCGACAACCTGCTGCCCAAGGTGGACAGCCTGATCATCACGGGTGGCATGGCTTTCACTTTCAAGAAGACGCTTGAGAACGTCAAGATCGGCAACAGTCTGTTCGACGAGGCCGGAAGCAAGATCGTCGGCGACATCGTCGAGAAGGCCAAGAAGAACAACGTCGAGATCGTCCTGCCCGTCGACTACGTGACCGCCGACAAGTTCGCCGCGGATGCCAATGTCGGCTCGGCCACGGACGCCGACGGCATCCCCGACGGCACCATGGGTCTGGATGTTGGCCCCGAGAGTGTCAAGAAGTACCAGAAAACCATCGGCGAGGCCAAGACTATCCTGTGGAACGGCCCCCCCGGTGTCTTCGAGATGAAGCCCTTCGCCAAGGCCACCGAGGACACGCTCGAGGCCGTGGTCAAGGCCGCCCAGTCTGGCTCGATTGTCATCATCGGCGGTGGTGACACCGCCACCGTTGCCGCCAAGTACAACGCCGAGGACAAGCTCTCGCACGTCTCGACCGGTGGCGGTGCCTCGCTCGAGCTTCTGGAGGGCAAGGAGCTGCCCGGTGTTGCTGCTCTGTCCAGTAAGTAAATAAATCAACAAAGTCAATAAGTGAAAAGGGGGAAGATGGAAGGCAGATGTATGATCGTCTCGGGCTCCACCCTTTCTACTTTCCAGTCAAACATTTTCATGAAACTGTAATGTACACAGCCAAATACTTCTTTTTTTTTTGTCTATCAAGCCATAAAAATTTTTCCAAAGTGTTCAGATTATGCCTGCGAGGTCCGACGCTAAGAATTTGGTTCTTAGATACAAGACCGAAGCTCTAAATGGCGGTCAGGTTGGCCGGTTATTGGGAACCCTGTCGCTTGTGTGCATAGCCATTGCATCTCTACGGGGGGGAAAGGAATTGCAGCTTCAATACCAATTCCACTCATGAAAGACATAGAATGGGACCTGGTATTTCAACAGATTGGATGTGCCCATCATGTGCCAGTTCCCCGTTCCAAGTATACCATATACCATATATAGCTTGCTTGAGGAAGGCAGTTCGCACGGGATGTGTGGCGCACTACTGAGAGAGAAACGGAGAAGACAGGTGCCCTGACGGTTGCAGGGAGTAACAAGGTAACAAGTCCGTTGGACTATTTCAAAACCACATTTTCGTGGTGGGAGTCAATTACTATTTGGGTGGCCACTCTTCCATCGATTCCAGAACAAGAAGTTAGGGGTATAGTGTGCGCGAGGCAGGAGTCGGGGAGAAGGGATTACATCCGGGAGTCCGAAGCGAGATGTCTTTTCTTCTTTTCCTTTCTTTTGTTGTTTTCAGACGCTTGCGTGTTCGTTTTGCGGTCTAGTCTAGCTCGATGCTTCGACCTTCTTCAGTTCCTCACTGTGGATGGCAAGTGGGTTAGCCTCTGGGTAATCACATATGCTTGGGGAGATGAGAAGGTAAAGGCATGATGGCAGAGGTAGCTGTGTGTGTCGCAAGGACGGTGAGATGGCCAGCCCATCTGAAGTCGAAGTCGGTGTTTTGGAAATCAAAATAAGGAAACAGAGAGAGAAAAAAAAGCAACGCACTTGAGCTGCTTCGAAAAATCCTCTGCGGCATCATCGTCGTCCCAGCTCTCCTCCCACAGATGCTCGCTGCCGCCGTTTGCCGCCGATCCGGAGGGCTGCTCGGCTTCTTCCTGGGGCCAGTCTGTGTGCAAGGCCGATGTCAGCATGTCATTCTATCACTTTTATATATTTCAAAGAAGCTTGCGCTTGGATTGAGCCGAGGGAAGGGGGAGAAGAGACAGATTGTACCTTCGACAGGGAAATCCTCGAACTCGTCGTCTTCCTCCAGCACTTGGGGCTTCTGAGCCTGCTGGGTCTGGTCGGAGGGCTCCTTGTTCTGGGCCTGGGTGGAGTTCGACATGGTGAGTGAGTGGGAGAGGAATGGGAGATCGAACTGGAGAGGTCGAGATGGCAGTTGGAGGTGTTAAGATGGAGCAAGGGAAGCAGGTCTTAGTCAGAGAGATGGCGATAGGCGATAACGCGATGCCCAGGTCTTGTCCCATACAGTCTAGATTGCAGTGTTAGTATAGAATACAAGTAAATGGGGTCTAAATTAGAAGATCTATTGACTTATTGAATTCTCTAAATTTATGAAGTATAGAATATTATGAACGTGAATAGCCCCAGATGCCCGTAGTCCTCGGCACTTATGACGATGTCCATAGCCACATTGCCCGACCCCACGGTGAGATTCTTGCCGGCCTTATCGCCCCCCGATCTTGATTTCTTCTCTCCCAAGCGTTTTCTCTTTCGTCTTCCCTTTGTATATTTGTGATGATTTGGATGTTCTCGGAAGTTGGGCTCCGATTCACATGGCCTTGACATTCTTCCCGATCCGTCGTTTTCTCTTTTCGGGTTTGACATGAACGTGTGGTAATTCACCACTCTTTTTCTTTTCTTTTCTTTTTTTCCTTTCCTTTCCTTTATCTTCCTGGGCCATTCAATATGTTGCGAGTCGGCTCGTGGCTGTATGGCAAGAAGCCAGCCAGCGCTTCAACGCAGTCGCTGGACTCGCTGGTGGAATCGAAGGATTGTGAGTGCCGAGTTTCTTTGTGTTTGGGGACCGCGGAGACGATGGGACAATGAGTTGGTTGCAGATTGGCTGACCGCGGGAAATCTGGATGAGGGATAGTGGACGAAGCGATGAAAGGTAACGCCCTGTTCCTGAATGCACCATCGAACATGGCCCCCGACTAATCGACACAATCTTAGCGGCCACTTTAATCCTGAATGATGATGTCGATGGCGCTGAAAATGGCCTCGCCAAGGGCACTTCTTCATTTCACAATGTGGGTGTTGACACCTCGCCAGACTATGAGGCTATGATGTAACGCTTTGATGGGGTCCAGTGCGCTGACGGGCATTTCGCGGTGGGCAGCTGGGAAAGGGCGTGGTGGCATTTGTCCGAGCTACGCTGGGTTTTGAGCAGGAAATAATGCGACAAGGTCAGCGCGATCCCCTTCTCAATGTTATACTGCGAATTTCTCTGACTCCCAGCAGCATCGGAACGTCTGAGCGAGGCGGAGACGACTGCCGCAAGCGATCAGTACCGCGCTCAGCACAATTCTCACGCCCCAAATGCCTTCCATTCGGAGATTTATACTGCGGGCACCGAATATGCGCTTTGCCAGGCTATTGCGCAACTCATGAGTGCCGTTGTCGGAGTATTGAACGAGAGTTTGACAGAAAGCATCAAAGCATTCTATAGACTGCGCAAGGCTTATATCACCCTGGACGCGATTCTGAAGATGGAAGAGAAATTTATGGAGCTGAGAGAGCCAGGTCAGGTCCTGCACGCGAGCTCCAGTGAACTTGGCAAGTCCCGGGCCTCTCCACATAAGTCAGCGGACAATTTGAGCCTGTCATCGGTCACCAAGGGTTCAACAGCCACCCATGCAGCGGCTGAGGGCAAAGCGACTACCGAGACTTTAAGTGGCTTGACTATAAACCAGGAACCCAGTTCCTCTAATGCCTCCACGGGCGCCTCCACACCCAACGGGACACACAAAATCAACCATGATCCCGACTCAGACATCTTCAAGAATGAGATCGACGTCTTTATTCATTCGGGTGCCAATTTCTGTTTCGGTATTCTCCTCCTACTAATCTCCATGGTGCCCCCTGCGTTCAGCAAGCTTCTCTCCATTATTGGATTCTATGGCGATAAGCAAAGAGGCCTAAGGATGCTCTGGCAAGCCAGCAAGTTCCACAATTTGATCGGGGCCATGTCCGCCCTCTCACTTCTGGGCTACTATAATGGCTTTGTCCGTTATTGTGATATCATGCCTGATCCAACTCCCGGCGAAGGTGACGTGGAGGGGTATCCACAGGAAAGGCTGGCTGCTCTGCTGGCGGAGATGCGGTCCCGTTTCCCGAACAGTCGGCTTTGGCTCCTCGAGGAATCGCGGATGAAAGGAGCCAATAAGGATCTGGATGGAGCACTGGAAATGCTCTGTACGAAGAACAAGAGCCCTCTCAAGCAGGTCGAGGCTCTGTGCGTGTTTGAGAAGAGCTTGAACGCACTCTTTCTTCACAGATACGACGTCTGCTCCGAGGCGTTCCTGGAGGTGAGTAATCTACGACCATGGTCTATCCCAACTACCCCATTTCCGATGGAAGGCTGACTGCTGGTTGCTGTAGTGTGTTGAACTCAACTCCTGGTCACGCTCGCTTTATTACTACATTGCCGGATCTTGCCATGTCGTCCGTTACCGTGAATTCATCACATCCGATCCAAAGCGCGCAGAGGAACATGCCAGCAAGGCTGCCGAATACATTCGGCGGGCACCTCCCCTTGCTGGCAAGAAGAAATTTATGGCTCGACAACTCCCCTTTGACGTGTTTGTCTCGCGGAAAATCGCCAAATGGGAGGCACGAGCCAAGGACTGGGATGTGCCCCTCGTGGACGCCATCGGCGTGGATCCAATTGAGGAGATGATCTTCTTCTGGAACGGTCACAGCCGCATGACTCGGGAACAACTGGAAGAGTCTCTAACGCACCTGGCGTGGTGCGAGGGCGAGGCCAACCAAACATGGTCCCGCGAAGGCCCGGAAGAGAAAGCTATTTTGGACCTACTCCGCGCGGCCGTTTTTCGATCACTGCATAACCACGAAGAAGCCAAAAGCATTCTGCAGACCCGCGTGCTGAACCACGACAAATCCCTGTTCAAGGGCCACCTCAAAGATGACTGGATCCACCCGGCCGCACATTTCGAAATGGCGGCTAACTTGTGGATGGAGCGTCCGGGTTACCTGACACTCCATGGGCTCCTAACCACAGACGGTGACACTTCTTCCCAGGAGACTTCTGACACGGAGCGAAAGCTGGTGACCGAGTGCAAAGAATACTTGGACCATGCTGCCCGGTGGGAAGGTTACGAACTGGATGCGCGCATCGGGCTCAAAGTGACTGCGGCCCTAGAAGCGGTCGGGCACTGGGAGAAAATGCACCCTGCATGAGAGTCGATGCACATTTTGACTGTACCATATACGCCCCTCTCCAATAGAGTAGAAAATCTGGGTTAGATATGACTTTACTATACAAATGAAACTTGGTCGATCCCTTTGTCTCTCCACACACAGCTTGGCAACCCCCCACTCTCTCCAACGGCTCGGATCGGCCGACTTGGCATGTTTCTTTGCTTTTTCTGTTTCTTGTTTTGGTCTTTCTTCTAAAGTCTACGCCCTTGAAATGTATACTTCTCACATAGCTTAGTGCGTAAAAGGATCCCCGGAGGCATGCCGATAGCCCCAAAATGTCCGAGATCGGCCTCGGCCCCACCGCCGCACCCGGATAACTCGGCTGCTCTTCGGACGTCCGAAAAAGAAAAAAGAAAAAAAAGACAAGGCTCGGGGTTTTGGATTTTAAGACTCTCCACGCGCCACTGATAGCGTTGGTATTATTTATTTTTTTTTGGGAAACTGTCATTGAGTGGCGGTGGAGCCGGCCCGCTGTTTGAAGCTTCGAGGGCAATTGATTCTTCCACATTCAGAGCCTCGCCTCGCGCCTTTGCACATCTCTGCAGCTGCTCTTATCAGCACTTCTTCTACCTGGGTTTCTTCTCGGCCCCGTCTCCGACATATAATATCCCAATGCTATCGTCCGCATAACAAAAGGACAATACCAACAATGGCCGAACAAACAGAACATGACTACCGCACCAGCACATCAGACGATGGCATCGAGTCGCGCGACGGAAGCCCCACCGATGGCGCAGGCGGCGGAGGGGGAGCCGTGCCGCTAGAAAAGCAAAGCACAGCGGCGTCGGGCCTGTCGGTGTTTGAGCAACGCGCGCAGTCAGTGGTCTCGCGGATCCGCAGCCGTGAACCTGGACAGACGGCGCGGTTCACGCATCCACTGTTGCATACCAAGACCACGAGCGATGTCATTGTCGATTTTGAGGGGCCGGATGATCCGTATCGGCCCTTAAACTGGGGGTTCAAGAAGAAGGCGGTTACCACCGTGTTGTATGGATTGACGACCATGGGTATGTGTTGGAAGTTTTCTCTTGGTGGAACTATGCTGTGGAAGTGCTGACGGATTCATTTTTCTTATATTGCAGGTGCTACGTGGGCTAGTTCTATGTAAGATGATATCTGCTCTATCTCAATTTTCTACTTAGTACTAAAAATCAACTTCAGCTACTCGACCGGCCAGGCGCAGATCAGCGAGGAATTCGGGGTATCACTCGAAGTCTCGACGCTCGGTACCTCGCTCCTGCTATTCGGGCTGGGACTTGGCCCGTTGGTATGGGCACCACTATCCGAAGTCTTTGGGCGCAAGCCAGCCGTCCTGGGACCGTACTTCCTCGCGGGCATCTTCTCGTTCGCCACGGCCACAGCAAAGGACCTGCAGACCGTTATGCTGACGCGGTTTTTCACCGGGTTCTTTGGGTCAGCCCCCGTAACGAACACCGGCGGAGTCTTGAGCGATATCTGGACTCCTGAGCAGCGTGGCGCGGCCATCGTCGGGTATGCCATGGCCGTGGTGGGCGGGCCGGTGCTTGGTCCTATTGTGGGAGGTGCGATTGTCCAGAGCTATCTGCACTGGCGCTGGACTGAATACGTGAGTCTCTATTGCTCCCTCTATCGCCGTTCTAGGATTGAGAAATGACTCGAAACTAACTAGTACATAGATCACCGGGATCATGATGATGTTCTTCCTTTTCCTAGACGTCGTCTTCATCGACGAGAGCTACCCACCCGTACTACTAGTCTACAAGGCGCGCCGCCTCCGCTTCGAAAGCGGCAACTGGGCTCTTCATGCCCGCCACGAAGAATGGGACGTGACATTCAAAGAGCTGGGCAACAAGTATCTAATCCGCCCATTCCAGCTCCTCGCCACCCCGATCTGTTTCCTCGTCGCCCTCTACGCCTCCTTCGTCTACGGCATCCTCTACCTAAGTCTAGCAGCCTTCCCAATCGTCTTCCAAGAAGTGCGTGGCTGGAACCAAGTCGTCGGTGCCCTCCCTTTCCTAGCATACCTGGTCGGAATCCTCATCGGCGCGGTCATCAACCTCTCCAACCAGCGCTTCTACATCCGCCGCTTTAAGGCCAACAACAACCGCCCCGTCCCCGAAGCACGCCTGCCGCCTATGATGCTCGGCTCGGTGCTGTTCGCCGCCGGTATGTTTGTGTTTGGATGGACTAGCCCGCGCCACATCCATTGGATCGGCCCCGTTATCGGCGCTGTCATGATGGGCTTCGGCTTCTTCACTATCTTCCAGGCTGCCCTGAACTACCTCATCGATACCTTCCAGAAGGTCTCTGCCAGTGCTGTGGCTGCAAACACGTTTCTGCGCTCTGTCTTTGCGGGCTGTTTCCCGCTCTTTACCACGGCCATGTTTCATAACCTTGGCGTTCCTTGGGCCGCTAGTGTCCTAGGGTTCGTTTCTATTGCGCTGATTCCGATCCCGTATCTCTTCTACACTTACGGGAAACGGATCCGAGCTCGTGGGAAGTGGTCACAGGATTCGGTATAGAGTCGTTTTCTTCCTTTTTAGTTGCTTATACTGTATTTGTTTGTACATGATGCCTGTTTTCTTAGACACCGGGTGGCCTGTGCATACCTTATTCTGTCTTGGCTTTGGCGGTGGTCTTTTGCGTTGGACTTCGATACCCTTGAATTCATGTTTGCTGCTTACCCTTAACTACTACAGAATCTACAACGTCAACAACAGTGATAGAGACAAGTTTCAAGTATATTAAGAAGTGAGTGTGACAGGAGAAGAGTGAGAGAACATAGACAATAGCACCAAACATCCAAATCCATCTAAAAACATGCACCAGATAGAATCAACATAAGAAAAGAAAAAGAAAGTCCAAAGGTTGGAGCATAATGACCGACATAAAGCATCAAAACATAATAAACATAAGAAATACCCAGGAATGTCTTTTTTTTGGTTTTGGTTTTGGTTTTGCTGCGTGTTCGTCGAGTCAACCAAGTCAAGCCCGACTGGAGACCATGGTATTCCGTCTCGTCAACTTCCTGGCGAGCGTCACAGCCTTCTCCCAGGTATTCTTCTTCTCAACACGGGTCGTGGGATCCGGCGGAGCAACGGCGCCAGTAGCAAAGTCAGGCGGATATTCATCCTGGTGCTTGGAGTTATGCAAGGCCAACACAGCCATCTGGCCCAAGAAAGAGGGGTGCTCAAGGAGATCCTCAAGACGGACCTTGAGACCCTCCTGCTCGAGCAACCAGGTCAGCTGAGCCATGTTGAAGATATCGCCGCCTAGGTCAAAGAATGACGAGTCAAGCTGGAAGGCAGATTTATGGGCCGGCTTGTCATTGGCGTCGGGGTCAATCGTCGAGGTGGAGGCGCGGGGCGGCAGAACCTGGTGCCATGAGCGAGACAGGATATCCGAGTGGACGAGCAGCTCGGCAATGGATCGGGCCTTGAGGTGCGAGCTAAGGAAGTGCTCGTCCGAAGGCCGCGGCAGATCCTCGATGGTCTGCGAGGGCACGGAGCGGAGCATGCTTGGCGATGGCAGCGCGGTCGATGGGTTCGCAATCAGGGACTGGGCCATCTCGCAGACCATTTCCAATACCCTGGAGGCAAAGGACGGGAGAATGGGTCCCTTCTCAGAGAAGCCGAGCGTGACATCGAGAGTGCGTTCGCCGGAGGGCCGCGAGACCATGGTCAGGTCGGCCAGGTTGTCATTGACACCGACACCACCCATGCGGTACTTAGTGTCATCCAGCTCGAGAGAGCCTTCGTAGTCGACGTTTTGGTGGAAGACCGAGGTGGTGAAGTAGGTCCAGGCAGGCCATTCCGTGCAATGCTTGATGATCTCACGGAATCCCAGAGACTCGTAAGGCATGTTGGAGACTTGCTGGTCCTGGAGGAAGCGGAACAAGTCCAGGCCAGTCCATTTCTCGTCAAATTTAACGCGAACAGGCACCACGTTCACGCAAGGGCCGACGGTGTTCTCGATTCCGGGGACTGTGGCGTTGCGGCCGCTGATTGTAAGACCGAAGACCACATCCGACTGAGCAGCCAGCTTGGCCAGGGTCAAAGCCCACGCAGCCTGCATCACCGTCGCTGCCGTGATGTTGCCAAGTCCACTGGGTGGAATCTCGATGGTCTTGTTGATTTCAGTGAATGCGCCAATGTTCTGGAACATGCTGGTGCCACGGCGCCGCACAATCTGGGTCATGCGAGAGCCCTTGAGAAGGTTGCTCCAGTGCTGATAGTGGTCTGGTGTGATGGTTCCAGGCAGCTGGCGCAGGTAGCTGGCATAAGGCGTGACAGGAGGCAGCGGGCTTCCCTCGTACCCAAGCTTGATGGCAGACATGATCTTCGACAGGCACACACCGTCGTACTGGGTGTGAGACAGGCGGATCAAGATGCGGTGGTGGTCACTGCCCTTCTTCTTGACAACGTAGAATTGCACATACTGTTCACCCTCGCGAGGTCCATATTCACGGTCGCGCTGCTGCAGAGTCATGGTGAATTCATCGAGGCCGCGATCAGTCTCATAGACAAAGATGCTGGGCCGGACCTTACGCAGGACGACCTGGAAGAACTGGTCGTGGAAGCACACGAAGACCGTTCTGAGGATATCAAAGGCATCAACAACCTTCAGGCAACTCTCCCGAAGGCGGCGAAGGTCCAAGGGACCATTGCCCTCGAGGTAGAAGTAGTTCAACATCCACCGGGACTTGAACAATGTCGCAGTCAAAGACAGAGCTTGGAAGTCAGTGACAGGGAGGACATCGGCAATGCCACCCTTGAAGACACCAATCTTGGGACAAATTCCACTCTGCAACGCGGCATCATCGACGCCCTTGGTAGGCTTGAGGACCGAGATGCTCTCTGACGAGGGAGTCGGCGCAAGCGTGGTCGGCTTGCTGTCGGAGAACGCCTCGGTCTCCTTGTGCGTGGACTGAAGATCCACGTTGAGCATCTGCTGGGTGACATTGGCGGCGCGCACAGTAGCAACCATATCCTCGAAGACCGGGTTGTTAAAAACATCAGCAACCGTTAGAACCAATCCCTCCTCGCGGGCGGCGCTGACCATCCTCATGGCGGTAATGCTGTCGCCGCCCAACTTGAAGAAGCTGTCTTGGTGTCGGACCACGTTAGGCGAGAGCCCAAGTGCGCTGCTCCAAAGACTCCAAAGCTTCCTCTCCACATCCGCCGACATCCCTTCCTCGCTGGAACGGGAAGTCGCCGAACACACACCCGAATCGTCGGCTCCCTGGACACCCTCCAACTGGTAGGGCGAGTCCACGGAGACGTCAGGATGGCCATAACCAGGCAGGCCATTGTTCTGCATATGGGGAACCGGCAACTTTCCTTCTCTCATCAACTGCCCAATAATCTCATGCACCCGGTTGTCAATAATCCTCTGGATGGCATTACCATCCAATCCATCTCCAGTTGGCTTGGGATTCTCGTTGTATTTCGTCTGGGAGTTTTCCCACTCGAAGGTCTGTACGCCCAAGCCTTCGGTTCCAAACCGCGAGTCCACGATAGTGGCAGAAGGCGATTCGATGAAGCCAGTAAAGACCTTGGCAATTGCATCGGCCATAGACTGTGCCTGTTCGTCGGACACCACATCGTTCCAGTACCGCAAGAGAACACCCTCTTGGCCTCGGGCAATCTCCACATTCACAGTGACCGCGTACTGGGCGAAAGGTTAGTAAATAGGGATTTATAGCAGAGGGACCTTGACTTACCTCGGTAGGGTCATGTGCATGTTGCAAATCAAAGGACAAGCCTTTTTCTTTGGGGCCGCCAGCAACGGAGTGATTCTGGATGGACAGTGTGGTGTTGAAAAGGGACTGACCTTGCCAGCCCAGTTCATGCTGGATGCTCGCCAGGGAGCAGCTTTGGTGAGGAATGCTGCGGATGTAATCATCCTGCACCTGCTTGGAAACGCTGGTGAGAGTTTGCTGAGCGGCGAACTGGACCCTGCAGCAGAGCATGTTGATGAAGATGCCAATCATGTCTTGGATACCATTCACAGGAGCATCGCGCCCAGCGGAGAGATATCCGAAACAGACATCGTCGGAGCCGGTGAACTCCCGCAAGACAGTAGCCCAGGCAGAGAGAGTGAGGTTGGCGAGAGTAACAGAGCTCTGCTCACAGAATTGAAGGAGCTCGGGAAAGCGCTGGAAGTTCATCATTACCCCCTTGAGCTCGCGCTTGGTCTGGAATTCGGCAGAGGGGGCAAGGTGACAAGGTCGGACTCCGCCCAAGTACTGTTTCCAGTGACCAAGGGCGGCGGCATGGCTCTGGGTGCGGATGAACTTGATGTAGTCACTGAACAGAGGACCAGAGCCTTCAGGAAGGCGGCGCTCGTAAGCTTGTGCCAGATCCCGCAAGAGCACGTCGACAGAGCCACCATCAATGATGGCATGGTTAATTTCGAGCTTGACCATGACACGGCCACTGGTGGTCTTGCAAACGGTCAATTGGTGAGAAAGCTTCGACTGGCGCATAGCGTTCATGTCGCGGAGAGAGATGGCGCCGACCTTCTCCTGGACTTGGGAGTCCGGGCATTCGACACGAAGAACATTGTCGGTGAGCTTCTTGAGCACAAGTTGGTCGAAAGAGCCTCCGCTGTAGCTGCTGTCGATGAAAGTTGTTCTCAAAACTGGGTGGCGCTCAACCAGTGCCTGCCAAGCTCGCGCAAGCTTCTCGGCGTCCACCTTGCCAGTCCGGGTGTCCTTGATCTCGAACACGGTGTGGAACATGTAAGCATTGGGGTCGCGAAGCTGGCTGAGCAATAGCCCCTCCTGCATAGGCGAGCAGGGATAGATATCCTCCACTTGATCCTTGTTGCAGATGCCGGCCTTGCGGAAAGTAGTCTGGGTGAGCATCTGCAGACCATGGTAATTGATAGGCAGAAGCGGGTAGTCACTGAGAGTGGGCTCAGCTGGAGTGTCCTTCAGAGTGAGCACGTCCTTCTCGAGAGTCTGCTTGCACTGCAGGATCCAGCGGCGGATATGGCCTTCGCGTTGCATCTTGCGGTTATATGTGAATGCAACAGTGAGGCGTTCCTTGATCACAATGGCAGATACCTCAAACAGGGCAAATCGAGCGGTTTCGGGACCCATGTCGCCTGCGACAGCGAAGTCTGAGCTGTCGAAGACATTGCCTTGGTGATGGAAGAGCGAGTCCGCCCTCTCCAATTGTTGCATTCGGCCAAGGTAGTTAAACAGGATTTCCAGTGGAACAGGGAAGGCAGGGTCCGAGCCTCCTTGGGATTGGAGCAGGCTCTTCGCAAAGTATGGGCGGCCGTTGTTGGCAATCTGGCGCCTTGTGTCCTTGACACGCTTGATGATATCGGTAATTGCTCCTGTCACAGGTCAGTATACATATCGTCAGAGGTTGGTAAGTGAGTGCCCACCAGACTGGGACTCCACCAGTAGAGGAGCCATCGTGGTAAACCAGCCAACAGTTCGAGAAAGATCGATGCTAGCATCCCAAGGCTCTCGGCCATGACCTTCATTGTAAATCGTGGGAATGTTGCGATCGGTAAAAGTTCGACGGAAGGAGTGAACAATGGCAGACAGCAAAATGTCAACTGTGTCAGTTCGGAACACGTCGTGGCAGCCATCCAAGATAAACTTGGTGACATCTTCACTGAGGGCAAAAGACTCCATTCGGATGTCTCCGTAGACATTGGGCATGTTCTGCATACCCCAGTAGGTCAGGTCAGGCTGTTCCGGAGTGAAAGGAAGCGTAGCAGCTGCATCCTGGGTCTTGGTACGTTCGAGCTGCATGTTGCACCAGCCCTGGAAGGACAAGGCCTTCTCGAGAGACAGAGATCCCGAAACGATTAATTCCTCGAGATCGCCAAGGATGATGCGCCAGGAAACCATGTCGACGCAGAGGTGGTGAGCAACAAGGAAAAGAATCTGGCCGCCGCTGCGAAGGTTAAATAGGTCTGCAGCGAAGATGGGCCCGTTCATCGGGTCAAGGCAAGACTGGCTTTCGGCAATCTTGGGAACCATTGCGCGAGTGTCGCTGACAGAGTGGACGCGAAATCGGTAAGATTCATCGACCTCCTGGTGGAGAATGTTAGTTGATCCTAGTCTCCCAGTTGTGAAGGCATGACATACCGCCGCGGCCTTTTGTTGCCAGGTTCCATCGCTGGCCTTGCTGAATCGGGCTCGGAACATGGAATGCTGGCTAGTGACAGCCTTAATAGCACGACGCAACACTTCACCTTCAACACGGCGAGCAATGCGTACCGTGATGCTCTGATTGAAGCGAGCGGCGCCCATGAATGCGGTGGACGACCGGAAGTACAGCTTCTGGACGGGAGAAAGACCAAAGCCCTCACCAGTCTTCTCTTCGCGGTGAGTAACAGGCGCCTTGGAGCTGGCAGTTTGAGCAAGCTCCTTGACAGAGCGGCTCTGCAGGATATCGTGCAAAGTCACGACGAGACCCTGCTTTCGCGCCCGCGAGATGACGGCCATTCCCGTGATGCTGTCGCCACCTGGAAGCAGGTTGGTCAGTATACGCAAACTTTTCCACGTGGACTGGATCAATTTAAAACTCACCCAAGCTGACAAAAGACCGGTCGATATTGACCTTTTGCAGGGAGATATTCAAAACTTGGGCGAAGATCTCGCGAATGACCTTCAAGGAGCCGTCATTCTCGGTCTCTTGGGGCCTCTCGGTCTTGCCACGCTTGATTCGGTCGTAGTCCTCCATGATTCGATCGTAAGACTCGTCATCAATATCCTCAAGCCAGGCTGTAATCTTCTTGCGGTCGAGCTTGCCGGAGACGAGCATGGGAAGTTTTTTGATGAGTGCCCAGGTCTGCGGAACCATGTAGATTGGAAGCTGAGTCTCGAGGTTCTTCTGGACGTCGACGAGCTCATTGTAGGCATGTCGCTCAAGCTCGTCCTCATCAACAAGCTCACAAGGCTTGTCGGAGATGAGCTTGTTGTCAGCGGAAACGCTGCTGAGAGACATGACAGTAACAAGGCGCTGCTTCAGAGGACCATTCTTCGGCAGAATAACAACAGCATGGCGGACGCGAGCATCTTCATGGAGTCGGTGCTCGATCTCACCAAGCTCCATGCGCTGACCATGTAGCTTGACTTGGTGGTCTTTGCGGCTGATGTACTCAACAGAGCCGTCAGGGTTGTAGTAGCAAAGGTCACCAGTCTTGTAAATTCTGCGGGGAAAAGGCAGCGAAGACTTGAACTCTTTGATCCAAGCAGGGTTGTCAACAAACGCTTCAGCGTTTTTCTCGGGGTTCTTGAGATACTCTCTAGCAAGGGCAGGTCCCTCAAGAGCGAGTTCACCAACGGCACCCAGAGGAGCGAGGCGATCGTGGTTTTCAGCGTCGACGATCCAGGTCAAGGTACTGGGAATGCCGTAGCCAATGCGGGCCGGGTCGCGGTTAACGGCGACTGCAGTGTCGACAACAGCGAACACGCAAGTCTCGGTCGGGCCATAACCATTCATCAACTTGACAGCGTTGGCCCACTTAGTGATAACCTCGCGCGACATCTTCTCTCCACCGCAAACAAGGATCTTGAGAGAAGGCACAGAGGCCGGCTCGATGATGCTGGCAATGGACGGGGTGAGGAAAGTCCAGGAAACGTGCATGCGTCGAATGGCACCAGCGACATCGTTGAGACGTTCATCTTCGCTGGGAACACAGATGCAGCCACCAAGCATCAGAGTTGCGAGGACCTCCATGACCGCAGCATCGAAGGTCAGCGAGGCGAACTGGAAGACTCTTGACGATGGACCCATGAGCACCATCGGACCAAACGCCATGATACTGCTGACAACGTTGCGATGCTCGATGATTATGCCCTTGGCGCGACCAGTGCTGCCAGAGGTGAAGATGGCATAGGCCATGTTGGCACTGGTGACCTGGGTTCGGCTTTTGGCGGAGGTGTTGAGGGAGCCATAAGCCTTAATGGTCTCCTTGCTGATGGGGATCACAGTCTTAACAACGCGAGTGTAGCGGTTGGTGTAGTTGGGTGTGCAAAGAATCATGTTGGCGCCCACATCCGCAAGGATTTCCTCGTGTCTCGAAGTGGGATGAGCCGGGTCCAGAGGGACGTAGCCACCACCAGCAATCAGGATACTGATAATAGTAACCATAGCCCAAGCTGACTTGTCCAAACAAACAGGAACAAAGACCTCGGGGCCCACGCCGCGAGATACCAGGTAACCAGCGAATGACGCAGCAAGGTCCCAGAATTCGCTGTATGTGACCTCGCCATCCCAGGCACAGACAGCGGGAGCATTGGGCGTCGCGGAGCACTGCTCACGGATAAAGTCTTGCACGCATCTCTCGACAGTCGGGGGGCTGCGCTGGTTCCAGCGGGCAATTTCCACCTTGTCCTCGGGGCTGACGATCTCCAAGTCGCCAATCTTGGCAGTACTGTTCTTGGGCATGGAAATCAGTTGCTTCAACACGTAGCTGAATTGTTCGGTCAGTCGCTTCGTTTGCCAACCGTTGATGACAAGCTCGTCATGGTGAACCGTGAACGAGATATTTGATTTAGAGATACCGCATTCCAGGACGAGCGGGTGAGTGAAGAAATCCTCGCTGGTCTCGGTCTTCTCATCAATCCAAATCTTGTTGTTCATCTGGCCATCATTGGTCTGCATGACCAAAAGGTTCTGGAAGTTGCAGGCAGAGGAAGTGTCGTTGTTGAGTTGCCGGATGCGCTGCAGACCGGAATGGAGGTGAGGGATCATGTCGGTGGTTGACTGGTGCAGCTTCTCCAGGAACTGGATGGCGGACGTCTCATTGTCGACCTGGACGCGAGTTGGGACGGTAGTCAGGACCGGGCCAGCAATGTCGGCGACGCCGGCGAGGTCGATGTTTCTGCCGGACAAAGTTTCGCCAAAGCAGACATCGCCTGAGCTGGTGTGTGTAGCAAGCACGATAGCCCAGGCAGCACGCATGAGGACAGGTAGAGTGAAGTCGACGCTGTTGGGAGCTCGAGAAATCTCCAAGCTGTGGTACTGGGTGTTGCCAGCACGGACGGCATCGGGGACGGCGTTCTTATTGTGGGGGAACGGCGTGCTGGAGAGGTTGGCCAGGTAGGATTTCCAGAAAGCATCGGACTCCTCCATGTCCTTCTTCGCAATGTAGTCGATGAACAAGTTGTAGGGGGTGGCCGGCTGCTTAGACTGAGCAGCAGTGTAGTTCTCCTCGACCTTGCGGAAGACCAGGGGAATGCTCCATCCATCGTACAGTGCGTGATGAACAGCCCAGACGAAGTAAGTGGCAGATGAGCCTCGGGGCTGGACGATGGCGTAACCGGTCAGACAGCCACCGTTGTGTTTTGGAAGCTCGGTGAAGTCGTTGGGCAGTTGCTGGAACGATTCGGCTTGCACCCAAGAAATAGGAGCATCTTTCAGAACAACCTGAGTGAAGTTCATGGCTTCCGTGTTCACGATGCGGGTGCGCAGGATATCCAAGTCAGCCACAGTTTGCTGCCAGGCGGCCTTAAACCGGTCGAGGTCTGCGCCATCAGCAAGTCTGAAAGCAGGTTGGGCAACATAGGCGCCGTGGTGCTTGACAGAGAGGGTCAACAGACCCTCTTGGACAGCGCTGCATGGATAGACATCAGTGATCGAGTCTTTGGAGACTCCACAGTTTTCGGTAACCTCATCCAGAAGGTTCTCAAGCTCCAAAGAAGACGGTAGAATGGAAAATGGCTTGATATTTTCTTGCTTGACGGAGGTAGCCTCGGGTGCAGCTGCACAGCTCTTTGCCATATCAACAAGGACCGGTGTCTTGAAAATGCTGGTGACGGTAAGGGCGATGCCCTGTGCTTGAGCAGCTCCAACAAGGTTCATGGCGGAAAGCGAGTCACCACCCAGGGCAAAGAAACTGTCTTCGGGAGTCACAGAGCCGGCTTCAAGATCCAATGTCTTCTCCCATAGGATTTGGAGCTTCATCTCGAGACCATCTGCAGAGGCTTCTTCCTTCCTCGCGGCAGTGTTGAAGGTGATGTATGACTTGAGGGTTTCCTTAGACAGGGACTGCACCATTGCACGAAGGCGCCTGCGGTCAATCTTGGCGGAGGATGTGAACGGCAGGTTTCGCAGAGGGAAGAAGAGACGCGGCATCATACTCTGCGGCAGAAGGTCAGGCAAAGAACCCTTGAGCCTCTGCACAGCGTCCATGTTAGACACCGAGATTGGCAAAAGCAGAGGATCGGCTCCAGGAATCGTGGGGGCGAATTGATCAGTGCTGCCACCATGGAAAGAGTCGGGGTCGTGCACAGTGAAAAAGGCAGCGAGACCCTTGGCGACAGTGCGCTCTTCGGGGATCACAACATCGACAGCAACCTGAGAACCTTCCGGCAGGCAACGGATGCACTGGTGCTCAATCTCTTCGAGCTCAATCCGCTGGCCATTGAATTTGATTTGGGTGTCCTTGCGGGAGATAAAGGCGAGGGTACCATCGCTGTTGTAACGAACAAGATCACCGGTGCGGTACATGCGGTCTTTGCGCTTGAAAACACCCTCAAGACCAGAGTGGTGGCTCCAGCTCGGGTTCTCGAAGAAGGCCTCCTTGGTCTTTTGCTCGTTGCCAAGGTACTCCCGAGCGATGTTGCTCCCTTCCAGGACCATTTCACCCACAGCGCCAACAGGGAGGAGGCGGTTGTAGTTGTGGGGGTCAACGATCCAGACCCTGCAGTTGGCAGCAGTGCCTATGGAAGTGGGATCGTCATTGACGCGGTTTCCATCCCAGTTGACCTTCACACCGACAGTGGCAACGACAGTGGCCTCGGAGGGGCCGTATGCGTTGATCACAAAACGGTCACCCCACCGGTCGATGTGGTTTGCAGGCATCTTCTCGCCACCGGTGATGATGGTCTTCAAGGTTGGGACTGTCTTGGGCTCGAGGGTGTTGACGATGGCGGGGGGCGATGACATATAGTTGGCCTCCATGCGTCGAATGGCGCCTCCCAGGTTGTTCATGCGCTCTTCTTCGCTGGGTACGCAGACACATCCGCCGGTCATGAGGGTCATCATGATTTCGAGAACACTGACGTCAAAGGTGTAGTTCGAGAATTGCAAGGCACGAGTCTGAGAGTTCATGTGAAGTGCGTCAGACATCGCAACTGCGGTAGTGCTGAGCGCGATGTGCTCAACCACAGTCGCCTTTGGTTTCCCGGTAGTACCGGAGGTGAAGATAGCGTAGGCGGCATTTGATGGTGTAGGCCGTGCGCCTTGCAGAGCCAATGGAGAGTCAGGAAGCTGAGAAATGGCATTCTGACATACGGCAAAGGACCGGCGGCAAAGGTTTGACATCTTGCCGTGAAGCGAAGATGAACAGAGAACCAAATCAGCATGGATCTCATCGATCAACATCTTGAGGCGTGAGTCTGGGTGGGATGGATCGATGGAGACAAAGGCGCCGCCAGCCTTCAGAACAGCAAGTTGCGCGACAACTGCCCAAGCAGACTTTTCAAAGCACAGAACGACGAATGCCTCTGGCTTGATTCCCAGGGCGGAGATATGGCGGGAGAGGCGGCTGGCGACGATTTCAAGCTGCCCATAAGTAAAGTTCTTGTCCCATGAGCAGACTGCCTCGGCGCGCGGGTGCAGCAAGGCTTGTTGCTGGATGAGCTCGTCCGCGCACTTCTCGAATCGGGGCGGCGATTCGGCGTTCCAATCCCGAATCTGGCGCGCAGATCGAGCAGGGAAGAGGTCCATATCACCAATGACACGGTGGCGGGGGTTGGAGGAGATCATGTCGTCGAGGATATGGTCGAACAGATCGATGACATGGCTGACCTGGGTACCCGACAGTGTGTCCGAGGAGTAGCTGAAGTGGATTTCTGCGAAGGGGTTGGAAACCTCTGCTTCGACGGCAATCTTGTAGTCGCTGGTGAGGGAATCCTGGGGGTTCCCTTGCGGGAGGTACACCGCAGTGCGATATCTCAAGATGGTGTTGAAGAGAAACGTCTCGTCAAGGCCAAGCTGGTGCTTGACGGCATGGAGATCAGCCATGTTCTGTGAGCTCTTGTTGTGATCAACCTTGGCTCGCTGCAAGATCTCTTCAAGCGGGCGATCATTGTTCAAAATAAGCCGGCAAGTGGAAACAGTCGAAGAATCGACAACTTGGTTGTCGTCTGCGCCAGAAGTCGAGTATCCGAAGCAGACATCATCGGAACCGGTATAACAGCGCAATACAATTCCCCAGGCGAATTGGAGCAAAGTCTCCACCGAGACACCAGCCATCTTGCTGAATGCATGCAACTTGGTCGTCTGCTTGTTGAGCGTGCGTGTCGCACGCCCGTTGTCGTTGGAATCTTGAGATAGAGGCGGGAAAATGCAAGGCTCAGCATCGGCAAGATAATCTTTCCAAAAGGCAACGCTGCCTTGAGAAATGGATTGCCGGGAGGTTCGGTTGGCAGATTTGGAACCGGTCCAGCTTCTGATGTGGAAAGATCCTAGAATGCTGCTGGGTAATTCTTGGGTCTCTGCCTTCAAGGCCAGGCGGTTTAGCTTTCCAAAGCGAGAGAGGGGCAGAGAGGAAATTGGGATGTAAATACTCGGAACCTTGCTCGGCGAGATTTTGCTGCTCAGGTGCACATGGAGAGCAGCAATGGTGTCTTTTAGCTCAGCAGCCGAGTGTTGCACAACGCGTTCGCCAAAGCTTGTTGAAGTGGGTGAAGATGAAAGAACAAAAGCAGCCAGGCTTTCCACATTGTCAACATCACCATGAGCAGTGAAGGTCTCCACGAAACAGGTTTTCCGAGACTCGTGGGAATCGATCGCGTGTTGAACGTTCAAGCGGTCGACGACAGAAACTTCAGCGGTGCGGTCCGCCTTCCGTCCAACATAAACAAGTGAACCGTCAGAGTTATAGCGAACAAGGTCACCAGTTCTGAACAGCTTGTGCTGACCCACGGTGCTGTAACGGTTCTGCCCATCAACAGGCCACACGGGCTTCTGGAAGAAGTCGGCAGTGGTTGACTCCTGGTTGTCAAGATATCCACGGGCAACGACAGGCCCTTCGATGACCAGCTCGCCGATGGCACCGACAGGGACAAGTGAATCGTGCTGCTCGGGGTCCACAATCCAGGAGACACAAGACTCGGGCAAGCCAATCTTAGCAACTTCGGCGGAGTTGCGAGTAACCACGGCGTGGAAGGAGGCTGAGGAGCATTCCGGCGTGCCGTAGAGAGTATGCAACTCAAGGTCTTCAGTCTGCCATTGGTTCAAAACACTCTCCGACGCAACTTCACCAACCAGAGCAAGTGTTCTCAGACCAGGAACATCTTTCGGGGAAATCAGGCTGGCAACCGTGGGGGTGAGGCTGGCAAGGTTGGCATGCAGCGCGTTAATGGACGTGGAAAGAGTAACCGGGTCCATATCGGCCGGGATACAAACACAACCACCATGCATGAAGGTTCCGAAGGCCTCAATTAGAAACATGTCAGACGTGTAGGATGCAAACTGCAGAGTCCGTGAGACATCCGAGATGCCAATGGTAGAGGCAAATGCTTGAGCTCGGGTCACGATGGTCGTGTGTTCCAGGACGACCGCCTTGGAGTTACCAGAGGTTCCCGCAGTAAACGCAACGTATGCGGCATCCGAAGGGCTCGCCGTGGGCAAAAGCGGTTCGTCGCTGAGGTACTCAAGCAGCGACTCGCTCACCGGGATGACATAGGGGATGGTTTCTTCTAGAACCTGGGCCTTCTCAGGGGAAGCGAGTGCCACCTGAACAGTATTACCCACAATCCACTTCTGAATCAGGCCCACGATTTCAGGAGAGTCAACTGGAATACAGCCACCGCCAGCCTTCATGACTCCCAACATAGACACAATGTTCCATACCGACTTGTCGAAGCACATCGGGATAAAGCTGCCGGGCCCGACACCAAATGTAACCAGATAACTGGCAAGGTGTGACGAGTATTGGTCCAGTTTGGAGTAGGTGAGACTGCCGTCCCAAGAGGTAACAGCCAAAGACTCAGGCCGCAGCTTGGCCATTTCCTGAACGACCTGGTGGGTGCATTTCTCGAGGGCACGGGGGGTCTTGTTGTTCCAGGTGTGGATTTGAGACTTGTTGCTCTCGCTGAGAATGTCTAGCTCCCGAAGCTGGCTGTCTAGACGTGACGCAATGTTTTCCAAACAACGCATGTAGGTGTTTGCAACATTGAGAGCCTGGGCATCGGACAGGTTCGTGGTCCAGTAGTTCATGTCAATTCGCGCCTTGGTGTCCATTGCCTCAATGTTGATGAAAACAGGGAACTCGGCGGGGTCGTGGATTGCACCGACTTCTACACACTCGATTTCACTTCGCACGGCGTCTTTCGCGCTTGGGAGGCGGCGGTAAGAGACACCAGAGTTGAACAAGTTGGCATCTGACAGCTTCAAGGCATGCTGGATGTCAATGAGAGAAGTGTGTCGGAACGGAAGACTCTCCATGTAGTCGTTCTGGATGTTCTCCAGCACATTGCGAAGAAGTGAGTCTCCATTAATTTTCATGCGGCAGACCAGGATGTTGATCACTGGTCCAACCACCCACTGGACACCTTCCGCAGGCACATCTCTCAGAGAGGCCAGGTAGCTGAAGGACACATCGTCAGACCCGCAGAAAGCGCGAAGAGTGAGACCCCAGGCAGCGTTGAAAACGTTGGACAATGTGATCCCCTTTTTTCTCGCAGACACTTTGCAGTTGAGGAAGGGCTGCAAAGTTCATCAGAATCGACCGAAGACTCTTGGTCGACTCTTCACCGTCGGTGAGCACAGGGAAGTTGCAGGGCCTGGCACCCGACAGGTACGAGCGCCAGTAGTTGATACTGGCCTCGTGAGGCGCATCCTGAAGGAAAGAAATGTAGTCCTTGAACAACGGGCGACGGCTTTCCTCGAGGCGGCCTGCGTATGCCAGCTGCAGGTCGCGGAGGATTATGGAGATCGAATTGCCATCCATCGCGGCATGGCTCAGCTCAAGACGACAGAAGAGTCTTCCGGTCGAAGTCTGGCAGATGGTGAAGCGATATGCTGGAGTGTTGTCACTGTAGTCCTTGGGCTCCTGGCGGTCAAAAGCTGCTAGAACGTCACTGTCTCCAGAAGACTGCAGGAACACCGGAGTAGCGTCATAACTCTTCAGCACCACTTGACAGAAGAGGTGACTAGGGGTCAGGTTCTCCGCAAATATCGTGCGGAGCATCGCATGGTGGGAAACAACCTGTTGCCATGCGTTCACCAGGCGATCGAGGTTTGGTTGACTGGAACCAGAGGCACTGATCTCAAAGGTATCATGCACGGCATAATAAGAGCTGTCGCGGGTCCGCCCCAGCAAAATGCCCTGCTGCATCCGAGAACAGGGATAGATGTCCTCCACGAGCGACGGCGAGTTGATCCCCAAGCGTGGAAGCTTGTCAGAGAACATTTTTTCAAGATTTTCGTAGTTCAGGGACAGCAAGGGGAATGAGCTCAGGGTCAGGCGAGGCTGCAGAGAGGGTAGCTGCTCAGACAGCGAGATCAGCTGCTGTCGGCAGTCAGCAACCCAGCCGTGGATACGGCTCTGGTGCTGCATGAACTTGTTGAATGAGAAGGTGAATCGAAGCTTGCTAGCAACGACCATGGCGGAGATCTCGAACAATCCGAACCGGGGAGTTTCTCGTCCAAAGTCTGCAGCGCCGCTTCCTTGCCCAGCCTCACCTGCCATCTGGTCGACGAGCTGGAACAGACCATCCTTCCGCTGGAGGTCACGGTGCTGGCCGACATAGTTGAAGGACATCTCGAAAGGGTGAGGGTGGCGGTCTTCCTGTTGGCCATCGACCCCAAGAACTCGACCGGCGAAATCAGCACGGCCGTTGTCCGCAACCCGACGGCGAAGGTCCTTGACCTGTATCAGGGTGTCAATGGGGTCGTTGGGCTTCATGCCGGACACGAAGATAGGGTGCAAGATAGTGAACCAGCCGACGGTGTGCGATATGTCAATGGATGGATCCCAGACCTCTCGGCCATGGCCTTCATTGTAGATTACCGGCACAGAACGATCGGTGAAAGAGCGACCAAATGAATGGAGCATCGCCGCCAGGAAGAGGTCGATCGGTTCAGTTTCGAGAGCTTTGTGGGACTCAAGCAGGAGAGCGGTGGTGTGGCTCTCATCGATCTCGAAGGATGCGCAGTCCACATCACCGTAGGTGGTTTCACGAGCTTGTAGTCCCCAGTAAGCAAAGTCCGGAGCAGGCAGTGGGTCAACTGCCGCCTTGCCCTCAGCGACCAGGCCCTTGCAGTGCTCGACCTGCAGATTGCACCAGGTTTGAAATGGTAGAGAAGCATCCTCGGTGTCAGTCTTGTTGGGGTTCATCACCAGGTCCTCGAGGTCTTCGAGGATGATTCTCCAGGACACAATATCAACAACCAGGTGGTGGGCCGTCATTGAAAGGACTGGCGACTGGCCTTTGACATCAAAGTAGTCGGCAGCCAACAAAGGCCCCGAGAAGCAGTTGATGGAGGACTGGCTGTCCGCAACAAAGCGTTTCGTGTCGTCCATGTTCGCAACCGAATGGGTGCGCCATCTGTAGGATCCCTTGATGTCCTGAGTAATCCATTGCTTGGATGCGGTCGACGATCCGGTGTCTCCGAAGCGAGCTCGGAGCATGGAGTGACGGCTGACGAGAGTTTTAATAGCCTTGCGCAGGGTAGCCTCTTCGATAGGCTTGTTGAGTCGTGTCAGAATACCCTGGTTAAAGTGACCTTGTCCCTCTTTGCGAACACCAAAATGAAGCACCTGAATGGGGGAGAGCTCAAACGGTTCATTGACAGCTTCCTGGTATGTGACGAGATGATCGATCGCTTTGGCGCGAGAAGCCAGATCGCGAATCGATTGGCTGCGCAGCACCTCCTGCACCGATAGACCTATTCCACGCTTCTTGCACAGCCCGATGCATGTCATTGCAGCAATGGAGTCACCGCCAAGACCGAGGAAGCTCTCGTCCAAGCTGAGCTGTTGTAGGGGAATGTTGAGGACACGGCTGTAGACGGCCGCCAGGGCCTCTTCCATCTCGTTGGCAGGCGAGGAAATCTGGCCTTCAGGGAAGGAAATGGCAGTGCCGTGTCGGAGGTCCGGGTCACTCTCCATACCGGCGACCCAAGTCGCGATTCCTTTTCGGTCCAGCTTTCCTGAAGGGAGTAAGGGTAACGCTTCAACGATCAGCCAAACCGCAGGGACCATGTAAGTCGGCAACCGTGCAGACAGTCGCTCTCGAAGACCAGGAATAATCTTCGCCTTCTCTGAGCCGGGGACCAGCCGCAAAGGCTCCAAGTCAGCCTCTGACTGTTCTGCCAGCAGCCCTGTCGAGGAGATGACGGCGGCCAAGCGCCCCTTGGAGAAACCAGTCTTGGGGAAAAAGACGGAGCAGTGGGTAACGTGCGAGTCGGTACTCAGTTGGTTCTCGATCTCGCCCAATTCGATTCTCTGACCGTGGACCTTGACCTGTGTATCTTTGCGACCGATGTAATTCAGCGAGCCCGTGTCGGAGTTGTACCTGACCAAATCACCAGTCTTGTAAAATCTGCGGTTCGCGCGACCGGTCGAGTCTCGTTTCGTCCACGCGGGGTCGTAGATGAACGATTCCTTTGTCTTCTGGGGATTGTTGACGTAGCACCGAGCCAGGGGCGGGCCCTCGAGGAGTAATTCACCAGGACAGCCCACGGGGACCAGTTCGTCGTGGTTGTCCGGATCGACGAGCCAAGCGGTCACGCCGATTGGAAGACCAATATTCTTGCAGTCGGTGCCCGGGGTGACATTCGAATTGAGCACAGACGCGACGCTGGCCTCGGTTGGGCCATACCCATTGATCAGTTTTATTCTCGACCATGTCTCCAGCTGTGACTGCGACATTGCCTCGCCGGCCAAAACAAGACTTTGCAGGCCTGGCACGCTGTCAACGTCAATGAAGCCGATAAATGACGGCGTGAAGCATGCTTGGTTGACTCGCATGTCGTTGATGGCACCGACGATGTCATTCAGTCGGGCCTCTTCGCTTGGGATACAGACACAGCCGCCGTGGATCAATGGCGTCAATGACTCCGCCAAGCTGGCATCGAACGTGTGGGCAGCAAACTGAAGGGCGCGCGTCTCGCGGAAGACGTGCAGCCCGGGGCCATGCACCATGGCGCTGGATAAGAACGCCCGGTGCTCCAACAGGGTCCCCTGTCGATGGAAGTCAGCAACCGCATCTTTGCAGAAGAAAATGAAGAAAATGACGAGAGAATTTCAAACCCTACCTTTGGCTCGCCTGTGGATCCGGAAGTAAATAAAACATAAGCGGCATTTTGGCTGGTGACACCCGATGCAAGATCGACCTGGTCCGCAGGGTCCGACAGCCGATCCAGCGTGTCGGCGCACAGAGGAATTAACGTCTTTGCAATTGACTGAAGACTGTAAACACGATCCTGCGAACACAACACAACCGAGGCTTGCACAGACTCGACCAGACGTTGCAGGCGCGAGGTTGGGTGGGTCGGGTCGAGCGGGACGAACGCTCCCCCGGCTTTCATCACGCCAAGCATGGCAACGATGTTCCATTTCTGCACATCATCAGCGATCGGCCAAAACCTCATCCCAACTCAATCCCAACTCACCGATTTATCAAAACACAACGCCACGCGCACTTCGGGCCCCACGCCCTGCATGCGCAGGTGACATGCAAGTTTCGAGGCCAAGTCATCGAGTTCCTTGTATGCCAGGCTGCCGTCCCATGCGCAAACCGCTTCTCGCTCTGGACCACTCAGAGCTTGGTCGCGGATGGCGTCGTGGATGCACCGGTCGTGGAGGCGGGGAGTGGACGAGTTCCACTTGCGAATGCGCTGCCAGTCATTCTCCGAGAACAAATTAAGCTGGCTAATAGCGGTGTTCTCGGACGAAAGCACTTTGGCGAGCAACTGCTCGAAGATGGTGGCAACGCTCTTCATTTGGTCCCCGGACATGTCGCCGTTGCGCCACTCGAGGAAGATGCTGATGTCTCCATGCAGGACCTTAACAAGAAGGCGAACTTGGCACTGGACGGTTGTTAGTACAACATCTTCTCCCAACGGTCGTCCAGCATTTGCGATGGACAAACTCACCTCGTCTGGGAGAGCCGTTGCCAGAATGGGTTTGGAGGGCGACGCAGGCGGGATGCCGGTCTTGGAATATGTTCGCAGCATTAAGATGGTGTTGAAAGGAAGGTGACCATCGGAAGCGCCCTCCAGACTTCCGGCCATGAACTGTCTATCGAAAGCATCGTCGCTCCGGACTTTATCTACAATTGTCGTGATGGAGTCGTGGTCGTCGATGGCGAGCCGCACCGCCGACACATTGGCGAGGCTCGACCGCTGTACAGGGTTTCGGGAGGCGCACGCGTCGCCGTCGATGTGTTGGTAGCCGAAGCAGATATCCTCGGTCCGGATGTAGTAGTGCAGGACCAGGGCCCAGGTGGCTCGCAACAGCGAGTCCAGCCGGCCTTCGTGCGATGCGGTTAATAACTGCGCATGCTGCGAAGCCGTCGGTCTCGTCTTCATCGAGACCGGGCGTTTGGGCCCGTCGACCGCGGGGGTGAACCGCGGCAGGTAACAGTGCGAGGATTGAGCCATGTCTCACAAACTGAGGGGAGAATTCAACTGTCGAAGGGAGCGAAGTAGTGAGGGGGTAGTATCTTTTTTTTCTTCCTTTTTTGTTCTTTTCTTTCCTTGAAAGGAGGGGAGGGTTCCTGCAATGCTTGGATGGAGAAGAGATCGAGAGAATGGAAGTATATGAGAGAGGGGTGTAAGTATCCCTCGAATTAAAGTGAATAAATGGATCCAGCAGGAAGGGAGAGAAAAAAAGAAGAAGAAGAAGAAAGTGAACTCTTCGCAAATAGAGACGCCCGCGAAGCTGGAAGGTCTCGGATATTTTAAAAGGCTATCGAATTAATATTTCTCGGCCCAAGCAACCAACATAGTTTTACGCCATCGGTCATCGGGACTAAGAGACTTGCATGGCCATGCTCCAGCTCGTTCACGAACTACGGGAGTACAGTAATACGGGCCTAATGGAAGGAAAAAAAGAAAAAAAATTCAGGATCCCCCATGTATCTTCCTTGCATAGGTTCGGATCTAGATGAAGGGTTGGAGATGCATGAGTGGAGAGTCCTGAGCCCCTGTGGAACCGAGTTGAGAGAGACAAGTTGACCAAGCCCTAAGTGGATATCCTCAGATGGGTTAGAAGTGCCATGGATGCAAGAAAACATAATAGTAAATAGCAGTGAAAAAAAATAAAATTATATTTCAATAGAAATGCCCCAAATGCATCAAGTGAACAACACAGTGACCATTTGAATGGCAATGCAGGGGCAAGCTCCTCCACTAACCACCACTTCCAAGCGAGATCCTGCAATTTCCCGATCAAACTCCCTGTGCTGTGGTCTCGAACGTGGTTCAGCAAGGCGTCAAAGGGCGAATAGTCTCAGTAGCGCCACTCCGTCATTCTATAGGCACATCATGCGGAATAATGGGAAGAAAAAAAGACAGAAAGAGAAAAAGAAAAAAAGAAAAAACTATCTCCTTACCCTTTTAGTCCATACTTGCGAATCATAAGGCTCACGCTGACCGGCTGATGCGGATGACGAGACAGGATCACTATTTGACCAGGACAGAAAGAAGAGTGCATCAACCCAGATGAGGCATTATACCACTCAGCCCCAGACAGACGGAAGTGAATTTACGCCGCATCCATTGGTCCAGCATTGCAACCCCACGCAATCTGAAGGGCCAGTATACATTGTATAGTTACACCGACTAGAATCCAAGCTGCCACGCGAGATCCACTCCCAAGTTTCCCCTTTGCTGTACGCTGCACCCAGTACAGGACATGGAGATCTGCCCCTCCATCAGCAAGGTTTGGGCTCAGCCGGGGGATCAATGTGGATGATTTACCGCGCACACCGTTGGCAGCGAGGGTCAAGCGGTGGAGGTTGTCGATTTTCCCGATGATCCCGATCTGAGCCGCTTTGACACCATTGGTCATGGTTCTAGCATTTGATTTTCTGTGCAGTATGCATTGAATGTGAATAGTCGGTGGAGAAAGTGTGGTTGAGCGCAAGATTTGGGGGGGGGGGATTGGTTGGCGATGACTCTGAGAGAATTAGGGCTTGGGAGAATATCAGGCTAAATGGGGTGTGATGGTAACGAACTATTCATGGATAATTTCTACATTAGAATGAGAGAGAATACTAATCATAATCATAATAATAGTAGTATTGGAGTAATAGTAATCATGAAAATCATCGGTAAATGGGTAGCCGATGGGACTCTGCAAGGGCATCAAGGGATGATCGATCTACACATCTCGCTACTTTCAGGTACCCGCGGCGGTTCCATGGCTCAACCCCTTTTCTTCTCCTTTTTTTTTGATGTTTATTGTAGGCCTCTGTATAGATCAGAAATCGAGATATCCACAAATATACGAAATTAGCCATGGAAAATAAAAAATAAGCGCAAGAAAATAGTTCGTTCGATTCCGATCGCGATCACTTACCATCGCGTTTGGTATGTAACGTTCATGGATCTTTTTAAGCATGGGGAAAAGAACTGTGATAAATTCCTCCATTTAGCGACCTCTTTTTTCCTTTTGCTCTTTCTTTTCTTTGGATTTCTCTCTTGTCTCTCTTTGTTCGTTTCTCGAGTCTCCACGCCTCTGGACCGTTGTATCGGTTTAACCTCACGCGAGAAATCGCAATAGCGTCAAACTAACCGGATTTCCCCCCTGTCCGGAAGATCCACCCGGCTTATTTTTGCCAGTTCTTCATCTGGAGGGAGGCTGGGGCCACATCGGATGAGATCCACCACAGTAAGGACTGGGGTGGATATTATTAGTGAGAGAGATCCGAGAGAGCGCCCTCAGCTGGGGTCTGATGGGCTGGCGGCCATTCGGATTGCGCCCTAAGAGGGACACTAGCCGATAGCTCCCGCGCCGGTTGATGTGCTGGGCTAGCGAACAATAGAAAAATGAAAAGAACAAAAAGTTGTAAGTCATGATCCACACCATCGACAGGTCACTTCAGATCAAAATTCGAAGATCCAAAACCTCTCTCTCGGGCTTGTGTGGGAATGTTATGTATGATATGTCCTTGGCTCTCCAAGAGGACTGTCGAGTGTGAAGGGGGGTGGGATTTGGAATTCCCTGCATTTTTTTTTATATTTTATTTCTTAGACTTTGTGAACAAAGTACGTGCTGAACTTTGCCACCTCCATTCAATCCACGCCTTACAAAAAAAAACCGGGTTGATCCTGGTTTGCCTGCGTACACTGGCAGTGTAACCAGGGTTGGCCGTCAGGCGCTCTGGCTGTAGGTACAGACCCCGATCATGCAGATTATTTCTTTTTTTTTTCTCTTTCCCACGGGCTCTACGTCTGGAACATGCGGTGATTCCCAGCCTCAATTGAAATGGAGTAGGCCCAACTTCCTTCCGACCGGCTCAGCCGAGAGACATTCAGGACACACTAGAAATTTGTCCGTAGCTGATTACCTTAGTAGCTAAGTAACAGACAGGGGATCAAAGAAAAAAGAAAGAAAAAGAGCGATTGGATAGCATCGCTCCATCAAAAATAGCTACGGAGGATGAACGCCACTACCGGGCCGAGAGAAGCAAACACCGGGTGACAGGCGGAGATGCCCTAGTGGAGACTCGGGTGATAGCCGAAGAATGAAATCATTATAGTTCATAGCTATTGAATGACCCTCAGCATGGAAATGCCATGCTCGCATGCTCTGCACAGAAAATTCCAAATCTGCCCTGTACCCTTCCAACAGCTGAGAGCAGCTCACCGAGTCTTCCCCGGGGGGTTGTACAGCGGGGAGGGGCCCGTGGATTTGGGCAGCATTGTCTGACTTCAGCTTGGGGGGGTTCTATGCGGTCAAGGAAAGCTAAAGAGGAAGTAAGAAAGAAATAATAATAATAATAATAATAATAATAATAATAATAATAATAATATCATGTTTCATAGGTTTCCCGTCATCTCCCCGACGAAAACCAATACATCATACATCATACAGACACCCTCGCAGCAAGTGAAAGTTTCATTTGCCCTAAGATCATCACAAAGACCAAATGCACAGGCATGGGCCCAGCGAGGCTCCATCTGCAAGGTTGCACGGCGTGTCCCTTGTCCCTCGTGATGGTCGGACGATCGATCCGCTTTTTTTTTTTTTTTTTTTTTTATTTATTTCCCAAGGCCCAAAAGGTACAGAGATACAGTGATCTATTGACGCCGGTGCATCCCCCACATCCCCAAGGGGGAAAGTGAAAAACATATCTATAATCATCCCTCAAAGCAAATTGATATCATAAAATCCGAGTGGAGCATAGCATAGACCAAGGGAAAAAATTAAGAAAAATAAAATAAAATACGAAAACAATAAAAATAATAATAATAATAATAATAAAGAAGAAACAAGGAAAATTCCCCTGGGTGGCGCATTGCCACGACTAAGCCTGTTCGCAGTGGCATTGTACAAGGGTTGCATCAGAGATGTAATTATTTTTTTATGCCCACTTCGATGCAGGAGACCCAAGTATAGGGAGAGCTCAGGGTGTTGTGCATCTCCTGGATCCAAGTCAGCTCCTGCGCCGAGGGATAACGTAGTACCCTAAGGAAACTAGGGAAAAGAGACAGAAAGCGGGCCCTAATAAAAAAAAATAGACTCTTTAGATAGATCTCATCCGAGCATCTCGACCCCCCTAAAGCCATGAACCGTCTTGCATACTCTCGCTAACCTTTTGCAAACCCGTGCTCGTATCCCGAGTCAATTCTCTCGTTTTTTTTTTCTTTTTTTCTTACTCTCGTTTTTTCTTGCCTATTTCCTCTTACTATCTTCTCCCCCCACTCTCTCGTTACGTCCAGATGGTTCCTGGAGAGTCATAATGCCATCCTCGAACTCTTCAGGGCCTTCGTGCCGGGACCTAGACAATGCCATGCGTATTGACGCCGGATCTTGTCGCGGCGGTTTCGACTTTTCTCTTTTGTTTGAAGAATCTATTCTGGAAATCCTTCCCATTGCATTAATCTTAATTGTTGTCCCCTTTCGCCTATGGCATCTCTGGCAAAAGCGTCGCAAAGTCGTGGGATCATGGCTGCTACCCGTCAAGCTGGTACGTGTGTCCTTTTCTTTTTATACAAAGAAAAGAAGAAACCCTGGATCTGGTTCGTGCAACATGTGATACTAATGCTTGTGTTTGGCAGGCTGCCTGGCTCTCTTTGCTAGGCCTTCAGATCGCGCAGACAGCCCTATGGTCGCTACCCGCCGCCGAGAGAACCCCAACGTCCATTGCAGCCAATGCCGTGTTGGCTATCGGAGCCTTGGTGCTTTGTTTGCTATCGTATGCAGAGCACACGCGGTCTGTCCGGCCCTCGTTTATTTTAAACACCTACTTGTTCTGCAGCCTGCTTTTTGATATCGCGCGGGCCAGAACCCTGTGGCTGCGGCAAGCGGACGACTTCCATGCCAATATTGCCACCGTGACCACCGTCGCCCTGGCAGTTAAAGTGCTTGTCCTGATCCTGGAAGCGATAGAAAAGAGACACATTTTGCGGCTGGACTATGCCGACTATCCGCCCGAGGCCACGGCCGGCTTCTATAACCGGGCGTTGTTCTTCTGGTTGAACCCGCTGTTCAAGACGGGCTACAGCAATATTCTTACTGTGGAAGATCTGGCTGTTTTGGATAAGCAGCTGAGTTCGGAGCGGTTGCTGGCCAAATTCGAGGAACAATGGAGCAAAGGTATTTGAAACAGCGCTGTTTTTATGGTGTGGGGCAAGTTGGTTAATACTTTCCAGTCAAAACTAAATCCTCCAACACTCTGCAATGCGAAATCTTCAAGGCTGTCAGATGGCCGCTTCTCGCCGGTGTCCCCGCCAGAGCATGTCTGGTGGCCTTCAACTTCTGTCAGCCATTGCTCCTGACCAGGTCACTGTCGTTCTTCAATGAGCCGGTCAACGGTGCTACCAACAACATCGGATATGGACTGATCGGCGCTTACATTCTGGTATATGTCGGTCTGGCTGTAGGTTCATCCAAAATAACTTACGTGTGTACGAAAATCACTTACTGATCAACCTCCAGCTTTCCATGGGCCAATATCAGCACCTGACCTATCGTGCCATTACCATGGTGCGCGGTACACTCGTTACCATGCTATACAAGAAAGCCAGCTGTCTTCGTCTGACCGATGCCGACCCAGCCAACTCAATTACCTTGATGAGCGCAGATATCGAACGTATCACTCAGGGTTGGCAGACCCTGCACGACATCTGGGCCAATATAATCGAGATTGCGCTGGCAATCTATCTTTTGGAGCGGCAACTGGGAGTCTCCTGTTTTGTGCCGGTCTGTGTGGCACTGGGTACGTGACCGTTGCCTTGAATCTATGGGAATTGTACTTCATACTAACCTGGCCTATAGCTGCCCTGATTGGATCGCTGATCGGAATGTCGTTCGTGGTGGCACGCCAGGCCAAGTGGCTCGAAGCTATCGAGCGACGCATCTCGTCAACATCTGGGATGCTGGGAGCCATCAAAGGCGTCAAGATGCTGGGCCTGCAGAACTCATTCATGAAGTTTGTGCACGGTCTGCGAATTGACGAGCTGAACATCTCCAAGAAATTCCGAACACTTCTGGTCTGGAACATGGGATTCGGTATGTCTCTTGGTCTCTAATAAAAAAACAACATTCTCTGTGGCTAACTCAAACAGCATGGTTGACACGCATCTTCGCGCCCATTGCCACCTTTGGTGTCTATGTGGGGATCTCGAGCGACCCGTTGAGTGTGTCCCGCGTGTTCACGTCGCTGTCTCTCTTCTCCCTGCTGTCCGACCCGCTCTTGACCTTGGTGATGGCCTTGATGTCGTTCTTCGGGGCCGTGGGATCCTTCACCCGCATCCAACAGTTCCTCGATAAGGAAGACCACGCAGACCGCCGAAGCAACATCTCTCACGCTTTGTCTCTCGATGATTTCGGCGAGGCCAAGCTGCTATCCAAGTCGGGCGATCTCGACCTGTCGTCCAGCAACTCCGAGTCCGTGGAATCTCTGAAGCGCGGGTCCACCTCTGCCTCGGCCAACAATGCTGTGGTGATCCAGAACGGGACCTTCGGCTGGGATACAGAGAAAGAGCCCATCCTCAAGGACATCACCGTGACGGTTCCCCGGGGCAGCTTCACGATGCTGGTCGGGCCGTCTGGCTGCGGCAAGTCGACTTTGCTCAAGGCTCTTCTTGGTGAGGTGCCCTGCGCTGGTGGGAAGATCGAGTTGGCTTCGACGAGTATTGCATACTGTGATCAGACTCCGTGGCACATGAATGGCACCGTCAAAGACAGCATTGTCGCCATGTCTGAGTTCGACCCCAAGTGGTATGCGTCGGTCATTCAGGCCTGTGCTTTGGAAGAGGATCTCGGACAATTCCCTCGTGGTGATCAGACGGTAATTGGTAGCAAGGGTATTGCCCTCAGTGGAGGCCAGAGCCAGCGCATCGTGAGTCTCGGTAGCAACGCTCCAGGGTTTTTGGATTTCGCTAATATTCATTTTCAGGCTCTCGCACGGGCTGTCTACGCCAGGAGAAATGTGATTATGCTCGACGATGCCTTGAGCGGACTTGACGCAAACACCGAAACGCACATCTTCCACAGCTTGTTCGGAAACGTGGGACTTCTAAGAGAAATCGGTACCTCCATCATCGTCGCATCTTCTTCTGGTGAGTACCCTCCAAGCTCCACTGGTGTGAATCCCGCTAATATCTTTCCTGCAGTCAAACGTCTGCCATACTCCGATCACATTGTTGTCCTGGACACAGCTGGCCGTACACTTGAACAAGGCAGCTTCAGCGCCCTGAACAAGACCGGTGGATATGTATCGAGCTTTGGACTTGGAACTGCGGATTGGGACTTCAAGCCCAAGCGGTTCTCTGAATCGCCCAGTTACAGCACCATCGACAGCATCCAAAAGGAGAAAGAGGGACTGGAGTCCGAGGTGGTGCACCGAGACACTGGCGGCGACCTGTCGATCTACACATACTACCTCAACGCCATCGGCTGGCTCCCCGCGGTGGTGTTTATGGTAGCCATGGCGGGTTTCGTCTTCTGCATCTCATTCCCCAGCATCTGGCTGAAATGGTGGGCCAAGTCGGACACGGCCGAGCCCAAGCAGCACATCGGTCACTACCTGGGTATCTACGTGATGCTCGGGTGTGTGGCCATGCTCGCGCTGCTTGTCGGCTGCTGGCAGATGATCATCACCATGGTGCCCAAGTCCGGGGAGAACTTCCACCGCAAGCTCCTAACGACGGTTCTCAGCGCCCCAATGCTGTTCTTCTCGACGACTGACAGCGGCTCAATCCTCAACCGCTTCAGCCAAGACCTGCAACTCATCGACATGGAACTGCCCATTGCGGCCATTAACACGGTGGCGACGTTCTTCCTCTGTCTGGCTCAGATGGCGCTGATCGGCGTGTCTTCCAAGTACGCGGCAATTTCGTTCCCAATCGTGCTCGGGATCCTGTTCCTCATACAGAAGCTCTACCTGCGCACGTCGCGCCAGCTTCGGTTCCTGGATCTCGAGGCCAAGGCCCCGCTGTACTCGCACTTCAGCGACTGCATCCAGGGCCTGGTGACCCTGCGCGCCTTCGGATGGCAACACGCCATGGAAAAGAAGAACATCGAGCTGCTGGACTACTCGCAGAGACCATTCTACTTCATGTTCGCCATTCAGCGCTGGCTGACTCTGTCTCTGGACCTGGTTGTGGCCGGCATTGCCATTCTGTTGATTGTGCTGGTCGTTGCCCTGCGAGGTTCACTCGAGGTCGGCTACGTTGGCGTCGCCCTTTTGAACGTGATTATGTTCAGCCAGAGCATCAAGCTGATGGTTACCTTCTGGACCAATCTTGAGACGCACATTGGTTCTATTCTGCGTGTCCGTGACTTTACGCGTGATGTGCAATCCGAGGATCAGCCCGGGGAAGACGACGATGTGCCTCCCAACTGGCCATCCAGCGGTGCCGTCTCTTTCCACTCTGCTTCTGCGGCGTACCGGTACGTTTCTTTGTCTTAATTGCAAGGGTATACAGTGCTAACAATGGATAATGTCCAGACCCGACGAGCCTGTCCTCGACGATGTGTCAATCTCCATCCCAGCGGGTGAGAAGGTCGGCATCTGTGGACGAACAGGAAGGTAAGATATCTACAAAATACATGCATCGTCTCGAAGTGTTGGAAATCATATCTAACTGAGTGTCCCCAGCGGCAAAACCTCCATGATCATGAGCATCTTCCGCATGATCGAGCTGACCAGCGGCACCATCACCGTGGACGGCGTCGACATCACCCGCCTGCCGCGACGCGAGATCCGCTCGCGCATCAACGGTGTCTCACAAGATTCGCTCCTGCTCAAGGGCAGCGTGCGCCTGAACGCCGACCCAACCGGGGCCCATAGCGACCACGACATCCTCAGCGCGCTGAAGAGCGTGCAGCTGCTCCCAGCAATCGAAGAAAAGGGGACCCTCGACACGGATATCGATGAGATCTATCTCTCGCACGGCCAAAAGCAGCTGTTTTGTCTCGCGCGGGCCCTTCTTCGCCCGGGCAACATCCTCATCCTCGACGAAGCCACCAGCAAGTAAGTATTGAAACTGGCTGTTTTTGTTACCTTTTTTTCATTTTTCCCTCCCTTTCTTCTTGTTTCTCCACTCGTTATTTTTATTATTTTCTTTTTATTTTCTTGCTGTCACCTCGCCCCCTGCATATGCGGCTGTGGATCCGATCATCACGGCAACCTCCCTTGCAGAATAGACTGGCTAATTTCCCTTTTCTTTTTTTACAGTGTCGACACCAAGACAGACGAAATCATGCAACGCGTCATCCGAGAGAAATTCTGCAACCACACCATCCTTGCTGTTGCCCACAAGCTCGACACCATCCTCGACTACGACCGCGTCATCGTGCTGGATGCTGGCCGCGTCGTCGAGACCGGCGAGCCCTATGAGCTTCTGACGCAGCCCAAGTCGCAGTTTGCGCGACTGTATGCCAGCAGTATGCTGAGCGAAGATTCTGACTAACTTTTTATTCTTCTTCTCTCGTTTATCCCCTTTTTTTTTCATGATTTGTTTTTCTCGGGTGCCATGATGGTCCCCTGCACAGATTGCTTGTGAAAGCTTTTGGCGAGTTTTCTGATCGACCTTCCTTTTTTCGCGGTACATACTATCTCTCCCTCTCTCATACTCTCTCGGACACAGGGACATCAACATACACCGATGAATTGTTGGGGCGTTCATACTCATTTTTTGAAACATTGTGTTTATGACTCGGATGCTTTTCTTTACTCTCGTTGGTCCATATCTTTGGCTGTCTTCGGCTATCGTGTTTCTTTTTCTTACTTTCGTTGATGCTTTTTTTTTATTCTTTGTTCTTGTTCTTGACAAGAGTGGTGGTGCCTGTGTGCAAATGAATTCGGGGGGGTGCGGATTGTCTATAATCGTTTCATACTCTCTCGCCTGCTCTGTTCGGCTCTTAATGATAATGAAGAGTATAGTGGATGTCACACCAATGGATTGTTTTACAGAACCTTAAATCGTCTAATTCTATTTTGTAGAGTATTTCTTTGTTGGTGATTGTTAGTTGGGATATACTAGAGGTGATACCAGAAGCCGCCAGGTGCAGCTCGGTCTCAAGGACTAGTGTGCTTCGCAGGCCGTGGTGATGAATTAACTTCAGTCGCAGAAGCGCACCGTTGTCGAGGGAGACAACTTGCTACTCACTGTACACTTTTTTTTTTTTTTTTTTTGCTCCCAGCAACTCGTAATTCTTTGGTTTTCAGTGGTTGGTGGGATACCTACTGCCTTCACTTGTCGATATATATCGTAGTGTCCTCCCAAATCGACACCATATCCCTTCCAAGATATTCTTAATATCCTAAATCGTTCAATAAATAGTCTAATGGCATTAGTCCAGGCATTCTTTCTGCTCCCTAAATAAACCCCTCTCCCTCGGATTCCCGGGATGGTTGCGAACTTGCGCGACTAAGCAAACAATACCGGCATCTGAGCTAAGCTCGAAAGGTTAGGTAGTCTACAGTAACAACCGTGTGAGATCAAAAGCCTCAGATCCTATTTTGCACCTGATTCATACAAGATAGAGTTACCCTAGGGGAAAAAGAAGAAATCATGAGAGAAAAAAAAAAAAAAAGCTAGATCCCCCCGGCATCGGCATCAACATCCGAGCACAAATCAGAGAGAGATAAAAAAGAAAATAAACCATTTATCCTGACCTCAATTATCACACCAACCAATAACAAAAGCCACAGGCACCCACAGTCTACGAGAGAACCATCGTGTCATCATTATCGACATCCTCGTCGTTGTCATCGAAGATTCCAAACTCCCAGTCACCGCGCTCGATGCGGCTGACACGGTCGAGTTCAGACTGGTATTCGCGACGCAGGTGCTCGAGTGTCACAATGACACGACGCTGAGGCACTTCGACTGCAGGGGGGCTTTAAACGATACACTACCGCGGCCGCCAGCAGAAGACTTGCTGCCACGGCGGCTGGCGGAAGCGAACGAGGCGGCGCTGGACGAGGATCGGCGGCGAGAGGCAAAGGGGGTGGGCGAGCCCATTTCTGTGTCTTCCATTGTAACATTACCGTCTTCATCTGCGTGCGTGTCTCGTGTTCGCTCTGGGGAGGTGGCTGCACCAGCACCCAGGGAAGGAGAAGGCCCAGTTTCGACCAGGATGTAGGCCTCGCTCTTGTCGACAGAGGCGAGAAGATTTATTAGCGATAACAGCTCATGGCGGATTTCCTTGCTCTCGGCGTCATCTTCCTCGACGGGCGGGCGAGCGCCGTCGTCCGCTTCTTTCCTGCCTTTGCGAATGAGAGCGGAGGACGGGGCGTCTCTTGCCTGGCGCAGGCGTTGGACGTTGCGGTAAGCAATTTCGGCAGCGCCACGGTAGTCGCTCCGGGCGATGCGGTATGCTTGCAAAATGCGGTGGTAGTCGGGAGAAGTATCGGCCGAGTTGTTATCAGCATCCAGCCACGAGCCGAAGGAGTTTTGTTTTCGGGCGAGAGAAACAAGCGTCTCGTCGATATGAGAGGCAATGTTCGGCACGAGTGAGATCGGGAAGCGGAGAATTTGCTTCAGCCCAGCGGTGCCGGGTCCAGAGACGGTCAACATGTTGGAAACAAGCGACCCCAGTGCAGACTTTTGCAGCGCGAAGTCCTGGTAGCGTGATAGGGCGGAGTACGCCTGGTCGAATTGGCAGGTTTTGAGGGAGGCGTGGAAAAGCCGTGACAATAAATCGGTTCGCATGACCGTATATTCGGGGTCCTGTTCAGCCCACGTCTCGGAGTCGAGGGCCTGCAATGCCAGACTGGCGAAATCCGCGACATGAGAGAAGGAGCGAACTTGCTCGAATATTGAAAGGATGTGCTGGTAGTATTTTGGAATCCCGTTGTGGAAGCAATTCACGGAAACAAGGTCCAAGAGTGTCGACGACATTTCATGGAGGTTACCCAACGGTTTACCACAAGCTGTGAAACGTTAGCAGACTGGATTCTCAAAATAGGTCCAATGGACAATACTCACAAAGAAGATAAGCTGCTTTGCGGAAGTAAATGGCTGCAGTATCAAATTCCGACATAGCCACGTGCAAGCGGCCCTTGACATACGTCGCCCAGGAGGTGTTTGCTTGGAAGCGGAGGAAGTCCCATGCGAGGTCGATGTTGTTCTTGGCGATGAGATCGCATTGGATATAGGCCAACGCATTGGGATAAGCTACCTCCCCTTGTCGAGTGACCCAGGCCAGGACATCCCTAATTCCCAAGGTCAAGGTGTAGCTTTGCGGGAAGCCAACAGTTTGTCGCGGCTTGATGTCTGCAACAAACAGATCTTCCAGGATAGTCGCTGTTCTTTGGAACTTTCCCTTTGAATTGTTGTCTTCCAATGAAAAGACGGGAGTCGAGTCTGCGCCGGCACTTGCGGGATGATCGGCGCACTTGCGCACATTGGAGCTAAGCCAAGCCATCATCTCATATTCGCGCAAGAGGTCGACGAGGGTAGAGAAAAGATCAGCCGCATCGAAAGTCGAGGTGCCGCGCTGTTCAATCTCGCCATCCACAAACGTGACCAGGATTAACAGGTCGAACAGGATCTGACGAGTCAAGAGAATCGTCTCCTGGGCACCGCTGACAGCAACGCGGGCGCCAAAATAAGTCGAGTGAAGCTCGGAGTCTTTCCCATGGAACCCAAGCGGAGCAGTGTCGATGACAGCGTAGAAAACATCGCCGGACAGGTTATCCGCATCCAAGTACTCGTTCAAAGCAGAGACCAGATTGTCGAAAGTCTTGTTGGAAATCTGATCCGCGAAATCACAGCGCTCACGGAAGGAGTCCATCCGGTCCATAATCGAGGACGACGGTTCAGAAAAGATCTCAGCGTTAAGAGCAGCGTGGCACGCCGCGTCGAGCTCAGGAGAAAATCGCTTTCGGAAATCGGAGGCCACTTTCATCAACGCAGATGCTGGCTCGTATAACCTGCCGAGCTCAGAGCCGAGGTTTCGATGCCTCCAGCGGTCCACGACCTTTGGCACCTCTTCGTGAAGTTCAGAGCCGGAGTTGTGCAGGAGTAATTCTGCGGTGCTGCATTCTCGAACCACTGCACATGCATCCGAAAGAACCAGCCATGGCATTTCAAAGTATGCGTCGTAGGCAAGGGAAACAGGTTCGAAGCGGCGCTTATTGAGATCATCGGCAACCTGCCAGAACTGACGCCACTTAGCGTCTGTATCCACTCGGTACCGTGTGTAGTCCATATCATCCTCTGTAAATTTGCGAAGAGACACTGCGGCTGAGACTGTAGAACAGAGGCGTTCTGGCAATGGCACGCTCCTCTTCAGGACTCCAGCTGCAGAAGATGATAGCGGCTTAAGAGCCTCTTGGTAAATAGCCAGTGCAGTCTCGAGAACCTCGGGCAAGTAACGGTTGGGCTGCAGAAGATATTCCAGCCACTTCTCGGTTGGGTCCACCACACCATTGAGAACTGGCACCGGCAGCGGCTCCTGTCGGTGAGTCTCAAATGTCGTTGACACCCAATTAGTTGACCAATCTGTGACCAAAGTTTGGAGATCAAAATGTAGAGTATACAACTGGTAGAGGCCGTGATTTCTCCAGAGCACCCACATCTCCATTCCCTTTCCTTCTTCCATGGTCTTGACCTCGAAATCGGCGATGCTCCAAAACATGCTTCCCGTCACGTCGGGGTCCTCGGGCCGGAACACGGCATCTGCGTAAAGATCTTCGATGACAAGATCGGACGTCAATCCACCCTTCACGGCCCAGAATTTGAAGCGCCCATCCTCAAACGGCGAAAAGGTGACCACATAAAAACGATGGCCACCGTCCATAGCTCGCTCTGCATTGAATACACGCAGGAATGACGTTTCGCCGGGGTTTAAAGTGTAGGGTATGGCATCCGGGTCCTGGATGGGACGGCCCAAGAGATCCCTCGTGGCCGCCAATTTGTTCGTCGCAAGATTCCAGATCTTCAGTGTGTGGTTCAAACAAATCGCAAAGACGTACGTTTCGTCAGATGTGGTAGCGATAGTGTTCGCCACATGGAGGTCAAGGTTGCGTCCATTATGCTTGATCGAAGACGGTGCGTTCCAATTGACAAGGCCTCGGATCGAAGAGCCCCATGTTCTTTCGTCGAAGGTGAGAGGAGACCAATGCGATCCTATGGGCAAAGAGTTAGATGGCTCTCTGAAAAAGCAAGAAGAAAAAAAATGTCTGCTTACCATCGTCACCAGCTCTCCTGGTCAGTCGCAGCAGCGCACCGTTGTCGAGGGAGATAAACAGCTCCAACGGACTGCTCGCGTGCAGCCGGTGGGGATGCGAGAAAGCCAGCGGCGCCGGCAAAGACGCTTTGCACCATTCCGCCACGTTCTCATCGATCGAGGAAGTCCTCCGGAAAAATTCCGGACGTAGAGACAGGGTGTGAAGCTGCTTGGAAGCCGTAATGACAAAGACACTCAAGACCTCATGATCCTCGAGATCAGCCAGTGCCACACCAAAGGGGATGATCTGCTCCTGGAAATCCAGTCGCAGGGTGACATTGTATTCAAAGTGCTCTGTCACACTCTTGGTCAGGTCCGCGCATTGTATCTCCAACACTTTGTTGTCATTGACCACCCTCCACAGGAACGTCCTCGGATAGACTCTGCGTTTCCGGAAATATACTTCACCCTGCGTCGCGAGGTATCGTCGAGCGAATTCGTCTTCGTCCTTGGCGATCGGGGCTTCGTGGTCGGGCTGCGATGAGACTGAAAACCGCGGCCGACGGGGCGCGCTCTCGTGGGTCGGGATCTGGATGTTGGCCACGGTCGTCGGCGAGTACGGCCGAAGATCGACCCGTGTGTCCTTGTATATTTTAGCCATGATCGAGGCTCACAAGCTTCCACGGAGAATCAAGGCCGTTTCAGAACTCCATGGTGGGTGCGGAAGGCGGAGGATGGAAGGGCGGGAAAGCTGAAGCTCTCAAAAAACAGAGTCTTGGCGCGCACCACTGCTCCGTCCATACCTCAGGCTGGTCTCCACCAAACACTCACCATACGAATATACTAATATACTAATACTAATCATGAACAAAACAGTAGTGGGATCGAAATAACAAAATGCAATAATTCATGTTATGCTACCAATGCATACGGGTCTCCAGCACTAACTACATGGATATTGGTCGAACCCAGCTCGTCAAGTCACTAACATCGTGTCAAACAGTTCAAAGCAAACTGGCTTAGTCGTTCTCCATGTCCTTCTCATTGGGATCGCCAATGCCGTCCTCGTTGATAGCAAAGAGGCAATCACTTTCAGGGAGGCACGGGCTGTCATAAATTTTGCAGACTCGAGTCTCCCCTCGACCCTTCTTCAAACTGAGACGAGTCGTGCTCGCATGAGCGATGATATTGCCTCCAATGGGTTTCTTCGGGTCCGGATTGAACATAGCACTCGGTCCGCCATCCACCTGGGCAACGACCTGGTTCGTGATCACCACGGCAATACCAAACTCGTCCGCGAGACGCTGCAGGGTCCGCATGAACTTGGCCAGATGCGTCTGCCGTGATGAAAGCTCGCCACGGCCATTGAAATCTGTACGGTACAGCGATGTTGCCGAGTCAACAACCAGGAGCGAGAATCGCGTCTCGCACATCATCTGGGAAGCCTGGTTGAGCAGCTGGAGCTGGTGATCTGAGTTGTACGCTCGCGCATAAGCCACATTGTCGAGAACTTCCTCGCCCACGAGTCCGAACCGCTGGGCTACTGCGAGCAACCGGACGGGCCGAAATGTTCCCTCGGTATCAATGTAGAGGCACTTTCCCTCGCCGCCACCCATATCAAAGGGTAGCTGGCAAGTTACCGCAAGGGTATGACAGATCTGACTCTTCCCTGTTCTGAATTCACCAAAGATTTCCGTAATTGAGCCAGTCTCGATGCCACCTCCGAGTAACGTGTCAAGCCGCTTGGAACCCGTCGTGATCGATATAAGTTCGCTTCGTCTTGCGTGCATTTCTGTTGCCGTCGTAAATCCCATGGGGACCAATTTTGCCGCTGAATAGATTTTTTTGTCAGTTTCATTTATTTATAAAACAACTTCCATATCTCATTCTGGGATCTCACCTTCAACGAGAACTTTGGTGGCCTTTTGTTCCGAGATGCCCTTAATCTGCTCCAGCAGGCGCTTTGGTCTGGGCAATCCATCACCCATGTCAGTCGGGTCCAACGTAATAGGATCATTGCCATCTCGGGGCAATTGCAATGGCAGCAAAGGCACGGGCACACATACGTGTAGGCAATCGACTCAACAGTGTGGTACCCTGCATCCACGAACAACTTGATATCCCTCCCCGTCAAACCCGCAAGCCCCTGGTACAGTTGTCAGTATCGTGTCCGGGCATCGCATCGATCAGAACTGCCCAGTCGCGGGGCTCACTCACTTCCAACGCGGAGAGTGGGGTTGGCGCACCGGGGCCGGGAAGTCCATTCTCATCATATTCGGCTTGAGGCTCCATATCGGCGGTCATTATTCTGGGGGATCAGTGCGGTCAATGGACTCCAGGGTCTGTGATGCAGCTCTGTAGTCCTCGAGAGTGGCTCGACGCGGACCCGCGTTCTGGGTGTGATTAGTTGCGTGCGGTGGCAGGGTTATCCGAGAGAAATCAGAGAAGCGGTGTCTGATTTGTAGGCTATGTTTCAGGAATTAGGCAGCCTTTTTGCTCGTGAGTCAGGTCTGCTTGTGCAAAAATGGAGTGTTGCGCAGGTCAACAACGGCCTTGACGGACGCGTCCAGACAGTCGCGAGGTCACGTGGGGTTCTATGCCAGGCAGCAGGCGGGATTTTCGGTCCGTCGATCTTTTGATACTGTCGACCTGGTCCTCTGTCTATTTTGAGTCAAAAAGAGCTCGATCTTTGGAAATCAGAGTGGTTAATTTTCATCCCGTGTAATAGATACAATTTTGCAAGCATTCGACCATCAAGAACAACCGCTCCGTTCTTAGCTAACCTATAACCCTGCAAAGCCAGAAGAAAATGGGATCTAGGAGCATCGGCAAAGTGCCAAATGCTGTATCAGGACCAGACAAAGCTAGATGTCTGAAAAACATTGTGATGTGTTGGGGACTATTATGTCCCTCTCGGCAGGATCTCACCCCGGGCAGGCGCTTCGAGTGCTCTGCTCCACTTGGAAGAAAAAGGTTCACGAACGGAATTGCCCAAATATCGACCTGCGCTTGCTTCGCTTCTGGGTATCTCGCAGTTCTGGGTTGAACTGAAGCTGCTCAGCGGGGACACCCATTTGGATATTTTCGTTGAAGATTTGGCTCATCTTGCGTCTGAACTCCTCGGATGACCGTCGACGAAGGGTCTCTGTGGAAAGGGGGTATGGTTCAGCGTCTTGACTCGACTTTAAAAAAAAAATAACATCAATTACTTACTCGTGAGCCGTGCAGGCCGATGGTGTTCAGCCGGGTTTCGCAACCCAACGTCATTCCCGGCGGAGCCCAGATCCTGCTCGTCCTGACCATCGGGGCCGGTCCTGGCGTTCTTGTCAAACAGATGGCTGGTTCGGAAGAGCCGCGAATGGAAACTGGCACGCTTTTCATTTCCACTCAGGATGTCATTTCGACGACGAGAGCCGGGATATTCTGAAAAGCTAGAAGTTACCGCTGGGCCATAGATCTCGCCGGGTCTTTGGGACTCGTGTCGGTAGTTGGCCAAGCCCATATCCATCTTAGGGCTAGCTCTGGGTCTGGCAAAAGACACCATTTGTGTTGGGGTTGTCATGGTATTTTCGAATGCCAACGCCGGGGCGGGATTTGCGGGGGGCTTGCCCATGACCCTCGGCGCTGGACTGGCCGGTCGGCTTCCGTCAGGTGTCCCTGGTTGGTGTGGGCTGTCATTCGGAGTGTTCGGCTTGGAAACCCAGATGTCATCGACATAGATGCCTCTCTCCAGGGCTCTGGCACCGAACGGGATATCATCTCCCGTCAGCATGGGGTGTAGCTCTGCCTCCTCTTCCTTCTGGCGTGCCTCGGCCGCAGCGTATTTGCGAATCATCCATTTGTGGTATGCAAGGACGCAGAAGGCATAGATGAGCACGATAGTCTGTGGATCCAGTTAGTGCCGTACAAACATGTCCATGGGTTTCACGTACAATCAACCCAGCCAATACCTATCGAATTCAACAGTCAGACTGTGTTTCTTTCTACCTTCCATTGCACGCTTACTTACCAGGCTCAACTTCTCCCAGAGCTCCCAATCAACCCAGAACCTCATCGTGAGTCTCGGCGCTGTCCTATGCAGCTCGAACTTGGTGATCGTACGTCAGTGGTGGGAGAGGGTGTTCTGTCAAGCAGACTAGGGCAGGCGAGGTCAAAGAGAATTGAATACTGAATCAACGTCCGATGGTTTCGATGATGACTTGATGTAGTGTATTCTTCATGATGCATGCGAGCTCTTCTTGCAGTGTTGCGAAGAGTCTTGTGAGGCCCACGGACAGAAAGAGGCGCCTGCCTATTCTGGCGCCGACGATGACAGACAGCAGGCGACCATCCATGGATGGCCTTGGCTTTCTTTTCCGCTGGAACATCTTGGTCTGCTAGTTTTCCTGGTCCATTGGACTAGGTCATGAGAAAATAAACCATGTATTCGCATTGGTAGAAATAAACGGGTAGGAGGAGAATATAGGGCAGGCAATAATAAGAGATGCCTGTGCAAACAAAATAAAAAACTTAGGGGAAATAAGGAGATGCAGCAAAAAAATGACTCTCCCTCGGGGAATCGAACCCCGGTCTCCCGCGCTTATCGAATGACAAGCGGAAATCATCACCACTAGACCAAGGAAGATGGGATGATCGAGTTACTGCTCGACCACTCGGCCTGTTTTATAGTAAGGCTCTGCAAATTATGTTCTTAGTTTCAAGCCTGAACAACTGCATTCAGGCCAGCTCCTACAGAGCTATTATTGCAGCCCTACTAGACCTCTGCCTGAAACAAATACTATATGTTCTGAGGCATTTCTTCTCTGACTTTTTAACTGAATAAAATTTTTTATTTCAATTTTCCTAGAATGCTCCTTGTGCACCTTCTTTAATATTCCGAGTGATTTTTATGGAAGATGCTCCCGTGCGTTGATATATATCTACAGCACACGGGCACAACCAGTTTAGGTTCGAGTAAACCCAAGAATTCCACTAGAAAGGTAGAGGTCGATCCAATTTATTCCCCCATGTACTCTTCAATTCCCAAATTACAAACACCCAAGTGATGATCAATCGCGACTGTACTATGTCAAAATACTCAGCCAACCTTGGAATAGGGCAAGGCAAACCATATCCACACAACACTCTTAACTCCAAACAAGCTTTTCAATCTCGCTGTCCTGGGTGACTGCATCGCCATCAGCTATCTCCTCATTTCCTTCCCTGTAGCGCCACCGGGCCCCCATAACCTCTTTGAACTGCTCGACATCCATGCTACCGCGCATGATGGCCTCAGAGAAGGGTCGAGCCAGCTGAACCCCGCCCAAGGGCCGCAACTTGAGATCGAGATCGAGCGCCACAAACAGCACCGCGCTCAGCCGGCGCACGCCAGGGGTCCTTCTGACACGATGTCTGGCGGCGCGAATACGACCTCCACTCAGAACCACGGCGCACCAGCCCGTCAGAATGACAGTGGCATCGCCCGGGATAGGGACCCAGGTGCCCGGGGCATCCGCATCCTCGAATTCCAGACCGGGAGTGCCATCCTGGAAGATGACACTTGGTGGTGCCGTAGTCGGTGTGTGCGCCACACCCGCTGCTGCAGTCCGGAGCCGCGGTGACAGGGTTGTAGTCGCACAGTCGAAAGTTCATAGTGCGGCTCATGTGTGCAGTACCCAGATCAGCGCTAGCGAGCACACCGAGAGAGGTGAGAATAGAGGGGATACGAGAGTTCCGCGCCGGCGAAAGATCGATGGTGAACTTCTGGTCGGACGAGTTCTTGTGCATTGCGGCCGTCTTCAAAACTCCACGACGGGGTTAGGTTGCATTAAGCTTGGCAGCGTCATCCGAGTGGTCGCGGAGATAGTCGAAGAGAGCACGAATGGCTGGGAAAAGTGCCTGCACACCCAGATCGATGGACACAGCAGTCGAGTTGGGGCTCAGAGGGGAGATGGTGCCAATGGGAGAGTCTGACGCCTTGCTCTGAGTAGGAGCACCCGAGGACGTGGCAGTGTGCTTAACAGCAAGATCAGGAGTGGCCATGATAGCTGTGACAAAGAAGATGAAGAAAGCAGATAGAGAGGAGGGGTTGAGGAAGTAGGATTTTGATGACCCTTTGGTTGATGATGGGGATATTGTGGAGCAGCGACATCTTCAACTAAAGCAGTTGTTGCTAGAAACAAGGAGCCACAGTCGAGAATCATGGGTACTGATGCAGGATAGCGAACATGACAGCCAATATAATTAAAAAAAAAAAAGAAAATTGTAGTCGTCTCACCAAACAGCCAGCTTCCCTGTAACGGGACGGTGTATTCTGGCGACGCCATCCCAGGGTGGAAGTGTCTCTGCAGAATTGCTTCCCTCAAGGGTCGCTTCCATTGCTTAGCGGCTTATAGCATCGTGGATTACTCGCACGAGTATAACGCCGACCCCAGGATTCGTACCAGGCACCAGTACCCGCTGGCAGAACCGAAGCAAGGTTGCCGACTTAGCGGTGAGCCTCCCACTAGGTTATCCGCGACAGATTAAGGTGAATCTGCTCTTATCTACTTCAAACCATGACCTATGCTTTCCTCTCCTGAGTATTTCTTGACTCAATTGATTCCATATTGATGTAGGCAGCTGGTAGACAGAAAGCAAAATAAGAAAGCAAGGGCTAACATCCTTGAACTGAGACCACAATACAACTGCCCTTCCGTCCACCAAAACCAATATACTAATCCACCTGAATACCTAATATTTCTCGTCTTTCTGCTTCTCATCCTCCGGTTCAGTCTGGTTCTCCTGCCCCCCCCTGCTCCTCCTCCTGTGTAATTGGGTTCATGTGGCACATCATATACATGCTCCGATGCCGACCGCAGTAACCAGAGCAGCACTGTTCATTGTATGAGCAGAAACGAAGCAACGCAGAGCACTCCCCCTGCCGACCATTATCGCGATAGCATTTCTGGACTCCTCGGTTGCGCTTGCATTTTTGCCCCACGAGACAGTCATCATCAGTCTCGCAGCCGAGTGTGCAGATCCCCTTGTAGCAGTAATAGCCCCAGTCGCAGTGGACGGTGGCGCGACAGCTGAAGTCGTATGGCGGAGCAACCTCCATGACTGGGAGACTAGTGTCATTCTCCCGGGCCGTCAGATTGTGAGTCGAGTTGATTGGCAGGTTCACCACGCTCGAGGTATCGCTAGTATTGCTGGGGACATCTCTCTCGACCAGGAGATCTTTGAGGTTGGACACCAGACTTGTCTGGTTATTTAAGGTCGAGTTGAGCACAACCATCGTGACGGAAACGCGACTGCCCATTTTTGCGGTGTTGAGTCGATTCAAGTGTTCAGTTATGTGAAGAATAGGAGGCTTGAGAGTGATAAACCCGAGATATAGTCAAAGCGCCAACTCGAGGCAAAGAAAACAAAAACCACGTTGTTAGTGCTGGGCCATTTTGATGGAAAGCCGATACTTGATGTATATTGAAGAAGGTGAGAGGATGAGAAGAGCAGAAAGAGAGCAGCCAGACGTTGTGTCGTGACTCACAGATGGAGACCGCGGCCATTTTGGGCAATTCGACTTCATCTTGACATCAGGTTACCCCATTAGGAGTCAGAACTACGCCAAGAACCAGATCAATTCTGGAGAGAAGCGACGATAGGATGGCAGCTTGTCGGGAACTTGAAATAGTTATAGCAAGCCCTATAGCCGGAGTGCTATCACAGAAGATGCTAGCATTAATCAGATAATCAATCCATAGAAGCTTTTCAAGGTAGAAGACGAAGAGACTATGTGTTGTATAACATGAAGTGCTACAAGGCAAAGGGATTCAATGTTTCCATTGTCTTCGCCCTTACTCACCCAGTGAATAAGCCCACAAGTAGTCATTTTATGGCATAACTCTGAGCTCATTTGTACGATAGAATATCTAAACAGCTTGCCGGGTCACTATCTTATGAATTACCCTTCAACTATAGTCATAAACTTCCCTGTCGATTGCTTTTTCTTCGGCCCGGGCCTACTACCCAGAATGTGGTATAGAACTTTGATAGAGCCCAGCTCATGGCACCTGCTACATAGATGCATTATTTGATTATATCTAATTGTTTTTCCAACAATAAAATTGCAGCAAAATCATATTTCGCTTGGCATGAGACCGGAAAAAAGATGCAGATTCGAAAGAAGCCCAAGACTGAAGGCCATTCTGTTCCATTGCGAGGGTTCAGGCCCTGGATTTGAACCAGCACACGAGGGACCAGGAATATACGTGATTTGTGCATTTTGCGTGGGGATGCCCACAGGGCGTCTTGGATGACGTCGCCCGAAGATTGATTCCCCCCACTGCCGATCCGGTGAAATCTGGAGAAATTGCCATCTCCATTTCCCCCTGCAATCCTTCTTGGGGTACATCCCATATCGCAGACTGAAGACATGGCACCCTTTCGCAATTTTCTCGGCCGGAAATCCCAGTTTAACAGTGGGGAAGCTGAGGGCACCGACGACAACTACCTCTCCCCACATCGTCGACCCCCCTCGATTGCTTCTCGTAGGAGTCACGAAAGTGAACCCCCTGAATATCAAATGAGTGGTATGTCGGTTCCTGGTTGTGCACGCGACCGAGGTCACTGAAGTGGAAATGCGAACTGACCTTCCTGTCTGTCGCAGTCGTTAACGATAGCGGGGTTTATCTTCCGGTACGGATCTTCCTCCTCAACACAATTGAACCCTGGGATCAATCCATGCGTGGACATACTCGCTGAATGCTGCCACAGCCGTCTCCACCCGAGAGGCCAAGCTTCTGGCGCGGATACTCCGGATCAGCAAGATCCTCGAACCATCGTGACCTGGTCAACGAGAATGAGCCTTTCTCAATATCGCGCGAATCATTTGATTCGTACCGTCGCTCCTTTGTATGTCCTGCATGAAGTAATCCATGCACGTCTATCTCGCTGACGCTGCGTCGATCTAGGATATCTCCGCGCGCTCTCCCGTGACTCACTCCGATGCGCTCCCCTCTCGAACATCATTGGACTCGCGAGTATCTCGAATCGCATCATCTTCTGCTGCACAGTCAAACAGCGTTGAGAGATTCGATTCCATGAAGGAAGAACCGTTCGAAGATGTGGGTCTTCACGAGGAGGTCAAACCCAAAAAGAAGGGCATCTTCGCTCGCTTCGGGGATTCATCTGGTGATGCGCAGCAAGCCAGTGGTGCTAAGTCCTCCACCTCCTCCTTTGGCTTCCATATCCCTGGTCGGAGGCGTGGTCAGAGTGGTGGTGGATCTGAGCTGGGAGCTATGAAAGCACCCACCGCCGCACCCGAGGATGGTCAATGAGCCTGGCCGAGGACTGATGTTTGTTTACGACTTGTGATCCATTTGGGGATTTATCCCAGGCGTTTGGGGCTATATTCAAGTGATGCCCCCGGTGTTTGGTTGGAAGAGTATAGATTGGGACTTAGCTGCTGCTCTCTGCCCAAGATTTGGCACTGCACCCGCGGCCTTGCTCCCAGGGTTTTGTACATGTGTTTTTCTTGTTGAGGAATTGCCCTGGTTATATTGCATCTCATCTGAAGGATTGTGTCCTCTTGTTTGAAATATTCTGTTTCTAGACGACTGTTGCCTCTGTTCGAAGGTAACTATAATTTATGCTGCTTTCTGTCAACTTCCAGGAAACTTTCAGCCCATTTTTGGCTATGAATCAAATTGTGCCCACATTTTTTGGCCTCATATTTTTTTGTATACTATTTTTATTGCATTATTTCCATGATATTTGCATAGACTCCTCTCGATATACTGTGTAGAGTCTATCGCTCTTATCAATGCAAACCGTGCAAACCGGCAAAAAAACTTCCCCGAAAAAATTAACCAGCGCAACCAGCAGTCTCCGCTCAAACACCTTCACGGTTCATTTTTTTTACGTTTACCCAAAACAGTGACGGAATCACGATCACTGCGACAAATACCCATCATGGTCGGAGTGAAGCGTCCCGTCGACGGCAGCGAGGACCGCAATGGAAAGCGGACCAAGACCAAGCAGGGCTCTGCCTCAGCGAAGAAATCCAAGCCCGCGGCGCCCGTGAAGAAGACTCCGTCTTCTAAATCGAAGAAGGGAACGAAACCCGGAAAGGAAGACAAGAAGAAGCCCTCGAAGAAGGCGCAAAAAGAAGAACCCGACGATGAGGACGACTTTGACATTGACGATCTTTCGGATTCCGGCGATAATGATCTCGATGCCCTTGATACTGTCCCGGATGACCATGTGGACATGGAAGATGTCAGCGACGATAATGTCGAGAGTGATGAGGAAGAGGAGATGGGCCAGAAGGGAGCAAAGGGTGGGAAGAATGGCGAGATTACGGCAAAGAGTACGTTAATTCTATTGAATGCGCATTTTTTACATCGCGAGAAATCACCGGCTAATTACCACTCCTTGCTCAGGCAATGCGTCTCGAGAATCACACGCCAAGCAAAAGGCCCTCCAGCAGGAGCGCAAAGCCGCCAAGCCCAACGCCGACATGATCGCTCGTTCCAAGAAGCTGTGGGAGCGGTTGCGCCGCAAGTCCCACGTGCCGCTTGAGGAAAGGAAGAAGCTGATTAAGGAACTGTTTGAGATTCTTACTGGTCGCGTGCGCGACTTTGTGTTCAAGCACGACTCGGTTCGAGTCGTCCAGACGGCCCTTAAGTACGCCAACACTGAGCAGCGGAAGCAGATTGCGCAAGAATTGAAGGGCACCTACAAGGAGCTCGCCCAGAGCCGTTACGCCAAGTTCTTGGTCGGAAAGTTGATCGTCCACGGCGACGCGGAGATTCGGGACCTGATCATTCCCGAGTTCTACGGACATGTCAAGCGGCTGATCCGGCACCCGGAGGGATCATGGATTCTCGACGACATTTACCGCACGGTTGCGACCAAGGAGCAGAAGCGGAGACTTTTGCGGGAGTGGTATGGCCCGGAGTTCGTCATCTTCCAGGACGACACCGTGACTTCCTCGGATCTCGCGAAGATCCTGGAAGCCCACCCGGAAAAGCGATCGCCTATCATGCATTTCTTGCACGAGCTCATCAACCAGCTGGTGCAGAAGAAAACCACTGGTTTCACGATTCTCCACGACGCCATGTTGCAATATTTCCTCAGCACAAAGCCGGGCAGTAACGAGGCGACCGAGTTTATTGAGCTTCTCAAGGGCGACGAAGAGGGAGATCTTGTGAAGAACCTAGCATTCACCGCGTCTGGGTCGCGCCTGATGTGCCTGACCCTGGCGTATGCGAATGCTAAAGATCGCAAGCTGCTCTTGCGGTTCTACCGTGACACCGTTAAGATGATGGCTGGTGATTTGCATGGTCATCTGGTCCTTCTTGCGGCCTACGAGGTCATTGACGACACGAAACTCAGTGCTAAATCAATCTTCTCGGAGCTTCTGAACCAGAACGATGCGGAGGAGGCTCGGAACGAGGAACTCGTCTTCCAGGTCAACGACTTGACCGCGCGTATACCCATTCTGTATCCGTTTGCTGGCGACCGTGTGAAGTGGCTTCTGCCCAATTTCGACCAGGATGTGCTGAAGGAGGTCCGCGAGGTGCGGAAAGAAACCTCGAAGAAGGACCCGACTATTCGACGCCAGGAGCTGGTCAAGGCCGCATCACCCACGCTGCTCGCACTCATTGCCGCCCGCGCCGAGTCTCTTCTGGAGACCACCTTCGGCTGCCAATTCATCGCCGAAGTGATTTATGAGGCCGATGGCGACAAGAGTGCCGCACTCACCGCGGTGGCCGAGGCCGCCAAGTCCCAGTCTGCTAAGGACTCTGCCCCCGTTGGCCGGTTGCTCAAGTCCCTTGTACAGGGTGGCCGTTTCAACCCGGCAGAGAAGGTTGTTGAGAAGGTCCAGCCCGCGCTGAACTTCCACGCGGCGCTGTATGAGCAGATCCAGGACGAGATCATGGACTGGGCGACGGGGTCAAACCCATTCGTGATTGTTGCGCTGGTCGAGTCCGACGAGTTCGAGAAGAAGGCCGAGCTGTTGAAGACCCTGAAGAAGAACAAGAAGGCGCTGGAGCAGGCTTCGGCGTCGGGCAAGGATGGAAAGAAGAAGCCGGGCCCGACCAGCAGCGGCGCCAAGCTGTTGCTCGAAAAGATCTAAGTGTCTATTGAGCATGTTGATTTTCCATGGCGTGTAATTATGTCTATTGCCTACATAGTTTTGTACTCGGTGTTTATGGTATACAAAAAAAAAAGAGCATTGTGTTGGTATGAAATTTGCATTCTCCACCGAGTGGATCTCTCCAATGGATCGATCTCAGGGGTTCACCTGGTCTTCTTCCGGCCCCAATTCAGTTCCATGGAAGCCAGGGACTATGGCAACCCCCTTGCCCTCGATGTTTATTGCATCGTACAGGGACGATGCATGTGCGCGGCACTCGTGTTCATGCGAGGACTTGTAGTCATCGTGCACATCAATTCTGGCCTGGGGGCATGGGAGATTATCGCAATTAAAGTAGTTCCAGGACGATTAAAGCCTTGGCAGACAATAGCTACTGTCCACTGTACACTTCCGCCGTGTTGAGTGTGATGGCTAGCATTTGAGCAATGTCTTCTACATGTATCCAGAGTTAGAGATAGTATCTACATAGTATAATAGAATTCGCAATGCGAGTACCTTCACCAACAGGGTCCTGACCCGGCAAGGATCAGGGCACGCTAAACCGCATCCACTTGGCCCGTTAGGGGGAGCTGTTCAGGCGCAGCGGACAACGGCGCGACTCCTGATTCTTGGGTTTCGTCTCTTTCTCTTCTCCCACTTCCCCTCCATCCTGTTCTCCCCCAGATTTACTACCCAGGCCCAGGGCCTCCCGACCTTCCGCATGCCCTCCCTCACGCTAACCGACCCGGACATGATCCTGCCATATGACGGCGAACGCGAATCACAAACCCCGTCCCCGCCCTCCCAGCTGGCCTACCTGTCCAACCTGAACACGCGACATGGCTCGACCGACTCCAATGTCGGCTCCAGTACAGCCCCGGCAGCCAACCGCCCCAAGAAAAATTTTTCGCGACACGCCTGGACGCACGAGGATGTGAATGTCACGCGCCGGCTGTCTGATATTGGCGAGGAGTTGTCGCCGGCACGACTGGATGGGTTTGCCGACGGCCCAGAGGCTGGTCCCGAGCAGGGGCTGGCGAGTTCCCCGCTGCTGCGTGAACATTCGGATGCCCCCGAGGCGCGAGACCAGGCGGCTTGGAGCAGTTCCAACTCGACTATCAGTGCGGGGAGCAAACGGGCTCCGGAGGACGTGGCGGCGCCGCAGAATGCTCGCGCTGCATCCCCCAAAGACAAGGTTCCCGAGCCCGCAAACGCGCCGAGCGTCGCCGACGAATCCAAGCCTAGCCTGCCGGATAGCAACATTGTGGCGTCCGCCGCGGCCGAAGGCAAGGGTCCAGGGGATGAATTCTCGTCAGCAATCTTAAGTAGCGAGGCGGAACGAATCCTCGAGAACGCAAAAAAGCGGTTGACCGTATGTGGAAAATCTGTCCAAGACATGGAATATGTGTGTGTGTGTGTGTGTGTCGGGGAGATGGGCTGACTTGTTTCACAGCTGATGGAAGGCAATCTCAATCGCGCTCGGTCCTCAGTGCGGCTAACCCCGTCGCCATCGCCGTCCTCTTCAAGTGGTCTTCAGCCGCTGGCACTCGGCCAGCCTGTTGGTGGACTGTATCGATCCATCTCGAGGACAGATCGCAGAGGTTCCGCTCTGCGGCGGCAGTCGTTCCTCTCGCAGGATACGACAAACAATCGTCATTCCCGCGTGCATTCCGATACAAATTTTCCGCCCGAGTCAAGTCTGTCACCTGATACCAAACGCTTGTCTCGGTCTGTCAGTGCAATGGGTGCCAGCAGTTCATCTCATTTCAACAACGACGATAGGTCATTCCGATATGACCCTACTCGGGCGTATCTCACGCACCGGGCATCGATTTCGTCGATCAAGCGTCCTTCGTCGGACAAGGACCAGTCCGCGGAGTCAGCACAATCCCCCATTTCCCAGGAGGGATCGGCAGAGTCACCAGGGGGGTTAGGTGTCTCCGCCGAGGATGACTCGAAGTCCAACCCGGCGGATTTCAGTCCGGTCTACAGCTCGTACGGCCCACCTAGTCGTGCGCAATCCCAGCTACAGGTGCGTGATCTGCAGTACCAAATGAAGGGGCTGCACATCAAGATCTCTTCCCTCAAGGTGAAAACGCAAGAGGACAATCTGCGCCGACGCAGCCTGCAAAGCCTGCGCACCCCCAGCCCGTTGACGGCGATTTCTCCCTGGTACAGCAACGCCATGGAGCTTCGAGATGGACGAAGCAGCCGTGGTTCCACGGCCCGACGAGGTGCAAGCTCAGAGTATACTCGCGATGTCACGTCCCATAACGAGACTGTTCATGCCCGGGATCGCGACCAGTTTGGCCAAGCGGAACACAGCCCTGTCGACCCAGATCGGGTTCGCCTGTCCCAGCGGTTCAGTGCTGGGTGGCAGGCTGCCGAGTCCCTTGAATACGCGGATGGACGGCAGTCGGTCGCCGAGAGCATGTATGAAGATGCCGAGGATGGCGGTTACGACGATGGAGACATCGACCGCGAAGCCCTGGATGAGATCCTGCGTGAACCGCTTGATGAAGATCTGGATGTTCCCCTGGATTTCCTGAACAACACAGACGCCAGGCCGCACGAAGAGCGAGAGGATGCCTTTGACTACGAGCATTTCATCCTTCACAGTGCCCTAGGCAACTATACTCGCCAAGTCCATCGCGCGAGCCAGGGCTCGCACGCGTCGGGTGAGACTACGAGGCCTCAACACCTACGGCACTCGCGCACCAACAGCTCCATGTCCGACTCGACAGTCGCCACGTTTGCCACTGCCACCGAAGGCGATCAGATCCCCGAGGAAGAAGATGACATTGGCAGCGTGCTGTACTGGGACCGACGGTTCAACCACGGTATGTTCTATTCTATATCTGGTTTTGAATGCTCTCAGCATGAACTTGAAAAGATTCACCTCTAACCACCCAGCAGAACTGCGCCATCGACATGTCCACAACCACCAGCCCAGCCCGATCGAGGAGACCGATCGATCAGAAACCCCCCGCGGGACAAGGGACGACAGCCGTACTGCCACCCCGGTCGACCCGAGCAACTCCTCCCCCGAGAAGGCTACGGGCCGGTCTTCCTCAGCGACCGGCTCCGCGACGCCCACCTCATTGGCCTCGTCTCTCGTCTCGACCGTGCGCGCCGCCTCGAGCCCGCACCCGGGATCCACGACTCCCACGTCAGGCGGCATCAATGAGGACGACACCCAGATCTTGGAGCAGCTCTTCTCGAGCCTGGGGAATGTCTGCATGGACCTGCAGGCCATTACCACCTCTCCTGATCCCGACATCAAAGCCGCACGGGTGCTTCGGCGCCGCCTGGACGCGGCGCGTCGGGTGCTCGACGGAGAACTCGACACTTGACACTTGATTTTGAAAAAGGTGATTTTGGCTGCGGCCTTGCCATCTCTGCCATCTCGTCCCTTTATGCCATTTCTTTGATCTTTCTTTTGGATTTACTATGATACCCAAGACTTTTCTTTCCTTGTACAAGATTTCTTTTTCTTTTTCATCATTCTGTATTCATTCCATTTCTTTCTCTGGCTGTCTATCTATACATGATTGATCCACAATGGTATATTGTTGTTATATCGAGGAGATCCTGAGTAGATCCATGGATGTATGGAGTCGGAGTCTCCGTTTCAGCGTATTATACTCTGGACAGTGCGAGGAACTTGAAGTAGGGATTTTGTATTGTCAGATATAGCAGAACGGAAGACAATTCTCAGCTAGACTTCTCTACCATTTTGCTAAGCTTTTTTTTTTCAGCGTGGTTTTTTCTTTTTGTAGCTTTATAGAGCTAGACATTTCTCGGTGTTGATCCCCCCCTTTTTGCCCCGCGGTCCCCGGCATCGGCCGATCGCAAATCAGCAGCGTCTGCCCACGCGTGGAATTCTCCAGACCCAACGCTGTAAGTATGTAGAAGAAACAGACCGCTCGAATTGAATTGCAATAGTGATACTGACATATATCTGCAGGCGACATTGAGGTTGAATCTCTGGTATAGCAGCCTAGAGAGCAGAGAGCAGAGAACACAAAAGACTACGCGTCGAAGCTTGCACCTTCATACAAAAAGCAAGCCAAAGAACAAGAACAAAAACCAACAAAATCAGAAAGGATAAAAAATCAAGCACAAATGGACATGGACCAACGCCAATTATCCCCAACCTCCACCATCCATCGCTCTCCCCAATCCCAGCAATCTTCTCAACCTCAACCTCAACCCGTCACAATGAATAAACACCCGGCGCGCCGCCTCCTCATCTTCCAGGAGACGCGTAACCCGCACAACGCCGCCGAGCTCGTCTACCTGCCCGTCAACAAACTGGGCCTGCCCATCTGCGGCGACGGACCCGAGTTGCCGTCGATTCTGGAGCTGCCGCTGCGCATTCTGCGGGCGTTTACGGAGATTTTCAATCAGCCTAAATATAAGGGATGGTATGTTCTACTTCTACTTATTCAAATGAATTTCATTTATATCTTTACTCTGTTTCTTTCTTTCTTTCTTTCTTTCTTTCTTTCTTTCTTTCTTTCTTTCTTTCTTTCTTTCTTTCTTTCTTTCTCTCTTTCTCTCTTTCTCTTCCTACTGACCACTGACCACCGACCAACCTAGGGCTATTCTCTCTGCTGGCCCCTACCGTGATATCTCGGAGGAAGGGAAGTTCTTCGCCGTGGTGCTGGAGCAGACGCAGGGTCAGCTAGAGATTGCTAGCGCATCATGACTTGGGGATCTGTGATTTGTTGATTTGTTGACATGCTGATGCACTGAATTTTTTTTTCTTCGTTTCTCGTTCTCTCTTTCTTTGTATATGGTATACTGGTTGTGTTTGTAGCCTTGATTGAAATAGAGCAAGAAGGCCTTTCCTCTTCTTTTTACATGTTCTATGCCATACCATTTGAATGATGCTATTCTTGTTATCCAAGAGTTCGTGCTAGATAGACGCGATCTGGTACCCCGTGTTATTCCCACGGTTCGAGTCTGTCATCCCATGGTAGCTGTCTACGCACAGAACACTCCATCTCATTGCAAATGGAAACGTTGTTTATGCTTCTATGCTGGGACATACCTATAGAAACTTGTTATAGATGCCATGTTGACTCCAATCACTATCCATGCCGAAGCAAAGTGATGGACAGTTTTTCATGTCCACAGCAGTCAAGGATATCTTGCCTGCCGGCGATAAAGAGTACTTCTGCAACAGAATTAGCCTTCTTGAGACGAGTTCTGAGTTGGAAGCTAGCATCCTTGAATTGGAAGCTCAACTTGCCAAGATAAAACCCAAAATTTTCAACAAGAGACGAGGCTTGTGAGACTCGACTCTTTTAGCCTATTATCACTCCTCTCACATTCTATGCCACTCGCCAACACCGAGCATCCTGGGGCAGAGAAGAGCCAACATCCCCTCAACCCACGCAACAACCAGGAAGCCATTCAAGCCGAGGAACCTCACCCCCCCGGAGGCTAGCAAGAGCCTGTCAGTAAGTCTTCCCAAGTCCTCTATGCCTCTAAACCCCGTTCTTTCTTGATTTGGCTCACCCTATCTCTTACTTACATCGCGAATCAGAAATCCTATATGCCACAGCCCATCTAAACGACAGAGATCGACAACAAACCCCGAGAAAACGACAGCAAAAGAAAAAAGAAAATAGCAGACACTGCGTCAATGATGACGACAAGCCTGAAAAGACGACGTTCTGTCACCGACGACGGCACGGAAGAGACACACTCACTCGAGAAAATCAAGTCCATGATCGAGGACCTCGAGCACCAGATGGTGGAATTGCACATCGAAAACGTGACCAGACAGGTGGAGATCTCGAAGCTGCGCAAGGAGATTGCCGAGGTCACCTGGTCGACTGAGAGCCTGTCCGCCGAGAGTACAGGACAGCAGACGCAGCTCTCGGAGTTGCGGACCGAGGTTGACAGCCTTGTCCCTGTCAGCGACATGGTCTTCGACATGCGGTACCGCGCTTTCTTGGTCTGTTTGCGAGATATCTGGGGCATTGAGAACGAGGCCGTGCGGAAGAGGGTTGGAGCCGCTGACAAGGAACTGGTCCATGCCAATATCAAGGTTGATGCGCGGATGTTCTTTGTGAAGGGGCTTGCGGGTGAAGATGAGCTGTATTTCAAGAAAATCTATGGCGTCACCCCTAAAGTTGTTGTGGATCTCGGTGAGTTCTTTTCTTTTGTTCTCTCTATCATTTGGTGTTTGAGTATCCTTCGAGTCCTAACCCACATATCCCGGATTTAGAGTCTCACAACTGCAACGGTACCTGGGAAGTACTGAACCATGTGGGCGCGCTGCATCTCAACGGACGGCGTCTCAGAGCCGAGGCAGAGAAGATTCTGGAGGTGATGCTGGAGCATGTGGATGACTTGGAATTCGAGCGAGCAGAAGAGGAGAGCGAGAAGTTTCCGGTGGTAGGCATGGCGTAGAAGGATGCCGAGAGAGATACTCCGGGGCTAGGAAGACTTGGTTGAGGGTAACTACTAAGAAGGAATGGGAGAACGTTGACACAGACATCATAGTTTAATTCAACAATATCGATACTCTGATCATTAGAGAAAAAAAAAAAAACTCCCCGATCGAAAAAAGAACCCCTCGAAACAGAAAAGAAAGAAGAGAAAGAAAAGAAAAACCACCCAACTCCTCCACGCCCTAGGCTCCTGTCGATAGCACAAGAAAGTCATTCCCCCTGTGACTCTGCTTTTGAATGCAATTTGAAATTCGTACAGACGGGCTCATTGCAGCATCAGACTCCCCATGAAGAAACAGAAACTGAAAAGCAAAAAAGAAGAGAAAGAAGAAAAAGAACAACCCGATGAGAAAAAGCAACCCGATGAAAAAGACGACCAAAAGAAGAGAAATGTTGCATCGAGACCGGACTTTTAAGCCTGCGGCTGCAGCCAGCTGGCGCTGTGGTGGAGATCCAGAGACCGCGAGTCAGTCGGGTTGAAGACGGCATTCCGACGCTCCTCGAGGAAGTAAGCTGCAAAGAAAGAGTGTCAGCCCAGAAAGTACAAACAGAAGAGACCAGAGAGTGGGTATCCACATACGCGAAATCTGGATCATGTCGAACCAGCGCTGAGCATTCTCATCGCTTCCATCCGCAGCCTTCAGCGTGCCAGTATCGGGGCGAACGGTGGTCTTGGGAGGAACATAGCGCATGCGCAGCATCATGTGCAAAAGGTCCGAGAAACGGTCAACCTGATTGAAGTAGTAGGGCGGGCGCTTATCCAGAGGCCACTGCAATGGAATCAGGTTAGTTGACGACGACACAAGGCACAAAGAATGGTCCACTTACGCGCTGCGCAAAGGTCTCGTTGTCCCACGAGCGGAACAGCCAGGAGGTGCGCTCCATGCAGTTCAGGAGAATAATTCCAATCAGGAAGGTCTCGAAAAAGCCCGACGACATGCGCTGGATCAGTCGGCGCTCGAGAGAGGTGATCACTGACTTGCTCAGCTGCATCGCACGCTTCTCCATGGCTGCACGTAGCTGGCTGCAGATCAGTGCATGAGACTCAGGGTCCGACACCTCATCGATGGGCAGACGACCGTCATCCGAAGGCTGCGAGAGAGCGTGCATCGATGCCGGGGGGAGGGTGGGGTTGCAGTAAGTCTTCCAGCCCAGTTCCGTGTCCACCAAGATGTGAGTGGCAACCCACAGCTCCAGCGTACGCTCCAGAAGAGAGTCCTGTGTTAATGTTAGAAAACACAAAAAAAAAAAACCTCCGACATGAAAATTGTCCTTGCGAATGACTGACCTTCTTCGCCTGGCTGATCTCGGAAGCAAGCAGGAGAGTAGGCTTCATGAAAGCCGAGGTCTCTCGCTCGAAAAAGAACGGAGCAATCTTCTTGATGTACATATCCATCTTGCCAGGAAGATCATCGGCATCACTATCCAAGAGGTAAATTTCCTGAGAGGGTCCCGAAAACTGGTCATCTCCTAGGCTCTGTAACTGAGGGTCTAGCGCTGAAACCGATGCCCTATGGCCCTGAAGTCCACTGAAGGTAAGAAAGACGTTGCTCTCCTCGAAGTGTGTCACCTCAATGCGGCCGGCGTAGTGCTCAAACTTGACTTGGTTCTTGATGCTGTTCGTATCGTGATACGCGAGGGTGGAGTGCAAGTCTGATCCATTGGTTAGTACCCACAGGGCAACAGAGATAGAGAAGAAAACATACTGGCATTGTAAAGCTCGCATTCTTCGGAAAGCCGAGTTCGGATGCACGGGACCTTCCAAAGACGAGCACTCTCCACACTGGCACAAGTGGTGCAGGGGGTGTCACCAGAGCACTATTGGCATTAGCAGAAACCAACCACGGGCATAGATTAGAATTCCGTACAGGCTTCTTAAGCATCTTGCAGCGAATGCAGGCGCCCTTCTTGCGGACTTCCTGGACCTCGAGACGGCGATCAGCAGTGAAACGGCCTCGCACTTTAGGCTTCGTGGGCTTCGTGGAGTTGCCAAACTCGTTGACAAATCCCTTCGCCTGGGTGTTTGGGTTCATGGCAATCGGACGTGGGTACGACGCGGCGCGCTGGGTAGTAGCCGTCAAGGACGGGTCGTGCTCTTGCAGGCTGTCGAAAAGGAGTTGCTCGTGCGTGGACAGCTGCTGGTTCCACTGGCCCATCTTCAGTCCATCAGACCCGAGGCTGTCGCCTTCAATCGAGAGGCCCTGGGGGACCATCTCACTGGCGGACGCTGCGATCATGGACAGCTGCGACTGGCGAGCATTCGAGGCCGAGTCGGGCGTCGGAGAGTTGTCACCGATAGGCGGGGACATGGAGCCCTGGTGGTCGCCGGAGGTATGACTTGGAAGCGCAGGAAGGGTAGGGGGGTTGGAGGAATGAGGGGAACCTACACAAGAAAATCGCGTCAGCGACTAAAAGCCTCTAGAGAGTGGATCAGAATCACTTACTCTGAGGGTTGGCTCCATCCTCTTGCTTGACATCGTTCTGCTGCGATTCAGGGCCCTGGAAGCCCTCAGCCTCCAGCGCCGGGTCAACCACGACAGTCTTGCCGCCGACGGTCACAGACTGGGTGTATGCAGGACCACGCTTGGTCTGGTCCGAGGCGCCGACCTGTCGCGAGGCTTCTGCCAGCACGTTGAGGCCGTCAAAGTTGGGGCGGTTGGGGAATGACCCATCGGCAGACTTCCCCTTGCCGGTAGCAGTGTTGGGGTCCTTGTTCCCCTCGCTGTCTGCAATATCAGGCAATTCGTGCAATCGAAGCAGCACGCGTTGGCGGTCCCGGAGAGGGAGTGCCTGGCATTTCTTCACCAAGTGATTGGTGAGACTGTCAATGCGACCCTTCGGGAACTTTTCGCCACAAGCCTTGCAGGTGTGCTGGTAGCGATTGCTCGCATCCTCAAGCTTGGGGCCTCGGATGAAGAACTCCAAGATGAGCTGGTTGGGTTTACGACCCATTTTGAACTGGATGAAGTGTCACATGACGTGTCAGTCAGACTCAGGGCTGAAACTCGGCACAATCGAGATGCGAGGCTGGAGGTGAAGTAAATAGCTTGTTTACTTACTAATTCGAAGGAGAAGGGGGAGGGGGAGGGGGGAGAGTCTCAACAGACACGTATCTCTGACCCAGACAGGGAGCAGCCACGTGATCAATTAAGATACCCAAGCCCAGCTGAGGCTGGATATCGTGTTTTTGAAGCTTGTCGCGAACGGCAGAAATGAGGAGTGGATGAGGGCGGTGGGGGAGTTTGAAGGAAGAAAACTGACGATGAGTCTTCACCGCACGCAAGGCGGTGATGAAGAGAAAGGCGGTGATGAAGATGATGGAAAAGGCGGTGATGAAAAAAAAAGGAGAGAAAAGCGGTGATGATGAAACAAAGAAGGCGGTGGGTGATGGAAGAAAGAAGGCGGTGGGTGATGGAAAAAGAGAAAAGGCGGTGGGAGGATGACGGCAGAATGGAATCCCTTCCTTAAATAGGCAGGGGGAGGCTAGGTAAACTTCGGTGCCTACGGCAGAATATTGTTCACCAAAAACTTGTAGCATAATACTATTCGCCAATAAACAAGGGGCAACAACAGTGCTATTACGCTGCCTATTGTTTGAATAAGTCTATTTCAACAAATACGCTGCTCCGGTGGTCGCCAAGGCACCCCAAGTAGTGTAAAGATCCTGCGCTCATCGCGACCTTCCAGCAATCGGCCTGGGTTCAACTTGATCCTCTGTGTCGTTCGCAACACATCCGCATAGAGCCCCTTCTGATTAAGACACATGTGCTTTTTGCTCGCCAACAATCGCATACTGCGGTTGAAGATATCGTTGCCTGTGAAATAGATCAAGGCAGCTCCAATCTCCGCCCCTGGCACGAACAACAGATCGATCCGGCGCCACACCCTGCTGCCGGGAAGAGCCGATGCCCCATGCCATTTGGACCCCTCCTGCCGCGAGATGGCAAGGCTGACCTGCAGGAAGCTGTCACTGAATAGCTGGGGTATGGCCACGTCCATCATCATCGACCGGATTTGCTCCAGCGAGGCACCGGGTTTGGTGATGAGAACGTCGATGTCGCCAGAGTCTAATGCCCCGCGGCGATATGAACCTCCGATAATCACTTGCATCTCGCTGTCCACCTGCTGCACCGCCTTCCGCACGATGTCTCCGTGAGCCTCGACCTCTTTGCGGGGGATTCGCTGCGCAAAGTCATGGTAATGGTCCACCCCGATGCGCTGGTTTTTGGTCAGAGGCGCTTTCTCCCGTAAATCTTCGAGCGATCTGTAGCCTTGTGCAACCCACTGGGAAGCCTGGGCCAGGCCGGCACCGTAAACACCGAGAAATTCTTGGATGATCAGGTCCTCGGGTGTGCCAGAGGCATTGTCTAGCCGCCGGAGGTGATTAGTGAGAACAATTTCCTCAATCTTGTCTGCAAGTCGTGTACCGATCCCAGGGATAGACAAGGCCTGTGAACGCGTTACCACTCGTTGAGGCTGCCTTCGCAATGCATTGATCGCTTTGCGATAGGCGAGAACCCGCCATTGGTCCGCCGTCCTTGTGTAGTAGTCCAGCATTTGCTGGAGCACTTCGATCGTTCTCCCATTTGGATTTTTGTTGGTACTCGGCTCGAACTTCTGCATACAGACAAAATTCTGCATCCATGCATCGGCCGCTTTGACTTCCTTTGAAGAGGCCATCCGGACTTTACCACCGGTCTCAGGCTCTGAGCCCGAACAATCCTCATCAGATGCTTCGGCAGTGGTCTGATCCTCGAGAGAGTCGAGAGGGTCCAGTGGCTAGTATAAGCTATTAGCGAATGACTCAAGGCCAGACAGAGCCCTGGCAGATCTCACCAAATGTCTCGCAGCCTTGGCTTCATCAATAATCTCATCTAGGGTGTCACGCTCATGGCCGGGAGCATCCGAGCCATTTTCAACTTCTTGCATTTGCTCACTGGCCACCGGAATAGAAGGCCTGGCAGGTGCTTCCTCCCCATTATAGGATTGAGAAGGCTCTGGAGACTGTCTCTGGTCCTTCCCCGGCGATTTCAAGGGTAGAGACCCAGGAGAGCTCGGTTCGACGATGGGAGGCTGTTCAATTTCAGAAACCCCGGTAGTTCCATCAACTCGGAACCGAGCTTGCGATGGACTCAAAACTGAGCGGAATCTGATGCAGTCTGAAGGATAGGACTCGTTCACCAAGGCAATGTTTGTCTTCTAGGTTGTTAGCATCAAATCCAAGACTCTGTCCAGATAAACTGACTGGCCAAGACTCTATCCTGAGATGAGTGAGGAGATCTTGAAATATCAGGCCATTATCAACGATCACATGAGTGATGTTGTCATCCCATTCTCTGGAACATCGGGCACCGTATTCTTGAGCTCGCTGAATGCGTAACCGCCGCAGAGGAGAAATGACATTACTCGGAAAGAAGACTGATCAAAAGGTCAGCAATAACTACGGACCGGGGGGACTACCAAGGGCACAGACAGAATACGAGGTCTCTGAATATTTTCTGGTCTTCTGGGATGGTTTGGATGTTGTTCGTTCGCCTTTTCTTTGGAGCAGGGCCCCCGTTCTTGGTTCCAGCCATGCCCCCTGTTGTCTGGGAGCGTTTCACCGTCATTTTCGGGTCCGTCAGCCCGGTGCTCCGTCGGCCATGGACTTCTCGAGGAACGCCACTGGTGTCTGACGAAGGCTGTGGGTCTGGATTTGCTCGCGGAAGAGCTACTGGCCCTGAGTTTGATACAGGCGATGCAACAACGACTGGGTTTCTTTGGCTCCTTGAGCCAATGATGAGTTGCTCTAGATGGTTATCCTCATTCTGGGAATCCTCAACGTCGTCTAGCCGCTCGATGTCGGTGAAAAACTGCTTCTTGCTAGGAAAGTGGCTCGTCATGATACATCTGATGAGTCTGTAGTTGAATGGAGAAATCAGCCTCGGGCCATGGTTTATTCATAGCAACTGCCTAGCTAACCCTGGAGGTAACGAAGCGTAGTGTATAATGTCACATCGTAGAAGGTGCTTCTTGAGGTCTACCTGGTCATGGACGTTGTCTTTGATAATTGGGATAGAAGTCGCCTATCTGGCCCGAAAAAAGATGGATCAGGTTCGCACTTACTCCATGACGCAGCATAGTGAAGCAGCCCTACACAACCTTGGAACTATGTGTCACATGATGATGGACAGTCACCTGACTGGTATCTATATATTCATGCACAGAGTGTTAATTTGTATAGCTTGTATTTTTATTTTTATTTTTATTTTTATTTTTATTTTTATTTTTTGCTCTATAATATTATTTTAGGCTTTAGATGTCTACAACTGAAGACATCTTTGTTATGTGATGCTAAACAGCGGCGGTGAAGAAATCTGCTTTTACTATGTGTTTTAGTACACAGCTTGTTTACCGACTACGTTATGGTCAGGTAGGGGCTGATAATCTCGAATCAAGTCCTAAGTTCAATTCCATATTAGTTAGGTTATTTGCAATTAATACAATACGCCACAAGGAATGATATTTATATCCAGTCTCTATTTTTATATATCTTCCATCCTATACTGCTACTAGGGTATGAAGTAGATGGTGGATAACAGTTAAAATTTCTCCCAAGCAAAACAAGGACTGAGATTAATGGATAGTGGAAGCGCCTATTACTTGGTGCTGTTTAACTTGTGCAATCCGTCCCAGTCTTTGCTTCTCCACACAAACCAGCCTAATGTAACACACGCCTTCAAAGCCATAGCAAACCACAAGCCACTTGCCAGCCCGGATTCCTTCTCCATTCCACCGGCAGTCATGGCGCCGAGAAAGTGTGAAAGCAAGGCAGCGAGTCTTCGATTTCGTTTCGGATTCGAACTCCAGGGACGTTTGTATAGTTCGGGGTCGACGAACAAGTCGCAGACCAGGACAGTTAGAACCACCGTGGGGATCTCTGCAAAGGCCAAGAATCGGGAGGCAACAATTTGCCCCGCGGATTGAAACGCAATTAACGAGATTGCGAGAACTTGAAGCCAGTCAATCGGGACTTGATGGTCGATGTTGGGGCTAACAACCCGTTTTTGAACCAGCAGGGCCGCTCCAAAGAGGAGCGCGGTCTGGATCGTAAAAGATAATATCATGGTCAAGCGTCGGAGAGGACCCAGGTATCGTGAGCCGTAGACAAAAAAGATGTTGCCGACGAGGAAGACTCCAATGGCAACGAGGGCCTTGGCCCACAGCATGGGTTGATTATCGGGCTGCCCGGACACTCCTAAAGCGACGAATACAGTGTTGCCTGTTGATGTGCACTCGAGTATGGTTAGAGCTCGGTCTTCAGGGAAAATATATATATATATATATATATACGGGTTGGTCCCTACCTGTGTGCATGTTCGAGAAATTCCCCCATGCATTGTACGACAACCCGTCAATCAAGCCGCTCACGTACCCACAGCAAATGAGAGGGAATTCACCCCATGTGGTGTCAATATCGGAAAAAAGATAGCGGCGGAGCCCATCTTTGAAGGGTAAATCTCGGTCAAAGATGTGACTTTTATTGCTGGAAATTTCGAGGCTGGAAAAGTCGGGATTTTTTGTAAATGGGAGAGCACCGGGAGGGTGCCTTTCGAATAAGCCATAGTTGGAAGAGGAAGAGCCCCCAGGGTTGTCAACATCAGTCGATCTCATCGCTAATGCTTTGTCGGGATGAAAAAGAGGCACGATAAGCTGGTCAAGACGTGGGGCGGGCTAAAGTTAGAAGAGGAAGAGGTACGTGGAACAAGCAAGAAAGAAATAAAATTCAGGAGGAAGGACATCTAAATAAAGGCCCAGGAATATCTCCACTCAAGCAATGCAACATCTTCTCCCAGAGGCTTATCAAGTACAGACTATGGTGACGAATACCAAGAACGGGAGGTCGCCACTTTGGCTGCAGAGATCAACATGGCTGTACATGCAGGTAGGTTCATAACCCCTGGCCATCAGGCAGTTTTTTACCAGTCGAGCTGGATTGGCTCAAGATATCACAAATCCCACCTTCGCCAAGAACCCACCATCAATTGACGATCCTTGAACCCTCTTGGCGTCATGCAGAGCCAAGAGCAAGCCCCTGTCGATCAGCTCTAACTCTTTCGCTAGTAACGCCCTCATAAACAGCGATCACCCGTAGGTGGGTCGAAGCCGATAAAAGACTGATCGGCCCGGGATCGCCCTCGGGAGGAATTGCAACAGGCGTGCAAATCCTAGTAGATTTTGCAGTCTATGATTCGCCCAAGGACTTACCAAAGAGTCTAGAAGACAACGTCATGTCCACTCTTCCTGCTCCTGGATTTTGGATTGCGTGGCAGTGCACCCATCGGGTCCTTTAGGAAGGAATCTGAGTTCAGACTATACTTTAGTTACACTGGTACTTTTGTGGCAGTCACCAACCTCTTTAAATAAAATACTAATTCTAGTATATATCATTAGTGATATAAAGGAGGCCCTGTATCTATAGATCCGTAGACACCAGCTTCACATTGTCATTCTCTCTTGTTAAAGAAGCTTCCTCTCCGAGCAGTCTCCGGCAACTTGGTGGGGCAGGACTTGCCTTCGTCACTCGATCTCCATAGAAGCTGTGCCTGTTCACACCACCGGAAATGTTCCAAAAAGCGGTCTTGTGCATACACTTTGTCTCGAGCCTCAAAAGGCCCAATCCTCGCCCCGGGTGCCTATGATATCCTTTTCAAGAGCAAGTTGACACCCGGCACACGAAATTCCACGTTCAACTTTGCCAGTTTGTTTATCGTAATAAGGGAGTGCACACGACCCCATAAAGTTGAATTTTTGACTTTGTTCCGAGTTGCTAGCTGGGCTTGTGCGACTGTATGCGATTCCCACTTGCGAGCCGAAATAGCTTGATGAACAGAAACAATTTTAAAAGCGGGATTTGTTTGCGGATTCTGGCATCGAATATATTCCAGGCAAGGTCTTGAATAACGTCAGTTGATCTATTTTAACTTTAGTCAAGTGCAATTGCCTTTTGACAGCAGCAAGCGTTTATACTTGAGTTGAGTTTCTGGGGCATGCTGGAGGCATTTGAAACAGCATCGCCTCCAGGTAAGGAGGGATATGAAGCCACTGAATTCACCACAAAGAGTACAGGCCTTCATGCATAGTGCATTGTAGAAGTCGGGTAGAGAGATTCCGCTGGCAAGTCATGTTCGTAACAAGGTGCAGAAAAGGTTCAGTCCATACGAGACTACCATCTGATACTGCTTGAGGGAGTCGACTATTTGTTTTGATGCTTGATTGATTTGTCGAAACTTGAATAGAGAATGCATGTGGCGGTGGTTCGAATAATCGCGTCAGTTTGTTCTTCACTGGAACAGTATTCGTTGGCTGAGCGATATCCACGGGGCATGAGGGTAGCCATTCCCGAGATTCATCGGTACGTTTGATTGAAAGAGGTCGACCTCGGCAGGAGAGTCGCGACTGTCTAGTGTAGCTCAAACACCCCTTGGAGGCCAATGTGTAAAAAAAAAAAAAAAAAAAAAAAAAAAAAAAAAAAAAGTAATGTTACTGTAAATAAAATAAAGACACTGTACCTTGACATGCATGGGTGAGCCTCGGAAGCCTTCCAAAGTCGCACAGGCAGAAATGTAATGGCCAAATACTCCGAGACTACAGACGTTGACTGCAGAGAAAGGAGGGTGGTTCGGGAGACAGCCCTGGAGGTACCTCCACTATACCCGTTGCCGCCAGATCACGGGACTAAGGCTTGCATATCGATAAGTCCTCCGTTCCCTCAGCCATGCCATAATCACCAAACATGTGCAAGCCGTCAATAGCCTCTCTGGCTACAGAGATATCTCTCTTACAGAATGGCCGCTGTCTCAGCTGCTGGGTCCGCAATCCTGCGATCGCCCAGCTACGCCTGAACTCTCTTTCTCGACGTCACTATGCCAACAAGACCGATACGCAAACCCCCAACACCCCAGATGGCAACGTGACGATCAAGCCAGCTGGCTCGAGAGCCCCAGCGAACAAAAACCTATCGAGCCCCCTTCAATTCCAGCAGAACCCGGCCGGGGAACAGTCGGCCCAGCCAGGTGATGCGAATTTCACTCCCCCGACATTGGACCGTCCAATTGGCTCGCCATATCCTCCCGAAGCAGGTCAGAACACAGGAATTGATACACGATCGATGCGCAAGCGGCGGGATGACTTTGTCGACTACGACCGGCACATTTCTCGCCGACAGGAACTGTAGGTGTTGCCCCTTGGCTTGACGCATTTTTTTCCCTCTAGAGATTTATACCCTGAGTCATTGATAGAGGTCATGGTACACTACATTAAAGAAGTAAAGACTGACATGGATGCAACCGGACAGGACGAAGCAAGTCGCGAAACCGTACTTCCGAGAATGGTCCAACCTGCGCTACCACCAGGGCAAAACATTCGTATCGAATTCGCGTCTATTCAAGGGCGACCGAGCCCTGTATTTCCCCAACATGCACGGCGTGACGCTCGCGTCGCCGAAAGACCGCCAAGACACGACCACGCAGCTGCGCGGGAAGATCTCCGTCGTGAACCTCTTCTCAAGCGTCTGGGCCGAGACACAAGTGGCGACATTTACGGGACCGCAGCAAAATCCGGGACTGGCGGAGATTCTGGCGAGCAGTGGACAGCTCGCGCAGCGGGTCGATATCAATCTGGAGGAGAACCGGATGAAGGCCTGGCTGATCAAGAGGTTCATGTGGCAGATGCGCGGCAAACTGCCTCTGGAGCAGCATGCGCTGTATTTCCTGGTGCAGAAGGGATTCGATGAAGGATTGAAGGAGGCTATTGGGATGATGAACTCCAGGGTCGGCTATGTCTATCTGCTCGATGCGGACTGTCGCATCCGCTGGGCTGGCAGTGGACCTTCAGAGCCAACGGAATTGGAGTCTCTCAATGCCGGTCTGCGGAAGCTGGTCGCTGAGAGGAAAGCTAGCGCCGAGTCGCAGTAGACGGCCCATCATTGAACCTGGTGAACTTGGGAGGTGGTGATGCTCTCCACGAGCAATGCATGAGATGTGACTCCCCGCTCCACTGGACTTGTACATACAATAGCGAATGTGTATAATAGAATGCCGAATACAAAAAAATGCCATAAATCCCGAAGCGTGGTATTTTTATTCAAGCTCCCCATCAAGAAAGAAAAGGAAATGCCCAGTCCTGAACGCCTCGATGAAACCGACAAGATATCAACACGCTAGGCAATTGCAACTAACGCAAACGAAAGCAAATAATAAACCTGGAGAAGCTAGCTCCCCACTATTAAATAACCCGGTCAGAAAACACACAAGCTCCCCTCCCTATCGGAAGTAAAGCAGCATCAAACAGCAGAACCCGACAAAACAACCCAGGATGATGGCATCGCGCCTCTTCTTGGTCCCGATTTTCCCAATCAAATAGTTCATGCCGGGGACGTGGCCGGCCGCGCCGACGATGCGCCGATTGATGCTCGCAAGTGTTTCGTGCTGCATGCCGAAGTTCTCATTAATCGCATACGCCTGGCTCAGCACTCCATCGATCATGTTGTGGCTGTTCTCGACCCGCCCCCGCTCCTCGAGCATATAGTCGGCCTCGGCGGCTCTGGGGTTGGACGCGTGGTAGGCGTCGATGTCGGAGCGGACATTGGAGAGTAGGTTTGCGCGGTCGCGCGACTCGGCGATGGCGGATGTCAGGCGCTGCAGTTCGCGGCGGTGGTCTTGCAGGACCTCGCGGTGTCGCGAGAGGTTGTTCTGTTTCAAGGCGGAGGACGTGAGGGTGGCTTCGGAGTCGAGGAGGCGGGAGAGTTGGGCGATGAGAGACTCGCGCTGGGTGAGGCGTCAGTTCTGCTGCTGGTTTTTTCTTCCTTTTTTTTGTCTAGTCTTGGGTGTTTGTGTAGTAAACGTACTTTTTCGATGAGGTCTTTCAGTTGCGTTTCAACCCTTGTCTCCTCCTCGGTGGGATCCGGCGGGGGCTTGGTGAGTGAGGCAAATTGTGCGTAGGTGTGGAAGAGGTTTTCGGTCTGCCAGGATCCAGTGTTAATCCAGTCAAGTCTTCCCATGTGTTTCCCTCTGGTGATATCGGTACCTGAGTTTCGAGCGAGCGGGCTTGCTGCCGGAGCTGTGCCCATCCGGATCCGGTAGAGGACGCCATGAGAGGTAGGTGAGCGATATATTTGTCAGTAGGAGTGCTTCAAGTGGTCAATCAGCTGGATTGTCGTCTTGCTCCAGACTGACAAGGGCGACAGGGACCACTGTGCTGCAAGCTGCCAGGCTACGTAAGTGTAGCCCGAGGTGCGACTAGCCCGATGGGGTAATATTGTGGCCTTGTCTTTATGCCTGATCCATGTGCCCGTAATTTACTTCATGCCTGAAATATAAGGTGTGTATACTCACGTGCCCGCTTAGTGCAGCACAATTCGCTTAGCCCTAGTCCCACAACGAGTCGCAATTTGACCCTCGGACATCTTCAATCCTCCACGTCGACAACCCAGCACACACATCAACGCCACCATGGTATGTGTTTCTGCACTATGCTGTTACCAGTGTTCAATTTATTGACGTTCTTCCCTTTTCACAGTCGTCCAAGGTCAAGGCTGGTCAGCTCTGGGGCAAGAGCAAGGATGATCTCGCCAAGCAGCTGGAAGAGCTGAAGCTCGAACTGAACCAGCTCCGCGTCCAGAAGATCGCCAGCGGCGCTTCGACCAAGACCCAGAGAATGTGCGTGTTCGACCCCGATATTCTGCTTTGCCGCAAACTGGATTGAAAGAGGGGGAGAGGAGGAACACGAAAATTTTTTGTCGTTGGGAACAATGGACGAGAACAAAAGAAAGGAAATCGAAATCAACGAGTGGAAGGCAATAGACGAAAAATCCAGACGGCACCGAAGTGCTGCAAGAATTTCTTCAAAATTATGGCCGGGATGCTGACTTGGATTTTTTTTCTCTCTCTTTACAGCTCCGACGTTCGCAAGTCGATCGCCCGTGTTCTCACCGTCATCAACGCCAACCAGCGCGCTCAGCTGCGTCTGTTCTACAAGAACAAGAAGTACCTCCCGCTCGACCTCCGCCCCAAGCTCACCCGTGAGCTGCGCCGCCGTCTCACTAAGCACGAGGCCACCCGTATCACGGAGAAGGAGCGCAAGCGCCAGATCCACTTCCCCCAGCGGAAGTACGCCGTTAAGGTATGAGATCGAGTCCTCGATGAAGTGTGGCTGCATCGTTGTGTTTTCCACGACCCCCGCATGCAGCTGGCATTCTTGTCACTCTGGGATATTGTATCCCTCGTCTACGAATCCATTGCTGACGGGTTGTGTTTCCAATAGGCTTAAACGCAGAACTTGTTCGGATCTGGAGTTTTGTGGGAAGACGTTACTTGCCCTTGGACATAAAACAGGACGTGACGTGTGCTGAAACCTTGCGGCGGGGTCGGTTTCCTTTTATTTTTTGTTACATCCCAAAAATGGAACTAGATTCTGTATCTCAGATGGATGCAAATCGACTCTTGACATGACATGACATTCTACCTTTTCTATTCGGGTATTCATCGGGTTCGAGATGGCCTCGGGCTAGTCTGGATAGAGATAAATGTGCCAGACATGTTGTCAATTCGTAGTGATAAGATGCCATCGAGTGTAGGCTTTTTAGGTTATAGTAAGAACCTATAGTAAGAACCTCATGCTTTGCTAAAGGATAATGTGAGAATACTCGAGCCATACACTCCCAACATTTCTTGAAGGTCTTATGGTCTATTAACCTAGGAAGTGCTAGTTCTAAATGATGTATGCAGCAGTCAGAAATCAGTCAATAAAACAGCAAGTACAACACGATGACCACAAACGTTAGATACGTGATTTAGCAAAGCGAAGGAAAATTCTAAGCGGGCTTTTTCCTTTCAAATCCTCATCACAAGAGTGACTTTCCACATGCTGTAGAAGACCACTCATACATCGAAACAGCGTTCGACAGGTAGGACACGCAAATTGAAGTTCGGATTGTTAGCCTTATACTTCCATGCTTGACGGCACTCGAAGGCTAGCCGGTTTATCTCGTCGAGATCAACATTCGAGGCACAGGTTCCAGCCTCGAGGTGTAACATCATCGCCGAATCATTAGGAAAGCGGCGATCACACCCCGGACAGAGGGTATTTCTTTCGGCATGGGTGATCATGTGCTAAACACACGTATATCAGAAACTCTTCATTTGAAAGTATACAAGAAGGAGGACTAAACAATAAACAATAAAGGAAAGGGCATAGAACATACATTCCTAAGATTCGAAGGGGAACTGAAGTACTGTCGGCAGTTGATATAAAAATTATGCACCGTGATATCGTGCTCATCAAGCTCGCTAGCAGTGTCGAAACAGTCCTGACACGAGATGCACATGTGTTTTTTTTTCGAGATGGCCATCAAGTTCACCTTCTGTCTTGAAGTCTGCTTTGTCATAGCAGATATGGCATATATTGTGTTTTCGAGAGTCTCTGATATGCTGCTCTAGGGCCGCAGGAAAGGCGAAATCTCTCTCTGGCACCGAGAACAGTAGTCGTCATCCCAGACAGACATCTTCGAAGAAATTGGGTCCCCAAGAGGAGAAAAAAAGAAGCTGGTCAAGAGCTACCTTGTTTTGGGCCTGTCGAATTTTGTGGTACTTTTTTTTTTGTCGCTGATTGCTTTTCTTGAAATCGTGTGTAGGGGAAGTCACAAATGTATAAGGAGCGAGGAAGGCAACAACTTGGTTGATTGAGATATGGGGGACGTCCTCAAAGAATTTATTTCTTGGATTTCACAACCCAACTAAATACGTACCATCTGTCATAAAATATTCAATTGCCGCCATCCAACTAACAAATATTTGCGGACTGCATGTACGTGCCGCCAAATAACAATTTCACAGGCTGCTTCATGTATCGGAGTAACCCGTCTGTTTTCACTTGACTCGTCTAGGAAGCAGATCGTCTAGGCCCCTTAGACACTAATTAGGTGGGATATTTATTTAGAGGCTGTCTTTACAACTCGACTAGTCCTGGAATTTCGTGGATATATTCCTATTTCTCTAGAATATGATCCCGGAGAGATCCTAACCAAAGTCTTTCTACTTCGATGTACTTGGCTCAATATATCCTCCGTTCCAGACTTGTCAACTGAAAACATCCTGACATGGAAAAGCTTTCCCAAAATCTTCATTCATCCAAAAGTTATATACGATCCCTCTACTCCCTCATGCCTACCTATTACCCTGGTCCCATTCCCACAGCAAGGGCGCGCGACGTAGGATGTGTCTGTGACTGCTGGCCCACAGCCTGACCTGTTCCAGCTGAAGCGCCGGTATCAGTCTCGAGGGTCCACATCCCACCACAGAGACAAGAGCGCAGCAGACCCAGCTTGGCAATCATCTTGAAGGACAGTAACGAGCGCGGCAGAGTCGTGTCACCCGAAACCTCGCAGCAGCGCACGCAACGGCGCTTCTTCTGCGGCTGCAACACACGACCCTCACTTCCCACGGGCAAAGGAGGCCGAAGGGGGTATTTCTTGAGGATATCGACATCCCGGCGCTTGCGATAAGCCGTACTGCACTTGTCACTTCCGAGCCCGAGCCAGCTGTAGTCGCCCAGGAAGATGGCTATGCGATTGATCTCGGATTTGAGAGCTGGCACTGTCTGCCGCAGGAGAGTCGCCACGGCTGGGACGAGCACTGGTGGGATGCGTGCGTTGACGAGCAGTTCCTTTTCTGGTCCCGGGCGCTCGGCATCGCCGAAGCCTGCACCTTGGTAGGCGTGCTTGACGGCAGAGTCGACGCCTGCTAGGAACTTCTCATACACATCGATCCGCACAGGTGCCGCTTCTAGTGTCTGGCAGATTTCTGTGTAGTAAATGCGCGAGTCGCCAGTGAGAGAGGCCGGGTTGGCTGTGGCGTAGCCGGCGTGCACGCCGCGCAGACCGCGGCAAATGAAGCGGAGGAAAGCGCGGGACATGCTGGAGAGGAGGATGATGAGGGGAAGGGAGCTGGTTGTTTTCACTATCCAGGAAAGACAGAGGTTAGACAGGGGTACTTGAGTAAAGGCAGTGGTAAGGAAGCAGGCGCCTACATTTCTGGGTGAATGCTTCTTGGTCATTGGCGACGCTCTCAAAGTCGTCAGCCAGATCAAAGATCTCGCTGAGGAGAAAATGAGAGAAATCCGATGTCCATTTTGTGTTCCCCAGCACTATACGCAGAACATCTAAAGCTGTAATTAGAAATAAATCATATGATAGCTGAGTTTAGTCTGAACTCACCTGCATCATGTGCCTCGTTCTGTCCTCCCTTATTGTACTGGAAGAAAAAGGCAAAGAGAACCGATGCATGGCGAAGTTGAAGGCTTGCCCACGGCACGGCAGACGCCAGGCTACGGCGCTTCAACCTTCCCTTGAAGCCAAGAGCAGCCTGCAAACTCAGACAGCGGGGGATATACGGGTGGCTCATGAGTTTATCTTGTTCAGCAGTGAAGTTGCAATTGACCGGCAACGCGCGATACACTTCGCCAATAAACGTGGTCAAGGCTTCTATAATCAAATTTAGCATGCGGTTCCAGGATCACACTTGGTTCACAATTTACCTGGCGAAAGCTGCCGCAGAGCCACCATCAAAATGTCATCAGTGTTGACATCGCCTCCACATCCACGGCTGAACGCAAGAGTCAACGCAGCAATGGCAGCGGAGAATTTACCTAGTACTTGGTCAGTGCTGATGATGGGACGACTGACAAGGGAAAACACCTTACTCTCGTCGTAAAGATCTCCCGCGGATCCAAATGAGTGCTCCATTACTCTCAATTCGACCTGCCCTTCGCCGTCCAACACAACAGCAGCACTAGAGTTTGGAGAAAAGCTGATTTGAAGACCTACACAAGTCAGCCACATCCGTCATCCGAAGATAAATATTCAGCACGGAAATACCTGAGGCCTCTATCGGAAACTGAAACCCTGCTTGGGCCAAGGAGGTCACGGTGTTGGTATCTTCCAATCCATTAAAGACAGCCATCGTTTTCGTGTCATAAAAAGTGATCGAACTGTCGTCATTGGTGACAGCCAGAACAGTGCCATGTTCCACCAGGTCCACCGAAACAACATATTTATCGAGGTGAATATCTTCCAGCCGACGTAGCTCCATTTTGGCCTGGCAAGGATATATTAGTTGTGGCTGATGACTGTAGGGAATCGCGAAATTCGCACCTTTGCTTGAGCATTGTTTTTCTTCGAAGCCACCTCATCAAATTTGGGATGAAGGGTTTGAGGCGCAGACTCCAAATGCCACCGAACGATCACACTTGGTGGACCTGGCTGGTCTGGATAGTCAGGGATGGTGTGGAGAGGCTTTGAGAAGACGGCAAGAACCCAGGGGTTCGCCGTGGATCCCGCTGGGCTGTCAATTTGCCCGGGCATGATTTCTAGCCGAGTCAACGAGTAAACCGAGTTTTGAAATGGCAACGTCTCAGAACGCTCCTCCGGCCTGCGACTCGTGCTCAAGATGTTGCTGGGCATATCAACTTTGCAGTGGATCAGACGGAAGCTGGGGATGGGAAATTGATTTGGATGCTTGGCCTGGCTGGGATCCCATTGTGGTGGATTCCAGGCGATATGCACTCGATAGAGGCAGATCTTATGGCATGCAGAGTAGGTGGCAAGCAAAACACCAGCTACATCACGGAGTCAGTCAAATCCTTGATACTAAACTCGAAAGGGCTCAAGCTACCTTGAGTTGCAACCAGAGATGCATGGGTGAGAAGTCTGTCAGAATATCCCGTTGTTTTGAGCTCTGCAGGTAGCTCGGCCCATTTGCTGTCCGGGTTCTGATATATAAGCTTGATCTGGCCCGCTCTAGTCACGCAGATCAAGGCGCCTTTGTTGGCTGGGTGGAAAGGGCCAATAGGCCGGCAGCGAAAGGGCGAGTAAGCCCATCGGCCATTCATCTTGGCTGCCTGGTGGAAAGCATGCACCTAAGGTACGACATTAGACCATGCTTTCCAGACTGGGTACCCACCAGGAACTTACAGAGCGTTGGGTGTTTAACCATGTCATCCCGATCACCTGGTTGTTATCATCGCCGGAATCAAACGAAGCCTGCCGTAGCCCAGTGATGCTATTCAAGGCAATTGAGATGGAATAGATGGAGATACGTCCAGAGCAGTCCACAACAGCAAGTTCTGACCCAGTCTCGTTCCACAAGAGATGAACAAGAGGATTGCCCCCATGAGCTTCGGTGACTGGACTCAGCAACGACTCCTCGCTGAGCACCCATTTGCCATCCGAGGGCCGGCATTGCAAATGACGAACATTGACCCGCAAGCCATCAAGTGAGATATATGCAATACATCCCAGCCGGGACCACGCAACTTTTCTAAGATGAAAGTCAATTGGATTCGGAGCACAATCCCACCAAGAAACAACTTACTGGCAGCATCCCGATAACCGCATCTCATCCAAACATGGTGCAAGCCCCTTGGTCGGCGAGGAAGGAGGCAGACCCAGCTCCAGAGAATTGGGCTCGCCAAAAAGGTCGTCTACATTGATACCGTCGTCCATCATCAATGGCATAATGGTCTTAGGGTTCGAATCTGGGGTAGGGGAATGTCAATCCAGCATGACTTCATCTATAGCTCCCCGGGACCACCGCAGAGGGGATAAACTGATCCAGCAACGAGGTCTGAGATCGACAATAAAGCCCGCAGATCCGCTATCTCACAAGCATGTAGATCCCGGCGATGCCAAAGACCACAGCTTCCCCCGATGATCGGGGGGGGACAAAGGGAAGGTGCCATCATGTTCTTAGTCATCCCGATATCAGGTGACCCGTAGTCCCGGAAACCGCTGACTAGTCATTTGATGCCTCAGGCGCCAAGTGTATCAACAGTTCCCGATTGTTGTTTGGAGAGTCTCTAATTTTGACGAGAAAAGAAAAGGTCAAAGGACATTTTGAAGAAAAGTGTGGGTGTAGATGGGAAATGAACCCTGCTTCTTGATTATACCTCTATACCTCCCTATACATCTACTTGCAATAGGGGTGTCCTGCCGCCGGTATATACAGTTCCAGTTCTGGGTCCATGCCAGTCGGAGAAATCGCTTTCATCAAAACATCCGCATCATCGAGTGTGATTCGTCCCGCCATTAAGCTGCCACACAACCACATTCTCCCCGTGGAATCCGAGTCTCCGGGCAAAACAAAGCGCCTTTCTTTTTTGCGCTTTTCTTTTTCTTTATTTCTAATTTGGTTTTCTGCCGGTTCATACGATTTGATTTTTATCAGTTTATTTAACTTCCCCCCATCCCGTGTCGCTGACCTCATCCTACTTCCATCTCCTTTCCTCCCTCCAACCTCTTCACTTCCATCTCCAACATCGGGCCTCAATTGTCGCCCCATTGACCAGCTCTGCCACCTCCCTCCGGATCAGTCCAGGATTTCTCCATCCCCTGGTTTCCGGATCGGCAAGCACCACAGAGCTGCACAAGGGTCTGCCTGCAAGCTCGACCCCTGGGGCGCGGGTCACATCCTTCTTCTCTCCCCTACTTGGATGGCACCTTTTTTTCCATTCATCCTCCCAACAAACTGCCACCATCGCCATGGATCTTCTCTCCGATGATTCCGACTTGAGCTCTGTACCGCCATCTCCGCGATCATCGCCGGCACCGGGGCGGTACCTGACGCCGTCATCGCAAGATGCTGAGGATTCTACGCGCCAAGACTGCCCACCCGCCAAAAGAGGAGACGCAACCCTCTGCCCAAGGAGCGCACCACGCAGTATCTCAACCTGTCGCTGTCGTCTGCCGCGCAACAAAGTCAAATTAACTTGCTGGTCGAAACCGTCCGTCGCCAAAAGGACATCGTCGTCATAGCAGGCGCCGGTATCTCCACCTCGGCGGGTAGTAAGTTTCCTTTTTGCCGCGTGTCACGATACGCCAGACTCACCTTGCATAATAGTTCCGGACTTTCGCTCCACAGATGGTCTGTTTAAGTCTCTGCAGAAAAAGCACAATTTGAAGGCTTCCGGCAAGCTTCTTTTTGATGCTGCTGTCTACCAGGACGATGCCTTGACCGCCCCCTTCCATGAAATGGTGCGGTCGCTGTCGGTCGAAGCAGCCAAGACCCACCCGACACCTTTCCACCAAATGCTGGCCCGGTTGGGTAAGGAGTCTCGTCTGAAGCGGCTCTATACGCAGAACATCGATGGCATTGAAACTTCGATGCCCCCGTTAGCGACAGAGGTCCCCCTTGGCGTGAAAGGCCGGTGGCCCGTCACCATCCAGCTCCACGGCAGTATTGAGAAGATGGTGTGTCAAAAGTGCCGCTACCTTTGTGACCTGGACCCCAACAGATTCAATGAATCGGATCCCCCTGCGTGTAATGAGTGTTTGGAAAAGGACGATATTCGACAAATGACTGGACAGCGTAGTCATGGCGTGGGCCGTATGCGACCGCGGATTGTCCTGTACAACGAGCACAATCCCGATGAAGAGGCCATCACCTCGGTGATGAATGCCGACATCAAGTCCCGCCCTCGCGTTTTAATTGTCGCTGGTACCAGCCTGAAGATTCCCGGGGTGCGTCGACTTGTAAAGAGCTTGTGCGCGGTCATCCGAAGCCGTAAGGACGGTGTCACCATGTTCATCAACAACGAGCCACCGATCGGCAAGGAGTTTGAGAACTGCTTCGACCTGGTTATCCAAGGGTCTTGCGACCAGGTGGCGCACGTGGCCAACTTGAAGTCTTGGGAGGACGAGACCTTGGGCGAGCTGGCTCCGAACCTCATGCCTGAACCCAAGCGCATCCACGAAGAGTGCTCTTCTTCCGAGGCCGAGCAGGAGAAGAGTACCCGCGGCATCGACCGCGTGGAGATCAAATCCACGCCAAAGAAGCGGCCCCGCACCGATACTGGTCTCTTCACGCCTTCGTCCAGCAACGACGAGAAGCCTTCCACCTCACCCACCAAGGTGGCAGCCAAAGGCAAGATGGCAAACCCGGCCAGCAACGGCCGCACCATCAACGATGTGCTCAAGGGCAACAAGACCGCACCGGCCAAACCCGGCCGCAAGAAGCCGGCCGCAACCACCAAGCGCGGCAAGAAACCCGAGCCGGCCAAGAACGCGAAGATCAACACCTTCAGCACTCGGGTCACCAAAAACACCACTGCTCCAGCGTCCAAGAAGGGCACCAAGGGAGGCAATGGCGCAACTGGCAAACTCCATCTTCTTTCAGTTGGTGCTGCGCGCAACAATGGGTCAATGTTTCCTAATCTACCGAACAAGGCCGTCATGGACGGGGATGGGAAACCCCTCCATGTTGACTCCGAGTCCAGTCCCGAGAGCATGCCTCACTTGTTGACCGCGTCATAGCCTCTTCTTGTTTGCATCTTCCTTTCTTCTTTCTCTGTCATGATTTTTCTTCCCTTGAGACATGGCATGGTCATGGTACATGTTTGTCAAGATTGGCGTCTTCGGTGTACGGGGTTTTGTCTCTTCATGGTTGTATTGTTAGCTGCATCCTCCTTGTTTCTTTGGGAGGTTCTTGTGGCTCCCTTTTCTCATCCGTGCTTCGCGAAAGATACCATCGATAGACTACGGTTTGTTGCATTGGGTGTGGGTGTTGGCGTTTTTGGGCCCGGATATGTGTGCCACGACAGTTCTGTTTTCTTCTTTGGCCATGTTGGATAGCGCTGTGGTGATCAAGGCTTCCTGTTGATGAGTTGATCCGGGTCTTTCCTGTCTTCATTGACCCGCTTTAATACAAGACATACTTGCTCGAATACTTGCACATCCGTAGAGATATATAGCCCTGGGGCTATCCTTTGATCCTTTTTTTCTTTCGTATGTTATTAGGTCATCGCTTTGTTTGTGCTGTTAACTTTGAAGTAGTTATATCTCCATGGCTCTAGGTGGAACTACGGCTCTAAAACCTCTTGACTGAGCCTAGCAACCAGATACTCGCTTACAGGAATCAACATGAAGGGACAGTATGAATCCATTCGTCATTATTTTTATTATACAGAAACAATCTGATTCGACCAGGCCTGCGAGGAGAACAGACAAGGAAAGCAGAGCAGTGCAAGATCATCCTCATAGGTATAGCAACTAGCCCAACCCCAGATCATCGCGCAACTGACTAGCCGGCCCAGCATCCTCATCATCTGTCTCATCAGCATCAGGATCCATTGGCCCACGCTGCGCCCCGGGATCGCGATCCAAATCCTCCACCCGGTCAACATCATCTTCCAAACGAGGCCGGCGGTCATCTTCCTCCTCGTCCTCATCATCTTCCTGTTCATCATCTTCCTCGTCCTCATGGTCCTGCTCCTGCTCCTCATCTTCTTCAAGCTCCTCCTCCTGCGTCTCATCGTCATCCACCGGCTCCCCACCAGCCCCCGGCCCATCATCATCCACGCGCTTCACCTTCTTGGCCGGGTTATCAACCATATCGACGTCGTCATCTTCATCCCGCGGTGTTCCATCCGCCCTCGTCGCCGCAGCAGCAGCACCATCCGCGGCACCATCTGCGCCTGCGCCTGTGGGAGCTCCCGAGGCATCGCCCGCGCCGTTGACATCGGACTTCTTCGACTTGCGTTTCCCAGCCTTGGTCTCGGTGTATGCCTCGAGTTCCTGCTCGAGACGGGACCGGAACGAGTCGAATTCGAGCTCCGTGAGCGCGTTGAAGACGTCTGTGGGTGCGACGGTGCGTTTCAGGGTGGATTCGTTGGCCCTGTTTTTTGCAAAGAAACAGGTTAGTTTGGAATTCAGCAGAGCTCAATGTAGAAATCATACTGTGATGACAGGTACGACACGAATACAGTGGCCGCCTTCTGGATCGCCAGCACTGCGTCCTTTTGGATCGTCGTGTTGGGCGGGAGCACGCCTTTGGCTAGGCGTACTGTCAACGAGCGCGGGAGAAGGTAGTCCTGCGATGAAGAACGAGTATCAGCTTTCTGGTCTTTCTCTTTTGCCTCTTTTCTCATCCCCAGTGTTCCAGTGTCAACCGTCCACGGCTGCTTGGCTTACATCGACACTGACGCCCGCCTCGGCCCGCGCCTTCAGCTGCTGCTCTGTTGCCGTGACGTTTTTGTCTGTCTGGCTCGGCGCCTGCGGTGACTGCTGCAGCTGTGGCTCGTCTGGCTCGGCGGGCGTGACCGAGGATGTGGATTTGCGCGGCGGCATTGTGTGGGTATCTGTGAGTTGAGTGGGTGTCGTGCTGAGAGTTTGCGGAGCGGGTGGGCGTTGTAGGTCGAATTCGAAGTGGGTTCCAGAATGAAACACAGCTCTCTTTTTTTTTTTTTTGAAGTCGAATCCAAGTATTTACACAAAGATATCGATACCACAGTAATTGGATGGACTGAGACACTGTCTCGGGATGGGCAGCGAGAGATGGAGAACGCGAAAACGCGACGTGCATTGGATTTCTCGGGGGTGCGCGCGGTGTGGGGAGATTTTTGCCTCAGCCTCCCCTTCTCTCGAGTCTCGATATCTACACTAGAATCGAACAAAATTCAATGCTTTTTATTCGTAATAAAGAAAAAGTGTTCACTCGAAACAAATGCTTAATATTGCCAATTAAACGCCCATTTTTTTGGTATCCAGAGAATCAAAAACGAGATGCCTTCGTGACGCAAGCCTTTACTCGGCCATTTCCTCGTCCTCGCCCTCCCCGTTGCCCCAGAGGCCTTCGATCTTGAACTCCTTGGCCCACTCGGTGACGACCTGCGTGGTGTCCACGCCAGCTCCTTCAGTCGTCGTGGCAGCAGCGTCGGTCGAGGCCACCACAGGCAACACGGGCGCGTTGGCCCAGCCTTGGATGCGACCATCTCTCCAGTCGTTGATGACAGTCATGGCTGCGCTCTCGACATTCGGGACACCGCCCTTACCAAGACGACCTCGCTTGCGGGCCACCTGGATCAAAAAGTCGGTAGTCTTGTCGCCGCCGGAGGGGAAGATAGCCGTGATGCCGTAGAGCTCCAGCATCTTGGCAATCAGGTTCTCTGAGGTAGATAACCGCTTGATCAAGAGATTGACCGCGGGGATCGGGTCTTCAATCTGCTTGGGAGGGATGGCATTCAGCAGGACCAGACGGGCCTGCTCTTCCTGCTTCTTGGACTTCTTGCTCGTCTTGTCACCCGCGCTGGGGAAAACAATCCCCGGCGAGTCAATCAGCTTGAGCTTGTTGTCGAGCTTGACTTCGCGCAGGTTGGTGGTCACTCCTGCCTCGGCACCGGTCGGGCATGCGTTGCTCGAACCCTTGTTGAGGCGCGCGGTGAGAGCGTTGATGACAGACGACTTGCCGACATTCGGATATCCAATAACACCAACAGAGATGGACCGCTTTAATTGCTTGCCGTGCGCATAAGACTTGAGCGCACGGAACAGCGTATCCGAAGTCCCCTTGACCGTCAATTGCTTGTGATCGAAGCTGTGTGCGTTGCCAGCCCCGATGGATGCCTTCAGCGGGAGGGTCGGAAAGTATCGTCGCAAATGAACCAGCCATGCCTTCAGCACCGGCGGGGGAACCAGATCGATCTTGTTCAGGATGAGGATCAACCGCTTCGACCCGGCGTCTGTGGCCATGATTTCGCGCTCCACCTCCTTCGACCGTGTTCCCTCCGGGTCGCGTGCATCAAGCACATACAGCACCACATCCGCAGCCTCGGTCACTTGCTTGAACACCTTGTCGAAGGCGCGCCGTGAACCTTCCTTGGTGAACGACTGTGCCGTGACCAGTGCCGGTGCCGACGAATCGTCGAGCAGTGCTCCACCGTCCTCATCATCTTCATCCATTTCATCGTTGTCATCCTCGTCCATCTCATCGTCCTCGCTCTCGTGGTCCTCGTCATATTCCGCTGCCCGGGCTCGGGCAGAGGCCAGGAGGGCTGCCATGGGGTTGGAGCCTCCATCCTCATCCATGTTGTCGTCCAGTAGATCGTCCTCTACAATCATGTTCATGGCCTGACCGTCATCTTGCGCTTGCTGGTTTTGGCTTCGGCGAGCGCGTGCCTCGTCCCGGATCCGTTGCTGTTCCTCTCCCTTCATTCGTTTCCTCTCCTCCATCTCATGCAGGAGCCTGTCCTTGAAGGGGAAGAGACTGGGAATACCAGGGTCCTTTTTCATCTTAGACCGCCATTCTGGGTTCTATAGAATAGAGTGTGAGAATCTTTCAACCGGCCAGAAAGGAACCAAAGAAAATCATGGCTGCAATACCTTCTTCGCCTCCTTCCTCTGCTTTCTTTGCTTGGCAACAGATGCCTTCTCAATCTTGTGCCGCAGGCGGACGGGCGTCCGTTTGGAGTTCTTGCCTGTGGATGGTCAGCGACTGGGCCAGGGAATTCACGAGCCATTCGACAACAAGGAAAGTTTACCTAGCTTGACCATTCTGGCTGCAGTCCAGTCTCTTGTTTTTTTTCGAGACAAAACAGGAGCAATTCGGCGAGTGAGTTCCGGCAGGCTAGAAGCGAAAAAAAAGTTGAGTGCCAAGAGACGGCGGCCAGCGATAAGCGGATTATTGGTTTCGCCGATCTCCCCGCCGTCGGCTCGACTTCCTATTTAGGAAGCGTCTGGATTTATGGCGTTTCTCTCGCCGGTGTTTTTCTACTTCTCTATTTCTTGTTTGCTCCATATTTTTTGACTAGACAGACGGTTTCTGTCTATAGAGGTCGCATATTGCTTCATACCCGGTTTGGATTTTCTTGACGTGCTACTTCGAACCACATTCCGCTTAGCCCCTCCCCCGCCATGTCTGCGACTGGATCTTTCTCTGCGCCTCCGCAGGTTCACTCGTTTGATGGCGTGCTCTCTGACTTTGATGGGACGATCGTGGACTCGACGGATGGTATGATCTGCCTTTCCCTCACAGTCAACGTACGTATAGTGTTAACTGACTCGAGTCCCGCTGAATAGCAATCGTGAAGCACTGGCACAAGTTAGTGGGGAGCTTTTCTCAATAAGAATATTTACAAAAATCGTTTGACCATCTCTGACCTGCTTTCAGGATTGGCGCCGAGCTGGGCGTCGATCCCCAGGCCATCCTGGCAACATCGCATGGCCGTCGAAGCATTGACACAATGCAGCTGTACGATCCGAGCAAGGCCAATTGGGAATGTACGTTAAATCCTGCTCTTTTTCCAGGGTTCCTGGAAAGGCTGGAATTTTTAGCAACACGCGTCGACTGAAACTTTCATGACCCAGACGTCAACTTCATCGAGGGCCGCATCCCCAAAGAATACGGCTCCGATGCCGTCGAAATCCCCGGAGGCCGCGATCTTCTCTCGGCCCTGGAAGGCTCCGGCGCTCGATGGGGCGTGGTGACCTCTGGGACGCGCGCCCTGATCGATGGCTGGTTAGAGGTCCTCGGGCTGACGCACCCGAAGATCCTCGTGGTCGCTGAGGACGTGGAGTTGGGCAAGCCCGATCCGCGCTGCTACCTGCTGGGACGCAAGAAGCTGGGGCTCGAGGACTCGAGCTCGATCGTGGTGCTTGAGGATGCGCCGTCTGGAATCAAGGCTGGCAAGGCGGCCGGGTTCAAGGTTATTGCGCTGACTACGACGCACTCGCTTGAGAAGCTTCAGGCAGCTGGCGCGGACTGGATTGTGGAGGATTTGCGCAGCGTCGCTGTGAAGAGTGTCGCGGATGCTCGGGTGCAGCTCGAGATCAAGAATGCATTCCAATAGAGGCGCATTCTCGGGAAACGATACTCTATTGCAGATTCAGTGGGAGTTTGGTCACAGCATAGAAGACCAGAGTGTACATTTCGGGTAGCTTAGACATATTAAAAGGCCTTAGCGTTTTGCTTTGCTAGTAGATCTGATATATATGATCAGATGTTCTAAGAATCTCCCTTTCTACTTGGTAATATATTCATTCTATGCTGTTACCCCGGCGCCATGGCTCTACCAGATCTATATCCATACGTCATGCCAAATACATCGAGTTACTGGTGTGGGACTTTTGGCTCTTTGTATATGAGTAGCAAGGGAAAACGAGCGATAATTCCGCGGGCATTTAGAGGTTCTTTACATAGAATCTCCATACTAGCCTTGGAATTGTAGACAGTGATTATGATTTACTATCGGACGGGATGACAGCCTACCAATATACACTAGACTTCATAGACATTTTCAATGTTATTTGATAGTCTCAACTGAGCCTGACTGTTAAATCCATGGATTCCAAATAAAAGGGAAAGAGGTGTACAGCCAGTCACCTTCAGCAAGATATAGTGCACATCATCAACATCCAGCTGCTCAGCAGCCGGAACGTCCACCCTGCGACCGTCAGCCAATCCCGGCTTGGCAATATAATAAATATCACATAGGAATGACGTCAAATCGAATGGCTCATGATGAACAGTAAACTCGTCCTACACTGGTCTGCACAGGCATGACCCGATGTCATCCGGTAAAATCGAGCTATACTCTACATAGTCCTTGAATACTCACCGGAGACCTCTTCCTGCACGAGCGTGGAGCTTCAGCACCCGATGTTTACAAATTCTCATATACCATACAGAGAGAGAACCAGCGGTTAGACCTGCAGGTTGTGGAAGCTGCGATCACCAGAAAGGGCGAGGTGCAGGAGAATAAAATGGAGTGAGTCCGTGTACCGCCATCCTCGAAGCAGGGAGGCTGAAGGGAAGGCCATGGATGGTGGTATGGGCTTGCTCTTGCTAATTCTGAAGTACGACGCTGTGATGGTAGCAGCAGACCCCTGGTCCCATTTCATGAATGCATGGACCAGGATGGGAAGGTTGTGTGTATGTTGCTAGGTGCTAGATACTGTACTTTTCCTTCCAACGAGATCCTGGAGTCCCATGAGAGACGGGAGTGGCGGGCCGCGACCATCTGCAGCCGAATCCTTGCAGGGGCCGTAGCGGGCGTTCCCAGTTGATGTGCGTTGGTTCCTGGTGTAAATGCCGCCACTAACATCCCGGTATTAATCCCTTGGGAACTGCCGTTCATGCAAGTTTGAGGGGAAGGGGTGGGTGTGTGTGGCGCCGGTGGGGCGCCAGATCAAGCATTAGGTGCGGATATGCATCCCCGAACAAAAGTCGAGAGGGTCCTGGAAACCTTGCTGGGGAGGACGGGAAAAGCTGCAACCCACCTGCAAGCCGGGACAGGGAAGCACTCACGAGGAAACGCCATTCACCCGGTCAACAAAGTACATTGTCCTTGTTGCACCTGGTGGGCCCACATGGACCAGGAAAAAAAAAAAATTCTGTAGCTTGGGCACCTGCGACTTGGGGAAGGTCGGGGAAGCGAAAAGGGACAAGATTCAATGCAACATTTGCCGGTGAGATGAGATGCAAGGGAGGGGACCCAAGGTCTGGTTACATCCTGCGCACGGGTCGAAATGCAGACTCCTGAACATCACCATAGAACCATGGAACTCGAAGCCGCTCTCTATCTCGGGGTCGAGGCGGGAGAGGGGAGAGTTCTGTCCAACAGTATAGATGTGTGATGGCGAATGGGGGCGAATGCAATATTATCACGTACATCCATTTTTTTTCTTTTCTTTTTGAAAATCTTAAGAATTCCGATCTGGACCACAGCCTCGGGATGCCCCGAATCAAACGGGGGGCCGGCGATCCTGTAGACCGTTCTGGATATGTGGCTGATTGCTCTCAGATCATCGGGGCTGCATGCCCCTACCGTGACAAATACCCCAACGATGGGGGATGCAAGTCGATCAGGAAGGAGTTGCGCACCGCCACAGACCCGCGTTCAGGTGAGCCACAATGAAGTAGTTGGTGAACCTGTCACATTGGAGCTCATGGTCCATCGCTTCTGAGCCGATGATGATCACCGAAAACGCCCGAGCCTGAGCTTCCAATGAACACGAAAACATGAAATACACAGCTTGTACTGTAAATCTCGCGCTGACGAGTCAGAAGAGGACAAGCCACCGTGAGTCCCCATCCCATCCCTGACTTCAAAGCCACAAGAGATTGAGCTGAAGCGGGGACTGGGTTTAACACAAGGTTGATTTGCGGATCCTCCAATCTCATCCCGAAAGACCGTGTGAGACAGGGCCGAAGGGCAAGGATAAGAACACGACTGTCACGCCCGTCGATCTCAGCCTCGTAAAGGGTCGGGGAATTTTGGGGTGCTTTGGCCGACGCTTCGACTCTTGGATCAATCCGATATTTGAGATTCTGATCCCACCGTAACGGTTCACCTCAGATCCAGTCAATAGTTGAAGGGGGCCAAAGGATCTGTGCGGGATGTGCGCTGTGGACCCTGGTAGATCCTTGTCTCTCTTCCCCCTTAATCCTTAACTATGACGAATTGTACCACCTAGCCAAGGATTCCCCCCCACATGTCAGATCCCTCGTATAGATCATGGGATTCTCAAGTCAACTGGAACATCTTGAACTGGACTAATCTCGCTGAGATGAAGCCAAGTCGGGGGGGGGGGGGGAGGGAGGGCTCTGTGATGAGTGTATGCATCTGTAGCGCCGTGCTGCACGTGAAGCTTGAATCGGACTGGATCGTAGCGATCATCACGAACACCCGGATTTCGACGGAAATGCCCAATAGCCACGTTTTTTTGTTTGGCAGACTCTGAAGTGTCGTGGAGGGGGATGCTTTCTCCGGGAGAGGGAATCTCTTTCCCCCACCGCTAGTCTTCCCGATCCACCTGACTGGCTCATCGAAACGATCGACGGAGAATCACTGGAGCATTGGAGGCCCATCCGTTGTCATGTCCAGCATGTACTGGATGCCCAATGCTTTGGGGAAAAAGCAGCCAAGTGAGATGAGGAGGGGCCAAGTCGAGGTTAGACTTTGGTGCCCAAGGATCCTCACCGTTTTGCTGTCAGCCTTGGAACGCGAATCCCCTCCATCCTGAACTTTCCCAATTCCCACTCGATTCTCGATCTTTTTCTCAGGGATCTACTACGCAGGTGCTCTCTGCCTGCTGGAAACCTGTGACTTGCGTGCATGAAGCCTTCAACTCCCAGACGTTTAGCGCTGGCCAGGTTCAACCAGATCTCCGGGAAAAACAAAAGTGATGGTGTCACGCATCGGCTGACAAGGACAAGGGGGGGCCCAAAAAGCTCGGCAGATCCTTGATTGATCGACGGGATCTGTCGACTATTGATGTTTAGTGGGTCTTGGCTGGCTGCCATGTTGTGGCTTCTGAGGTCACAGCAGGCTGACAGAAAGCTGACAGATTGCTTCACTCATTCCCCATCTGGGATCAACGGAATCAACTGTGATCGTCTGACCCAGATTCATGAACTCCAGCCGCCTGGTACGAGGGACTTCTAAACCCGCGGACCGAATCTTCGTGGGATTCCTGCAAGCCGATCACCATGAGAACCAGAAAACTGGCCTCAGGAAGGAGAAAATGAATGATCTCCCGACCCACTTAAAGCCACACACCCTCTCTTTGTTTTTTGTTTTATTATTCTTATTCTTTACAGGATGGTTCCAATATTCCAATTCTTCACAGCTCCAACCTTGGGGATCATGATTTGCTTTGCCCCTTGACCATGGACTCAGACAGGGCGCTAATGCAGGAACTGCCCAGGACGCCACAGATGTGTAATTCATGGATTACCGAGATGTGAGCTCTGAAGGGCTTCAAAATTACCGCGGGAGATATCCACCGTACCCGAAACCAAAAACCTCCACACCTTGGCTTTGTTTACTCCAAGCCGAGCCTTGTCCTAGTACAATCTTCATGAATCTAAGTTGTCTATTGATTGAATTATATTTGTTGATTTATTTAATCCTATTTTTTTGAACAATAGGGCTGTGATCATCACCTATACACACTATACAGACTAGATCGAAATCATGTAATGTGACAGTCCCCTTAGAACCGCGCGGGCGGTAGCGCGACTCCACGGGCTAAATGACACAGTGGGGGGTCACTTAGCCCGTTGTCACGCAGGCCTTAGACTGAGTGGAGATCCTCCCGAAATGGGCGCAGTAGACGATCCGATCTGTGATGCCCAAGCTCCCCGACTCCAGGGGGTACTCTCTCCCTGGAAGGTACATCGGGGTACTTGGTGGTGGCTGCGTAAATGCTGTATTGTAGACCTCTCCCAACCCCGAGGTTCTTGTACACCCGAGTACCGGGTACCTGGTGACCACACGTTACCGTCCAATACTGTAGAATACCGGGTGATCCCGTTCCCCTGGCCAATAATAGCCCATCCTCCACCCGTCCCTGACCACCCCTTACCACCCGTCCCTATCTCCCCCCCCCCATCACCGTCTGCCAAACTCCATCTTTTCCCTCTCACTCTCTTTCAAGCCTTTTTTTTCTTTTCTTTTTTTCCATTCTTGTCCCTCATTACATTCCTTTCTTTTTTGATTTCTTTTTTTTTCGAGTTTTTTTCTTTTTCTATCCTTTTCTAGTCCTTTTTCGTCACTCCTTTTCGTCACTTTCTCACTTCGCCCGAGTCTCTCCTTCAACACCGGCGCTTCGATACCTTCAGTCTATTGCTTTTTCTTGATTCACACACTGCCACTCCTTCACCCCGGGTCTTTCCCTCCGTCGCCACACGGTGATCATTCATATCGATACCTCCGATGATATAGGCCTCGTCCCTCGTAGCTGCGACCCCGTGCAGCTCTCGATTTCCTTCCTCTCTATCTACACCTTGCTCCCCTCTCCCCGATATTCTCTCTACCGCAGCCATGAGCTATATCCACCCTTCGTGGAACTACCCTGGCCATTCGGGGATCCCAATGGACCAGGCCATGGCGTACGACCCGACCATGGTTCCCCCTCCCATGGTCCACCCCATTGACGGCTACCTATACCCTCATCCACCCATGGAGATGATGGACTACTACCACCAGCCGATTATGGACTACGACGAATACACAGAGAACCTTTCCCGGCCGCGTTTGACCAAGGAGCAGGTCGAGACACTGGAGGCTCAGTTCCAGGCTCACCCGAAGCCAAGCAGCAACGTCAAACGTCAATTGGCAGCTCAGACAAACTTGAGTCTGCCTCGCGTTGCGGTATGTATTTGGAAGCCTTGCTTGTGACGTCTACAACAAAACTAACCTGGGAGGACAGAATTGGTTCCAAAATCGACGCGCCAAGGCCAAGCAGCAGAAACGCCAGGAAGAGTTCGAGAAGATGCAAAAGGCCAAGGCGGAGGCGGAGGACGCTGCTCGCCGGAAATCCGAGACCCTAGACCAACTATCCGAGTCCCGGCAAGCTTCGAACACGCCCAAGGAGGAGGCTGAACCATCCCTCCCTTCCAAGCCCACACCCGTTGCGTCTACATCTGAGAGTGATAGCAAGGCAGAGCACAATGCCAACCGCAAGCACCAAAAAACCAAGAGCGAAACGGCGCGAGAGGCAACCTTCGCGTCCCTGCAGCGGGCGTTGAATGCTGCCGTTGCTGCCCGGAATCGGTTCAGTCGCCGAGGGGATTCTCGCGGCAAGCAAGAATCCTCTCAGGAAGACGAAGCCGTTTCTCCCACCTCGATGGCACCACCCAAGACCACCGGCAAGTCTCAAAACAATAGACAAGCGAACGCGAACTCCTCTTTCTCCGACTGGCCAGACGCCAAGGAGGAATCCAGCTCATGGACTCCTCAAGCTTCTCACGGCACTCCGGAGACGACCTCGTTTTCGGCTACCGGTCAAGTATTGCCCGAAGTGCCTAACTCCTCTCAATCCATGCAACACAACGTGAATGCCTATTCGGGTACGCAGTTGCCCCCTCATACGGAGGAATGGGAAGAGGGGGCAGAAGAACAGCGTTCTACGCATGGCAGAGGATCTGATGCTGGCCTTGTCTACGGTAACATGCAGTATCCGATGTCCTTGCAACCCCCAAATATCTCACTCTCTCGACGTGAGTCGTCGGATGCTCTGACGGCTTCCCTGGAGGGCATTGGGATTTGCACGACTGATTCATCTGGCTTATCGCAATCTTTGGGACGGGCGGCAGGAGCATCGTGGAAAGAATCTGGCAAGGAGCTTGATCTTGCTGCGCGGCGTAAGCGACCTCGGCCTGCTGCCATTGGCACTTCGGGAAATCGCTCTCTGGCTGCCTCGACCTCCATGTCTTCTCTTTCCCCGACGAGTCGCATGCCCAGCTCCGGTGCCGGGAACTCGATGCGGCATTCCAAGTCTACCCAGAGCCTCAATTCTCGCTATGCCGGTGTGAGGAAGGCGTCCGCCGCCCAGCGGTCCCCTCTCAACTTCACCTTCGCCGAGTCTGGATCCATGAAGGCTACCAAGGCTGATATGTTGCGGCCGTCGGTCTCCACCTCGACCTTGGCTCCTCCAACTCCTATGACCCCGCAAGATCTCCAGGGCTTCATGCCCGCTTCGCCCACCGACAGCAACTATTGCTTGTCGGCGCACTCCGCAACCCAGTTCTTCCCTACCTCACAACCTATGCCAGTGAACATTGCATCGCCTCCCACTACCCCACTGGACCTCTACTCCTCCTTCCCATATCAAAATATCGCTCCTCCGATGTCGGCCCCGGCTCATGTCTCCAATTTCCCCGAGTATGCGCCCTGTGACCCGGTTCCTATGACGGCTCGCAGCTGGGCAGAGACCGCTTCCCTCTCGCCAGAGTTTTCCAACGGTATCCCCGGGGCTCAGTCAAGTACTGTTTCTCCTCTCGGGTACGAGACGGCCATCGAACACGCTGGCCAGCCCTTTGGAATCGAGCCCGTGTCGGGTTCCCCGTCTTTGATCTACTCGATCGAAGATGCCGACATGCGAGGCTCGGCAGATCCTAATGGGGAGCGAAAACCGACCGAGTTCATGATGCATGAATTCTCGGAGCAGCCGGACGCTCATCGGTTTGTTTCCCAGCAGCTCTCGTCGGCGAAACCAAAAGCTTACCCGTTTTCCAACAACACGACGTCAACCCACTACCCTTGAGGGCCGTTCTTTCCATCGCGATGGATATATGAGAAATGTGCTGTGATATTTGTATTTGACCTGGTTTAGGACGAACGGCCTCGCATCTTCTCGTCCCTAACGCTGACCTTTCTTTTCCCCATCTACACGCGTGGCATGTCCCATGCGTGGAGAACCCCACTGTCATTTTATGTCTCCTATATACTTCTATTTTTCCTTTCGTGTCTTTTTATTTTTTTATTTTTATTTTTTGGTGATGGTACCACCGGGGTTTACATATCTGGAGCATTCTCTTTTGCATTTGTGTTTATTGGCCTGGGATTTTTTTGGTGTCCGATACGACTTTTTAAATTCTCGGGGGCTTTGTGAGAAAGCCCTCTCCCTCTTTTTCTTTCTTTCTTTTCTTTCCTGGATTGGACCCGGTTCGGTTTTGGATGGGATTCGCATACGGACTTGGCAGCATCTGGCTTTTTTCTTTTCTTCTCTTTTTCTTCTTTTCTCTGATACATACTGTCACGTACAACTCTTTTCATATCTCTTGTCTCATAATATCAAAAAGGGGATGATGTGTATATTACTGTTTTGGTTTGGTTTTTGGTCATGTACTGTTCAAGGCTCGCGCTTGATCGCCCGACTAGGCATCATCTCCGAGATGCCATCCAACGGTTCCGCTTAGAACTCCGAAATGACGATCAACCGTCTCTCAACGAATTGGCAATCCTCATTGCTGGTTGACGTAGTCGTCATTTCAGAGGATCGCCCTCTGGGATATTTTGGTTCTCGTTTTGGTTATTGCTTGCGGAGTCGGACGACCCCTTTACTTTGCTTTGGGACCCGGCGTGGATACAGTCTTTGATCGATCTAGAAGGTTTCACTAGCGGAGATAGAGTCTATTCTTTAGTCTGTGAGCATATCATCTTTATTCTCTTTTTTTTTTTTTTATGCTCTATTCTTTTTTGCTCATACCTACATCGGACTTGCTTTACGTTTGGATTATTACTAATTAGCTCGAACTTGCAAATACTGAGTGTTGGCGATTGGCAGCCTCATCTTCCTGATCAGACATAGGATAGATTAATTTTAGTTCTTATCTGGTCCAAATGCCTGTATAGATAATTAAAGTAGCTCTTGTCTGAATAGAACTAAAAGAATACAGAGAGAGACAGAGAGAGATACAGTATGATATGCAGCGACTTAGGGCTCCGGAGGTCACGGTCGTGTCGTCGGAGTTCCGTGTCTTCGGCATCCAAACTCCATCGATAGGTTTCAACGAAGGACTGTGGTGACTCATGTACGACATCGGGCCTCTTCCTTCTTTCGAATAGCTTGAATTGGACTTGGTCGAGTGCACTCAGCATCCGGAACGGAGAAATATGTCCACGGCCTCGCAATTATTTAAGGCCCAAGACACCTACGGGTATCGAAGCAGCAGAATCGATCAGCGATCGATGATTTTCCCATTTGCATCTTCTTTTCCAGTGTCTTTGCGATATGCCACGCATCCGAACCGCCCTGATCGGCCTCTCTTCATCCGCCAAAACTTCCTGGGCCGAACATGGCCACCTGCCCTACCTTCTCTCGCCACGCGGCCAATCCCACTATGAGATCGTCGCCCTGCTCAATTCCACTGCAGCTTCAGCACAAGCAGCAAAACACGAATTCGGTCTGCCCGCAACAGTCAAGGCCTACGGCGATGCCGCATCTCTAGCTGCAGACCCGGACATCGATCTAGTGGTGTGCTGCACGCGAGTCGATATACACTACGACAATACTGAGCCATCTCTGAAAGCAGGGAAAGCAGTTTATATTGAGTGGCCCATCGCAGAGAACTTTGCGCGGGCAGCCGCCCTAATGGAGGGAAAGCAGTGGAGAAATAGCATCGCTGGCCTGCAGGGCCGGCTCTCGCCTGTTGCGTTCAGGGTCAAGACGCTTCTTCAGTCCGGGGAGATCGGGAAGATATTGAGCAGCGATATTCACGCGTTTGCGGATCTACTCAAACGCGATTCTCTGCCGGAGGGACTCGCATACTTTGCTCGAAGAGAGGTCGGAGGTAACCCCGTTACCATTGCCTATGCGCACATGATTGACTATGTGCACACGGTGCTGGGAGAATTTGAGGCCTTCGACAGCAGAATGCAGATCCAGCGGCCTGCCCTGAGACTTCTTGGAAAAGAAAAAGACGGTTTGCCATCCCAGGTCGTGTCTGATGTCCCCGATCTCGTGGTCGTCCATGGACGTCTGGCGCCCGGAATCCAGGATCTTGCCGAAAATGCGACTCTATCGGTGACATTCCGCACTGGGCAGCCATTCAAGGACAGTCCAGCGTTCGTGTGGACGATTAATGGTGAAACAGGGGAAATTCGAATCACGAGTCCCTCGTGGTCATACTTACAATCGGATGCCTATGTGGACCCGATTCGGATCGAGCTGCATCGCTATGGGGAGGATGCCGTGGAGAATATCCATTGGGACTGGGAGGAGTGGCAGAAGGAGGAACTGCCGAAACGGGCGAGGTTGGTTGGCGCTGTGTATGAGAGGTATGCGGCGTGGGTGGAGGGTGGGAGAGTGTCCCCGGTTTCTGACGATGCATACTGGCCGCGCATTCATGATGGGCTGCGCAGACATGAGGAGATTGAGACGCTGTTTGAGCAATTTGATGCTCAGCAGCTTGTCTAGAGCGCGGCTTCAAATAGGGTTCTTTCGAGCACATAATTGAGCCCAATTGATGCTCTTGGTTTCTTGGGCTGATATCATACTCTATGATTAAAAATTACCTGGCCTGTCCAACAGCCATGCCATGCGCTATGCTAACGTCTGACAGTAATTGACCGACTAGCTCGGCGTATAGATTGGCCTCACTCGATCTGGCGGGTCTCTTGTCGGAAAAAAAGTGGAGCTTTCTGACTCGATCTCTCGGCCTTACTTTTGTTTCTAGAATGCCATCTGTTAGTCCGGGAAGTTTTATTGATACTTTCCAGAGTGTCACTGCGTAGGAAAATAGCGATGCTCTCAACGGAGGAGTATCATATGGGGTTATAGTTAGTAGTGTTGGATTCATTTACAGGCAATGACTCTCGGTAGACAGCCTTGTGGTGGTCAGTCACGGCCGAGAGTAACCGCTCATTATATCCCACTTCGTTCAGCTTTGCAGTAGCCTAAGCAGCTTAAGACTTCCCCTGGCCATTATAATTAACAGTTCCCATGATTGCATGAGTTCCACGATCCCCAACTCTTAACTATCCTACTATGTCCACCAATACAGCTGTTCTGATAACCGGAGCCAACCGCGGGCTTGGCCGCGGTCTCCTGGAGATCTACCTCGCACGCCCCTCACACACCGTGATCGCCGCCGTGCGCGACCCGGCAGCTACCGCGACAACCCTAGACACCCTACCACGGGCAGAGTCCACCATACTGCTAGTCGTGAAGATCGACAGCGCAGACCCAGCATCGTCCGCCGCCGCACTGGCCGAGCTCCAGTCCGCACACAACATCCAACGTCTGGATGTGTTGATCGCGAACGCGGGCATTGCGAAGACCTACCCGCTCGCGCGCGAAGCCATGCTCTCGGATTTGCGTGAGCATTTTGAAGTCAACACTTTCGGGCCCTTGGCTCTGTTTCAGGCGTTTGTTCCTTTGCTTGAACAGACGCCCGGGAGCAAGTTTGCTGCTATCAGTTCTGGGGCGGCGAGTATCGGTGCAATGGAGAAGATTCCGCTGCCGAACAGCGTGTATGGCACTAGCAAGGCTGCTTTGAACTACCTGGTGCGGAAGATGGCCTTGGAGAGTGACAGTGTGATTGTGTTCTCGGTAGATCCGGGGTGAGTTTCTTATCTTCCTTTTTTGATCCTTGAAATAGTCAAGGAGATCCAATGCTAATAAACAACTACATAGTTGGGTACAAACCGATATGGGCAACTTTACTGCACGGGGTTGGGGTATGGAGAAAGCGCAACTTACTATTGATGAGAGCGTGAATGGCATTGCAAAAGTGGTGTGTCGTGGCTTTTCTTGGGTCAAGATTCGAGAGATACTGACTGAGGGCAGATTGACTCGGCCACGAAAGAGACTTCGGGTTTGCTAAAGTCTTACGATGGGGGAGAAACTCCGTGGTAAATATTTCACGATCTACTTTCCTAGAGCCTGTGCATATAATCAACATGGGTTTGGTTGGCATGCGTCTCCCAACCGTTGTTATGAATTCGTTCAACTTACTATGCGCTGTTAGTATGCTGTCTACCTTTACATATTACATGGGCATCCATCCACCCAAGGGCTCAGAATATAGTGGTTTACTCGGCAGAGCTTTGATCACCATCAACTGAGCAAGCCGAGTCCGCCCTATGTTGTAGTCTTTTCTCGATCCCTCGAGGCAGGAAACCTGAGTGTCTGTCTAAAGCCAATCCTCACCAATCATCACTACTTTTCTGGCAGCGGAACAACTTCAGGGCCACTTATCACAGTTCTTCTAGCAGTGTTCCCGTCTATATATTAGGTGGTCTTCGAAGATATCATTGAGAGGATATCAGACACCTTCTTTGGACTTGCTTTTAATATCAGCTGCTTAGTTAAATAATAAAAAACAACTATGGTCAACAAGAAAACAAAGAAGAATAAAATTGATTAATAAAAACAAAAGACAAAGCTACGTCCCCGGGAAGGCTCGAACTTCCAACCTCCTGATTAACAGTCAGACGCGCTAACCTATTGCGCCACGGAGACATGCATTAATAAATTAGAAGTGGCAGAATTGATTTATCAAGAAAAACGGAAAATAGGGATTTCAAGTCTATCTCATGGTGAGTGTCATATTATGATTAGGCCAAATTAAAATACTTAGTACTCCTCTAAGTGAATAACTTATATAGATAGCTTATTGATTTTATGATCCCTTAGGAGATAAAAAAAAAAAAACCTGCTAATACTATGTACTAGATTATTAGGACTTTGACTTAATCGCATCGCAAAGAAGTTGTGCTATATTTTATTCTAGTCTACGCTACTCAGCTGAATATATTTTTATCAAATCAAACCTAAATGATTAGGACCCAACGATATATAAAACGAGAAATTAGAATAAGAGACAGGCAACGCTAGAAACCCCCTATAGACAGAGTATAACTGAGCTATAGAAACTAAAGCACCCCTCCCCCCACCTCCTAAACATAGGGTCTAGAGCATGGTATGCTGTAAATGGTAATAAACCTTTGTATACTACCACCCAGCTATAGACTCACCAGTGGCAACTTTTTTTAGCCTACCTAAGAGGATGTTGGGGGATCCTTAATACGGAAGATGATGATGAAACAGCTCTACAGCCCAATAAACCAGGCCTCGCAGATAGATAGGCCTTAGAATACAAGGCCCTACTTCTGATTTCTGAAAGACTTTTGAACACCGAGAATTTTATTTGCCCAAGTCAAGCAGGCCCAAAAAAAGGGACAGCTAGAAATCTGTCAATACAAAGTCCAAAGAGCCACCATAGACAGATTCTGGGAATATTCATCATCACACAAATTCGGAGCCTGGTTATTATATTTTCCAGGGATAGTTATCTACTTTTGCCTTTAATTGATGGGCTGCAGCTGCAGCTTGTTTTGACTTAGGCCCAGGATCAACAGCACTGCGTGCATATCCCATAGATCTGTTCATCCCTATTACCCCCTCTAACAGACACCCGTAGACTTGAAATTTGTGGATCATTTGTTATGTAGGTTGATATTTAGGTCGAAAATAAAGTTTTAACCGGAATACCACATATGTCCACACCAAAAAATTCTCCACCACCACCAACCCCCGTTCCCTCCCCCTCATGAACCACCCAGACAGAATCTATAAAGACCAAAACACAAAAAGAGCGTCCCCGGGAAGGCTCGAACTTCCAACCTCCTGATTAACAGTCAGACGCGCTAACCTATTGCGCCACGGAGACCCGCTTAGAGCGCTCGCGGATTCTCGGGCATCGTGGTGCGGGTGGTTTGGATCCGAACTCGGTGGGTACTCACTTATGCCTGATCCACTCTTTATATGTCAGCTAATCATGCTGCTTGATATGATCCAGCTAAAATATTGACTTGAATAAGTTGTGGAAAGATATTAGGGAAATGGTGAGGGAAGATAGAATGTGGAGGTGCTCAACTTCCCTCGTGTATGCTACTCTGCTAGGAATTTGCCGTGTCGTATACTGTCTTTTTAGATTAGCGGAGGTTTTAATCTACTCACGAGAGGGGATTTCAGTATGATATCATTGTATTTTTTGCTAGGCACAGATCAGACCTTAAAGTACACTGTACTCCTTACATAAAAAAGAAGGCCAACACCCTCACCGCCCCTCTGTTCTGCGCGTTTCAAACGAGCTGGGCCAAGCCTTCAGCAGCTCTATTCACACCCACCGTGGACCGCGCGGTGGGTATTTTGCTGTACAAAGAGACTAGCAGTGGGCCCAGCTCGAGAATAGCCGCAGTTGTCGATTTTGACGAAACGAAGTCGGGGGAGACCCGCAAGGCCATCAAAAGCTTGGGCCCAGGCTCCAATGTTCAAATCCACTTCGACCAATTTCACCCGGCGCAGTGCGTCACAGCACTGCTGGACGACATCCATCAGCTTGTTGGAGCTGATAACCACCCTGCCCAGGCTGATGGCATGGAGATAGCAAAGGTGGGTGATATCAAGGTCTCTGAGATCTAGGGGGTTTGTGCTCAGTATAGTCAGCGTTTCTAGAATCCGGGTGCACCATAAAGCACTGCAGACAATGGTAAGAGTAGGTTTTTAGAAAGAAAGCAAAATAAGATCAAGAAAATAAGAGAAGAAGATTAAGAGAAAGAAAAACAAGCAGTATCACACATACAAAAAGAAAAGACTGACCCTTGAGAACATAGAGCTCCAAATTACGCAAAGGCCGAATGTCTTTGCATATGTGGTTTGGAATTTCCCCAAGAACCATCTCTGCTGTTTCCCACGATTTCCCATGTGTCCACCTTCCAACGAAATAAGTGTTTCGGGAATCTTCAAACGAGCGGCGGCAAATTATCCGCGGCTCGATTCTGACCAACCTTATGCTGGGGGCTATTAAGCGAGGCGTGGTCCAGGGCGGTTGTGCTATGAACAGCTCGACGAATGGTCTGTTGCACAAAGAGTGTGGCGTTGGGCGCAGCCTCGGGGTAGCCGCAGTTATCGATCTTGAGATAGTGAAGACGGGGGGACGCCCCTAAGTTCGTCGAAGACTTGTCGCCAGGTCCCACTTCGCAGCGCTATTTCTTCGAACTTGACACAACTGAGTGTCTCGCTGATTTGCCGAAAAAGCTCCACGAGCTTGTCGGAGCCGATGACCACCGGCATAGACGAATAGCTCGAATATTCATCAGCGCTCTCCAGGTCCAGGGTGAGGTTGGTGGCACAGCCGATGAAGCGAAATATGCGAGAGACATGGTCTGCGATGGGAGATCGGCGCTTCACTTTCGACGGCAGCTTTGGAAAGGCGCGGTTTCCATCGGGGCCGGTGTCATCACAGACCTGGATTCTCAGATCGTGCAGTTGGTCCAGGACGCTCTCAATAGGAGACACGTAGCTGGGCTCAACAAAGAAGTCGCTGATGTTAGAGGTGACAGGAAGGTGAAGGCTAAACTAGCGGAGTTGGGGTAGCTGTATGAATTGGAAGGTGTCAACGATCGAGTAGGTGAACATATCCAGGTAGTCCACAAGGATATTAACACCCCTCGAAGCCTGTCAGTTGTACCCTGGCCCCCGCACCGTCAAAAGAGACAGGTTAGAGAAATGGCTTAGGCAAACGGGAAGCACCTTCTCCAGCTCCTGAACAGATGTCTTGTATCTCTCACTTCTCTTCCAGGTGCCTCGAATCCCCACCTCAAACTGCCGAACAAGGTGGGTGTATAGGCTTCTGGAGAAAGCCGAGGGCCCTCGAAGAGGCGCCAGGTTTTCCTCATGGGCAAGGCAGTGAATTTTTCGAAAGAGCAGAGGGGCAGCTAGGGAACTGAATGCTCTGCACACAAGGCGCAGCTGTGACAGCGTCACCTTGGTGGTCACATCATAAATCTCACCGTGACCAAAGTGCCACCTCTCCTCTTTTAGGTCCACTGCATTTCCCATGATCTGAAGTAAAGTTAGTACCAGTCTTGAAGCCCACGACCAGTTCACTGAGTACTTGCCAGATGCCAGATCTCTGGGGGAAGTTGTCGATTGTGGACTTACCGAGGTGGTAGCTGATGTTGATTGACCTTGATCCATAGCCAGAGTTGGGTAAAGACAAATTGAACACTCAAGAGGGTGAGGGGGGAGTTGAAAGCCAAAGAAATAAAGACAAAGAAGGTTGTAATGGACGAGTGAATGATATGTGTGGGGGGGGGGGGGTGAATAGAAGAGAAACAAAGGCGAGGAGCATAGGGTAGGGGTAAAGAAGAAGAGGAGGAGGAGGAAGAAAAAGAGTAGGACCAAGAATGATGAAGTTTGCTACACTAAGTGAATCCTAGCAAGGCTATACCTTGTATCCCACACCACCCTATTTAGATTATACCAAATAAATAACTATCAATGCTTCTTCTCTCTATAAAAATATCAGTATCAATATTTTATACCAGGGTAAGGGTGGATATTCTTAATTTTCTATATATTTTGATTTCTAAATAAGTAGAAGTGAACTTATTAACGCGACCAATAAATGCCTATAAATGAGTAGTGAAAGAAAAGACGTTGATATTGATATTAACAGATGTCTAAATAAAGATAGCTCCAGATTGAGGAACTTTAAAATGCGGCCGAGCCACAACAGCTGTCTCCGTGGCGCAATAGGTTAGCGCGTCTGACTGTTAATCAGGAGGTTGGAAGTTCGAGCCTTCCCGGGGACGTATTTTTTGACCTCAGCACATATAGTGTTTTTCGGGAGGACTGACCTGAGACACGAGGCACTGTCACGTGATGATGTACGAAACGGCCGCCCATTCGCTGTCACAAAGTATACCTAAGTAGCCCTTTACGTGAGTCTGTAGGTTGCTAGTGTTCGAGAAAGCGATCTTAAAAAAATATATATTAATACCTTCTACTTAGAGTAGCTAGGAATATAGCAAAAAAGCTCTCTAACATAGAGAATAATCTTACCTGTTTTATTCTATAGAAAAATAATATATTAGAAATATATAAAAAATAGATAACTAATATAATATATTAATATCTTTTTACTTTCAACTTACTGTTACACGTATCTAACTGGTCACTGTGAGTTGATCCTTAAAGGTGATACTTCTCTTAGTAACTACGAGCCTTAAGCCTGTCCGCCATCGTACTGATGCCTGTAAAGAATATACTTGGCAGGGTATAAGGCCTATCGATCAGGTAAAGAAACAAAGGGAAGGAGTAAAGGAAAGTAGTATATCTTTATTACTATTAAGACTAAATCTTATCCTATTAGCTAGATATAAGAGTATTAATTTATTATATAATATCTTTGTAACTCTATATATTATCGATAATATAAACGACTAGGTTTCTATTATATATCGTGATTATTCTATTATAGGGTAGATTAAATAATAAGTTCTAACTTTCTTTAGGATTATATAATATTATCTAATCTACCTCTTCTATTAGTTAGGAATAATCTTATTATTATTATTTAGGTCGGTTATTATACTAGCCAGCGTATTCTATTATCTTTTTACCTATCTTCTTATAATATATTAAGTACTTTTAGACTAAGGTTAAGGTATATAATTTCTAGCCACCCTTTATTATCGAATATAAACTAGATATAGCGGCTTCGGTTATCTATTAGTAGTATTCCGCCTATAACGCGTTATATAGTATAGTATATTCCGCGGTATCTTATTTTAATTTATACTAATATTCTTTAGGTTATAAAAGGTATAGTTAGGGATATCTATAATTTATAGATAATCTTTAATTAGTTAAATAAGGAATTCCTAGAGTCTTTAGCTAAAGGTATTTTTAAGGAAAAAAAGAAAAAGAGAAGAAAAAATAGAAGAAAAATATATTAATCGCGGTTAGAAAAGCCACGATAGAGTTTATAAAGGCCTTTAATATAATAGAGTTAGTATATTACCGTTAGTTTTTTTTATTACTATCTATAAATCGACTATAGTAAATAGGATCGCTAGTACTAGTATAATTTCGCTAATATTCTAATAAACCTAATATAAGGTTTATATAATATATATTATTATCTATTATTAAGATATAGCTATTTATATCTTTCTATCTAAGGATTTCTTAGGGAAGTATCTCTGAAAGTTCTAGTCTTAGTATTTTCTTTACTTAGTTCCGGGAGATAATAGTTTTATATACTAAGCTATAGTGGAATAGAGGCTTTTAATAGCCTTATAGATAATATCCTAAGATAAATATAATCCTAATCTAGCTATCCCTAATTTAATTAATAATCCTAATATTAAGTATTATCTAAAATAGTTAAAAAAACTTTTCTATTCCTATTTCTAAGTTTTAAATAAAGTTCTATATCTACACTATTATTTTATAGTAATAATAATATTATTATTCTAATAAATTTTTAGTAGCTTTCTATTTAGTTTATAGGATTTCTTAGATATGGACAGACCCGTCCTATGGGTCAAAGATCTTGACCTATAACCTAAACCCACAACCTATAGGTCAGGTCAATAAAATCCTAACCTATCTATAGGTTAACTTGTAGGTTAATAGGTTAACCTATTTTTGACCTATTTTAGTATAAATTTCTTAATTAGGATAGATAATTTATTTATCTTTTTTAATAATATACTATTATTAAATACTATTTTTATTCTAATATAATTTATAATTATAACTCTTTATAAAAAGAATATTATATAGTAATAATATATTTAGAATATATAATATATTAATTTATTGATTTAATACTTTAAGGTAAGAATTATATTTTATAATAGATAGATATAGATAAAAGAAGATATTAATTAACCCTTTTTTATACTAAACCTAAAAATATATATTTAAAGTCTATAGTAATATTACTATTTTTTATATAAATAAACTATATATATTAGAAACAATAAAATAGATATAAATCTAATATCTAATATTTCTTTATTAATATATAAGTATATTGTAGTCTTAATTATATAAAAGAATTATTTTAAATATTTTTTCTAGATTTATATAAAATAATAATATTAGTTAGTTAGGTTAAAATTTTTTAGGGATAAAAAGAAAAATCTTAGGGTATTACTCTTACCTAATTATTTAGATTAATAGATTAATCTATAGACTAACCTATTAATCTATTTCTTACTATCTAATAAGCTTTATATATATTAGTAGAGTATCTTTTAATTAGTTATAAAATTTAGCACTAGGATAGTACTAAATCCTATCTATTAATAAGAAATAAGTATTAGACCTATATATTCCCCTAAATCTATAATAATTTATCTTAGATTATTTTTCTATATCTTAAGTCCTTTACTTTAATATATTATTACTATATCTCTTTTATATCTTAATTATCTACTTTATACCCTCTCTCTCTTATTAAGAGTAAAGGGTTTAAGTTATTTATTTTCTATTCTAATTAATTTCTTAATATCTTTTTAGAACTACTAAAAAGCTAATAAATTAAATAAAGCCTCTCTTTTATTATATTATTAATACTAAAATAATCTAATAATCAGAAAAAGATTTAGATAATTTTTAATAATATAAATAAAGTAGAATTTTTAAACTAGTAGCTTAATACCTAAATTAGTGGTTTTTATAATATTATAAAAAAGATAAATTAAAAAAGTCTATAATAGATTAATATATAATTATATTTTAATTAAATTATATATTTAGTAATAAGAGAGCTAAAACTCCTATATAAATAATATAGTAAGATTATAGATTATCTAGTCTATACTAAAAATAGGATAATAAGTCTTTAATATTACTAGAATCGGAGTATATATTAGAAAGGCTAAAGTATTACTAAATATTTAATAATCTAATATCTTATAGAATATATAGTATATTATATAACTATTATTTAATTTATAGACTAATCTTTCTTAGGCTAAAAACTCTTTTTAAATAGCCTAGCTAATTATTTAAGAGCTATAGAAATAATAATTAATTATTATAATAACTATTTTATAGCTTTTTTTTAAATTATTAAATATCCTAAATTCTAAGCCTTTTTTTAAATAATCTAATTATTATTATTTATCCCTAGTTTCTTTTTTTATTAAACTATATAATATTAAATCTAAGGAATAACCTAAGATTAATAAAAAGATTTATTTTAGAAACTTCTATCTAAGACTAAGCTCTTTATTAATCTTAATTATTAGATATTACTATTTTAATAAATATTTATAACTATTTTTAGCTATTTTATTAATATAGACTAGAATTATTAAGAGGTTTTATTTAGCTTTAAACCTATTTCTAATATATATTTTAGATAAAATCTTAGTATAACCTTTCTTAATATCCTCTAGAAATATTAGATTAAAGACTAAATATTTATAATAATAACTAATAATATATTAAATAACTTTACTCTTATTTTAAGTATCTAAGATTCTATTTAATTATTAGATATTAACTCTAAAATAATAATTATTTAGATTCTATATATTATATATATAATTTAGTTAAATTTAAAATAACTATTTAGCTAGATAAAAGCGAATCCTTAGAATAAGATAACTAAAACTATTTAATCTAAAGAATATATCTAATATATTTATTAAAAAATATAAAAATAAGATATTATAATAACTCTTATAAAAATATATATCTATACTCTTTATATATTAATTAAAATATTAATCTATTTTATATTTTAGATTAGAAACCTTATAATCTTTATTAATATAAGCCTTTAATATTAGGAGTCTTTTCTTAGTCTCTAGCCTAACTATCCTCGATTAGTTCTAATTTAAGATATCTAAACTAAATAGAATTTAATCTTTTTAATACTCTAATATATAAAATAGTTATAATTAGTCTTTAATTAATTTTACTTTAAATATAATTATCTTTATCTTAAAATTAATATAGATAAATAGTATTAGATTGATTACTTTCTTAATATTATTTAGCTATTTTTCTAATTTATTATAATCCTCTTAAAAATAAAGGATATTACTATTTATACTATATTTATTATCTATAATAAGCTATTTAATTATCTTAAAAGATTAATAGATAATTTAGTAAAAAAAAGATTAAATAGAAATAATAGATATATTAAGTCCTTAAATTAGCTAAAAATA